GAAGCAGCGAAGCCTCGAAGCAGCGAAGCCTCGAAGCAGCGAAGCCTCGAAGCGGCGAAGCCTCGAAGCAGCGAAGCCTCGAAGCAGCGAAGCCTCGGAGCCCCGAAGCAGCGAAGCCCCGAAGCAGCGAAGACCCGAAGGAAGCAGCGAAGCCTCGAGGCGGGGCAGCAACGTGCGAAACGAAACCGCGAAGCACGAGCCGGCGCCAGGTCGTGGCCAGAGGAAGCAAGCCAGGCCGGTGCCAGATCATGGCCAACCCGGTGCCACATCAGGGCCAAGCCGGCGCCTGCCAGGTCGCGGCCCGGCCGGTGCCAGATCATGGCCAAACAAAGCCCGCCAAGCCCGCCGGTGCCAGATAATGGCCAAGCCTGCCAGCCGGTGCCACATCATGGCCAAGCCGGTGCCAGATCATGCCCAAGCCGGTGCCAGGTCGTGGCCAAGCCGGTGCCAGAGCATGGCCAAGCCGGTGCCAGATCATGGCCAAGCCGGTGCCAGGTCATGGCCAAAACCTGCCAAGCCGGTGCCAGATGGATCATAGCCAACCCGGTGCCAGATCATAGCCAACCCGGTGCCAGATCATGGCCGTGCCGGCGCCAGGTCGTGGCCAAGCCGGTGCCAGATCATGGCCAAAACGAAAACTGTCGCGCCGGCCGGTGCCGGGTCATGGCCAAGCCTGCCAAATCATGGCCAAGCCTGCCAGCCAGCCGGTGCCAGGTCGTGGCCGAGCCGGTGCCAGATCATGACCAAGCCGGTGCCAGATCGCGGCCAAGCCGGTGCCAGGTCGTGGCCAAGCCGGCGCCAGAGAGATCATGGCCAGGCCGGCGCCTGATGAGATCAGAGCCAAGCCGGCGCCAGATCATGGCCAAGCCGGTTCCAGGTCGTGGCCAAGCCGCCCGGCGCCACATCATGGCCAAAGCCTGCCAGGCCGGTGCCAGATCATGGCCAAGCCGCACGGTGCCAGGCCGCGGCAAGGCCGACGCCAGACCATGGCCAAGCCGGTGCCAGATCATGGCCAGGCCGGTGCCTGGCAGGTCATGGCCAAGCCGGTGCCAGATCATGGCCAGGCCCGTGCCAGGTCATGGCCCGGCCGGTGCCACACCATGGCCAAGCCTGCCGGTGCCAGGTCGTGGCCAGGCCGGTCGGTGCCAGGTCACGGCAAGGCCGGCGCTTCCTCAGGCCATGGCCAAGCCGGTTCCAGGTCATGGGTGGCAAAGCCGAGCCGGCTCCGGGTCGTGGCCAAGCCGAAGCCGGCGCCAAATCATGGCCAAGCCGGGGCCAGATCATCTCATGACAAAGCCAAGCCGGTGCCGGATTATGGCCTGCCAAGCCGCGCCCGCCGGCGCCAGGTCGTGGCCGAGCCGGTGCCAGATGAATCATGGCCAAGCCTGCCTGCCTGGCTGCCTGCCTGTGCCAGAGCATAGCCAAACCGGTGAGGGATCATGGCCAAGGCGGTGCCAGGTCGTAGCCACGCCGGTGCCAGGTCATGGCCGTGCCGGTGCCCGATCATGCCCAAGCCGGTGCCGGACCCTGGCCACGCCGGTGTCGGGTGCCCGACCATGCCCGCCCCCCGCCGCCAGATCGTGGCCCCGCCGGCGCCAGCATGCAAGATGACGGCAACGGCCTACCTCCCCGCCGCGCCGGCCGGCGCCGGATCGTGCCAAAGCCGTTCGGGCGCTTTGAAAATCGCCGGCAGATGGGCCTGCCTGTGCTCGAGCGCCGAAAACGATTCTCCACAGGGAGACGCTGAGTGCTACTATTCATCTAGCGGAATACTATTAAGTCTGCAGGTTACTGGACACGGGAAGCGGGATAAGGCTAGTGAGCAACAGCGAGACGGCTGTAATTAATACGCTTGGTAGTTGCGTCGCAGGGAAAATGTAAATTCCCAAAATGTATTGCAATGAACTCCCAACGCAATGTACTGCTCAGTCCTTAAGTCCGTTCGGAATGCAGCGTAACTTAAGTTTTGGGGCGCGGGTGGTGCTTAAGTCAGGCGCGGAGTTAAGGTTTAGGCCTCAAACCCAAACCTTATGAACAAAGAACTCACACTCTGAATTAGCTGTTACAACTACGTACCGGAAATCGAGCCTGGAGGATTCAGGTGAAAAGTATATATGATATGGAAATCGTCAGGGCCGCGCAGATATCTTGTACATATTCATGATCTTTACGCTTACTATTGGGTCTTGCCACTTTAGTGCGTCTCTTACGAGTGGCAGTTTGAAGGGACATAGTTCGAAGATCGACAAGATAAATAATGATCCAACGCAAGATGCGAGTCGGAAGTGATGAGAGGGCTGCTAATGATACAGCGGCGTCAAAATGGACCGAGGTCTTAATAGTATGCCCAAACTTAAACTACGCAGTTATTTATCCGCCGGAGACAGATGACTACAACTTACGGATAGAAGAGAGTTGTTTTTATTGTTCTTCAGTGTTTACCTAGAATCGCAGCAACGTGTGGTTTACGCGACAAAGTTTATTTTTTGTTGAAAAACGCATTGGAGTTTTATTTAGGTAATGCAGTGATTTGTTGCATCAGAGCAGATACCGACCTGATGCCGAGGTCAGAAAAAAAAATCCTTCACTACTGCTTTTTCGCGTTTCACGTTTGAATGCATGTGCCAATTTCCAGACTAATCAACTTCCATAGATACTACACATGAGTACAACAATTCATCGCACAAATAAGCACCAGGACCAGAGCAACAATAGGATTGCCATTCGCTCCTTCCAGAGTTCTATATTATACAAACACATCTTTCAAATATTGAATACGGACCACCTATAAACTGAGGCTGAGTAAAAGCACCACAAGAATGGTCTAATAATATCACAAGTTGGAGTTCTTGGACAACATTCGACCCACGCCTAAAGAGCAGGGACATGACACCGAAACTCTAGCACAGCGAAAGCCAAAACCAAAGGCGACAGTGAGTAATTGTAGGGTAACTATTATCCCTGTCGTTGAAGTATAAATCGACAAGAAGGACAACTACAGATTCGTCACTAGTACAACCCCAGCCCGGTAAAAACCCCAGAAGCTCATCCCTCCTTTTCATTTAGTTGTCTGCTCGCACTATCTGAAAAAAAAAAACTCACAAGCAAGAATGTAATGGACAAACGAGTAATTATGTCGCGTCAGGTTAACGTTTAAACGTCTGCTCTTTAGCTTTTTCTTTATTGCTAGAAGCGGCCAGCTGCACTTCATCGATCTTTCTCTGTTGTTACGGGAAACAAGATTATGCGGCCGAGCGTCTAGAGCTGTAGGACATGTGTGGAGGTGCGGAGAAAGTTGTTGAGGTCGAACACACGAATGAGAGAGTACCCAAATCCGCAATTTGCGCCGTGCGTCGAATCAGCGACTGCATCCTTCCTCTTATCGAACTCATTCCAATACTTTAACTTTATATGTAATGGCCTGCTTTAATTTCTCTTCGAACATTTCTATCTAGACAGATCTAATAAGTGGTACGTTCACTCCTGACTGTCACTCGCTTCCACAGGAAATTGCATGCCAGACAGCGCGTAGAGGGCGTTTCCATGAGACAGAGTGCAAGATAACAAAATACCGAGCTGCATCAAACCTTCAGTTGTCGTGCGCGCTCCTGCGTCTCCCTTTATATCCAAGCAACACCAGTGGTATCTTTCTCTCTTCATTCAAGCAGGCAGGCCGTTATCGCCAGTCTCGGGCACGACGGCAAGTTCCCGCAACAGGCTTTCGTACACCCCGACGCCTTCCCAGAAGCAGCTGACAGGTATGTATTCGTTGTGCTCGTGGAGTAGAATGGGGCACCGTCGCATCGGTGAAAAACCAAAGGCCGGTATTCTCAATTGGCGCAGAAAGCGGCTGTCTGTTGCGGCTGGAAAAACCTCGGCATCTAGTTCGCAGCATCAAGCGGAAAACACTTCCTTTCTCTATCCGCGTAAAAAGTTTGAGTTTCAATGTAAGTACTATACTTACTTCACGCGCGTTCAGATATACCGACATGATCGACAGTGCGTCATCATCACCGGCTCAATCTATTCGGCCTTGGATGACATGCACTTGTTCATGCGCCTGAAAAACCGGACACACATAGGTCCTCTTACTTAAAAGTATGTACATGCATCCGATGACCTAGACTCTTGGTGAGCATCCTACTTGCCGCGGATCAAACGCATGTGGTCCTACCTTGCGACGTTGCTGCAGGAATAGCAACTTGAAAAGAACCTCAACATACTACCAGCGAGGAGCGTAGAGATGACAGAAATATGTACTCAGAAATGTTTTTCGCTTGATAGGTAGCCCAAGGTGTTCAGTGTTTTGGAAAATACGCGCCACCAGTGTAGACTCTGCCGCTTGTGCCGGTTCTGGTCCAGTCGCGCCTGTCGCTCGGACGGCGGGTGTAGGTCCGGCGCCTCCTCGCAATAGAAACTACTGTCCTCACCTTGTTCTTCCTCATCCTGCTCGCCAAACAAATCCGGGCGCGCAGTGACGGGCGTCAAAAAGTGCTCGTCCGCCGGGACCGTGCCGGGCGCAAAGGACCACGTGACGGTTCCGTCGAACTCGGCCACCCAGGAGTCCAACAGGGCGCGAAAGTCCGCCACCTTCAGCAGGGGACTGATGCGCACGTCGAATCCCGCGCTGGCCTCGACGGGGATCACGTTCAGGGCGTACACCCCGGGACTGGTTTCCACGCCCGCTTTCAGCATGGTAAGGTTCAGCGTGGTCACGTCTCCCAGCTTCTTCGCCTGGGCGTGCTTGCAGCCGCACTCCCCGGTGTCCGGGTCCACCGGGGCGTACGCCAGCTTGCGCTCCTCCTCGATGCGAAATTGCAACGCCTTATTCGCCAGGGTGATCAGTTTCTGGGCCGCCGTGTCGCGGATAAAGCGGCTGCCGTGGCCGGTGGGGCCCGTGGCCTTCACCATTATCCACCACGGGTTGCGTTCGCCGAAAAACACCGTAAAATTGTCGGTCTCATTGGCGAGGCCCTCGTCCAGCCCCAACGCCACGCGCGACCGAACCTTGCCGGTTGTAGTCACAGCAGTAAAGTGGTTTTTGTAAAAGGTCGAGCACAGAAACGCGTGCATTCCGTCCTTGCCCCCGATCTCCTCGTCGGGTACAAACGACAGCCAGATGGGACGAAGCCGTTCTTTTTTTCTTCTATAGTCATTTTCTATTTCATCACTGTTTGACTTTGACGCCGCGTGGTGGTCTACTGCTTCTGCAGAACTACTAGTAGCTCGTACACTCCGCAGGATCTTTTCCAGGGCCAAAACGTACTGGATGCAAACGCACTTCATGTCTTGCGTTCCGCGGCCATAGAGTTTTTCGTCGTCCACGACGACAGCGCCGAAGGGGTCCACATCCCACTTGTCCTCCATCGCAGGCACCACATCGTAATGCGAGTTTAGCAGCAGAATGTCCGGTTGATAGGTCCCCTCGTCGACGGTTATGGGGAGGTCCTGCTCGGCTTGTACGCGTACCTTATTCGAGTGGCATTCTTCTTGCTGGTGCGCGTCGCCTACTTCTACTTCCCCTCCAGCTTCCCGGCTTTTGTTCCCGGTTGAAATCGTATCGCCAGCAGGAGCACCGGGTATGTGCACGAAGAGCAGCGGTTTTTTCTCGACGAATTCTTCGACAAAGATTTCAATATCCGGTCGAAGCGAACACAGACGACGCTCCACCACACTTTTCAGGAATGCCACGCCCTCGCGGTAGGCGCCGGTGTGGGGTCCCTCCTGCGAAATGGTCCGGATCTTCAGAAAAGTACGAAAATCTTCTAGCGCGGAGCGCTTCCAGGCGTCGTCATAGGGAACGGGATCTCGGCTGGGACTCGTCATTTTTGAATTTACTGAGCTTATGTCTATCGCTTCCTGATAATGTCGTCGTCGTCAAGATGCATATCTTACAAAGTCAGAGCTTGCGCTCCGTTATTAAAATCGAATTGTACTGGGCCTGCCAGATCATACAGGGTGTTGCGGCAGTAGGCATGATAACCCGTTCATTTGCTTTCCTCGTCTGTAATGGAAATACAAATAGATGAATGAGTTCTTCTTCTTGCACGAATTTCATATAGTAACGGTATGGTAAAAATTAGATGAAAAGCGAAGGTCCTGACGCAGTGTGTGGTTCGAAAAATAATGCTAGATTCTGCAACTAGGTGTGGATGTTCTCAACTCTTCGAGTTGAGTAAGTGAGTAGCTATCTTAGCCCATGGGCATATCCATTTTCTATTTGCATTTCCCTCGGTTGAGATTAATCGATAGGTAATCTCCGTGGAATAGTTGTCCCTTAAAGGCATCTAAGAGGCGAAAGTTTCTTGCGTCGAACAAAAAAAAAACCAAGTCGCCACAGTGGAATCTTTTTCCACATCGTTGCACGAACTCGTTTGCTTTGGCCCTACCTCTGCTCAACAAGAACAATCAGAACCAGAACCACAAATTCATCGATATTGATGCACAGATACTTCAGTGATGTTGCGCAACATGGTGTCCGGTTGGATCCATTCGTCCAGCTTTTCCCATGACGTTCTGCCGAAAAAGTGCCACGAGAATGTATGTTTATGTTATATGCCCAGAAGTCTTCGTGTGTTTTCGCGCGCCGCACGCAGCACTTTAGCGATCGGTTCACCTCGCAGAAGCGCCACGGCCTCCGCAACCTGAAGCACGTTGATTGGCTCGTTCCGTCTTTGGATCTGTTCCACGGGCGTCAACTGCCGTCTCTTTCCCTTCTTTCCTTTTTTCCCCCGCCCCTTGTTCCCCCGGATGTTGAAAGCTCCCTGTCCATTCAGGTTAGTCGTGGCACAACTGCCATTTGCACTGGCCATTGCTTCTAATTCTACATGCTGCGTGCTATAATTCCTTCCACCGGGAGCCTGAAGAGCCGGCAGAGCCGCGGTTTGTTGGGCAAGAGCTTCAGGAAAAACGGGAGTCGAATAGGGCATAGAGACATCCACATCTGCTGAGTTGTTCTCGTCCATATTACAAGAGGCTTGCCTGCTGTCATTTCTCCCAGTGCTCCCAACTTTCGACACAGAGGCAACTCGCCCCCAGGCGAGTCCGGCGCGAACCGCTCCGTCGTGGAGGCTCTTTGTTCCACTTGTGCAATCTTTTCCTACGCCAACTTCACAATTCATCGACAGTGCGGAGCAATTCGCTGTCTTGAGGTCTTTCCAGACAGGGCTTGACTCCTCGATTGCGCAGTAGGGCGCGTCAGTTTCCAACAAAAGGCGATCGAGCGGAATGCTCTTGATCATCAAACAACCAGCCTTGGATCGCAGGGAGCAACCGTTGACGGATATGCCGTGCTCAGGCGTTACATTGCTTGCTGTTACATGATTCAGATTGATTGTTCCGTAATTTGTCACACAATACGGCGTCTTTCAAAAACATTGAAATTCTGCATCTGCAGGACCAATCCCAATGTCGCTAGCATGACAAACCAAGGCGAAGTCTTCCTGCAACAGCGGGCCATGTTACGCTTGATGAGAACAACTCCATAACGGAAACAAACAAGTTGTACGATAGAAGAAGCTCCAAGTCGGCGACGGTGCCCGTAAAGCTGTGAACAACGCCAGACCGGAAAACGCGGCCTTGTGCTCGTGGCGTAAACTTACTCGGAGCTGCATCCTCGTCTTTTCCAAGAAGCGCCTCCCCATGCAGAACTTCTGATCTGTTTTGGGCCCGAGGAGGAGAACCCCAGCCAACCAGCGTCGCGTCTAGCTCTTCGCAAGCGAGGTTTTTTCGAAAGCCGGGGAAGAACTTTCGCAATACAACCCGGTCCAGCATCTCTAGAAACTCTTCCATGCAGCCGGCGCCACGCACGTGGATGTAGAGCGGCAGATCGTACTCGGCCGCCAGGGGCAGCTGTAACTCCAGAAACCTCCGCTGGATTTCCAGCGGGCAGAACTGCGTTCGTTCGTAGTCCAACCCGATCTCGCCGACGGCGACAATGCGCTTCCGGCATTGCTCGTCGGCAAAGAACTGACGCAGCGCGTGCAAGTGCTGGCTCTGATACGACGGGTCCGCGAAGTACTCGTGCAGCCGCGAGTCGGCCAGACCGTAAGCCGTCACCTCCACGGGCCTCTGGCTATTTTTCAACATTTTTGTAGTTTTTGAGGTTGCTGTGCCACTAGTCCCCTTTGACCGGCCCCCCGGTGAGTCGCCACCAGCGGACTTCGTATAATTTGCCGACGTTTGTTCCGGGCCTTTTTTCCCCCACGTCGCGCCTTTGTGTGCAGTGCCTCCACCGAATGTTGAGACGGCATTCTTTTGGTCGACAGCGTTGTCTTCAACCTCCATGTCCTCCATTACGACGTTCTCACCGTCGTCGTTACCACGCCACGTCCTGCTGTCAACAACGCTTTCTTCTGTGACGGGATGATCCTCTGATCCTGCTGGGAGGTTCTCCCGCAATACCGGGGGCTTCCAGCTCCGGTATTGCGGGAGAACCTCAACTTTGGCGGTTGCAGGGTTGAAGCGTTCGGGCAAAAACAAAAACTCCTTGACCATAGTGGGGTGCACGCCGATGCAGGTGAATAAGAATTTCCGCCCCGGGTCGAATTTTTCCATCAAAAAGAAGGCCTTCCGGATCCACTCCAGGCCGCCCCCGGACACCATGCACTTTGCCATGCGACAAGGGACGAGCTGCATGTCTACCTGCGCCGCATCTTCGTGGTCCTTGTACCATTTTCCGAGTTCAAAGGTCCGCTTCAGCATGTAGGCGTGGTCCGGGGCGTGGAACTGTTTTCCGTCCTGGTAAATCCCGTCCCACTTGACGTCCGCAAGGTTCAACGCAATGTCGACTACTTCCAAAAATGCAGGACGGCTTGTTTCGTTCGCAGCTTTTAATATTCCGCTCTGATTCTTATTTATATTTTGTGCCGTCGAATCGGGAGTCGTCAAAGGTCGTGCAGTAGGAGGTCGAGGTCCTGACACAAGGATACTGCTTGCAGGAGTTGCAGTACTTCCGGCTCCTGTCTCTACCCCGGCACTCTCAACAGGAAAAGCGTCATGCTCCTCTCGTCTGTAGAGTTGGAAATGCGAAGCCTGCAAATCCGGGTTCGCACTCGCATCGTGGTCACGTAGTCGGTTCATCTCCGGAGTGGGCATATTGTCCGGATGTTGACTTGCTGACACTGAAACCGCCCGCGCAGCGGGTGCGTAACTGGAAACGCATGCAGGCTCAGCAGCTGCAGTGATCCCATCGGAACTGCCGCGTGCTCGCCAGCGCAAGGCATTCGCGCGGGGCATTCTATTTGGACGTAGTGTTGGTCTGATACTACCTCTTTCTTGCGTTTACGAGTCGTGGTAATTGTGACAATATCCAAAATCGATTCCATATAGATGTCGGTAAAAGTATGCTGCGCGTGGTCGTGCTCGTCATAGTCATGTTTGAAAATGAAAACCAAAAACCTGAACTGAAATTAACAGGTTCAAATTCCGCTGAGATTTAGCGTCGCGAAAAATTATGTGCCGTTATCTCGGTATAAGCACTAGTGTGTCTATCCTGCCTGGTTCGTGTTCGCGACAAATCACGACACAAGTGTTGACACAATATCAATATGAATAAGAATAACTGCAGTACGCCGAAAAAATGTCGAACTGAATCCTGTATATCTCTCGTTCGTTTTATCCAAAGACAGGGACATAACATGTACCAGACACGCGGATGTAACGTGCACTGCAGGTTTGATAAGGGTTTTGACTTTCTTGTTTGCTTTACGGTTAGCGTTTTTCATCAGCCACAGATCCTTACAAATTTACTCAGTATTTTCCCCCTGTTTTGACTCAACAGCAGGGCCTTTTTCGTAGGTAGCTAGCATCAATAGAACGAGTTTCTTCAAACCGAGAGCGAATCCTTGACTTGCCCCCAGCTCCGCATCATCAAGTCCTCGTGATCGTATCGAGCTTTCCGTCGCGTCAAGCTCCGGGGGAGGAGGTCAGTCGTCGTCTTACGGCACTTTCGAAGGCCGGGTCACTTTCCATGAGCTCTCTGATCGGTGTTTGCCCGGCGAGCTCCGCTTGCCGGAACCCCTGCCCCCGAAGACCGTCGAGCAGAAGCAGCATCGCGTTTTTGTTGCGCCAGAGACAAGAGTTTCGACTCAGCGGCGACAAGTCCCCCTCAAGAAAACGCTTTACGGTAACGGCGTCGACGGACGAGTTGCGCAAAAACTTCAGCTTCAGATTATAGGTGGTTCGGAAGATGGCAGCAGGGGGAGAATCTTCACCATTCTGCTCGGTCGGGCTCCGTTTGATTTCACATTCAGCTGCTTCCTCTTCAGACTTTGTGCCGTGCACTAGCCCGACCTCGACACCCCTCTCGACGGAGCACGACGCCCCCCCTACGAGATCGCCGAGCCATTGCTCCGTGAAGAGCGTCCGTGCGGTCGCAGAACTTGGAAGTTGCGGTGGAGTAGCAAGAGGAACATGTACTTCCCCGGGATTCTGAGGCCGAGATTCGATACGATGAGATTCGGAAAGGCGGCGATGCATATTGTCTTCTGCATCAAGTATCAAATCTACGGCGTAGAAGTTGTTATTGTCCTCTTTAGGAAATGCCAGCATGACCAAGCCTGCGACCGTCGTGCGAAGCGGAACCACGTAACTCCCGTGCAAATTCCCGGAAAGCGCACTCCTGATTTCTACTTTCACCAACGCCGGTCGTGGTTCCTGCTGTAGACTTTGATGTTGTTCTTCGAAAAGGGGCCCACGGTTCACCCCTTGTTCTGGACCTCCCTCGCTGCTTTTTTGTATGCTGGACGCGGCATCATCATGATAAGACTTGAGATCTAATTTGACGGCGGATGCGAAAAAATGTGGTTGCGTTAGAATGTAAATCGTTAATGGGCTGCGAAGGAGAAAGAGCAAAACAGGGCATACAGAGGACCACACAAGCCCATGTGAAGTAACTTTGAAAGCCATGATCGAGGCACGGAAAAAGCAGCAGCAGGTTTACTGTAGTTCTTCCGACCTGCTTTTTTACATTTGCATTTTAGACAGAAGGTTTCAAAAACTCTACGACTACTTCAACTACAACCGGACCCGACTGCCACGAGGATAATTGAGACCATCTTATGTCTTGTAGGCGCTTGGGGTAATTCGTAATTCCTAGAGTTGTTGTCATCTCGTCTTCATCATACTTATTTTGTTTCGATACGATAGGAGGACGAATGAAAAATGGCTGTGTTCCTGTAAGCAGCCAGACCGACAATTCTGAAACCAGAAGATCTCGTTTCGAACAAGCAAGGACGAATTTGCCACATCTAAAATCCAGTTTAGATCCAAACGACAAACACGAAACATGTCAGTCGTGCTTTTATTTTTCCGCTGGACCACTAGCCTTCTCGCGAGTACGGCATCGGAACTTTGCTGTCTTCACGAATGCAAAGGCATGACCACAAGTAGCACGCTGCTGCAAGAACATCAACGGAGCGGCACTTTTTACTCCTACGAGGAGTTCTTGTACACAGAACATTTTTGATCCAGCCAGGGCTTTTTTTACAGATGGGCCATTGCTAGCTCACTCGCTGTTTGCCCGTATCAAAGAACGTGCAATACGTGCCTAACGAATTCGGAAGCACGGAACGAGCCTGCAGCTGCGTCCATCAGTTACTATTTGCTTTTCTCATCAGTCACCCTGTATTCTCAAATTGCTATCGTCTCTGAATTTCTGCTGTTTACTTCATTTTCGGAAGCTCAGAATCAGTGCCGCCACCGTGGCCACAAAAAAGTATAAAAATACGTCAGAAAAACTCAACCACCGTTTGTTGTATGACATGTCTCTTTATCCACATGAATGACCGGGGCCGCTCGCTGTATTATTCAATATTCCTGTATCGACATGAGGTTAATTGACGAGCAGGTATCCTTAATTTTTTGAGCGTTCGAATTTTCTGTCTGATAAAGGTAAAGCCAAACGAACTGACCAAGAAGTTTTCTATCTAAGTCAGTTGCAAAAATCTTCTCTATTCTCAGGAGCAAGCATCGATACACTTGAATCTGCACGACCATAATGGCATGAAATCTCAAGCACGGAAACGGTGCGGTGTGGTAACATTCTTGACGCTGAGGCTGACTGGAGAGGCTGTGGTCCATATTCGCGATATGAGTTCTAACCTTTCATAGTGGTCTGTCGCACTGTGCGCAAGCTGACGGACACATCAACTGCGACTCCCGCTACGACGAATTATCTTGGTCGCCCCCCACGAAGGCGGAAGTGTCATTTTTCTGGTAGCTCCGTTTTTTCCATGTGCTGGAAAAATGGTCTTGGTCTTCGTCTTGGTACTGTGCGTCTAATTACTCGTATTGCATTCAGCGCGGCATTTATCAACAGTCTTCATTGACGGCCGGTGAAGAGTATTCGTCTCCTGGATCACAATAGTTGTGCTACCCACTCGCGTTGCGCGCCTCCCGATGTCGGTGAGTTCCAATTTAAGAGCCGCTCAAGTTGTTTTACGTAGGCAGCCTCCTGCTTGAGAAACGAGGCAAAATTTTGCACCAGCTGCTTTGCGCCTTCCCGCAGGCCCTCGGCGTCTCGTTCAAGCTCCGCCCTCGCGGCTGTTGCGGTCTGCTCTGTCATGGCCCCCGCATACGTGCCTGCGTCGGCCGAAAAAAGTCCGACTTTCAGTGCCGTCTGAATCGCGTTGGAGATAAACTGCGTGCCCTCCTCGCGCACGTGCTCACCAACAGGGGACAAATACTGGCTAAACAGGGACTCAATCTCGGGGAATGACGCTTCCATTGCGAGAAGGCTTTGTGGTGTGTTAATGTTTGTTTACTTCAGGACCTCTGCATATCATGCGAGATTCCCCGCATCAAGCACGTGCAAATCTATAAAAGCCTAGAGAAAATTTCGAACAAGGAAAAATCCTCAAAACAAAGAAAACAGGTCACGAATTTTTCGTACTCCTTTCCTTCCTTCTCCAGCCTGTCTGCCACCTTCCCCAGCACGTCGAGCATTTCCCTCATGCGTCGCGTCTTCTGCGCTTTTGGCAACATCTCCCGGTCTACAATCATCTGATCGATGAACTTCGCGGGATTCTTATCGCCAAGAAAAAAAAATGTTTTCGCGGGTGAAAGAACAGTACCAAATATAGCCGCCGGGGCGGGGGTAGTGAGGTCGTGGGCGTTTTTTTGCCGACCGCAGCCTTGGCCGCGGCTTTGCTTTTTATGGGCTCGCCATACCGCCGTGAGTAACGTTATGCCGCACGGTATGGCGGCCACTTGGGAAACGTCGCAAATTTTGGCACATTTCCAAAATTACTTTCCGAAAGCCAGCCCCGATGCTATGGGGCCGATCCGGGTGCCACGGGGGGCGCCCAAAAAGCGAAGAAAAACCGGGCCCATGGCATGCGGATTGGCTTTGCGCGTCTGGCGCGCTTTTTATTTTTCGCGTTTTTATTTTTCACGCCGGCGCTTTTTGCAAAGCTTCCCAGGCTCTAAAACCGGCGAAAAGGCGGCCGCTTTCGCGGCCGCCCAAAGTGCTCCGAAATCGCGGCCGTGCCATGCTGTTTCGCTGTTCTGATTTTGGGCGCGTTTTTTGCACGCCCCTTTTTGGGCGCCCCAAATCGCCAGAAACTAAGGCGGCGGGCGCCTCAGAAGGGCGCCCCTTTTGCCGGCTCCCCTGCGTCGTTTTATCAAGCGGGAATCGATAGTTTTCGACCGGGCTTGTTTGTTGGCAAAGCTCCGGCCGCCTGATAATTGAAAATCTTTTTCGTCAAAAAACACTCCCGCCCGCTTGAAAACTGCCGGTCGTTTTGCTGGCTGGGTGTCAAAAAAACTCCCCGGTTAGAACCGTTCGGTGACCTCACTACATACAACTCGACCATGAAATTATACGTGTAAAAGAGGCTCTCATCTTCATCATGGACAAGGAAATGGCCCTTGAAACAATACAAAACCGTAGACCGCTATTCTTCATGCAGAGAAAAAAATGCAACAAGTCCCACCACACGCATCCAGTTTTTTTCTTCGCATAATCCTTTTCCAAGTTCGCCAAGTTTTTGTCGCTCTCCGGCATCGCGTCCCACAACGTGTTCAGTTCCGTCCCGTACGTGAGCATCTATGGAAGCGTCAGGATCGAAATCAACAAAATTGAAATGATTTGTGATGCATAAAATCGATACCAGTTGGAGCCTCAGTTTTCAAGTGCTGCATTACAAATTTCAGGAGCACCAAAGTCCTGTCTGTCATGCTGTTTGGGCAAGGAAGACAGCTCCTGTCATGCTACTCTGGTAGCACATCGCCTTCCCCTAAACAGACTTTCCATCGGTTTCATTTACCTGCTGCTCCTCAACGTCAACACAGGCCATGCGTGCCGTGCAATTTATGCATTACAAATTTTTCGACTTTGTCGATTTCGATCCTGACACCCCCATAGCATCAGCTCCTTCAGTAGTTCTGACATGTCGGCCAGATCCTTCACAAACTGCAGCATGGAGTGGAAAAACTTCAAATAGGGTTTCCGCATCTCCAAGCCCTCCGGCGTCGGTAACAGCCACGCGTTCCGTTTGCGCAGCGCGACCATCGCGAGCCGCGCCGCGCCCTTCTTTGCGTGCTTCACTCGGTGGCTGAACGCACCCTCGCCGAATTCGTGGGCTACGTCGGTAATCACACCGGCGATCGCGTTCCAAAGGGCACTCGTGTCGCCGATGGATTGCAAAATGTGCGTTTCCAGGTTCAACAAAGCCGCGTCGCGCGCCGTGTGGTTCGGCGCTCGCCAATGCGTCTCCACGTTCCGAAGGTCACTCACGATCAATTTCGTCACGTCTCCGTAAAGCAACACCAGAGCAAACGTAAGGGTCTGTTGTGCGAAGGAAAACTGTCATCGTGTGCCAGCAAACGCAAATCATAGCCATCTAGTACAACAGTACAAACGGCAGTAGACCTTTCGTCTTTTCGTCAACAAAGCTCCATACTGGCGACCTCGATTGATGCGTTTGCCAATATGCTCCTTCTTCCTGAAGAGGCAGACGGTTGGGCTCTGGGCAAAGAAGAAGAACGGAAAAAAAAGTCTAGTACTTGGTTTAGAACAGATTTACTACCTTGAAGTCAGTCTGCAGCTTGTCGTTTGCAAATTGGATCGCCACTTCCTGAATTTTGTTGATGGTTTTCAGGATAGAGTAGTAATCGTCCGTAGTCTTCGCGAGCTCCGGTTGCAACTTTTTGAAGATTTCGAACACCTTTAGTTGGTTGCCCTTCATCATGGCGTCGCCCAGCTCCACCAGCAGATGGGCCACCTCTGCGAACGTTTCCGCCTCGGTCACACTCTCGTTCGCAAGCTCGTCGAGGGCGGTTCCTAAGGGTGCAGACGGAGAAGAAGCAGAAGTGGAAGTCCTCAGGCTTGCATTTTTCAGAAGCGCCGCAGACGATGCCGCGTTGTCCGGCACTTCTTGGTGCGGAGATAATAAAGGGGGTACTACGAAAGCGCTTGCCCCAGTCGTGCTCTCTTGCTGTGTCCTCTGACTTGTCGTGGATTCAATTGCCGTGGATTCCAAATCCAAATCGGTCGCTTTTCCTGTAGACAAATCGTTTCCCTTCACGTGTTCACGCGCTGGTGCCTTCAGTGCGGCTAAGTTCTCGACTTCGGCTAAACTTTTGCTCGTGTTGATAATCGGTGGCTCATACTGATCCTCGACAAGAACAACTGAGGGTAGTGATCCCCGCTGCCGCTCCTCTTTCTGGCTGTGTGGAGTATTTCGTGTTCGACCCCCGGTCGGGGAAAAAAAGTCCGCGGCTTGTTCAGTTGTACTCCGGTCCGCCGGTGCGAGAAAGCCAGGCCCGCCCAACGCTCCGGGAACACCGGGCTCGACCGCAGCCCCGTCAATCATCTCCAAGTAGCTTTTCCACGTCTTGCCGCCTTGCTGCTCAGCGATGTTTCTGTAACTGTCGTACATGGACGAATGCAGTCCGTGCGCCTGCGGGATTGGGTCGCCTGGATAGGGGCCGGGATACACGCTGTCCAAATTATTAATCGCACTGGTGGTGGATTTACTGTTTCCGTGGCCGTTGTGGTGCCCAGTACCGATGTGGCTGAAGGCCGCTCCTGCTCCAGCAGCGGCCGCTGCCAGCAGTGCAAACCCGCCACCAACTCTGCAGGCTGCCGATTTTGTCCATCGGTGGCACTGCGGTCGTCGTCCTAAAAAACCCGCTCTTGCCTGCGACGCAACGGCGTCCGTGTAATACTCCTGCTCAACGGAAGGTGGAGCAATTCTGTATCAATTTTTGGATCTAGATTTTGAATGTTGGCTCCACGATGACGTCCACCATCAAGAGTGTTAAAAGTAGATCTAAATGGGCGAGTGATCATCAGATACTTATCAACGACACCGTCATCTTACCCCGCCGCTTGGGTTTGCTTGTCGTGGGCTGCGAGAGCATGTTCTGTCAAGACCGCTGGGCCTGTTGATGATGAACTTGAGGCAGTACTGGCGTTCAGAGAAACTGGTGCGGCAGAAGAGGCCGTGACTGTTGCTGCAAGCAGCAAAGGAACGAGGTGACACCGCGTTCTCATGTTTAAAGAAAGATTCGTCTTGCGGGTGCTGCCCCTGCTGTGAGTAAGAATGTCTCGGACGATGTTTTTGAGGGAGGCGGTGTGCGAAGAGCTAAAATAGAATGGAACGATTTTTATGAACCTCGCGTAGTTACGTAGTCTAGTCACTGTGTGTTGCAATTCCGCAAAATAAGCCGCCGAAACATACACAAGCATTGCATGGTGAGAAATGTCAAATCAGAAAATAAGAAGTGAGAGTTCTTTCTAGCTCGACGTTAGGCTTTTTTTAAAATTCAAAAAACGCATCGCGGCAGTCGCAGTTCCTTCAAATAAAATTGAATTTATGTAAAGAAGGTGGTCTTTCAACAGCACGTGATCCTGCTTCCTTGTCCAATGCGGAAAAGGCGAAAAGAGAAGATGAAAACATTGCACCGAGGAAAGAACGCCGCAGTGGGAAAAAATTGAGAGAATTGCCGCTCAGATCGATGTGCCATGATAGCACTCTATTGTAATCGAAGGCTGGATGAACCAGAGCAAAAACATATGGTGGAACCGCTGAAGAGGTAGGGCTCATATTAATTCTACTGGTATTTGGCGCTGCTTGTGAACTATCGTCCCAATGTCGTACCGAACATAGACCTATCGCACTGACTCGATAGCCTGCGTTTCGTGTTTTTCATATGCTCTTCATATTACTTGCGAAGAAGCGAAGTCCAGTGTGATCGCACACTCTTGTTGAGCTGATCATAATCTTCACACACATGCTCAGGCCTGGCGCACGAGGCATGCTACATTCTAATTTCATTTCTCGACGAAATTTCGTTCGCAGTGACCATGTCCATTCCCTTTCCCTTTGTTGTTTCCATTGTTTTAGTTTTTCTTGTATGTTTTCAGTGTGGATAGAAAATTACACGGCACTAGAGACGCCGAATTCTGCGCTGCGGCGCCTCACGGACTTTTACATAGGTATAATGACGTGGATCGATTTGGTTTCATGAGAGTCCTCGTCTTATCAATCGACAGGCATGTATATAATGGAAGTGGTCCTTTTCAGACCGGCCCGCAGACCGTTCTTCAAGAAGGACGCAAAAACAACAGGATTCGAGGCACGATAGCGCTCACCAGTTGTGTCGATCTTGGTAGTGTCGACTTCAGGAACGGAATCGGTACCGATGGAGACTGAGAATGATGATAGGGAAGTTCCACTAAGCGGCTCCACACGGCCCTCGTCGGGCCTCTTTATGATTTCTCCGGCACTTTGAAAGTTACCTTTTCCCGACATCCCCTCTGAGGAAACTTCTTTTGCAGGTCCGCCGCCTTGTCCTTTTTCCTCGGCGGCTTCCCCAGCGGATGCAGCAGGTGCTCGGCCTGCCGTTGCGCCATCTTTTTTCGCGAGAGTGAGGAGGCGCGGCCGCTCGACTTGCGCATTTCCATTTTTCTGACCTGTTTCTTCAACCTGAAGGACAATAGACGATCCTACGCTACTGGCAGCGGACGTGTCTTGTCGGAGCACTACTTCATTTTGCAGTTCGGCCTTTCTCTTCGACCGAGAGAGAAACCACAGCACCGGGCCCCAAATGGGCATCGTAAGTAGCCCCAAAATGCAACCGGCTGCGTAGGCGACCGCAATGATCGCCTCGTCAGTATCGATTTCTCCGCAGCTGAAGAACTGAGTCAACACTATGAATATCGCAACTGGTAGGCCCCAGACGCCGAGGCAGAGACAGCCGACTGTCCGGCGAAGCACGGTCGTCGAAGCGCCTTTCGGGCTCGACGTAGGCACCGCGGTCGCCGTGGAGAGAGTGCGATCAGACTGCAGGTTCTGCGGATGTTGAAGGGCAGTCCCGGCAGGGGCGGTGCTCGCATCCGAGGACAGCGCCAAGCTTCGCACCGTGTCCTTTCGAATGTCCAAAAGCTGTTGCCGGAAAGTTGAAGCAGAGGAGATGCGATTTATTGGCGCGAAAGAGAGGACCTGCTTCTTTTCGATTATCGTTTCCGTTTTTAGCGCTGGTGGCGTGGTAACTGCTGCGGGGTCGTGAGCTGCGTTTTCATCGACAGCCAGATCACGAGCCGGGTCCTCTGAAGTCCCCATTTTTAAATCCGCGAGATGCGTGTTTTCCTTTCTCTCCTTGTCCTTCGTTCTTATTTTCACCGGAAAAAAAAACACCAGTTCGTTAAAAGCGGTGACTCGAGGTTGTAGTTTCTATGAACATCTGCAGAAATCAAAAGTAGTATACTAGTAGCAGTGGCTAGTGAGTTGGGCAGCATTGATACAGCCGGCTGAGCAGGTCTGACTCCCGGTATCCCTCTCATGGTACTGCGTGCCCAAGTTCGTAGTTCCTCCAGCTCTCAACGACTCGTCTCTAGCTTTGAATCTTCCTGATGCGTCTTACCACATCACAAACGACGGAGCTAGGAACTTTAAGACGAAAGGTGAAGATGAAGCACACACCGACGAATTTTTGTCCATGCCGAATTCATCGACTGTCTGGACACAGAGACAAAGCTACGAAACAAGGAAAAAGAAAAACGAAGTAAAGAAAAATATCAAGGAACAAAAAATACCGAATGAACTTGCGGTGGCCATCCCTCATATCGAAGGCGAACATGAACATCATGTGACCACTAGACGCGGAGTTGTTGTCGATGTACAACATCTGTCTAGATGCGCCGCAACGTTGCTCGTCGCAACACTTGTTTCGCAGAGCCAAAATACAGCAGCCTATTGGCAAAATCTTCAAGAAAAATGGCGTTTTCAAAAAACTTGGGTTTGCACAACATCGACTGTATTCTATATCAATCTGTTAGGCAAAATTTAAGAAATTTGTACTGCTCCCAAGCAGCTCCGCTCCCTCGTCTTCGGGTTCGGACTTCTTGGGCCATTTACAACAACTCCATCATCAATTTTCTTATTCTGCTTCTTCTCGCAAGTACTTGTACTTCGCACCCTTGGAGGTTTAAAAATTGCGCACTCACAGCTACAGCTGCTTTCCAGCGATATTCAAAGAGCCAAGACGACGAAGTTCCTCAGGCACAGCCTTTTTCCATGGAGGGTGTTTGGTGGAAGGAATGTACGCAAAAAGTCGCTCTCGTGATACAATACTACTACCCGGGTAGTTGTTCTCGTCGCTAGGACTTTGTTGTTGTTCTGGAGGACGCCGTTGGAAAATTACTACCTTGTACTGCACCACACCGTTGCTCTCCGACCTCGACGCGTCGGACCGCTTAGATACTAAATTCCCCTTGTCATCCAGGTAACACCACGTACGCGTCGTTTTGTTCTCATTTGCGCTGCCACTGCTCTCTCTAATACAACTCCGGTTCTTATTGCCAGACGTATCGTCTGCAGCGGTCCGCACTGCAACGGCACGCGTGGGGTGGCGCGAGGATGAACCTGGTGCTGGTCGTCCAGAATAAGAACTGGTACTAGATCTGCCGGTTGTACCGCCTGTAGTTGCCCGTTTTGTCTTCATCGTCCGCTTGTCCTCGTCTGACGAGGAGGATAACTCCACCACTTCGACGCGTTGCAAAGGGCCTTGGACGGGAGCTTTGCGCACAGAAGACATCGTAGTGAACAAAGTACTAGAACCTGATCTCATTTCAGCGCCGATTTTCCGGTTATTTATCCCCCAAGAACTCGACGCTTGTTCTTCAGAGGAAGCGTTCACTCGAAGGAACGGATCCGGTTTCTTTACGCAGTTCATCTCTGCTCCGGTTGGTCTCTCCACTGCACCACCTGGGACGGCTGACGGAGACGCACCGCCGGACGGATTGTAGTTTGTTCCTTGTTTGTTCATAGTCGCGCGCTCATTGTCTTCCTGCTGGTCTAAGACATTTGTGCGCAGAAGTGGTGTTTTTACAGTCGAAAAAAATTGCCGTCCTCGTCAATTTGTATTCATGTTGAAACCGGTACGCATGTTTAAAATAGGCGAAGTAGTAGCTGCAAGTTGTACCTCACAGAAAGCATATCAGATGTTGTCAATAATGTCGTCTCGTCGCGGATTTGTGGATCGCTCGGCGTTCATGATTGTTCTGTCGCAAAATGTTGATGGCACTAGCAATTTTCATCTGCATACCGTTCCACTTTTACTTCTCACTCCCGTAGTTGTACTCGTTGTTGCAGCAGCCGCGGCTTGTCTATTTTTTTGGACGTCGATGCCGGCAAGGACATCCGCTACGTTGTGCACCGGCCCCCGGCCGCGGAACGAAGAAGCTGCAGGTGCAAGCAACGGCGTGTTCTGACGACTACTTCCGGGTCGCAGCTTTGGCGAGACACCGCCGCTACGAGGGGGCGGCCCAGCTTTTCCAGTGTTGTTGTTCGATGATTGAAGAAGTGGTGTGCCAGTCATTGTGGTTGTGTAGTTCCTGTTGGACTTTGTAGATGAGGATGTCATGGGTGGAGCAGCTGCAGTGGGCTCACGTCGCTGACTTGATGTCGCGGATCCGCTTTTGGTACTACCGCTGACGGCAGCATTACTTGAAATTCCCTGCTTCTCCGCCGCCCCGCCCACGCCCCCGCGTGGTCCGCCCACCTCTCCAGGCCGGTTTCCCGCGGCTGGCAGGTTCTTGTTCGTTTGGTCTCGCGCGTGCGGCACGTAGCCGCCGTGCTGAATTACGAGGCGCATCACAGCGGGGGTAACGTGCTCCAACTTCTCGAGGGCGCCCAGGTTGACCAGCTTTTTGTTCTGGACCTTCAAGTGCGCGTACACATCGTTGTACGCCAAGTCTATCTGCTGCAGCTGACCCGGCGAGGCGTTTCCCCGCACGAAGGCAGTCCGCACCACTTCCAGGACGTCCAAGAACGCCTCGTCGCGCCTGTGCCCGTCGAGCGACGAAATGTTGGTCTCGTCATACACTACCGCCATCGCCATCCTTTTCTCCATTTCCGCACGTTGTCGCCCGATATTGCTCAGCTTCGCCTGCGGTTGCTGGTGCCCGGTGGTCGCCTTCGGATAATACGTCTTCTTGCTTTCTCCAGCACTGGCGTCGCGACCACCAGAGCCGAGAGTAGACGCGGTCGTGGTACTATGAGTTGTCGTGCGGGACGAGGCTGCTGCGGTCGTAGGCTTGCCGGAACCCGCAGCGCCTGTAGATTTTTGCTCCGTCATCTTCGACGCTTTCGTGCCCCCGCCCTCCACGAAAGTGCGGGACGAACTCCGCGCGGCCTCAACACCCGGCTGGTTTTGCGTTGACCGGTGACCCGACAACGATACTCCCGGGCCTGTGGGGAGCGGCTGCTTGGTCGGGAACGATGATGCGGAAGAAGATGACGACGGTGCCGCTCCCGCTTTCTTGTCATGAACGTGAACCTTCGTAGTTCTGTTCGCAGGCGAAAACAAGGGTGCGTAAGCAGATTCCGTCTGAGGACGTGACTCTGCAAATTTTCGGGAAAACGAGTTCTCGGTCTGCTTTCCGGCCGACCCACGGAAGCTCCCAGGGCCGTCGTCGTCGTCGTTCTCGAGGGAAGAGGAAAACAGAAGCGATCGGGGAGTCTCGGGGACCGGTTGAGCTGCCTTCGCCTTCGCTCCTGGAGTGACTACGGCACGCGCGCCGAAGCCTGGCCGGGTGGAGCTGCTGCCAGGATTTTTTGTTTCTGGCCCAGCTCCCCGTCGGCCACGGTCATTGTTTGCTGTGGATGTTCTGCTGGTTCCAGTATCCTGCTTAAAAATAGCATTTTGAGTGTGTTTGCTGTGCTTCTTCTCTCCTTCCGCAGGGAGCTGCTGTGGCGGTGCTGCAGGGGGACTCAACAAATCGAAGTCGCCACTGTACCCGACCGCATTGCTGAGTTCCGCGTGCACTTTTATCACACAGAAACAAGCGAGCATACGAAATGGAAATCGGAAGGGCAGGCCGGCACTGACGCTGTGTAAATGCATGTGAGACACCAGAAAAAAAATCATAAAATGGTGTATAAAGTGGTGCTTCTTCTTTTTCCTCTCTGCACTACAACTGAGGCTATGTCTAATGCACAGAGTTCTCTCGAGTGTGTCAAAAAAAAGCCTGTGGCTGCTCTTCGTTTCGTCTTGTGTGTCTAGTTCTGCTTTCATGCGGAACTGGACACTACAAGACAAATATATATGCTAGCCCTTGTCTGAATGATAAGTCTGCCAAAGGCGGCAAACCGTTTTTTGTCCATACCCTTCGGCCTCTTTAAAGCTGGCACCTTCGATTTTGCCTTAGCTTTCGCCTTCGCCTGAGAACCAGCCGCCGCCTTACCTTCCTTTCTGTCCACCTTAGCCGCGGCGCCGGCAGATTGCGTTGTTTTTTTCTCACCAGGAGCATTTTTAGACCCGGCAGCATCAACATCTACTCCTTTACTTTGATCTTTACGCTGCTTCTTAGCCGCCGGTTGCTTTTCCTCTCCTCTATCATTGTTCGCCTGCGACGGAGCAGCAGTCGCCGCATGTGTGGTTGGTTGTGGGTCAGCAGAGTTTTTGCTACTGTTCTTTGCGTGAAACGCATCCACTTCCGAATCGCTCGTCAATAAAACGCTCCTGTTGTCCTCCTCCTCACTCAATCCGGATGCAGATTGATCATCTTTTTCTCCTTCTCCTGTATCATTTTTACCGTCGATGAACCTCCCCGCAGTAGAAGATGTTGCACCAGGACGACCAGGCCGGTTACTCTCGAGCTCGCTGAGATCGTTGTCGTCGCGGTCCAGATACTATCAAATGCAAACATGTCTGGGTCCTGTGGGAGATTGCAAGATTTTTCATGCATCCTTCCCATGCGTGTCTGATATTGCTGTAGAGTTTGTGATGCGTGCCCAGACTTCTTCGCTTGTCACGCAAAAACGCAGTTTATTCTGATGTACGCAACCTGGTAGCCGCGCAGAAATATTTTCCATGCATACCCGACTGCACCACATCAAAAACCTTTGCACCGTCGCCGCAAGCAGCTACGGACGCAGAAATATTTGTCATGCTTAGCTGTGCATTAGCAGTACAGAGCAACCTGCATTAATTATTCACAAACCTGCAATACAATCTTCTTCCTAGTATCTGACCAAGCCCCAAAGGTATTTGCAATGCATAGATACTCCAGACCGGCATCCGACCCCTCGTCGCTCTCGTCGAAGCACTATCGCGAGGAAAAGTCCCCCCTCGACCCCATAACCGTACACGTACTCAATGAGTATAATCTACCGTCTATGAACGCTGCTGCACTTTTGTGATGCTGATTGGCGGTGTGTCTGTCTTGCAAGAAGGTAAGGCCAGAAAGTCCGCCGCATTTTTATGTAGGCGATTTGTAAAGCTGTGGCAGTGGCTGCGCCTACGACGCGGACCTCTGCCATGCTCTAAGCACCTACACCAAAACACCCTCCTTACGTAGGCTTGCCATCTACTACCTCCAATCATTCACAACTGCACAACTGATTTGTGTGCACAAAAAATCCAGCAACAAAAGTTTCAGGGAGGAGGACGAGGCGGATGGTGGATTTTTTACTTCGGTATGCACTTCACCGTTACCATGCCCTCCGACTGAGTATCGTCCCCCAGTGCGATTTTGGTTTCGTACGACAGCCTGGCCTTGCGCTGGCGCTCGTTTTCTTTGTCCTTGGAATCGCAAAACACCCGCCATCCGTGCGTATTGTACACGCGGCTCTTGTCGCCCCAGGAACGGTAAATTAGCGGCCCGTACGGCCGCCGCATATCCTTCACCTCGTCGTCGGAATTCATATTCGATGCTGGGTTGGGCTGGTTGTGGCCTCCCACTTAGCCGGGGAAGAAGAATGAGAATGAAGCTGGTCGTGCTTCCTTTATTTACTGGAAGCTGGCCACTCGAACATAACAACTCGATATGTACAGATATCTGCTTTCGTGTAGTTTTTTGCCTAAGTAGTTCACATCGCCAGTCTAAGATCAAGCAAATTCTCAACTTTTGTAAACGAAGGGGGAAATTTACTCATGCTCCAATATTTTTTGGTGTTGTGTGGCGTCAAACGCGACAGTGTAGCTTTCATCAGTTTAACATGGTGTCGGATTGACGCTCAAGAATTAATTTGACATCAAGTCTGAAAAAAACATAAGAAGACATCGCTATTTGCTTCTCAATCTTTTTTGAAGAATCCTAGAAGATTTGTCGCTGTTATTTAACTTTGACGAGAGTCAATACTTCTCTTTGCGTGATAGATCTCAGAAGCTGCCGGGTGGCTGCAAAAAAAGACACCGTGCTTTTTTGTAACACAACATTAACATATTCGTGCATAGCGTACTACCACTGTTTTTCACTTGCTACGTGCCACGATGCGGACCATGGAACAGCATCCCATAGAGGATTGATGTATCAGCTAAATCTATACTCCACGACCATCATGCTGCAGTCGGCTACTTTTGTTCTTTTTTCCGACTTCTCCACACAAAATTGTACAAACATTTGACTTCCCCAGCAGGTGGAGGCTTTATCATTTCTATTTCAAATGAAGAAGATATACTTCGTTAAACTTTTTCAAATTCATCAAGGAAGCCCTCGTCGTGTAGCGCTTACATATCAACTCCCATCCAACTTGTATCAATCAACGCTGTATCTTCTGCGTGCCTTCACTGTAGATATGAAAAAGGACTTCGAAACAGAAACCTGATCCTGGTCTATCTGAGCATTAGAAATAAATTTGTTTACGCCTACTAGCGTGGAAGCCTCGCGCCCCTTTTCTCTCGGGCTGCTTTACTAGTTGCAACAACCACAGGAGGACTGTCATTCTTAGTTATTTTTTCTCCATCAAACTGTATTCTCAAGATAAGTACCCTGTCACTGACTCTGCCCTGTCGTGCTGTTCAAATCAACTTTCTTCTGTCTCCCACGAGCAGGTTCTCCGGTCCCTGCTATGGTTCAGACCGTGTTGATAAACCAATTTTCGTGGACGACTCTTGACAGGGACGGTGCTTTTACCTGTAGTTCGTATAACATATATCTTAAAACATTCCGTACGAGGACAGCTGCTCAGAAACAACGAAACGACATTGACAGGCATCGGATGCTGATGATGATGCTGACGATAGACGATCAAGAACATCAACAAAAAACAACAGGGCCACCAGCAATACTATACTCCTTTGCTCTTCAACATCTGGAGCTTCTTGTAACGACTGGCACGCATGTCGATTTTGCTCGCTGCGATTAGTGTGGCTTTCGGCGACGTCCTGTTCAGAGCGTCTGTCGATTCCGTCTTCCCCGGCCCTGAAATTACTATGTCGCTGCTGCTCATCAGTTCCTTAGTACCGCGGAATGAATAGACTGGATCTCGAATAATCTCCCCCGAGATCATCGCCTTATCCTCCTGCGCTCGTCCCGTCTTCCCAGTGAGAAGCGGCTCAACGTCAACAGCTTCTTCATCCTCAATAAACTGATCCTCTGGTCCTGCACTGGCAGCGGAGGACGAACACGACGAGCGGTCCTGGTCGCAACTACCGTGGAGATCTGCAACGGCATAGAAGGCGACGATGAAAGACAACAACAAAATGCACGCCACTAGGAGGTGGGCCCACTCCACGGGGAGCCAGATGATGTTCTCCGGCGCAGTTATCGAGGTGTTTCCTTCTTCTACGGCTTGCTTCGTGCTGGTGGCCATCGACGTGGACAGAGGGTTCGTAGATGTTGTTAAGGCGGCTATCATAGCAGATGTTGCGGTAGAGCTCACGTTCGTCGGTGTTCTCGTGGAATCTTGCAGTGGAGGACCAAGAAGTCCTACACGACCCATCGCGGCATCCATCAGACCCGCAGCGACCATGGTGGCTCGTGGCACGAACGTAGAAAAGAAACCGGTGGAGAACCGCTGCAGGACAATGTACTATGGCGGCAGAACAATCTTCCCCTACCCGCCTATTAGCCCCTCATACTCAGTCTGCCTCTGCAGCTCCGTGCCGCCATATTTTCTGACACGCAGAGAAGTCAGAAGATCATCGTGTCGCAGAAAGATAGCCAAATTTGTGATGATCACAGCAACTCCGGGACTTCTATTAGCCATCAATCACTAAAAGCCCACCATCCATGATACCACTTTCAGTTATGTATCAGTATGCTGTATTAACGACTATACTACGTCTGTATCTGTTACCGCATATGTACTGAACTTCCCACACAAATGCACCCGTTTTCTTGAAAACTCTTTTCGAAAAAAATGACCGAATCTTTGCGAGCGGTTCGGTCGTTCCAGTACAGTTATCTCCTTTGCTGGAAACTACTTGCATCCAACTGATCGTACCTTGCCCGGACTGAAGCACGTTCTGACACCTCTCAGAGCCTGGATTTTGTTTTTCCAAGATGAAAACCAAAGAAAAAATAACATGAAACACAACGAACAAGCCACTTCTGTGGGGAAGGGAGTTGCGCGACGCAACTAGCAGCTTGCACTGAAGACCGCGCACGACACATGACTGCTAGTGTACGGTTGTCGCTTCAGAAAGTTTTGTTTTTGCTTTCTAGTAGTACTAGCTCAGAAATTTACAAGCGGTTACAACACGACCTTTTATTTACATTGATTTTGTTGAATGATATTAATCACAACTCCGCGTTTCTGTGCCGTGAACTTTTCCGTTAAATCACAAAGCGAACTATAGGTCTAGGGGTGAGGCATTTTATGTGTCCTCGAGTTCTGCGGATACTTAGACGCGCCACGATCGTTCACACCTGCGCGGACAGTTCTTTTATTTCGGGAAAATGACACAGGTGGCTGGGAGCTTAACACTTTCCATCATTTTCTCATCAGGATTCCTTAGTCACAATTGACACAAAACTTGTAGTTCCTTTCCCGCCTAGTAACTCTTCTGAGTCGTGCGACTTAGGAGACCGAGCACCAAAAAATAAGCTCTGCGAGGACTATCCTCATTCAGTACACTTTAGAGCATTTCATTGTTTTCTTCGTCCGAAGACTTCATACTGTAGTTTGTTGTGGTACACAAACAGGAGAGCAGCTTCCGAAACCTAACAAATACGCTCTACTGCTAGAGCAATGGTTTCTTGTTCCTCTAGTCTCGCGGGTGCAGGTCCCACCGTTTCTCAGCGAATTGTGTCGCGCTTGCACTATTGATCTTTTCGATCATCTTCTTGAGTTCCTCATGTTCTTCCTGCTTTTCCGCAACCGCTTTGGACATTTTTCTCTTTTTCGTCGCCGGCTCCTTGGGTCCCGCGGCAGCGGGCTCGTCCCTCGCATTGTGCTGCTCGCCGGACACGCCTACATTTGTATCATCTTCTTTTTTCTCCGGTCCTTCTGCTGCCGAAACTTCTTTAGCCGCTGAGGAGCTCGAGCCCCCCGCCGCGTCCTCGATTGCCGCTGCTGGGGCCGCCGCCGCGTCATCTTCACACAGCTTCTGGTACTCTTCCTGGAGCAGCTGTTTTGTCTGGTATCCTTTGCGCGGCGGAGTGTGCTCCATGGCCTTCAAAGCCTGGCCGCCGGCGCGCTCGAAGCCTTTGACGTAGTGCATGCTGCCCGTGCTGGACTTTCGGTAGTGCCCCTTCACGGAGGCAATGTTGTCTCTTGTGATCTCGTACGTGTGCTTCTGGCATCCGTCTTTGCCGCAGGTCTTCTTGCCAGGGAGCACAAAATTCCAGCATTTCGCCCTGATTTGGAATATATTCAAAAAAGTAGATAAATATATCTATCTCCCTTCAGAATCATACTCAAGCAGTATGATTTTTTTTGCGCACCTTGTGTGTTGTTGCCCCGTTTTCAAGAAACGCTACCAACGCCCTGCACGAAAACAGCGTGTGCGCAACTTCTTGGCGTACAAGAACTATTCGTGCGCTCACAGTCATACATTTATTGCACTTTGGCACTTATTGTTACTTATTACTCGTCACCCCGAGGTAGGTATGTATCTACACAACTGGGTCGTAGCTAATACCGTGAGCGGTGGCGCGTCGTGCTGTGGCAGTCAAAGAAGGCAATTCCGCCAAGCCAGCGGTAAGCACAAGCGAGTAAGCGCGCGGCGCCACAGCATGCGGCAGGGTCAACAGGGCGCATAAGAATGCAAATGCACTCAAGCAGGGGCACCATCTGAAACGAGAGGTACAGAAATGCACTACCACAGTAGATAGCAGCGACTTAAGAAAATCCGACATGTTGATGTAAAATTGCATCCTTCGCACTCAAAAAAAGAAGATAACGTCTCGCATGATAGAAAGATGCTATGACTATACTTCGAACAGTAGTGCATCTTGTCTGCCTCGTCTATTTCTGCTTTAGCAACCGCTGGCTCAGCAATTGCAGCCTGTTCCAATGCGTCTTTGATCTTGACAAGCGGTTTTGGCTCCTCAACATCCTCCACTTCTGCTAGCAGATCCTGTTCAGCATCGTCATTTTTTTCTGGCGTCTTCTTCTTCCCGAGAATCGTCTCAACCTCGGTGTCGTTTTTTGGCTTCACCGGAGAAACATACGGCTCCTCAATGAAAAACTTTTTCACTGGAGATTGTGAAGACGGCATTTTTGCTTTTTGGTAATCCTGGACTGCAACTCGCTGTCGTTTGTTTCTTTTTCGTGGAGTCGTTCACGGTTTTATCGACAGCGGACGACAATGATATCGTAGATGGATACTGGTGGTTGCGACGCTTTCATTCAAGTCATCGTTAATTATATTGTTTTGATCATTTTTCTGCTACTTCGTCAAAGTATCGGCCTAAAAAATTGGGGAAAAAAAGGAATCGAAAAGAACTACGACTTGCATCTTTGCGTAGACTGCAACTCCAAGGTCATCTTCCTGGGAAAAAACTTCGACAGCTCACCACTTTGAAGCGAGATTTTGTTTCTGAACTCTTTCATCTCTTTGTCACGAGGACGAGCGAGAACCTCCGATGAACGTGGATGAACCATATAGGGGACCACAAAAACAAAATGCGCAGAACATTCATCCATACTTCTTTCGCAACTAGATGAGCTTCATTCAGAATTCAGACTCCCAACTCAGCTCTAGTACCGCTCGCGGCAATGAATCAGAACAACCAGAAGCGTTCTCCTACCAACCTCCCACACGCGTTGCAGCTTCTCAAAACCACAAGGCGCCTAGCAGTAGTACTGATCCTCGAATCAATATACTAACCTCAGCGTCGGGCTTGGGTTGGGTTCAGCTGCAGTTCCGGTCGAATAGAGTACTATCCTGAACTAATTCTTTCGCTGTAGGACTACGACAGTATGGACGATTCTGCGACTCTGACTCGATGTGTTCATGAAATAAAATCTACCGTTTGCGCTTGGACTAGAGGAAATAAATCTTAGTAAGTGCTTGCGATATTACGCTCGTGCACATTGGTTCTACGGGTCCTTGACTTGCGCTGCTCAGGCCCCTCCGAGGACTGGTGGACTGCAAGTAGTTTCTGCGTGCACCCCATCCGAATAGAGCGCTCCGCTGCATTTTTCCAGAAGTTCGCGTTTTTTTTCCTTTGGCGCATCGTCCCCGAGCACACTCACCATATTCCAGACGAGACTTTGCCCGTCGATCTCCCAAAGTGTAGTTCTTTTGCTGGACAACTTGGAGGTCCCCCTGCCGTTGTCCTCTTTTTCATCCCGCGCTGCGGCAATCCGGCCAAGTTCGTGCTCAAAGTAGTTTTTCTTCCCTAGAATGCAAGTGACGTCGATCGTTCGGAAGAACGGCTCGTAGCAGCGGCGCCGCTCCAGCCCGCACACGCTCGGCTGGGCGAGCACCACGGAGGAGGGGCGGTAACCGCACACCCGCATGGTCTGGCAGAGACTGTGCGTGACCTCTTCCACCGCGGGATGGCCAAAAATAGCGTTGCGACTGAGCGCCGGGTCACTGAGCGCCTCCGGTGGGGGCACCGCGGTATGAAATGTAAAAATGTCTGGGTCTGGAACAATGCAACTTGTGATGCTGCGTCTGCATTATCCAAAAATCTGTATTGCATGAACAGCAAAATAGGTCTCGTTTTGGCCACGGCGAGACGGCATTTCTCATGCGGTATAGGCATCAGAAAGCCCTCACAAGATCTGTGATGCTAGGGCATGCATCGCAGACATCAGGAGTCACGCAAAATGTGCATGACAAACCTTGCATCTTTCCAGACCCAGACATTTTTGCATTTGGTACGCGGCGTTCCAAAACAACCGGATGGGGTGCTTGGTCAAATATCCTGAGTAAAAACGTACCCACACCAGAGTCAAGATGGGGAATCGGCTAGACAAATCCACAAGTTTTGGCTGTTTTGCATGACAAATTTGGATTCGTAGTGTAGTGCTGTTTGAGCTAGCTCAGCAGCATCACAGATCTAGCGCACCATGCTGATTGGAGCATGACAAATTGCAAAACACGACTAGAAAATGCTTCTCATGGAGCTCCGCATGAGAAACATTTTCAGCATGTAGATTTGCATTACAACTCTGGTGTGGGTACGTTTTTACTCAGGATATCAAAACCTCGTTGCTCATCTCCACCTTCCCGCCCTCGCTGCAGCCACGAATCACCAGGGTAGGCTGCAGCCCGCCGTTGAGGTCGACAGCCACCGACCAGTACACGTTCTCCCGCTTCTTCAGATGGGCGGCCTCCTTCAATACGGCGGATTTGGCGTCCTGGAAATTCTTCACCGTCTGCAAGTAAGATTCTGCCTGCTTCAAGTGAGTCCGAACCGTCGCCCGGGTCTCTTCGCTTTCAACATCTACTTCTACTCCTTCACTTTCATCATCATGATCCTCGTCAGTCTGCTTCATCTTCGTGACCAGTGCCTTCTGCAATTTGGGCAGCAGCTTCCCCCCGAACAGTTGACGAAAGGCGAAGGTTTGCGTCGGCGTCTCTTTATTCGGCTCCGGCTTCCATCGCTCTTTCTCGACGATTTCCCGAAAAAACGCACCGTCCTCGCCTTCCAAGAGGAGCGGCAAGCGCATCTCGATGCGAAACCAGTTCGCGCACCAGTTCTTGACCGGAACCTCCTCGTACTTGCCACGCGCGTTGGCCGGCTTGTATCCCTCATACCGCACCCGAGAGATGCGCAGCTTGTCGGCCAGGATGCGGTGGAACTCGATCAGGTCCGTGTCCGACGGTTTCTTGTTTGTTCCCGAATCTTCTACTTCGGCCTCTGGAAAGAACTCCAGAACCACCTCGAAGGGGCGGCGCGGCCCGGCGGAGCTGTTCGTGCTGTGGAACGGGTCGAATATGGCACCGAGAAACACGGCCAGGAGGTCCTGAATCGTGATCCCTTTCTCCCTCTCGATCCTCTTAAATTGCAGCACCACCAGCCGGGGGTCCTCCAGGCTTAGCTTGCCGAGCACGAACAGGAAGTCGCCGCTGAACCCGACCACCCAGCCTGCCTCGTCCATCAACTCTGCGTGCTCTCCGAGTTCCTGCGGAAGCTCCCGTTTGCACGCGTCGACCCAAAACTGGAGAACCGAGTCCTGGTGCAGCTTCGTATCGATGGTGCTGGTGGTCGTCTCGTCCCTTGTAGCAGAGCTCGATGTAGAAGTTTTTGTTGCCGTCGATGCGCCTGCTGTGGCGATCAATTTTTTTTCCGTTGCAGCCGCTGCCGAATCAACACCCGTCCTGTCGGTCGCCGTTGTAGTTGCAGTTCTTGCTGTTGCCGCTTCTTGGCTATTGACACTTCTTCGCAATTGCTCTTGATACACTTCCTGCCAGCTGCGCGATCCGAGCTGAAACGTCCAGAACCAGGATGGGGTGGTAGCAGTCGTTCCGCCATGCTGTGACAACTTCAGCTGCACAGTTTTCCAAGCAGCACCAGAGGTGCTCGCCGCAGGAGAGGTCGACATTTTTGTGAAATAAAAATGGTAAAGCTAAACTCTTGTTGTACTTCGCTTTTTTTTCGAAATGTACTCTTAATACTTTGCCCTTGTTTATTCTTTCCTTTCTTATCCTTGTGTCCTGTTATAATTTGCCGATTCTGTGATAACTTTACCCTAAGCTGTATCCAGGCAATCTTTTTTTCAGATATCAACATAACGAACTACTATGTAGTAGACAGCCTCAGATCTGAAAGCGGATTGATCCTTTTCCATGTCGCTCAACATCTTTATATTGAAAACTAAGGACCGTTTTGCGTGTCGGATCGATCTACGTGCCGTGCTATGATCGTCGTGGATATTTCCAAAACCATGGAAGTGAGCCTAGGACCATGATCTTCCACAATGTAGTTACTGCTATTTTTCTGACACCCAGATCCACCGAGACGTCACTTCTCAAGATTTAGGTGTCTAGATCTTGCTTCGGAATTCCAGACTTGAAACGTGGCGCACTCCATTTCATCTGTCTTGATTCGGCTGGCTCAGCTGCAAGAGACTCAAGAGACCGCCAGGCGCTGAACGGCGTCATCGCTCAACCTCCTGACGCGCCTGAATCCTCCACGCGAGGAAGCTCGCGAACAAATGACGCAAAATTCTTCATGTGAACAACGTCAGTTTTATGTAGGAAAAAGCTCTTCTTGTGAGTTCTAACCACATCCACATTGCCGTGGCGTTGTAGATAATGTTGCTTTATTGCAATTGTCCATCATGGAGTGTCGTTTTCATCATTCTTGGAACTGCAACGGCGTATGATGTGCGTCTTGTGTGCTCAGTTTCATGTTGCACACAGCAAAATGTCTTGAGGATTTTGGATACATTGATTGAAGACTTGGAGCCAGGAAGATTTCCAACTTGTACGAAATGAGCGAGGAGGAAGACGCAAAAGTTAAAATTTCGAATTCTAGAACAACCGCAAAATATTCTACATGAAATCTTCATGATGCTCTTGTCCTTCACAAAACTGTGTCTTGCACCGACAAAGTACTTGGCCACTTGTCGGCGACCACAACACCGTGCAGGCGCTGCGCTTACAGAACCGCTTGCACTTCGTAGAGCAATACGCTTCTTGTACGCGGGGGACGTGACGCGTTCCTCGGTTACCTGGGGAGCTCCGTCGTCATTTTTACTTTCGGCAGGCGCGAGGTGCTTTAGCACTCCTGCGCCCGACAACGCACCCCGACCTCCTCGAGCCGGCGTCGGTGTTTGTGCCAGCAACAGCGGAGGCAATTTCTTCCGTGGTGAAGGGCTCAGTGACGTGCTCATAATGTTGTCGTTTTCACCGGCAACAAAAATCGGTAATGACCACCCGTTTCCTTGTGCTCCTCAAACAGGTAACTGATGGTGCCGGCTTGCAAAAGTGGTAACGGAAAGCACGAAAGAGTAACAGACGCGGCCCTGCATGAACCAAGTGCAAGGACAAGCAACGGTTTGGAACAACCGCAACGGCCTTTCCGATGGCATCGTCTGATTGTAACGGCCGGTCGAGCAAGCCGAAGCAAGCGTGCCTCGACGAGGCGGCACTGAATTGAACTTTACGCTCAACCAATCAGGGCATTTCGGGGCATTCGCATGCCGTCCACACTGTCATTACAACAGCCAAAATACATACAGGAAAAACCTTCCCTCGGTCGCACACAACTCAAGTAAACTTTCCTCCCTCTGAAAAAAGGCTCTAGGGCGCTCGTGAAATTCGAACACTTTGGAGCACCATTCAGTCAATGGCTTCTTCCCCCTGAAAGCACCCCAAACTGATATGGCGAGCCTGTATTGCCAGTTCAAGGACAAATAAACGTAAAGCTTAGCGCTAGGCTCGAACATGTCGGGAAAAATCCATTTTGGATGTGGTTTTTGATTCGCTTCAGTTGTTGATGTTTCTGTTTGAACCGAGTAGCTACCAGCGTTAGCACATGAAAAGTTTCTTCGAAAACAAATCTTAGAATTGTCGTCTGATGGAAAGTATTAGAGTTCTTCAGGTCGCAGTTGTTGCTCTTCAATCAGAGGTCAATGCCCTCGATGCGGAGCGTTTGGCCGTCCGAGAGCTCGGCTTCGACGGATTTCCCGTCCTGTCCACCACGTTTGACTAGAACGTGGTAGCTGGCGTCGAAGTTGACGGTTTTCTGGAAAACCTTCCGGCTGACCGGATTTCTGCCCTGAAAGGAGACCGAGGAGCCCGGATCCAGGCCCGTTTCCAGCAGGAACTTCGAGCTGTCCTGCGTCACCTTCACGCTGCAGTGCTCAAAGCACTCGTTTTTGATCTCCAGGTGGTTCGCGATCTTTTGGTCCTCGATGGTCCGGTACACCACCTGCACCGTCGATTCCACGCACACAAACGAAATCACCTGACCCGGCTCGAGCGCTGCGTCGCCGATGGCTTTCCCCTTGTTCTCGAACGTGGTCCCATAGTGGAAAAACCCGCGGACGTAGCGCGAAATCTCGGCGGCGGGGCCCCCGCCGACCGCGGTCTTGGACTTGTCAGCGGACACCACAACTTCTGGCTTGCGTTTTACCGACAAAAAATCGTCGTCCTCGCTGCTGTCCTCTGGCTCCGGCTCGAGCGGGACTTTGACCATATCTCCCGCGGCCACGAGCACAAAATGCTCGCGCGCTTTCTCCTTGCGCTTCATGTTTTTGTCCAGAAAGTTGCCAACCGGGTGCCGGCGCAGCGCCTTCTGCATCAGCCCCGACGCCTTCTCCGCTTCCTCGGCGGTGAGCAAAGAGACCACCAGACTTTTGCTCGTCGCGTTGTGGATCAAACAGCAGGTCTCGCGGACGCCCGGCGCTCCTCCCGCGGGTGGAGGTCGAACTGGCACGATTTCCTTGCTAGAAGCGGGCCCGGCGCTAGATGGTGCAGCACCACCAGAACTGGTTACTAGAGAACTACTAGCGCTCTTCTCCTCGCGATCCTCGTCCTGAAAGCTGGGCTCCCAATCCAGAATGAATTCGTCGTACGCTTTCAGCGAGGGATGCGTGTTGAAGCGCTGGAAGATCTTCGCCAACGGTTCCGTCCGCGGGTGCTCGACGACCACGTGGCGGCCCGCGTGGTCGGTCTCCGCCAGCATCACGACACTCGAGACCAACCACACTTCCATCGCACCGGGTAGTGGGCAGACGGACATCGCGAGTAGCGCCATGCCCATCGACGTGATTTTGTCCACGGCCCCGACCTCGTGGAACGTGCGCAGCTTGCTCTGGTCGTTCCCGCTTTCCAGCAGCGACCGCGTGGACTCCAGACGCAGTTTCGTGTGTCGGACCTGCTGTTCCGCCTTGACCCGCAGCTCCTCGTGGTCTTTCAGCAACTGCACGTAGCGCTGCACGTTCAGACGCGGGACCTTCTCTTTCGACGAAGGTGGATCTAGCGCCGCGCCGCCCGCGGTGACGTTGGCTTTGGCGAGCGCGACCCCGAGGTAGTGTTTTGCGTACACGTCCAAATCTTGCAACAAGATCTTCCGACTTTGCGGTAACAGTTCCTCCAGCTCCATCTGAAACTTGTCGTGCCACTTCTGGCGCTGCGTGCCCAGCTCGGAAATCACTTTCTGCAACCCGCTCGGCAGGGTTCCTACTTCTTGGAAGTTCGCCTGGCCCTCGGACCCGTCGGCGCGGGCGACCGATGCGTTGGCCTTCGCGAGCGCCTCGTTGATTTCGCTCCAAACGGGCAGCATCTTGGTTTCCCACAGGTTCTCCAGCCAATAGTGGGATTCGTAAAGCAAGCCAATCAAGTCGAAGGGGCAAATGTTACTAGACGTCGTGACGGAAATGGCCGTGGGCGTGGTCATGTGAATTTTCGGGGCCTGTTTCTTCTGCAACGCCTCTATCATGTTTGCGCAGTTGTGCGGCCACGCAGCGGACTGCATGTTGATGGTGCGCTGCTCCAATCGCTCCACCTCCCCGATCAGCTGCTCCAGCATGATGAGCGCCGGGTTCGGCAGCGCGCCGGCCGAATGCGTTGGCCCCGTCGGCATCAGACTCGCGCTTGCCCGTCCGGCAGGTCGGTCGTCCGTTTTAGCGACCGCAGGAGATGACACCGCTACCACTGCAACTCCGGAGGCCGCAGTCGCGCTGCTCCTGGGCAAAACCGACAGCAACTGCTCTAAGTGACTCTTCAATTGGCGCAGCAGCGTGGTGATTTCCCGGTCGATAAGTTTGTAGGACACCGCGCGGTGCGGCAGAATCTCGATCTCGATGTCGGTGGAGCACTGTCCCATCTCGTTCTGCGCCAAAATCGAAAACGCGAGCGTCTCTTCCCTCCTGTCCGCGATTTGCGGCACGATCCCACCGATCGCCCCGGTCACCGGGTTGAAGTTCAGCCCCTTTGGCAGCGAGGCGCCCTTGTCGATCAGTTGGAATTCCAGCACTGCCGGGCCGCTCGGGTTGGCCACGTTTGGCTCCACCTTCGCGGCGCCTGTCTCCGCCAATTGACCGCAAATGAACTGCATGACCGGCACGCGCCAGATGGGCGAAAGCCGCGTGATGCTCGGGTAGGCGATACTGGTCGGCGGCTCCGGCTGCGGCACGTAAATCGCGAAACTCTCCTTCGCAGTCGCCTTGCCCCACAGCGTGCTGCAAACCAGCGTGACCGTCTGCTTTTTGAACTGCCGGCGGGGGACGCCGTAGATCAATCCGTAGAATCGGTCGAAGGACACACCCTCCGGGAGACTACCTTGCAGCTCGAACCGCGGGCGCAGCGACGTGTCGTGGAACAGATTGTATTCGGCATTGTCGAAGTCCAGATACTCCGGGTAGCCCGGCTCCGTGAGCTGAGACGTGACGAAGGGCTGCAGCATGCGCATTTCCTTACTCCGGGAGCGGTCGTGGAGCGTAGGTTTCTTGTTCTCCGTAATATTGTAGAAGAAGTACCGCGACCCCTCGGTGGCTTCGCGCTCGGTGTTAAAGATGCGCGGTTCGGACACCAGCAGTCGGCTGCCGACCGAAAACTGGCCGGAGGCGAGGCGCTCCTTGTCCTCCTCGCGGAAACACACCTTCGCAAAGGGGCTGCGACCCACAATTTCGAATTCCACCGCGCACTGAGACTCGCCGAACCGGTTGGACGCGATGATGGTCAGCGACGTTTTTGACTTCCAATGGTTGCGCGGCTCCGCAAACCCGAGGTGTCCGCCAATCGAGCCCGTGTAGGGGTCGAAAAACAGACCCGGCGCGAGGATGCTACTGTTAGAGGATAGCGATGCTGTCGTTTGACTCGGCAGGTAGTTGCCGGTCTTCTCGTCGCCACCGAGCCGAAACCGGATCTCCCCGGACCCGGATGTGTCGTAGGGCTGCTGAAAGATAGCCGTGCCGGTGTTGTTGATAGAGCCGAGCGTGAACTGAAATCGCGGCGCGTTGAAAAACGCAGAAAAAACTTTTGTGCGGTACACGAACGCCGGCGGCGCAGACCCCTTCGGGATGTTGAGAACGAAACTGTAGCTCGCCTGTCCCCACCGGTTATTGACCGTTACCGTGTACTTGCGCGCAGCAACGCTGGACTTCGCGACGCCGAGAATCGAGCCGTTTTGTTGGCTAAAAACCAGCCCCGCAGGGAGGTTTGACGGCTGCAATGAGTAGGTCAAAAGCGCGGAACTCGTGGTGGACGACGCCGAGCTGGCGTGGAAGCTGCTCAGCTTCGTGTCTGGCGGCCAGAGCTTGACCGGGTGCCCAATGCGGAAGTTGAAGGTCACGTCGCCCTTTTTGCTGCTGTCGGGAAGAGTCACGACGTCGATGTGCGGGTCTTGCCACAAGAGAGCACGTGCGGCCGCGGTCTCCACGATTGTGTCCTGACCCCCCGATCCTCGGGCGGACTCTGGTACCACGGGCCGTCCGCCGGTGAGGCTGGCCTGCCGCATTTCCTTCATGGCCGACGCGGATTTGCGGCCAGTCGCGGTCGTTCCCGTCGCCACGGATGTGGCTTCGGTAGCAAGCGAGTCGGTCGGTGAACTGGTCGTTGCGCCACCGTCCGCGGTTTCACCTTCAGACAGAGGCACCCGCTCGCCTTCCGCTGTGGGATCGCGGCCGGCTGCGATCATCATCTGGAAATCGGGATCCAGCGGACAAAGCGTATCCGCTTCTACGGCTCCGACGTGCGCGTCCGGCGCGATCGGCGTCTCGAGAGACAGGTCGGGTGATGCACCTTGATCTGCCGCGTAACAAGTGCCGTCCGGTGGGTCGTCCGCACTAGCGCCTGATCCTTCGCGAGCGGGTTGCCGGATGGGGCCGGCATGCCTCACTGCTCTCTCGGTTTCGCGACGCAAAGTTGCCTCGTGGGGCCTCAGCGACACGGTGGCGGCCTTCTCGATCACGTGAGTGCCCAATCGGATGTAGTTCAGCACGCGCGGCACGTGACGTGGGTACAGCTCCAACTTCACCTCGCAATCGCACTCGCCAAAGCTGTTTTTGATGCTCTTGCTTGCAGTGGAACCGCTGAAGATACCGCTTTCTGCCAAGTTTCCCTTGTAGTTGCCGTCGCCCGCGTGAAAGGTCACTTTGAACGTTAACGCCACCATACCAGCCGCAGCGGCCGCACCGCCGGCCGATGCTGCGGCCGGATTGCCCGCCGCGCCCGCTGCGCTCTCCACTCGACTCAACAGCGCAGGAGAAGCGACGAGGAAGCCGACGATGCGCCCCGTGCGGTGGTCGAAGCTGAGCCCAAGGGCATTCAGGTCCGCCTCCTTGTCAATGCTGAAGAAGCTGCCGTCGTGCAGCACCGAGGCATCCACACAGTGCGCCCCTGTTTGCTCGAAGAGCTGCGTGTCCGCCAGTCCGGACGCGTTGCGGTAGAGACGCGGATCGAAGAAGTCCATCTCCATGCCCAGGATTTTTGGTCGCTGGTAGCGTCGTAACCGCATCAAGCTGTCGGGCGTCGGGGCACCGATTGCGCTGTCGCCGCCTTTCAGCGGCGTGTTCAGAACTGCGGCCGCGGGCCCGCCCGACACAAAGTCTTCGAAGTCCAGCTGCGGGCGTGATTGCGAAGTGGGCGTGTCCGCGTTGGTCGGCGTGCGTGCGCGAGAAGGCCGCTCGCTTTTTGCTAGCTGTCTGAGATTTTCCTTCTCCTCGCTCTCCTGGTCGAGACGACGCATCGCCTCGGCATAAAAATCGGTGTCGGAAACGAAGAGCCGTTGTTGGACCTGGTGCCGGTACAGCACGTCCGGAAGCCGATATTTCATAACCGGCGCCCCCGTGTCCACGAACGACCCCACGAGCGCCGGAAACCGATACGTCGTCGCAGACTTCCAGTAGGTCGGCTTCTCATGCCCCCGCGCCGATTCGTACTCGAGGTCTGTTGGCGGCGCCGGTTGCGCGCAGGACAGCGTAACGCCCGGAGCGGTTTCCGCAACCGGTTGTCCATCGGGTTTTAGCTCTTTGTGGAAGCCCTTGACGACAAACGTGGTGTCCTTGAAGGGCTCTTTCGCCGCCCCAAAGATGCAGCCAGTCTGCTCGTCCAATTCTAAACCCCGCGGGAGCGCTGGGGTCACAGTGTAGGAGTCGCAACGAAACTGCATGTAGCCAAACTGCTTGGTGAAAGACAAACTGCCTTGAGTCTGCCGCACTGCTTTCGAATCCACCGTACTGCGGGAATTTCCAAGCAGATCGCCAGTATTTTTGTCGTTCGTCCGCAAGGAAACCGAGCCGTCTTCGGACCCCGCACCAGCGGGCGCGACGGCGCCATCGAGATGTGGATCAGCCGCCACACTATTTCCTGTACTCTCCTTCGACCGCCCAAATGCGTGGTCTCGACGTACCTCACTCCCGTGGTGCTGCTGCTGTTGCTGGGCAGCGGCGGCCTGGAGCAACTTCAGTATCCATTTCCGGTGGAAAGACCGGCCGCCGATGGAGAGGAAACTTTCAGGAGGGGGCTCTTTCACTTTGTTTCGGATAATCGAATGCATCACTTCTGCGTCGGACATGCTCCGCAGCATCACCGCCAGCTGTCCAATCGACGAGTAGCGCGGTTGCTGCTTCGATGCCCGCGACTTGCTTCCCGTCCCGCTGCTGCTCCGATCCTGGTCCCCGAAGACGGGAGACGAGGCCACGCTGCTACCGCCCCCCGCAGTGGATTTCGACCGCGACGCGCGCCCGGCCGACACGGACGCACTACCCGATGGGCTCCGCTGTGGCGGAAGGTCGAGTTGCAGATTCACCGCAGCCTCGGCCGAAATGTCCTGCCCGCCGGCAGTCAGCGGGGACGGCAGCGGCGGCACGAAGCGGTCGTCGGCTTCCCGCTTCGCGCTGTAGGTGGATTGCGGCAAAGCCAGCGCAACGGCCTCGTTCAGTTGCAATTTTTTGTTTTGCTGCTTCGCGTTCGCCAGAGACAGACCGTCCGGCTTCTCGCCGCGCTTGATGTGGATCTCGATCGTGACGTCCACGTTCTTCTTCGTGAAGTTGCGCGCCTCGATGGTCAACGGGATCGCGCGGTTCAGGTACTTCTCGGCAAGCAGGTACGGCACGTAGCCACTGATGTGCCCCACGTCTGGGTCCAAGCGCAACCCGGGCGGCAGATTGTCCGCCGTGTCCGCGCTGAGCGCAAAGCGAATCCGGCGCCGGTTGCTGCGCCCGATGCCCTCGCGCGTGGTCTCCAAGTGCTGTTGCAGCTCCTCGGAAAAGAAGTGGTGGCGCTCCTCGAGCTGTGGTACGTCGGTGGACACCGCTTCCCCCGTGCTGAAGTTGAAGATCGGCACCTTTACGAACGTCGTGTACCCGTGTGGGTTCTTGAACTTCAAGCTCTTTGGAATCTTGATGGCGTCGAGGGTCAGCCGCAGCTTCGTGCTGGACTTCCCGAATTTGTTGGCGGCCGTTATGGTGTACTCGCGGTCCACACCCTCCAAGAAGAGCTGTGCCACGTTCTCGTCGGTGGCGGGAAGGAGATTCTTCGTGTTGGCTCCCCCGCCGAACCAACCCTGCTTTGCCGCGGACGGAAAGTGAATTTGCTCGCCCGGGCCGCCGGCGCCAGGCACGCCGTAAATGGTGCCCGACTTGTCATCGAAGCGTAAGCCAAAAGGCAGCTCGCTCGGTGAGATGCTGAACTGCAAGGGCGCTGAGTGGCTCACACGATGCCCGACTCCTTGGCACCGGGGCGGCTGCGATGTAAAAAACTTTAGCCAGACTCCAGCGTAGTGCGGACTTGCGTACCGCAGGTTGTGTGGCTTCTCGATCAGACTTACTCTGACCGTGACGGGATCCAGCACAACTCGCTTGTAGAAGCGGTCGATGTCTCTCCTCGATAGTGAAACAGTGGACCACACAGTGTCATCTGCTCCTCCACTTTCGCTGTTCCTTTTCACCGCTTGCTGCGCCCCGTCCCACACGCAGCCGTAGCCCATCCAGTCGCTGACCCCGCGAGCATTCCAAGTGGGAATCAGACCGGAGATTTCAAAGGTGTATTCGAGAAAGTCCTTGCTTTCCGGCCCATTCTCGGCGCCGTGCTCGCTGTGAAGCATGAAGGACACAAACTCCGCGGTTCGCGTGTCAAACATCAGGCCGGGAGGGAGTTTCTGCCCCGGCATCAGTTCGTACCGAACCACGCGCAAGGCACTGTGCGGGTCCCGTCCGCCCGGCATCATGAGCTTCGGCTTCTTGCTTTGTCCCCGCTCTCCGACGCAAAACTGCAAATTTTGCCCAATCGGGTACTCGAGTCGCAGCCGGCTGCAAGTGGGCTCGATGAACACGAGCCGCAGAATCATCTCGCTGCTTCCGAACGCATTCTTTGCACGCACGGTGTACTCCTGATACCGTGGGCTCGTTTCGGTCATCACCGGGATGCCGAAAATTACCCCGTTGCCGCCGTCGAACACCAAACCCTCGGGCAAAGTCGTCGGCTGAATCGAAAATTCCACATTCGCCAAATCCGGGCGTTCGCCGTATCCCTCAGCGCTGCGCTCGAGCGCTAGCAAGGCTGCGCCGGCGCTCCCAGGTGTTCGCTGTTGTTCTAGTCCGGACCCGAGCGGTGCGAGAAATATGTTCGCACCCACCAAAAGCCTGTATTCGAATCGGACCGCCCCGCCTTGGCTTTGCCCGGCCGACGTTGACATCAAACTACCGATCGCGCTGCCTTGCTGCAATTGGATCGCCTTGCACGCCGGATACCGCACGGGCGCCGGGGCTGGGCGGGGAAGAATCTTGATTTCCACGTCGATGGTCTGCTTTTCTACCACAATCCGCTGCTGCCGCGCCGCGTGATCTCGGGCCGAGGACCCGGAGCCCCAGGTGTCTGGTTCCCCGTGCGACGCGGTGGAAGCGAACGCAATGCTGCTCGCCGTAATCTGGAAGCGCGCCCCGGTGGTACGGGCGGTTCTCGCGCTCAAAGGAATCATGCCGCCAATGTTCCCCGTGGTGCAGTCGAAACTGAGGCAGAGCTCCTCGAGTGTGTCGTACCGGTCGATATCGTACAGCACATCCCGTCCCTGCTGCAGGCCCTCCACCACAATCGGCCCCGTGGACGAGAGCTCGCCGACCCGGAACGTGAAAACGTACACCTTAGAAGCGGAAAAAATTCCCTCGTCGCGCGTCTCGAGCAAAGGATGCGTGACGTGCGTGTCCGTGAAATCTTCGAGAAGACCGACGTCGTTGTCGCGTGAAGGGATTCTCGACGCGAATTCGTGGTCGTCTGCGGGCTCGTCCGCTAGCGGGCCCGGGATCCGGACGGGCCTGCTGGCTGCGACGCCCGCACTGGACTGCGCGGTGTTGTCGGAACCGACTGCGGACGCGACGGCGCTGACGGCTGCGTTCGTTGTTGCCGGAGATGCTACCGTCGTCTGTCCCGCGGCGCTCGAAGCCGCGAAGGGGGCCTCTCCAGCAGGACCAGATGAAATGGCAAGGCGCGGCCCGGTAGCTGCAACTGGGGGTTGCTTCTCGTCTGCCGGCGGGGGAAGCAGTTTTCTCTTGCCCGTCGAAATCTGGCTTACGCCACTGAGACGAGAAGTGGCTGGTGGGTCCATTCCGGAATCCCGCGATGCAGCGTTGACCCCAAGGTAAGACAGACGCGCGATGGACTTCTCGGTGCTGATTTTAATGGACAGTGCGCTCGATTGCGTGACCTGCCCCAGGTGATTACGAACCACAACGCGGAAGTCCCGGAGATCACCCGGGCGGCTGGGCGTCCCGATGAAAGATCCTCGCGAGGAGCTAAAGCTCAGACCAAACTCGCTTAGCCGCCCGATCATTTGCTCGTTGCGCTTCTTCCAGGCCCCCATCCCCTCACCGGAGCTCTCCAGCAGCTGCGAGCCCGCGCCATCCAGCAGCAGAAAAAGGTTCTTCATCGACAGCGGATTGTTCCCCGCAATCACAGGCGGCGCAATGTGGGCCTCCTTTCCGACCTGAAACTCAAAGCTCGTAACTGGCAGGTTATTTTTCCCATTCTCGTTTGGATTTCGCGACGAGGAGCTGCTTCCGCCGTACTCCACCTTTCCCAGCGGCAACAGTTCGACCACTTCGTATTCCACGGTCGAAGTGGTTTTGTACTGCGAAATCTCGAGTCCGCCCGCTTTGCTGACACTGTCGGACTGGATAACTTCCTTCGAAATGGCGGTGACCTTGATACTTCCCGTCCGCTTCCCGCTGAAGCCACGGGGGATTCTCCCGCCAACTTGCCCAGTTTGCGGGTCCAAAAACATGCCGGCAGGCAGGTTGTGCGCGTTTTCTAACGTGTACACGTACGCGCCCGGGTGTTTCGTGTACAAATCCGGCACACCGGTGCTCTCGAGGCGATCCATGCCCCACTTGAAGGTTGCGGTCCGCCATACCAAGCTGGGCGTACCCTGTGGGTACGTGAAGCTTGGGGGGACGATCGGCCCCGCATCCTTGTTCTGATCGAAGAAAAGCACTGTCGGCGGCGGCGGGCCCGTCAACACGGTGGGCGAGTCCAGAGAGATCGCTCTGCGCGACGCCTCTACCGGGGTTTGGACACTGCTGCTCTCGCCCCCGGAAAGGTCACCCGGTGTTTCGGGTGACAAAGCATTCATCGCAGTTCCCGAGTATGTAGCTGCGGTCGGCGTGCTTTGCTCCACGAAGGCACCCCCGCCCACAAGTGGCGCTTCCGTCGCAGACGAAGAAGCGACGCCGCTTTCGCCTGCCGTGCTACTGGCTTCGTTGTCCGTCGTGCTCTTATCAACAGCTTCCTGGTGGGAGGTTGTCGCATTTCTGTTTCCCGGGCCTGCAGATGAAGAACTTTTTTGTTGTTTCGTCGGTGGAGTCGGTGCGCTGTCCTGCATGCTATACACGTGCGTGTCGCTCGGGGATAACACCAGTGACAAATCGACGCAGATGCCTAGGTCGCCGATACTGATTGTGTACCGGTACTCCCGCACGTGAACACCTTGTATCAGAACCAGCCCACATATCCGCCCGTTCATGGAATCGAAGCAGAGCCCGTGCGGCAAGGCGCCGCTGAGGTGGAACGCCTTCGGGTAATTGTGCTCGCCTTTCACAACAAGCGGTCCAGTGTCGTAGTGCAGGCCCTGTTGAATGTGAATCTGTGTCGTGTAGTCGTTCGGATTTTTCGCCAGGCCGCGGTTCAAGCGGTTCAAGTGACTGACCACAGCCAGTGGGCGATTCCCCTGCTCTTTCTGATACCCCATCAGCTGCGATCGGTGGTAACCCAGCACCGCCGGCACCTCTCTCACACACTCAATGTCGATGTAGCACACCGCGTTGCCGAAGTGGTTGTCGCAGCGAATCGAAAATCGCTCCTTGGCACATGTCGCCCGCGGACTACCGGAGAGCACCCCTGTCAGCTGGCAGAATTGCAACCCTGCGGGCAACCTCTTGTTGACGAGGAAGCGGAACGGGCGGTTCCGGGTCCACGGGCGCAAGCTACTAAACTCTTTGCCAACTTCTAGGCGGAAAAACGGCACATCCGCGACGTCCTCGGACGGGCTTCTCAGCCTGGCCGTCGTGGTTCCCGTACTGAGAGCGCCGTCGTCGGTACTAATCGTTCGCGATGGGGGCACGAAAACTGGGAGCGATGCCGTGGCGCGGCTGTTGGAGTAGGAAATCTTTGGGTCGACATCCCGACAGATCACCATCTCCACCGGACACGACACCTCTCCGCGGTTCCACCGGAACGTCAAACTTTGCGTCGCTCCGTCCTCGCTGATTCCAGACATCACTTGTCTCCTTTTCAGTTCCCCCCACTGCGACTGGGGCGGAATCGCCAGCATGCCCCCGATCTCTCCGGTGAGCGGGTCGAACGTCAGTCCGTGCGGCAAATTCTGCACCGGCTTCCGCGACTTCGGCTCCATCAAGGAAAACATTGCGGGCTCCAATCGGGGCGTGTTCGAATAGTGGTACGGTAGCAACGGCGCCTCTTCCCGACTCAGATCTAGCATCGGATCCGCGTGGTCCGCCAAGCGATTGGGAAAGTCCAGACAGGGGAGGAACTTCGTCAGTTTGCCGCTGGGGAACTCGAGCCGCAGGGGCGAGAAGGTGCTGGATTCGATGGAGGCCGCTGTACTTCCTGAGCCGACGTCGGCCAACCCGGGATGCACGACCACCCGCCACTTGGGGGCCGTGTGCTCCACGCTTGCGCACGAGACGAGCGACAAGCTCCGCGGAATGCGCTCGTCCGGCACCGAGACGCAAATGCTCGCCTCCGCGTACCCCCAGATGTTTTCGCAGAGGATGCGGAGCCGCTGGGGCGGGAAGGGTTTCAGTGCGAAACCGTTCAAACACCCGTCTCGGAAGTTAAAGCGGATGAAGTTCGCCACAAGCAGCTCCTCTTCGTTGACGAGCGTCGGCGACCGCCGCTTCGCCATCGCGGTGGCGGGCGGGCGGTTGACGACTTGCTGTGCGGGTTCTTTCAAATCGAGCGCTAACTCATCGTCGAAGAGGAAGTTCCGATACAAGTCCTCGCTCAGCAGCCGGTCTGACCCGTCCACCACGGTACTGCTCGCAGTACTGCTGTAGGGACGGCAGCTTACGATCCTGTACCGGTCGGGCGCGCTGCCTTTGACCGTGGGCGCAGGGACGAAAATCCGCGTTCCCAGGGAGAAGACAAAGTTTTGGATCTGCGGGGTCGCTGTTGCTCCCTGGTCGTCGAAGTCCTCGGTGTCTAGCAGCTGCGCGGGCTCGTCGATGAATTCCGTGTCCGTGTTCGGGAGGAAGCCCCCATCCGCCCGGTCAACCACCGTCTCGGTCATCATCTCGTCCAAAACCTGTGGCACCACGTTCGCAACTGTCGCAGCGGACGTCGCTGTGCTCCCGGAACTAAACGGGCTCCCGTCCTGCTGCTGCGCGGTAGGACCTCCACGTTCGGTCTGCAACCCTCCGTCGCCGGACCCACTTCCCTCGGAAACAGAGTCCGTTAACGGCAGCGTCCCTTCCGGCGCCGGTTCGCCCGGGGACATGACAGCGCCGAACTTGCTGGCGTCCCGCGGTGACAGCGGGGTGTACTTTTTCGTGACATCGGCTACGACCCGGAGGTCCATGTTGTGGCTGTACTGGATCGAGTTTGGCGGTTCCGCCGGCAAAACCTTGATCAACGCAACGGACTGCATCTCGTCCTGGGTACTGGACTTCACCGTGATCTTGAAGAAGTAATGGCCGCAAGCGCCCGGGTTCTCCGGAATCAGGCCGACCATCTCGCCCGTGGTCTCATCCAGACTGATGTTCAAGCGCTGCAGAAACGCGGAACTTCCGCCGAATTTCTGTTCCGCGGGGGAGAAATACCGCCGGAGGTCGCTGTTGGGGTAAAGGTCCCGGTCGAAGAGCGGGTGGAAGTAGATGTCCGAAACCGAGTAATTCGTGCTGGCGCGATTCACCACGGATCCCGAATCCGAGCAAAAAGTTTTTCCTGCGGTGACAGTCCAGTAGATGTCCACGATCGGCAGGTTAGACGGGCCAAAGTTTGCCGTCGGGGAGCCGAGCACGATTGGCGAATCCAGCGGCTGGGTGGATGCGACCGCTGCTCCGGCTAAGGGTTTGGAAGTTGTGGTTTTGTCGTTCAGCGCAAGTTGGTCTGCTGGCGTGCCACCCTCACGAGTTGTATTTGCTGGTCCGGAAAAAGTTGACGAGGAAACCACACGCAGAAGAAGTCCAGGTTCGTATTCGCACAGCCTGCCCTGCGCCATCTCGCGAAGAACTGCTGTTTCTTTCGTCTTCGCGCGCGCTTCCGCCGTCACCGGGCGGCGCACCGTCTGCCCTGGGATTTCGGCGCACAAAATTTCTTCTTCCTCCTCGTCCGCCACGCTCCTATCGTCGATTGCCGTTGTCGTTCCGGGCACCAGCGCGCCAATCTTGTCCAGCTCCGCCCTCCCGTACGCGATGGCCTGCTCCAGGTCCTCGGGCCGGGGTTTTGTGGCGCTCAGATAGAAGAGTGATCCCGGTGGCGGTGGCCTTGGAATCTCCAGCTTGAAGTGGATCCCGGCCGTACCCCACTGGTTCACGGCGCAGAGCCGATACTCGATGGCGCTCTCCAGCCAGGCGCGCGGCACGCCGTTGATGCACCCACTCGACTCGTCAAAAAACAAGCCCTTCGGGAGCGAATTTGGCTCCAGCGTGTAGCGCTCCGGCCGGGAGCCGGAGCAGCGATCGGGGCGGATGAGCACGAAGCTGTGGTCCACGCGGTACGAGAAGGTGACGATTTTGCGCAGAAACGCAGATCCAGTGATGTTGTCCGTGGAGGTACTGCGCACGGATATGCTGTCCCTGCTCGTGTTGGACATCATTACCGAGGACGTAACGGTTGCACTTGCAGCCGTAAACCGCTCGGTGCCACCCGACAGAGAGAGTGTCCCCGCCTGGCCGTCGGCGTCCGCCTGCTTCAGCGAAAGGTCGAACGGGGGCGGCTGCGGAAGAATCTCGATGTCAATGGAGGAGTCCACCTCGGCAAAACCGTAGTCCGCGAAGATTTTCAGCCGCGTTTTTTGCAGCACGTCGTGGATATCCTCGCGGGTTTTGCCCCCGATCGTCCCCAAATGCGGGTCGAACACCAGAAACGGCACGCCGATCGCCTCGAGCGACGGTTCCAGGCGAAACTTCTTCGGTCGCACGACGCTCGGAATGAAGGGTGGCGGAACGTAGACCAGCTGTCCGGCGAGAAAAGAGAACAGCACGATGTCCTTGCAGGGCTGGTCCGATGCCTGAATAGCTGGATCGCAGTGCAGCCCGGTGTAGTAGACGGGCGGGTTGGGGTTAAAGACGCTGATGTTAATGTCGACACGCGCCTCTCCCCATTTGTTTTTCCCGAAAATCGTGAACGACTTGTTGTTGATGGGCCGCAACGCAGTGCCTTGGATCGTTCCGGTCATGGGGTCGAACATCACGCCCTTCGGTAGCTGGGACGCATCCGGATCGATGCGGTACTCGGTGGGGAGAGTGCCCCGGTCGAGTTGTGGGCCAGAAATTTTCACTTTGCATCCCAAATGATACCGCCGGTTCTGCAACGTCTTGCCCTGTTGATTTACCAACGACAAAACCTCCGGGCCTCGTTTGGGACGGATGCGCAGGGTAATCTTCTGTTCGGCGGTACCCCAGTCTGACACGGCACGCAGGAAAAAAGTTTGCGAAAACACTTTCCCGGCGGAAAACTTTGCCTTCTTTGCGACAGCTTGGTCCCCTGCGATTCCTGCAGCTCCAGCAGATGGCGTTGTAGCCGGCAGGGATTTCAGAAGAGCATCGAAAAGCTTCAGGTCCTCTGGTATCACACCCGCCAACACACCCAGGTTCTGATCAAACGTCAGAAAAGATGGCGGTTTCGGTGAAATTTCGAATCGCTTCACAGTGGCATAGGAGGCTACTCGCGGAGCCTGCGCCAGCTCTTTGTAGTCCTGAAGAGTGTTTGTTTGGTCGCGATTCGAACGATTCCTACATTTATGGCGCAACTGCGACAACTTGAAAATCTATCTCGTCGTGTCGTGATAAAATTAATCCGAGCTTGGAATTCTGTACACAACTACAACGAAGTACACAGAAAATAGGTATAAGTACCACTGTGGGACTTGCAGCCAGCGCACGTGCTTGCGGCGTTGCACCCGTCGAGCTCACCATTTGTGCTTGCAGGAAAACCGTATCACCCAAGTGAAAGCAATGGTCTGTGTCCAGCCACTGCACCTTGCTCCGAACCGGCGTCGCGCCCAACCGCCCGGCGGACCCGGACACTGGAGCGACGGTATATCCCCCTGTCGGAGCAGGGCTGGCAGAAGTAAGATCTTCCAAAGCGTGCTGCGAGACGCCGTCGCCCGGCAATCCAGAACTCCTCGCCCGAAGAGGCGGTGCGAACACGTCAGGCATGCTGGAGTCCAAGCTTCCCTCTGCGTTCGCGTCGATCCCCCCAGCCGGGTTTCCGGGAGACCACATCCGAATTCCCAGTATCTGCGGCGCGGCTGGTGGTTGCACGATGATGCGCAAGGTCGTCGAGCAAGATCCCCATCGGTTATAACACTGGACCTCGATTTCCTCGTCCCACGGAGCCTCGACGACTGTGCCGAAGATCACACCCTTCAGTTCGTCGAACTCCAGGCCCTTCGGCAAACGCCCCTTCGCGATGTGCAGACTGTCCGGGCTGGTTCCTTTCACGGATGGCGGCTCCACCCAGAGGATTTTTCCGTGCTGACAGGTAATCGTCTTCTCGCTATACTGCAACTGTTGCGGAGGTTGCATCGGCTGCACCACGATTTCAATGCAAAGCTCCTTCTTCACGGCTTTCGCGGGAATCGGCCGGCTGGCGGCCGCTACGATTTCTTCCGGCGTGGGTAACACACCTGGATTCGACGTCCCTCCACGGAAAGATGAAGCACTACCCATTGTGCTCATCACTGCAGTAACGCGGTACCTGCGCGGCGCGCCGAGTTGAGCCGTGTTTGCCGGCTGCTGAAGAGCACCACTACCGCGATTCGCAACCGCTTCGCCTGTCGCGATCCGAGAAGAAGTTGTAGTTCCGCCCATGTTACACGCAGCGGGGTCTCGTGGTAGCATACCCGCGATCTCTCCGTTTACCGGATCGAATACCAACCCGAGGGGCAGTGGCGGATTCTTTGCGTGATCGAAGTGAAAGAAGTCCACCCCGAAACCGTGACACGGCCCGGTCGACGCCAGGCTTCCGCAAGTGAACTCGTACCGGTAGATGGGTCCCTGCTCCTTCTCGTCAAACGCTACTCTGTCCGCACATAACAGATATTTCGGATCCGCCGGTGCGCCGACGGTGAGCGTAAAATGCGCCTGGGCCGAGCCCCACGAGTTTGATGCGTGGATGACGTAGCCGAGCGGAGCGAAGGGTTCTAACGCGATCCCGGACAAGCCTCCGATAGTGGGCTCGAAGCGCAGCCCGGCCGGAAGCTGCTCGGGCGCAAGTAAGAACCTGAGGTTTTTCCGGTCCGTGTCCAGGTTGGTGAAGGGGGGAGGCGGGATGTTCACAAAGTTCCCTACTTCGTACACGTACTGTTGCGGCAGCGCGTCCTTGTGCTCCGCCAGAATAGTGGGCGGATTCAGTGGCCGGACCTCGAGTTCCAGAAAGGTGGACGCGCAACCCCATTTGTTCTTCCCCTCGACTTGGAACCGCGTGCGCGGGAACGTGGTGCCAACCTGCGTTGCGAGCAGCCCGGAGATCGTGCCGGTTAGTTGGTCAAAAAACAAGCCCTGCGGCAAGGTCCGGGAGTCCTGATTTGCGCGACGTGCGTCGCTGATCCGCGTGGCTTCGTCGACGGTGCGCAGCTGCACCACCTTCCCCGCGTAGGAGAGCCGGTAGTCGCTCGGCTTCGTGCCCTTCAGCACGGTGGCGGGGCCGGTTGTAGCCAGCTGACCAACTTGAAAGGAAAACACCGGGACACCGCCCTCGCGTTCGGTCGCAGCGGGAAAGTCGATCTGCAATGGCGGGTCCGGGGCTGGCACATGCCGCGCCGATCCGGAGGTCGGCGGGACTACGGCCCGCTTCTCGTCAGAGGTGGCAGTCGTCATGATATACGTTGTGTGGAGGTGCTACGGCAACTAAGTATCTGGTTGAAAAGCACGGTCAAGGAACTCCATACAGTTGATGGTGGCTCGTCGTGGTGTTCCGATGCCTGGAGCGCGACCCGCGAGAGTCACTCCACGCCACGGGCGAGCTAGAGGCTGCTAACAGCCGTGCCGGAGCTTCGAAATCCTCTCCGTCCGTGGCTGTCATGGGATTCCACGATGGTGTGACTCGATTATAGCCAAGGTCATGTGTATGAAGATTCGCTCTTACCTTGAAGACGATGATGAACTGAATTCTAGTAAGCTTCGAAAAGTGATTGCCGTACTACACTTCAATAAAGTAAACTTGTTTTTTCTCTACTTACTACTTACTTCAACGACTGAGTTTAAAATTTCCTAGAACTTTTATTGCACTAATGAAGCGTGTCAACATGATAGGAAGATGAAAGCGATAGCAATTTTCGATCGCTTTTTCGAGTGTCTGTCTACTGTTGAGATGAAGTCACTTCTGATTCTTTCCCATATGATGGCACACCGATGCTCCGGAAAGGCCTAATTTGATCTGCTCGAACACTCGGCTGTAACCAATATTTGCGTTCCAAAAAACCCCTGTCGTCCATGACATAAACCCTCTTTGGCTTTGAAATGCTGCTTCTTAGCCGGTCCACAATATTATCGATGTGTGTATTCAGAAGAATAAAAATCCTCAACCAATATTTTATTCGGCTCCACCCGTGCGTGACAAAAATATCTTGAAAAAATGTCCACGAGCAAACTCGTTCTCGTTATCGCTTTGCAATTCGTTATTTTTTTGCTGAATGAGAGTCGGTCTCTTTGTACAAAAAAATCGCGACAACTACTTATGTGCAAACCCTGGGTGTTTTTTCTTCATTCTACTTCTTTCTTCTTCCCGCGCCCCCGTTCCTCCCTTTTGCAGCGGCCTGCCGCAGTAGCGCCTGGCACTCTTGAGCACCGGTAGTCCGAAAGGGGAAATCCATGAGCTTGTTCGGCATTCGCATCCCCCTTGGCATCATACCGCCCATGCGGACTTCCAGAGTCAGGTTCGGATCGACCCCCAAGTCCAGCATTTTCTTTACGCAATCCGTGCGGCCGGTGTTGACGGCTTCCATCAGCAGGCAATTGCCCAATCGACACAGCGGCGCCAGGTCCGCGTTAAACTCGACGAGAACTTCCGCGACCGCCAGCGACGTTGTCGTGGCCATACTGTTGCAGCACTGCATCAAGGGCGTTTTCCCCAGAATGTCCCTGCAGTCCGGGTTCGCGCCCGCTTCTAGCAGCAGTTTCGCACACTTCACGTGGTCCACGTCCCGCTTCTTCGGCGGGTTCGGCCACAAGTACGCCGGACAAACCACCCCGCGCGTCAGGTCGCAGGACCGGGATCCGGTCACCAACCCCAACAGCGGCGTCATGCGGAGAGAGGATTCCCGGAACTCCAAATACTGGACCCGCACCTCCCTCGGTTCGTCCTTGATCGACTCCAGAATCGCTTGCACTTCCCGCACACTGCCCCAACTCGCGGCCCGCAGCAACGCCGAGTACTCCATGGGGCGCTGGAAGGGGTTGAACGTCCCGCCCGTGGACCAGTACTGCTCCAAATCCGCTCCCGGTCCCCCCGGAACCACGGTCAACGCCGACTGGTCCCCGTCGCCAAACTTGTCCAGTTGGTTCTTCTTCACGTCGCAGGCGCGCTGGATCACGGGGTCGTCTGACCCGTCCTCCGCACAGCAGCCCTTCATGTAGTTATTGGCGTTGACAGCGGCGTCCGCCGGGAACTCCGCCGTGGCGTACGCGGTCTTGCCCTGGGCCCGGAACCCGGCGTGGCGCTGCCGCAGCATCTCCAGCCTCCGCTTGTGGTAGTCGTCCTTGCACACGTTCAATGCCTCCTCGTTCGTGATCTTTCCTTCTTTCGCTTTTTTCCGCGCTTCGTGGAAAAACTCCGGCGTCGCCGCCATAAACTTTGCGTACTCGTGCTGCGCCTGCGCGCGGCCGGAGTCGAACTCCTGAAACAGTTTCGGTGCGGCGTTGGAACCGACCAGTTGCGGCTGCTCGTCGACCTTCAACGGCGCGGGACCCGGAACCACTAACGCGCAACTCTTCGCTCGCCGTTCGGCGGTCACTTTGGAAATAACTGCAAACTCCTGTTCGTCCGCGATGTCGCGGGTGATGATGCACACCTTGTCTTCCGTCAGCCCGTTAGCCACGAACGCATCCACGCAGTCCAGACAGTACTGATTCCCATGCGGCGTGAACTTTTCCAGCACTTTCCCCGCCTTCGTGTTTTCTTTCAGCAACTGCCAGCAAATAGCGCAACGAGTGGTGTCCTGCATGCTTGTAGTCGCGGTGGAGGTGCTATCGCTGTCACAGCCGGTCCAGATCCGCTTCAAATTCTTCGGCAACACATGGACGATTTCATCTTCCCCGACTGAAGACAAGTCCTCACCTTCCTTTCGTGCCTTGGGCAAAACCTGCACCCCGTACCGGGGCCGGAACATCGAGATTGGTTTGCGGATCAAACCTCGGCGCCCGTTCAAGTCCGCCCGCTTCACCAGGTCCACGATGGCCACCTCGTCGCCGACGCAGAACCGTTTCTTGTGCGACAAAACCTTCTTTGCGTCCTGCTCGAATTCCAGCTGGATCTCGGTGGCTTTCGTGCTGCTGTAGACCAAGTCCAGATGGGCAGCTTGAAATGCGATCTCCTTTGGTTCGTCCAGAGCGACGCCGGACACGTACTTCAGTTCCACTTTGACCCGCGGCACGTCGTTTGCGTCCTTGTAACCGCCCGACACGATTTCACCGCGCTCCCCGACGTACTTTTGCGCCCGGACGATCTCCACTACGTCACCGAGTTCGAATTTCTTCACGACGGGGGGTCGTTCGGACCCATTCCCGGCTCCCGAGGGAGGTGGAGCGCCAGTGGTTCTGCTTTTCGGCTTGAAAGAACCATTACTCTTCTTACTCCTCCCTTCACCAGTCAAATCCTTGCGCGCACCCTCGGCCCCGATCTTGGCCATAGCGGCCTCGCTCTTCCCGGCATCGTTCAACTGTGGGTACAATTTGGTCGTCGCGATGTCCAGCCACTTGTCGCCCTCGGGCACGCTGCCCTCGTGCTCGTACGCGTGCTGCGCCAGGCGGAACGCGACTTTCGTCATGTAGGTCCTCGCTTTGGACTTCTCAGGCACCTCGTGCCGCTCCAGCTTCGGGAGCCAGTGGTCCATGTACTTCAACCACGCTTCTTTTGCCTTCCTCGTCTGCCCGATCTGCTCGTAGCAGAACCCGATCTCGTTCAACTGGTCGATTTTTTCGTCCTCGGTCGCATCGTCGCACTTGCTACCCTCAAGCATCCAGCTCAAAGCCTCCCCCCAGGCCTTCAGCTGCGCGCACATGCCAGCAATCATTTTCAGAATCTTGAACTCCCGAATTTGAAAGTAGTCGTCGAGGAACGCCTCGTAGGTGGAAAGATCTTGCTCATTTATTTGCTGCTTTTTGCTTCTCTTCTCCTTCCGGCGGGCGGTCAAGGCCTTTTCAAAGCATTCTTTGGCGGGTACGACCGTGTTCATCAATGCGTCACTGTAACCGCCGATGTCCGCGCTCGCGTGCTTGTTGGTGGTCACCGTCACCCAGCCAATCAAGCAGTTCGCTTCGACGGGCAATTCCTTCAGAAACTTTTTTGCCGCCTTCAGCAAGACATCCCCGTCCGCACTGATCCACAAGCAACCGCGCTCATCGAACGCGACCGCTTGCCCGAGTTTCTTGATCAAGGTCTTCACCTGGTCCGCGTTCTTCGGTGCCGGCCAGGAATTCTCCGGCGTGAGGGCGGCTTTTTCTTCCGCCGTCAAGTCCTTGTTCTTCCAGGTGCGGAGACGACCGGCATTGTCTTCAAGGGATGTTGTACTAGCTGAATCGACGTCAGAAAAAAGTTCCTTACTCGGCACCGCAAGCACATTTTTCGCGTTTTTTTCGATCTTCTCGACCTCTCTTTTGTTGAAGACCATTTTCCCGTTTCGGAGGAAAAACAGAGGCCGCAAAGCGCAGTACCAGCGGGAGAACGAGAGCTGGCTGCGGTAATCCTTCACCATCTGGTCGAATTCGGCCTTCATGCCCTCCGCCTCAGACAACGAGGTCGAGCCGCCCCCGGTCATGTGGCTCTGCAGACTGGTGAGCAAATGCTTCAGGTCCTCGGGGTTTGTGCCGGTAGTATCGTCCTCATCGCCCTGCTCCCCAGCTTGGCCGAGTTCACCCGCTGCCATCTTCAACATTTCGAGCATGGAGCTCATGTCGAAGGAGCCGTCCTGCAGCGCTTCCGCCAACTCGTCCGACATGTCGGGCGCGGTGTCGCCGATCTCGTTGTCCTCGTCGGAAAGCTCGAGATCCAGGTCAGCGTGGCGTCCGTAAAAGGTGTCCGGCCGCGCGGCCGCAGTCTTGTTCTTCTGTCGGCGTGGCATCTTCTTCTTTGATTTCGGGTAGCTTGTTTTCGAGAGGAAACTAAAATTTGGGTATGGGTCCTGCCACTTTCGGTAAAAGGAGATGTAAGTGCATGCAACAAGCACTAGCGCAATGGCGTACAAAACAGTGGCTGTCCCAACGAAATGAATGTAGGTGTCAAAAGAATCGTGAAGTAGTTGTGGTGTGTAGTAGCTCATTTATTGAAAAGTGACAAACCCCGAAATCTCATACGATTTCGAAGTGGAAGTAATACCAGTGAAGTCTATTTTCAAAGCAGTAAGTAGCAATTTCTTGGATTTTCTAAAAAAGTGAGTTGTAAATGTAGAAGCAATGTTCCTACCAGTGTATCGCTGTTTTGCCCACAATTTCAAGTTTTGTATCTGCCCCGGTGACATTATCTATCCCCTTGAATCTGAATGCTAAGTACTGCTTCAATCATGTTATGTGACAAAAAAAGTGTCTCCGTTCAGCAGCATTGCAAACTAAGCACACCAGTATACCGAATGCAATACAACTAGACTTCTGAAAACCGATACCTTGAACGATCATGTGAGCACCAGCAAGCTGAATATTACCCCTAGAGAGGAGCAAAGAACTTTTTCTCCATTTGATGAATCACGGCTCTCAGCATTGCGTTCGACCTTTGCAGTCGCGGAACCAGATCCTTAACACGAAAGCCAGAGACACGGACACCGTGATGAACCAAACACTGGAATATTGCATCTGATCACCTGATGACGCACTTCTTACCTCAACCTCCATTTTTTCGTATATTTGCGCACGCTCGCACTCGCATAGTGCATGAAGAAAATCTTTTCGAAAGGTCTGGTACTTGTCCTTAGGTTGTTCGCTTCACAATTCAATCGCTTTCAAGGGTACTAGCTTTCGGCCAAGTCAGAATTTAGACTTTCTCACTTTCGCTTTTCCTGTGTCCGTGTTGCCCTCTTTCCACTTCTTCAAGTCCGCTTTTCGACTGGTTTCCGCCTGGGTTTTGTCGGCTGCCATTTGGAGCAGTTCGGTATTTTTCAACTTTTTCTTTTTATCTTTCACCTTGCCCTTGGCGTTCTTCTTCTCTTTCGCGATTTGGTTCTTTTTGTCCAGGGCTGTCTGCCGGTCCTGCAAGTCCTTTGCGGTTTTCGTGCCCTCAATCAGGTGGCCCTCGAGTGCCTTCTTTCGCTGGTCCTTCCTTCTTCTTCGTACCGCGTTTAGCTCCTCGCGATCAAGCTCATCGTGGGTCTGATAGAGGTTTTGAAATAAACATCACGAGCAAACGACGTCAACTTACTTATTTTTCCAAAAGCTTATCGCATTCAGCAAATATTTATCCTAAAGGAAAAAAACGACTCTGTCATCCATGCAAAGAAACACAAACATGATGAAAGGGTTATAAACCAGTACCTTGACAGTGTCTCCGCGGCGGATCTCGGACGGTGCAGTCATCGCGGCGGTGCTTACTGCAAGAGGAACGGCTTCTTCAATCGTCATACTGGAGACATTTGCTTTCGCCGTGCTGGTGCACAAGCTTACCGGCTTCGGAGTGAAATGTGCGTTGCACAGCTGATCCAGCTTGTACATGACCTGTTCGTATTTTTTTTTTGCAATGCAGGTTGATGAACCGCATGTAAAAATTATCTTTATCTTAAACGCATTTTGTAGAGGAATATTACATCTTCCATGATTCCAATGTCGAAACGCATACCCAACACCTAAATTTGAAGCGCAAAAACCGGAAACAAGAAATCAGGCTTTACCTTGCCAAACAGTTCCTTGCACAGCAACTTCTCCTTCGACATTTTCTCTTCCTGTTTTGACTTTTGCCCAAACACCTCCTCTTCGTACTGTTGTGCGTAGATGTCGGCAAGACCCACCCGGGACTTAGCGAAGTTCAGAACCTCCTCCTGATCCTCGTCCTTCTTCGTTGTGCTTGGCCTGGTGTCCGCCACACGGATCACGTCGTCGAATAGGTTGTCGGCGACTCTCTGCTTGGTTATCTGCTCGATGTCAAATTGCTGGGGCTTGTTGCCCTCTTCATCGGACTCTTCCTCGTCTAACTGCTGCCCGGTTGCGATGGCAGTGTCCAGAGTGCCTGGTGGTTGTATGATTAATATTACCCATTGTTGTACAAAAAGCGACATAAGGTCTTGGAAATCACTTGATGTGGGGCAAAAAATGGAATCCACGGCCGCAGCTTAAGCTAAACGTAGACGTACAGGTAATCAAAAAAAAAGCATCACAAATTTATACGTTTGGATTGAAAGTGCGTCATGGGCAGGTCCAAATGCAACTCTAGGAGCGAGTTCCGCTCTCTCTGCTTTCCCGCGACTTCCCCGCCCAGCGACCAGTGCTTTTGCGCCAGTGCCTCCCGCTCGAGTCTGTCGACCTCCTCCTCCAGATCCTGGATGCGTCGGTCTTTCACCGCGAGATTCGCCTTCGCCTGGTTTGAACTGACAGACGACTCTTCGTTCATATCCACATCCATTCCACCATTTTCGTCCGCGTCCGTATCCTCGTCCGATTCCGGCAAGTTGTCCATTTTTCCGCCCGCTCGGTAGACCGCGGTTCTGCCGACTTTTCTCAGAGCCAATTCCAGTTGTCGGTCTTCCGCATCCAAATCCGACAAATCGCAGTCCTCCCCGTCGGAAGCGAAGCCGGAAAAAGGCAGGGCTTTGCCCGCATCCTCGGCGTCTTTGTCCCAGCTGCAAGACGAGGAGGAGGAAGACGAGGACATCTCGGGTTGCTCTTCGTCTGAAATGTCGTTTTCATCAGGCGCGCCATCTTCTTCGAGAGCGTCAGCGTCTTCCAGCATACCCTCTACTGCTTCTTCCTCGTCGGAAATTTCTTCCTCTAGGGACAATTCTTCTTCCTCGTCTTCGAGATCGTCTGTAGGCAGCTCGGCATCATCAGACTCTTCACGACCTTTCTGCTCTTTCTTCGCGTCAGGTTCCACTTGTGCACCTTCAACAGAAGCCTTCGCTTTCTGTTCCTTTGCCGCGTCCGCCTTTTTCCTTTCGCGGCGCATGCGAATCAGCTCGTCCTCCTCTTCAGAGTCTTCCTCTTCTTCCGACATTTCGTCTGAAAATTCTTCTTCCGACGAGCCGTCTTCGCTTACAACGGCGGCCACCTCGTCTACTTCCATGTTTTGTTCTTCGGTGGGAGAGGAGTCGTCGACGACAGCTGGTCGTGCACCATCGTCGTCCTTGCCAGAACTACCTTTCAAGGCCGCAATTTTTGATGCCGTGGCCTCCTTCTCCGATAAATCCTTTAAGTCATCCGTTGTTCTCAAATTTGCATACTTGTTCGCTGTTGTTGAACTTGAGGCTTTATTATTTTGCGCGCCTGGTCCGCGGCCACCGGTGCCAAAAAAATCGTCGAACATGATGTCATCTCCATCGCCCACGTCCTTGGAGAAAAACATTTTGTACACCTCGTCCTCGTCCGCGTTGTCCGAATCGGACTCATTGTCGTTCATTCTCGCCCACGCTTTTTCCCCCTCCTCCGCAAACTTCTGCATGTCCGCGAGGGAGAAAAATTCGTCGTCCACTTGGGATTTTGGTTTACTGTGCTTCTTTTTGTGTTCCCCCGCCACATTGGAGTCGTCCCCATCGTCCTCCATCTCGCCGAAAAACCGGGCGCCGGAGGGTTTGGAACCACCGGTGTTCGCTGCGTTTTTCTTCTTCTTTCTGCTCTTCGTTGACGTGGATGCGTCGTGGTCACAAGAACTCTTGTTGCCATCATCGTGGTCTCCTGCTGAAGAAGATTTCGCAAGCTTTTCTTCCAATTTCTCTGCGTCCTCCTCGTCGGTCGGAAGAAGTGTAGTCGACTTTAGTTTCGAACCTGCTCCTGCTGTCGTGTTTCTTTCCTGTTTCTTGCTCTTTTTTGTCGCTCTTGCCTCTTCTCGGGCCAGGACACCGTCCAAGACAGCATCCGCTTCATCTACTTCATGACTCTCCGCCGCGTTTTTTCTCTTCTTGCTGCTCGTCGTGGAGGACGATGAGGATGTTGTGCTGGGAAGGTCGTCGTCCCTGTGCTGCTTTTTTATTTTCGCCGACGAGATGGACACGACCGGAGCTTCCTTTTCTTCGGTGAGCGCCGGCAGTGCAGCCTCGTCTACCGTGAGTGCCTTTGCGAACCGTTTCCTCCAGGATTTGGCGCTTTTACAGGAATCCTCCAGATAGGCCCAGACCTGCTCTGCGTCGGTGAAGCCGGGAAGACAATCGGAAAAAATGCGGCAGTCGTCTATGACCTGCTCAGACGTTACAACCTCAAACGTTACAATAGAGTATTGCATGATGAGCATGACAGACTCGGACAGCATTCCACTTTCTGCAACACAAATTTCGGCCGAATGTAGTGCAGTTTGGGACTCCGGAACTTGTCATGCGTAGTCCTATGAGACTTGGCTAGATCATGCACTTCTTGCATCACAGATTTCCAGATTCTATTGTAACGCTTGAGATCGTAACATCTGAGCAAGTCATATCGTCCAAGAAGTCCGGGGTCGCCCACAGTTCTTGGTTCGTCGGGTCGTATGGATTGCAAAAATGTCTGGGTCTGGAAGAATGTAACTTGTGATGCGCATTTCAGAACACACAAAAATCTCTTATGCATATGCAGCAAAAGCTGCTCACTTTCTGTCACCAAAGTGGTGAATTTGTCATGCGGATTCGGCATTGCGGAAGCTTCTCGAAACTTGTGATGCTAGAGCTTCCATGCCAGACCTTCTGCGTCATGCAGAAACAGCATGATTCTTCCAGACCCAGATATTTTTACATTTGATAGGTCGCGCGCCAAAGCAACAGCGACTTGCTGTGCTTTCTGCACACGGGCAGAAAACGGCGTCGCTTGCGGGGCGGTCATGCTTTGGAAAGTCGCTTGATATGTGGATATTTTCTTTGTACTAAAAATCGAACCAGCATTAACAACCAATATTGCGATGGATATTTCTAAGAAATCAAAGTGAAAGCAATAAGCACCTGCTACTGTTCGGATTGTCGGTATGATTTCGTGGGCAAAAAAATGATATACTGAATTTAGATCATGCCTCGTCCTGGTGAGAAGGCCGATAACCATTTATTGAAAGCGTTTGCATCTTTCGCGAGCGCAAAACAGAATGGATCGCATTTAAAATGCCATCCGGAATGAAACACACAGTCACACCGCACTCACTGCAAAATTATGCAAAAGATCTTGATCTTCGATATGAGATCTGTCCTGAATCCCTGCGCTTCCTGATCGGATTCCCACAGGAAGAGAGAGACCAACATTTACATTTTTGCACCGACAAATCTCAAATTTGTAGTAGTTTGTGGATCATTTGTTCTTCAGTCTCTGATCACTTCGTGACGAGTAGATCTCATTTCATCAGGATCAGATTTCGTATCAAGCACAACGAATCTATTTGCGGATCCTTGTTGTAGCTATTAATGAACCAGCTGCATTTCTTGTACATATACGAATCACACTATTTGCAAACAAACCCGCTACAAAATTTCTTGGAAGCAGAATGCAGCGCGCTGCAACATTTTCGTTGCTATCGCTGTTGCCCAGCCACGAGCAGTTTCTCATAATTTTATTTGTCCAAAATGTAGCTTTGCTTTCCGCCTAGCTTCACAATTTGTTTTAGCAGACAATTTTTCGTCTCCATCCTTGATTTGATTCTCGGAAGAGAGACTCACCTTCAGTCGCAGTCACAGGCACAAAACATCACGACCTTCTCTGTGCCGCCCCCCCAGCAACAATACATACATTAATTTTCATTTTCAAAAAAATCAGCAACAAGCAAGAGTTTCGACTCTGGCGAGAATCCACCCTGCCTAGTCACTTCACTAAACAAAGTGCGAAAGTTATTGCATTCTCGTGCTAGCACGATGGGGAAGAACCAGGTTCTCTGGAGGTCCTTGGCGGTACACGATGGGCAGCCGCCACTGTGCCTCAAATCTTTCCTTGGGACTGACTGTGACGAGTAAAACGATGAAATTTCGTAACATATGCCGTCCAAACAAAACCCAAAAAAAAACCGTATCCCACAAGTGTTGTCCGTTAGATGAACTCGCCTTCCACAATTTCGGTTGTGGGCTCTGTCTTCACTTGCAACGCAGCGACGATGTCCCGCTCTAGTTGTAAGGGGTTTACGTTGGTGAAAAAGCGGTCGATGGGCAGCCCGTCGCGACCAACCAGAAACTTGGTAAAGTTCCACTTGATATTGGTAGTCCCCGCGATTCCGGGGGCTTGGTTCTTCAAGTAGTCGAACAATGGCAACGCCCCCGGGCCGTTCACGTCCACTTTTGAAAACATGTCCCATTGCACGTTTTTCGCCTGCACAAACTCTTTGATTTGTCCGTCATCCCCGGGCTCCTGGTTCCCGAACTGGTTACATGGAAACCCCAGAATGCTCAGCCCATGCGTGGCGTACTTGTCGTGCAAGGCATTCAGCTCCGCGTAATCGCGGTCAGTCACACCTCAGCCGGACGCAACGTTCACGATGAGCAGCACGTTGCCGCGATAGTCCGCCAGCGACTTTTCCTCCTCGCTGTTCAACGGTTTAGCAGAAAAGTCGTACACGCTCGCGGTGACCGGATAGGCGCCCGGACCAAGTCCGGTAGAGCAAAACATCGAACCACATAACGTCTTGAGCTTGACCATTCCCACCATCTTCAATCAAATGATCGACGTTTTCGATTATAAACGAATTCGACACGGATGCTTTTTTCTTATACCAATACTTTTGTACTTACTATGACTTACACCTTTGTTTCCAAAACTTCTTTGAAAGGATGCTGCGCCTCGCCCAGGGAATGTGAACTACCGCCACATTTATTCTGGATCAAACGTACATTAGGAAAACATGAAAAACTCGCAGATTTATGGGGACCCGGAGACAACAGATTTATTTATCGAAACATGGAAACGCGACAGTCATGGAAACGCTTCTAGTTCGCCGACAGTCATGGAAACGCGCTAGCAAGACTGAAAAATGAAAAAAAAGCGCGCTATTTATCCACTACAATAAAAATTAATGCTGCGCCTCATGAACACATTGAAAACCGTCGTCAGTAGCTCGCTACAATTGTGTTGACAGAGTCGGACTCCAGCACTGACCTCTGCTTCCTCTTGCAGCAAACATCGAAACAAATATACTTCGCGCGTGAAGTGTTTTGAACTGCTCCCTCTTTTTCTGTAGACATGCCTACGCTTCGTTCAATATATGATGTCAATGCACTGCAAAGTTGCCTTGACCTCATCAACATTCCGGCTTGAGAAAGAAACTCAACGTTTAAAATTTCGTCCCGCACAATTGCCGTCTAAATTTTCCGCCGTTTCGCAGGTGGAGCGACGTCCTGAACTGGGGCAGTCTCGTCTGTGTTGCAATCACCACCGCTCGCACTACAAGCTGCTGGCACTACCTTCATGTCCGCGTCTGCAGGACTTTGTAGGGTGTCTTCCTCAAGAACGCTTGGTCCCGAAGATGCGGGAGATCGCAAGCGCTTCTTCGAGCGACCGGTATTAACCATCGCTTGCACCTCCTCGGTAATAAGTGCAGAAGCAGGACGCGTTGGCAGTTTGATCTTTCCGATAGAGTTCTCCAATAATGAGAGCGCTACCGGCAGCAGCGCAGGATTTTCCAAACTCTTGCCGGCGGCCCCCTCCACGCGGTCAGCATTTGCGCGCAGCCACGTTCTTCCGGTGTTTGCCGTGTCGGTGCTGCCCTTTACCGACGAAGGATCTAGAATTTTTCCGAGTGCTTCGTTTGAAAGAAGTCTACCACTGAGCTCTGCCATCTGCCCAGCGGAGAGGCCTGCCTGTGTACCCTGCAATGCCAAATAAAAGCTCAACGCACGATCCCCCAGCCAAGCGCTTGCCTGACTGACATCGGCCGCCCGGGGTCCGCCACTATAGCCGCTGCTGGATGTTGCAGTGCCAGGCACAGTAAAGGAATGTGGCCAGCACTCTTTTCCACCCTTGGTGCTGTCACCCCCGCAGCTACCAGCACCCCCTGTCTCTGCTGCGCATGGACTTTTTGAAGAAGTAGCAGGCAATTTACTCTTCTCGAGCGCAAGCTTCTGGATCTGCGCAACCAGAACTTTCCGCTCCTCGATCTCATTGCTGTTGCTACCCGCTGCTACCCAGGCCTCGATCGCTCGCTCTGGTCCGACGCCATTCTTCAAAAGTGATAGCAGCGCACTGGTGCTCGCCGCAGCCGTTGGAGGCTTCTCAGCTGCTGCAGCAGCCTTTGCTTTCGCGGCCGCCTCGGTCTGCTTTGCTGCGGCAGCGCTTGCCGCATGCGCCGCTGCTAGTTTTGCCACCACGCGCAGCTTGATACTCTCGACCAGCGTCGCCGGAGGCATCTTCTCCCGCAGCACGGCACTGCGCTCGGAGAGTAAGGACGCGCAAAGCTTTGTATACGCGCAAAAGCATTTGCGTTGTCCTGTGGTCTTGTCGTCGCCACAAATCGGAATGATATCTTTCGTTGGGCAGGATTTGCTTCCACACTCGTAAGTTTTCAGCTTGTGCAGTGGGAGCAGCACCGCTTCCACGACGGCAGGATCGGAGTGCGCCGTAGTCGCGAGTTTGCAGTTTGTGAAGCTTCTGTTGGCCATCGCGAGTTGCATTTGTTTGTGTTTCTTGCGGTTCTGCGACTGCCGCACATACCAGTGGTCCGTCTCCCACCAGTTGTCCGCGTCGCATTCCGCTACCCAAGAACAGTGCGAAACCTGTCCGGTACTCTTAAACGTCTTGAAACCTTGCAGGGAGTCCAGTACCCAGCGGTGGGAGTAATTGTCGTAGTAAATGTAGTACCTCCCCGTCGCGTCCTTTGCTACTGGAAAACCACCGATCGGCGGCTCGTCATCGTCGATCGCGAAGGGCTTGCTGTCCGGCCCGAACACCTCCGATGCTTGGGACGCTACGGCAGAAGCCTGCGCAACCGTTTGCAAATCGGGCTGGTTCGCGGCTCGAATGCGATACCCTCCAGTAGAAGGGCTGCCGAACACGTGGGCCACCTGCTCGAGTTGCTTCTTCTTGCTCGCAGTAGAAGATGAGGTCCCAGCACCTTTCTTCCCTGTCGTCTTGTCGGCAACGCGTGGGTCATCTTCTGCTGCGTCTTCCGCCCCTGCACCTTCGTTGTCCTCGCTTGCGTTCGTGTAGAATCTGCATATCTTGCCGCAAATGCCTAGGTGAGGAGCCACCGCCGCCACTGTGTCGACACTGACCGACACAAGTAATATCCAAGGTAAAAAACTTTTTTCTGCGTTCTTGTTTCCATGTCTAAATCATCATGATCTCCTCGCAGTTTTACGCACCACTCGAAAAGCAGTCACGCACTTTGCGTGTGAAGAATGCAATATTATTGCATTTTTGAAGAGAAAATGCTTTGCATATTGAATATGCAAAGCATTTTCTTTTTCTCTCGAAAACGTCTATCTAAATATTTTCTGCCTTCGATATAAGCCGCCTCTTCCTCGTTTAAGTCGGTGACGTCCACCTCCTTGACACCGGGCGCGAACAAAAGCTCCGCCAGCGCCTCCATCCAACACGGAGCCTCTTCGCCTTTTCGCAAAAGGCCTTTGGCAATCAGGTTGGCTTTTGCTGCAGCTGCGTGGCCTGCTGCAGCCCCCTGCGGAGCCAAGGAGCTTGCGGGTGCAGCCACGCGGCTCCAGTACCTCTTGTTGCCCACCATCACCCTGCGCAAGAAGGTGGCGAGCTTGCTCGAGTGGAGCCGCACGCCCTTCCGCCCCTGTCGTTCCGCAGCATCCTTCTGGTCATCTGTCTCCACCGCAGTTGCATGTTCGCCGTGCAGCCGCACAAAGTGGTCTGCCAGTGTGGTAGCAAGCGGGTGGCTCGGGCCGACCTCGCAGATTGCGTCCCGCTCGATGTGCGCGCGGTGGTTTCTGTTCATCGTGTCGTAGAGCTGAGCTACGCGTGCGGCATTCTTGCTCTTCGTGGCTTCCGTCCACGCTTCCACGCACATACCCTTTAACGCCCCGTGCGTGATAGTTCCCTCCCGGTCGCGGCACTTCAGCTCCAGCACTTTCGTGTGCATTGCGTTGTGCAAGGCCGGTTCTCGCTGTGTGAGCATTCCCTTAACAAAGACGCTCGCGGCCTGGTTTGCCAGAATGTCGTAACGCTGTCCTTTGTAAATGAAACGCACCTCTGGATTCAAGGCCAAATACCTCGTCGGATCGAACATCTGCTGCGCTCCATTCAGCTTGCTCCTCGCCAACACGCGATGCACCGATATCCGTGTGTCACGACTGCTGTCAAATGCCGGGCAAAAGTCACTTGACGGTTTGTTGTCGCCACAAAGAGATGAACCTTGGTCCTCTTTCACAACTTTGTAGTGCAGACACTGCCCGCAGGCCACCGCGTTGTGTTTCAGCAGAAATTCGTACCTATGCCCAGCGGACTGGATCTGCACGACGTACCCATCCTTCACAAGCACCAGAAGAGCCGACGTCAGTCCGTCCCCAAAGCGACCCCGGATGGTTTTCGCTCCCGTTGCATTTCCGCTACCTCCCGCAGAATTATTCGTCGGCTTCTTCTCTGCACCTGTGTGCCCGTAAAAAAAGGCCTTCGGGTAGAGGGCCGTCGCATAGGAAGTCAGGTGCAACACCTCCTGCACAGCACCGCCAGCACCAGGGAGTCGCATATTGCGCACATGAGCAAACGCGGTCGTTTTCTGACTGTCCTGCAGAACCGCCTGCCAGTGCTTCGCGCAATTGTCGCCAACTGCTCCCGACTGATCGAATTCCGCAACTACCCCACCGACAGTGTTTTGCCTCCCCGCGACCACTTCGGCCTGATCGAGCAAGTTTTGCACGAGCTCGTCGCACGCCCGCTCTACGGTCCAGTTCGTCGCGCTTAGATAATCTTCCGTAATGGACAGCGAGTGCTCCTTCCCACAGAGTTCTTTCAAAGCCACCTCCGAGGCTGGGTCAGTCTGCACCAGATCCCGGGAGGGCGCCACTTGCCGAGACCCGCTTTTGATGCCGCTACTAGCACTAGCTGCACCGCCTTTCGAAGCAGGTGCAGGAGTAGAATTCGACATCTATCTTTAGAAGTACTGTATACGTACGACTCAAAATGCAAACGCAAAATGAACAGGGTGCATTTGACAAAAGCAAATGAAAATGTACGAAGAGGAAGAATCCAGACAAAAATGAAACACCATGTCAATGGCGAAAATTGTTCGACACGAGTGAAATTGGATTTTTGTATTTAGATGCACAGCATGGTATGGAAAGAATGTAAAATAAACAGTTACAGATGAAACATCCGTGAGAAGCAACCTGGCAGGTACAAATGAGTGCCGAGAGGCCCGGAAGATGATATGAATAGTTAGTTGTGGCAAGTTGTAGTACAGAATGGCAATGCGCAACAACAATCAATGCTCAACAACGCTGGCCACACGTAGACACACAGCACAGATGCGATTGCGAGGGCGAGAAGTTGCACCTTACAGAACTAAAATAACCGTGCCTGCATGCATGAGCAACATCCAGATTCAACTTTACGGATCTCGGCAACATCATCCATTTTTTCTTACGTGACGAGCAAAGACAGTATAGAAGATCATCAGATGTCTCAACTCTCAAGAAGTGTTGTTCCGAGGCCGCCCTGTGCCGCCAGAAAAAGAAAAAATTCTGCCAGCTACACAAAGGCCCGGATAGAAGCTATTTTCGCGCTGAAGAATACCGAAGTCCCATGAATAAAGCAAGAGACCTCGGTCTAGTAGCAGCGCTGAAACATGATCTTCGAAAGCTCCAATCCAAAAGCATAAGCAAGCTCATCTATGCGACGTGATGATCATAGAAGCACCACGCCTGGACGTGAAAACTCATTGAATGGAACGACGTTGCTTCTGTATTCGCGAACTCTCGTGAGTCGATGAGTCCTTTCAAATTCGAAACATGAGAAATCAAGTGAGTTCCGCTACAGAATGAGATTTGGCAAATTTCCGATATCCAAGTTCCCACCACACAGGACCACCCCTACGCGCTTGCACTCTGGAAATTCGTGCCGGAATTCGGGACTCAGAGCGGCTGCGACGGCGACAGCGGCGCCTGGTTCAATCACCAATTTCGCGCGCTCGAGAATTAGCCGCATTGCTCTTTTGATTTGCTCTTCGGACACTTGAATAACGCTGTCTACTATGGATAATATAATCGGCAGATTCAATTCCCCCAAATTTGTCTTCACCGAATCGGCAATCGTCTTCGGGGGACCATCATTGTCAACACGTGCCTTGGCCAGAAAGCTGCGGTAGCAGTCATTTGCATTTGCCGGTTCCGCAGCGATGATTTTGGTTGTCGGCGAAAGTGCGCGAATAGCAGTCGCACAACCGGCAAGCAGCCCGCCGCCGCCAACGGCGATCACAACAGCATCCAAATGAGGTGCATTTTTAGATGGCGCGCTCGTGGATTCTACACCAGGCTCCGTCATTTGCTCGATCAGTTCGACCGCGAGCGTGCCCTGGCCGCAGACCACGCGCGCGTCGTCGTAGGGGTGGATGAGCTCGGAGTTGTCGGGATCCTTCGCCAAAATCCCTGCGCAGGTGCTCTCCCGTGCGGGCTGATTCGGCTCGCAGAACACCACCTCCGCTCCGTAGCTGTCACGTACCGCTGATACCTACACAGGGAGGACCCAGATTGAGATTGCAAGCAGTGAAGCCGAAAAAAAGTACTTAAACTTTTTCACGAAATCAGAGAAATATTAAAACGAATTGACAACTGTCACTATACCTTGACTTGCGGCGAGTCCTTCGGCATGACCACAATAGCTTTTTTTCCCAGCAGGCGACACGCGAGAGCCACCGCTTGTGCGTGGTTGCCGCTGCTGTGCGTCACCATTACACTTTTCTTGGACAGCGATATAGCGTTCAGCGCTCCGCGGATCTTAAATGCTCCAATCTTTTGCAAGTTCTCGCATTTGAAGTACAGATCAAGCTCGGTAGGTGTAGGAGGCGACTCATCACTGTCGATCCCTGCGTTCGGCAAAACCATCTCACCCAGCGACGAACACTGTAGCACAGGAGTCCTGTGAACGTGAGGCCTGATGCGTGCATGCGCAGCGCGGATTTCGTCGATGCCCACGGTTACAACTGGTGTGTGCTGCTCGTGGTCCATTTCGGTCGGCTTTGGACTACCCTTCAAATTATCCCGTTCACGTTGTGGTGCAACCTGATTTTGCAAGCACGAAGCCGAACCCGAGGACTCTGTTTCCATACCCATTTTGATTTTTTGTTGATCACGGGGAATAGGGAAATAGAAGAGAAAACAATTACGAATTCATGTCATTCATCCTCCCGCACACTCAGATATCATGAGCTACATGACCACGAGCTGTCACCGATAGTCACTGTCACTCAATGGGGATTCATATAGCAGTATTTTGCGTCTATTTTTCCGGATCTTGATCTTTCCGATTTCAACTTGGCAATGCACGTTTTCAACATTCCTTTTCATCTGAGCTGAACCGTCGAACGGACTGAAATGGACCTATGAACTCACACCCTCGACTCCATTGGATCTCGGGTTCGTGTCAGTGCCAGCTGACAGCCATTTTTCCCCGTTTCAAAGTTTTTTTGCCACAATCAACCGTCACAGGCGGCCCGAATTAATTCAGTTTTGTTTTGTTCTTTGACTCACCTATATAAATGAAGAGACTAGCACTAGGCCTCCGCACTTCTCCCTCTAGGATGAGCCCATGCAGTCGTTCTTATTCTTGATGAAAGAATGGTTGCAGCACTGCTGGGCAGCCCAAACATAATTGCTGCTATAGGATACAGCAATCATCTTCAACTGCTGCACAGTGTCCGAAGAACTGCAACCCATAACTTGAGTGCCCCATTTGCTTTGTCTTTGCTCAACAGATCAAACTCAAAGCGAAGTTACGTAACTTATCAAATCATAGCCTCCTATCGTTCCAAAAAAGTTCCGACTTGGCAAGAAATCGGAATTAATTTGTGAAGCTGCACAACCACAACGGTAGAAGTGGAAGGCCCAGCTAACACGATCCGACTGTACATCGGATTCTGCGCACCACTTACACAGTACGCATCGAGAAAATAGTAGTGAGTCGGTAGGGTTTTAAAATGGCGATTCGTTTACCAGACTATAGAGTATAGCTTGTTCAAAGATGAAGCACCGGCCAGTAGAAATAAACATGCAAAAGCTGCAAAACGAGTTTGTAAAGTTATAAAAGTATTGACATGTACTACTCATAGTCTCTCTAATAGTAATATGATCCTACAAGTGAGTAGTTGAAGACACAAGAAAATCCAAGGATCTACATCTGATTACACGCGGAACCGTCCGAAGAAGGAGCAGGGCACCGCCGGTACGACGCTGGCTCTCTCTCGCCGCTCCCTGGTGGTGGGGCGGTGGCGACGGTTCGCAGGTAGTTTTTCACCGCCGACAATACCTTAGAGTCAAATTGCAGCCAGACGCTGTGTGCGTTGATGTCAATCTGAATTCGTTCATTCTCGACCCGAGCGCCCTTAATACTCACAGCCCAAGCGCCACTGCCATCGGGCAACTCGCGCGCCACATCGCCAAATTTGTCCCCGAGGAAGAGCTCCGCGCGCCCAGAGGGAAGAATGGACACAAACGGAACGACGCGCTGCCACGCGTCTACCAAAACCCACCTCTGTGCGGGTCGCCCGAGACGGCCGTGGCTCGCACCCGCAAGCGTGCCGGCCGTTTGCAAGTAGGTCCGGACGCCTAGTGGAGGTACGTTGTGGTGGACATGCACGAACGTCCAAGTTACTGCCGGCATCCATTCCGAAATGATCCAAATCGGACCAAACGCGACGGGTGCGGAACGCTCCGGAAAAGTAGTGCGTGTACGATCACCTACTTCTGCCAGAGTCCAATCCTCCGACATCATTTCAGTGGCACTTTCCTCCGTGGAACTTCTGCTGGGCGAGGCGGTGCGGAAGAACTCGGAGAAGCCGTGGTTCGGCGTTGGACTTGTTCCTGCTTTCGTACCATATTCATCATGAGTGGCCCTGGCCGCGGCCCCGTCGCCATCTACAAGATGAAATCCTTCTGAGAAGACGCCTGCTGAACTGCTGCTGCCACTACCTCTCCGCCCACCTCGCTGTTCCACCACGACTCCAGGCGAGGCTGCTGTGCTAGTGCTACTGGAGGAGGCAGTAGTTGCAACAGTACTCCGGCTCCCTCCTCCGCTGCACGCGGTGCTGTCGTCCGACCCCGGGCTACTGATGTCACACTGCTTATAATTCCGCTCGAATTCCTCCCGCGCGATGCGAAACAGTTCCGCCGCCGCCTCCTTCGACCGGCCGCCCGCCGCCCCCGCAGCGGCACGCAGCCATTCGACAGTTTTGTTCGTACCATTGACCGCCAAATGCGATATCTCCTCAAACGTACCGCCGCGGTGCGGGTGGTGCGGCCGAGAAGCATCGTCTTCTAATTCGCTTGTCTGATAGCTGAACCCACAGCCGCCTGCATTCCCACAGACCTCGTGCTGAAACGCACGAAGAAGAGCTTGCGTATCTGAATCCGAGGTGGAACCGCTGCCGATGGACTTTATTTCTCGCGCCCGCACTGGTGGTTAAAGACGAAGATCCTCCAGGGGCGATTTCCGAGAGCAGTTCGCTCAGCCGTTTGACTGACGTGTGTCCCGGTAGCTCCAACAGTGCGCGCTCGTCTCCGGCCGTGAGAAAAAAACGCAGCCGGGCTTTCGCACGCTCGTGGCTGGCGGCCAGTGGTTGCTCGATCAACGGGTAGATCACGTTCTCCTGCTCCGTGAAAACTTCCCTGGGCACCCGGGGTTCTGGGACTTTGAAATAACTATCAAAGCACCCCTTGAAGTTCAGTTGGCTGGGCAAACTAAGCAACGGCGTTAAATGGTCCAGTACATCCGCGCTGGCGAGCACCAGCGGCAGCTCCACGTGCGTTTGTCGCCCGGTGCACAGCGACTGGAACTGGATCCGTGGGGCAGCCTCATACGTGCGGCGGCTGAGGAAAGCCTGCCCCTGTCTCGCCCGTACCATAGCACAAATCCGCTTCAGCGCTGGAATCGGGACAACCTGGATCAGAGATGCAGTCTGGGCCGCCGTGCCGCGCCTTTCTAGTAACGCTCGGCACTCCTGTTGCGCCGCTTGTATCGCCGTCAGGTCGATCCGCTCGACCGGCTCCCATCCGCCGCGCTTCAAAGCGTGGAGGCTGACTGCGAACAAATACAAAAAATTGAAAACCCGCAGAGGCAATCCCTGGGGACCAGACGGCGGCCGGAGCGACCTCCGCCGCGGTGGTGAAAGGCTGCTGAAATAGTCAACGACCATGCTTTTTTGACTACAGAAACAGAAGAGGGCTGGAAGAAACTTTCATTTTTGGAAATGCAAGTGCTAGTAGCACTTGACGGTCATGTAAGTAACAAAGCAACATCATCGCTACACCAAAAAATGTGTCATTACCAATTCGACCAAAACGACTACATTGTCACTGATGAAGATTTAGCTTTTGATGTGTTTTGTGTAAGAAAGAAAAACGAACCTCGCTGTCGTTCGGAAGATTTTCATTCGGTGCGATCAGAAGAACGGCAGAACCAGATGTACAAATTTTCACCTGTTAATTTTGAACTAGAAGAAATGGACCAGGAGCAAGAACAGGACACCAGCTGTATTTCATCAGCCGGATTGTGTTTTTCCCAAGAACTGTGATACGCGGATAAGAAAGTGCCCAGTTCTTTCATCTGTGGCAGTTTTCAAAAAAGTCAAGCTGCTACAAATTATGTGACGATGTTGGCTCCTTTATTGTGTTCACTAAAAGCAATTGCTTCTGCATCGACTTCATCAGGTTCTACTTCGATTTGTAACGCATGTCTCATGGCTTTTGCTATGTGCAAAAACTTTGACGGGTCCGATTTGTCGTCCGTCTCGATTCCCGTGCCGTCGATCTCCATGTTCCAAAACATTCCCCCGCGAACGTCCAGTCCCCGCAAGGCGTTGTCGAAGTCCTCGACTAGGAAATCCCCCGCTGAATTTTTGCCAAAGGCAAATCCCCACAACAGGTTTTGTGAGGGAATTTGGACCAGAAGCTTTTCGGCTGGAACTGGTTCCCCCTTCGCCGTCCCCGCCGGCACGGTGATGTAGTAGCCCTTCCTGTATTGCTCGCCTAGATCCTCTATCAAATGCAAAAATGTCTGGGTCTGGAAGAATGCAAGTTTGTCACGCTTGTCTGGCATGACTCGAGAATCTGTGTTGCATAGGCACGAAAAAGCCCTCTTACCTGTCACGCAAAAACGCAGCTTGCCATGCGGAATACGTAAGACATGGCAGCCAAGAAACTTGTCATGCATAGATGCGTATTGCGGTGCGTCTTTCGTTCACTTTTAGCATTACAAGTTTCCAGACCCAGACATATTTGCAATCCATATCCTCCAGGTACCGCCGCGTTGGCATTTTCAAAACGCTGACCGCGTAGTCCGCGTGCGCCTTCCCCTCGTAGAGCTGGATGCTGATGAGGTCGAAAACCGGAACTGGGTGAGTAACAACTCTACTTCCGTCTGCTCCCTCGCGTTCGATCACGGTCTTCCCATACTTTCCCAGCCAGTAGGCGTACGCGTTCCTACCGTGGTGCAAAAACTCCGGATGCCAGTCCTTCGGCCACGGTGGTAATTCAAGGGAGAAGCTGAACTCGCATTCGGGAATGATGGTGCCTGCGTGTGTGTGGTTCTCATCTGCTTCTTGTTCCTGTTGTGCTGCAGGCGCAATGCCATCACCACCCGTTGCCCTCTGTGAAGATGTCTTATCTCCCCCTACTTCTTCTACCAAACAAGTGCAATCGAGGTAGCTTTGCGCTGGCGCCATGGTGACGAGGTAATTGTTCTGTTTTAACAAGACCGACAGCTCTCCGACGATGTCCAGCACTTCGCGGGGGAAAGTATTTGTCTCCGATTTCCAAGACGCGCCCTCGTAATCCCAGTCGACGCCATCGAAACCCCGGAAGCCGGGGTATTTGTGTTGCAAATCCGCATTCCAGCTTTCGAACGCGTCAAAGTACTCTTTTCCGGTCAGCCAAATTTTCTCGCCGTCAGCGGTTGTCACCGAAGCTTCTAAATGCGGCGCGTTCCAGCCGCCGAAACAGAGAATATGTGCGACTTCGGGGTGGACTTCTGCGATCTTCACTATCTCTGCGATGTCCCTGCTGGGGTCGATTTTGATGTCGATTTTTTTTCCTGCGCTGACTGTGGTATTAAAGTGCGCTGTGAACCAATTAACGACGTTGACGCCGTCCCGGATCTCCGAGGCTATCTTCTCCGCATCTGGGGCCGGAGCGTACGAAGATATCACCTTGCTGGGAAGCTGGTACAGAGTTCTTTGTTTGGGGGCACGAGCGTCTTGTTGTGCCGCAGACACGACGCGGGCAGATGCAGAGGTCATGATGTTGGTCATCGTGGACAGTGAGGGCAAGAAACAGTGAATGGAAGAGAAGAAACAGAAAGGGCGGATGATCGAAACTATAACCATACTGAAGACTTTGTAAAACAGGGACAAGAAAGGCACACAGAACCCTGGATATTACTCTACTTCATCTCACGAATAATAGACATACTTACCCAAAATCATATATTTATATTTTCTCTTCAATGGATGAGGGCAAGGAAGCCATGTCATACCGATTCAAAACAAGCACCGATTTCTAGCACAGTGACATTTATTCAGGATCAGTGAACGACAGCTTTTACGAACCGATCCCTGTCGTCGATCACGCAGACCTACGCAAACCGAATCACGAATCAAAAAATTTTGAAGCGGACCAAGTAGAACAAGTGGATGTAGGCCCCACTTTCAACAGCTGCGTTGTGCCGATCGAGCTCAGCTCGTGCTGTTTTTAGACCAATGGATACTTTTGCGTAGATTTCGATATGGTGTCGCTTGTCGCATGTTGAATTATTCATGTATTTTGCGTATAGTAAAAGACTCTGTGTTTGATGCAGGTACATCTTCGGTGAGAGCGAGACGCTTGCAAGATCAAGTCATTCACTGCTGCGCCCGTTTGCGTGCGGCCGCGAAAGAAGCAAGCGAAAAAGAGCCCACCTTTCGCGCATCGGCCGGTGCTGCGGTCCCAGTAGTTCCCGGACCGCCGGCTTTTGGCGCAGCTGCAGCAGCGCTGCTTGCCGAGGACGCAGCGGCTGCGCTGGTAGACGACGGCTGTTGATCTCCCACTGTGCCTTTCGAAACCGGTTTTTGATTCTGCTGCGCGCTAGAACCAGGTTTGCCACCAGTTACCGTTTGCTTCTGACCAGCGGCGTCTGGAGCTTTCAACTCCATCATCTTGCGCCACTTCTGCTCACGCAGTGCCAGGTACCGCACCCCGGTGCGCACATCCGCATTGCGCACGAATTGGAGGACCCTTTCGGCGCGGGGTAACTCGAAAGGCAAGGCTCCTGCAGGTAAGTCTTGCTTCATCAGAGGGTTCGATTTCATCTTCCCCATCTTCTTTCGTCGGTTTGTTTCTTCTTCGGCGTCGCTAGCAGCATCATCGTTGCCTTCCTTCGAGGTAATCTCCATTGTCGACAGGTCGATCTTCACATTGTCCAGCTTGTTTGCAGCAACGCCTTCACCCGCTTCACTATTCTCTGCCTCGCCCGCCTTTTCGCACCACAGGTCGATGAGTTTTTCTGCGTTTTCGCGCTCCTCCGCCTCCTTTACCGGCAGTGGCCTCATCGTGCTAGGGTTGAATTTCACGTCGAACTCGAAGCTTTCGTCGTAATTCAGCAGTTTGTTCGTCATGTCGCACCGCTTCCGCAGCTCCTGCGCCTGCCTCACCCGGTCCGCCACACCCACGGCACGGCACTGCGCGCAGAACGCGTCCCGGGTCACGCCGTCGTCCTTCCGACTACGGATGTTCAGCAGTACGTGCTTAGCTTCGCACTCCGCGCAACGGCGGTACAGGCGCTTCTCGAAGTTCTGTTGCAGGTCGGACGAAGCGATTTTCCTCCCGCTGCTGAAAGTTTTCACTACCTGCGCACTCAGCCGGCTAACGAACCGGTTGGACTCGACGTGTCGGAGCCACCGCTGCCAGAATTCGCTCCTTGTCTTCCGAATCGTGTCCAGATTGCCGACGACGAACAAGTGCCGCTGCGCACGGGTCAGCGCGACGTTGAACCGGCGGAAGTCTTTCTCCAAAAATCCCAGCTCCCCCATCCCGTTCGCCCGGACCAAGTTGAAGATCACGCAAAAACTCTGGCTCCCCTGGCAGGAGTCGATGGTATTGACCGCCACCGCGGCGGTCCCGGGCGCAAACTTCTTCTCCATGTGGTCCCGCAGGGTGAATCTATCCTGAGTAAAAACGTACCCACACCAGAGTCAAGATGGGGAATCGGCTAGACAAATCCACAAGTTTTGGCTGTTTTGCATGACAAATTTGGATTCGTAGTATAGTGCTGTTTCAGCTAGCTCAGCAGCATCACAGATCTAGCATACCATGCTGATTGGAGCATGACAAATTGCAAAACACGATTGCAAAATGCTTCTCATGGGGCTCCGCATGAGAAACATTTTCACCATGCAGATTTGCATTACAACTATGGGGTGGGTACGTTTTTACTCAGGATAGAATCCAGTGTTCTGTTTGTTCTTCTCCAGCCTCTTCAATCGGTGCACCTGTCCCAGATACGGGCTGATGACCAAAATCTCCATCCAGGGCTGCGCCCGCTGCAGAAACTCCACCAGGGCCTCGATCACCTGCGCCTCGGCCTCGTTCTTCCACGAAGTCCCGAGCGCGCGCTCCTCGCCCGTGGCAGTACTACTAGTTCCGGTTGTTGAGTAGATATTGGTTCGGTTGCAAGAATTCGATCCGCTACCGCTGTCCATCATTTGCCCGCAAAGCTCGGACGAGTCCAAGACGTGGAAATTTTCCAGATCGTCCTTGATCACGTACTTGAGATTGTCGTACATGGGGTCGTCCTTCAGCCTCCCCTGGTAAAACTCTTGTGACGGGAACTCGGAAATCAGGGGGTGCATGCGGTACTGCGTGTCCAGCAGGTGCGGCTGCATCCCGTTCTTCTGCAGTCTCTCGAACAGGGAAAAGGAGGGCACGGATTTTTTCGACTCCTCCGAGGAGCTGGAGCCGGTCGTGCCGGGCCGGGATTTTGTGTTTGAGGTAGTGCTTTTCGACTTTTCCTCTTCGCGCTCCAGTAACGTCTCCACGGTTAGCTCGGGATTCAAGGTCGTCGCGGGGAGCTGGTTCGGGTCCCCGACCAGCACGGCGGCGCGACAGCGAGAAGCGACGATCGGGATCAGCGTGCTGGTCTCCGTGGCTTGGCACGCCTCGTCCACGATCACAGTCGAGCACGGGACGGACACGTCGACCGCTTGCGACTGGTTCAAAGTCGCGAACACGATGTCCATGCCCTCGGAAATGTGGTTCTCAAAGTAGGTTTGGATGCGCATGTGGGCGGCGGGCTTGCGCTGCTTGTTTACCACGCCCTTGTTCGACGTCCCAGTGTTAGGTGGCTGCACCATCGGGAAGTGCTCGAAGTTTTTCTCCATGAACTCCGCCCGCCGTAAGTCCTGGCGGTAAGCGCGCACGTCGTAAGACATACAAAACATCAGCTCGTTCATCAACATCCTCGCTTGCTTCATGTGCGGTAGGTGCATCGCCTTCTGCCAGTCCGTTTCGAAGGGCGGGTTCCAAAACGGCTGCCAGCCGTTGTTCGGCGGCCCCTGGCGGTAGGCGACTTGCCCCCCCGCGCCCTCGTTCCAGACTACTTCCCAGCCCGCCTGCATGGTCTTGGGGCACTTCTCGCACAGCTTCTTGATTTGCGTGATCAGCTTCTCCGCCTTCGAGATCTTTCCTCGGTGCTCCATCTGCACCTTCTTCTTCACCTGCGGAATTTCATCCTTCTTCGTTGCCATCCAGCTGCGGACGCGCTGCTGGATGTCTTCGGACCGGAATTGGGAAGAAAGCAGACGATATTTCGTCGGCTTCCACGTGGGCCCAGTCGGCAGTTGGAAAACCGCCACCTTCTTGTAGATCTCGTCCACGGCCTGGTTGCTCGGCGCGGTCACAAGGAGGCGCGGAAACCGGCCCGGCGCGCTGTCGAAGACGTGGAGTAGGCTGTCCATGGTGTTGTCGAAGTTTTTGTCGCCGAAAATTTTTTCCTGGACTCCGAAAAACCACAAATGCAGATCGCGGAGGAAGACGGTGTTCAAAACCCAAACTACCGTCGTGGACTTTCCCGTCCCTGGCGGCCCGTGGACCAGCATGATGCCGTCTTCCCGCAGATCCGATTCTTTCACGACTTCCTGCTGCGACGGGTTGCAGTTCGAGTAGTTCATGATGTCGCACCTCTCCAAATGCTTTGCGGCTTTCCAGGCTTTCTCCTTCTCTACTTTTGCCGCGTCTTTCTTCTGCTTCTTCTCCGCGTCCTCTTTTCCGGTGAGGATCAGCGGTCCCAGCTTGGTCTTTTTCGTGTCGCCGCTCAATTTCTGGTGATCGGCTAAATGCGCGGTGGCAGGGAGCTCTTGCAGCTGCTGCTCCGCGTTCAACACCGCTTGCAATTCGCGGAAAACGCTGATTAAGTTCGACGTGTGGCCAAACGCGCAGAGCTCGACCCGCGCGAGCTCTTTCGTCTCTCCAAACTCCTGCCACCGTTGCTCGTCGACGCCACAGGTTGTCCATTGTCCCTCGACGTCGTAGGAGAGGGCTCTTGTCGGCCGGACTAGGAGCAATCGACCAGAAGTGCTGCTACGAAGCGCCACGACCGCGTTCTGGGTCGCGACCAGCCCGCTCAGCCCTCGGGCGCCGACCTGCTCCAGCATTTGCACCTGCATGCTGCCGGGCTGCATGTCCTTCTTGATCTTCGCCTTATGCCAGGTCGCCGCTTTGCTGTTTTTGCTCACCGCACACTCGCCGACCATCTGCTGAATTTGCGCGCGCGCCTCGGAAGCGAGAAAATGACCCCAATAACTCCGGTACTGCCGCCAGTTGGTGAATGCGGATGGCTTGTCCAGCAAATCCGGCCCGTCGGGGATGGAAATGAACGAATTTCTCGTGGTGCCACGCCTGTTGCTCATCTGTCCGCCGGCCAGTTGCTCGTTCGCCATTCCGGTGATGTCGGTCTGCAAAATCCTAAACCAGAACGTGTGCTCGCTGAACTCCTGCGTTCCGCGGCTTTGCTGTCGCATGAACTCGAACGGGTCGAAACCTTCGTGTCCGGCGACAGCACTGCTTCCGGAACCTGCGTTTTTCGAATTTCGGCCCTGCGCTGACGAAGACGAACTCGACGACGCAGAAGAAGATGGCGGAGCCTGTGCCTCTGCCTGGTTCCGGGTGCTCGCGAAGAAGAGCGCCGTGCCTCCGCTCCCATTCCCGACGTAGTTCTTCCCGTTCCGTTTGCCGCCCTTCGCGGCCGCGGGTCGGGCCGGCCCCTTCGCGCTTGCGGGTAGTGGCGGTCCACCTGCAGTCGCCGCGGCCTTGGCCTTGCCAAAACTACCTAGCCCCTTGCTGGAAGATCCCTTGGTGTAGTCTCCGGTGCGGGCTTGCGCGGTGAACGGAAACCCAGAAGAACTGCTCGACGAAGAGCTCTTTGAAGTAGATGCAGGACCACCTCCCTTTCCGGAATTTGTTGTTCCCGGAAAGAACGCAGCCGACGACGAGGATGATGCCTGATTCGTGCTCTTCAAGAATGCCCAGGCTGCCTCGGTGTCCTGTGCACCACCTTTTCTATTCGGAGCGGGTGGAGGGAGTTTCGCTCGCTTGCTGTCGTTGACATTACCAGAAGTGGAAGGTCGCTTCCTGGGAGGAGCCCGCTGCTGCGGTTGTGGTGGGGGTGGTGGAGGTACCGGGGCCTTAGATACGTCGCGCGGTGGGGCCGGGTTTCTCGGCCGGCCGGCATTCCGCGGGGGCGCTGGCTGCGGGGGTGGCGGCCGTGGAGCAGCTTTGTGGCCATTATTGGGCTGCATTTTGCAGATTTGCAGTCAAATTTCTAGCGGGAACTTGCGGTTCCGAAAGAATCGGCAGGATTTTTCGTCATAGCTAAAAAAGATGAATCGATTTTAGCAAGAAAAAAGCCACGCCCATGACTACGATAGGTACTGATATCTCTAAAAGAATCTTTCTGGCTCAAGAAATCTCCGCGGTCACAGTAGCTCTCGGATTGAGAAGACAACACCATTTACTTGGGTACTTCTCTCGGGCGCATCTATCACACGTCACAAAATTCCCTTTTAAAGGAAAAAACTGCCGAAACTAGAAAATAGAAACCCGCCTGTTAGATATTTTCAAAAAGGTTTGATCATAATAGAATGCTACAAGCACATGGAGCGACAAATTCGCTTCCGTCTGAACCTTCAGTTACATTTTCGACGGATCCAATTCCTCAGATCGCATGTTTGTAAGATACTAAAATTTAGTCCACGACTTATCGTCCGATCTGCGTCCATAACTTGATTTTTGTTCTGGTCTGATAGTGTACTTCGAATGAAGAAAGAATACCGACAACATTCATCAGTATAATCGATCACGAAAAGTAACTTTGTGTTACTGATCCTCTCCAGCGTCTTCTTCCTCATTCGCATGATCACTTTTTATCTTTTGCGGATTTCACAGTGACGTATTGAACGCCTCCGACCAGAAAGAAACGGTGCGGGTTCACAACGTTCCCAGAGCAGCGGGCGATTGCGACTAGGCTGATAAAGTTTCAGTTTGACCATTTTTGTTCAAGTTTAGCAAAAACAAAAAGCAAGGCATTTAACAAAAAAATTGATGACGCACAACTTTATTTCGCTTTCGCTTACCACGCTTTGAAAACTGTGATACGAAAATTGTTTTTCGACGAAAACAGAAAATTGATGCGGTTAGACCAGCCTCCGGGCAAGCGCATACTTAATCCGAATCCGCAAAACATTACATACTTTTCCTGTATTTCATTCAAATTGAGAAACGTCTGCGGAATAGTATCGAGCTCCGAATGTCCAGCACGAGTGTAGGCCTGGAGCGACTTCAGGACAGCAGAGACAATGACGCTCACCTCGGTCTCCGACAGCCCTTCGGTCTTCTCCCAAACAATGCTGCTTCGAATGGTCTGCTCACTTAGTCCCGAAGTATCCAAGTAGTTACTTTCGTACTTTTCAATCTTCTGCTTCAGCTGCATCTGTTCCCGCTGTGAAGCTAGAAGCTCTCCCTGTACCTTGACCAGCGCCGCGTTGGTGTTGCCGTTTCCAGCCTCCAGCTTGACTGCATCGGCGTACCGATTCATTACCCTGGTCATGTCATTCACCATGTCCTTTCGAATCTTCTCACTGAGCGGCAAACCTCCGTCGTCATCTGAGGAAAGACCCGCTGTCGTCCTCGAACGCTTGTTGCAATCCGGAGCAGGCATTTTGTAAGCTTCGACAACTAGAATCGTATTTCTGCTTGATTATCCTACCTTCTGCTTTATTATCCTAGTTACTTAATGCGCTTTGGTTCTGAATCAAAAAAAATTATCAGAAGATAGATCTCTGATAGTCTAAGGGTCTAACACCTTGATCAAAAAAAATGAAGCATTGTCTCATTTATGTGTCCTGTAAAAAGCTTCCTCTCCATGAGAGAATATGAATCAAAAAAGTGTTGTCGGAACCAACTGGGGGCGCAGTCTCTTTGCTCCTTTTGACAGCTACGAAGCATATTTTTTCGCTCTGCTTTTGATTCTATCATTGCATGCGTTACTAAGTAGTATGCGTTACTAACTTTTTTCTAAGTAGTATGCGTTACTAACTAGAAAGGAGGCTATCATAGCATGCGTTACTAACTTTTTTCGAGTATGTGCTGAAACTTCGTGTTTTCTCTACGCATGAACAACCCGAAAGTCTCGCCATCAAGAATCAAGGACTTGCACGCGCATTCACGACTTTTGCTGCAGCTGCATAGCTGTTGCTCTTTAGTGCATCTATGTAACCCAGGCTCACTCTTCCTGCACATTCGAAATGACTACCAATTTTTTTACAGTTACAGTCTGGGAGGACGCAAACACATTCCAGAATGTGTCGAAGTTGGCATCAGGTTTTATGTAGTACAGAGCGACATCACAGCGCCTAATGCTTGTAAATGGTGATCCGGAAATGGTTCTTCGATGGAAACACGATATTCATCCGGTTCCCGCGCAGCCGCATCTTCATCCCAAACCCGCAACACATGTCATACTTGTCCTTGTCGAATTGCTTCACAAACGTGTCCGGAATCGTCTGCAGGTCGCTGTGTCCTTCCCGCGCATACGCCTGCAGCGCGACACTCACGCCCCGCACGATCTCGCTGGTTTCCGCAGACGAAAAACGACCGCGGTCGGTCATCGTGTAATCGATGGACCCTCGGATGGCTTGCTCGCTGAGTCCCTCCGTGTCCAAGCGGAGGGACTCGAGCGTCTGCGTTTTTTCCTCCGCATTAGCTAGCTCTTGCTGCAACGACTCCACCTGGTCCTGTAACTCGGCGACACCACGCGTGCCAGTTGCGGACTCGAGGTTGACGGCATCTGTGTACCGATCCAACTGCTTGATGATGTCTTTTCGAATTTTCTCGCTGAGTGGCAATCGCCGCTCATCGTCAGAAGACGACCCCGCCGTAGTGCGTGAGCGCTTGCGGTCGAGAGCTGGCATCTTGATGTTGGTATATGTATAATAAATCGCTTCACAAAAAACGAACGAATCCGAAGAAGTGTGCATGCATGCGTAGATCAGAAAAGAAATTGCGAGGATCACAAACAGAACCAGATTCGTGGGCTATCGTGGAAAATGCAGAAACCTTTTTCACTTCCAAGAAATTGATGTCAACAACAGATGTAGAGCAGTATGCTCAAAAATGTTATGATCGGAAATGACCTTCTCCAGGATCTGGTGATCCGCTTAACCCGTCCTCAAAAAAGATGCGCTTTGACGTTTCATTTTGATCTACGAGCAACCGGAGCCCACAACTTTCAGCCACGCAGCGCTGTCTTGTACCAAATCTCACCAAACTTGGGATAGATCGCAGTGGCGTGAGTCGCCACTTCACAAATGTGACACAAGACCCAGAACAAATTCAGAACCGCACGTCCACGCATGTGAACGTAACAAAAAAAACACGACTGAACATCCAGTAGATGGTGATCTAACTAAATAATGCGTGACAGCGCAAAAAATATCATTTCTCACAACGTTATTTGCAGAATGACACTACCAATGGCCACCCAAAGCGGTACCAATCCAGACAGTTGCGCACTCCCTTGTGCCGCGGTCTTGCGGCCGATCACTGTATCTGGAATAGTAGCCTTTCTGAATCACTCGGTAATTCAGTGTCAGATCGTAGAACATGCGCAGCTTTAGACTGCGAAAGTCCCAGGACCGCGAAGCGAATTCGAACTCGTACAGGTATTGCAGTGGCTGCATAGAGGTGTCGCTGCGCAACACCTCTATGAACAAGTGCAGCATCTTCGCGTGCGAAAACCGTGGCCTGATCACATGTACGCGTCGCTCGAGCCAGCCGCGTCCGGCGAGAGGAGTAGGAGACGCTGTAGCGGTGTCGTTATTATTTTGCGGGAACAAGATTTCCGACCACGTTCGCATGTGCCGTCCGACCTCCACCAAGGCCCGCTCGTCCAGGTACGTGAAAAACGTCTTATCCGGTGTCGCGCCCCGCGCCTCAGCTGACTGCGACAATTCGGACAGGCTGAAGTGGATTGGCAGCTCGACCTCCCAGTTTTCCTCGCCGAGAGCCTTTTGCACCCGCTGCAATCGGCTGATGAAATCGAGCGCGCGGCGTTGCATGCGCGGGATTCTGACTGGAAACATCTCGTTGGCCTCTCTCCGCTCCTCCTCGGTTTCCGGCGAGAAGGTGGATCCCAGCACCGCCGGAATCCCATCCAGCAAAGGCATCAGTTGGTTCTCGTCCTTGCCAATATCGTTTTCCAGTTCGTGCAGTGCCTGGAAAACGCGTCTGTGGTACTCGGGATCATGCCCCGCGGACGGGAATCCTATCCACCGGATCATCCCCTTCATCTTGGCTCCGGTCATAGTGGAGCGACTACGCGACCCATATTTCGGGCGAAAAATCGTGTGCAGTCCTTGGCCGCAGTTCCTGCACATAATTTGGTCCCACGAGGCTCTGCGCTCATCCTCTTCTTCCATCAATCTGCTCAGTTCCTGCGCATTGTGCCGTCCGAACAGAGCACGTAGCGGGTCCTCCTGGATATCAAGAATGTGTCTTGCGAGACCGATCTTCGTGCGCGTCACTTCCGCAATTTGGTCCGCAATTTGTCGACGCAGGAGGAACGAAACCTGTGATGGTTGCGACTGCGGTGACTGCATTGCTTCCTCCCCCTCGTCCGTTTCCATACACAGCGGTCCATTTCCATTAGGAGTCTCCCGCCAAAAATCGCCACTTGACGCTGTCGCTCCTGAGCTGCTCTCGCCCCTACTGAAACAGCTGCCGATGCTCGTAGACCCTTCGCTACTTGCAGCATTGGACGTCGGAGAAATTCCAGCAAAAGCGCGGCTCGCATAGGAAAGGCGCAGGTTCTCCCGAAGTAGACTGCATTCCGCAACACCCGGCTGCTCAAGAATGATTTCCGCACCACGAGCAAGAATTGCTGTGGTCAAGAGATGAAGCCACTGCATGATTTGATGATCGAAAATCGTACTCGGAGCGAAAAGGCAAAAGGAGAGAAAACCAGTGCGAAACTCCTGAACCTAATTTTTGAACTTGTGCAAACACATCCAACCACAAAAAAAAAGGATCGGAAAAAAGTTGAAACCATCTTGGATCGCTGCTTTGAAAGCCCCGATGAGGCCGTCTTTTCAAAGCAAAAACATTAGCACTCACACTCAAATCTTCCTGTGTTCTTCCTTAGTGCGGGAAAAATTCCTCTATCTTCGGAAGCTAGCAACGCACCTTTAATAGTGATACACCGACCAAACAGGGCCCTAGGGCTTGAAAATCGTGATTCGGAAATTGTTCCTTGTCGGGAAATTCATGTTCATTCGATCCGTCCATCCAGCAGCCAATCTCATTTTCAAACCAAACCCGCAAAACATGACATATCTTCCCTGGACGGCGGTTGCAAATGCGTCCGGGATCTTTTGTATGTCCTTGTGTTGGTCTTGTTCGTACTCTCGCAGGGCGCGCAACAGCGCCTGAATCACCTGCGTCATCTCGGCTCTGGAGAATCCCTCCGTCTTGTCGACGTCAATGCTGCTGCGGAGCGCGTTCTCGTCTAGAAGTCCTTCGGTGTCGAGGCACAGCGTTTCGCACTTTCGGACCTTCTCGTTTGCCACGGAGAGCTCCCATTGTAGCCCCAGCACTTCGTATCGCAAGAAAAAAGTGTTACAGTTACACATTGTGCTGCAAGACCGGCAACCCAGACAACCTTTCTCATGCAGAAAGCGCTTGGGAGCCTCGTTTCCTTCCTGTTTTCCCTTATGATCTTCGCATTACAAGTTTCCTCTGCCACACTTTTTTCTCGTGATACTTCGTCCTGCAGTTCCGAAACACTCGTCGCTCTGGTTTCCGCTTCGAGGTTCATCGCATCCGTGTACCGGTCGAGCTGCTTCACGATGTCCATACGGAGCTTTTCGCTGAGAGAAAGCCCCTGTTCCTCGCCCGAGGACCAGTCGGCTGTGCTCTTCGTTCGCTTGTACTCGGGCATCGGCATCTTGGACACGAGCATGATAGGACGAATGGGATCTCAACTAGCTGCGTGCGCACTGCGCTTGTGCTAAGTTTGACGTGACAAGCGGTCCTTTCGCTCAGAACTCTTTAACTTTCTAATGACTAAAACAGCACTCTGTGGTCACAACTTCAGCTCTCACTCGAAATGAAGCTTGAGGCTTACAGACACAACGCTCAGTTCAACGCAGCAAACTTTTTTGGAACGCACGATGAAGATGTTTTCAGTCCCAGGGCCCATTTCAGAAATTCGATTTCCAATTCATCTGTGACCGGGCTGCGACTCAAAAATAATGCGTTTCCAGCAGTATTCACAAAAAGGCATGCGTGGTCTTTATTTGTCAAGAGGACGAGAAATGAATCGATTATTGCTCTACTTTCGCCAAACCGTGATTCGAAAATTGTTTTGCGCAGGAAAGCACAGGTTTAGCCGGTATCCCCAGTAGCTTTTCTTGTCAAATTGCATTTTCGTTTCGAACCCGCAAACAATCACGTACCGGCCCTCGAGGTGCTTGTGGGTGTAGTTTGCAATCCTCTGCACGTCGGTGGCCTTCTCTCGCTGGTATTTTTGGAACGCCTGTGTAAGAGCCTCGATTATTTCGTCCGTTTGCCACTTCGCGAAGCCCTCCGTTTGGTTCCACACGATGCTATCTCGTAGTGTCCAGTCGTTGTCCAAACCTGTGGCGTCGAACGTAAGCTCGGGAGTAGAGGAGAAAGTCTTCTTCCTGCTAGCCTTCTCCTCCGTTATTTCAGGACTTGTCGTCGCTTCACGAACAGTCTCAGCTTTTTCCTTTCCGGTTTCCTCTCCACAAAGAACACTAGGACCGACAGAGCAACTGCTATTCGAATTCAGGCTTGTCTCCTCGTTCTCTCGTCTTTTCTTGCCCTTCCTGTGGTCGAATCTTTTAATTACCGCAATCCGGAAGTTGTTCCGCTGTGGGAAGACGATGTTCAACCGATGGGGGTCCCACTCGCTCGAAATCGCCATTTTTGCGCCGAAACCGCAAACCATCATGTACTTATCCTGGAACTCGTCGAGGAAGGTGCGGCAGATGACTTGTAAATCCTTGCTCCCCTCCTCCACGTATTTCTGCACGGCTTTGTGGACGCCTTTCACCGTTTCGTCGATGTCTTCTTTTGAAAACCCCCGGGTTAGTTCCGGCACGACGTGGTCAAAAATTGCCTCTTCATCCAAACCCTTCGCGATGAATTGAAATGTTTGCAGGCTCTCGAGAGATTCTTTTACCTGGTACAGTTCTTGCTGGGAGTGGAAGAGGCGATCCTGCAAATCTGCAACCTCCTCGCAAGAGAAAACATTGTCGCCCTTCTCGGTGGCTTCCTGTTTGAGAGCGGTGGTGAATTTGTCGAGCAGGGTGGGGAATCGGTCGAGGAGGTCGGTCATCTCGTCTCGCAGCTTTTCGCTGAGAGGCGTCTTGGGGTGCTCTTCGTAGGACGAGAGCGTCGAACGGGAACGCTGGTGGGGGGTCGACATTTTGCTCGACGACCTTGTGCGCTAGGCAGGAGCAGAGAAAATGATTTCTTGTTTGTACTCTGGGATGTAGTTCCAAGACTTATACTTTATGAAACCCGGTCGCAATGAAATGCGCTAAATCATTCGGAGCTACCTTGAGCAGTTATTTCTGAACGGTGACGGACACAAGTAGAAACATTCGATACGCAAAACTCGCCACCGCCACGTGCGCGTACTTACTATCTCAGGATTCTTGTTTTGCAGCTCACTTCCCGTCCTCAATAAAACATGACCAAACCATACAGCCCAACTGCTTGCAGAGATATCGTGGAAAAGAAGGCAACTCTCTGTTATGATTCGGGGTCCATCGGAAACGCCAAATGTCGATCCTCACCATGAGTGGACTCAGTCCAAGACCAGTGGAACATGGCTTCGCCGTGCACAGAAGCGCTGGCTTGGCAACGACCCCAAGACGAGGACTCTATGACCCTCTATTGGTCAATAGATGTTTCATCAGTTGTTAATTCAAGCATCTCCGCAGGAGGCTCGATACATCTGCGCATAGATTCGATAGTACAGTTCTAGCATCTCGAAGGACCTCAGCCTACCTTATGAACGACGCATCGAAAATCATTTTTTGATGGAAATTGAAAATTCACCCGCATCGGACTCCAGTGGGTGTAGCACATTTTCATCCCGAACCCGCAGACTATGAAGTATTTTCTTCCAGGTGTGGTCTGTCGTTCAAAACCAAGTGGCACTGCCTGCAAATCAACGGATCCACCGTGTGCGTAAGCCTTCAGAGAAGCAAGCAAAGCTGCGACTATCTCGTCAATTTCGCACTGCTCGAGTCCGACACTATTCACAATCGCCTGTTGCAACGCCTGCGCGGTGAGGTCTGTAGTGTCCAGATAGTGGCTCTCGTGCTCCTTGAGCTTACGTCTCGATTGAAGAAGCTGTTGCTGCAACGAAAGAACTTCAGTCTGTAGTTCCGCGACGCCCGTCTTCTGCTTTCCTTGTTCGAGTTTCACGGCCTCGGAATATCGCCCCAGCTGCTTCACCACATCGCTCAGGATTTTGTCACTGAGCAATGTCGGCTCGTCCTCAGAGCCAGAATCCATTGTCGAGGTGGACATCTTGGTGCTGGATGGAAATGAAATGAAACATATATGGGCAACACAAACAAGATCGTATCGTTTGCAAGTGATCTAAATATGCGCTCTTGCCGTCGGTCTACAAATATCGCAGTCGCCAGGAAAAACTGTGTATGCTCTAGCTATGACTCTAGTTTCGGAAAAATGGTAAGCTGAACTTGTCTTTGATGCAGCGAAGAGCAATCTCGTCTTGGGGTGCTCTTCGTAGGACGAGAGCGTCGAACGGGAACGCTGGTGGGGGGTGGACATTTTGAATGAGGATGTGGCCCGAATAAGCTATACACGATCATTTACTTGTGTTGTACGGCTGATGATGAAACAAATAGTATCACGTACTTCGAGCGCACATGAATCCAAAACGAAAATTACAACGCTCAAACAAATGGCGAAGTTTCTCCCCGCCGACATATAAATATCTTCCTCGGCCACCAGGATGAATACTTGATACCTCCAATGAACCTTACAGAACAACAGCGAGACCGCAAGATCACCAATCATACTGACATGTCTAGCTCCAAAGTCAGCAACATCACGCTTCGCACGCATTTATGAAAAAGCGAATAAATGAAATGAATCCCCCGTATGAACAATTATTCATTCAGTTTTTTTGTTTTCAGCCCGTTATAGATGAGGTATCGGACACACCACAGCTGCAGGGTGCATAGTCGTTCCGGCCCTCTCATCATCTATTCATTTACATACCATATTCCATGTCTGTAGTACATCGTAGGTTTCTTGTGGCCCGTTGATTCGCGGCGACGTAAAGCCTTGAAGACACATATGCGCAGAGCATTGTCATCTTCTTCTGCTGGAAATTGAAAATTCAAACGCTCTTGGTGCCAGTACTCTCCAGAGGTGAATAGGGTCATACCAAAACCTATAAAAGGAACATACTTCCAATCGGTAATATTCGAAAATGCCTCCGCGAAATTCAGTAGTTCTTCTTTCTCGTTTCTTAGTTGAATGGCGTTATTAATGGCCCTAAAAATCCCAGATGTCACCTCCGACTCCTCCGATTGCGAAAACCCCTTTGTCCAATTCAGCGCGTCTGCAATTTTCGCGACGGTCATCCTCCCATTTCTGGAAAAAAACGACAGCCGCCGTGGCGCCCTCCACTCTTGTAGCAGCGAGTGCAGGTTTCGGTTTTCCAGGCGAAGGCTTTCAGATTCCGCGGTCTTTTCCTCCGCTCGTTGCAGCTCTTGCTCAAGGTCACCGATTTTCCGTTTATCGGCTTCCGTCATCCTTTCTTGATTTGCTTGACGAAGACTTTCCCGCAGAGCCGCATTTTCTTTCTGCAGCTCTTTGAAAGTATCCGCTGCCTGGGAACCTTCCTCATGCTTCACGGCATCGGCATAAAGACCGAGTTGATTCACCAGCTCACGGAATATTTTATCGCTGCGGAGTGGTGCCGCGTCAGCGGAGGGCGGCGCGATTGTCGCTTCGGAATTAAGTGTGCTGGTCATACTCACTAAAGAAACGACATTGATCACTGAACGCTTCTGACTATCGAATTAAAGGAGAAGAACCTTTTCTCTTTCACAACATCGGCTCTAGCCAAGATCTTAATAAGACACAAGTACTCACGCATCTTACTTTTATGTATCTATGATGTCTCCTGTCCAAACCTCTAGCAAAGCACGAACTCTAACCCTCATATTCGCTGAAACGGGTCTATGCTGAGTCAGTCTGTGCCGTTGCTTCAATACACGTCGTTTCTTTTTTTTACTATGCATAAAAAAATGACCAGTATGATGGTGACCGTTCCCGTTGGGAGTGCTATTGGTAATCATTTCCACAGACGGGCACGCAGCGTCAGCAACGGAAGGATGGTCACGGTTGAGACTGAAGGCTTCGGTTTCCTTCTTCAGAATATACACTTTTTTACTCTTCTCTGCACAGGTTTCTTCAATGTTCTTCAGTCGGTCCCAAAGATGTCGCACCTTTTTTGCGCCGGCGTCGTGTTCCGGCAAAGCCTGCACCAAACGGTCGCCAGTCTCTCTAAAGTGCTCGTTCTCGAAGAAAGCATTGGGGTACTCGTTGACGCTGTCGTCACACAATTGCTGCATCCAGCTGCCTGGGTTGCGGTGTTTGTCTTTATTTTTCCAGTATCCGAACTTGTGACACGCTCTCCACTGAGGCATCACATTCTCCTCAAGGTCGCACAGACCAAGACCGTTGATGTTCATTCCCCTCACGTAGCGACGAACTTCTGCACACAGCGCGTCAGGCAATTTACCGTCGAGAGCGAACTGGTAAGCAACGCCGAAGAGGACCGTGGCCTCGTGATCCGTGCCGAGGAGATCCGCACAAAAATACCAGTTTGCAGACATGCTGGCAATAGTTTTCGAGCTGTTGAACATCTCCTCCCCCTCACGCACGATCGCTGCGTCCAATGCAGCGCAAGTGATTGACGACTCAGCAACATGTTCTTCGGCTGCTTTCCGCGTATGCCGCGATATCATGGTGTCCAAACACTCGCTCGCACGCGTTACGGCGACACTCCGTTCGCGCGACGTATTACCGATAAGATCAACGATGTCAGGATCGAAAATTACGTAGACGGTGTCGCCATCAAAGTCACCGCCCGACAGCAGGTCCATCACAGGAGCGGTCGTCGACTCGGTGGTGCCACTCTTCGAGCTGACCATTACGTACTCATCGAGCAGCTGACTCGGCTTGTGGACAAACGACTCCCGCCACCAGTATCGAATCTGCGCCTCATTCATTGCTTGAAACGTCTGCACGTCGTGCGGCAAATTGGTCGGCGTGCGACACATTGCACACTTCCCATCAAGAAATCTTCCGCCCGCTTTGACGATGATATGACCACGCGGCATGATGGCATCAAAATCGGCAACAACGAGCAGCTTCAGGGTCTTTCGAAATACGAACTTTCGGAAAAACTGACTACCGGTGGCCCAGAGAAATTTCTTGTATTCCATCTCCATCTGCGAAAAAAACTCGTGTGCATTTTCTGGACCATTTGCATCTAGGGTCGTCTGGATCGCGTCTTGTGCAGCTCTGTCGAAGATCCATCGTTTTTTCCGTTCTAGCACATGACGATATGCGTCCGATTTACCCTGCCTCGCAGCCAATCCGCCCAGGCACAGCGCGACCTCGTGCGACACCTCGCGATCCCCGATGGGCTTTGCCATGGAAAGAGAGTCGCTCAAAATTTCGAACCTCCATTGTGAGCGGTCTTGCGCAGCTTGAAATTTGATTTGCGTCGATGTTGAGAGAAAAAACTTTTCGTCGGTCTGGGAATGAAAAACCGCGTCGTATTCATAGTGTACGTGTTGCGGCAAACGACCTCCTGGACCAAGTTGACTGTGGGGCAAAAGAACAAGTGTCTTTTCTTCTCGTCCTCCGCCTGCCTTAATCCCTACCATTGCCACTTCGGAAAGGACACACACTACGCCCTTAACGCCGGGGAGACGAAATTGCGTAGCGGCGGGGACTTCTCCGGTTTGACGAAATAATGGAGTTTCCGCAAATACCTTCTGTGCAAGCTTCCATGTCATCAAACTGCAACCGTCGGAAAAACTGAAGTCGCCAACCTTGCGATCGTTGTAATTCACGAAGTGATCTCTTGTAAACTGGAAATCGGAGAGAATTCCGTCTGACTTCGCCAATTGCATGCGTTTCAGCAACTTGCCGCTGCTCATCAACTTCAGGATGTCGGCGTCGACCATCTGCGACCGGTACAGATCTACCAGAGAAATATCCGGCCTAGCAAAGGGACCACGTGTGGCAAAAAAATGCACAGTGACGAGTCCCCACTCTCCATCTTTAAACAGAGAATTCTTGTCGCCTGCAATTATCAACTCTTCCTCTTCGCACTTCAAAGCACCGTCTTTTTTTGCAGCAGGCGGCTTCTTTTTCTTCTTGGAGGAAACCATGTAGCGCTGGTACTCATTCCCGAGGCATTCGAAAGTCTGCACGGATTTCCAATCACTTGCTCGCATGGTCATGCTGATGAACCTGTGACTTCCGAACTCGCGCATCAAGCGCTTCGTTTTACCTTCGGGTCCCAGACGAATCCTGGTACAAAGCACGCGCCGCTCCTCGGTCCCATCCTTGTTTTTCGCAACTTCCAGCTCCCCAAGATACTCGATTACTCGATTACAAAACCCACGTGCTCGAAACTTTTGTCGTTGCTCGGTGCGTTTCCGCTCGTCCTGAAACGCAGCTTCCGTAAACGCCACAAGAAAACGATTAGCCTCTGTTACGTCGACGATCTTCATTTTCCTGACTGACGACGTATGTGTATGCGGGTGTTTTCAGTAGTCGGTGGCTGTTTTCAAAACTTCAACTTGAGACCTTTTTTATATTACTACCAGTTCATTGAAGTCATGAGCTGGTTTGATCCAAACCCTTTTCTCGCACACAGCTTTGAATAAATCTTCGATCTGACGAGCTGCAACTACGCGCGCAATCAAAAAAACAGATAGTCGGAACAAATTTGTGATGATCCATGCGAGCCCTTTACACATCCCGGAGAACACTGACACAATATTTATACGTGACAACTGTCGAAGTTATCTTGTTGTTGATCTAAGTTCGAGATATGCACACGGAGAGACTCTCACGTACAAACATTGACTAACATTAACTAACATTTCAATTTGATAAAGTCAGGAACTGCTTTTCGCTATAAAACCCGGACGCAAAAGCACGGCGCACGTAGTTTCGTGCAGCTGCGCCCAAAAATTCTGCGATGGTCAACCGGGGGCAATCTCTGCGTCCACATACCTAATCGTAGCATAGAATCAATACATCCATATAGCGCTCCGAGCGACAGCAATAAACAATGCTACTGCCCTGCCTCCTCCGTTCCCGGCATCATCCCTGCCTTCTTCAATTCGCCCCAGATTTCCTCCTCGACGGTGTCCTTGGTGACGAACCGGTACACGTGGATTTCCTTTCTGCGTTGTCCGATCCGGCGGACGCGGGCGATGGCTTGCTTCTCGGACACCGCCGCTGCAGTCGGGTCGGAGGTGACCAATGGGTGGATGAAAATGATGTAGGACGCAGTCACCAGATTGGCGCCCGACACTTGGCTTTCGAGGTTCAAGAGCAGGATGTCGGGATTCTCCTCATTCGCCGCTTGCTTGCTTTCCTGGAACAGCCGGAGCTGCTCGTTCTTCCCCTCGATCGACCCCACCAGCTGGCGAAAACGGAAGTGTCGCTCTCGAAACGCCATGCACAACTTGGCCTGCAGGGTGCTCCACTGACAGAACACGAGCGCCTTCGCTTCCGGGTCTTTTTGCTTGATCACCTTCAGCAGTGCGCAGACCGCGTCGATCTTCGAAGCCTGCCCCATGGTTGCCTCCTTTCCCTCGCGCAGGCGGCGCATCTCTAGCTTTTTCCCGATTGCTTCGTCGCTTTGCTCCTGGTTGTGATCCATCAATGCGAACAATTCGGCTTGCTCTCTTTGCTGCTGCGCTACCGCTTGGCCCGGCGTGAAGAGACTCGCTTTCGATGGGATAAGGTTTCTGCACGTAGGACACTTGAAAGAGCCAGAGGCATTCGCATTCGCTGCTACGCCGACCATGCAGGACCTGCAAAACGTGTGTCCGCACGGTGTGACGACAAACTCACTCGCTGCGTCATCGAGGCAGATCGGACATTCGCGTGCAGATCCAGCGTCGCTTGCGCCACCGAAACTCGCGACGCTGGCCTCGAAGAACGACTTGAAGCGGTAATTAGCCAGAATGCTTGGGATTGCCGTGTCGCGTAACTCCCTCGCAATCTCGCACCTTATGCCAGCCAAAATCGTCGACTTTGTCTCTCCAAGGAGTTCTTCGCGCACACTGACAAGAGTCTGGTCAAGATACCGCAATTTGGACAAGTCAGCGCCAACGTAGTTGCTAAGCTTCAACGCGTTGCGCGTATCCTGCAACACACGAGGACGCAACAACTCCGCTAACGACGCTCGGTCTTCTCGTGTACCCGACGCGAGCCGAAATCCAGCATAGAACAGGTCCTGCACCGGAAGTTCAGCGTTTTGACCGATAGCGCTCGCGAGTCGCGTCCGCACCTCCATTAGCGTAGACGGTTGTCCACCAGCACCAGCCTCACTGCTTTCGGAGCTCTTGCTCCCGACCTGCTCAATGAGGGACACGCAATTTATATCCAACGGCGCAGTCTTCCACCAGATGGAAGCCTTTTCGCCAGCTGTTCTCGCTTCCGCTCCCCTGACCAACGTTCCGGGCATGCTCGGCTCGCACCGCCGCACGACTTCGCCCTGTTTCAAGAGGAGCTGCACCCGCTCGACCGCGGCCCGGAAGTCCTGCTCGCGCTTCTGCTTTTGCGCGTCTGCGAGAGCCGCGGGACCCCGCGCGTCGATGCTGGTGGAGGAGTGTGAGCAAAGCATCACCAGCTCTTCCCGCAGCTTCTTCCAAAATTCGGGAAAGTGCACGCTATCCATGTGCTCAAACTCATTCAGCTTGTCCACGTATAACAGGCGCTCGCAGGGTGTGAGCTCCACTGTCTTCACGTGAGACACGACGCGAATAGACTCGACGTCGGCGCTGAAGTTCTGCCGCACCGCGAAGTCCAAAAATCGCTGCGCGTTCGTCAGCTGGCAAGTCTTCATCTCGTTCACCCAGTGCTGCTCGGCCGGCGCAAGGTCCGTCGGCTTCTTCCCCTTTTCTTGCCAGCCATACGCAACCGGCTCGATTTCCGGACCCTGTATCGGCACCTCCAGGAGGGTCGTCAATTTCACTACTTGTTCTGTGGAGCGGGCCTCCCGGTGGGCTTGCAATAACTGGCCGCTGAGCCGTGCGGCCTGCGGATCTCCTTTCTCCACCGGATCTAAGTTCAGGGTGCCGGTGAGGCCCCACTTGTGTGCGGCGTGGAGGTGGCGATAGCGGGCTCGTTTGAAGCTGCTAGATTCCGGCCGGTCGGAGCGAACCCAATTAATTTCGTGCACTTCGTCAAAAACAATGCGGCGAAAGTAGCAGAGCTGCAATGGAATAAATTTCTCGTCGTCGATGGTTTTTGGTTTCGCTGCAGCCTTTGCCTTGGCGCCTCGCTTGGCTTTACCCGTCTTCGGAGCAAAAAAGGGATCGTCAAAAGCCCCCGCAACCGCACACGACGATGGGGCCCCTGTCGCCACGCTTGCAACTGCAACTGCACCGCGAGATGACGAGGAGGACGAGCTAGACGACCCGACGACAGGAGCCGCTCCATTTTGTCCCGGACCCGCGGCCGCGTTGTTTCCTGTCGAGGCGGCCGTGCTACTAGCAGCCGCTTCTGCCGCGGAGTCCTGGCGCGTTCTCTCGTCCAAGATCAAGCCCCTGGCCCACCTCCGCAAACCGGCTCGGGTTTGCGCCGAGGGGTGCAGGTTTCTCCAGGAGCCAGAAGTTTTTGCGAGATCCACCTCCCGTTTGTATATGTTTTCGTGCTCGAACAGAGAGTACGGCACGAGCAGTATATGGGCGCTCTTCAGCTGACCTAGTGTCAGGCGTCGGAGTTCAATGTAATCCACCACAACGCGCACCTGCAAGTTTGCACCCTCCAAAAACTTCTTGACCTCGCTCTGCCACTGATAAAGAAGCTGCTCCGGAACCAGAATCAGTGTTGTACCCCGCAGGTCGAACAGCTCGTCTGGTCTTCACGTAAAAAAGATGAAGAAGGAACATTCGCGCTGCTTGTAGACGCCAGGTCGGCCTGTAAAATGAAAAGTTTGCATGAAAGAGCCATAGTGTCGATCGATGCATCGTCCGTGGAAACATACATGAGAGGGGGCGCAGAGTGCGACTCCGAATAACGGCCTCCGAATAACTTGCCTTTACACAAAAAACACGCAAGAACCTGAATGAGCCCCAGCATTGTGACTGTTTTTCCAGTTCCCGGCTTATCGGCCAACACTCCGCCCGAGCACTCAATCTCCTCCTGCAACTTTACAGTCGCCCAGTCAGGGTACAAAACCTTTTTCACTTGCCGCTTCGCCACAACGTAACTCATCTTCTTTCCCTCCTTGCTGCGACTCTCCTGCTCCCGGTCCTGCATCCAATGCAACGCTTGCTTTTGCTCTTTTCGCAGTTTCTTGGCCGGCTCCGTCGACCAGCCCGGGGGCTCGTCGGCTTCGGGGCCGTCCATGTTGCTAGACAGATGAAAAATCGGCTCCCCCGTGGTATCGGCAACTGCACTCTCGCTGGCGCCACCTACAACTCCAGACCCCGAAGCCGCGGAAGCAGATCCGGAAGATGAACCCGCGACATAATTTTGTTGGGTCGCCCGATGCTGGCCACCGTGCGACGCGCCTTCCTCTCGGCCAAGTATTTCCAGCACGACACGCACTTTCTTGCCGTCGGAGCAGGAGGAACAAGGAAAGATTTTACCAAGGGAGCCACCCTTGCTCGCGATTCCCTGGACCTTGATCCAACTTCCCTTCGCACCTTGCGGCTCCGCAGCGGGTGGGGAGGAGTTTTCACCAAGACTTGAGACCGCTCGGTAGCGAAACGCCTCGACCTCCCGCCCGTGCCGAAGCGCGTTCACGGTGTCTCGAATCTGCTTCCATTTTGTCTCGTCCTCGACCACCTCCTGCCACGCGCTCTGTGAAAAACTGTCCTCTTTCCGCCGTTTTGCTGACCGCCCCTCATCAGCGATATCAGTCCCGGGACCGGTAGTGGCTTCACCGGTTGTGCTGCGCTTCTGTCGCTTCGGCGCCATTATAAAGTCTGCTTGGGTGAATTTGCAAACGAAACGCTTCATCCTGGAAAAGAAATGATAGAATTAAGTGAGTACTAGTCGAGCCCTAGCTTCTACTAGCCCTTGGTTTTTTACGACTGCACTCTATCCTTCTGTCCTTTTCTTTTCCCCTTCGGTTCAGTCACGATAAACCTTTCATAAACGACACCCCGCACACCCGCCCGAGCGGACGTAGCCTGCCAAAAAGCAAGCGGTCACCAGAGACGTCACTTGCAGTGGTCGACTAAAAGACCAAACAAACCAGTGCACCTAGCCATGCACCGGCACGGCTTTGACGTAGTTTTAGATGTTTCCACACTTGCTCCCTTTGACCCAAAAACTACAACGAAAAGGTTTTTCAACGCCAGCATACTCAGCAGCACCGACAGGCTGCTGGGCATAGGCATCGGAGTTTCAAGATTCATCTGCTCCTGCTGCGCCTGCGTCACAAGTTTATTTCTACCTTAAAATGCAAAAACTGAACTATCTGCAAAAATTTTCGTTTTGTCAAACAAGCACGTAGTAGAGAGACCATTTTTTGAAAAAAAATAATTCATGGACAACGAAACAAGTTGGTCTTTCTGCGACAACTTTGGCCTAAATGTAAAAAAAAAACTAGTAACAAAGCTTCACGTCAATTCGTACGACAGCAAGGAAATCAACGAACTTCCACCCGAGATGCTAGATTTGTCATCCTCTATCTGACATCGAACTCTGACATGTTGTACATTACGTAGTTGCTACTTATTTTTAGTTTTCTCGTCGGCACCTGCTTTGTTTTTTTCCCGCTCGTAGCTCCGCTACAGCTCCGCCTTCTCCATCTCCGTGTCGGGCTCGATTGGCTCCTCAGCCTCCATATTCACAGTGTAAAACGAGAAAAGGCACTCGTCCTCGGTTTGTCATGCTAGTACCACAGGACCCGACAACTCGACGTCAAGGTTGCATCCCTAACACGCATGATAGACTGATCGCGACCGATCCTATTCTTGTATGCTTGATCTACAACTACAACTTTCACCTGCTTTCTGTGATACAGAGAATAACAAACCGCGAACGAGGTTGGAGTTTTTCCTTTTTCCTAGTCGAGGAGCTGTTGCAAGGGGCCCCAGTTCTTTTTGTTGTACATGTGATCCTTGCGCTTGTCCGCTTTCTGCCGCTTCGCTTGGTGGATCCGCACGAAGGGGCACTCGTCCTGCTTGAACTCCGGCTTGTTGCCGTCCGAGAGCTCCTCAAACTGCCACGTGAGCATGTCGCACTTCAAGTCCGGCCGGGTGTGGTACAGTTTCTGCTCCTTGGTGCAATAGGTAAACGGCTCCATCGGCGCCACCACCGACTTTTCGGATTCGTCCTGGGTTTTTTTTTAGTGAGGATACTGGAGAGCGATACATTTCTGTTGATACAAGAGATCTCTAAATATTTTTTGTCACTCAAGTCGCAAAATTTTTTACCACCAGATGATCTCACGAGAACCAAGACTACAGGGCAAACCAAACCTTCATAAAAACTGCGTCTTTTTCGTTGACTTTTCCCTTCATCGCGTTGTCCATGAGACGCCCGCGCAGTTTCTGCAGCTCCTTCTGCATCTCAGTCGCCGCGTCATCGTGGTCGGGATTGATGCCCGTGATGCGCTTTTTCATGGCCGCCACCTCCTTCAGGCAGAATTTGTCGACCTTGTTCCGCCCGCAGGTCTTGTAGGGCCGGGGACAGCAGCACAGGAACATGTTCTCGTGCGACAACGGATTCAAACTTTCCTCCAGCAGCCGGATGTGTAGTTTCTCAGCGTACTTGCTGTTCTTCGGCGCGTCATCGTCGCAGACCTTCTCGTGTGCATCCAGAATGCACCCCGCCTGCTGCCACACCAAACTCTGGTGCCGCTGCTTCTTGTACTTTTTGAAAAACTCCTTCCGGGAACGGTTGCGTTCCAGCGAGGTTTCGCGGACAGCGTCGGCCTCCGTCTTCGCCTTGCCGGCGGCAAAGCTGAACGTCTGGCTGAGCGCCACAGACACAACCAAAGAAACCGTGTTGCGCGTCATCTTCCGTGTTCTTTCGAAAAACGCTTCTTTGTATTTCGCGCAAAGACGAAAGCGACAGTTACGGGCCTATATCTTTTTGAACATTTCTACTTCAACAAGGTAGAAAGAAGGCGTAAACTGCACGACAAGCACGCAGCCTGAATATCGGAATTCAATACGCTCTCCCTTCTGACACATAGGCATACCGGAGTGAAGACAAAGTGAGAATTTAGCAATGATCCCTAGCAATGCAGGGGGGAACAAAAAATTGAGTGCAACTACACGGCGTCGCTGATGTGCCGAGGAGCCAAAAACCATCGCCTCTTCGTTGTCGCAAAAGTGAGTGCCTTTTCTCAAAAAATGCGTTATCGTCAAGCTTTAGATAAAAATGAAGCAAAATGTATGCGCGTAAGTATGCGTTGTTTCTGTGCGTATTTTATCCCGAAGCATTCGTTCCATATGCAACATTCCTACTACTGTAAGAGAACCCACGACGTCGAGCTTTCTCTGTCTTCTGCGATAAGTAACTTTTCTAAGTGCAAGAAGAAGCAAATTCTCTCCTTCTGTTCGTCTGTATTCTCATTGATCTCACAGTCCTTTCAGTACCATCTTTGTGGTCATTCAGGTCACGATGTCAGTGACATAATTGTCTCATCAAAACTTCAAAGGTAGTTCGTCCACCGGTTCCGGGCCGATGTATTGACTGTGCAAGCCGTAATTCACGTCCACTTTACTCCGAATCCGGGCGAGTTCTTGCATGGTCCTCGGGTCAAAAGCAAGCAAATAGCTGACTTCCTCCGTCATGTCGTTTGCCGGGACCAAGAGCACCCCGTCCAGCTCCACCTCTGGCAGCGCCTGCGTGTACCGGCACACCAGCTGCGGCTCGGACACCTGCCAGCGGTGGTCGTTTCCCCGGGCCAGTCTCCACACCGTCGTTGTCTGCGCGAGGGTGTCGATTTGCGAAATACTGGAAAACTCACTATCCGTCACCGCGAAGACGTAGCGGTGCTTTTTCCGCAAGAACGCCGGGTTGATCACCGGAAAACCCGGGGAGTCAGTGAGAATCGTTTTCTTCTGCACGCGATCGGTGATGAAAAAGCTCGGATGGCTCGACATAAACGACCGTGGAGGGGGTGGCGATCCTGGTTGATGTTGTCCTGGCTGCGGTCCCGCCCCTGCTCCGGTTGTACTACTACCTGGCGGTACCGGGCTGGGCGTCGGCGATTGCGGTAAGACGGGTCCACCTCCCGCTGCTGCGCTGCTGCTACTGCTACTCCCCCGAGGACGAGCCCCAGTGGTGGTGGTGCCACCGTTGTTCGTCCCACGTAGCAACGGAAAGGAGCCGGAACTCCGGCTTGACGCCGAAGCTGCGCCGGCTAGTAGTCCCGCAGGCCCTCCGCCAAACCCAAGTAGGGGGGATGCGAACCCGGGAGTGCCCGTGTCATTCGATCGGTTGTAGGGTGCGGCGAAATAGCTCCCAAACCACTGGCCGGGGGTGGGCGTGGTGGAAGAGGCCGCGGACGGGGCGCCCGAGTACACTTCCCCGGACACGCTGCCCTCCGTACTGGAAGAAAACCCGGCCTCGGAGGAGGGCATCGGCGTAAATTCGATCTCGAACCGCACCATGGCCTGCTCGTGCACGTCCGGGCCGGGCCCGAACGCCCAGCCGTCCAGAAAGTCGGCGTCGATCACAATCCGCTGTTTCAGGTCGCTGTCCCGCCGCTCCTCGTACGCGTTGGCCACGTGGAAGATGTGGCCCGGGTGGTCCGCCACCACCCGGCGCACGAACTTCACTGTGCCGTCCACCTGGTTCTTTTGGTAAATCCGGAAAGCCAGGGGGAGAGACTCCTCGAACCCAAACTGCTCGAAAAAGGGAGTCTTCCACCTCTTCAGCATGTTGAACGGGGCCAACCCGGCGGCCTTGTTCCTCAAGGTGGCGTGTGGGCGCCAGCGAAGACTGGTCTCCGCGAGCACGACAAAATTTTCAGTCTCGATCGTCGTGTGCATCATGCACGGGCAGTTCGCCGGCGGGACCTGGCCGCGCCACAGGTCCTTGAATCGCACGCGGCACAATACGTCGTCTGCGAGCACCTGGCAGCACCGGTTCGAACTCGTTGTGTGCCGGTTAGCCCGGTGGTTCTCCGGGGGCTGCGGCACGCCGTTGTGGTCCGTAAACGTCGTCACGGTTTCCGGCTCATCGTGGCAGAGGCGGTACACCCGGTACCCCATTTGGCATTCTTTTCCCGGTCGGAAATAGAACCCGCCGTGGTAGTTCCGACGGGAAGCGACCTCGAGTTGATGCGACGCGAGAAAAACCAAATCTTTCGCGTATTTCCCCTGTTTCGCTGCCGCTCTCACCTGCTGCTGGCGATGCTGCTCAGGGTCACGTTCTCGTGGCCTGATGCCGATCAAACGCAGCAAACACCAGGCTCTGCTCAAGCCTGCGTTGGCGCTGGCAGTTTCGACGCACGGCTCGTCGGGCCTGGACGCATTTGTCCGCAGTTGTCTCAAACTGTTAGTTTCCGTCCGCAGAAGTTCCCGATTCGGCTGCTCCCAAGAGGCGATTATGTCGCGCTGTCGCTGCAGCAGCGGGGCGCTACTGATTCGGTACGTCGCGGGCTGTTGGTCCGTCGCCCTCGAAACCTCTTCGGCAACCAGAATCGAGCTGGACTGACTGCGTCCCACCGGATCTACCCTGTCGTGCGGAAAGTTGTCGATCGGAGGAACCACTTGCTCACACCGATCCGCCTCGGCGCGGCCTTGCGCGGTCCAGTCCCGTGCAGACTGAAGCAACAGGTTGAAGTCGCGAGATCTCCCAGCGACATCTTTCGTTTGCAACGTCTCTGGATCCATGCAGACCATGCGGGTCTGTAGCGGCGCCTCGATTAAGCAAGGGGCGATCAGGCCCGATTCGCAACGCTGGAAGTTCACATTTGGGTTGAACATGTACTCACCCTTCAGGCCGGCTGTCCCGGCGAAGCGGCGATCTTTGCCCTGGGATTTCACATACAGCTTGTACGCGTCCGTTTCCGGAAATCCGTTCGAAAACAGCACGACGGGCCGTCCGGTCTGTCGGTCGAAAGTGAACCGCCATGCAACCACGTGGGCGAGACCATCGAGGAACTGCATGTTCTTCGGGTTACTTGCAAGAGCATCGCCCTGTGGTGGTGGTTGCGACGTATCCCCAGACGAGGAAGCTCCGTTTTGCTGCGGTCGTCCCATGCCCAGACCTCCTTCCACGACCCTGCTAGCCTGTTCTGGTGGGCAACTAACTGAGCGGGAACTCAGGGGACCACCGCTACAGTTTTCACCCCCTACAGCAGCGGGGCCGACGGAAAAGCTTCTTTTTTGCTCATTTGACGCAATGACCGATGAGGATTGACTGCTCGTGCTTTTGAAAAAATCATCCGGCAAGTCGAAGGCCCCGCCGCTCTGCTTGTAGAAGGTCCCCTCGCGAAACAACCACGCCGGCAGCCCAGCACCTGTGTTTTCAACTTCCACCGGCACCGAGTCGTACGTTTCTAGGATGTCGCGATACCCGAACGGCAACCTTGCTTGTCGACGCTCCTGCAGTTCGGTCCGCTGCATGGTACCGGGCCGGCGGAAGATCGGTTTGCCCAAGGTCAAAAGCCGGTCGTCGGAAGTCGACAGATCTATTTCCGTCGCAGGGACGTCCACTTTGATTTCTGCCTCAACTGGCGATAAAAGGAGACCCTCTGCCCTGCCGGTAGTAAAGTGATCATGGTGAGAAAAACTACTCGCCGCAGTCGACAACATGCTCACCGGTCGGTTTTGCGGGGGAGTACCTTGATTTGGAGGTGGAGCACTCTCGGGAAACAAGTCTGCACGCAATAATGATGCAGATGCTTCACGACCCGAAGTAGTAGCTCCCTGCACACTCTCAAAAATCTGGAAAGTTGATGTCCACACGCCGAGAAGCACCATGGTGCGCGCGAGCAACGCTGCGCTCGTAAAAAAATGAGAAATTTGTATCGACATTTCGTTTTTGTAGTGGAAAAAATGCTAAATTTTGTTTACAAAGAATAAAATACGATAACGATGCTCCGACCACTATTTTTACACTAAACCAAAAACAATCGTGAAATTAATACCAGCCGTAAGATATATGCAATGAGTCAATCGTTAAAGATCCAGATCGTGAAAATTACTGATCCTGATGAAAATAAATTATCGCTCCCTGGAAAGAAATAGAAGAAGCAAAAGATCGACAATGGCAAAGTTGCATCTCCTAAAGACCAGTACTTGTTACGTAGCACACGAAGCACCTTCCTAACTTAGGGCTGCATAGCTTGTTTCAAGATCACAAAATCAAAGCTCCGATCCTCGTAGCAAGAAGCTAGATCATGCGTCATCGTTCCTTCACATCAATCTACCACGACAGATGAACAAACTTCATGTAAGATACTCAAGATCCGTAGCTGCATCCATGGCACGCATTTTCACCGTGGCGGCACCATGATGATGTTCGTCCTTAGTGCTATCGAAATCTTTTGGTGTCGGTAGACCCGACCCAAGAGTGAGACAACAACATATTTCAGTTTTTAGCTTTTTTGCGCGAATTTTTCATGATGTTAACTGGAAACAACTACTAGTGCAAGTTCATCCAAATGCCTGCCTCTAGTCCCTGCATATTTTTCCACACATCAACACACAATCGCTGTTTACTCTAAATCCGATTGCTTGTTATGGTGACAAATGCGGTTCGATCTAGGACAAAATGGCATTCTTAAAGTCCGAGGAGAGCCTCTGACCGTTCACGACGAGCGGGTTGCCGTCGAAGCACGGGACGCCAGCCCCGTCCGTGCGCATCAGCTTGGAAGCGTCGGCCCAGACCTGGTGCTTGTCGACCTGCTTGCCGTCCCACGGCTTCCGCTCAGCGGAATCGCCCTCGACGAGGATGTGGTCGCCCGGTTTGCAGTCCTTCGGCAACGCGGCAAACTGCACCTTGCCGTCTTCGGTTTTCGCGCAGAGAACCATACCGTGGGAGGTGATACCCCGCATCTTCGCCGGTTTCAGGTTGCAAATGGTCACGATCTGTCGCCCTTTCATCTCTTCCAAAGTGTAGTGCTCGCGCAAACCTGGATTGTTGTGTAGTACAGAGAATAAACGATTTTTTAGGACGAAGAAGTACTTCATCATCCGCGTCTAATCTTTATGCAGTGTCGGTGTGAACGAAACCCCATAGCAAGACTTGGAATGAGAATCTGTCCCAAACCACAAAACTCGCGTACCAGAAATAATCGTCCTGGGCTCCGCCTCGCCAACATCGATTTTTTCGACGTATAGGCGCTCTGCGTCCGGATGATTCTCAACTTCGACAATCTTTCCCACCCGCAGGTCCAAGCGGCTGTACAAAGGTTGGTCCATGTCCAAAGCCGGAGCGGCGGGACCAGCAGCTTTCTTCTCCTTCGGCTTCTTTTCCTTCGCAGCGTTGTCACCTGAAATTTCGAAATTCCATTAATAACGACCCGCATTGCGAAACAAAAAAGTACGCACGGGTCTCGTAAACCAGCCACTCTGTATCAATAAGCTGCAGCAGGCGCAATTATCACAAACTCGTCATACCATCTTCAAAAGAGAAAAACCCAGAAAATTTATGTTTTATACCTCCTTTTCCACCCTGCTTCGGCTGTGCCTTTGCCACCGCCGGTGCTGCTGCGGCCTTTGCGACCGGTGCCGGCTGTTCCAGACTCATGGTCGTGGTCATGATTTCGATCTGTTCTGCGGAGAACGATTGGAACAAAATGCTCGTACTTCCCACCGGCGCTCCCTCCTTCAGATTTTGCCCTAACGGCTTGAGATCGCCGTACGCCACCGCGTTCTTTTGTTGCAACTTTTCGATCACGATCGCTTCGGCCGCGCGCGGGATGAATGGGGCGAAGAAGTGCGCCAGGACATAGACGGCCTCGAGGCAGATGCGTACTACGCCGGCAGCTTTCACCGGGTCCTGTTTGTTCATCTTCCAGGGTTCCAGATCCGCCAACCACTTGTTCGTTTCCGCCGCCGCGATGCGGGCCATTTCGGCGGTCTCACCGGTGCGGCAGTCCTCGAAGGCCTCGCAGAACTTCTTTCGCAACTCCGCAACGTCAAATGGCAACCCACATTCTTTGATGATCGCATCGGACACGGCCGGGACGGCGCCCTTGCACAGGGACACGGCGCGGTTTACCAGGTTGCCCAAGTTGTCGCAAAGATCTGGTACCGTATGTGGAGGTGTTAGTTTTCATCAACAATTTTCGTGCACTACTACGCAGGGTCAAAATGTGAAGGAAAGGGCTACTTCCAAAGAAGAAAGAAATGATGATCACATCCGGTTGCAGATAACCCCAATCAACCTTCCTACTTTCTCTTTCTTACCTGCGTTGTGCATGAGCTTCAGGCTCTTGACCGAAAACGGCAGGTCGTTTCCCCAGTGGGCCTCCCGAATCAGGTACCATCTGAGGGTGTCCGGACTGCACCAGTCGCAAATATCGTGCGGATTCACAACGTTACCTGTAGGCATCGTGTGGCGTAAACTTTTTTTGTGCAGCTATGGGTGCAGTTGTCAATGTCATGACCAATACCAGTAGCACCAGACGAGACACGAAAACATTCAGACCAATTGTTGAAAAAGAGGAGTGGAAAGAGAAACCCCCAAATTACCTTCAGACTTGCTCATCTTTTTTCCCTCGGCGTCGTTTACGAATCCGTGGACCACTACCTGCTTTGGCAATGGGAGCTCCGCGGATTTCAGCATGGAGCCCCAGATTGCGGTGTGAAACCAGATGATGTCCTTCCCAATCACGTGCATGTTTGCCGGCCAGTACTTACTGTTTGCGGGATTGAAACTGACGCCGGAGTAGTAGTTCGTCAAGGCATCAAACCACACGTACATCACGTGCTTCTTGCCGTCCGGCCCGACCTTCTCCGGCACCGGAATACCCCAGTCGAAGTTCGCGCGGGAGATGGACAGATCGCGCAAACCCCCCTTGGCCTCCATGTCGTCTAGCCGGGCAAGCATTTCCTTCCGGTAGTTGTCCGGCTTGCACCAGCCGGGCTCGGAAAGCTTCTCCCGAATGAAATCCTTGTACTTGGACATACGGAAAAAGTACGAGGGTTCCTTCATACCTGTGGATTCATGTTGTGGTCGCAACATGCACTTCGAAACATAGGTATACATATCTATCATAGGCCTCGTGCAACGACCGATGATCGAGTTCCAGTGCGAAATCCTAGCTACTACACTAGAGAAAAAAAAAGGAACTAAAGCGAAGCATTTTGTAAAAAATACGTTGCAGCGGCTTGCCATTGACCGGATCCAAAAATTTCCACTCTTCCGCCTCTTGATCCGTGACGAATTTTTCCTCGCGCACCATGTACCAGCCTTCGTACTCCGCCAAGTAAATGTCTCCCTTGTCGCTGACCTTCTTCCACAAGTCCTGTACGATTTTGTAGTGCTCGGGGGACGACGTGCGGATGAACTGATCCTCGGACACCTCCGTGCGGCCAAACAGCCCCTCGAAGCCCTGGCAGTAGTAGTCGCACAAGTCTTTTGGCTTGGCCATTCCCTGCGCCGTGGCGGCCTCGGCAATCTTTTGTCCGTGCTCGTCGGTCCCGGTCTGGAAAAACGTGTCGTAGTTGTTCAGGCGAAAGTACCGCGCGAGACAATCCGCCTGGATGGTCTCGTATATCAAATGTAAAAATGTCTGGGTCTGGAAGAATTCACGTTTGTCATGCTTGTCTGGCATGACTCTTAAATCTGTCATGCACGTTATCCAAGAGCTCCGTTTCTCTGTGATGCAGAAGCGCAGTTTGTCATGCAGAATAGGCAACACCTAGGAGCTCAGAAACTTGTCATGCTGAGCCAGCATTTGTAGCCTCATCACGAGACGCCACCCAGCATCACAAGTTTCCAGACCCAGACATTTTTACTTTTGATATCGTAGGCGTGCCCGACGTGCGGCCAGCCGTTGGTGTAGTGGATAGCCGTGGTCAAATACCGCGTTTTATCAAATGTAAAAATGTCTGGGTCTGGAAGAATGCAACTTGTCATGCTAAATCTGAAGCATGCAAAAATCTGTGTTGCATGATTACCAAAAGTCGTCCAGTTTTGACCAAGTCGGGAGGCAGTTTCTCATGCAGGATAGGCATGAGAAAGATCGCACAGAATCTGTCATGCTAGGTCCTGCATTCCAGACCTCGCGTGTCATGGAAAAGGTGCATGACAAGTCGCGCATTCTTCCAGACCCAGACATTTTTACATTTGATACGTTTCCTTCCCCTTGCTGGTGGGCAGGTTCGCCGCGGCCAGGCCCTTGCTCGGGTTTTGCGGGAGTCGCTTCTGCCGGTCCGCCATGGGCACGACCTTGCAGTCAACCTCCTTCACGTTCGACCCTTTGACGTAAGCGGGCTTTGCGGCGGCGGCCGGCCCTGCGGAAGATGGCGCGGCTTTCTGCGACTGTTGGTCTTTATTATTTTTCCTCCCATTTATCTGCGCACCACCTCCCTGCTTTGCCGACGTTGAGCTGGTGCTCGGCTCAGGTGGACTGCAGCTGCCCTTCGGGTTTTCCGACAACTTTTGCGCGGCGAAGAGGGAAGAGGTTCCGGACAGAGAGCCAACAGAAACAGACTCGGTCTCCTCTACCTGGTACTGCATGTGTCGGAACCATCGGGACACGGAGGGATATTGCTCTTTGACCTTCTCCGCTGTCATGATTTTTTTCGCGGTTTCGAAGTGCTTCAAATCCGTCTTGGTCCAGCTGGCACCGCCCTCGACGTACGAGACTTTGCGCAGGTGCTCATCCGCCTTGGCCAGGTCAGCCTCGCTGGTCAGCGAAAATTGCTGCGCAGCCGGCATCGTGGAAAATGTCGTGCGGTGGAAAAAGTACTTCGGGAAATGGAGTAAGAAAAGCGAGGGTGGCGGAGAACTCCTCCGAGTGTAGTGAGCAAGAATGATATTGCAGCGTGGGTGAACAAGAATATCGTCGCAGGTACGATAGTTTATTATCCGAGGTAAAGTTTTCTAGCAAAAAGTATTAAGACACTAGCCAACATGGTATTTCTATGATGAGACAGTATCAAGCAACTAGCCAAGGTGGTGTTACCTAAGTAGACTCAAGTACTTTTTATCTGGGGCAAACGCAAAGAGATGTATTTTCAGTTGAGAACCACGGTCATGCTAGCAAAAGTTACGAGAGCGTTATACTTTCTTGATTTTTTGTCTTGATCTTTTCGTCTGCAAAGGGACTTTCCTAGGATCTTTCCTTTGGATCGCAGCAACGATCCATCTCGTTAGCGATCAGAATCACGTCATAATTCATTGTCAAGATGAACTACGACAAAACTTATTTGCGAACAGCCATATTTCTATGTAATGCAAATGCTCGCGATGTGCAGATTCGAAGAAGCATTAGCATCACAAGATGCATCACGGTAGGGTGCTCAGCCGCACCACGCGGTGCCGCGCGGACGCGGAGGCAAGATATTGGAGCACACCGAGTCCAATCGGTAGCCAATTATGACGAGGAGGTTTCCGTTGCGTCCCAGTAATTTAGCAGCGTGGAGAAAAAAATGTAGTTCTCAGATGAAGTAGTTCTACTCATCGGGTATGTCATTTTTGAAGGGGACTTTCCAAAGCTTGTCCAGCATCGCTCTATCATACCCGTACTCGTTTTCGCAGCGGTCTAAGGTCTCCTTGTACTCGCTATCAGCCATCTCCTTTTGCAGGGACATAATCCAAATCAACGACCGATCCGGGTATCCCACGACGAAAGGCTTGCTGCCCTGCTGCGCACTACTACCACCCGCTGGACACTCCAATATCAAGTACGGCAGCCACATGATGACATGCAGCGCGCCGCCAAATATTCGCGGCCGCACCTTCCACTCGTTCACGTTTGCTGTTGTTTTTCCGTCCTGAAACATCGTGTCCACCTTTGCGTCTGACGAACGGGGACGGAACTTGTACGTTACCTGCGTTGATGAAAATAATCATCGTCCCTTGGATGGACAATGTTTATTTCTTGTTGCAACCTCTTACAATCCGATCACGATCTCGCATTTTGTTTCAAAGAACTCCACTCGTCTAATACCTTGAAATTCGTCTTTGTCTCGTCCGTCCAGGAGTATCTTTCCACTGCGTCATGCGGTTCCGGGTCGAACGGGGTGGGTGTGCAAGCAATGACGTACCATTTTTGGCGCACCAACCAGTCTGCGTCAACCACCTTCGCCAGCCCTGTCAGTGGCGGCTTGGAACCAGAATTGCCCATGTTTCTTCTACAACAGCAAAAGCACATAAAAGTCGCAGACAGGAACGATACAGTGCGACGGCGGGGGGGGGCGTACAACTGAACCGAGAAAAATAGATTTAGATACTTCCTCACGCTTGGGTCGTCAAATTCAGTAAAGCAGGCAGGTGAAAATACTTTTACGTATGTAAGAGTCGTCGAGAGCTCATGTATGAGGGGAGACTGGAATAGAGTTTTAGTCAGCCAAAGCGATGGAGCCTCGGATCTAGCAGCTTCACTGAGACCTTTCCCGACAAACCTTTGATTCTACTTTCCAAGTACAGGTCGTATCTTTCTTTGGGTCTAAGAACCGACATCTGGAATGACTTGGTGAAGATGGTCTGGAGCATATTTCGATCAAAAAAAACCGAATGCTGTGTCGAGCACAAGCTGATGAGAAACCGATGACAGGCTACTTACAAGCGAAATTTTCTGGAAAGAAAATTAGCAAGCGACAGAACGGCGACCTGAGCTACTGCGAACACTATGCTCCGGGGCAGAAGATATACAGGTGCAGATTCATATGGGTTCACAAGATTTTGATTTTCATTATCCTATTCCTCCCTTGCGAGGGGCAGCAAATTACATCGGAGTAGAAAGGTTTTTGGTGGTTGAAAAAGCGGTTTTTTGGACATAAGATGCCGTGGTGTTCCCGACGCGGATAGGAGTCTTCGGTTAAAAATTTTCACCCATACATGGATAGCAAGATCGAGAGTCTGAAGAAATCACGTCTGTACATTTCGTATAGGAATAGTTTTAGGTAGTGGCATTTCTAGTGGTTATGAAGACTGTTCGTGTTGCATTCTTCAAATAAAAAAGAACAAAGGCGCTACTGCATTCCATCGGTTTTGATATTCCGCGGGATGCATTAGATACCTTGTTGTTACGATTCAAACGTGTACATAAATGAGTCTTCTTCTGTCCCGGGATCTGCACTTGATTATCTGATCTTCTTTTCAGAGAGAAACGATGTCGTGATAGCAGTATTCTAAGAAATTTTACGCATTCTTCGGTTGTCCCAAATACACTGCAAATTTTCGAATTAATTCTCGATTCTCATCAACGACAGCCTCGAAACCAAACTGCAGCGCACAATGGTCTCTTGTTCGTTGTGTCGTGCAAGACATAGTTTAACAGCAATCAAAAAAACGAGCAGTTTGTTACTGCCACTCGTCTGTTTCGATTCAAAAAATCGCTCGAAGTCTAGCCATAGCCTATTTCAGAATTATGGGATAAGAAATAATTCAAGTTCCTTTTGTACGTGTTGTTATCGGAAACTGAGAGAGTACCTGTGTCGCAATATCAAACGTGCTTTTTACCTCCGTTTCGTCGGAAACGTCGTTTAATCGACCTCTTCCATCTTGGAAGCCTCGGCGTCGGCGCCCTCGACCTCTTCCAGAGGCGGGAGGTCCTCATCAGCCTCATCCTCGTCGTCATCCAGAGACAATCCGAGCTTGATCATGCGGTGGATGCGGCCCGCGAACTGGGTCGGCTCGTCCAAATTGAAGCCGGACGTCAGGAGCGACGTATCGAACAACAACCAGATCAGGTCCTTGACGGTCTTGTCGCCCTTATCGGCGGTGGCCTTGGCGAGGAGTTCCTTCATGATGGCGTGGTTCGGGTTGAGTTCCATGGTCTTCTTGCTGACCATGTAGGAGGTCATGCTGGAGTCGCGGAGCGCCTGTGCCTTCATGATTCGTTCCATGTTTGCGGACCAGCCGTACTCGGACGTGACAAGCACGCACGGAGACTCGCTGATACGGTTGGACACCATCACCTTCTCGACCTTGTCGCCCAGGACCTCCTTGATCAGCTTGCACAAGCTCTCGAAGGAGGCCTTCTGCTCCTCCAGCTTCTTCTTCTCGTCCTCGTCTTCGAGGTCCAAGCCCTCCTTGGTAACGGACTTCAGCTTCTTACCGTCGAATTCCTTCAACTGCTGCACGCAGTACTCATCGATCGGGTCGACCATGTACAGAACCTGGTGGAAGAAATTAATTTTCAAATCAATATATCTGGGTCAAAAACAAAAGCCATCAAATCCTATTTTGGATTTTGCGTCACGTACATTCTATAATATAATCATGCAAATGCATACCGAAGAAAAAGGCAACAACGACCGTTTCTGTACCTCGAGGCCCTTCTTCTTCAAGGTCTCGATGAACGGAGACGCGTCCACGGCAGCGACGCATTCGCCAGTGATGTAGTAAATGTCTTCTTGGCCTTCCTTCATGCGGTCGACGTATTCCTTGAGGGAGATGAGGTCATCGCCGGATTTGGAGGTTTGGTAACGCATGAGTTCCGCGACCTTGTTGCGGTTGGTGGAATCTTCATGGATGCCCAACTTCAAGTTCTTGGAGAACTGTTCGTAGAACTTCTTGTAGTCCTCGTTGTTCTCCGCGATTTCGGCGAACATTTCCAGGCACTTCTTGACCAAGTTCTTCTTGATGACACGCAGGATTTTGTTCTGTTGCAGGGTCTCACGAGAGATGTTCAGCGGTAAATCCTCGGAATCGACAACTCCCTTAACGAAGGACAACCATTCCGGGATGATGTCCTCGCAGTCGTCCATGATGAAGACACGACGCACGTACAGCTTGATGTTGTTGCGCTTCTTCTTCTGTTCGAACATGTCGAACGGAGCTCGGCGCGGGACGAACAGCAGAGCCTTGAATTCCAGCTGACCCTCGACGGAAAAGTGCTTGACCTGTTGGATAAAGCCGATTTTGAAATTTTAGATCGATGTCAAAGTAAATGAACGAAAACCACAAGTACGCTAGCAATGTGTGCGAAATTGAAGAAAGCCAAGCAAGCAGTGTCCGTAAAAAACGCTGTCAGAAGCCATATGGACAAGAAACTCACGAGAAAGCCACCAGAATTTCTTGCATGGAAGAAACTTCAACTTTCTTGTCGCGATGGCATAGGACCCGCGTCTCCACTGTAGTGAAGGAGCCGTGGGGAAGATGAGCATCGCGGAGTAGGATCAAGGGCACTGCACCAGTTTTCGGCCTGACACAAGATCAAAAAACGCTGTCAGAAGCCATATGGACAAGAAACTCACGAGAAAGCCAGAATTTCTTGCATGGAAGAAACTTCAACTTTGCTGTGGCGATGGCATAGGACCCGCGTCTCCACCGTAGTAGAGGAGACGTGGGGAAGATGAGCATCGCGGAGTAGGATCAACGGTACCGCACCAGTTTTTGGCCTGACACAACATCACAAGAACCAAAATGCAGAAGCACGAATATCAAAAGAAGCACGTACCGAGAGGTGGTCTTCCCAGTCGTTGGAGAGACCCTTGTAGAAGGCCGCGTAGTCCTCGTTGGTGACCTCATCCGGCTTGCGCATCCAGATCGGCTTGGTCTTGTTCAGCTGCTCCCACTCGTGCGAGATCTGCTTGACTTTCTTCGTTTTCTTGGCCTTCTCCTCCTTCTCCTTTTCCTCATCGACTTCCTCAACCTTCGGCTCGTCACCCTCTTTTTCCTCGTCCTCCTTCTTCTCTTCCTCCTCATCCTCGGAGTCGGTGACCTGTTTAATACGCCGGTTTCATATATTGATTGCCAAGGAAGCGGGCACGCGCTTCGCAGATTTTACAAAACATTTCAACAATGAGACACCGGTAACAAAGCGCGCAACAAAAAGCCCACATTACCTCCTTCTCCTCGGACTTCTCGATGTACAGCTCGATCGGGAATCCGATGAACTCGGAGTGCTTCTTGACCAGGTCCTTCAGGCGGCGCTCCTCCAGGAACTCCGTCATGTCCTCCTTAAGGTGGCAGACGATCTTGGTTCCGCGCTTGACTTCACCGAACACCTGCTCGGTGTCCTTGACCACGGTAAAGGACCCACCGGCCGCGGATTCCCAGATGTACTGTTCATCGTCGTTGTTGCGGGAAACGACTTGCACCTTGTCGGCAACTAGGTAGGCGGAGTAGAAACCCACGCCGAACTGACCGATCATGGAAACATCGCCACCAGCGGACATAGCCTCCATAAAGGCCTTGGTTCCGGACTTCGCGATCGTACCTGTTCAAAATGAAAGTGGCACACCAGGTATTCACACAGAACTTGTGAATGAAAATTCTTTCAACACCTTGCCCGCGAAAACTCTTTCCACCAACAGAAACGAAACACATCAACAAAAAAACTCTTCCATGAATACCCAAGTTGTTGACGAGCTCATTCTTGGTCATTCCGATTCCGCTGTCTTCGATCGTCAGAGTGGAGTTGGTCTTGTCCGGGATGATTTTGATGAAGAAGTTGGGCTGCGACTCGATCTTCTCCGGGTCCGTGATGGACTCGTACCGGATCTTATCCAGAGCATCGGAGGCGTTGGAGATCAACTCACGAAGAAAGATTTCCTTGTTGCTGTAAAAAGTGTTGATGATCAGGGACATCAACTGTTGGATGTCCGCGTTGAATGCGAAGGTTTCCGCCATTTTCGCTTAGTGTGGTCGAAAAAAGGAACTGAAGAGAGAAAAATGACAATAAAATCAACGTAGCTGTATTCTAATTCTGATATAGGACTAGACTAACTCTACCGAGCTACCTGAATGGGTTTTTTAGGGATAGATTGGATTATTTTGAGAGAATAATTTTCCGTGCGAGACCTTTTTTCGTCAAAACTATGTACCACTTCCGAGAAGCTTTTGGATCTTCAACAAACTGTAGTTTTCTGTAGTTTTGATCTCTTTTTCTGGCCAAGAGTCGTCTTTTCAGAGCGATTTCTAGTTTCTAAGTGTCCTACACAAAAGATGGATCTTGCGTTTTCGTTTTTCGCGAGAAAGAATTCTAGTTCTGGACAAGGGCTTGCAGTTAAATTCAGGGAAAGAATGTAGTGTTTTTCAAACTAACTCGAGGAGTTTGGTTCGAATGTGCTTTTCACTGTTGAATGATGCAGCCACGGAGGAAAATTCGGTGATCCTTCACTTCTTGTAGCAGCACGAGAAGTCACAAGTGCAGATTTAAGATCTCGTTCAGTGAGTGGTGCCAGCATGTTAATTTCTCCAATACAAGCAACTGAAATTTCACATAGACCGACTGGACTAGTAGGTGCTGTTCTTCTCTCTCAAAACCGATTTGAGTTTCTTTGCCGCAAAAGAATGCCGTCTGAGTTCGGCGAACGCGAACAAAATGTTTGAACAGCCTGAAAACTATATCCCGCCACCTTAGGAGGTGCGGCGGTCGCCAGAAGACAGAATCTTGCTGTTCCCCTTTCTTTAGAACGAAGCCAAACCCAAAAAGAAGCTCCGTCTATACGACAATTCTAAGTTTCTTTGTGGTTGACAGACTAGGCCGAGTTTTTTTTTCACCCGGCAGGCATTCAGATTGTTTTCGATTTTTTTCAGAATAGTGAAGTGATACGGGTGTTCATTTTTCAACACTTAAGAACTGGTTTACTCACGCGAACCATCAAAACTTTGTGATAGCTGTGACAAAAACTTTTCCATATTCTCAAAAAATCTTTTACACATATGCAATTCAGCATCTGCAGAAACGCAAACGCAGCTTCTGTTTTCGGTATTCTTTGCACTTACGATTAACAATTATCAACGCCAGCGTCTCGCAAGACCAAGACACAAAGCGCTTGTGGTCGTCGTGGTTTTATCACTCTACTCTCTAAAACCACTCTATACTTTCGTCAATTACGGTCAAGTTTATCACCAGCAGCAGGTCGCAAGCGACCCTTGCTTTCGTACATTTCAAAAGTGCGTGCATAATACAGTTTGTTACTTCTTTTAAACACAATTATCACGAGCAAAGAAGAGGCTGCATTCTGCTTCTCAAAGCACTTATCTACTTCGAAGTTCGCCAAGGGCCGTGTAAGTACACACCGGCTGCGCCTTGCTTCTTTTGCCATGCTTCGGAGTCCGTCATTTGTAACACAGCGAAAGGATGAGGAAGGCGAACAGATGGTCCGTCCATGCGCTCGGTGGAAGTGAAAGCAGTGCCGGATAAGGAAAATTTAGAACAGATGCAGTGAGTTTGTTTTGTCCGTTGCTCGACCCTAACTCTTGGACGATGCGGATTGTGTGAAGCGTCGCTTCAGTTCTGTCACAGCGGCACTGCAGATTTTTTTGTGGTGATGTAATTAACAAGACACGATTTGGAAGGGCGCTTGATGATCTTGTGTTGCAAATAAATGAGGCGGACTCGCACAACGTGCGATTAGAGAGAAGGAACCATCAGGCAATTATTAATCTTCATTTGTTTTTGAATCTTCAATCAACACCCAGGGGATGCTGTCACAGATTCTAAATTTTGTCATCACGACTGCAGCTTCACGTCTTTGGTACTTCATCGCACACTGGAGCTGTCGCTTTTCGCCTCCTCTTTTTGAATATAACTCGCGTGGTTTCCAATTTCATCACGTACATCAGGCAATTATTAATCTTCTTTTGGTTTTAAAGTCGTCAGTGGCACTTGCGTGTCAACGTCAGACATTCAAAAACTGTCATCATAGTAGCGCGTGCTTACGCGGCCTTCTGCAAATTTGGATCTGGGAGTGGCTCAGTAAGAGTTGTATCGATGATTTCTTAAAAAAATCACACGAAAAACAAGGCAATACGTTGCAGCCAGTTTTGAGAAGCGCTTGGTCATGGTCCAAACTGGATTTTTGCGAATCGACACGACGTGCGCCACTTTCTTCTCCAGGCTCAGCATGTTCTGCGCGACCGCCTGTTTCTCGTGGATCGCATCGCGCAGGTCCGCATACTGCTTTTGCCGCTTTTCTGCGTGCGCGACCGACCGACAGATCAAGGTAGCCAGCATGTCACTCGCCGTCGTGGCAGCCTCCGTCGCATGCTTGTGCATCGCACATAATTTCTCGCGTAGCTGATCCAACCGGTTCACGAGGAACGCGGCACGCGCAGTCAGGCCACGCCGCTTCGAAGGAGGAAGATTTAATCTGTCGTGTTTGATGCGTATACTTATTTCAAGTTTATTTTTTGACGAATTTCGGGAAAAAAAAAGCTGCGCGTCGAAGTCAAAAGTATTAAGAGTGATTTCAAACAGTCATAAAGCTTGGGCTGTTCTGAAGCGAAAAAAGGTCAAATACTTCTGCAGCTCCGACTCCACTTCAAATAGCTCTTGCAATGCCTCCTCGATGCAGTTCTCGTACTGTGCTGCCTGCAGCGACCCGGAGGCGAAGATATCCGGCGAGCATTGTAACCCGATCGCGTTGGCGTTTTTCTTTAGCGTGTTTTCCACGGGAAGCACGTTGAACTCCGACAAGTCTGGCTCCTGCGCGAAGGATACCCGCTTGCTAGGAGACGCAGGGATCGACGCAACTGACTTCGCCGACTTAACACCCTCGTCCCCCCTCACTTCCGTGGTTCCGTCCACCGCTTGCAAAGCACCGGATGAAACAGACCCCTTTTTTTGCAAGATGGGTTTGTTGCCGGAGTTCGCATTTGTTTTCTCCTTTTGATGATGCTCCACAGAAGTCGGATTGCTGTCGAGTGAAAGCCGCGAAAGCTGAAGCCGAGCCGCCAGCTCCTGGTCTTCTGGATTGTCTATGGCCAGAGGATGAATTGTAGTCCCACTGCCTGCTGATTCAGTTTTGCCGCTGTCCCGACGAGGCTTTTCCTTCAGTTTGTAGTTCAGCGCTGCGCTAGTACTCTTTGCGATTTCAACGCCCTGTTGATGCGCGTTGTGCGCCACTGTACGCGCGAATTCCAGCAGCTCAGACTGGTTGGATTGGGGACGATCCGATGAGGCTGCGGGACCGGTAAAAGCTGTTTTCTCCACAACATCCGGAGCACTCCCCGCGGTGGGACTGAGCATGAACGGACCTTTGTCGTCAGAAGCTGCTCCTCCTGCGGTGTCAACGTCAACATCCGCATCGCCCACCTCGCGGTCTGCTGGTGTGCTCCCGTCTATGATGATGTCAGAACTCCGTGCTGTCTCCGCTTCAGACGAGTTTTTCTCTTCGTCGTCGTCCTCAATCGCGGTCAGAGGGCTGCCCGCCGGAAAGTCGGATTGCCGAGAAACACTCTCATCATGCCGGATCAGCTTGCCATTTCGCCCGAACGTGATCCGATCTCCTGTGTTGAAGTCTTCGAGCCAGGCATCGATCTTCGCGTTCCGGCCCGAAGTCGGAGTTTTTCGGCTGCCACGCCTGCTAGAGCTCGGTGTCGAGGCCGCGGTGCTGGCATCGCTCAGGTTGCTCAGGCTGCTTCTCCTCGAGGAATTTGCCGCCGGCGTGGAGGAGCCGGAGTCGCTGGACGCGTACGAGGTGGATGAGGGTCTCCGAGAAACCGTCGGCGATGCGCTTTGCGGTCTGTACTGCCGAATCAATGCGTCGGTCACGTTCAACGTAGGTGGTGTGTTGCGGCGCGCAGGCAGTAAAGTGTGGTCAGAGGCGGAGCGCGGAACCAATGCTGCCGCGGCCCCTGGTGCCGCAGCGGAAGTAGTAGACGTGCTGCTCGACGACGCACTGCTATTCTTCCCGGTAGAAGTACCGGCTAAGGTGGACAACAAGCGGTGCGCTTGCTTTTCCGGGTCGGCCGTGATCAACCGGGGAGCTGCCGCGGTCAGTAGGCGCGCCGAGCGAGCTGCGACGAAAGAAGTGTTCAGAGACGAATGCGGCCACGACACCGGGAGCAGAATGACAGCGAGCCGGAGAAGCACAGTATAGGAGGCAACCACTCCAGCTGTCGGAAAGAGATGAGAGGCCATCTGTCCCCAACGAAGAACTGGTCCCTGCAGCGTGTTCAACCAGACTCCGCAGCACGAACTACTCCCCCTCCTCCTCAAGAACTTCCCGTTTGTTCGTTGTCGTTGTGATTTGTTGTTTTTCTTTTCACCCGGGCTGATCCAAGCGTTGCCAGCTCGCGGCCAGCTACCGGAGCGACGAGAATCGATTGTTGCAAGCTGTTTGTTTCTGCGGTGAAGACTCTCCGGTTGGTCCAAAATATCAAAACCAAAATTGCAGTCTCGTCGACAATCCCGGCAAAAGAACTGACTTCAGGGTGAAAGTATGTTGCAAAAGTTAGATTTTGGTTCGAGGGAAATATTCTATAGCAAAAATGAAAAATCTAGAGCGGTTATTTGCAAAAAAAGTCCAGGCACGGAGGTCGTTACGCAGACATCAAACAAAGACACGGATGCATCCAGAAATTTTTCCCTGTGAGTTTATTCTTTCGGTTTCGGTGCCTACCTAGTACAAAACTATTTTGGTCAGTTTGAAGTGGTCAATGACATGCGAGCAGTGGACTTCGTTCTTGCCGATGACGAAAAAAGAAGCGCGGATCGCAGAGTACGCAGGTCACACGAGCCAAAAAAGACGACGCCAGCGTTGACAAAAAAAAACAGCCAAAGATTTCAAGATCGTCACCAAGCATCTCTGTCTTTTCTGCTGGGATTTCAAACGGCGCATTGTAATAAATGACAAGGTTTCTTGATGATCCAAAAGCCATGCAGCAAATTTCAGTTGCTGCTATCACAGAGAAGATTGAAATGCTGTTCGCAATGCAAGGCAGTAGCTAGACTAGTGTGAAGCCGAACATCATATGGGATCCTGCTTCTCGAAACATCTTCTCGCATCTGAACATGAACTTTTTATTCCTGGGCATAGTGCGTCGTGTCTCTGCTTCAAGAAAATGGCCTCTGCGGTGCAATCAAAGTCAGTGGTGCTTTCGAAACTTTTTCTACACGGTCGGACGAAACTAACTCAGAGGCTGAAATAGATTCAGCCGCTCCCACCCTGAAACGGTCGTGGTTGGGGGTCTGGCGGTGCGTTGTTCGGGTCGAAACGGTCGGGTATCTCGCTCCACCCGCACTCCTTCCGGTATTCCTTGTCGACAATTTTCAGTGCAAACTCGGTGGGTTTCCACACCCGATTGCTCTCCCACATAAACGCCAACGCGTTCTCGTATCTTTCGGGGGTCAATGGGTCTTTTCCGCTCGCGTTCTCCACCGCGGCCCTGTCCGGTCCGTGCGGGACAAACGCGTTGTGAATGGAACTAGCCCCCGGCGAGAATCCTTTCTTCGCGTCGTAACTCCCGATAATCAGGCCCATGAACTCGCTCATGAAGTTCCGGTGAAACCACGGCGGCCGGAAGGTGTTTTCCGCGACTACGTACCGTGGCGGAAAGCAAACAAAGTCGATGTTCGCAAGGCCGGAACTCTGGTCCGCGTAACTTGACAAAACACTGCCGATGCTCGGGTCCGGGTGGTCGTAGGTGACCGTGTTTATTTAGACCAGAAAATCGGACGAAGTACATGTTTTTTTGCGCATCCCCGTGCAATGGGGGTCGCGGGCGGAAAGAAGTTGAGGGGCGCGAAGGCGCGACCGCGTTCCGGGCTGCTTTACCCCGGAAAAATTAGCCTCCGGCATTGCGGCGGGGCGGCCGGGGCCGGGGAGGGTCGGCCGGACATAGATAGGAAGGCGACGGCACGCAGCCAGCACTTCGCCACCCGCCCCCGCGCGAGGCTCAAGTCGAGGATGCACAGCCGACGCGGCGTGCATCCCGGGGCCCCAACTCGAAGCCCGTCCGGGGCCGGAAAAGCTTTTGCTTTGGCGGCGCGCCCTTCTTCATCCGGGGCCCCGGCCGGCGGGTGAACTGCACGCCCCTTGAAAGGCGTGCGCGCCCTCCCCTTCTTCCGGGGGGGAAAAGGGGGGGCCGAATTGGCCCAATTCGCCCTTCTTTTGGGGGGGGGTAAAATGTGCCCGGTTCTGGGCCATTTTGCTCCCCCCCTGTAGCATCGGGGGAAGGCCATTTTTTGCCCCCCCCTAAAAAAGGGGGCAGAATTGCCCCAATTCTGCCCTCTGTTTACCCCCCCCCCAGAGGGGGGGGGCGCGCGCGCCTTCCGGGCCCCCCCATCATTACCCCCAACTTGGGGGGCGGTGGCTTGGGCCGAAGCAGGCCCAACCCAAGGGGCGCGCGCTCTACTGCTTCGGCGGCCGGCCCCTCCTTTACGGCAAGCAGGCCCATGTGCTTCCGGCAAAAAACATGGCGGTGGCGCATCGCCCCGACAGGGAAAGGCCCGGGGGGAAGCCGCTTGGCGGGGCGGCGCTTCTCGCTCTGGGCGGGCTTCGAGGCCGGGAGGCCGCCCCGGCTCTCTTTGACAAGCCACAACGCCCGGGCCGCTGCATGGCGCAGCGAGTTCCTCGGGCCGGGTGTGTTGCAAGGGCATCCCGCCGCCCTCAAAGCGAAACGAAAGTGGCCCGCCATGCCAGCGGGTGCGCGAAAAAGTATGTACTTCGTCCGATTTTCTGGTCTAATTTATCGCCATGAAATCCCGCAGATCGTACTTGACAGGAATGTAGTTCCCGTAGTACGCGACCACGTCAAACGCGTTGAACTCCGTTTTTGCTTCGAAAAAACTGTCCTGAAACTTGGAAATGATCTCGGTTGGCTGCGGTAGCCTTTTGCTAGCGTTGTCGAGAGCGAGTTCCTTGTTGCCCTCGAGCTCGGCCGGGACAAAGTGCCTCGGGTGCGCAAGACCACTGCTGATCCCGATTGGGCCCAGTTCGGGCAATTGGAACAGAGCGCCGAAGTTTTCCAAAACGTATCCCTCAGCGGCGTCGCCATCGATCTCCACGCGAAACACCATCCCGCGAGGAATCAAAGCGAATTCCTGAATTTAAATGAATGAGTCATCTATTGGATTGCGTGCCGATGGGAAAAGTGACGACAATCATTCCCGCCATTCTAACGCGTTTCAGGCCCACTCCGAGTGGAAAGAAAATCAACTCCCTATGTCTTTATACCGATGGCTCTAGTCTCAGCACTCCAAGCTCCGTGCGCACACAGAGATTTCCGCTTTGCGGAATTATCATCATCTCTGCATCGTGATTCCGAAAAACCCGCGTCATGGATTGCGTACAAGAATACACCGAAGCCGCGGCCCCCTGCTGCTTTTCGCCTGAACCGTTCACAGCCAAAGTTACCATGCCGTCCAAAAAGTCACACGTCAGACCGCGGGGCTCCTGTAACAGTTCATTTGGCGTCTAGCTTTTGATTCACACTGATGCAAATAAATCCATACAAGCAACTGTCAAGCACGCCACTTTTTGTTCTCTATCCTGCAAAGAAGAAGATCGATTCACTGTACCTCGAGCCTGGGAAAGCGAAACTGCGACGGCGATGTCGGATTCATCGCAGGTCGAGTCGTCCATCGGTGATTTGCCACTGCTTTCGCAAGCTTGTGATCTCCATTTTGGTACTGGCCATCGTGCTTCACACTGGGTCTGCATCGGTACATCCACGTGTAACGGTTCTTCGCGCGCGGCGCGGTGAAGGTCGTCCCCGACAAGAGCTCTGGATAGAGCCCATACGCTGGCTTTATCGGCGAAAACTGTCGCGTTGGCAAAGCGCCAGGAAGTAGCTCTGCTTTGTGAAAAGACCCGAACCCGTAGTGTCGGGCTTGTTGGCGATCTGATGCTGGGTGCCGTTTGCTATCACTTAGTGCTGTTCCACGTAGGCGCGAGGGCAGGCTGCCACCGGAAGTCGACCTCCCGCATGCAGGAACGAGGCGACTTTTGTGCAGGTAGGTTTGCGACGCACCTCTTACGCCCGAAGCATTTCTGCAGCGGGCAGAAACGGACGACCAAGACATAGCGACTCAAAGGTAGGAAACACGCAAAAACGTCAATTCACATTGTTGTATTCTGGGTTTCTATAATGAATGTTGTTGTGCTTGATAGGCGTCCCGTTGCCGCTAGTGCGAGAGATAAAAGAAAAAAGGGTGGGTCTGAACATCGGGGAGGTTCCTGTACAAAGAGCGTCACGTAGCTACCGTGCGTGAGCAAGCGTGTTACTGCAGGTGCAGTATGTCCACGGCGGGGACGAACTACAATTTCTTCTACATCATCTAAGAAACTGCTTTTTGTTTCTCGCTCACAATAAAAATTTTGTGCAACGTGGGAGTGCGGTTTTTAGAAGTGCTGATCGAGTAAAGAACTTTCGTACGACTAACGGTGCTTCGCCGCTGAGAGGCCATCTGAATTCCCGGTTCGGAATCAGTCCGCCTTCTTTTTTTTCACCGTCAAATCGATCCAGCTGCCCAGCATCAAGGCGACGATACTGGTCGCGAGGCCGATGGCATTCGGGACGAGAACTTGGACGTCCTTCCACCAAATCGCGCCGATCATCGTCCAGGCGAGGGAACACGCAAGCCCGGCAAACAGCATGGCACCACTTCCTGTTTTGTTTTTGGAGAGATATAGTGAACAACACTGTTCCACGCTGAGACAAATTGCAGCTTTTCATTATCGCTTACACAAATAAAACATCATACCGATTTTTACCTAAGCAACTTTTGTCCTTGGTCGTCCACGCCGTGCGGAGCGCCAATGCTGGAGCGCCGGACATTGCCACATTCAGAGCGCTAGCCAGCAGTGCCACAAGCTGGGTTTTCTGGACGGCAAGTGCAACGACACCGAACACGGCCGCGCCGGAGACAGAGGCTAAAAGTACGTAAAAAACCTTCTTCTTCGCGACTAATGTTTCTAATCTTGGATTTGCACTTGACGACCTCCGCTTCACAACTTTGTCGGCTTCCGCTTTCGTTGAGTCAACATCGGTTTTTTTTCCGTCCGTACTCTTTTTTCGCGCAGGTGATTTTCCCTTTTTCATGCTGGATGGGGTCTGCGAGCGACGCCGGGCCACGGCGGGCTTCGAGTCCACCGAAGTGGGTTTTTTCTTCTTTGCGACTGCCTCCTCATCCTTGTCAGCTGCGAGCAAGACCGGAGAGACCTTACTGCTGTCTTTTTCTGTTTCCGGAGATGAAGCTGCTTTAGTCAAGTAAAACCGCAACTCCGCCGTTAACGCTGAGAAGTAGACAAACACGTAGGCGGAATGCAGCACCAAGCCGCACGCATTCGGAACAATCATGGCAACCTGTTGCATTCCGATTCCTGCGATTAGCCACAGCAAATTCGTTCCTAACCCCGCGAGAAAAGGCAGCGGCGGCATCGTTCCGACCGACATTGTCCGATGCTGGGTGACAACGAGTGGCAGCGGAGCCAAGAACAGCAACAAAGGCAGCACCATGCCACACGCTTCCGTGAGGTGGCGGGCGGCCATGTTGGACTCCAGGGTGCTGTACAGGTCGAGCAACATGGTTGTCATGGTCAGTTACAGTTACTTGATGCTCAGTAACGCCGCCCCGTGATAGGATAATAAAACAGAGCAACAAGGGAAAAACTGATTTGAAACAGACAATGCCTGATATAGCAAATTCCGCACTCACAAGTCGTCTTGTGTAAAAGTACTGAGATCCATGAAATGCTGAAGTCAAAAATGACTGAATGTGAACACCTGTACAAAGAGACGATCATGAAAAAGAAGGATGTATGTCAGCGTCTCGCAAGTTTTACTCTGGCTCGACCTCCTGAGCCACAGAGTGCAGAATGTTGTAGTTCTGGATTCTTTGACTTCCTCTATGTATCTACATTCAATCACTTCGAGCTGAGATTCATACAATCGGTACAAAGTTTTTCAAAATCAAGATGCTGCTAGCTTGGCACAAGAAAATACGGCCAACAGCAACTCCGGCGTACACGCAATGAATGCGAACGTCTCGTGGGATTTGATACCCATGGTACAACGCGAAAAAGTTCTTCATACATTTGAAACCGCAAAAAACCTATCTTGTATTTGGCCCCAAGAATGATAACCAACTCTGACACGACAGTAGATTACCACTGCAATCCGTGTCGAGGAAAGACACCGAAATTATAAGATTTCTTTAATGCATCATTCAAGATCAGTATCCAGGAAAAAAAGTGTGTAAGTGTAACTTTCTTTGAGGAGCAGCATCACAAATTTGCGCTACATGACAGAGAAAACCTGTCATGCGTAGCTTGTAAGTGAAAACACACATGAAAAGAGGACTTCATGGCAGCCTGGCATGACAGGTGTAACTCTGTTGCACGTTCTGCAACACAAATTTACACTTACACAGTTTTTTTCTTGGATAATCAGCGCCGCATGGCTGCCAGAAACTGTTCAAAAGTGAGCCGACCATCTGGGGTGACCTCCCGCATCATATTGTTGAGCTCCTCCAAAGTGTTGTTGGGAAAAATCACACGCATGTCCTGCACATCCACACAACCGCTGCCGTCGGCGTCGAGAACCTGAGGGGGTTTCAGTTTCAGACAGATACGAGTTCCGCAGAAAAATATATTGAACCACGCACACTTCCTTTGTTCTGAACTTTCCTTATGCCACATCCAATCCCTTACCTGGTACACCGCCAAATAATGCGCTTCGTTGAAGGAACGCCAGTCGAGCGTGGCCGCCAAGAACTCGGTGAAGTTGATGTCTTCGCTCTGGTTCAAGTCGACCCGGGGCCACACCTCAACCTCGAAATCGTGTGGCAGTTCAAAGTCTATGCCGCCCTCCGAGCGCACTGCGTTCACGAATTCTTCCATCGATAAGGTTCCAGACCCGTCCTTATCCAGCGCCCGGAAAGTCAGCCTATGCGGTGCAAGGTCGTCCGTGTCGGTGCCGGCCAGATGCGCGAGCACAATGAGGGCCGCGCGTTTCAGGAGTGGGAGTTGTGCGAATTCCCGCATATTCTTCATCACTTCATCCATGTGCAAACGCCGCTGGCCGGACGGGAGCTGATGACAAAGTTTGTAGTAATTTACTTTCACATTAGCATATGGAGCTAAGGTTATACACAATGAAACCGCGCAAAAGAAAAGAAAGCAAACTCCAGTACCCTCGTCGGCACTCCTGCTCCGCCTTTGCTGTTCTGCCTGCCTTCTGGTGGGTCGTAGCTCTTCTGGATAAACGGGTGCTCCAAGGCCACCCTCGCGTCGATGCGCTTCGTGTGGTCGCGCTGCAACATTTTTTCCAATAAATCGTACCCGTCGGGGTCCATGTTTTTCTTTTTCTTTTTCAGCTTCTTCGATAGATACCGCGGATCCAGGATCTGCTGCTTGACTTCTTCCTCCTCCGCGCCGAGGGAAAACAGCGGCTCACCGGCCAGCATGATGTAGAGGATGATGCCCAAGCCCCAGATGTCCACTCTGCGGTCGTACTTGCCCCCGGCAATCATTTCCGGCGGCATGTACGCGACGGTGCCCCGCTGCCCCTCGAGATCGGACTCGCCGCTACTCCTCGCGGACAACCCTAGGTCGATCAGCTTCAAGCTCGCGTTCCGATCGACACTGGCGAACATGAAGTTCTCCGGCTTGATGTCGCGGTGCACAATGCCGAGCGAGTGGCAGCAGAAAACCGCCTTCAGCATGTGGCGAAGCAGTCTCCCGGCTTCCTGCTTGTTGAACCGGTTTTTGGTTTTCAACACGTCTACTATCCGGTCGAAGAGGTCCGGTCCCTGACAGAGCTCGAACACCAAAACGACGTCTTTTCCATCGTCGAAGTACTCCAAGAGTTTCACGATGTGCGGATGGTCCAGTGCGATCAGCGATTTCACTTCGTTCTCGAACATCGCCCAGTCGCTCTGCAGCACGTGCTTGGGGATCCGCTTCGCCGCACGCAGGACGCCCGTGCCCTTGTGCTTACACTTGAAAACCGCACCGAATCCGCCCTCACCGATCTGCCCCTCCTTCGCCATTTGGTACTTGTCTTCAAACTGCAGCGTGCTTTCGCGGATGAAAATTCCGCGGTCGAGCTGTAGTGCGGCGTCGCCGTTAGAGGTTTTACTTTTGGTCTTACTACGATCCTCATGGTTCGGGTCGAACGAAACGCTGCCGTGGTCGGACGCGGTTTCGTTCTTCACCTCGCAAAGAACGAAATTCTTATTGTGTGCCGCGGAAAATAAACCTGCGCTGCGTTGTAGGGCAAACTCGTCACAAAAATCGAGTAAGCTGGTAGGACGGGAGAAGGAGCGCCTGGTCCGCGAGCAGTCAAAAGTACTAGACTTTAAAGATGCATCAGAAACGAAGTGCTCCGCCCGAGGTCGGGAAGAAGACGAGGAAGACGAGGAAGATCCCGAACTTTGCTCCCAACCAGTCTGTATCAAATGCAAAAATGTCTGGGTCTGGAAGAATGCAACCTGTCATGCTAGATCTGAAGCATGCAAAAATCTGTGTTGCGTGATTACCAAAAATCGTCCAGTTTTGACCAAGTCGGGAGGGAGTTTCCCATGCAGGATAGGCATGAGAGAGATCGCACAGAATCTGTCACGCTAGCTCCTGCATTCCAGACCTCATAGATCATGGAAAAGCTGCATGACAAATCGCACATTCTTCCGGACCCAGACATTTTTACATTTGATAGTCTGGTCGCTCGTCGGTGGAGCAACCCGAACCGCGGCCGGAGCGAACCGTGTACAAAAATGTTGCATTTTTTGTAGACAAAATTTCGTGAAAACTTAGAAGTACCAACGAGGAATTGAATTGTATGCTGCTAGTTGTCAAGTAACGTCTGCACACAGGACGTAATAATAATAAAATCTTCACGGGTCGTTGTGGCGCAGTAAATGCAGCGACATCTTCGCTCGTCACACCACTCCAGGACGTTGCCCTCTCTCCCACCATCCGATCTCTCCAACGAGCACGACACCTGTAGTGTGACAGTGTCAGTGGCACGATAGTCAAGAAGCACGAAAATAAACACTAGCGTGACAAATCAATCCGGCCTCACCGCCGGAAAAAAGATCAGTCCAATCTTCAGCTGCACGCGCGATAAAAAGCAAGGGAGTCTTCGCCCATTACATCTGGTTATAGGCAAGCGAATCCGCTATAGGCTCAGATTCCCAGATACCATGAAGATTATTGTCTTCGTTTTCAGTAGAAGTCGAATGCATAGTATCTGCTTCCGCATCTCTATTGTAGTCATGCATTACGGTTATACAACACACGTTCCAAAAGTCATCGAATATGTTGCGAAGATTGCGACAGTCGTCGTTTATTTTTGAAAATCAAAAGATTCAAGATCCTTTGCGGTCGTGTCGGTGTTTTGAACCTGTTCGTCCGCCGAAAAATGGTCCAGTCGTCCCATCCTCATTTTAATTATGTTTCGTTGCGTTTCTTGGCACCGTCTACTGCAACAGCTCAACACGCTTCACCCAGATTCCCGTGGAAAACTTTTCCACGTAATCTTCTTCCGCGAATTGGGTGTATTCCTGGACGGTTTTGTAGATCGAAGTGGCCTCCGCAGGAATCCCGCCCCTGTTCCAATCGTCGGCCTCGTACCATTTTCTGTCCTCGCTTCCGCTTGTTTTATGAAATTGAAATAAAAGCTTCTGACGCACATAAAGCAAATCATGGAGAATGTTGTTGCATCTACGAGGCTTTTCTCTACGCATGTTGTCGTGCCAACATGAAACAAGTGCGACTTAAGCATGAGAAGTCTGTTTCAGATTCATAACCTGCGTCGACCCAGCAGCTCTTCACGTCCTCGACGGTGACACCCAAGGACTTGCCCCCTGACGCTTTGCCGCTCTGCGCCTGCGCCTTCCAGAAGTTGCGCGCGTCGTATTCCAGTGCACCCAGTGTGGCTTCGGCGGGATCCATCGAACCTCTCTCCATGAACCCCTCGGCGAGCTCGTCCGCGAGTTCGTCGATCTTTTCCCAGAACGCGGCGCTGGTACAATCCATAGCCATGAATTCGCTCACGACCGTGTAGTGCGCAGTGACGGGAATCGAGCCCGGGCATCGCCCCCCGCGGGGTTCGTCGCGCGACAGCTCCGAATCCTCCTCTTCTAAGTCTTCCGGTTCGTCCTCGTATTGCACTAGCTCGCAGTTGTAGATAACGTATCCGTACTTCGTCGTTTTTTTCCCGTCCTTCCCCTTCCCCGCGGCAGATCCCGCGTCGGTCGTGACCGGGGAAAGAACGGAGGAAGTGCCCGGAGCAGCAGCAGAAACCTCCTCATTCTTTTTTTCCTTGACACCACTCGGCTTCTTTGGGGTCGTGGTAGCTGTGCCTTGTTTCGCTTGCGATTTTTTAGGTTTCACCGAGGCCGCGGAGGGAGATTTTTTCACGGTCTCCTTTTTCATGACGGTCGCCTTTTTGGTAGTCGTCGCCAGCTTCGTCGAGTTCGCAGCGCTTTTCTTACTGTCCTGCTTCTTCGCGGTACTGTCCGGCTTGGCTTTCTTCATGGCAGGCTTTTTTTCCGCACTCTTCGCTTGAGCGGCTTTGCCACCGCTTTTCGTAGTAGAGCCCGGCATCGTACTGATTCCAGTAAGTGAAAGTTTTTGGTGGCTTGTGAGAAGTGACGAGATGAAACGCTCTACTTCTTTACAGCTTGATCTAACTATGGTAAAAGGAGATGGAGAAATGGCAATGGCTACAACTATCGGAGCAGCTGCTAACGAAACTGAAACAGACACCCAAGATCGCAGTGATCCGAAAAAGCTACACTGTTATCGTTAGATTACTTACACACTGGAAGCAGGTGTGGTTCTTCACTTGGTCGTCGAACGGATTGGTCCTCTTCATCAAACAGCAGGAAACAAAGCCATATGTCAACCCGAACTCGCACAAGCGATAGATCTGCACTAGATCTTGATATAAAGTGATCTTCTTCAACTCGTATACGTGCGATCGCGTCCGATGAGGTCTGTTGTTGTGAACTAGTGTTGGAAGACCGAACACAAAGAAAGCTGTCGTGTGCCGCCTCGCTGTTCGTGCCCCTTTTGTGGTGGTCGAAAATTGACTTGTGCTTCATGTCAAGAATAAGTATGGAAAATGATGATGTTGATGATAGCGAGCTGGGATCGGCGCTACTCCTCTCTCTGACACGCTGTAGGAATAGCCTACCCTGATGCCATAGGCACACAAATGGAAATGTGGTCGCAACTTGCTTTTCAAAATAAGACAGAGCAGTGCTATTCCCCTTCTCTACTAACTTGTGTTTCTCCCTTCGCACCGCATTGCGCTTGCTTCCGAGCGCCTACTTCTGAGCGGCAGAAATAGGGTTTCCTCAGATTTTCTCGTAAACCTTCTCGTCTTCGGTCACTTTCATGCGCTTCACCCACACCGCATTATGCAGTCTGCGCAACGGTTCTAGTTCTTCATAGCAGTCCCAGTCTCGATTAGTCCAATCAGCGGTCATTTCGAACACTAGCGTAGCACCTTTCGGGACTCCGCGATCCCACTCACCCTTCGATACGTCCGGAGATTCCCCAAAGATTTTCGACTTATCGTAGCAGAAACCCTTCTTGAGAATGTTGTTCTTCCAGTACGAACGATGGTCGACCACATGGAACACGTCATCTGCGAACAACTCCATGTCTAACTTCAGGTCCTCACAATGGCTGTCAATAGCGGCCCAAAACGCTAGAGTGCCGCAGTCGTCGGAATCGATTTTCATCACCGATACGTCATTTTCGGGCACTTCATTGCGACCATGTCCAGCCACATTGTCCGATGGGTTCGAATCTTCCTCCTCCTCGTTATCGGACATGCTACACTCCTCTTTAATTTCAGCAAGATAAACAATGTATTTATACTTTTCCGCTTCACCATGTTTCGCGTCTTTCTCGGCGGCGGCACCGATAGTGCAGTCCTCCATCTTCGCCACGCCTGCAGCGGGGTCCGACTTAGCTTCCGAAGCCGCAGGTTCCTTCTTCATGGCAGTGCCGCCCTCCTTCTTCGCTGCGCCTGCAGCGGGCTTCGCCTTAGCTTCCGGCACCGCAGGTTCCTTCTTCATGGCAGTGCCGCCCTTCTTCTTCCCCGCTTCTCTAGCCGGCTTCGCCTCAGCTTCCGACGCCGCAGATTTCTTCTTCACGGCACTGCCGCTCTTCTTCCCCGCTTCTGCATTCGCCTTGGGTGCTGCAGGCTTCTTTTTCACGGCAGTGCCACTCTTCTTCTTCCCCACGTCTGCAGCAGCCTTCGCCTTGGGAACTGCCGCTTTCTTCATTGCGGGCACCTTTTTCACGTTGCCTTTCTTGCTGATCTCAGCATTTTTTTTCCCTGCACCGGGCATCTTTTCTGTGATTTTTGGTAGATAAAGGGAAAGCAATGTCGAAAACACAATCAGTACCTCTTGACACAGCTTCTTACTTACACTTCTTCGTCGTGCTCTTTGCTAGCAAAAAGTACTCCTTTGTAGTGGACTCGTCACTCAAGTACACTATTCCACTTCTGGTAAGAAAGTCGTTGCCGAGAGAACGAAAGGAGAAGAGCAGAGAGCGTAGAGTAAGGGCATCAAGAAGAATGACATTTGTTCCGAAACTCGATCGAGCAGAAAAAACTGATCTTGTGCTGTGATCTCGAAGGAGAGCGGAAGAAAAGAACTGGCGCTTCTCATCCTATGGCTAGCGAAGATAAAAGCTAGTGCTTATTCCGGTTGTTGTGCGCATCTTGCGAAAGCCTTTCAGCAAAGAGATCAAGGGCAAAGAACAGAAGTCGGTTTGATCGTGCAGTAGAGATGATCTACTTTGTACGACCGTACGGACCCATTCCTTTCGAGCGTCCTTCATCAACACAATAATTGTCTACTTTCCTATCTTCTAATTTGTGTTTCTCCCCCTTCTCTTCTAACTTGTGTTTCTCCCACCTGCGCACCGCATTGCGCTTGCTTCCTCTTCCAGGAACATATTTCTGAGAAATAGAAGTAGTTTTTCCTCAGATTTTCTCGTAAACATTCTCGTCTTCGGTTATTTTCATGCGCTTCACCCACACCGCATTCTGCTGTCTACGCAATGGCTCTTCATCGCAGTCCCACTCCCAGTCTAGATAAGTCCAATCAGCGCGAATTTTGAACAGCAGCGTGGCGCCTTTCGGGACTCCGCGATCCCACTCATCCTTCGATACTTCCGAAGATTCCCCGAAGATTTTCGACTTATTGTACGAGTGACCCTTCGCGATAACGTTGCTCATCCAGTACGAACGGTTGTCCTCCACATCACACACGTCATGCGCCTCTTCGTCGTGGTACGCACATTTCTGCCGCATTTCTTCCTTCAGGTCATCACAATGGCTGTCGATAGCGGCCCAAAACGCTAGGGTGCCGCAGTCGTCGGAATCAATTTTCATCACCGATACGTCATTTTCGGGCACTTCAGTGTAACCATGTCCAGCCCTATACTCCGATCGGTCCGAATTTTCTTCCTCCTCGTTATCGGACGTACTACGCTCCTCAGCCTCATAAATGTCAGCAAGATAAACAACGTATTTATACTTTTCCGCTTCACCTTGTTTCGCGTCTTTCTCGGCGGAAGCACCGGTAGTGCAGTCCTCCATCTTCGCCACGCCTGCAGCGGTGTCCGATTTAGCCTCCGACGCCGCAGATTTCTTCTTCATGGCAGTGCCGCCCTTTTTCTTCCCCGCGTCTGCAGCAGACTTCGCCTCAGCTTCCGGTGCCGCAGATCTCTTCTTCATGGCAGTACCACCCTTCTTTTCCCCCGCGTCTGCCGCGGGCTTCGCCTTAGCTTCCGGCGCCGCAGATTTCTTCTTCATGGCAGTACCACCCTTCTTCTTCCCCACATCTGCAGCAGACTTCGTCTTCGCCTTGGGTGCCGCAGGCTTCTTCTTCACGGCAGTACCGCCCTTCTTCTTACCCACGTTTGCAGCAGCCTTTGCCTTCGCCTTGGGAACTGCCGCTTTCTTCATTGCGGGCAACTTTTTCACGTTGCCTTTTTTGCTGATCTCAGCATTTTTTTTCCCTGCACCGGGCATCTTTTTTGTGATTGGTAGAAGATTAAGAGTAAGCAATGTCGAAAGCAGTACCTCTTTACACAGCTTCTTACTTACACTTCTTCGTCGTGCTCTTTGCTAGCAAAGAAAAAGTACTCGTTTGTAGTGGACTCGTCCCTACTCGTATTATTTCGATTCACTGCTACACTTCTGATATAGAAAGTTGTTGCCAAGAGAACGAAAGGAGAAGACAGTGTAGAGAAAGGGGAGCAAGAAGAGTGGCACTTGTTCCAAAAGAACTCGATCGAGCAGAAGTGTTCTTGTCTCCCGATCTCGAAAGAAAGCGGAAAAAGAGAACTGGGGCTTCTCCATCTAGATCAGCACGGCTCGCGCTCGCGGAAAAAAGAACTAGTCGTAGCGCTTGTTCTGGTCGTTGTGCGTATAATGTTGCGAAAACCTTTCAGCAATAGAGAGATCAAGTGCGAAGAACAGAACTCGGTTTGATCGTGCAGTAGAGATGATCTTTGTACTTCTAGAGCTCGTGCGACCGTACGGAAACGGATCCATCACTTTCGAGCATCCTTCACTAACACACTGGTCTACTTTCCTATCTGTTGACCTTGCTTGCTTCCTCGTGCTTCATTTCCACTAGCCTTCTTTCCTTTTGATTTACCATGATTTCTTCCCGAAGAAGACGACCCTTCACCGGCACGATTTGACTTTGACTGTGCATTTTTACCGCTCCCTTTTTTCCCTGCGCCCCCGTCTTCCGGGTCGAACCAGCGTTGGTACCCGCCTTTGTTCCTTCCACTCGTTAGGTCTTTCTCCTGCAAGTAGTCGTAGAAGTGCGTGCTGCAATCTCCGAGTTCGTTTGTCGGAAATGCAAACACCCCGATGTCCGTCGACGAATAGGAGCCACCGTCGGCCGTACTGCCGCCTTGCCTCGAAAGTCGCTCCAGCGTCGGCCGCAATTCCGTTTGCATCGACTGCGCAAAATCCTTGCACGATGGGTTTTCAAAAATACCCGAACCAATGACTCTACTGGCCATCATAATACCGCTGCACCAAGCCGCTTCTGCACACGGTGCAACACAGATGTCTCCGCACCAGCCAATGTGGTTTGCTGCATCAAGGATGCAACAATTCTCCGGACTTGATTCCACTCGATTCACCGGGACTGCGTCTTCCCAGTGCAAGATCCGGTTGACTTCGTACGACGCTATTGACGATGCTAGAGGCGGATCTCGTGGTGGTAAGTTGCGTGCTTTGGCTCGATTATCGTGGTCATCACGCAAGAGCTGCTCCAAAGCTTTGATCAGCGTCTTCTCACCGGTTTTCCGATATTGCTGGCGGCTTCCGAGGTTGAATTCATACTCTGCGTAGGCAGCAGTGGATAAAACGGTGAGATACGCGATATTGCTGTCGTTTTCTTCTTTGGTGCCATCGTCAATATTTTTTCCTTCATCTTCGTGCGAGGAACTCCGGTGCCTCTTGCTGTTGTTCCATCGGGACTTCGGCTTGAACGGCGAACTGGCAGTAGTAGCAGTCGCCTGTGGCCCTGCTTGCTGCTGTGCTTGTTTGAAGGAATTATTCCCCACAAACGCTATTGGAAATAACCCCTTTGCTCTTTCTGCCGCTGGGCTCTCATCTTCACCTATCTTGCAACTGTTTTGTACTATCACGTGCAGACCTAGCCAGGGCGGTACCGGAACGTTTAGCGTGACCTTGACTTGCATTGGAAAGAGTTGGTTGCAGCGGGACTTCGAAAGTGTGTCTAAAAGGTTCTGACACGGGTTTCTCCCTTGCTCACCAGCAGAAGTACTACCCGATTTGTCCTGCGTGACAACCTCGGCAGTCTTCAAAAACGGCTCGAACAAGACGTGTTGGGAAAAGGCTCCGACGACGAAGTCAAACAGAACGACTTTGTTCTCCGAATCCACGAAATCCGGCTGCGGCCTGCGCTTGCCAAGTTTAAGCGACCATTTGCAGCTGCTCATCTTCCGATCGCTAGTAGTGGTAGCAGTTCTATGCTGCACAAGTCCCTTGACCATTCGGTCTTCGGTCGGGAAACCGCGCACGACGGTGAGAAAGTTCGGGAAATCCTTTTCGAGCGCTGCAAATTGCTCCAGCATCAGGTTCCACATTCCGGTTTCCGAGTAGAACACTCGAGTGCGCGCCCCCGGTGTCTCCTTCCCAGACACAGACGCTGATCTTTCTGCACAGAGGTCCGAAAAATCGAAACGCGGCGACGACATATTATTCCCGGTTGTGACGACGGCTTTCGCTTTTCGCACAGGGAAGCACTCTCTGTTGCTTGTTTGTCCGGAGGCAACCGGCACCAGCTCCTTCACGCAGTTCGTCTTTTTATCCCCACGCCAGTGCTTCTCAATGAACTTGCAAAACGGCGTTCTGTCGTAGGTACTGACGTACTGACACCCATAATCGTAAAACGGCTGGCCCGGTTTGCAGAAGGCTTGATTCGGGGCCCCGTGCATTTGCGAAGTAAATTTCCCCCGTGCGGTAAAGAGATAAACTTTGATCTCCTTCACCCCACCTGCAGAAGTTTCAGCCCTTGCTGCTTTCACCTGTTCACACAACGCTCGCACGCAAGCCACCGCAGCCAGTCCGCTACCGACGACAGCGATGCGAACGCAGTCTGCGGTTTCGGTGCTCATTTTCTTATCTTGGGGTACAGTAAAGGAGAGGTGAAAGCTAACTTAAAGTTAAACTCAAAAAGAAAAAAGTTTGTTACTTACATATTTGGGAGCACGCACAAGGATCAACAAGGGTGAAATAGTACAGGCAGTTCTGTGTGTAAATTGGATATCTCATGATCGTGATCCGATTGTAAGACGCTCCTTCATAGGGGTTTCTTTGTATTTGCAGAGGCATAAACACGATCTATCTTATTCACATTCCGCACGAGCACATCAACAATCCGAACCTCGCACCGACGGTTTTTCCCGAAGGTGTTTCCTGTTTTGATCCGCAACACACGATGGCTTTTCCGCAGCGTTGGCGGGTCGAGTGGTACTTACTCCGCTTGTCTTCTGCAAAAATTTTCAAGAAACTCGTGGTATACAAGGCGAGGCTTGTTTTGTCCCGGGCATAAGAATGTATGAAAGGTCTTGCTCAAACAAGCTGTTTCTTGTGGTAGCAGAAAGTTGAGACTAGGTCTGTAATTGCATTCAACGAAGTCTTCGAGTTTGAAAAATTCCGCAAATATTATGGGCGCATCTGCTCCCGAGAAAATGAGTTCCTGCTATCTTACACAAATTGAGGTCAGTGGGAGTGGAAAGAAGGAAAACCACAGAGGAAAAGCTGTTCTTTATATGCACAAAAAGTAGCTTAATATTGACAGTCCAAGCAAAATGTGCTTGACCGGCGTGAAAAAGATGAAAGTCATGACTTTATTTTGGTACTAAGCAAAAAATCAAGAAAGCAAATCATGGGAAAAACAAAAAGGTCTATGTTCTAAAAAATCATGAACTCGACGTCATAGTTCGCCCCGTCGAGATTGACGAGAAAGAGGACACTACACCCGGTCTGAATCTACACCAACATCACTTATGCCGCGGCTCCTACCTTGCTTCCACCTTCTGCTCCGTTCTTCCGGGTGGCCATCAATGCAGCCATCTGCTGTTTGTGATCTTCCCCGATGGTCTTCAGGATGTCCTGGATCTGGTTCTTTATCAAATGTAAAAATGTCTGGGTCTGGAAGATTGCCAGGTTTGTCATGCACATTTTGCATGACTCCTGATGTCTGTGATGCATGCTCTAGCGTGACAGATTTTGTGAGGACTTCCTGATGCCTATACCGCATGACAAATGCTCTTTCCGTGTAGCAAAACCTGGACTCTCTTTGCTGCTCATGCAATACAGATTTTTTTAAATCTAAAATCAGCATGACAAGTTGAATTCTTCCAGACCCAGACATTTTTACAGTTGATATTCTTTTCGTCCTCCCAAAACTGTATTTCCTTCTTCTTTTCCTCATAGTCTTTACTACTCGCATCCATTTCCTGCAGAGCGTTGATGCACTGTGTCTGCTTCTCCAGAGCGTCAGAAATTTTCGTCAACACCGGGTTACTTGCGTGCAGTTGCGACGTGAAGATCGCGACCGCCTGTTTCGCTATTTTCATTCCCAATTCATCCTTCTCCTTCACCGCTTTTTCGTACAGATCCATGAAGTTGGAAACTTCAATCGATAAAAAGAGGGTCAAGAAGTTCCTGATTCCGAACCCGCCACAACCGGGGCTCAGCGTCGCTTTCTCCTTGTCACACACCCGCTGTATGAATTCGAAAAACGGCGCTTGCTGGCCGGGCTCGGCCATGAGAACGGGCTTGGAGAAAATCTGGAGCAAGATGTCTTTGCCCTGGATGTCCACGAGAATTTTGTTCTTCACGATGTTCAAGTATTCCTCTTCGTTCAGCGTGTCCAGCATCATATCGTACAAATTTCGGTATCTGCCGCGACAAACCAAGTCCGCAATGTCGCTGTGCTGGTTCTCCGCAATAAAGTCTCCTATTGATGATGCCGACGCTTCCTTCAGCACTCTTTCCACACCTTCCCTGTCGATGTCGAGTGCCACCACGTTGTGCTCGTCGACGATGTTCTCTTTTCGCAGGACTTCGAGCACTTTCTCCCCCTGCGCTCTGTCAAACTTGAACTGTTCGAAGTCTTCTACTCTCAGAAAACCGTAGTAACTTCTCGGAATATCCAGAAACGCCAAGCCTTCTCCCGTAACTTCCTATCAAAATGAAAAATCCCCCCTCCCCATATCAAAACGGAAATTTGTGATGCTGATTTGTGACCACAAATCAGCTTTGTATTGCACAGAGGCACTGCGGCCAGATCCCCAGGGGGGGAGGTAGGGGCGTATGGGTCTAGTAGTTCAGCATGGCAAACGGCCCCCCTTTACGCCAGACAGCATGGCAAATCGCTTCCATAATGGGGCGGAAGCTTCTGCCCTTGTCTTCTTGCAAGACAGATGTGATTTGTGACCTCAAATCCGCAACACAAATTTTTGGAAACATACCTTTTCAATTTGGGGAGGGGGGATTTTTCCTCTCAATACTTCCCGAAACCGGTTCGCGCGGCTGATAAAGTCCGGGAGATTTTTCACCCTTGACGCGAAATGCTGCACGCCCTGGCCGACCTGTTCGAGGTAGAGATGGACGTGTCCGTGCTCGGAGAGCGCGTTGTTGATCGGCAGGTAGATCTGGTCCTGGTTCTTGAACCACTGGTTTTCGTCGCTGAGCTCCACCTTAGGCTCATTTCCAGTCACGGTGGACTCAATCACCGCTTCGCCGGCACCGACTACCCCCGCGTTGAAGTTCACCTTTGGCTGGAAACCGAAAACGTCCTCGAAGGTTTTCAGGACCTGAAGTGACGGACGAGTGCGAGTGCGACATTGGATTTGATTTTTTTCCAACTCTTTTCATAAAGAAACTAGAACTACAGCATAACGAAGTCTAGCGCATAATTTGTACGGGTGTGCATGACAAAATCCACAGAGGACTCTCTTGTTACCTGCTCCCGATCGAAGACGTTGGAGACCCAGTGGTCCGGGTACGCGGCACAGACCTCCGGATCAGACAGCTGGTATTTCACCGGCTGCATTCCGGGGAGCGGGAAAATTTCCCGATACGGATCCTCTTCCACGAACCGCACGACGGTGCCCAGATCCGGCTTATTCGTGCTGTCCTTCTGGTAATACGCGTACACCTCCAAAATTTTCGTCCTGCCGTAACTCTTCGGAAAGCCCGCGCGCACGAGCGCCGGGTGGGTCTCCTTATACCGCTCCGCTAGCTTGTCGACGCTGTTCGAGTGAAACGCGAGAACGGCGCACCCCTGGCGGAACCCGTGGGCCTCGAAATACTGGTTGAGATTCTTCGGGTGAAAGTGATCCAGCACAGTCCCGCTGCTGTCGGCGCTGGAGGCCTTTTCGTGCGCGGCGGTAACGACCACCGCAACACCCTCGCGCGGGTTTTCGTGGGTAGCGACCTGTGAATTTTGACGAATACAAAGTTTTGAAAGCCAAAGCGTTATTTCGAAAGGTAACAAGCAGAGCATGGAAATGAAGTGGCAAAAATCAAGGATGAAGAATTGTGAAATACATGATAGCTCGTCGACTCCGGTCCCTCATGAACCCCCGCAATGCGCCAGCCCGCGCCCATAATCATCTGCTTCACCACGTCCTGTATGAAATGCAAATATGTCTGGGTCTGGAAGATTGCGAGGTGTGTCATGCATGTTTTGCACGACCCATGATTCCTGTAATGCATGACCCAGCATTACAGACTTTTAGAGGGCTGCCTGATGCCTGTTCCGCATGACAAATGGCCTCGCCGCGTAGCCCAAACTGGACTCCTATTGCTGGCCAGGCAGTACAGATTTTTTTAGAATCCAAAGACAGCATCACAAGTTACATCCTTCCAGATCCAGACATTTTTGCAATGCATATCCTGCCCGTGTGGGACGTACTTCGTCGCGTCCGGGGCCTTGGGCTCGTACTTCTCTCGCCTATGAAATGTAAAAGTGTCTGGGTCTGGAAACTTGTAATGCTAAAAGTGAATGGTAGACGCACCGCAATACGCAGCTATGCATGACAAATTTTTTGGCTGCCATGTCCTACGTATTCCGCATGGCAAACTGCGTTTTTGCATGACAGGCAAGAGGGCCTTTTCGCGCCTATGCAACACAGATTCTCGAGTCATGCCAGACAAGCATGACAAACTTGTATTCTTTCAGTCCCAGACACTTTTGCATTTGATATCGCCACATGGCGCGCAAAAGTTGTTCCAGCTCTTCGTTTTTCTCAACTGCTGTTTGTTTCTTGAACTTTTCCACGTTCCCTACTGAAGAAACAAAGTTGTTCAGCTTGTCCTCCACCGCCTTGTATTCTTCCAGGCTTTTTAAACTGTTCACGTATAAGTGCAAATGGTGAAACTTGAGCTGATTCCCCAAATCCGCGACTGCACACCCCATGCCAGCGCCGGCAATGGCCGACTCGCCGGAGAAAAACCGTTTTGTTCTTTGCGAGACTTGATGTATTTTTGAGGGTACTGAAGAAGAGGAAGAACAAAGGACCCTTCGCGAAGTGGCACTGGCAGCTGGAAGGAAGTTTTGCCAGGATAGTTGCGGACGATGAAGAAGAAGTCGCACAGGTGCGATTACCTGGCGCTCCCCTCTGGCAGATGGGAGGAACCGTTTCCAAGTCATCTTGAGTTGTTGTCTTTGCATGCGACTAGAAAAAGAAAGAATTCCAAACTTAGCGCAAAGGTTGTGTATTCCTAGATTTTTGCCAACAAACCTCTAATAGTGCCTTATGGTCCTTGTGGTCACTTTGATGTAGAAGTTTATGCAGGATTATCTTCAGCGCCGTACTTTGGGGCGCGCCACCTTGGGTCCTGTTTTTCATCCGAATTCTCTAGCACGCCATGAACTCAGTTGTTCACATCCGCTCTCTCCAAGAGTAGATCATGACGCATCCGCTCTGACTTAATTCACCCTCGTCTTTCGTGAATCCCTCGTGATCACTCTTGCGATAATAAATTTTCCTCGCACGATATGTTTGACGAAAAAACACATTCAAAAAAAAGGGACAGTCAGAGGCAAAGCCGTGGGTCGTCGTCTTTGCTGATAAAGAAAACAGTAATCGTGTATCAAGAAAGATTGCCAACACTGCGATTTTTCTCGTACCTTCATTAGATTTGTCCAGGTTCATTGCAGCATTATTCATTTGAAATATCTGCCGGATAGCGGCATAAAGTCGATCAATCATCTGTAGAGCGACAACTCAGTTTTTTTGCCACTTCCTGGCCCAGAAGTAACAATCGTCCCCTACTGCGGTTTCATGGAAAATATGTAGAAAGACAAAATCAATAAGCGTTAGTCCGAGCAGGAAGAAAAGGTACTTCACCGGGAAGCTGCGAATCAACGGAACTCTTTCTGGCTCTTCGTACAGCTGCGTGTCGGTGTCACCAAGTGGCTTCTCCGCATCAGGAATGTTGTGACGATTGAGATAGAAGAGACGCGTGCTGCTGGTCTTTTTATCGTCGTTACTTTCGATTTCCCGGATGACCTGGTTTCTGTATCCGCTGAGAGCACTTTCATCCAAACCGCTGGGCATCAAACCAAATCGCACATAATTTTCGTGATCTGGTCCCAAAGCCTTCTCGCCGAACGCATCCAGTCTCGGGACTAGATAGCAGGAACTCTTTCCCGAGGAAAAAGACATTGCTACCCACCAGCAGTAAAACCTGCTCGGGTCCTTCGCCGGACCGTGGTGCCAAGTCTGTTGACAGAGGTCTTTGCAAAGTTTCTCGACTTTGGTGCCGACTTCCTTGTCCACGTCTGGACGAGGCAAGGCCGTTGCGTCTTCGGTCTCTTGTTGCGGCGTTTGCGATAATCCGGTCGAGGGTAAAGAGTCGCTTTTTCCGTCTTTTTTTTGTACAGTGTCGATCTCAATTTCCATGACACACTGTGGCGCGTTTCGCGCTTCGTGAAGGACCACGGCAGAGGTGCCAACGATACTTTCGAGCACCGTTTTCATCTCTGAGCACTTTCGACCGACGATTCGCAAGATCGGATTCGCATCGTGTTCGAAAGGGTAAAGTTGGGATGGCGCCTGTGCCGCTGTTGTTGTACTATGATCCACTAGATCTAGTTGCCAGGTTCTTGGATGCGCTGTGTTCAGAGCGATTTCTTGCGTAACAGATTCTGTCGCTTCTTGCGCCTCAGGGGCTGCAGCGGCACCAGAACCGTCTCCGCTGTCAATCTCGCTCTCCGAGAACCAAAACATGCTCCCGTAAACCTCCCTTCCACTTCGCCCGCCGGCGAGAAAATTTTCCATGAATCGCGGCAATTGCCCAACGGTTTCCCAACTGGCTTTGTTCGAGCAGCTTACCCGAAATAGGCAGTGCACAGCCGTGTTGGAGGAGAAGAGCAGGACGGGGACTAGGAAGCAGCAGAAGAAACATCCGACAGTCGCAAGCAAGGGCACATTTTTCCAAAAATGTCTCCGGAATCTTCCACCACGACTGTACACGAGACTTGCTTGCAGGACGGAGCCAAGAAGCCAGCAAAACGTGATATTATTCAGCATCCCGGAGCTCATGTTCCAGAACTCGTTCGGTGCCAGCCTTAAACTCCGCAAATCTGGTTTCCGATACCAAGGCTCTCCCGGTAGCCACGGGTAAAACACAAAGACCAGCGCGAGGCTGTGCAGCACCAACAAAGACAAAATCTGCCACCAGACAGAAACCCCGGCGATGTTGCTCGTCGGTGTGCGCATGGCAAGCGGGCCCATCACCTTCCGGACGTATTCCTCCGGTTCTTCCTCCGTGTCGTCCGGATCTATTTCAACCACTTCGATTCTTCTGATTCGACTCCAGCAATGGATTCCCCACCGGTAAATCGCGAATACGTACGTCCGCAGTCGCAGCAGCGGGAAAAGTTTCGTTCGAGCGAACACCTTAAACCCCACGCCTTTCAGCAACAACTTGTTCGGGTCCTGTTCTACTTTGTGGTTTTTCGTGGGCCGGGATCTCGTCATAGCCAGCATCACAGCGATAATAACGACGATGTCCATTTTGAGATAAACGTATTCGGAATGCGCGGTATCCTCGACGAGCATCAAATTTTTCCCAAATGCGCACAGCAAGCCGTACAGGACGAACAACGCAAAACAAGCGACGCTGCTGTGGAGGCACGCGCGCCCCTCTTCGATGATGTAAACGACACTGTAAATCCCGCTCGGCTCCGCCAACGCGCAAAAGGAAGAAATCAAGCTTGCTGCGCCACCGCCAGCAGTGTCCTCCGACGTGCTTTTTTCTTTGGCGGCATGATCACTACCACCCTCGACCAGCGCGACGCCGACGTGTGCGGCTTGCAATGCACCGCAGTCGTTTCCTCCATCACCGCACATGCCAACCACGACACCGAGCTCGTCGATGAAAAAGCGTATCACGTCCACCTTCCCTTGCGGGGTCATGTGTGCGAAGATGTGGGTGCGTTTGAACAGCTCCAGAAGGAACTGCTTGTTGGTGGCCGCAGTCGACGAATTCAACACCGTCGGACAATTCTCCGATAAGAGCACCGAAAAAGCATCCTGACTAACGGCAAATCTCACTTTCTTTTTCTGCTCCTCGCCACATCCTGCGTAAATCGAGACCGCGCTATTCCTGTGCAGCTGCACACTCGAGGTGTAGGTTGACCGCATGTGGGCGAAGGTGCTTCTCTTCATTTGGCGCTGCAAGTTGTCATCGATTTCCTGTACGGGTTCTTCTTTTTTCGTAAGCTTACCACCCGCTGTTTCCACCCCGCCAAAAGAAACAGAGTCCAAGCAAGTTTCATCTTCCTGCATTAGTTCCCACACTTCGGATTGGCTCTTCGGAATCAGCGTGCTGCTGTCAAGAACCTCGCGAAAGGAGAGAGGAGAACTATTCGAGGACAGTTGGACAGCTAAAGAATTAGTGGAAGTTGTTTGTTGGGCATCGCTATCTTTCTCGACGACAATCATCCGCTCCTTCTTCGGGTCAAACACGCCACTTTCTTCCGCGATGTACTGTGCCGTCCAGAGATTGTCCCCGGTCACGATGCAGGGTTGCACGCAACCTTGCTTCAAATGCGAAATTGCTTCACTGGATTTCGGCCGCAACGAGTTTTTGAAGAAAAGCAGCCCAGAAAACGTCAAGTCCCGCTCCAAGTCGTCGCGTTTGGCCTTCATTACGTTCTCGTACGAGTCCTCCGTGTGATTTTTCAATTTTCTACTCCCGACCGCAAGAACGTAGTAGCCGCGTCGGGCGAGATCCCGCGTTTTCAAGTAGAAGTCGGACGGGAGCGAATCCTTTAGACAGGCTTTCGCGATCATGGTCGGCGACCCCTTCGCAAGGACAAAAGTTCTTGAAAAAGAAAAACTCTCATGTCGGACGACGACCGATTGCAACTGCTTCTGTTGGGAAAATTCGAACGCACGCAGGGTCGCGATCGTGACGTCGGAGCGGTGCGCTTCACTCCCTGACTTCTTCTCGTAGTCCCAAAAAGCGTGTAGGCGGTAAAGCGCAACGAGAGACGCGGGTGGAGAGGGTTTGTTGATGATGTAGCCCGGGGCTTGGTGTCTCGTTTCGGTGTCACTGCTAAGATTTAGATTCCTGTGGCTAGTACGGCGATCTACTGTATCGGAAGTTTGTTGAAAGCAGGATTTACAATCCTCCGCACTAGGGTGGTCCTGGAAAAACAACACCCCAGTCCTTGTCTTCGTTCCTCGCGGCTCCTGGAAGCCTTGGAAGCCGTGAAAACTTGCGCAATTCGTCACTTGATTGTGCGCTTTGAGACAGTACTCGACTAGCGATTTCTCCACCGCGTTCCCCGCGAACTTATCCTGCAAGTACCAAGTCTTCGGGTCGTTGTTTCTTCTCTCGATTTGCTCTTCGGTCGTAACCGGCTCCAACCGGCTCAACGTATGGCAGGTCAGCATCGCTAGTGACAGCGTCGACAGCTCCATTTCGCTTTTCCCTCGGAGTTGCTCGTCATCGCTGCTGCTGGTGCATTTGTCAGTGTGCTCGTTCTTTCCGTTTCTCTGCCCAAGATTGCCCCTGGATGAATTTCTTGCGCCGATCCAGGGAAACAGCCGCTTTCGCTCCTGCAACGCCTTTCCGAAAACGGAATCGCGAATGCGCTTAACTTTCCGTGCGAACACCGAGTCGACAAAATGTTCGCCGTCGGGAAGGTACTCGTCGTCCTTCACAATTTGTTCACCGTCGATCAAGCGACCGAATTCGCACCGCCTTTTTACACTCATGGGACTGGGGAGACCGGGGGAAAAGCTCGTCACCTCCGCCACCGTCATCCAACCATGGAATTTCAAATCCGAATCGGTCATGGTCCCCGTCTTATCCAAGCACTGGACCTTGACTTTCCCCGCCATCGGGATCCGCGCCGGGTTCCAGAAAGAAATGTTCTTCTCCTTTTTCAACCGCTCCCCACTGTTCTGCGACCCGAGCCGACAGCCGATGGTCTGAAACGGCGAGATCGCCCGGGAGGTGGATTTCACGCCGTCGAAGAGGCCGTAAATCAGGAGCTCTAGCCAGTTCTGGTTGGTCTGAAACAGCCCCCAAATGACGTAGACGTAGGAGAGGACTGCGGAGATGGCAACCGCAATGCTGTAATTCACGGTGTTCCACTTGTAGTTTTTCGCCGTGAAATTCTCGAAGAAAAGATTTTTGATGAGCTGGCCTTTTCGCGTGCTGGAACCAGTCGCGACGACTAACGCGAGGGTTTGCGGAGTGGTGTTTGCTGCACCACTGGAAGTTGAAGTTGCGCTACCTCCAGCCTGCATGACTTTGGTGCCTGCGTACAAGAAGTGCTTCTTTGCGAGTTTCGGGTTCGGCACCCACTTCGTAATGAATTCGTGATTGGTCGTGATTTCCAGCGGAGGGAAATCAGGTGCAGTCCGTATGCTTTCGGACTTCTTATTCGTTCGCTCTGGTTCATTTTTCTGCATTTCTTCACGGGGAGAAGACGTTCTTGATATAGCCTCTTCTTCTGACGAAGTCGATCCGTTCATTGAATAGCAGCTATCCCGGAAGAGATCGTGCTGGACGACTGTCGTTGCGTTTTTGTCAACCTCTCCGTCGTCAGAGGGCCAAATCTCGCCGGTACTGCTCGCCATATCTACTACTTCCTGTTGTATTTTTCCTTGCGGTTCCTTGAGCGTGTCTTCTCGGCTCGTTTCCTCGAACAGTTTCCTCCCCTGGAGACGGGGGTCTCCCGCGGGTCCCTCACCTGGCAGTTTCTCTTCATCTGTTCGTCCGTCCTCCACTGCATTCAAGTACAGTGCCTCCTCGCTTGTCCCGTCGTCCAGGCGGAACTTCTGGATTGGCATGGCCTCGCCAGTGAGAGAGGATTCGTCTAGAACGACGTAGCCCTTGAGCAAGACGCAGTCACACGGTAAGGTTAAGCCGTTGGAAATGGCAATCACGTCGCCCGGGATCAGTTGGTCGGCGGGTACCACGGTTGTGGAAGGCCCGGTTTGATTTGGTTGAGAAAACACCTTACCATGCGATGATGATTCTACGTCGCTGTGGTCTACGCACTGCTGTTGACAGGAAACTCCCTTATCCGAAGAGACAAACTCGACCACGTGCAGGTCCATATTATTACAGGTTTTGCCAAGATCGTCAGCAAAACCAAAATCATCCTGTTTATCCTCTTCATCGTGGTCCGTTGGGCAGTTTGTACTCGGCGATGCAAGTTTGTTGTCGCCTGGGGACGTCGAGGCAAGCTTGTTCCAAGACTCAACTTTGTTCATCTCAACCACACAAGAAGTGTTGGCCTTGTTCTGCATTTTGGTGGTGTCTTCTGCAGCTGCAACGTTTCTGCAGGAACTCCTCTGCAGCTTTTGCTCTACTAAGTGGTCCATCCCGCCGTGGCCTTGCTGACAGCAGCTGGTGCCGATCGGCTCCACCAGTTCCACAGACACCGCGGCGGTTTCCGCGATTGCGACTTGCCGAATCTGCTCCCGATTCCTCATGTTCCGAAACGCTTCCCGAACGGCGAAGAGCAGGAAAATTGGAAGCGACACGAAAGCCACCTGCACATTGACGAAGAACACGTTGGCCCAGAGCGCTTGAAGCTGGAAAAGGAGAATGCCGTCGAAAATCTCTTGCGTCAGAAAACTCAGAAACTTCGGAACCTCAATCGCAATCTCATTCTTCCCATAGAAGGCGATTTTTTCTTCTTTCGCCTGTTTGCTTTTTCCACTTTCCAAGTGCGGTTGGTGGTCTTCATCGTGCGGGGAGCGGAGTGCTAGTTCGTAATCCGAATTGTATTCAGCGAGAATGTCGCCGCAATTCATTTCGCGGAGCAAGGGGTAATTACGCGGTTCGGAAAAGCCGGAAAGTACTGCGGTCTCTGTATTCGCTATCGCTTCTCCTAGATTATTTCTGTACACATACCGTGCACAGTGAAAATTGAAGCTGTCGATGCCGTGTGCTGTTCCCTTATGCACATTGGCGCTGCCAAGAATGCGTCGCGCTTGCGGCTTCAGTGTTTGGGTCGCAATGTCGCAAAGGATCTTCTTCGGGGCCGTGTTGCAGCTTCCATCATCACTCGCATTTCCACCCCCTCCGATTTCAAAGGTCCACTCCTCCAGGATGACGTAATCTGCCTCGGAAAGGAAGGCTGGGATTTGCAACAGCTGCGCAGCCCTAGTGTTTTTGAGAAGAAAAAACGCGGCAAGTACTGCAATGCTGAAGCCCCACACGACGATGAACACCACGCCAACATTGTTTACATGGAAGCCGCCCGTTGTCTCTCCGATCTCCGGGTTGCAGTACTGCGGGCTGGAAATGAAACTCACAGAGTTGTCGAAAAGCGGCGTGAAGGTTGTTTCGAGGAACTGCAGAAAGTGGTAGCCGAGATGCATGTCGTGATCACGTTCTCCAACCCCATTTCCATTTGTATCAGTTCCACTTGGGGCCGCGAATGTTGCCTGCAAATGAGCTTTCGTACAGAGTTGTAGATGGAAGAATCCGTTGGTCAGCCACAGATAATCGTCGATGTAATTCGGTTGCCATACCAGTACAAGCAGGCCGAGGAACGCCTGACTGAGCAACACAAGTAACACCCACAGTCCAACGATTGCCTTGGCGAAGATTGAATTGCGGAACCCCTTGTGCCAAAGGACCTTCACAGAGTGCTGCTCAGAGGACCCAAGCGCTGCCTTCGTGCTGAAGTCCAGCACCTCCAAAATGCCCTCGTGAAAATCTTTTTGTGGGAAAGAATGGCTGTTGTGTGGCACGTTAGGTGTCCTAGCCGAAACCTTCTTTCTCGTGTAGACCAAGCGACACAAAATAAATGCGACGGTGAGCAGGCAAGCGGAGACAACGACAAACGAAAGGACGGCAAAACCTGGAGAAACTAACGACACCGTGAAGACGGGTCGACGCAAAAGGGCCGCGGATGGAGGAGCAGCCATGGTTTCTAATAGACTAGTAAGGCCGATTCTGATACTTATTTTCGCACTAGCACTACAAAGAGCTGCGAAACCACAACAAAGGTCAAACTCTTGACGTGAAGACTATGCGTTTCCTTTGCGGAGCAACCGAGTTTTGGTCGTGGTCGTCCGTCTCGTCAAGCATAAGCAGGTCGCGCGGACTCAGCAAACAAACTACTTACCGCAAGACCGAGGCATTGCTCATTGGCAAGATCTGGTATCTGAGCAGTTCGAACAAACAGGCAGCCTCCATGAGGTTTGTATGCGTAGTAGAAGACGTGGCCCAATTACTTTATGGCACTGGCAGAGAGTAGTCTTTTAGCAAATTTGATTGGTCAAGAATGGGAATGGATATGCGCTGGAATCGGTCGATGTCTTGTCGCTTGTCCTTGTTCGTTGTTGACCAAGTCTAGTCAGTAAATACTTTTCTCTAATGCACAGGATTAGTTTCGTAATTTTGCTGCTAGCCAAGTGTTGCGTGCTGTCAAGAAACGATCTTTTTCTACTTGCCGTACTTAATTTTTTCCTTCGGTTCCTTCGCTGCCTTTACCCGTGCCGCTGTGGTCTCCGCAATAATAGTATCCCTTGTTGAATAACCCACCGCAATAGCCTTTGCCCCAACCTTTCCCTTCACCGTCATCCCGTACGTAATCCTTGCTATGCGGGCTGCGCCACCACTTCTTGCAAGTGTCCTTAGTCGCTCTGGCGTGCCACCACTAATTTCCTTTGCCGTCGACGCCTTTGTGACCTTGCAATGCTTCTGTAAAGAGGAGCGAATCCACGTCGCCTTGCCCTTCAAAGAACGACAAAAGCAATTTCCTGCATTCCTCTACGAAACCCGGATGATAAGTCGGTTCGTAATTAGGATGACTTTCATGCACACGAATCAGCATACCTACTTTGACCGGATCCATCTGGCCCCCTCCTTTTGCCGTCTTGAGGCCCTCTTTCACCAGTCGCAGTAGTCCTGGTTTAACCGGACGATAGTTCATCCCTGCAAGATAGTCGTCCGAGGGGCTCATCATTCCAGAAAGCACAGCCTGTATTGTGATTTCGAAGCCAAAGTGCTCCCGCAGGGACACAGTGAACACCTGCCCATTGCTCTGCTGTTCGTGTTTTTTCCATTCTGTGGAAGGAAGCTGTAAGATTGCTTGCAGCAAATTCCTTTGCCCGGCGTGCTCGAGGTCCCATAGCGCTGGCCAGTCTTCTCCGGCGGCGACAGAATTCACAGGAAAAAAATGAACCAGCGCACGAGCCCGCAAGTCCTTCGGAACTTGCAGGTAGACGCGGTCGTAAATAAAAGCGCGCGCCATCTCCACCGTTTCCAACGGCTCCACCACTTTGCCAATGCGACTCGCCCACTTCAGCACGATCCTCGTCTCCTCGTTCTCAATTTTGAAACCGCTGGCCACGATCACAAACTGGTACGTCATGTTCGGATCTTCAAAGTTCACTTCCGTCGCAGGGTCCAGAAACGCATCCTCTTTCGACGCAGATTGCTTCTCCTCTTCGGCAACCTTTTCTTCTTGCTTTACTCCTTGCTCTTCGCTGCTCATTACCATCGAGGTTCCGTCATCCGACGGAGGAGCAAACTCTTCTTCGCCAGTGTCCGGCTCCGAAATTTCGCTGGTTTGCTCCGCGGCATCGCGGACGACAATCCAACGCACAAGGGATACCGGAGGAATAAGATCATCTTCGCCGAAGAAGTCCGCTAACATTTCGGGCGCAGCCAGGTCTTCAACCGTTTTCACGGTGGTTCGGTATCCTATGAGAAAAGTAGCACTGTCGCAGACGATCAAGAGTGCGATTTTCTTCCGAAGAAGGTTGTTATGCATGGAAACGGATCCTGCAAAGCAAAATCCATATCCTATTTTTGCAGTCATACAACAAATTACATCTAGTCACTTCGCGAAGTGCTTCCATTTGCGACGGGTAATCTGTCAACTTTGACAGTCCGCTCCGTGCCGGTGAAATTCCGGATGCGAATCTCAGCCGTGGAAGGCTCGATTGGGTTTTTATCCGGCGACGCTGCAGACATTTTGATTTTGATGCAATGTATGAAGCACGTTGCACGCAGCTCGAGATGGTGAAAAAGTAAAAGACGGAGGTCCAACCTGCAGGTCAGTTTTTCGTTTCTCGGCAAATACCTGCAACAAAAATAAAACGACTCCAACGATAAATTTCGAGTTGTTGAGTACAGCAGGGTTTATTTCTGTATGGTGACGCTCGGTCTGTATGCTGACGATCAGACGTTGGAAACTTACATTGGTTTCTTCCTTCGCTGAGTTCGAATTCATTGATTTTGATACATGCGGGAATACAATAGCGAGGGCGATTCTGGTACATATTCCCGCCTTAACAGAACTACCAGCTGCGGAAACTGCGCAGAGGTTGAGCTCTTGACGTCACGAGCAAGTGCTTGCATCGCGGAGAAATCGACTGACGGTCATGGGCGTCCGTACAGTCAAGCACGCGGCAGTGGCCGGGAGCATTCAGGAACAATGGATTTATTTCAACGAACGCGTGACTTTGGTTTCTTGCGAATTGGATCAGCAAGACCAACGTCTCAAGCGGCATAGTATCGAACTGATCTGATCCATAAACCACTTCGCGCAGACCAATATGCACCCTGCGGGAACTTTCAACTGCATAAGCAAGACCGGGGCCCTGGTGGGCTTCGGTGCAGTTGCAATGTGGCTGCCCCTATCGTTTCCGAATTGAAAAGACGACCGAAGCGCCCGCAGTCGGAGCTTCGACAGCGTCCGCACCCCTCTCCCCCGCCGGCCCGCGAATAAGGCTGGCCGCGCCAATCACGGCCGGGCACTCTGGGCACCACCCGCCGGAGCATGAGGGGCGTTGCCCGGGAGGCCTTTCCGGGGCAACTTCCGGAACGCGGGGCCCCGCCCCCGCCTCCGCGCGCGGCGCCCTGCTTTGGCTCGCTGCCGGGGCTCGCGAGCACTCAAAGCGCTGCGGCCCTTTGCAAACAAGTGCGGGCGCGGGGGCGCCACCTGTGGGATTGCTTGCGGCGCCTGCGGGCGCCACTAGCCGGGCGGCGCAGCTTTGTGCGAATGGATGGCCCTCCTGTGCGGAGCTGCAGCGGGGGGGGCTGGAACTCGACCGAGTGCTGCTACCCTCATCGAAGGAAAGCGACTTCGGACGAGCTGCACAACACCAGGCCACAACGCCCCGAATGGGCCGCGCTCTCGGCGTCTTGCCGTGGGCCATCTGGATCCTCGGCCGACAACGATACCAAGACGCGAACGCTCGCGATTGCCCGGGGCGACGGGTCGCGGCCGCGCGATCGCTCCCCCCTCCGGCCTGAATGATGGAAGCGCCCGGCTTCGATGGCGCGCCCCCGCGTATTCACCTGCCTCACTGCGGGCGGCCATGCTGCTCAGTGGCCGGCAAAGCCCAGGAACCCAAAGCCCCGCAATGTGCCGGGCAGCCGAAGATACGCGCACGCCGGCAGCAGCAAAACAGGGCAGCGCGCCCGGGCGCCGCGCTTTTTCTTGCGATAGCACGTTCTTCATCTGGCGCCCGGGCTGCCCCAACCCTATGAGCCGCATCTCATAGAAATGGATACTTCCTTGGCCCACATCGGTGCATGTCCGCCCAAAAACATACACGGCAATTCTTCTGCGGTGTAGATGATATATTTCGCGCCACAACGGAAAAGGGAGGCCAGGAATCGCGCGGGTGAGACGAAGAGGCCGCCGCCGTGGGCTGCTGTGGTACCGCCCGAACCCTAGAGCCCGCCCGGCCGCCTCGGCACTTCGAAAAACCCGCCGCCGCGACATCGCACCGGGCCCGGCTATTTTGTGCCCGGCTGCCGTCCGGCGACTGCGGCGCCTAGCCTTGGCGCTGCCGCCGCCCGCAACCTTTCGGGAGCCCAGTCGCCGGCCTTGGAGATGTAGTTGGGTCGGTGTGCGCTGCCTCGGCCCGCGTCGGTCTGGCACGTAGCCACATGGGCGCCCCAAGCGCCCCGATGGCGGAAGTGAACGGGACGGCGCTCCGGCCTTGCCCCGCACCACGACGGGACTGCAAAAACTGCAGCCCGCCCGCGGCCCCGGTATGCCCGCGCGGACGAAGGTGGGGCCGATGGGCGGCCGCCGGCCCCCCCCCAAAAAATCCCCGCGCATCCCCGGCGCGATGGGGGGCAGCGCGCACGCAAGCAACCACCGGGCGGCCCGTGGTTCGATCAGGCAACGCCAGCGCAGGGGCTCAAAATGCGAAAAAGCCGGCGCCCGCGCATTGCCGAGCCAGGCTCTGCGGCCTCGTTATAGGGCTGCCCGTATAGGAGCTCGCACACACGGCCCGCCTCTAGCTACTCCGTCGCCCGGCGCTATCTCGCGGCGGCTCGTCGCCAGCGGGTCGCGCAAGGTTTCCCGCGCCCGGCAGCTCCCGTCGCCGTTCCCCGCCGGGACGCCGTAAAACAAGCGCCCGACCGCGGCCCGCCGCCGTTCCTGCTGCGGATGCCCGCCAACGCCTGCCTTGCGGAGATGCCGCCCGCCGCCGTCAACTCGTAGCGGCCCCAATCGCCGCCCGGCCATCTGCGCAGGCCCCGCAGCAGTGCCAGGTAACCTGCGCAAGGTGGAGACGAGGGCGGCCGGGCGGGCAGCGTGCGCCAGCCGGAAATCGCTCCGGCGGCCTTGCATTGCTAACATCTCCAAAACGATGACTGTCGAGGGCTAGCCCCAGCTTCTCGCGAAGTATCCCTGTGCCGGGCTCAAGGGGGTCGACGCGACGCCGCCGCTGCGTTTCCGCACATCACTGATCTCCGGCAGTTGCCCCCTTGCAAAAGGGGCGGGGGCATCCCCCAGGCCGCCGCCGTTGCCACCACCATGCGCGGGCACGGGGCGGCGCCAGGCTTTTTCGAGCGCTGCACAGGCATCCGCCCGCGGGGGCATAACTGCCGGGCAATGAGCCAGACCCTGCGCGGCGCTCTTGCGCTTTCTGTCGGGCTCTCGGATCGGAAGGAACGAAACGTGATCTGGCAGAGCTCGTATGGCATGATGAGGTGTGGCTGGAACAACTCGAACACCTTACAGGAGACTCGTAGTCAGAAATGAAAACGCCACCTCTGTCGTAGAAGTATTGCGTTTTATTGCGTCGCGTTTTCTGAGAGAAAAAGTCAAAGTGTATCACCTTCCGGTCCTCTTCTGCAGAGGACACGTCAGATTGCGTTTCCTATGTAGCCTGGTCATGATTTCTATCAGGAGGGAGGACATCAAACACATTAAGGCCCTGCTTCGCTTTTGGTTTGGCTTTTGTCTCTCCAACGTCCTCCTTTTTCGCCTCGGCATCCGGCAGCTGTGCAGGTATCGCGGCGGCCTGCTCCAGCGCTGCGTACACCGCTCGGCCCTCGCGCGTCAGCCCCTTTTTCAAGTCGTCTGCTTCAGCAGCAGCTTTCGGCTCGTCCTGCTCTAACTCTGGCGACGTCTTGCCTTTGTGAGACTTCTTGTGCTTCTTCTCCTTGGGGCTACCAGGTCGGGGAGGGTTCGGGCTCCCTAGCGCCAAAGGCGCCGGAGGAACTTCTGAAGCAGCATCTCCCGGACTTGACTGGGGCGACGAGGCTTTACTACTCGAAGCCGGCAGTGCTGGCGGCGGAAGCACTGGGACCTCTGGAGGTGCATTCTGGACGTGTCAACGTCCAGGACTGTCTCTGTCGTGTGAGCGATTTATTTTATTACATGCCCGCCTAGGAGAGAAAACAGCGCTTATCTATCTAGATACTTTTTTGGCGCTATTAAGAAGGTATGGATCTAACTCATCATACTACTGACCCCCTATATGGAAGGCCATTCCGTATCTCCTGTGTACGTGCCTTATGTGTTCCGTCCATTTTCATGGTATTAGTGTGTGGATCCTAGTCTTGCGATCCTAGTGACCCTTAAAGTCCTGTGTCCGCCTCTAGACCAATCTATCATGACCAAAAGCTCTCCGATGTATTGACATAGAGAGCATGTAAGGCACTGACATCAGTCCTGTCTGGTTGACGTGCCATACGCATCTTCATTCAGACTGGACTCCTTCGATTTGCTTTCCATGCGCTGCGGCTGCCCGACGATCCCAGGCAGCGCGCTTGCGTTTGCCGCCACGTCGTCGAGGCGATCTGCAGCGACTGATGGCGGAGCTAGTGATATGGTCTCCTCCTCCTCATCCGACGCGGATTTTACCTCCAGGAGATCCACGACCGGCGCAGGTGCAGCCAGGGACGGGACCAACGCGGCGCTCGTTTGTATCGCCGGTGGGGCAGAGAGCTCCGGTCTTGGTGGACCACTTGCAGGGAGTGCGAAGGGATCAAAGCCTGTTTTCGAGTGTTTGTCTCTTCACAAGCTTTCCACTATGAAATTGAAACCTTCAACAGCTACAACGATTTGCTTGAGAAAAAAACCCTGTCGCACTTGTTCTAAGTAACGAAAAACACCAGTTCATCCAGTACCAGTACCTGAGTTCCCTATCTGCGCATCGGGATCCATCACTTCCTCGCCCTCGTCTTCGTTCTCCGCCGCGTGAATCTCTTCCTCCTCGTCCGCTCCCGGGGAGATCCGCTGCATCCCGATGGGCGTGCTGGCGAACATGTCCAGTTTTCTCTGCACATCCGTTTCGTACGGCTCGTCCGGACCGCTGCCACCGGGCGCATTAGAGCTATCTTCCACCCAGGACTGCAGACTGGTACCTTCTTCCGCGCCGAGAGCCAGATTCCGGGATCTCCGCCCCCGCGGGCCGCCCCAGGGATTGTTCCCATGTCGCCTGGAACGGTTGATCCTTTGTTTCTCAAACCGCTTCTTCGTCTTCTCCACCGACTGCACAGACACCAGGATCGCGACGCAGATGAGCAAGGCCAAGAAATGTCGCTCGGGCTGCAACACCACGTTTTTGTTCCGCTCCTCCTCGCTGTCGTGAAAGGACATCAAGATTCTCGTGGTCCCGTAGTAAATGATGCACAAAATCCAGATGGCAAACGCGCAGCCCATCTGCTTCCTTTCCAAATCATCTTCCTCCTCGGAACGGCACAAGAGCAGCAATTTCACGAGGAAGATGAAGAGGCCGATGATCACAGGAATGAAGATGGCATTATCGTACTTCGTCGAGGTTTCGACTTCGAAGACGTAGAGGAGGAGTATGAAGGAAAGGGCTTGAAAAACTTCGTCGGAGAACGGGTAGACGTTGCACATAGAGTGGTTGATCACCAGGAGGAGGCCAAACACGGAAAACGTCGTTTCCAATTTCTGCCACGACTGCACATCCAAGTTGAAATGCTTGCCGGGAGCGTAGAGGCTGGAATGTATGTGTTTTTCAACGTGGAAAAATTGGTCGTGTACTTCACCCAAGTATCATAATTCGCAGCGCTTCTACATAGCATTTGATTGCTGAGTCATACATTCACAACAAAGAAGTCGGCAAAACAATTTAAACAACTTCCTTTTACTCTGTGTACGGCGCCGACACCTTGGCATTGACTTCGTGGACGTGGTAGGTGATAAACACGACGCTCCAGAAGGCCGCAAACATCGCTTCAAACAGGTAGTTCTTGAAGTAAAGGAAAAAGCCCACGCTGACATACCCCCCGCTAACCAAAAACGTCAACACCACAGCGGCGGGCAACACCTCAAGCTGTGACTGCTTGAAATTTTTCTGGTGCTCCAGATCGGCCTGCACCACGGAATCCATTTTGAAAAAGCAAATGAAGAAAAGAAAAGGAAAAGAACAAAGGGGCAATAAAAAAATACGTAAGCCTACTGCATCTTCGAGCGCGAGAAAAGACCGGGAAAACTATGCAGAACGTAGTCTTGCATACCTAGCTGTAGGGGGGTATTGGGTACACCTATGGGCATCTGTGCTTCGGCAGTACTTTTGCGAAAAAATTTTCGGAAAGAGAAACATGCACCAAAAAAACACTTGTGTAAATACTGTTCTCCTCCTCCTTTCACGATTACCTCTTCACTCAACAGTATGGTGCAGAAGACAGCAGAGAACTCAACGCAATACTTGTACATTGCCTGGCGACTTTTCGCGCGAAAGTAAATTCAAAATATCTCATTCCCTAACACGCACAAGCGTGCATCACAATGGTACAATTGCATCAACATCAAATCATCAACAAATGAATCTACTATACCGGGAATACAAATCGTCCTGAGACGAGCCAATGAGTCCAAGCAAAAGTAGTTTACAAAGTAGTGGAGAATACTCAAGCGTAGAAAAGTATTGCAGGTTATCTCCAGCGACCAAACACGCCCAGACACCTCACGTTCCCCGCAGCGACAACGGGTCCCGACTGGTCCACCGTACCACCTTGTGCCGGTTGCAAGCGAAGTCGCGCCACTCCGTCTGCCGAGAATTTGTTCCGTAAACTTCCTTCCACTTGTCAAAGTTCGGTACGGACCGCTCGCCCACGAGCCCCGCACGCTTGAACCGCGCAACCTTCTTGAAGCAGTCAAGCCTGTCCGAGGACTTTTCGCGCGCTGGCTGCAGCTCCCGCAGCTCAGCCTCCAGGTCCGCAATGCGGTCCATGTGCTCGACTACTCGGGGCTGAGGAAGTAGAATTGTTTTCTTCTATTTCAGATTTTCGTAGAGTCTCCTATTCGCTGTGCAACCAATGGTACGCCAAAAAAGAGGAACAACACATAAAAGAAAGAAATCCAAATATTCACTTCTACCGCTGTCGTGTAGTCCATATCTCGCCGCATCGAAGGCACACTTGCGGACTTGTTTAGTCGCTTTATTCCTTCGTCGGACCGGATCGCCTGATTCAGAAACACGCCCAGCTGCCCGGTTTCCTGTCGCATGTTGCGGTAGATGTCGACTACCCTGGTGCCCATGTCGTTCACCTGTGCCGGCATATCTTCCTCCGGAGTGAACGGGTCCTGTGCGACGTGACGCCATTGCGTCCCGCGTACCCGACCGGAGGGTTGCGGGACCGGGGCGTTTTTCAGGGTCTTGACCCCGCCTGCGAATGCCATTCTTTGTCGCTCTGGTGTTTTCTGGTGGTTCTGTCACTGAATGAGCTACAGAGAGTGTTGCTTCGATGTCTCTTTGCAAATGAATCTGGGGTTGCAGGACAGCCAAGAAAGGGGATCTGGTGCAAAAAGATCAAAGTGCTTTTGTTCCAGAAAAGACGAGCATGCGATGATCAAGGCTCCATAGGAAAGACGAATAAAACGACACCCAACCTCCCCAGAAATTGTTTCTTCGAAGTTTCCGAAGCGCCCCACAAGAACACCGACAATTTTTTTCAGCGAACCCCACGATGTCAATATCTTTTTTCCAAAATGCCCCCCTTTGGAAGGAACACAATTGTGGCGACACGTACTTGCAAAATGAATTCGAACCGTATCGAGTAGGTCTCACTGTTGATGGTAGGGCTTTCCGATTGTCAAGATAACAGTGCGCGGTACAACTACTGATTTTCGCTAATGTTCGTTCCAACTCAAAGTCAAAGAGCAGTGTAGCTACGTATTATCTCCCTCATCGATGGCCCCCTCTGGGGCCCAGCAAGCCTTTTGCTTGCAGCACGTTTCTCCACTTCGCGGTCCAGAACCTGCTCTGGTCTTTTTCGTGGGGCGGCTGCGAAAAGTCCTCGAGGTCGGTGACGATGGCGTCCCACGCGTTCGGGTAAAGGAGCAAAAACTGGTAGCACTCCTGGTCGATGTCGCGTACCTTCAGCGCGTTCAGTATCCGGGCCTCCAGCTGCGGGTTGTTGACCCGGCTCTTGCTCCCCGCCACGTGCTGCTTCAGCATGTGCGTCCAGAACGCCGACTCGTTGCTGTCGGTCTTCTTCGGCATTGATCGGTCCTCCAGCATGGGGAGAAAGTAGTCCCAGCACCACTGCTCCTTTTGGAAGAAGGACAAACACCCCTGGTCCACCTGCCGCTCCGTCATCAGAATGTGCATCACGCGATCCCGCAAATGTTCGTTTCTCGCCGCGGCCGCCTGCTCGCCGCCGATCGGCTCCTGGAGTATCAGCTCGCTGTTCCCGACGTTCGTATGTCCTGCTCGGGGGTTGGGCACCGTGTAATTCGTGCCGCCGATGGTACTATTGTGCCCGCCCGGCGGCGGCCCGTGCCCCGCCGCGTCTATCAGGGAGGTGTCCGCGGGGAAGTTCACGGGGGTCGCTTCGAAGGGGTTGCTGGGGTGTTGCTTGTTGCTGTTTTTTCTCTGATGTTTGTTGTTCGATGATGAAAACGTGTCTATTTGCTGCATGTGCTGCAGCAAATTGTGGTCGCCGCGTGGCCTTTTCGCGGGGGGGAAAGAGGGGGGTAGAAGTTGGTGCTCGTCCCCCTCTAAAACACCTTGCCCACCGGTCAGCGCATTCAACTCCATTTTTGTCATCTTCGTATTCAGCCGCTCAATCGTCCGTGCCTGTTCGCGAACGCGATCCTCGAGGGTCTCCACCCGCCGTTCCAGTGCGGCATTGGTTTCGAAAAGCCGCGTGTTCATGCCCGAGACAATCTGCTGCAGCGCCTGGATCGAAGAAGCGACCGCCATGATGGTCGTGATGCTACTGACAAATGAGGCTTTTGCGGATGTCGCAAAGTCAGAGCAAGGAGACGAAAAAATGAACTCAATACATTTCTGAGCTCGCTGAAGTGAAGTTTTGGGTTGCGTTCGAATCGATAATTTAAAGCCAATTTACGTTTACCCTGTGCGAAACATTGAAAATATTAGGCGTCGCTGCTACCTTTTAGAATAAACTAGCTACACACATTTTGTGCAATGTCATTGCTCAACACCATCGTTGGCACGGCGGGAAGTTTCTTTTCTTTTACATTTTCCCGGAACGAGTACCCTAGCGAGCGAGCTTGCCTCTATCCAGCACGGGTGTCATAAAAACTAGAGCTTTTGCGGTCTCGCCAAAACTGATCTTTGAAATTCGTACAGCACCCGCACTGGTGAAATAAATCGGGAACAACTGCCCAGCTGCATCTCGCGGCGTACGTGAAACATTCGGGCTCAACACCCAGAAGATCATAGGAGCTCGCGCGCACAATAGATTTCTGCCACTTGTGAATGTCGTGTAGATGCCATTTCTAGTTCTACCCGATGAAGTTGTGCCGGTTCTTGTACTTCATCCACAGCGAATGTTTAAGTTGTCTCCGTGTCAAAAACCATGTAATTGCGTCGCTCATTGGGAAAAACAATGATCCAATCGTGACTTAGTAGCGTCGGCGAGAGCGGGACCTGGAGCGGGAGGAAGCGCGCTTTCCCTTTTTGCCCTTTCCCTTCGGGGGAATGCCATGCTTGATGTCCAGGTGCCTGAAAAGTTTAATTTGATACTCTGCATTCACATTCGAGGCGTTTAGAGAATCAATTTCTTAACAGGTACCTAGTGGTTCGCATCCGTATCGAGTTCTCTAGCCCATCGAGTTCATCACAGCGCTTGTCATACTTACAATACATCTTCTGCAACAAATGAAAAAACAAAGTACTTCTTCAAGGTCGCCATCCAGTAGGGACTTTCGTCGCGTCCCGGCTCGCGGCCCGGCGGCTTCTCCTCGTCCTCGACGAAACGCAGCAGCTCAAGGTGACATTCCGGGTTGGAGTATCAACTGTAAAAATGTCTGGGTCTGGAAGAATTCATGTTTGTCATGCTTGTCTGGCATGACTCTTAAATCTGTCATGCACGTTACCCAAGAGCTCCGCTTTTCTGTGACGCAGAAGCGCAGTTTGTCATGCAGAATAGGCAACACCGAGGAGCTCAGAAACTTGTCATGCTGAGCCAGCAGTTGTAGCCTCATCATGAGACGCCACCCAGCATCACAAGTTTCCAGACCCAGACATTTTTGCATTTGATATGGAGCGCCAGAAATCGATGCAGCGCGTGTCGACGCGACGCTCTTCCAATTTTTCCATTACCCGCTCGGTGGCTTGTTCCTCTTTTTGCTTCTCCTCGTCGGTCTTCCGCTCGGCTCTACGGGCTGTCGATGGTGTGGTGGCGGGGGTAATAAAAAATGGAATGCAAAAATACTAGTACTTGGAGTTTCTCTAGAAGTATTCACGCTTCCTCTAAGGTCAGTCTCAATACATCATGTTTTTGCAATTTTATCATCTCCATCTAAGAAAATCCGTATACATGTAGGGCCCTTTCCAAAAAGCAGCTCCTTCTCGAGGTGGTTGATTCGGTCGTCCTGCTTATAAATTCTGTCGCTCTGTTCCTGCACCATTTTCTCCAGACGGGTAATCCGGTCGTACAAAATCTCTGTTTCCCGCGACATTCTTGCTGGCTTTGCGTCCTTTGACTTCTCCCAAAACCAACCTTCAAACCTTCTACTTATGCTTACTTCTTCGCACGAAGGCAACCGTATTCCTTGAATGCACTTCTTCTTTGCTGCCGGCTAATCGACAGGAAAAACTTGACTTGAAAAAGCCGGGTGCGTTTGATGTTAATTTGGGTCGTGTCCTGTCGCAGATCGATTCGTTTGAAAAAAACTTGCAAAAAAACCAAAAATAGAATTCTTTGGCCACAGGCAACGCTTCGTGGGTCGCTTTTGTTGGACCTTCAACTAGCCTACCGCAAAGAGTATTCGCTTACGTTCTTTCGCGGAAAAATCTTTATCATGTGCTGTGCCTTTGATCTTGCTTCTTTTGTCTTCGCTAGCTTGTTCAACAACACTTTAACTTCTACCTTGACTCTAAGCGCTTGTGCTTCGCCATCGGCAGTGCCTCTTTAAATTTCAGTTTCTTTCTTTCTTTTTGCAGCGAAATTTCAGGATCTTCCGGAGGAACTTACAGTTGCATTCAGCTTTCTTGTTCTGGCTGTCTTAGGTCTTTGCGGTTGTCTTTAAATTGTGCCTGAACTTTTATGCAGCACTCCTGCAGGTGCCAGGTGTAATATGCGGTATGAGACACGAAGAAGTACCAAGTCTAGAAGAACTGAAGCACACGATTGACCATTCAAATATGCCGATCTTCACAAAACTGAACCAATCGACGCAAGAAAGGCCTGAAAGGTGGAACATGCGTGGCAGAAACGTTCTCCCGAAACATACTACTGAGATGCGTCAAGGCGTATGCTGATTTCCAATGTCAAACTTCTACTGCATACAACATACATGTCATAAAACTCAATGAATGTGCGCTATCAACATCTGCCTCACGTAGTTGACGAGGTGCTGATCCTTCCGCTGGATGAAGTCCTTTTTGCGAGTCCTTTCATGAAGTCAGCCACTTCATCTTTGCTATTCTGAGTGTGTTCTTTACTTGAAAGCATGCCGTCTAGGTGCTTCGTCTGAGTTGCGCAGTCGAGGTAGAAGCCTCCCGACTCTAGGTCAGTAGCCTTGGCCGCAAGCAGCCAGCAAATCCCTTTGGCGCCCTGTGCGATTTGTGATCAGGCGGAATGCAGGAATTCTATCTCTGGTTGCATGCGAAAGCACATACTGAACATGATCTAGCAATGGAAGAGTTTCACTGTAAAATTTCCAAATGCGACAAAAGAAAACTTGATGGACTAATACACAAAACACACTTACCTCCCAAGCATTTCGCATCGGCTCCATGAGCGCTGCGGAGCTTCCGTATGCCTGCCGCACCGCCACGGTGTCGGACCAGCCCGGGTGACAGGAGACGAATTTCGGATTTCGGTTCTCTTTTGCCAGCTCTTCCGCGAGAATCACCTGACCGCGCTTCGCATACGCGTACTGTAGCTGTCCGTCAAAATCCTTTTTCCCCACATCGGCCGGTTTCTCGACTAGTTGCCTGAACCCCGGCCACTTGCAATTGTACATTCCCCCACTAGAAACAAAAACCACACGAGAGTCAACGGTGTTCCGCAAAGCGGGGAGTGCGAGGTTGGCTACGTGGTACACTCCGAAAACCAAGTGCGTGGCCAACGTCGTCTCGTACCCTTCTGGGGTGAAATTGGGCTGCCACTCTAGGATTCCCGCGTTGCAGACCAGCCCGTCTAGCTTCTTCAGGCTAAGCCGGTCAAAAGCCTGATCTAGAGACGCACGCACGCCGCAGTCGGCTTCGACTACTTCTAAAACTTTTTGCAACTCTCCCGCATCGGCCTGTCTTGCACTCGATTGGCCCGATTTTGAGATCTCCTCAATGATCGCATTCTTCGCATCAGCCCCGCGCTGACTGCTGCGACAGACCATGAAAACCTTCTCTGCGCCCTGCTGCGCTAAATATCTCGTGACTTCCTTTCCAATGCCGCTGTTGGCCCCGGTTACCATGTAGACCCGGTTGCTGAGGTTCGCAGTGTCCACCTGCTTAAACCGCTCTGGCTGCTCCTGGAGGGCGTTCAAGTAGCCATTGCGATTGAACCTTGCGCGACCCTCGAAAAAGAACTGGGTCGTCTTCGCCGCCTGGGTGTTGCCCATGTTGAGACAAGAAACTAGGCCGGTAGTTGTCAAGCAAATCGGGAATGAGAAAAAAATACAAGAAAAAGCACAACAAGAGAAATTTTTTTTTGGGAAAAAAAAAGTGGTTCTTCCGATGGAATGCAATCTTACCGGGTGTAGAGATCAATGGTAAGTCAAAAGTAGGAGTACATAAATGGGCTTCGACACTTCCGAGGACTGATCGTATTAAAATGACACGCAAGTAGAAACAGACCTTGCACATCAAACCGACAGCGATCGATTTTCAGGAGAGCGGCGCACGTCATCTTCCGTCTCATCCGGCATTCGATCCACGGAACTGAGAGGTTGATTGTCCGATGTATGATGACCCCAAGTTAAACAACCGATCCATGACAGCAGCTGACACATTGCACTCGAGCACTGACACATGCTTTTTAGAACATAAGAAGTAAGTAGGTGGCTGCCGCTCGTGCCAGCCCAGGGACGCCCCTGCTTCAGGCGTCATCCTATAATTTCTCTTTCGCTTGATATCGCTGCTTCTTCATGCGTGGTTTGCGTGGTAACCTGCATGTTGTATAGATTGTCGCTATGGAATGGAAAAAACTCACAGATCCAATTTACTCCTCCTTGGGGCAATACCCTGTGACAGCGCGCTCATGACGATCGCTTGTCGATACGCCGCAAACTCGCCGTCGTTGAACTCGGAGTCGCACTGATCTGTGACCAAGTCAAACACTTCGTCCATGGTCAAGTGCTCGGCGCCGTAGGGAAGCAAATCCCGCGCCCGGATGGCGTTGATCTGCCCCGGCGGACACAGCCCAAGCTGGACTAATTTTTGCAAATCCTTGAAGTGCGCCTTCTTTTGCTTCACAAAGCTCCAGAACGCGAAGAAGTACAGCCTGCCTGATGTGTTCCAGTCCGCTGGCAGCTGGTAGTCGCGGTTCTCGCTGACTTCGCGTACCCAGAGTGGCGGGATGGGGAGGGCGTTCTCTGGCGGGATCTGGTCTTTATTGTTGTGATAGTTGTCTTGTCTGTCGCTGTTTTCAATCACTAGATCAGGTTGGTGCGCGTTGTAGATTGGGTTGTCGAAGAGCAGCTGCCCCTCCGCGTCCAAATAGTCGTCCAAGCTCCGCCACTCCCCCGCGCCGATCTCGTTCGTGCAGAAACAGTCGAGGACGTCATCTACCACGTGCGCACCATCTGTACTTCCGTCACTTCTTTCCAGCAACTCGTCGAACCAGGCGGACACGCGGTCGCCAGGACCGCCGGTCACCGCCCAGTAGATCGCCAGCCCGAGCTTACCCTCTCTGACGCAGTCGTGCGCTCGGGCCCAGGAGACGGACGCGAGGACGGAGGGTTCTTGGCGCAGGACGCTGTACACGTTCTGGTCAGCGTGGACGCGTTCGAACGCTTCCATGCGCCGCTCGTCTGAGGTCAACGTGGGCCACCACCTGGGTTTTTTGTTTGGGTAGGTGATTGACAAAGTACAAGTAGAAGCGCGTTTCTTGTTCCATGCAAAACGAATTAAGTCACAAGCACAACTTGAGTTGTAGTTCCCAGGGTGCTACGAATATGCAAGTTCACATCCAATTAGAAGAATTCTAATCGCGTAAGTACTTGCATTGAAACGTTTCCCGGATGAGCGAGGCGTGCGCGATGGGATCCAGATACGTCAGAGACTCGGAAAACAGGCCCGCGCGGCACAGAAACGCGTTGTATTCGGTCATGTACATGTGTCTGATTTCCTCCGACAGCTGTCCGGTGAGAAAAAGCATTTCCGCGAAATGGGCCAGCACCGCTTGGTTCACGTCCTGACTTTCGTTGTCGTTCGCAAAGTACTGGAGCAAACCGTCCCCATTTCGGCGGAAAATCAGCTGGATAACCACGTCCGAGTCCGATACTTCCTCTTCTGCGTATTCTTCCATCAGCTGAAGACAGTCCGAGCCCAGGTTGCGAATCTGTGTAGTACGAAGATTTTTGTACATGCAGTGCGGAATATGCCACAAAAATCATTCGATCGTAGTTGCACTTGCAACCAACTTCGGCATGCACGAAAGATGAACAAATATGCGAATAAAAATCCTTTCTGTAACCCAAAAGCAAAGTATACGCTTTTCGCGGTCGCAAGACTCATCCCGGGCACGACCTCGACTTTCTGCCACAAGTAGCGAAACAGCAGCTGCTGCACCCAGCTGGTTGCCGTGACTCGCTCGCCGGCGTAGATGGAAAGCAGTTCCTTCGCGGGCTCCGTGCACACATCCATCAGCCGGTCCCGGGCGATCTCCTGCTGCGCGGCGCGCATCTGCCAGTAGCGCTCCGTGGCGGAGATGAGGAAAAAGTCCTTGTTTCCGGAAAAGGGGTCCTGGCCCTCCCGCACGACCGCGTCGAAAGTCTGCTTGTGCGTGAGCGTTTGCTGTATCACCTCGATCAGCACCTCGATATCCTTTTCTGTGTCCGTTTTGTCCGCATTATTTATAATTACCCCGCTACTTCCGTTACTCATCACCCCCGGAGACAGCGCGTAATTGTTGTTCCTCCCGCCCTGCTGGACCACGCGGATGTTTTGTTCCTCTTCCGCGAGCTCCTTCAGACAGCCCAGCGCTTCGTCTTTCAAGTCCAGCTGAATCAACTGGATCACCAGCGCCCACTTGTCGGCGGGTTGCCTCCCGTAGAGGAGAAACTCATCCAAGTAGTGCCGCGTGTACCACTTCGCAATCAGCAGGGGGACCTGGTGCTCTGCGTACAGGTCGAAAAGCAAGATGTGCGCGAGCTCCCAGTACGCCAATCCGAGGACGAGACCCTGCTCTTCCTGTTGCAGAATCTGCAGCTGCTCTGGGGTACAGCTCCGGCTGCTGCTGCTCAAGACCGTGGTACCTGTCAGCGGCGGCTTGCGGCTCGCGGTCCGGTTCGGGCTCACCTGGGTGCGCGGCGCCAGGTCGTGGATGGCGCGCCGAAGCTGTTGGTGTTAGGTTGAAAACGATAAGATTCTTCGGCGACTCTAGTCTACGTTGGCGGTACAGCATCCATGTGAAAGTCGAATTATAACGTACGGTGTCAGAGTGAAACAAAAATCAAGAAATGCAATTGAAGCACGAAAAAAAACCTACCGCATCTCTCGCTGTGTGAAACGTCTTGTAGAGTTCCTCACTGAAGCCGGTGAGTAACTTCACCGCCTGCTCCGTGTTTCGATTTCTGAAATTCTTTGTGAATAGCGGCCCCGTTTCCTGGCGGAACAACGCGTATTGGTCGTGCAGGTCTTCACACAGCTCCTTCTGGAGGCCGGACACGGTCTCTTGCGCGTAAAAGATCGGGTTCCGGCTCCCGCCACGAATGGCCCGCTTAACGCCGAGGACGGGGACTTGTTTCTCCAGCTGCCGATTGATCGCCTGGGCGTGCCGCGGAGGATGCACCTCCGCCTTCAGCACGCCTTGCTGCAGCGGGTTCTGCTGAAAGACCATTTTTGCGATTTGTTCGGTACTTCTGTACTTGTTTTCAAGGATGTGATTATTGTGCGTCGTGGGCGACGTCGCGTTTTGGTAGTACGGGACGCTTTGTAAAGGCTGTCGTCATGATCATAGCACGCAATTGTGTTTATAGCGGACGTAGCCAGAAAAACTTAACTCAAGACTGGAATGCTCCTTGTTCCAAACCTAATTCACAATGCCTGGATAATTATCAATTGTTCCGAAGTCCAGCAGCTTTGCGTTCTAAGCATGAAAAGTTCAGAACGGATCATACTAGAGGTTTAAAAACAACGTAATAATCCATGATGATGATTAAAAAGAAAACAGCCAAATCCGAGACCTTCTTTGGTCGATTAGAAAATAGGAGCGGCGATTCGGAACCAGATAAAAATTTCATGCAGCCGACAAGCGAAAACAGTGATCGTAGCTTTGAGCGTTGAGGTCTGCACCGTAAAGACCGCGAGAGTCTGGCGAAGAAAAAATCCGCTTCTTTTCTCCGTTCTTTCGGACATTGTCGCGAGCCAACAAACCTAACTCGGCACAGATCTTCGTTAGATTATGACATCATGGATCCTCCGTGGTCACGACATCCGTGTGTGCGTTAGTGTTTGAAAAATAAAACTTGTACTCAATGTTTGAAAAGAAAAATTCCGTTTCAAATTTGTTCTTTCCAACAAACACAGCGGCCTCAGTCCTCCCGCCTTCTCTTCTTCCTATCGTCCCGGGGATCTTCGCGGTCGTCCCGACCCCGCTTGTAATCTCCACCTCCACCCCCTCTTCGGTCGCGGTCGTCCCCCCGGCGCTCTCTTTCCCTTTCGCGGTCCCGCGGCGCGTCGTACTCGCTGCGGTCGCGTCGTTCCCTCTCCCTCTCCCGCTCTCGGTCGCGCTCGCGGTCGCGCCCGTCCTTCTCCTTCCGGTCGCGATCCCGTTCCCGCTCCCGGTCGCGCTTGCGGTCGCGATCCTTCTCCTTGTCGTCGCCGCCCTTGGAGAGCTCAGCGAGCTTCTTGGCCTTGTCGCCCTTCGGTTTTCTCCCGCTGCCGCGGCCGCCACCGAGTCGGCGCGGAAACCACCCTTCGCTTGTTCCTGCAGGTTATTTGTTGCGGAAAGAACATGATAAATAATCTTTTATTTTTTCTTGGTAGGATATTATGCTCGTGTAGTGCTGCTGGTGTCTCACTTTGTGCACAATAAATATTGATCTACCGACATAAGCCGCGTGAAGGTATGGACAAAAAAATCCAAAATACTTCCTCGCTCGATGTCCACCATGACCCTTCGCCCATCGATTTTGCGGCCGTCGCCGTCCTTGTAAGCTTTCTTCGCGTCACGCTCGTCTTCGTACTCTATGAAAGCGTAACCGCGGGGTTTGCCAGACTTCGTGTCGAAGACCATCTTGATCCTGATGATTTTTACATCGATAAAAAAATCAAAGCTAGCACGAAGCTACATCACGATGACATGATGAGACCAGCGGCGTAGAAAACAACATGTGTGCTCGCCTCTAGGTGGGCGAGATACTGTCTGGGCACTGTCGAGTTTTCTGCGAGTAAATGTCTGCTTAAGAGCTTAGAGAATACTGCGTAGAAAACAAAAACTATCGTCGCGAAATAAATACTTGTGGATAGCCCCGTATTGCTCGAACTCGCGGCGCAGCTTCTTCTCCGAGGTGTCGTAGGAAATTCGTGCCACAAACACGGTTTTTAGTGGGTCGTCGGTCGCGTTTTTGATGTTCATGGGATCGTACTCGTTTCTCAGATCTGCTATCTTTTTCAAATGATTCTCGAATTTTTCCTTGAGCTTGCGCAGCTTCATGTCCCGGGGCGCTTCGTAGCTGTGTAGTAATTGGGGAAATTCATGTTCCATACTAATGCTTGCGTCTCTGGTCCCATACCGCTGTTGGCGCATATGTTCTGTTCCGTCCCACTAATCTCGGTACAACAAAAGAGCCCGTCAGCGTCGTGCACAGTTTCCAACAAGTGCCAGTAAAGAAGGTCTAAAGGAAACACTCTAAACCAATCAATGCTGGGGACATAGAAGCAAACAAAAAAAAATTTTTTTACACGCCCTTTGCTGGTGGTTCCGTGTCTTCGAACTCGCCCATGAAGTCTGCGACCCCCGTCATGCCGCGTTTTATACGATGGCATGTGGTGCTGGGCGGAAGCGGTTCCGCTGGTGGTCTTGGCCCGAACAGGGTTAAAATATGCGCGGGGAGCCCTTGGGCCGACATGATGAAATATGTTTGTCTTCAGTAAGAAGTCCGGCGAATCTTCTGAATTCTAAAGCAAAAGTAAGAACAGTCGGTAAAAATAAAGTTGATACGAAAAGAAAGTAGCCTATGTTGACGTCGCTAGCGTTCCAAAAATCGCGTACACAGAGTCGCCAATACGTGTAGACAAAGGACCAGCTTTTACATTCAGGTCCAGTGTCGTGGAATCATATCTAATGTGTGAACAAAATCCCTAATTTCAAGAGCAAAGTTACGTAGGGCTAGAATGCGCGTCGTTGCTAAAAAGCTATTGTCGGTCGCTGAAAAGAACAAATAGAGAAAGTAAATTCGTGAGCAATGGTGCAAAGAGACTGCTTATGTTGAACCTGCAGATCACGCACGGTTCTTCACCTTAGTTAGAGCATGCAGCTTCTTGTCAATTTGTATGTATTTTCTCGTGCACTCCTACTTGCTTTCAGAGAGGGTGATCCAAAAGAGGTAGAACGGAAAAAAAGATCGTGTTTTGCTATTGGATTTCTAGCAAAATTCAAAAGTTTCAAACTGCTAGTTCCACAGCAGTGGGTTTTCTCGACATGCATTGCACGCTGCTCAGTAAAGCTAGACGGTGGTAGACCAAGTAAGACCTCAACTTGGACAAAGAACCGGCTTACCACGCAGAGAATAGCTGGCAGAACGAAACACAAGCTGGCCCTCTGCCACAGAACTTTTTTTCAGCGGATCCGGAAGATTTTGGTTGCCGCATGGAACAAAACGTCTTTCGCAGGTCACACTGTCTTGCAGAAGACCGGATAATTCCGGTATTCAATCATGAAGTGCATGCTATGTATGCTTTTATGAACTACATGATGTTTCCTCCTTCTTTCCACCAATGTTAGCACTCAGAGCATAAAAACAATGCGTTCTTTGATAGTGTTGAAGAAAAAGAAAACACTATCAGGCGAGCCAGGACCATAAAAACACACGCTTCATCATCGAGACTACGCGACTACCGCATTTCTCTGTACTTATACGGAGACATATTCAGTGCGTGCCTGTATTAGCAGACGGCACGAGGAACATCAACATGGAAGTCCTCGCGCTCGTGCAACTTCTGAATGTACGCAGTGCCAAAGATAGGCCCTAGTGTTATCATCGTGAATTATCACGATCATGTAGTAGAATTATGTGTTCAGATATCGTGTTGCGTTCTACTTTTGTTTCGGAATAGGAGGTAGGCGGTACAATCAATGTCCACCCCGTCCAATTCGTTTCTTAATATTGATTTTTGCGCGAGCTGGCAACCACGAACCGCGTTCCTGGTTCAACTGATTACCCAGCCGCGAAAAACTTCACCCTTTAATGCGCGGTGTGTGCTTCGTTGCATGTCCTTTTCGCATCTTCGTTTGAAAATGATTTTTTTAGTTCACTGTAAACATCTAAGTTATTTGGGTTCTCAATGATGACCTAAATCATACATCTACCAACACCCGATTCATGTGCTTCACCTGATAACAGTAACACATACACATATGGTTTTCCAAGGTCGACAAATAAGGCGAGCGGGAGTCTGGTTTGACTACCCGTTTTTTGCTATTCACTGCTAGTAGACCGCTGAAGTCGTCGTCAACTCAGTGTTTGGCGCAGTGCGATTCCGTTTTGTGTGGTAGTTTTCGTTTTAACAATAGTGATTTACTTTTTTTACACATCAAAGATTGGGGACGGCTCAATAACAAATCATACATCTACCACATAACAAATATGATTCTTCCCGGTAATAAGGCGCGCGGAAGTCTGGTTTGACTACCTGCGCGTTGCTATTCTTCGACCGTATAGTCGTTTTCATTTTTTTTCACATCACACTGAAAATAATAGTTAAATGGAGCAACTCCGTGAGTCCTCAGCGTGCAGCGGACTGTCCGACGATGGCTCCGGTGGAGGCGCTTATTAAGGCGCACGAACGCACGTCTTTTCCGCATCGGAAGGCTTCCACTCCTTTTCGTCGATGACTTGCACCACGGCATTCTCGTCCATTCCCCAGAGCACGAACGCCTCGTCCATCGTCTGTCCGTTCACCTGGGAGGAGGGGTGCTTGGGATCCATACCCAATACCGTGTGTGCGATGCAGTCCAGATAGAAATGGCTGTGCTGCGGCTGGCCGCGCTCGTTGCGCTTCTGCGTCATCTTTTCGCTCTGGTGCATGTGCAGCTGGAACAGATTCTTGATCGTGGCAAGCTCGTGAAAAAAGCAGCAATCCAGGTTCCAATCCTTGTAGTCACGTTTGGGATTCGCCGAGTTCTTCCACCACTGTTCCTCTATGTTCGTCGACTGGGTACCAGGAAACCGGAAAGTCTGCACCCACTTGATCACGTCGCTCCCAGTGGCAGGAAGCCAATCATAATTATTAATATCTTCGATAGAATCCGGCACTTGCGGATTGACACAGACTTCGTTCGACCAAAAGGCGCACTTGGCAGTCAAAAAGTAGTCGATTTCTGACTGGTCGTACTTACTCTGCATGACGAACATCGGCGATTCAAGCAGGTCGCCGAAATACTGGAGGTGCAAACACTTCTTCTTGTCGTCTGGAAACTTTTGCAGGCATTTGTCGTTCAAAGAATCGTAACCGTTGACCGCTTCCATCAGCCGCTCCATCGACCTACCAAAGACATTTTCAGTATTTCCATCGCCAAACACTGCCGGTGTCTGAACAAAGAATCCAGACTGCGACGCACCGCGCACAACAAGCGGTTTGGGTTCCATGCTGACCTCGGGAGTTTGGTGGGCGGCGGTCCAATACTCCTGCAGCATGGCGTTTACTCGGTCAATCGCGTAGAACGTGGCCAGGCCTCCGGCGGAATGCCCGTACAAGATCACGCGCGCCGCACTGCCGTTTCCAGCTCCGAGATAGTACTCGTTTGGCACTGCCTCCTCCTTCGGCGGGAGGGTCTCGATCGTGCGCACAAACGGCGGCGCAAAGAAACGGTCCGCGAGTTCCGCCATGACACTGTCCAGGATGCGTTTGCCGTGAAAATGCATCTCAGTACCATCGGTGGCCGTTACCGGATCCTTCAAATCGCCAGTGAACGCCGTTCCGTCGCAGTATGGCACGTAGACGTAGAAGAAACGCTCCGCCCACGAATCCTTGAAGGCGTAGCGCGTGTGGTTCTCCCTCTCGACTGTTTCCATCACTTTCGCTTTACGGTCGAACTGTTCCCACGACGTCGGCACTGCGCTGCCGTACCCTGTTTCCCCTGTTTTCCACGTCTTGCCCGCGCGCTCTGCGCAGTCGGTCAATACGTCACCGCCTTTGTCCCCGCACCAGCCCCCTCCCTCCAGTTCGATCAACAAGCCGTTCGCAAGTTTGGCAGCAAGCTTCTCCTTGTCGTCTACGACTTCGGTAAAGTAGCCCGCGGGTTCCCCGTTGAGGCAGCGCGGCGAGTCTCCGTTTTTTCCCAAAATCTGGTGGTATTGCAAAGGCGCGCCTTTGTACCCCGGCTTTTTCTCTGTGGACGAGGGTGCATCAGCAGTGGCCTGTGCCGAACCCGCAGCGCTAGAGGACGCACCTGCGGAAACGACTTCACCTTGTTCTGCAATAGTGGCACTAGCCGCTGCTGCATCCGAGGCGGAACCGACAGCACCGCCGGCGCCTGACGACCCGGTTGCATCAGTGCGGCGCCTTTTACAGCCACCGGGTAAAAAGCTGCAACTCCAGCTCCAGGAAGCCGCCAGAAACCTCTCTCTTGGGCGCCTCGTACCCTGGTTCATGCTCAGCGCCTCCGCGTGATGCAGAAAGAGAAATGCGACGCACAACAGTGCTCCATTTTTCGTCGGACGACGCCCGAGGGTCGCGCCTGTCTTCGTCATTTTCAACTGCAGCGTGCCTCAACGACTTTTTTTAGAAAATTAATACTAGCTGAGTGGTGATAAATCAGGTCAAGCTCTTGATGTCAAGTGAACTTTGCTAGTGAGGGTATTCAAATTATACAAGGATCAAATAGTACCGTGACGCCAACCGCCACTAATGAGAACTGGTTCAGAAAATACTCGATGTATATTTTTTCGATCTCCAGAAATAGCCTCTGAGGATCCGCGTGCTCCTTTTGTTAGTCGCAAGAAGTTTGTACTACAGGGCTATACCTATAAAAATCGTCAAAGCAATACAAATACTTCCAAGATGAATATATAAGTCGTTCAACCCCCAGAGTATGGGACGTCGTGACAAAGTGTGACGCTGCTTCGGTTTTTTACCTTCGATTGACTTGAAAGGGCTCAAGAGAGGACGTCAAAAAACACCAATTAATTTTTCGATCGCATTTCAAATGACATGTGGCGTGACCATCTTGCGCACCGAGCAACTACTCGCCCGACGCACCAATGAAATTTGCGGATCTCATTAAATTTACATCTGGATCACTTTCATTGGCTGCATCATGAGGCAGTATCCGTCTCAGACCTACGACCGAGAGAAAGCTTGTACTGAACGACCAGGAGCAAATTTGTGGAGTTATGATCCGGCTGCTCTTTGAGATCGACACATACTTACTCTTTGAAGATCCGCTCGAACGTACTTATGTTCGAGTTCGTGCACCAGGAGTTTTTGACAGGATCAGTTGTGATAATTTCCTACTTACTCATCTACAGGCACATGACCTCTTTATTTCGAAGACGGATGATCTGTCAAAGTGCAGTAACATCGACCCCTCTACTCCAGAGGCCGCTAATCTGGACGCGGGCCGCACAACGGTTTCTTGTGCGCTTCCAGATCACGTTGTTGAAACTTTTTCAGTTCGTTCTGGGTACGCAGAAACTTCATATTTATTGAAATTCTTTTACCGGACTTCAGGTCGTTTTGGAGGTCGAAATTCATTCGTCGAAATGCGAAACTGGTAGATTCTCATTACTTGGCCTCACGACTCCGGTGATTTTTTCCTTTCCCTGACGCTGCGAAGAAATCGCCGCTGCTGTTCTGTAAGTTCCTCCTCGCGGCCTCCTTCCTCAAGCACCCGCTTGACGGCCGCAAAATCTTCTTCCAGTTGTTCCTGCGTCAAGATATCGCCGTTCTGGTGGTGCGCCAACAAGGCGTCACACAGCAGGAAGCCGCTCAGCCCCGGCAGGAGGTAACCCCACATGGACCACCAGTTCGCATAGACGCCGAGGATCCAGCGGTTGGCCACCGAAGCAGAGAAGACCCCCGCGGCCAACCCCCACGGCAGCGCCAGCATCTGCACCATGAGCACCGTGCCTTCGCGGAGATACAGGTGCCGCTTCAGGTGCGACAATTGGTCGTCTTGGTCCGCCGAAAGAAACAGGGCCGTCTGGCTCACGCGGGCAGTAGTTTTCGCCATATCACTTGGTCGCGATTTTTTATTGGCCGAATCTACTTCGTCCTGGTCGGCAGGTCGTGGTCCCCGCCTGCAGGAGCGCTTGCAACGGGTACTGCATGCGGCAGCCAATTCGCTTCTCAGGAACACTTCGGGCATCTTCTGCAGTGCCCCGGTGACTGCGTGCGTGGTCTGCTGCAGACACCCGAGCCGGGTGAACGTCGCCGCAATGCCCGAGGATATACCCACGCAGTACAGTCCGATCGGGACCTCGGAGGGCAAGGGCCAGTGCTTCCACACCCAGTGCGTCACCGCGTTGGTGGACTCGCCGATCCAGTGGCCGCCGTCGGTATCGGGATCCCATGTGGCGCCGTAGTCCGGCACGTTTCGGAAGTGCAGGAAGTGGAAAGTGCCCAACACCTCCAGCACCAGCACCATGAGCGCAAATTGCAGGCCCACGTTCGACATCGCCTGGTAGTGCCCCGCGGAGCCGACGTCGTAGGGGTGCCACTGAATCCACTTTGCCGTGAAGCCGCAAGCCAAGATGTTACAGAGCATTGCGATGATGATCTGCCAGGGTTTGGCACCCCGGGCCTGCCCCCGCGCTTTCTCCATCTGGGAGCAATGCCAGGCGATTTCCGCCTCGGTAAACGTATTTCCGTCGGAATCGATGACAGCAGCAGGGGGGCTTCTGGCATCTTCTTCTGCTGCTGCGCGGCCAGTACGTAAATTCTGCTTGTCCGTCACCTGCCGTTCTGCCGGGGTTTCAACGCCGGACTGCCCTTGGCTTGTCGCTGATGCTCCCTCTGCTCCTGTTCCGGGCTCTTGTTTTTCGTCATCTTTCGTTCCGGCGGTCGTTCCGCTGGCTTGAATGTCTACTTCTAAAATACTTTCACCCTGGTGCCCCTCGCCCTGTTCTAGGAAACTACTGGACGCGTATAAATTATTACTTTGCGCAACGAAACCACCCCGCAGAGATCGTCGCCTAGGATATGGTGAAGAAGATGCGGATCGTTGTGTGAGGACCTCTGCAAGGTCGCTTTTGCCGGTAAGGATCACCCCTGGCTCGCCCTCCGCCCCCGTTTTCAGAAACGAAAAAGCCGTATCCTGCTCTTCTGTGCCAAAAGAGCTCGTAGTCGTCCAATCCGTGCTGTCACTTATGGAAGAAGCAGGCGCAGCAGCGCCATGGCCATCCCCGTCCATGCTGTCATTCTGCAGGAACGAAGACGCCACTTTCTTCGGGCTGTGGCCTTTGCACAAGTCGAAGGCGTCGCGCTGCGCGCTAAATATTTCGCCCCCGGTGATGGCAACCACCATACTCAGTTTCACGGTGCTCCCCGTCATCAGCCCACTGAAAAATCCATATCGCCACACGCAGATTACGTTCGCGAAACCCTGGTAGAAAATGAACAGAAACGTCACAGCCCACAGCTTGAAGGCCATCCACGGGCTCCAGCGATTGTTGGCATTGGAAAACAACAAGTGCGCGGGGGCTACGAGAACGTGCTGATTCGCACACTCTTCGTCTAGCGCGGCGATCGCGTTTCCCCGGCCTGCGGGCGGAAAAGAAGGAGTGGCACGCGAGATGACCGGCGGTGAAGTGATGGACTTCTTTCCGGCCGACTCCGGCTGCGGTTCACCAGGAGCGGGCCGCGCGGAGGTGTTTTCATCTGGATCATTTTCATCCGGTTCAATTGCGGACTGCGGCGCGGCCTCTTCCTCCGTCTCAGACAAGACGACCTGCTCGGCCGGCTTCTCGTCAGCAGACATTGGCCTTCTTTAGAACGACGCGAAAAAGAATCGAATTAGCTTTCCTACTCTGGTGCCCTGATGCGCAACAAAATGTTCATGTTCTCTGTACCTACTATTAAAGAAGAAGGCTCCTAACTTTTGCTCCGCCTTCGTTTTTTGACATGCCCAGCACTTCGGTAGCACGACAGGGCTGCTCTCTGAACCAAGTTATACCGTCTCTTAGCGAAGAATTCTCCCACTCTGCTGTGATCAGCACTTGCAATCTGTCGACTGTCGACGAACGAACTAAGCAAAGCCACTCGGCGAAATGAAGGTGTGCGATTCCGAACCCACGATGAAGAACATCAAAACTTTGCTCTCCTTACTTCGGTAAAGTCATCAGGAGGTACGTATTTGCATTATTTCTTAGAGAAATTTCTTTTTCGAACCTTAAAGTTGCTTTGCTATTTTCATTCTGCATTCAAATTTCTCAAATATCATCAATTTGTGCGGCACGACGTATGGTGCTACCGTTGCTGCATTGCTGAGCTTGCTGCATCAGCATTTACATCGCTATCCAATATACTCTTAGAATCATTCATTTGTGACAGTGATTTTTCTCTACTGTATCTTAATTCTCAACATCAGGCCCAAAGTCAAAAGTTGCAGGCACAAACTTGTTCCCGCGTAGGCACATTTCGTCCTGCGTTCTGTGGTGCAGTTGAGACCAATCTAATCCGAAACTGCAGCAAGCTGCAAACATTTTAGCGAATAATATTGAAAAGTATTTTCTGGTTGCTACACATAGTAAAAGATGTTGAAACGTGCTACAACAGAAGAGAGCCAAAGCTTGTATGTTTTCGATACTCTGAAGAAGTGACCAAACCGCAATTCCGATGTGCGCTGCATGACAGATCTACTTCCATCATTTGTCAATGTTGACGCAGCCCTTTTTTTGCGGGAGACTGTCAAACACGAGATCGGCGACGCGACGCTGCTGGCGATGGAAAAAGCAGCTGTCCACACTGCAGACTGTGAGCATGACGCTTGGGCTGAGGAGGAGCAGCAGAGCCTGTGCCGCGCTTCCGCTATCAGCCATCGACAACGCACCCAGGGAGCAGCCGACCAAGCAGGTGACGGCGGCCGCAGCGCGGACGCGATCGGCGCACAAATAGTCCGAGACGATACTGCCGAGCAACTTCGACAGGAGTTCCTCGTCGATCGGACGTCTGCTTTGCGTACTTGCACCAACCACCGCTTGCCTCTCCGGATCAGACAGGAGCGGCTGCTCAGTAGCGGAGGTCCTACTATGTTCTTCACGACTACTGCTGACGGCACTACAAACGTTACCACTAGCAGTACCATTTTTCTCCGCAGCTACAAATGCTTCCAGAGCGAGTCGTAATTGGTTTTTCACGTCCTGGTCAATGTGATCACCGGTAGTTTCACTGCTGCTGCTTCTGGGCTGCGCGTTACCACTCCTGCTGGCTGCATTTCCAGCTCGTCTTCTGCACCAGCAGCGGCAAAAGTTTGTAGCAACTACCGATTCCCGAACCCGAGTCAGAGAGGGACGCGGGCAAGCGATTTGGTACCCGCGACAGAGCACGTTTCTGCTGGGTTTAGGCGGGCCTACGGTCGTATCCGTGTCTCGGGAGAAGAAATGGCAGCGCCGCTCCTCGTGATCGATAACGCAGCCCCCTCGCTCCAGCGAGTCGAGAACGATTTCGAAGCTTCGCCGCGCTTTCCCGTCGGACGCGGACGCGGCCGGGCGCCGGATCGTGACGGTCTTGTCAAACCCGTGCCCATGGGCATTATTCGGGAGGCATAGCCGCAGACCCGCCAGCTGGACTACCAAGTCGTCGATGGCGCTGTCCTGTTCCTGCTTCATCCTTTCATAGTCGTTCTCTGCTTCACAATCACGATCTAGTTCGCCTTTATTCTGCTTTACCTCCGAAGATCCCCAGCACAACGCTTTTCTCCAACTGCCGCGTCGCTTGATGTTCCTATTTGGACTAGTATTGCGGCTCTGCGCATCTTCATCTGCCGGTTTTTTCTGTCGCAAGACCTTCTGAACGCCCCGTGCCGCCGGCGCTTTCGGATGCAGAAAGCAGGCACAGTACAGAGTCCAGTTCGGATCTTTTTCGTGTTTCCCAGGGTGCCAAAAAAGCGGACACGCGATGTGGTTGAACATCTCGTGCGCAAATTCCGCAGCCTCTTTCACCACCTTCTGTGAGTGCGGCTCCTGCAACAGCGCAGACGTTTTGTATTCCGCTCTTGGTAATTCTTTTTCTTGGGTGGGACTACAACCGGAAGAATTCATCGGTACGCAGAAACCACAGAAAGTGCCTTTCGCGCCGGCGCGACCTGTCTCCTCGTCTGACTCGTCTCCCACGTCGTCGAGACGAGCCGCACTTTTCGCGTCGGGACAGCACTCTGGATTGTGACGCGAAAAATCATCTTGCTCTTCCACTGGTTGCTCCCCGGGAAACGTGAAATCTGGATTCTCTTCGTCACCGCTCCTTTCGTTGCCGTGAGCAATCTGATCGCTCTCCTCTGTGTCATCCGACAAAGTGACCGGTCCTGTGGGACTTCCGATCACGGTTGCTCGGGTAGAGGAAGTCGCGCCGCTAGCGGCGCTGCTACTCGCCTTACTGTTCTCTCGCCTGAGACGGACAGGCTGACCGGGCTGTACGAAGGCACTACTACTAGCTGCTGTTCTGTAGCTGCTCGCAGCATGACTATTTCTTGCTGGTGAAGATGATGATGCTGCACTTCTTGCCCTCGCCAAGCGGCACATCCACGAAGCCATACTAGTAGACAAAACTGTTTTATTGTCTCTGCTCTGGCCAGCCGAGGAGGTTCGCCTTCCCCCCGAAGTTCTAGCAGGAGAGCCTGCCGCCGTGGTATTCTTCTTGTGCCGGAAACTGCCACAAAACCGCGTCTGGTTCCTCTGCCGCTCGGTTTCGTTGAATTTCTTCCAGAACCGATCGGACCGCAGCTCGTCAATGCGCTCCTGCACCAGCCGCACGTTCAGGGGCAGCGCCCGGCACTCCGGACAACGGCGCATCACCGGCATCAGGAACTGCTCGGAAAAGCGGCAATCCTGGCAAAACTTGTGGTCGCAGTCGTACGGCCCGTACACGAACGGCGGGTCGGTCCCGAGACAGACGCTGCAGGTCTCCTCCTCGGGATCCATCTCGACCGCCATGGAATCGCCCCCGGAACTGCCCTTCGAAAACCTGCGGGAGAGGTCGGCATTTTGGCAAGCAGGCGGAGGGTCCTCCTCGCCCACAGCCGCCACTGTTGACGACGAACCTGGATCTACTGTCGCCTCCTCCGCCGCGTCGTCTGGAAACCGCAGCACCTCGCTGGCGTGCGGCTCCTCTTCCTCTTCGGTCACGTCGTGCACTTGGAGTTGTGCGGCCGCGGGGTCTTGCTCCGGAAGCACAACGGGACGGACGGGGCGGGTACTTTCTGCTCGCGCCCGGAAAGCTGCGTGGATCCGGACTCCCTCGGCGGTCAAGGCTTCTTGGGAGCAGAGAAAAGTAAAAGTGAGCAGCAGCATGGTGTTGAATATTCTGCCAAGTGGTCGAGCGGACATCGTGAAAGTGCAATCGCCGGCTGCCATCGCGATTGTTCGCATCAGGTGGACAAAGGCAAGTATGTTTGTTTGGTTAATTTCGAAACGGCACTAGAGAACATGTGCCACAGCAAGCCTACTTTTACAAACAAACACACAAAGGCCTAGTGCCGAGTCAGTTCAAGTAGCTCTATTGCAGTGCAGGTTGTCGGTCCTAATTTTCGCAGACTAGAGAAACAAAAGGTTTTATGCCTCTTAAAAGATACCAAAAACTCCTTAGCAACAAAAAATGTTGCATAACTTCGTTCACCCTGATCGTCGTTGAAAGAAAAGACCACGAAATCATGCATCTGAGGCTGGCGAGCAGAAACTAGATCTAGATCTAGTCTTGATGGCGAAAAAGCGCTAATCCAAAACTCCGCATTTAACACTAGGCACCGTTTGAACAGCTTCTTTTTGTGGACGTATGTATGATCACAATTGGTCAGAACCAGCTTGCTGGTAGGAATGCAAGATCCTTTGCGTAGCGCCAGACTAAACTGAAATGAAAGTTCATTTCCCAGTCCTTTCCAAAAGAAACGTGTAATATTCTCAGAATTGTCCAAAAAATTTCTTGTGACAGCATATGCAGAGCGTGATTTTGAAATAAAAGATCCCACTCATCAATCTTCGCATTGAGGTCCTGCTCATTTCGCTTTACGGAAAACGCAGGAGACTCGGGTAATAGAATTTCTAGTCTACAAATATAATTGCAAAAACTCGATAACCGTTGATCACGAAGGAAATACTTTGTTTCTTCCCCTGAGCTGTGCGTCAAAAACTACATTGGCCACAAGATGAACCCTGTTGGTGCGATAACGGTACTCCATGACACAGGCACTCAAGAGACAGCCACCCCCGCCTACCAAAACCAGTCCAGAGCTGTTGTTCCCCTCTGCCCAGACTTCCGTAAACCCGACGACGCCACAGAGCATGGAAAAAGCCATACACGCTCCCACAATCGAACGCGGCATCGCGTGGCCCGTCAGTATGCGACCCGCGATATCCGTTATCACCTTGGTGTGCGTTGCAATTTGCAGATCTACTTCTTCGTCACTTTGCACACCGGCCGCGCTGCCGCTCGAGTCGTGAAGTTCTCGGCTTCGCAGGAATGCAAACCACTTCAAGGCGACGAAATGCTCTAACGCACGGCGCAGCTTCGCCATCGGAGTCGGAGCTCGTGGGTGTTCTCGATTCTTGCGGCATCGCCTGCAGCAAAGCAGCGTGTGGAAACGGAATGGACTATTTCTCCGGTGGCCTTCCCCTGGATCAAGAATGGATGCGCTCAAAAATTCATCCTCTTCCAACAGGTCAAAATCTGCGGCTTCCGTGCCAAAATTTTCATCCTCGGATCTACTTGTTTGATCCCTTATACAGCCTTTCCTTCGCTTCAGTTTTTCCCGGGCCAGTAGGTGGCACCGCATCTCGTCGAAATCCACAACGCAGCAGCCGTATTCGTACTCGTCACCACAAACAACGAACGGCCTTTTTCCTTCCCGACGGACGCCATCATGTTCCCGTCTAACCAGAACCCCCGGCCGCTCCACTAGCACGCTTGAGCCTGCCGCGGTCGAGGTCATGCCCGCTCCACCGTAGTCGCTGGGCAAGCACAGTCGCAGCCCCGCGAAGTGTACCACCAGTTCGTCCACGGCCGCACGGAGCCTGGCCGCTTCCGCTTCGTCATTGCTCTTACCTTCAGTGTTCGTTCCCGACCCTTCGGTCCACGACGTCGTGTTGTTGTCCACTGCATCATTCAACGCCTTCCAAGCGCCCGGGCCCTGCGGGTGCAGGAAGCAGTTCACGAAAAGAGCCCAGTGTGGGTTGCGTTCATGCGACTCCGCGACCCATAGTCGCGGCACGACGTACTGCAGCATAAGCTCCGCAAACTCAGCGGCGCTCTGCGCAGCGCGCTTGCTGAATTGTGGCGGCTGATCAGAAGTTTTCTCTTTGTCTTCAGTGGTCCGCACCGGTGTGATAATATCGGCGTCGCGATTTCTTGCAAAAGGCTCTCCTTCTAGTTCTCCGTGGTCAACAACTGAATCATCTTCTTGGTCCAAATCTAAGCCACTCGTCACAAGTTGCTGAGTGTTCGAACCTCCTGCTGACTCGTTTTCGTCATTCGCTCGTCCCGTCGCACCACTTTGCTGTCGCACAAAGCTGCAGACGAGGTCGTCCACATCTACAACAGTTTCTTGACCCTGGGTGGAACTAGAACTTGGCGCTGGTGGTGCCCCTTCAACTGCTCTACTTTCTTGTCCTGCTGAACGGCTTCGACCAGTTTGTCCATTTGCTGGAGAAACTGCGTCATGACTCCGTCCGTCGTCTGTATCATTCTCTGTACCACCTCCCCCAGCCAGTGCCGATCGACCGATTACGGTCGGAGCAGCAGCACCGCTTGCTATAATTCCCGGGTTGTTGGGCAAAGAGAAAGAAGACGGCTCTGAGATTCGAGGCACCAGTCCGAGGAATTCGCGCAGCAGGTTCAGACTAGCCTTCACGAGGCCAGTGCGGCGACACGACGAAGCAGCTCCATCCGGGGCGGGTCTGGCGCGTCCAGGTCCTCTTTCACCTTGGTTTGTTCGTTGTGCTCTCCAAAACGCTTCCGACTTGAGTTCCCGAATCCGCTCGCGGACCAGCTTGATGTTCTTCGGCCATTTTCTGCACTCCGGGCATTTTTTCATGACTGGTTGAAGGAAATTGGGCGAAAGCCGACACTCTTGGCAAAAACGATGTTTACAATCGTACGGCCCGAAGACGAAGGGCGGGTCCGAACCCAAGCATACGCTGCAGATTTCAATATCTTCGGCAGGTGGAGCAATGGTTGTACTTTCAGAAGAAAGCTCAGCTGCAATAGAAGGGGAGTCAGCTCCTGCCAGGTCCCCGTTATTTTGGTCGGAAATGAGGATGCGGGAATCTTCAGGCGCACTCCGATTTTCCTGCTGTGAGGCGCGGCTCCGCGTCCTTGCTCCACGTTGGTCCTCTGCGACATGGGAGGATAGTGCTACGGCCCGTAGCCTCAACGAATAAACTGAGGCAGAAGTGTGCAGGTGCAGCAGGAGCAAAGGAAAATAGCAGTAACGATCGACTATGCAACGAAACATCATGAATCACTGCCACACAAAGTCGGCGATTAGTGCATTTCAGAAAGCGAAACTCGGTGTCCTACCACCCTTGGGAAAAACAAATCCGTCCATGTCGCGTAAAACCCGGGTACTGCTTGGCGCGACGAAAAACTGTGTAAAATTGCATCCGTATGTTCAGTTCGGATTCGTACGGTCATCGAGAACAGGAAAATGTTTTTGGCATTACGCGCACCACCCTTCTCCACTACTAACTTGTAGACCGTTGATAATTCTTTATTCCCAAACAGCATATTTGCCAGGTCAAGTTCAATGCATTCTGTCGCTTCGTTAATTTTCCTTCTTCCGCTTCGCAACGGAAGATCTGGTTTCAAGCGCTATCAATTCGTCCAACTTCGACGTAAATGACGTCAACGAAAACTTCTCTTCCACCCGCGCTACCGTCTTCTTCCCGACCTCCACCCGCTCCGCGCCAGTGAGAAACAGCGCGCGCCGCATCCCCTCGAAAAACCCGGGTGCGTGGTGCTCCACCAACTGCCCGCCCACGTCTGCGACCGACTCCCGCGGCCCCCCGGTGTTGCTCGCGATTACAAATGTCCCGAGCGCCATGGCCTCGATCGGCACGATGCCGAAATGCTCGTTTTTCGGAGTGTAGATCAGCGCCAGCGCGTTCTCCAGGAGCCACCACCGACAGTCCGTGGGCACACTGCGGAGGAAGATTACCGATCTCTGAATACCCAGCTCCTCCGCCCGCACCTGCAGCTCCCGTTCGTACTCCACATTTTCAGGTACCCGGACGTCGTAACCCCCCGCAACGACGAGGACCTTGTCTTCCGCCTCCTTCGGAAACTTTTTGCGCAGAATGCAAAAGGCGTCCAGCGCGAGCTCCACTTCCTTTTTCCGCTCGTAGCGGTTTAGGGAGACGAAGAAGTTGTGCTTTGACAACCGATTAGGGCTCGGATTTGCTTTGTCAACGCCTGCAGTTGTCACTGCCGCTCTGTGTTGGTCCACCTCGGCTAAATCCACAGGCGGGTACAAGACGTGTGTTTCTATCTGCGCGAACTCCGCCGGAAAGGTCTGCTGCAAGGTTTTTTTCGTGAACTCGCTGTTCACGCAGAGAATGTCGCACGCCGCCGTGGTCTCCCGCTCCCAGCGATCGAACACCGCTCGATAGGCCCGTTTGAGATAACTCGACCGCTCGACGCAGAGGAGCAGGTCCGGGAAGTGGCAGTAGAAGAGAAGTTTTCCGGCGGTTCGTTTTCGCAGCCACGGGTTGATGTTTGCCACTTGGTCGTTGACCAGCACGTCGAAGATCCCCGTGGGTACGCAGAAGCACAGCCACAACATGCGTAGCACGCTGCAGAGCAGCGTGCAGACACCATAGATGGTTCGTGGCAGCCAGTCCCCGTGCACCAAAACGAGGACCACATCCTTGTTGTCTCGCGCTTCCTTAGGGGAGTTTGTCAACCCCGACAGACACCGGTTTGGATCGAAGAACGAGGTGTAAATCACGACGTCGTGGCCCTTGCGCTTCAAACCCCGGGCGGCGTGGACGATGAGCTGCTCTGCGCCGCCGATACCCAAGTCAAGATGCACGAAGGCGACTTTCATGATGGTCTGGATGAGAGGCTAGTAGAATTTTTGCTCTGCGGGGCGAAAGTTGATGTGAGGTAAATTGAGCGGTCGGATCAGACGGCTTATCGTCGCAAGCAAGATCTTCACAAAAGAAAATCAAACATACAGAAGGATCGCGAAAGTGAAAAACACAGACGTGAAGGCGAGTCGTCGGATGAAGATGAGGCAAAAAAAAGTAGTCACAGATCTTCAAAAGCAAAAAACAAGACGTAGTTACTTAGTTGTCTCAAACCTTGATCGTGGTCGACTGCTAGTTGACCCATAATATCTGTCGAACACGAATGTACCATTAAGCCGACTGGATCATTGCACTGATCCTTCAGCATGCCATCATTGCTTTTGAGTTTGCAGACTGCCAGGGGCAAGAATTATCGAAAAACAAAATTCGTCATATCTGTGAGATTTCTTTATTCTCGAAAGGAGCAGCAACTATGGGTACGCCAATTCCCCCCGCCAACTGTCGGCCGTTTTGTACGAACCGCGCAGAAGAAACAATATCTACACATATTCACTGCTTCTCTGAATTGCGTCTAACAGCTTCCGTTGCTTGGCTAAGCTGGTACGCCACTCGGTAAAGCCACCTACAAACAAAAGTATGGGGCCGATCACGACTGCTATCACCCGACGCTCCATCATCACCGCCACGGGAATGCTTGACACGAGGGTCCAAACAAACAGTATCAACCCCGCATGGGCAAGGCCAGCGCTGTTCCGCCACGACCGTTTTCGCAGAGGTAAGCGATCCAGTAGCCTTCGGATAGCGCGCGCGTCCTTTCGTCGTGCCCGCCGTCGGTGTTCCCTCTCGGCGTGGGAGAGCGGAAGGCAATGCGAAAAACTGGACGAGGCAGAAGAGGATGTGGCGGCGTCGCATGGTGGACGAGCAGGAAAAAACGACGCAGAGCTGCTGTGCCGCAAAAACTGAGCTATCACCTTCCGTAAGCTTTTTTTCACAACAGCAGCTTCTTCCTGTCTCTTTCTCTCCGCCTGCATTTCTTCGGGAGTTACTGTACAAAATGGACCGCTAGAAGCGAGCAACTCCTTTGTGACTACGGCCGTATCTTTTAGCAGCTCACCGGCGGAGCGGCACGCTCTGGCAAGAAGAGGAGAATCACGCTCCGATTCGGTTTCACGCCTTGTTTCATAATTCTCCGTCTCTGGTAAGAGTACATAGCGGTGCTGCGCGCAGTCGTAGATCACCACGGTGGAATCTGTGCGAAAAACGCGGTAGGCCGGTACCCGCAGAGTCGGTGCCGATTCTGCTTCTGCTCCGCCACTTTGATCAACAGAACTCTCGCTCGGATTTTCCGCGTCCGCCGGCGGTACCGCCAGAGTCATCAGCGGAAGCAAGTCAACGACTCGTCCCACGTCTGGATATGGTAAGCACAGCTTCAGTGCGGCGAGATAGAAAATTAGCTCGTCAATGTCACGTTTAGTGCATGATCCTGTTTCGCCATTTCCACCCGGCGCGTCCTGGTGCAAAAAACATGACGCGAAGAGAGACCAGTGCGGGTCTCTCTCATGTTTCTTCCTGTCCCAGTGCTGTGCAGACGGCGCGATGTCGTCGAGGAACTCGACCGCATACTGGGCTAGTTCCTTCAGAACAGGAAGCGGGATGCCAGTTTCACGCTGCGGCCCACCGGATTCCTCATCGTCCGGCGCGTCTTCAATCTCTACTCCAATTTCTTCAGGACAAGCTTCAGGAGCTGCCTCGTCGTCTTCATACTCGAGCAGTCCGCAGCATTCCCATCTCTTGGGTATGGTCTCAGCATCGAAGAGTGAGATAGGCTGCTCTACTATTCGCGGTAGATCATCAGACGAGAGGTCCGGAGGCGTGTAAGGACGAACTGGATCATGCGCTACAATTTCCTGCTGTGGAACTACACTGGCTTCGCGATCAGCAGCGTTTTCCTCTGAAGACGAAGTCGTTGACAAAAAAATTGCTTGTCGCCCTACCACGGTGGCTGCAGGACCATTACGACCTGTCTGGGGACCATCCTCTGTGCCGCTACTGGTCTCCGCAGTCGAAGTCTGCGACAAGGTCGTGCTACTACTTCCAGCAGCACTGTGTTCCCGAGGACCACGGGCAAAGCAGCTTCCCGAACAGGGCGTTGTTGAGGATTTTGATGACCGAATAAAACTGCCGGAAACAGTGTCCAAGTAAGTCGGCTCCCAGCAGTCTTCTGTTGTGGCCGCGACGCACTGTAGGTAGGAAAGTCGTTCGCGCAACAACCGCAGATTCATTGGATCCCGGCGGCACATCGGGCAGCGCCGCAGCGCCGGGACGAGAAAGCTGGGGGACGTGCGGCAATCTCCGCAGAATCCGTGACTGCAGTCGTAGGGGCCGGGAATCAGTGGAGCGTCAGACTCGAGGCAAACGCTGCAGGTCGTGTCGGCTGTTTGATCCTGCGAATTTGGGTGCTCTCGCGAAGCGACATGATCGGCTGGCGCGTCCGACAGAAAGTCCACTTCAGAACCAAGCGGACTCGTAAATTTTTCTACGACCGGATAAGGAGTTGCAAAACTGCGAAGGCTGACTGCAAATCCACCGCATGCTTGCTGCAAAGCTGCTGCTATCCAAAGACGGACACCGGCGGCCATGATAGTACTTACTGAACTAGTACTTACTGAACTAGTACTTACTGAACATTTTTAAAACAAGCAAATATTATTCACTCCTTACTTACTCAATCGCAGCCTCCGTATGATTCGATGCACGTGCGTGTCCTGATAGTTTTCTCATGAGAAGTAAACTTAGACGAAGATGATATGGAGAACGCAAGATGAATCACAAACGACGTGAGGCTTTCTGCAACATGAAAAGTCACCAACAGACGACTTTTGCGACAATCACGCGGACGTTCATCTGGGTCGACAGAGACCGGAATAGATAGATCACAGTCTTTGAAGGCATGCGTCCTTCTCCCTGTTCTTCATGTTTCATCATCTTTGAACAAGGAATCCATGATCGTCATAATTTTCTCAACGCGCTTGCATCGTAACGTCAGCTCTGCTTCCAGTTCCTTGTACATCGGAGATCCCCAGGAGTAGCCGCTAAGCCGAGGGCGGGCCTCGGCGATGTAACACCAATCATCGCGCTGTTGCTCATACAGATGCTGGTACGCTTTTCGGCGCTTGTTCCCCACAGGAAATTTCGCAACCAGGTACTTGCTTAACAAGCTCTCGCAGCGCTCGCCGAAATGGATCGGCAGGTCGAGCTCCTCGCAGCGATCCTTTGCCGTGGGCAACTTTGCGGTAACAATTTCATCCAAAATCCGAATCTCATCCGCAGAAAGCGCCGGCAAGACAGGTGCACCTGGAGGTAGCATCATTGTGGTCCATTATCACACTGTCTAAAACGTTCATACGCTAAGCGGAAAACAGACCACCAGGTTCTACATCTACATAAAAGCAATAGTGTTCCACTATGAATGAAGTACCTTGAGATGATGCCCGTCCCGCACGAGACACTCCTCCTGTGGAAGCCCCGGAACTTGCTGCCTCGACAGGCAATGCAGCGTGGTTCGCCATCGCCTGCCGTGCCTGCTTTCGACTCGCAGCAACCGCTGCAAGCTGCAATACCGGAACTTCATCGTCGTCTGAAGAAATTTCAATCACGGACTGCTTCGAAGACACGCTCGCTGCTCCAGTAGCTACTGCTCCCCGCTGCTCGTTGCGGGAACCTTGTTCTCCTTTCTTCTGCTGGAACAATGTCGCTTTTTGGCTTGCGGCGATGCTGTCCTTCTTCGTCTGTTGTAGCTCACTGCAGCTTTTCTTCTTGTTACTACTCTCCCCATCTTCTTGTTGTTCAGCCGGTCTCTTTAAGCTCGCTGAAGCTACGGAAGGCCCACGCGGTCCGTTAGCAGCGGAGGGTTCCCTTGAGCTAATTTTGCGGTCTCATCCGCTCCAGTTTTCTGCCACGTATCGAGGTAGTATTCAATCTTCACGGTCTGATCGGAACGGGCGTCAGCAAGATGAACGGCATCTTTGCTCTTTGCCGCCTTGAGTGCCGTGGCTTGGTTTTCAAACAAAATCACCAAATCGAAATGCTTTTTAAACCCCTCGACGACCGACTCTACGAGATTCACCTTACCAAAACGTCTTTCCAAAACCTCTTCGATCAGCTTTCTATCCCGATAGTGCACGCGCTTCGTGACATCTGAAGAGTCTCCGTACGCTTCAGGAAAGCGGACGTAAACTCCCATAGCGCGTTCCTTATGAGTGAGCCCGTCATCAATTTCTATCTTCAATTGCTCGGAGTCCGGACTTTTTACCGCCGCGCTTGCCGATCCGCCTTGTTTCGGGAGTTGAGCTGTCATTTTCGAGTTGAACATCAACAATATATGTTGCCCGCAACAAGAGGATCGACGCAGTGCGACATACAGCATATGCAAAACTTCAACTCTACAGTCAGAAAAGATGTCATGTCGAAATTCTCCGTTATAATCTATGCTGGTACCATGGATGGTGGACACTGCCTCCTCCAACTTCTGGAACTTGGCCATCTTCAGTGTGTACCACGCTTCTATCGCCGCAACTTTATCCCAAGCCACACTCAGCAGCAGATCATCTTCCTTCGATTTCCGATCTGGTAACTCTGACTTTGCCGTGCCGATAGCCTTCTCCAGTACTGCCGCATGTTTTTTCGCGTCTGTAAGGAGTGCTCCTGCCCGTGGTGATGGTCTTTGCTCGTACTGACTCTGCCTCTCCTTTACTTCATCAAAAAGTCGTTGCATTGCATGAAAGGCCGAGGTCTGCTTTGCCACTAGTAAGTTTACAATCCGCAATCGTACGTCTCGTCCCTGGTCAAGTTTATAAACATGAGCGGTTGCAAGCCCATGATTAAGAAGAGCGAGGCACCCACTATCATACAGGTGCAGCAGCATATTGCGGTCGGCCTCCCTGTAAAAATGTACCCACAAGAACTCCGGATTCCTTGAGTCCATGACATACTTTTCGACACCTCGCAAAGCGTCTTCGTCGTGCTTCAAGAGCTTTTTCAAGGCCCCATTGATTTCTTCCCGGTCCTTGTTCCACCGCTCCATAATGTACTCCCCGCTTTCCCGTGTGTAGTACAACGACTTTGCCACGTCCGTGACTTCAATCAAAATCTGGACGCCACACTTCTCGCTTGAGGGAGAGCGTCCATCGCCCTTCGGGCGATTACAACCGGCACTCATCTTGTGTTGAGAAAGGTCGTGCTATGCCCACAGCAACTACATCTCTGCTCCGCGTCTCGCCTTGTATGACTTCAATACATTCTCATTCATCTGGAGCAGTGATTAAAAACTTGGAAGAGCAGCGGTGCAAAGAAATGTAATCGAAAAAGACAACGGCACGCGATTCAAATATTGCGAGCAGCAGAACCTTGCAGCGAACCCAAAAAAAAACCGCCCCTTTTGGAGTCGCCGGAGTTTTGATCCGCAAAACGAAGAAGGGCAACATGGATCCTCTTCAATTTCAATGCTACGAAAACACAGCACATCAATGGAAAGACCTACTCTTGTCGAACAAAAAAAAAAAGGACTCGCAGTGCGAGCCCTTGTTTTTTTTCTGTGCGGCACAGAAATAATGTCATATCATGACAGTCAGCGTCTAGTTTGCGTAGCTTTGTCCTAGGACAAAGCAGAATAAACTGGAGATCAAAATTCATGGTAGAAAGGATGAGAAATAAATCGGAAATCGGAAAGTTTGCGCCAACGAATGGACGTACACGCCTTGGCGTGTTCTCTTTACCTCTTCCATACGACCAGAGTTTCGTGCCGTGGATTGGTGTTGGAATACATGGTCACACTGATCACGAAAATCAGTTCTTACTACAGAAAAATAGTGCTCACAAGTTCCCGGCCTCTTCCTTGCGTAGGGCGGCTGCAATCTTCGTCAATTTGACATACTTCGAAGAGATTTCGCGGTGCTTCTCGTTCTGTGTCCGTCCAACGCCGTCGTTGTATGCCGACGTGTTGGTGAGCTCTATCGCCTGCTGGCAATGACCACGCGCCTCCTCTGCTAACCGCGCCGCCCGATCGTCTAGATGCCGCAGTGCAGTCAAGAGATTCTCTTTCGGTGTAGAGTAGATTTTACAAAGCAGCTTTGCAGCCAGAACTTCTCTAAATTCTCGCGCCGCCGTCACAAGATTGGCGTCGTGACATTTTTGTTTCATCCGTTCTCTATCCATGTCCGCTATTTCATCAACGTTCCTCCGAATTTTGTCCACGGCAAGCAAATTGGTTTCTACATCGGAAAACGGGCGCAAGCTCGTACCTGTAATTTCGTGCATCTCGATCGTTTGCAAAAGACACCAGCAGCCGCTCGGAATGCAAGCCAACACGAAAAAACAAGAAAAATCTGGCAAACAAATACCTGGAGACGGTGTCGCGGCGACAAATTGCACTGTACTCTTCTCTGGACCCCGTTGTGAAACAGGTTGCTTTTCCAGCGGACTCGGGCGAGCGTGAGAGACGGAGTAATTACTTCCTGCGTTGTCCGACTGTGTCGGCGGCTTTTTTGCCTGCTGTTGGCCGCGAGGCTCCTCGGGCGATGAAATCTGAGGCATGTCGAGCTCTGTGTGAGCTCGATGACCTGCAGTACCTACCGGGAACACCTGTCGTTCTTCTAAAACCGTGAAGACTTGCGGCGTCCGCTCTTCTGAACTGGCGGACGCGTCCTGTGTTTCATCTCTCGTCCCTTCGGATGGCGTAATTTCGAGTTTGATCCGCTTTGCACTGGGTTGCTCGGACACGTCGGACTCCGATCGCGCCCCACCATAGCTTGTGGGCGCCCCGTCGGTACCTATGTTTTTTGTTGCTCCTGTTTTCAGCTGTGCTGCAGCTTCCGACAATACTTATTTGCTCGCAATTGAACCTCGCATGTGAAACAGTAGATGTGAAAGTACGTAATTCATTTCAGTTACGTGTTTCTCCGCTGGAAATGCATTCGCTTCTGTCCGAAGCGCCACCATTTGCAGCGACGGGGCAATTGGCAGTGCTGTCCCCGTGGTTTAAATCAGTGGTGTCATCGCACATGTTCCACCATGTATTTTTTCCTTCTGCAGCAGACGCGACGCATTTCTCATCAACAACTGGTTCCTTAGAATCCCGTGCTCTGTTTTCTTGCCCATGGATATCGTGCGGGACGTCGACCTGCGGCGCCACCCTGACTGTGCCCCTGCTTGCCGGAAGAACGATCGATAATCCAGGTCGCCCAGAACGATTCCGCTGAGCAAGTACCTTGTCTGCTTGTTCACGAGTACTGAATAGCACGGACGCGTTCTTGTATTTGATAGTGTACGCCACGACAGAAGCAGCGCCGACAATATCGTGTAAAACCCGTTGGACAAGAAGATGATCCGCCTCGAATGCCGCCGACCTCGTTTCGTGTTCGCGGTAACCCCCCGTTCGCAAACAGCAATCTTTTGGTTGTACAACTCGACAGAAGGTGAAACTATTTTGTTTTTTTGAAACAACAAATTTACAATTTCAACTCATTGCATAGAATATCCAGCGGCCACTCGAAGCAGTTCATGAGATGATGGACCACAAGGGAATTTTTACCCGGCATCGTATCGTTCGGCAAAAGCTCCGCGACTGGCTTCGAGGTCGAACTTAACGAAGCACTCCAAGGTTTGCCATTCTTCTTTCCACCATTCAGTTTCCACGGAGGAAGGGGATCTGCATAGTATTTCGTAGCCCGAGCCGTTCCGTTACCCGACGGCAACTTGTAAGCCCAATCATCTCGAACGACCTGCTTTGCCTTCGCCACACCATCCATGCATAAAACTGCGTAACAGCATTGCGATGGTTTGTCTCCTCCTCTGCGGGCACAAATCAGTTCCGTGTCTCCGTAGTACTGTTGTATTTGCTGGTGCACATCTTCGACGTCCCTTGAAAATTTTTCCCGGTGATGTGTATAGTCATCTGGAAATCTGATGAAAACCGAGTGCGAAATTTGCCACTCTTTCAAACCATCCCGCAGAGCGCGACTCCCAGGTCTTGGCAAGCGCTCTTCATCCTTTGGTGGATCGGGTGCGGCCGAAGAACCTGATTTCCATACATAAACACGCTTCACAGACAGACAGAAGCACACGGAAGCTTCACAATAAAATGGGAGTATTCGCGCACATACCAACGTCAAGCACATGAACAAGTGAATCTACACTCATAGCAAAAAAAAAGGCCGGGGAGTGGATCCCCCAGTACCTGCGTCGTCCCAGCACTTGTCTTTGCTTCGCTTCAAATCCATCGAATTGATGTACTGGGAGAGACGCTCTAATAGGTCATCTTTACTATCCTCGATTTTTTTTTCCACTGCCCGTGCTTTCGGCGCCATATCGAGCGAAAACCATTGCTCAGTGTCGTCTGACCACGTGCTCGGGTTTCCTCTTTCACAATTCCCAATACCCTGAATGAGCTGAAAAGCGCGACGCGCGATCCCGGCAGCCCTTGAAGACTCCGCCACTAATCTGTCTACTTCATTCTGCACTTCCTCAGGTTTATTCAACTTTTTATCTGTCGAGCAGGATATCCCATAACACCACCTTTGCAGCTCATCGGCCTTCCACCCCATTGCATTGTTTGCCCGCTCGGCCTCATCAACCACCTCCTCAAGCCAGCACTCTGCCTCCTGGAGACTAGAAGTGTTGGCCCTGTTGGCAAGCGTGTTCTCGGCATCGTGGTAGACGCATTTTTCGCCGTCGAGTCGATACAGCCAGATCTTGTCCCGGTCCTTGTGGTGAGGCAAGCACACGACAACGTCGTCGGGATCTTGCGCGTACCACGACTTCATTTTCGAACTACAGAAACGTCATGCACTTCGACCGAAACGATAACGAGGCAACTGTAACTAAGCGGGGAAATTCAGGTAGCCTCAAAAAACGATTACAGCTCGCACGCCAAAACGATACTGCCCTGACTAGGCTGGGAAGATCCACATAGAAGATCGCACAGAACAATCACAATGAGACGATCCACAAATCAAACTATTGCCAAAAGGACCAAAAAAACTACTTGCCGAGGAAAGATCACGTTGGAGATCCTCTGAGGACAAAAAGAACAGGATCCAAAAACCACGATATATAAGCCGTTGCACGGGAACTCAGGTGTGAAAAGCGTAACCAAATGAGATCGCTACAACACCGAAAAAGATAACAACACCAATTGCACCAGCAGGAGTTGCGAATAGAGGGAAGGCGCCTGCAAAGACGGTCCAAAAGCGCTGAAAATTCAATTGCGTAAAAGAACGCCGCACAGCGCGCGAATGTTGACAAGGGTTGATTGGAAAATGGAATCGACGGGAGTCTCCAACCCATGAAGTTCGATCGATCTTTACACACCATCTAGCAAGTGTTCCATGATAGCGGTCAGAGTGTCGACCTTCTTCCTCTTGCCCCTGAACATTTGGGTCTGCTCCTTGTACATCGCCGATTTCAAGGGGTAGCGGCTAAACTGCGGACAGAGGTCGGCGATGACGGACAGTTCGGCCTGCTGCGCTTCTGCCAGGTACCCGTAGACCAGTAGCTGCTTCGCCGCCCCTGGAAAGGAGTGCGACAACAAACGCCACACGAGCCGCGCCGACCGCTCGCTCGGCACGTTCCCGAGCTTTCGTTGTCCGCAGAGCTCTTTTGCCTGGGCCAAGTCCAGCGCTGTGATTTCATCAATATCACGCTTCTCCGACTCCGTCAAAACTTGCTCCTTACCTGTGACGTTTGATTTTGCAGGAGATTAGTAGTAGACTCGGGCGATGTTGAAGCAAAATCATACCCCTGAAGGAAAACGCGAAACGAGATCGAAAAGAAGTCAGTCACTACCTCCTTTGCTTCCCACGGATTCTCGTTGGGCCGGCGCCACGTCAAGAATTTGCACCGCGGAGACCGAGGCAGAGCTACTCGAGCTTTTTTGTCCGAGCTTGGCGTGCTGAGGCTCATCAAGGGCTCGCCGCTTCGCTGTGGGTTCTGGGTTGACCTCTTCCTCTGGTCGCTTTTTTGATTTAGTGTCTCCTTCCCTCGCTCCAGAAACAGATTGCTGCGGCAAAGTCACATTTTTCTTTGTACTGCTCGCGGCTGCAGGTTGTTCATTTTTTTCTCCTGCTATCGTCTTCCTTTTGGCCTTGGCAACTTTTTCAGATGCCGGCGGGTGGAGGTGGAATGTTGTAGATTCGTCACATCGGGAAGGTTTCGAAGTGGAGAAGGAAGAAGATGCGCTCCCACCGGTGTTTACAAAACCGTTACTAGCAATTGTGTTTTCGTTCAAGTGCATATTGTTGAACTCACGTGTCGAGGGCTTCTGTGTACTAGAGCCACTTGCTGTTTGTACTCTTTCTCTGCTTTCCTCTTTGCCGTGCACATGGGATTTGTGTGTGCCGCCATCTCTGCGTTTCTCGGACCGGTTCCGTACAGATTCGTAGGGTTGATTATTCTCGCTACTCGAAGATGATGACTTTGTTCCAGCAGGGACAGCACGCAAAATCTCCGATGTTAGGTCAGCGTGAGCAGTCTGCAACAGGGTCGGCCGCTGTTCCTGCGGAACTTGACGTGACGCAGATGCCCCCGCCGGGGTGTCTTGTTGAGAGCGCGCCTGTGCCTCGCGCCGTTGCTTCTGCGGGCCGTGGTTGCTACTTCCGCTCGCCGATGTCGCGCTGGCAGGAGGAGGCGACGCGTCGACCGCCGGACTCCGTGTCTCGCTTACTGTGCCCAACAGCGTCCGCCGCACTTCTGTGTAGAGCTCGACTCTCACGACGCCCGCACTGCCCGGGCCCTGATTCTCCGACGAGGGCAAAGCAATCGGCTCGGCCGCCGCGGCAGCGCGCGCAGCCTCCGCAGTCGAGAGCACGGCCACCGCGTCCCGTGGTTTTTCGAACTGCGGGGCTGCGCGCTCAAACCAAAGCACTGCGCCGAAATTTGCCTCCAATGCATTCGCCACGTAGCGGTCGTCCCTCTGCTGCTGGAACTTGGAAAAACCCGCGCCGCCGGCTCCGTACTTATCTGGATACTGTAGGTATACCGCCCTGTGGAAATCTTTCGAGATGTTGCCATCGTCGATCTCGATACATTGCCTTGCTGGGGGACCTCTTTCGATTGCCTTCTCCCGTGGGTCACCTGCCGGCACTGCGATGTGGTATTTTGAGTCTAGTAACCATGATGCGTGACGTACACATGTACCTCAAGAAGAGAAAAGGTTATTGTACTGACGGTCTTTCGAAAATAAAAGTCACGAACTGACTATCATACCTAATGGCTTGAGCGACGTCACTGCTTCGGACCACTTAAGACGGAGGGCCTTGAGTTTTTCGCTCAGTCTCTTGTGCTGCTCGCGAATTTCATTGAAAATTGTCCGTAGCTTCCTGTGAAACTTCACAGCAGTTCCAACTTCAGCACCACCAGCATTCTCATCGCCGGGTCCGACAAAGTTCTCCGCAGCGGAACAGGCTTCGCCAAACGCTTCCAGCCCCTTCTCCACTTTATCGAAATCGGCCTCCGTGACTTTTGTGCAAGCTGCCTGCGCTTCTTCTAGGTTGCCGCCAAAAGATTTTTCCAGCACCGCAATGCCCTTCTGCGCGTTGTCCCTTCTCTCCGTCAGTGCATCAAGCTGCTTTACCTCCTCGGCCTCGCTAGATATTACCCGGGCGAACGCGCAGAAGTGAGTCAGAAGCTGCACGCCGCTTCTTTCTAGCCTTTTTATCAGTGCGTCTCGATCCTCCGCTGACCTCAGCGTGCAGCGTGCAATCTCTGGATAGTCCTCACTCCGCTGGTATCTCAGTGTCGCGCCGAGTGTCAGCCCTTCGATCGCGGCTTGGGCCTGGTCGTGATCATTCTGCCACCAATTGTTGTCCGCCGCTTCTTCTTCTTCATACCACGGGACGTACGCAGGAAGCACATCAACAAAAACGAGAACGGAAGCACCAGTCATGTTTTTTCTTGCACAATAGAGAATTGCAAAAACGCAGAGCAGCTTTGGCTCGCTGGGATATCAAAAACGACTTAGTAGAATAGTTAAAAACATTTTTTCCTAGGAGCTTTGATGAGGGCTCAGAACCTACTTAAACAATACATATACAGCTCAGCGTAGCTTGTCAATACAGAACGCAAATTATGGCGCATTTCCCAAAAAGCAGAAATGTCTCAAGGTCCCTATCGTTCGTATGTGAGAGAGACTCGACTAACACGATGAAAATGGCTGCGGAACCCCCGAGCGTTACGAAAACGAACAAGCTTTCCTTATCCTTTGAAGCAAAACAAACCAAAATCGCCCAACTGTCTAGAGCAAGGATGTACAAGTGATCCTCCGACTTTTCATTCGTCAGCCTGCTCTTTCAGCAGATCCGCAACGAGTTTCGTTTTGTCGATCTTACCCCCAAGCTCCCGCCGGAGCTGGGCGCGTTCCTTCAAGGCTTCCAGGTTCTTGTCGCTTCTCGGCAATTTCACGAGCGCGCTGATCTGCTGGCAGTGCTCCGCTGCTTCTCGGGCTAGGGTTCCCGTGTGCGAGTAGAGGAAATTAATTGCAGTCAACGCCTGCTCTTCGGAGGTCAGCACTTTCCCCAGATATTTCGCTAAAAGCGCTTCGCGCGTGTCCTTCCTGTCGACCTGACAATGCTCTGCTTCGCACTGCTCCCGCAACTTATCCAGTCGGTCAGTAAAGAAATCCTCCATCGTGTTTTCCACCAGAATTTCCGTGGCCAACTTTGGATCTTGTGAACCTGGCAAATTGGATGAAGTAACAATGACTAATAAACCCGAAGGAAAACAACGGTTGAAGTTTTGCTTTACGCACTGCACAACCTACATGCCCTGCGTCGAGGTTTCTTGTTATGCAGACACCAACACTTCTCCCATAAATACCCGCGTCTATTTCCCGCCTTGGCTTTTTGATCTTACTTGGTGAACGTTTTGCACGGCCACCTCGTTCCCTTACTTTACTTGGCGATCGTTTGCCGTGCCTCTGCTTCGCCTTCGATGGCGAGCGCCTCGCTGGTCCTTTTCCTCTCGGCGAGAGGGCCTTTGCTCTGCTGCGAGAACGGCGCTGCGCGGCCGGCGCTGCAGATAAACTGCCACCGGCTGTCCCGGACTCATGATTTGCTTTCGCGGCCGAACTTTGTTCGGGTGCTGGGGACTCATTTTGATTCGAAGCTGCCCGGGTACTGCTTTGTCGTGGAAGAACGGAGCCCTGGGCTTTCTCGCTGTCACCTTCCTCTGGCGCTTGCTTTTCCGCCATGGCGAATGTAACGCGCTTGGATTCAACACCCGCGCCTCGACTAGAGGCAGCTGCGCTCGTCGTTCCCAGCTGATGTCGCAACGAAGCTGATCTAGGTGGGCGACTAGTGGCAAGTCCTCGTATTGTTCTCGGGTCATGCTGCGAGGACAAAGCTTTGCTCAGAATCGCGGTAGGGGGTGGCGCAGCTAGTCCATCTTCTTTCTGCCGGTTTTTTTGGGCCTGATCATGCCGTGTCTCTCCGCTGCCTGGAGGACCTGTGGAAAGCTGCATCGCAGTCTTCTTTTCCAGCGGCACCGCTTTCGAGACCGGCGCTCCAGGGACTCTGTCGCGCTGGCTTTGTGCGACTGCAGGAGCGACCGATATTGTTTTCAAGATAGGCACTTTCTGCCGGGCGCCGTGCGTACTTTGACCTTCGTACTGGTCTGGCGGCAGCGACATGGGCGGCGGTGGCATCGGAAAGGTTTTTGCTCGCTTGCCCTCACTTACATCGCCTGTAGCCTGTTGCTCCGTAGCCGGAGCTGGCGTCGGAAATTCGCTGGTCTGCTTCTCGGCAGAATTTTCGCTGACGGCATCGGGCGTGACTGTGCGAGAACTCTGCGACTTGGCTTCGCGACTCTCTATGTACAGCACGATCCGCGCATCCCCGCGACGGTCCGGGAGCGCGACCGTTCGACTGAGTTGGCCTGCCAACACGCCGGCCTTGCATGCTGCACTAGTGAAGACTACCACGGCGTCCTTCTCTCGCAAGATATACTGCTTGACCGCATTGGCTCCGACCTGCATCCTGAGCCACCCCTCTACCACTCTGTGGTCGTTCTCGTGGACCCTCGACGGCCTACTGTAGGGGTATCCCGCGGGAAACCGGACGTATAGTGCCCGCGCTGCATTGCCCGAGTGCAAAACGCCCGGTGTTTGCATCTCGGGTACGTGGTTCCACAGCTCAGCCATGTGATCCTCCAAGACCGGGGCGGCCGTTGATGATGACGCCGGAGGTCCAGCTGGCGAACCAGCAGTCGCGCAGCTACCTGTAATAGTGAGCCCCGAAATAAATCGTGGTAGGAAGCGAAGTTTTGCCGTCTTGCCTACTTATGATGCATGCGCTCAACAGCTGAGCGGACTAGCTCCTGTGTTCTCAATGCATAGAGGAAACATTTGCTGCTAGCTGACCTTGATAATACCTGCATTTGTTTGTAACCACCAAGGCGGTTTATCCAATAGAGCCGCTTCCCGGCCCCCCAATTTGTCCTGCGGATCCCGATTTGATGCGTGGTTCGATGACTGTCCGGTCACAATTTGTGAAGTCCGGACTTTGTCTCGTCCAGAGCTCGAGCTTCGGATTGGCACTTCTTCCTCCTCCTCCTCCAGCTCCCACCTCCGCATCGGCTTCTCCGTTTTCGGCTTATCCTTGTTCTCTTTCTGCGCATTGCTCCTGTTCCGGCTCCTGCGCTGGCTCCGAGTACCGTTCCGGTGGTAGTCCCTTTTGTCATAGCAGTTGCGCCTTCTGTGAGATGATTTGTCCGGGCACCCCTGCTGTGTCTCGTACTGTCTGCGCCCGCTGCGATCCCGCCGAGAGTCATTCCCAGACGAATACCGTTGAAAACGACCGCGCGCACCCGACTTTGCGCGTCGCCTCGCTCGAGAGTCGTCTCTGGCGTCCTCACTGGAAGTGCTATCCGAATAAGCCATCTTGATAGAAAACACCAAATAAAAAACACTCGCTCAAGGAGAACCCAAGTCCGGTATGTTCCAAAAAAATCCGGCAAAGGCAAGACTGACAAAATCCAAAAAAAAAAAAATCGCCCGAACACATTGGCTTTGTGTGAGCTTCTGCAGAATCAATCCCCCAAGCAAAAAGGCGCCTTGTGCGGGACCTTGCTAGCCCGCCGGTTTCGCGATCGCGCTTCGCGATGCGCATCAATTGTCTGCCTCGGATTCTTCAATTTGCATTCCATGGAAGGTTACAAATCCAATGCATCGTGATTGCGTAAATTCGAATTCACGGACTTCTTGCGATTGCGATTGCTTAGATTGAAATAGTTTTTTCGTGATTGCGTGCAGCAATTCAGTGTTGAGTTTCTTGAATTAGATTTTTCGTGATTGCGTTTGCGTCAAGGTGAAATAGTTGCCATTCGTCGACCCTGGAAAGCTGCGTAGGAGGTCCAAGACCGAGTTGCTATGGCGCATACCCCTTTAGGATTGAACTACAAATCATTATTCCACTTTTTACAAGCCGCGTGCGATTCTACATCTTTTCATTTGGTTGCGCTTCAACATAGTTGCATTTGGTCTAACTACACAAAGGTCGTCCTGCATCCTGCACAAAAGCAGCAAGTTAAAAAAAAATCAGATGTGTAATGAGCCATGAAACTCTTGCCAGCACAGCCTGCTTGTTGCTTGCCAGGCCGTTCGAAAGATTCTGCAAAGCTCAGTCAGAACTGCTGCTCCCGCCGGCAAGAGTAAGAAATTCCGCGCGTAGATTGCCCAGATCCCTGTGTACCTCCGCCGCTTCTTCGCCAAATTTTCTTCGCAACTGCTCGGCGTACTGTTGTAACTTTCGTTTTTCTGCGACCAGGTCGTGGTGCTGTCGGGCTAGAACCTCGAGCGCTGCCTCCAGCTCCGCTCGCTCTTCGCGGCCGCGCGCAAGCTGTTCTTCCAGGTCTCGAGTTTTCGCTTCGAACTCTGCGCGGAGAGACGACTGTATACTGTTGCACTCGAAATCCTTTTGTTGGTTCGCGCTGCGCAGCTTGCTTTCGTAGACGTTCATGGCGGTTTGCACCTGCAAGTCGTACAAATTGCATTTCGATTTCTAACTCTGCGTACTGAAGAAGACGATATTGCGGCACAGCACGAAGTAAAAAACCAAAGGGCTCCCAATGCTGCTACCTATACCTTTTCCTCTAGTTGCACAATGGCAGCGTCCTTGGCCTCGAGTTTCGAAAGCAGCTCGTGCTTATCTTGCTCTAATCGCGTATGCGCCGCGGTAAGCATCGCAAGTTTTTGTTTTTCTTCTCGGAGAGCATCGTTCTCGTCGCTGAGTTTTTCTCGCGCCTTCTGCAAAGCTTCTTCACGCTGTGAGATTTTCGTTTCAAGGTGAAATACAAGAAAGTCCGGAGATACGCAGTTAGAATTCCAAAAGTTACTGCTATGCGTGAAGGCTACAAAAGGTAGACGATAGGACGTCGCAAAATTTAATTTGTCGTCCGGTGGACAAGAAAAAATTTTTTTTTTTTTTTTGTTTACCCGAACAAAAAAAACAAAAACACACTCGTAAGTGCGGTAAAGAAACTCCATCGCTACACGCCCCTGGTAAATTCGACTACTTGCATGTAGTCTCCGTCGATTTCCGAAATCAGAAAAGAAACGCTAACCAACCTTCCGGGCGCTTTCCGCTTCTTCCCGGACGCGTTTTTCGAAGGTTTGTCTATTCTTCTCCATCAGCTCCACGTGCTCCGCTTCCCGCTGCTGTGCCTCTACTAGCTTTCGCTCCAGCCGGTGTCGCTCCGCCTCAAACTCGACGGTCTTTTTCTGCAGCTCGACGCCCGCGCGCTGGTCGGCGTGCGTGTTGGCGACGCGCACGCGCTCTTCGAGTGCGTCCAGTGCTTCTTTGTGTCGTTCCAGGGTCTGTTGAATCCGCATTTCGTACTCCGCTTCTTTCTCCTGCGCGAGGCGGTCGTACCGCTGGCCGGCGGTGGTGAGCTGCGCTAGGTGTTCCTGCTCCATTTCCGCGATCCTCTTCTCGTGCTTCTCTCTAATCTTCCGCAGGTGCACCTCGTGCGAGCGGCCCATGGCCTCCCGCTCTTCGGCCCGGTCCTTCTGTTCCTGGTCCACCTGCACCTTATACCGGTCCGCGTCGTTGCGCAGGCTGCGGGCGTGCTTGTTCGCGAATTCGCGCAGCGCGTCAACCTCTTCCAGGTACTTGCGTTTCTGCTCGAGCTGCTGCTCCTGCTGTTCTTTCAGCAAACCCCGGACCCTCTGTAGCTCCTTCTTCTTCTCTTCGAATTCTTGCTTTACCGCTTCGAGGCGGCGCTTCGAACCCCGAAAATCCTCAAGCTCGTTGCGCACGCTGGCAAGGGACTCGGAAGTGGAGGCTAGTTCGTTTTCACGCTCGGAAAGCTTGCCTGTTTGATTTTGGCGAAAGAAATGACAGACCGAATAAAGTGTTGTTCACTACGCGGCGCGTGACGTCGACGGGAGGTGGAGGTGCCAAAAAATTTATATTCATGAGGACTCGTCATCACATGCCAGACGACCTACTTCTCGAAAAATCACATCGAACATAAGCCACCTTTGACTGCCTCCAGCTCGGTTTCACACACATGAAGCTTGTCCTTCGTCTGTGCCGTGTCCTTGTCGTAGTCGATTTTGCTCTGTGCCATTTGCTCTTCCAATTCAGTGGCGTGTTTTCGCTGCTGTTGTTTCAGCTCTTCCAGTATCAAATGCAAAAGTGTCTGGGTCTGGATGATTCTGAGATTTGTCATGCACGTCGTGCCTGAGCCCTGATGTCTGTGATGCATGCCCTAGCATCACAGATTTTTTGAAGGCTTCTTGATGCCTATTCCGCATGACAAATGCCCCCTCCGCGTAGGAAAGATTGCACTCCCTTTGCTGCTCATGTTGCAATACAGATTTTTTTGGATTCCAGATTTAGCATGACAAGTTGCATTCTTCCAGACCCAGACATTTTTGCATTTGATATCCAGCTCCAGAGTATGCGCTTTCTGCAGCGCTTTCACGTGGTCCTCGTGTTCTTTGCGCTGGCTCGCGGTCAGTTTTCGTTCTTCCTCCACCACGTCGCGCACGCGCCGAGCATCTACCGCATGGCCCTGATGATAGTTAGATAGAGGTTCGGTTCAGATAGAGCAAGTTGGATCTTTAGAAAGCCGGTGGCTCATAGAACAAACTGATCAATAGGGCACAACAATGGGGAACAGCAAGACAAGTGCTATATCAGACTACCAATTACCTCTGCCGCTTTTTGCATTTCGTGCTGCAGATACCCGACTCTCTCCTCAAGCGAGTCGATTTTTTGCTGTCCGTCCCGCTGTTTTATGTCCGCTTCCCGGGCGATCTTAGACTCGGCTAAGGAGTGCTCCTCCCGCGCGCGCCCGAGCTCGCGCTGCAGGCGCGCCTGCAGAGAGTCGAGGTCCTGCTGCTTTTTCTGCAGCTGCGAATCGTAGTTCGCCTTTGTTTCCTGGAGCCGGCGCTCGTGCTCGATGCCCCGCGTCTTCAACAGCGTCACTTCCTCGTTGACGCGCAGGCGCTCGTCGCGCAGCTTGTTCACCTCGTGAATCAGATCCTGTTTCTCCTTTTCCACCATGGTTAGCCTGCGCTCCGAAACCCCCGCGTCTTGCTGCTGCTGCTGCCACACCAGGTACTTACTGTGCACGTGCCCCTTCGTCTCCGCTTCCTTTTGCTGCAGGAGCTTCTCGGCTTTTTCTTTCGCCGTTCTCAACTCCTCGAGGTCCCGCTCCAAAGCCTCTACCTTGGCCTTCTCCGCCTCTGCGACGCTCTCCAAACGCCCAATCTCTTTTTCGAAAAAGAGGTCCCGGGACGCGCGCAGCTCCTCCTGGTGTTGCAAGAAGTTTCGCGTCTTGTCCAACACGGGGTGGAGGTTGTTTTGCTGCTCTTGCTCGCTGGTCGACTTGCTAAGGGGGTGGTGCGGGGGGTGCGACGAAGAAGCTGCGCCCACGGCGGCACTGTTTTCGCCGTAGTAAAGCGACCGGCTGAGCAAGCGGCTGGACCGCGGATCGAGATCCGACGCGGCCCGGGAAGACCGAACGAACGCACTTGTGCTGCTGACGGCCCCTCCGAACTGCAGGCTTCCACCGCCGCGAAAGGGCGCGGCGGTTGGGGTGATTTTGTCCGCGTCGTAGGGGAAGTAGTTCGTGACGAAGCTAGCGTCCGATGCATTTTGCAGGTTATCGTCGGCCCGTCGGGACCGCGGCGATTCCGGGTCGGGCTGCCCTGGAGGCTCGGGCCCCGCCGACGCGGACAGGTAGTGCTGCTTTATCCGCTCCACGGCCTCGTCCCCGGGGGCAAGGGCGCCGGTCGCGTACAGGTATTCGCTCCAGCTAGGCTGCATCTTTTATTGTGTTGCAAATGAGTTCAAGCGCATCGGCGGCGGCTGTGGTCCTTTGCATGCGGGTCGGGCAAGCTACGTCACACTCGTTGTACACTTCGGGCAGTGCAAGGTGCGCCGGATCGGCTCAGCCGACCGATGTGTTTTCATGAGCGACCTCCGGACGCGAACACAGTGCTAGCAATTTCAGCTGCGAGCCGTGAATGCCAATAAACTTGCGGGAAAGCGAATGCTCGGTAGCGCGCAGCCCCCGCATATGCTCCCCGCGGGCCAACTAAACCGTGCGCGCTCCGGGTGCGGAAGTGCGAGCGCGGCAGCCGCAAGCTAAACCGATCGTGCGCGCCCGCGTTCTTAGGCGGGCATGGACTCCATTGCCTGTTGGTGCGCTTTCGGGGAGATGGCACGTAGGGGAGGCGGGCCGGACTTTTTCTGTGCACCCGGCACAGCGCTACCCCCCCCCCACCCCCCCCCGGGTAGAGGAAGCGCACGGAGCACCAGCGCAGCCTTCCCGCCGGTTCGGTATGCCTACAGCTGCCTCCTCGCACGGAGTCTCTGAAGGAAGACAAAGCCGCTGGAAGACGGACTGGATAAGGGGCCTAATGGTGGCGCAATTCGACCGTCTGCCCCCAGTGTGATACTTTGCTTTGCACTCTCCAGCCCCGCGGGGGGGGGGGTCCCCAGGGACTTTTAGTACACATCTAGGAGCACGAAAATCGAAAACGCACCAACATGGTACAAAGATCTATAGTATAATATTCACAGTATCCATAAAAATACAAATGTCAAGCCTTTTGCACTCGGTGAAGCTCTCATGGAGCCCAGGTTTTTGGAAATTCACCCCAAACGGACAAAATTCCAGAAATGGAAAAGTGAAGAATTTGAGTGCTCCTTAAATAATGCAGAAACTCACATTAAAACAACATCCACACGCATAGAAAATGCAAATGTGACACTCACTTATAATTTTTGCATTTTATCTCATGGAAAATAGTTCGAAGCTTCCAACTTTGAAAAATTTTTAAAAATAAAAAAATTTTAGGATTCTTCAAACAATCAAATCTGTTTTATAATATTTCATCTGTTCATACGTATCATCTTATAACTTTACTAATTTGCTTTATTTATTGCCATAAGTTGAAGAAGCTCCAGCCTATTTCACACTGTGCAAAAATCTTGGAAAAATGCTAAAAGAATAACGCTAAAAATTTTCCATAAATTCCATAAGCGCGGATATAATTGGGTAGTTTATGCACAATAGTTGGCCGGGTAGTGCTTATCTGTATCATATTTAAGCAATTGCAGAAGTGTTTCACGCTGGCAATTTTTTCGAAAAATTTTCAGAATTCTGGTTAAAGTGATTCAATTTGTACTATAATATGAACTGTTTCTTATATTTTATGCAATGTTATGCATGTGCAATTCTAGATTTTGCGCACTGTTTTAAACGTCACTAAAAAAGGCACAATTTTCAGACTTTTGAAAATTACAAGTTTTATTGAAAGCCTGTGGATTTTGCTTCTTTTTGCATCCAATTTCATCTGTGTCAGCTATGTGCTGGAAATAAAACACATTCCACACACTTAGAGAGCTGTAATTTCTTTTGAAGATCTTCACTATTGACATTTTTAAGATTTTACAAAGTGACCCCCTCCTCTTGATCAGACACCCACCTCCATTGGGCCACCGGACCCCCCTGGGCCCTCAAGATCGCTGGCGCAGCCCCCGTCGACCCCTCTCTTCCCGCGACTAGGCTATGGAAGTAGGCTTCCAATCGCGGGCGTATCATGGAGTTTGCCTCCTCGTCTTTCCTAAGTCCTTATGCGCCATCCCGCACCCCAATTCCAGGGCGCTTGTAAGTGACTCGCTGGGCCCCGCAGCGGCCGCGAGCGTGTGGCTTCACTGCTGGTGCGGGACCGGCCGTCTCGGGCGTGTGGCTTCCTAGCCTGCCCCCTGCCCCGCCGTCGGGAGTCCGGACTAGCGAGCCGGAGCATGCCCGCGCGATGTTCTTTTTCCCCTCGCGCCGTGTTTTTCTGCACGCGCCCGCGCCCCCGAACTACCGCGGGCCTGGACTTGTGCGCCAACTTGACCCACGCATCGTTGTGCGTGGTAAACCCCACTTCGGTGCCCGTACGCATCGGCGCGCGGGCGGTCGGGTCGCCGCTTTTTGAACGGCGCGGGCTTGTTCTGTTCACGCCACGCGTCGGCAGGTGAGTACGCGCCCGGGAGAGAGCCGAGAGACCGTGGCGGGAGTCGGCGGTGCTCCTAGATAACCGATTATTCTCGGCCGTTATATCTTTTTCCTTTTTCTGAGCGACGCCAGAGCGTCTAGAAAAAACATTGAGAGAGAGATAGGGAGAGGGAGGAGCGAGACGGGAAGGTGGCACAGAGTGCTTTGGGGGTATGAGACCCGGCGCGATCCAAGAGCGGCTCTGCCGTGTCCCAGCACGCCCGTGAGCGAACCCCGAGGAATTCTGAGCCCGGCCGGGTCGTAATGTGCGGCTTTGTGATGCAACATTCCTTGTCGAACGGACCTGACACTAGGGCGCGTAGAAAAGTAAGAGGCCGCATCGACGGCGGGAAATGACGCAGACCGCGGAGGAAGGTGCTGCAAGCACGGGCTCGGCCCTGCAAGCGGTATAGTGATTTAGTGAAACAATGCCATCGACGCGTGCTTTTATTTGCACCTCTGCGCGCCCGCACGATAATTCCTTTTGAATAACAATCTACGCCGGCCGATCGCAACCCCAAATAATCACAAAAACGCATACCTCAGGCACCTGCGCCTCCCGCGGGAACTGCACAGGATCCATCCGCTGGTGCGACCAGTGAGTCATGGAGCGCGCAACGGGTATCCAACATACCGGTGAGCCAGTTGATTCAGATTCTACCGGATGGGAGCCACGTGGTAAATCAATACCAAATGTGAGTCGTGTTTTTTTTCCTCTTCTTTTATAGTGATCGGAGACAATTTTTTTCGGAGCGAGTGGCAGCTAGCCTCCTACTCAGAGGACGTGCTGGCACTCGTTCAGCGGAACGGAATGAAGGATACGTAAGTACATAGTTCGCTGGGCACAAAGCACGTACATGCCAGTAATTGAGGAACTTCTGGCACGATAGTTCAAGAAATTTTAAAACCGCACCGCAGTTGGCCCAGCCCGCCCCCAACCTGCAGCCCATTCCGTTGCAACAGGCGCTGCAGGCGGAGAGCACAACGCCGGACCCGCACGGCAAGTTCAAGTGCGTCTACATGCCCACCATGGTGCCCATGCTGTGGACCCCACGAACCCCGCAGCACTACAAACCGGGCGGCAACAAGATGAACAAAGGGAAAGGGAGCAAACCGTCGATGATAGCGCAGCCACCGGGCGGGAGTAGTAGTACTGGTGGGAGGAATAAGAATAACTACGGTGCAGCTGGCGGGTTTAGTGGAAAAGGAGGAGGTAAGAATAAGGGCAGCAAGTCCGGCCAATCTCCCGCGCGGCGCGGCGGTCCTGGATATTCCGAGCTTACACTTGGCGATTTCATCCAGGTCAAGAAGAAGCCAAGGAAAAATAGCAGTGCGACGGAAGCAGACGATGGAGAGCAACATGAAGAAACAAGAAACGCACCAGATGAACAAGAAGTAGAAGACGACTCAGAACCACTAGCAGAGGAGAAGAGTTCGTCCAAATATTGTCCCCCGACGCGAAATGTGCCTTCGCCTGCGAAGGCCGGCAACAAAAGCAGCGAGGTAGACGACGGGTCCGCCACAAACGCGAATTCCACGGCCGACGAGAGCGGCGGCGCAGGAAATAATTCTAGCGATCCGGCACAAGACCAGGAAGTCCCGCCGCCCCCGCCCCTGCAGGACCCGCCCCCACCGGAGGAGGAGGAGGGCGCGCCGGGCGGGTTTGCGGAAGGCGTGCCAATATTCGACCCCTCAACCGGCACGTGCTACTACATGGTTGATACCAGCGCCTGGATCCCCTTGCCGGTCGTGCAAAACCGGGCCCCGGCGCCCGGGGGCGGACCGACCGGGCCTTTTCGTGCGGGTATCGAACAGGGTGGATCGTTTATTTCACTTTGATGTACTACAGGCGAGCTTGAAACATGAAGCGCACTTTGCTTGAAATCTGCATATCATGGCCGTTTCCTATTTCCAATCTTTCCTCTCGACTTCTCTCCAAACATAAAAACCTCAACAGTCGTCATGCCTACCGCCATTGGTGGACAGCCCATGCCGCAGATGCACCAACCCGCGATGATGCATCCCGGCGTTGTTTCGATGATACCAATGGCGTACAATGCGCAGGGCGTCAACTACATGGGAGGTCCGATCGCATACAAAGGGATGATGATGAACAAAGGGACTATACCAAAAGGCAAAGGGAAAATGATGAATCGGTTTGCCTATGGCAAAGGTGGCGGTAGAGGCAAAGGGCAGTGGGGATGGAGCAAGAAAGACAGGTCACATAAGGTGAAGGCGAAAAACATCAGGAAAAGCATCGTCGCACCGCCGCTGGGGGACGAGGACTCGGAAAGTGACGATCACGAGGTACGGTGCGGCGGAGGATTTTTAGAACTGCTGGTGAGGAAATAAGTAGGCAACTTCGGCCGTAATTTCGTAGTTGTTTTGATGAACTTGGTCCACTTCTTGTTATCTTTTGATAATTTTTAACAGGATGACACCACACCGAGTGAAGCAGGCGATGGAGCTGCGGGATCGCATGATCCTGAAGAATTTGATCACGGACTCAGTCCAACAAATCCGCGCGTCGTCAACCCCGAGTCAGTGGTGTCCAAGCGATGGCAGGAAGTACAAAAGTGGAAGGAAAAGCCCAGTTACAGCTGCTTCTTGCGCATCCAGAAGCACTACCAAGACTCAGCAGCGGGCGTTGGTAGGATTTTTTGTATTAACTGTGTTTTTGCGAAGAGGAAGATGCTGCTGCTTTTTTTTGCGTTTTTCCTCTGTGAATCCAGACATAAGATCTAAAAACACTTCAACAGTGCCGGACGACGCACCACCCATTCCGGTAACCCCACGGCACGACGACATGCAGCACAGCAAACGCAAGTGGAAGTACATCATGGAAGGGTGGCGGCGGGCCCGGTTGCGGTACGTGCACTTTTTCGAAACTTCTGCGCAGACCGACCTGCCCGATGACTTGCAGAATGATCTGAACGAGCTCAATGTCAAGGAGAGCCTGGGCAAAGACGACGTCGCGGAAGTAGAGGTGTGTTGACGCGTTTTGTTCACCGCGGAACTTCTTCTACCGGATTGCAAATTTGATATTCCTACCTAGGTATAAGCTTCATCTAAAGGTTGTACAAAGAAGAACTAGATATGCTGAATTGATTTTACCATTTCGAAGTTACTATCACAAGAATTTAATCCTGTGGAAACTTAAACGCTTCCACAAAAAAGAGCACGCAAATTTTATGGGATGTCAACGAAAGGGAAAAGAAAAACTAAAGATAAAATGGAACGACTGAATAGTGGAGGTTTGTCCGCTGCTCGTTGCATAAAATAACGTGTCAACGCCGGTTTATTTGAAACAGGACCACCATTTTCGCACTCACAAATGAACTCGAAACTGTAAACAAAAGAGTACAGTAGAAATACGGACAGAAAATTGCATTGTCTGTGCTCGTCTACTTCTGGACGACGCAACTAGGTTTGCAGAATCGACGCACGCAGTTACGCTCTCATCACCGCTGCACGACAAGGATGCGCGGCTTCGTGTGGCTGGAGTGATGATAATTTTTGGGAAATGCAGGGAATGGACTATGACCAGGATACACGATCATCAAAGAAATGCTTGACTGTGACTGTTACTGCGCCGCGCTAGGCAGAAGTGCTGAGAAGATCACAATGAAATGATCAGCTGACTCGAAAACGGATCGTGGCGCCCGGAAATCGCAAGCCTGATCATCGTCAGAAATCGCAGGATGGTGCCTGGAAGTCGCAGGATGATTTAATATTTCCAACGATCGTACGAAGTCGTTTTTTCGTTTTCATGGGCCTTTCGCGAGCAATGAATTTTGCAACAGGTTGGTGTTGGCAGTGGGGATGACACATTGCACAGCAGCTGTTGTAAGAAAAGTTTCATTTTGCGGCATGCGCAGCTTGTCAGAGTAACATTTTTACGTCAGAAATTTGAATCCTCTTTTATCGTGTCCTTCGCCATTTGCCTTATGTTCGATAGACCCACAACAGCAGACAACTACACATCATGACTTCGAGCTCCAGTACTAGCATTTGCGTTGCCATATCGTGCGAGGGGTGCGGGAAACCCGACCTCCCCGACACGCTCGGGTGCCCGCAATGCGCGAAGCTTGACCTGCCTCCGGCTTACTTCTGCTCCCAGGACTGCTTCAAAGCAAACTGGTCGCAGCACAAGAAGAAGCACAAGCAGGTTCAGAAGTGGAGAACAAGTAAGCACTTGGATCGCTCCGTGTTTGCGGGGTACAAGTTCACGGGCCCTCTCCGCCCTTTTCCTGCGACAATGGACATGCGACCGGTACCATTGAGTGGAAAGATTGACTTGCCGGATTGGGCGGTGACGGGAATACCGGAGATTGAGGCTAAAGCAAACAGGAGCGGAGGTATGTGATTACCAAAGATTTTTTACATGATACTGATTTCACCGACGTGTGAAAAAAATCATGATTTTCAAGAAAGCATGTTTTGCCTTTTCCGACTTGTGTAAGTAATTCGCAAGAACTTTGAACACCAAAAACAGCCATACCCGTCGTAAGTGATCCTGCCGAGTTGGAGAAGCTGCGCACGAGCTGCCGGCTCGGCCGCGCGACGCTCGACCTGGCCGGATCGATGGTGAAACCCGGCGTCACACCGGAAGAGATCGACACGGCCGTGCACGACTTTATTGTCGGCAACAACGCCTACCCCAGTCCCCTGAACTACCGAAACTTTCCCCGATCGGTTTGCATCAGCGTCAACGAGGTGGTGTGCCACGGCATCCCAGACTCGCGGCCGCTGGAAAACGGAGATATTGTCAACGTCGACGTCACGTGCTACATTGGCGGCTATCACGCCGATTTGAATGAGACGTTCCTCGTCGGAGACACGTGCGACGAAGACACGAAGCGATTGGTTCGGGGCTGCTACGAGTCTTTGCAAGCGGCAATCGCGTTCTGCCGTCCCGGCGTGATGTACCGCGAGATCGGCGGGGTGATATCCGCGGTCGCGAAAAAACACAATCTGTCTGTGGTCCGAAGCTACTGCGGCCATGGGGTGGGGAAATTGTTCCACTGCGCGCCGAACATTCCGCACTACGAGCGGAACAAAGCGGTCGGAACCATGCGCGTTGGACATGTATTGGATTTTTACTTGTTTTGGGTTGATATTTTGAAGAAGTTTTTTCACAAATTTATCATGCGGGGAAATGGAAAAACTCAGCGTTTTCATTTGGCAACACAAATGAAAAAACGACAGGTCTTCACCATCGAGCCAATGATCAACCTCGGTAGCCACCATGACGTCACCTGGCCGGACGGGTGGACAAGTGTAACCGCCGACGGCAAGCGAAGCGCGCAGTTTGAACACACCATGATCGTAACCGAAACGGGAGTGGAAGTGTTGACCGCCAGGACCCCGCAAAGTCCTCCGTTCCGCTGGGACGTGGACTGAGTTATTTGGAGTTTTTTTTTCTGAAACAGCATACATGTAAACATGGCGACAATTTTTTCAAGATGATAGCACTCTTTGCCCGTCGTCGCGACAGAATTATCTATTCAGATCTTAGTCCTGTTCGCAAGTCATCGTTTCCCAAACGAGAGCAAACTTGGCGAGTGAAACTGATGAAAAAAGTTTTCGTTGAGAGTTTCGTAAGTACAAAGTTTTCGCTACTTTCGCAAATTGCCCGCCTGGTCGTACACTGCGCGTCGTGGTTTTTGTTAAAGTAAGAAGTTCGTGGTTAGATTTGAAATAGATGTAGTTCTGTTTCTTGTGCTAAGTCGTCATCGTAAACACGCCAAGGACACACAAACAAAACATGTCGACCTCCACCCCAAGCGACCCGCCGCGGTTGCAGGTCACCGTGCCAAACGGCGATGGGAAGGAGTACACACTTCCAGAACCCGGCTGTACGGGAAAGACGCTGCTGGACACACTGCGAACTCTTTTCCCGCACACTGCGAAAGTGCCAAACACTTTTCTCACTCTGGTTGACAACGACAGTGACAGTGCGAGTTTTGCTTCCCCTCTGGACGCGAAAACCCGGTTCTGCTACGACCCGGAGGAGGAAGAGCCGGTCTTGCATCTGTACCATCCGTCGACGGGGAAAATCGACTCCAGCGCGCACTCGGGGGAGTTTTTGCTGCTTGTTGCGCCGGTGCTCGTGCCCGACTTTTCCAAACTCGCCGGAGAACCGCCGGTCGACTATTCGGATTTGGACGCGTTTTGGTTGCCGAAGCTGCTGTTCCGCCCGGAAATCTGGACGGACATGGCCGCGTCGAAGTGGCTTTTGAACGAAATTCTTGCGGAGTGTCCGAGGTTCGAAGGCGATTTGTGCAGCGACCCGAGCAATCCCCTGTTCTGGATGTTTACGAAGCTCTACGAGGTGGAGGAGCTGAAAGGAATCGTCAAGGATCACGACTGCGCCTTAAACCTTTACGGTACCACATTTCTCCAACAGGAGATGATGGGCGGCAGGCCGCGGGGCGCCGGAATCGTGTTACACCCCAGATACCAGCTGTGGGTATTTCTGCTCTTCCACGGGGAAGAAGCGGCCTTCGAGGCCCTGCTTGCTACGGCATTGGAGAAATTTCCAGCGTTCCTGTCTCCCATGATGAACAATCGCGCGGTCGACGAAACGTGGTGCGCTCGCGGGTGGATGCGGGTGCTGCAGTTCAAGCGCGATTTGATGAATGTCGATCACGATTCCGCCTCTTGTCCAACGTACACGAGCTACGACGCTACTTCGTTTTCGCTGCTGTTTGAGGCGGCGCTGCGGCACCAGCAGAAGGAGGTCGCGCACTTTCTTGGTTCTTCGTACCCGCAGTTGTTTTCGGAGTACGCAGCGCGGTACCCGTCCCGGGAAGAATCCGCCGCGGCGAGCCGAGGGCTCATTGACGAAGAAGAATGTTCGGCCTGGTTCAAACAGATGGTCTTTGACTCCGCGAAAAAGGACCGGGACATCTTTCTGGACGTCCTGTGTGCTGTTCAGGGAGAGGCCGCGGGTCTGGAGCAGTACCAGATTGGCAATTTGGACTGCGGCCTCGCAATGGGCGAGGACAAGCAGAAGCCGCAGGATGGGAGCTCTGCGAGCGTCGACTCCGTAGCAAGTGCTGTGGATGTGTATCCGTGCAGTGAATCCCCGTCCACCAATGGTAAACTGCAAACGAATGGCAGAAACGATGTAATTGCGACTGGCGAGAGTGAAACAGATATTTCAGGTAGGAGTGTGAATCACCTCCCCACCTCTTTGAATCACCTCCCCACGCATCACCCCCCCACCCGGATCACCTACCCACCTCCCCCGCATCACCTCGTGACGCGGCCGCATCACCACCGCAACGGCCGGAGGTGATGCAGAAGCAGAGCCGGCTGCGGCCTTGGTTGTTTAGGGTCTAGGGTTTAGGGCTCGGGGATTAGGGTCGTCGAGGCCAGCCGGCGCGACGGCGCCGTCGCGCCGGCTGGCCTCGACGATTCTCTCCTCCTCGTGTGCTCTGTCCCTGCTCCGCCCTTGCGCGTTACTCTTTTGGCTTCCCCTTCTCCTTCGCCCTTCTGAATGTTGTGCACCCTTTGCCCCCGGCGTGCCTCCGTGCCTTGACTCCTTGCGGCATTGCTTTGCGTGCCCCGTGGGTCGTTCCCTGCTCGCCACCTTAGGGCCGCCGGCCGACATCTGGTGGGTGGCCGCGTACATAGGCGCATCTGTCACGCAGGATGAGGGCTCATGTGCGTTGTGGCAGATACCTGCTGGCTTCATGGCCGCGAGGTAGATCGATGGCACAGAACGAAGCCAAGCAACAAGCATCCAGACGTAGTCACGTTCTGGCCGACCACCACGGGGAAGTGCAACGTGGTGGGGAAGTGTTGGACGGCAGGGAGGTGGGGAGGTGGGGAAGTACCTCCCCACCTCCCCACTACTGGGGAGGTACCTCCCCACACGTGGGGAGGCACCTCCCCAGGGTGGGGAGGTAGGGAGGTGGGGAGGTGATGCGTGGGGAGGTGATTCACACCATAACCGATATTTCAGCGTCTACAACCGCTGGAGAAAAGGGCGACGAGAGACCGTCTGTCGCCAAACCGGACAATGAGGCGAATCGCAGTCAGAATTTGTTCAGTGCGAGTCAAAGTGTGCGCGTGCTGCCGGAAGGCGTACTAGAAGTGCTCGACAAGAAATCTTCGGACGGGAAATCCTGCACCGCGGCTCCGCGCTTCGTCCATCTGGAAACCTGTGACTGCACGTCCTGCACGCGCAAACTTTCCTTGGGCCAGGAATACGTGTTTTACGTCCGGAGGCGACTAATGTACTTCTCCGAGTTCGTGCGAAAATCGGTGATGGTGCGGGACTTGTTTCCTGATCTCACTGTGCTGAAAGTGGATTTAGGAGAACAGGAACGTGTCTGCCGGATGTACTGTAACGCGGACAACCCCACCTGGGTAAGCGCGTTATTCTTTCACTTGCATTTTCGTGTATTCCGGACTCAGATCCGGACAGGGTGAAGGCTCGCGTGAATTTTTCGGAAACAAACAGCTGGATAAAATGCGTATTAGGTACCACAGTGAACAACATAAGTACTTCCATTGTTATGGGTCGACTGATAACGAATATCAAAAATATATTCGCAGATTGGGGCCCCAAACCGCGAGACTTTGCAGAATCCCGACGAAGTTTGCTGTCGTGTCCATCCGCATTCGCACCGGGTCACCGTAAAGTTCGTCTACACTGGGCCGACCGCACGGCGCATCATCATCGCCCCGGTTCGTGACAATTCTGCCACGGAAATTGTTTCGGTGATTCCGAAGCTTGTACGAGCCCGCTTATCCGCGCTCGCATCGAGACCCTCGTCGTTCAAGGAGCAGCTGAAAATCGGAATTCTCCCCACCATCAGTTTGCCGACGTGGCGCGGTATCATCCCGGGGAGGGTGACACAAGTCGTGTCCGGAACAAGTGCCGATGACGGAAGTAGTACAACAGGAGAGACGGTGAAAAAAGTTGTCCGGAGTGTGCCCATGTCCAAAAACTCGCTGTTGTGCCAAACCCGACTTGCGGATTCGAGAAAATTGCGGATCGGCTCCTCGTACGGAAATTACCTGCAGGTGTCCAACTGGGCGCAGCGCGGTCAGTCCGGCGTCCGGCGCTTTCAGGAAACCGCGGCGCGGATCACCGGGAAGAAAGGCGGTTTTGCGAGGAACCCGCGGGCGATGGTTTTGTTCGCACCGGAGTAAAAAGAGAACAGGAACAGGTGCTATTTTCCTGATTATGATTTTGGTTTAGTGACTTTAATTTTCGCAGGTTGATGATACTAGATGCGTTTGTGTTTCCAGTCAGACCGGAACTCTAGAGAACTTTGAAACGAACAGTCGCTGATCTCGAACTTTTCTTGAAGTGTTTAGCTTTCCTTTTTGGTTTCTGAATCAATCTATTCTTGCAATATTGATTTTTCAAATGAACTTTGCTCAGATGCCACTAATTTTGCTTGTCTTGTTTCGAGACAAAATGCGCTGACTTTTCTAGAACTCCATTAGACTCAACGACTTTTCGAGAACTCCATCAGACTCAATGTAAGAGCTTCGTTTTGCAAGAAGAGTACGAAAAAAGAATCAAGCTAGGTGTGGCCAATATGAATGCACAATGTCAGTAGGCGGAGGCGCTGAGATACGGAGTTCATTTGTTTGTGTCGTTTTTTTTGCTTCGGCAATATTGAATCGGAGCGGAGGGAGACAGTGACAGACATCGCAAGCTGCAAATGATCGTCGCAAGAGGGGGAGACCTTTCGTTCCATCCGTGTCCGTGGTGCAGTGTCGTGACGACTCGAGCGTGATAATGTATATGAGGGACCAGCATGATCGCACCAGAAGCCATTTTCATCACTCCAGCTGCAGACTTTGTTCCATCACTAGTTCCACAGAGGCAACAACATCCATGTCCGCCTCGCCGGAACCTACCGCCTCCGAGGCTGGTACCGCAGTAGCCACGCCCTCCATTGTACTTTCGATTGCCGTTGCGAACGGGGATGCGATTGACTTCCCGCTGCCGGAATCTGGTCTCACGGTCGAGGCACTGTTGGATCTCGTGAAGGTGCGCTTCAGCCACACGACACCGGTGCCGCGGAGTTTTCTTGCTTTGGTGGACAACGATCAAGATTCGGTAAATTTTGCTACGCAGTTCGACGCCAAGGTGGAGTTGCAGTATGACGAAAATAACCTTGGTCACGAAGAGCAGGAACCGGTGCTCGGGCTGTTCTGTCCCGTTGCGGAGAAAATGCTGGTAGCGGAGCATTCCGGCGAGTTTTTGCTGCTGGTCTTGCCAGTGGAAGTGCCTTCTCCGTTACCGAGTCCGGGTCGCACGTATCCCAGGCTGTACTTGGAGGACCGTACCCGGGCTGATACTTCTGCCATCTGGTTTCCACAGCTGATTTTGCGCCCTGATGTCATCAACGACAGCAGGGCTATGGATTGGGTGCTTCGACAAGTTGCAGATGCCGTAGGTGGACTCGAAGAGTCACAGAAGCTCATGCTTGACGGGGTCAAGTTTTGGAAAGCCGTCGCGAATTGTCGTGGCCGTTTCCTGTTCGAGCTTGCAACGGAGCAGGGCTGCAAGCTGCACGTTGACGGGCTCGGTCTTTTCCACTACCGCGATCGTTTCTTGGGTCTGGATCTGTGGACTTTCCTGCTGAAGTTCAATAAGAAAGCCGGATATTTCGCTGTGATCAACTTTCTCGAGGACGTATATGGAACTTCCAAAGGGATAGAACTGGTCGAACGCGCTCGTGATCTGCAGCAAGATCAACATTGCCAGTATGGTGGCTTCATTGGCACACCCGAGGTGGAGCCCTGGCTGGAACTCCCCCACGAAGTAACTTACTGCGCTCGCGGATGGGTCGACCTACTGGAGTGGAAGCTTGACATTCTTTCTGTTCAGCGCGAAGCAAAAAACGAGGGGCCGATTTCCATGCTTGATCATACCGAAGAAAGAACACCCGTCCTGGTTTGTCTTTTCAAGGCAGCACTACGATACCAGCAAAAGGAAGTGCTGCATCTTCTCGCCGACCGCTTTCCGCGTAATTTTTTGTCGTTTGCGAAACTCTATCGGACGGAGAGCGGCGTCATTACATCCGGTGAGTACCTTGGCAGTTCTTCAACATGGTTTCGCAATTTTTTGCACGAGTCCTCTGAGGCAGAGTGTGCGTGTTTGACCGAAGTAGTGGCGAGCTTGACCGCGAAAAGAGTTACTACTGATACGGTCGCCGCAAAAACAAAGATCGAGTCGCACACGACCGCCACGTCTACTCCGACTGAAGATGCAGGAGAGGTGACGGAGCTGAGACCAGATGAAACTCTAGGCCTTTTTCCTTCCGGGACTGTCCCATCGAGCCAGGGAAGGAAGAAACTTGTTTTGCAGTTTCCCGCGACTTTGGGGCCAACCGACGGACGAACAGATCAGAACGGGCAGCAAGCAGTGTGTACGGCGACGGGACTCGTGCCGCTCCATAAGAGTGGCTGCAAATGCGCCAAATGCGGCTATGCACTCTCGCGCGTCAAAGAATATGGCTTCTACGTTCGCCGGAAACTTTCGAAGGTGATTCCCGCTCTCGCCGAGTCGCGCGTGCTCCAAGACTTGTTCCCGGGCCGCGGGGCTCTGCACATCGACACCAAGGGATACGAGGGGGAATGCGAGAAGCTGATCAGCCACGATTTGAGCAAGGTACTTTCTTCACATTCGATTGAAATCTTGTACAGGGTTGTGTTTTGCTTCTGTGCTAATGCCAACGAAGCTCTTCTGTTCTGCACGTCTCGGCTTCGAAAAAAAATCCAGATTGAGGATCTACATCTTCTCGGGAGAGTCCAGTTTTCTCGGAAGTTCGAGTGCGTGTCCGCCGACGGAAATCGTGTGATGGTCACTGTCCCGGGTTCTGCGAATGATTGGGCCCGAGTCACGAGCAGAGTCAAAAAGTTTGAGGCTCTGGCACCAGTGGCTTTGGTCCCAAGCGAGAAGAGCGAAAGATGCCTGCATGTTGTCGCCATGCCCGGACCAGATGAGAGCAGCGGTACGCGATGGCAGAGTCTGAGCGGCCAGCAGGGGGTCTGGCGTGGCATCGTTCCGGGGCACGTGGTGAATGTGCAGCGAAATCTCGACCATTTGCGAGCGGAAACTGTGCCGCATGGAAGCATCGTGCAGCACAAACGGATGAGTCAGGTGAACGGGATGCCGGGCGCGAAGTTCTACTCGGATGTCAACAAGCAGTGCGTGACGATTAGTCGCGGGGATCGGTCGGGCCGCTGGAGGGTCAGCACTGAAGACCGACGACACTTCTTGTCGCAGAAGTCAAAGCAAATTGTCGGTTTTGATGTTCTGACAACTTGTACTCCAGCGCCAACTGCGATCGATCTGTGCAATAGCTTCCATGGGGTGATTGGGCGTTGTCGGATTTTCGATCGTTTGCGAGCTAGTAGGTTCAATTTTGGAGCTGGTACTACCAGATGGTTTCGATTTTGATGTTTTTGAACTCAAGCTTTTCCCGGATAAAAAATGAACCTTACACGTGAAAAATATATCACAGAAATAATGAACCGAGCAATCAATTTATGGAGATTCAGATAGTGAAAATACTTCCTCTAGAAGTAACTGCTAGCTGAGCTTGTGTTTTAGCTGAAACGGTTTTGCTCTGTCGTAGGTAAGGACAAGTTTCAATTTTGCACCGGCAGCAGTCAATGTATCGTTACTGTTTCAAATTTGCCCGCTGAGCTTGTCTGTGTCAGGCTAGGTCTAATGTGCTGTAACTACCAAAGGCTGTAGTTTGCTCGCAGGAGTAAAAAATTCTATGTGGATGGGACTTCAGTTTTGGGTCGTAATCGCTAGCACCGCAACATCACTGCCCACGGAAAAATCGTGACGCGGATTGCAAAACAAAGGCATTTGCAGCCTTTGAAGGGCGTTCAAGGTGACATATTGCAGAGTTGTCATGAAAGTGGCCTCTCCTCAGAAGTGATCAACGAGCGGGAGAGAGTACACTTTTCCGAGTATGTCGAAGCGCCGCTGAGCGGGTTGAGAGAATACGGAGCGTCCGCATTCATCTTAGCATGTGAGCTACAGTGAACATCAATATTTATACAGTGTACGACCAAGAATTGAGACACATCATGAGCGCGTCTGGAAGTGCTTCCGGGGTGCTGAATGCGGACCAGCAAAGCACCGTTGACAGTGCTAAGGTAGATTTTCTTTGTTGTCGTTTGTGCAAAGCGGTGCTCCTCTTGCGTTTTCTTCTGCCGATACTCGTTTATTACGGTACGTCAAACCCAAAAGAAAAAAACCCTCCTACCAGGTCGCACAGCAAATGAAGAACGAGAAGTATCTATCCTGAGTAAAAACGTACCCACACCAGAGTTGTAATGCAGATTTGCAAAGACAGGAAGACGCGTAATGCGCATCCCCATGAGAGCCATTTCCAATCGTGTTTTGGAATTTGTGATGCTGTGAACAGGATGAGCAGATGAATCTGTGACGCGGCTGCACTTGCTAACCTGCACTACACTGCATAGCGCAACTTGTCATGCGTGACTCACAAAACTCCTAGGTTTGTGTTGCAAAATCCCCATCCTGACTCAAAATAAAATATGTACAACAGCTTTTGTCTAAAAATGTAAGCGTCCAAAGGCGATAGGATGTACACAGCCAATCTCCAAAAAGGATTTGCGCGCCATTTTTCCAGCAGCATGCCGCTCAAGTGCCAACAGGGCGAGAGCCCTGCAAGACCGGGCGACGAATGTAAGAAATCGGGAAAAAATGCCGTATACCTGCGCAATTCCTTATATGTGAATAACAAGGTGGGCGGGCGGGGTTCTTCACATTTTTGGAAACGCCCACCGCCCCGACTAGAATAATAATAAGGATTGTTCCCGCGCTTCAGGAGTAGTTCTGTTGCGTGAGGGCAGCAGAAGACGAGAAAAAGGTGTTGGCTTAGGGGGTTAAATATTTAGCCATGTGTGATGCAAAAAATGAAAGGAAATTCGCGCGTGGGAGCGCATTATTAAGCACAGCGGGCGGGTGCCGTTCCCGCCGTCACACAATCGTTGAAAATTGAAAAATTTTGCATAGGGCGTTCCCAGTATCCGCGTTTACATACGCGGGTTTGCAAAACCCGTTTGCATAGGGCGTTCCCAGTATCCGCGTTTACATAGATCCCGATTAACGCGCACTAGGCGCAATTATCTCCATACACAGTGGTCTCCTCCCTATCTTTACTACCGTCAGGTGCAGCGGCTTTCTGCACATCGCGCTTAGTCTCGACCCATATCAACCTCCCTTTGCTATTCGTCCCACAGCATAGCAACGTCCGCCGCGGCTTACGGCTATAGACGTTAACTATATCGTGGGGATTTTCTATGCGTGTGTCCGGTCCGAGTTCGAAAAAGGGTTCAGGGGTGACCCCCCTGCTGGCATGCACGGATTTATGTTTCCGACGGGTTTAGGGTTTTGATTTGTATGGACCAATGCGGCGCGCACATCGATTTTCCTGGCAGTGTCGACCTGCTGTACACGGCGTAACCCCCGCCGAATCACGAGCGGAAAGCGCATCTGAATCTGAATCTGAAATTAATAATTGGGGGCCGGGCAAAAAAAAAAAAATCCCCATCCTGACTCTGGTGTGGGTACGTTTTTACTCAGGATAGTATCTTCGGGAGCACCCGGAGATCCAGGATTTGCTGGGGAAGTTCGTGTATCAAGTGTAAAAATGTCTGGGTCTGGAAGATTCTAAACTTGTAATGCTGTCTCTGGAGTCTAGAAAAATTTGTATTGCATGATCAGCATAAGGACTCCAGTTTGTGCTACGTGGAGAGGGCATTTCTCATGCGGTAGAGGCATCGCAAAGTCCTCTAAAAATCTGTGATGCTAAGGCATGCATCACAGACATCATGGGTCACTCACTGTATGCATGACAAAGCTGGCGTCAATCTTCCAGACCCAGACATTTTTACATTTGATATCGTGAACGCCGCCCTGCACGAGAAACCAGACGACGTTCTGAAATTTGCCGGGCATTTCTTTACAAATCCAACCCTCAAGCAGGAAGTGGAAGCAGGGAAAAGCAGTGCGAGCACGTGATGAAAAATCTTGCGACGTTTATTTTCTCGATTTTGGCACAATTTACGGTTTTGCTTTTGCGCGAGGAAACAACAAAGTTTCTCGTCGAAGAGACGGGTTTTTTTGAAGAAGCACCAGACTGCTAGGCTGCAAAACCAACGGGGACGCAAGCACTTTTCGCTGCGTGCGAACGCCGGCGTTTTCGTCGCGTGAGTTTAGATGTGTGTGCTGTTCAAGGGGGACGGAAGGCGGTTAAGTTGAGGAAGCAATCACAAACACGTGCGGGCGTTAAGTCTGAGGAGGGCAGCAGTGCCACCAAATGCTGTTTCTTTTAGTTTCGCCAGAACAGTTCTGACTATCCTTTTGGCAGGAACAGCTTCTATCAGTTTCAATCACATACTATCTTAAAGGCACGAAATCAAAATGCCCTGTTCGTTCCACTCTGCTTCGTCTTCCTGATAGGGAAGCTTTGGGCCAGCAGCACAGGAGCTGCTGCTTCGAATCGAATCCGCCGGAAAAACTGCACCAGTGAATACTACAAGGCAGCAGAAAACAACGCTCCACCTACCACCATGGTGATTCTCTCGCACCGTCTAGGTGATCCGCATCTTGTGGAGTTGCAGTCATGGCTTTCCAACCGGACCCTGCGGAATTTCCTGAGCCATTACTCCGAAGACGTGTGGCCGCACGTTGTGAAGACCATGGTTTTGCTCGGCATCTACGCCTTGCAGTACAGCGGAAATAATCACACAAGTACTACTACACCCTCGATGTTAGCCGGAAGCAAGAAGGCGGGCAACAAAAAGCAGCAAGGCAAGGATGCAGAAACAAGCGGTACAGCAGACGGCAGTTCCGCAAATCGCAATTCCTCCGCCGAGCCGCGCACGCCGGGGAACAATGACAATGTTGTGTGGTCCATGGAGGACCTGGAGAATCTCCTTCGCTTTTGCGCCAATGAGGAGGAGTGGCCGAAGCAGCTGCAACCGGAGCTGTTCCGCGGCGCGTGGGGCGAGAAAGTTTGTGCCTACCGAAAGCCCAACGGCCAGTGGCGCGCGGGGCAAAAGGAGGTGTACCGCCCGCGCGGCCCGCACGACAAGTCCACGCCCTCGTTCCCAACGCAGACGGTGTACGAGCCCGACGAGGCGCAAACCAAAGCGAGCGTGTACCCCACGTGGTGGAGCGACCAGGGGGAGAAGAAGGCGCGACAGCGGACGCAAGTGTTAACCGCCGCGGACTACCAGCTGAAGAAGATCCGGGACCGGAATCTGCGACAGGCGCGGGAGCGAAAGCGGCCGGAGCCGATATTGGAGGAGGATTCCACTTACTCTTCCTCCTCCTTCACCGAGCAAGAGATCATCGAGCGCTTCCGCAGGGAGAAGGCGAAAAAGCGCGAACAAAGAATACGAAACGCGATAAGCAGAGGGGGCGAGCGAGGCGGGGCAATGCCGTCCAGCAGACGCGGGCCGGTCGTGGGCGGCCAGACGCTACGAGAAGAGTTTTTGCACGGTGGGGATTTTCGAAATAAAAACAACGGGTATTATGACCCGGGATATCAGGTAAGTGAAACTAGAAGGAGATGAATTTTTTTTCTCGCAGCAAACCTTGAATTGATTCTCGCATGACACGTGCAAGTGCAGCGCAGGCAACTGATTGTAATATTGATTCTGCTCGAGATGATGCAAATTATGATTATCGTCTTCACAGGAACCTGCGAGCTACGCTTCTTCCAGTCTAGGTGTGGATTCCGCGGATTGTGTGCACGCATTGAACGAGTGCACGAAAAGTCCGAAAGCTTGGTCGGTGTCGTTTCCAAGTATTTTTGGAATATTTCGTTGAAACTGTTTTGGCTTACGCTTTTATTCGTCGCGTTAACAAAAAGTGTTTTTTTTTTTTTGGATGGCCATCCTCCATGATCGGTTCACTCCTCAACAAACCAGGCACTCGCGGCCCGGGTAGCACAACCGTGGAACAACAGAAGCCGAGCTACCAACCGCCCAGCTACAGCAGCCGACCCGCGCCCTTTGCGCACCACCGCCGACGAAAGCGGGACGGGCAGTCGGCAGTGGAACTGACGCGCAGCTTCCTGGCCAACCCCGCGCTCCGGCAGGCCTTTGGCTCGCCCGGGTCTACCTCGCCGGTAGGGTCGCGGAGTCCCTCGCCCTACGACCGAGGAGGGGGGCGAGGATTGGGGGTGGAAAATGTTTCCTCGCCCGGCGGATATTCGACTGCGAAGGTAGAAGGCGGTTTTTTTTTCAATTATTTTTCAAAAGCTGTGAGAGTTCATCGCGAAAAAACTATCCGGACAGGGTTTTATGTTCATCGCACAACATTTATTTTCAACAGGGCTCTTGTTCGCATACTCCCGGCAGTGCCCTTCCGCTGGACGAGCGAAGGCCGCGGCCCTGGGCCGCAGCGTACAACATGTCGGAGCGCAGCGAGTATTCCGAGCGCAGGGAAGCTGTGGGCGACCGACCTCCGAACAGCTTCGTGGCATGGCACGAGGGCACCAGCAAGGGCACATCGGCGGCAGGTATAATGAGGACCACTAGGGGGCGTGAAGTGTATAATTTGTTTTTCAACAACATCAAGCGGAACAAGAAACTAGATTTTCTCGGACTAATGCCGTGATTGGAAGTACAACATAACAGTAACATTTCTAAAAAATACAGATGGCGTTGGCGGAACCGGGGTGGATCTTGAAGAGCTGCTCGTGCGTGAGGAGTCCGACTATCCAAAGTAATTTTGCCGTACACGTACAAATGCAGTTTCTGCATGACAAAGTTGGGCTTCGATCCTAGTTTAGCATGACAAGTGTCACACTCCAAATTGGTGAAATTTGTGATGCATCTTGTACATGGGCGGGAAATTTGTATTGCATACCGACTTCCGCAGCGTCGCAGAGTCGTCGACCACCAATTTTCGGCTGTAAGCAAAGTTTCGTTTTGGGAATCTAAATTTTGCATTTCGAATGTGGTTTCGCTGTGCTTGTCAGGCGGATTTGGTGTTACGCCCCTGCTAGATTTTGCAAAGTATGATTGCTGGCGTGTCATCACCAACAAAGCCAGCAAAAAAGATAGACTCACACGTTTCTTGAACACCATTTCGCGCACAATTAAAGATATGTAAGAACAGCATCCGAGCCTCGCAGAGAAAGCTCTTACCGTACTTAGCAATTTGAGTTGTGCACACTTCAACTGTGTTCGGCATGGAACCCAAGGCAACTGTCATGGTCGGTTCATTTGAATTTCTGCGATAGAGCGATCGAGTGCAGCTAGAAAGAAGAACTGATAGAATCGCAAGGCTTTTATTTTGCTTTGAAAGCGAGAAACTGCGATCCTTTTGCACACCTAATTTTTTCTGCAGGGCGGTAAGATCAATCACGGTCAGTAGCTTACCAATTTCTTCCGAAGCTACTTCCTCCTATTAGAGTTCACCGGAAAGAAGAAACCCAGTTGCTCTGGGTAGCGACGATTCTAGCTGTGTATATTAAAGTGTCAAACCCCGTCAAGTTGGCTTTACACTGCAGAGAATTTTTTGTTTCTTTGTTGATAGATTGTGCAGTAAAAATAGTTCTTTCGTAGAAAAGTAAAAGTTTGATATTCCACCCTTTGATTTCCCAAGCCACAAAATCTTGTTGCGCCGCGCTTTCCGTCGTCCTTGCGGACCAGTTGTCTGTCAGCAGCACTACTTTACCCGGGACCAGAGCCGGTTTCGTTCTTCGCTACCGGCGGAAAAGACGAACAATATCATGCCGGGCGAGGAGGGTGTAACGATTTCCGTGCAGTACTGCGGAGGCTGAGGCTACAAACGGCACTATGTTGCGGCCCGGGAAAAGCTGGAGGCCGCGCTGGCGCCCGAAGGGGTAGACGTGAAAAAGCTGAAATGGGATGTTGTTGCAGATCCGGGAGTTACCGGTACCACTTAAATATCAATCTCCCTTCAATTCGCTTCTGTGCACGCAATCCAGGTGTCTGGCAATGTATTTCGCACGATGATTTGGATTAGAACGAAGCGCGCTGTTCATGAAAGAAACATGAACAATATCAACAGGCAACTTCGAGGTGAAGGTGAACGGAAACCTTCTCCACTCCAAGAAGACGAAAAACCAGGGGTTTCTGCATCAGAATGACAACACATTTGGACTCGTCGCAGAAACAGTCATGAAGGAGTGTGACAAGTAAGGACGATGCCGGGGAAAGAAAGGGAGGAGTGTTTACCTGCCAGCAATGCCGGGTATGATCGTGGCATTCAAAAAAACGCTTCGCGTGCAACTTGTACTGGCATGAAACACACTTACATAAAGTTTTTTAAGAAACAACTTTTTAAGCGTATCTTGGCACAACCTGTGGCATCGTGAGCTAGGCGATTTTAAAACCTGATTCAACATTTTTCTAGTGATGAGGCACGCTTTTCCATTCCGCGGTGCAAGAGACACGTGGGAGCGACGCCTTTGATGTGTACTATTTCGCTGAAGTAAAAGAAAGCTTGTAGCGCCTTTCATCTAAAATATCGTCGGACTATGACAATGGTCAATGGAGGCAAATAACGACTTTGATGAAAGTGCAACAAGTTTTACATTGCAAGAAATCTTCGGGATGGATCTCGCGTAGAACGCGATGCTGCAGGTGAAACAAGAAACATTTCCGACCAGTTTGACTGCGTCGTTGGTGTGCGGTTTGTTGGTCCTCAATAAAGAAAGGAAAAAACAAGAGAGATTACTGTCTCTAAACTGCGGAGACAATTAGGCCGTCACGTTTCTGCTGTTCATCGAAGGATCTACTTTCCGGCGATCTACTTTTTGTCGATCCCATTTTTCCCCGAAAGTGCCACTTTTCTTCTGCGCTCTCTTTTGTGGGCGCAGCCTTTTTTTTTTTGGAGCCATCAAGGTCGTGAGTCCTCTTCATCTGTCGCTCAGCTTGTAGTTCGCTCGCTTGTGGTGCAATAGTTCGATTTCGTGCATCTGTCGCTACGCATCGTATCGTTGCTACGATGAAATGAACTAGTGTACTAAGTGTCCCATCATGCTTCATCTCTCCCGAGATTCCGTGCGTGGTTCGCAGCGGAAGCTTGTACGCATTCATGATTCGTATGCACTGTTCGAACATGGGTTCGGACCGTGCGCAGTCAGCTGTGCCGCAGCCCTCGGTGAGGACTCCCTCATCTTCTGCGATGACAAAACGCAGGAGCTGCACCGCCGGAGTTGGTTGTGCGCAACTACCGGCGGAGAGAACAAAGCTGCAGAAGAACTATGTCCGGACGAAACGATTGGGTCGCTGCTGTCTGCGTCGCACGATTCTGACGCAAGCAACCGCGTGGTTTCGATAGCTGCGCATGCGCGTGGTGCCGCCGCGGTGCTAGTGAGCAGAAGTAGGAACAACACTAAGACCTCCACCTCAGCTACAAGGGCCGAGACCGAACACTCATCGGAAACAATATTTCTACTTCCCGACGTTTTGCACCCCGCACCTGCCTCGGCGTCATCTGCGGATCGTAACGCAAGAAAACAAGCGAGAGAGCATTATCCAGTTCTGGAGATTGCCGACCCGCAGTCTGTCGCTTCTGCGTATCTCGTGTCTACTGCAACTGCGGGGCGGGAACAGACAGTGGCTGCACCACTTCCCGCGTTGAAGGCTCCATGGGCCCCCGCGGGCGCGGAGGAGGATACTGTGGTTTCCATGTGCATCGGCGCCGCCTGGGTAGACGCCACAGACCTTTTTTTGACGACGGCTGCGAGCGTGGACGACCTGTGCCTTTTTGTAGCTTTTCGTAGCCGCGTGCTCGCCTGTTTCTCCATTCCGAAAGACAGCACGTGTAGTGCAGGAACTGCACCACGTTCGGACGCACAGCCTGCACGACCTTCTGAGCTCTTGCAGTGGGCCGTGCAACTGCCGGCGGAGCAGTGTACCACGGGAGTTATTCGTATGGAGGCGCCGCGCGCCGGCCTGCTGATTGTTTCCACCGGAGCACGCGTTTTCTTGTTGCACAAGCCCAGCACCCTCGACCTCGACGGCCTGGCGGCGGCGCGCACGATTTCCGCGGCCGGCGAAGCGCCGCTGGCGCAAGTGGAGATCACGCCGGTGGGATCCAAGCCGCACGAGGGTGAGTACACGGGGACGCTTGCGCCCGAGGGTTTCCTGCTCTGCGCGCGACTGAGCGGGCGCGTTTGGGTGGCCGACCCGCAGTCCGGCCAGGTGCGGTCCACGCTGCGGTTTCCAGTCGAGAACCGCGCTTCCTGGGGGTCGCTCCGGGTGAGTAAGAGCTTCCTGGTGTCCTGGAACAAGAGTCTAGGGAGAACAATTTCCGTCTACTCCCGCGAAAGTTTTGCGCTGCTCTTTCAGTTGGAGATCGGCGCATCAGGGTCTTCAGAGGCAGCCGACAAAAGTCCCGCGACCCAGATCCTAGACGTGCACTTGGCGGAGAACGTGAAAATTTCCGACCATTTGTTCCCAGCACCAGTCCTTGCGTCGCAGCTGGTCGTGGTTCACAACGACGGGGTGCAGGTCTTTCTGATTCCCCCGAGCGGTTGCGCGATGCAGGAGTTTGTGCGCACGTTTTGTCTGCGCAGCGAGGCTGTGATCGCAAATTCCGTTTCCGCCAAAATTCTGGCCGAGTACTGCGTGCGGCACCCGGGCGCGTTCGGGTTGCCGGACCTGGAATGCCTTCTGAACTTTTTCGAGACATACACAGAATCAACCGCTGGCGGTTCTTTTCGGGAAGACAAAGCAATCGAAAGCGGTGGGGCGGCCGACGTTATTCTCGTGGACGACGCGGATGTGCTGGTGAGGGAAGGCACCTCGTCGTCGTTTGCCGAGGAAATTGAAGAGGAACTTGTCGTGCCCGATGAGTTCAAACAGCTCGTGGAGCGCTTGGAGCTGCGTCAACAGGAACCCCCCCGCGTGCTCACAAACTTTCCGCTTCTTGCGGGACCCGCGCCGGTGAAATCCGTTGCGTTCGACTGTCTCGAGCAGCGCGTGTGTCTCAATCTCAGCGCGGACGCGGATCATTGGAGCGGGGATGGTGCTGCTACAGGCGACAGGAGTGGCGCAGTTGAAGTCACAGACCAGGACCTTAACTGGGATCTGTACTGCAAACTGCGCCGGGTTGTGCCCCCGCTGGGTGCAGCAGCTGCGAGCAGGCAAAAGACGGATCGCAGTGTCGGCAACGTCAGTGCGCAAAACCTCAGAGACGTCGTCACAAAGGAGGATGAGAACTTGAATAACAGCTCCACCGGTACTTTAGCCGACATGGACAGCGGGGATAAACATCCTCCAACAGGCACTGCGACCATTCACGACCCGTCAGGATCTTCCGCAACCTTGAAACAAAAGCAACAACTCTCCGCGCGTTACCTGTCCCGCATACGGCAGCGGGTTTTCCCGCCCCTACTGACGGAGGAGGTGTACCAAGTGACGCAGGGCGACAGCGTGTGGGATGTTTCAGAGGCCGCGGTGCAGTATGCGGAACAAGCTCTGCGGTACCTCGACTACGTACTTACCGAGGACCAGCCGAGGGAGCCGTTCGTGGAGCAGACGGGGCTGGTTGCATTCGAGATCCTGTGCTGTCGGGGGGAGAGCTGCGACGAACCGGATCGAGGTGCGGTAGGACTTTCGCAGAAAGGTGGCTATGCGGCGTCTGGGTGGCCTAGCTTCGGCGCGAGAGAACGCAGTCCTGGAGGCGTGTCGAGGTCGTCCTGTTCTCGCGGATTTGAGGAGGCAGCTGACGACGATGAGGACTTGTCTTGGCGAGACTACCGTAGAACTTTTACTGTTTTTCCGCAATGAAATTTTTTCTATGATGGCTTTGTTTCCTCTTTTTGCGAGAATTATGGCGAATGACACAAAGATTTCCCTTGGAAAGAAAACCTTCACTCCAATCATTCACAGTAACCGACCACCAGTGGACAGAACGACGCGCCTTGGACTTCTGCGAAACGTTTCTGACACCAGAGCGGTGCCTGCGCGTTGCCTACCGTGCCAACGGGCTGCGCTGGCGGCGCGTCTGCAAGTGGGTCTTCGCTAAGCTGCATGACAGCGAAATCCAGCAAGCGGCCGAACAGATCAAGGTGAGCTTCAACCCCGTGCAAACCACCGCCCAGTACGCCGGTCTTTTGCGCGCCTGTCGCGACGACGCAGACCTGGCCTGCTACCACTTTCCTTTTGTATTGCCCTGGAATTTGGCATTGGCAGGAGGACCAGAGAAAAGCGAGACGTCAGAACAAACCGATCGGATTGCAGCTGCTGCAGGCTCTCCGTCGGGAGACGGGCGTAACGCCAATGCAAATCTCGCCGAGCAACCGCACGTGCGCGAAGACACGTCAAGTACACGTCTCCACAGCGCCGGCGGTGCAGCGGTAGGTGCGGAACGGCAGCAGAAAAAACGATCTGCTAACGCGCAGGATCGCTCGGAAAAATTCTATCAAAGTCCGCGTGCGCTCATTCGCTTCTGTGCGCGGCTCTACGATGCGCTGCTGCTTCAACAGCAACCGCAGTCGGGAAGTGTGAACGCGTTTGAGAACAGTACTGCTGCTGGAAGTTGTTTTTCGCAAAAATCACCAATCGTGCGCCGGGAGTTCCCGCTCCCCCGGGCGGAGCAGCGACGTCGGGTTGAGGCAGAACTGCGGACGAATTTGTTGGAGTTGCTGCGCGGGGATCCCACAAGCCTGCACGTAGAAGCGCACCCACTGCTGCAGACCCTGCGCATTCCGACACACGAGTTCCATCAGCGAGGCCTGGAAGAGCGAAAAGCCATCCTGCGAAAAGGACTTGCGCAAAAGATGCAGTTGCCGTCGCTGGGCTATGCGCGAACCTTGCGGAGGGAGACGTTTGCTCGTCCTTCAAGTGGAGCTACTTCTTATGAAGAAGGTGAAAATCGTGGTCGACATCATCCGGCTGTCGACACGACCAGCTCGCAGCCCCATCCGCGTAGAAGTTCCCTCGACACGAGTAGTACTGGTCCCTTGACATTTCAGCTCGAGTACCACGCAACCGCACGAAAAAGTCGCAGCAAGACACCAACGTCGCACGAAACGAAGCAACGACCAGGTCAGAATATGGGGTCAGTCGCGCACGGAGGTGGTAGGATATCCGAGCAGCATCAGCCCCACCATCCGGTGAAAGAACCAGCATTAGCACAAAACACGGCGCAACAGCTTCAACAAAGTGATTCATTGCCTCTGGTGTCAGCTGCACTCACCCCCCACTTGTCCGTGCCACGCATATTCGAAGCGGACGCAATGTACCTGAATGCGATGCGCGTACTATGCTGCGAAACGCGTCAGTCGTGGCTGCGATTGGTCCTTGACCTTATTCCAAGGAAGAAGAAAGTCGCGGGGCCGCAGGAGGACAATCATGTCTACAGCAATGCCGAGCACATAGCGCTGCTCTGCAGCCGTGACGTCTTGCCTCTGTCTGGTGCGATGGCCGCACTCTGTGACGAAAGCGAGCAGTTTCTGGACAGTATTCCCAATCACATTGCGGACGCGCTGCTCGACCAGATGTGGTGTAAAGTGTAGTCGGGTCTTGTACCAGAATTCTGCCCGCTCTTGCGAAATGGATTCCAAACGCAACATAGATTGAGAATGCGCAACATGCAACACTTCTCACCTTCGCTGCATCAGCCTCCGTGCGTGAAATCCTGGTGCGCAGGTGTTCACATTCCACCAAAATGCCAGCTCTTCTGTAGCTGCAGCAGTCGCTCTCGCAGCGGATCATCAAAATGGAGGATGTTAGACATGCGCGAGCGTGTACTACCTGATTCTTTTTTTCGAAAGGCACGACAGAGACAGTGGCTTGAGCACAGGCATCCGCAAAAATGTAAGATGCCACGATCTCTGTCATTTCGTGCGGTGGCATCTTTTTTGTTGATTTTTTCTGTGGAGTGCCATTGCTGTGCACTTTGGAATGCGGTACATGTTGCGTTTTTTCATGTAGCAATGTTTTGAAAAATAGCGATATCTGAAAGGTCGTTCGCAATTGAGGCAGGCCGGTTTGCGGATTTTAGTTTTTCTATTTTCGTTTCTCTGCGTGAACATTGTGATCTTGTACCATTTTATGAACGTGCATTCCACGTCCATTTTTTTGCAGCAAAGTATGCTGTCGACCTATCTAAGGCTCCTTTAGAGGAGGCTCTTGACCACGACAAGACTGGTGATAAGTAATCTAGAAGTTTGAAATTTATCTTTTGACCAATCAGTTCCATATCGTAACCAGCAATGGGTGTTAATTTGTAATTTTTGAATGTAAATCAATTTTGATGTTGCCTTCGTGAGAAATTTCATTGAATCATGCATATTTGTTTGAAACGACGAAATGACGAGCATCCCGTTACGAGACGCGCACGACGCGGAGAATTCGGACGGGGGGTTCGACTCCCCCGGCCGGATGATGTGGGGCGACCGCCACCTGGGGCTCACCCCCTACAGCTTGCTAAAGTCCCTGGGCGTGTCCGTGCCGCTCCTTCCGGGCCGGACCCACGACGAGGGCCGGTATCCTGAGTAAAAACGTACCCACACCAGAGTCAAGATGGGGAATCGGCTAGACAAATCCACAAGTTTTGGCTGTTTTGCATGACAAATTTGGATTCGTAGTGTAGTGCTGTTTGAGCTAGCTCAGCAGCATCACAGATCTAGCATACCATGCTGATTGGAGCATGGCTAATTGCAAAACACGACTAGAAAATGCTTCTCATGGGGCTCCGCATGAGAAACATTTTCAGCATGCAGATTTGCATTACAACTCTGGTGTGGGTACGTTTTTACTCAGGATAGCCGGTGGGCGTTGATCAGCCGCGGCGAGTATCAAATGTAAAAATGTCTGGGTCTGGAAGAGTCCGAACTTGTGATGCTGCATTTGGATTCCAAAAAAATCTGTATTGCATAAGCAGCAAAGGGAATGCAATTTTGGCTACGCGGAGAGGGCATTTGCCATGCGGAATAGGCATCGCAGAGCCCTCAAAAAGTCTGTGATGCAAGGGCATGCATCACAGACGTCATGGCCCATGCAAAACGTGCATGACAAGTCTCAGAATCTTCCAGACCCAGACATTTTTACAATCCATAGCGAGGGCAAGGAGGAGCGGCGCCGGCTCCGCGACGCCGGGCGGCTGTGGTTGATGGTCCGTTCGCTCGCCGGGCTGATGTTCGGGTTCGGGCTGGTCCTCAGTCGCGTGGCGCACCGGCACATGCACGCGCTGCCCGGGTGGCACCCCGCCGACGACGCGTTTGTGATGGTGCTGTTCTTCCTCTTGTTCGGGCTCGGTATGCTGTTTTTCGCCATCGGCGTGAAACTGTTCCAATCCCTCGCGAACGCGCCGCCCCGGGACTTCAAGCACGAGATTCCGTACACGGCAAACACGAAGAGCAAGCTGATGCGGCGGGACGACCGCAACTGGCGGCGGCACTACGTCTTCGGGATCGTGTATCCTGAGTAAAAACGTACCCACACCAGAGTCAAGTTGGGGATGAATCAGCTAGACAAATCCACAAGCTTTGGCTGTTTTGCATGACAAATTTGGATTCGTAGTGTAGTGCTGCTTGAGCTAGCTCGGCAGCATCACAGATCTAGCCTACCATGCTGATTGGAGCATGACAAATTGCAAAACACGACTGGAAAATGCTTCTCATGGGGCTCCGCATGAGAAACATTTTCAGCATGCAGATTTGCATTACAACTCTGGCGTGGGTACGTTTTTACTCAGGATATCGTGGCGCTCGTGGTCGTGTACTGCGAGGTGGTGGAACTCGTCTTCACCTACCACCCCGTGATGAGTGACAGCCGGGACATGCGGCGCATGCTGAGCCGGCTGGAGGACCGGTTCCAGGAGACCGCCGTGCAGCGGGAGGAGCAACGACTCGACTTCTTTCAGACCATGGAGGAACACCGGAAGTGGTCGAAGGGCAGCGTGGAGTCGTCCCCGCCCCCCGACGATCCCCAGGCCTGGTACTCCGGGCTGGCCGCGTGGTGGAGCCGCGGGGCCGCGCCGCCGGCGTCCGGCCCGGTGCGCCGCCGGGGGTTCTCGACGGTTTTCGACCTGAGCTACTACCTGGGCATGGGCCCGGAACAGCTTCACGATGAGCACGTGAGCAGTCCCGACATGCTTGACCACATGGTCGCCGTCACGCCCGGGGCCGAGCCGCCGGAGTTCTTCGCGAACGCGGCGGGAACAAAGGGCGTGCAATTCCGCAGCCGCGCGAAGCAGCTGTTCTATTCGAAGCGGGAGGAGAAGTACCAGTCCGACCTGAGGTTCTTCCACCAAATGGTGGACTCCTTCACGGCCCGGTACCACGACTACAGCTGCCACAACCCGGACTTCCCGCCCCTGGTGCGGGCGCTGAAGAATCCGAGCAACCAGCTGGATAACGGGCGGAACAAGGACGTGAGCGACGAAATCATTTTTTCCCGCCGCCCGTTGGTGGACCACACGATCACCAAGTGCGGGCAACCGGACACTGCATTAGACGCGTTGGGCGATCGCCACACGGGGGACCACCGCCGGTTCGTGGCCCGGGCCACGCAGCAGCACTTCTTCGAGGAGAAGGTGTTGCGCCGCGACAACGGCGATCACATGTTCGAGCCGTGGCGCTGGTGCGTCAACTTCATGCGCAATGAGCGGCTGGTTGCGCCGCCGTATCTCACAACGGGGCCGATTGCGTCCGCGCGGCTCGACTCTGCGCCGGACGAGGAGGCTGCGCGGCTCCGGGCATCAAAGCTGGCGGCCGAAGAGAACAACAAGAACAATATTGACGACGACCGCGCGTCGGAAGCGAGCTTCACGAGTTCGGGTCCGTCAACAAATCTGAACGTGCGGGACCAAGAAATCGACTGGCTACTAGCCGACGTCGTGGACGAGGGGTCCGCTGAAGTAGACCCCCAGTCTGCCATGGATGCGCCCGGACGCCGCTCCGAGAGACCCGCAGCCTCTGATGCGCAACAAGCGGCGACGCGACCATATGCGCGACAATCCTCGTCCAGCCCTGCACGATCTCCACCATCGGTTTTTCCGAGCAGCCCCCGCCGGCTCACGATGTCGCAGCGCGATCCGACATACGCGATGTACCACACGAACAAAGCGCCGTCACTGAGCAAGCTTCTTCACCCGCGGACGACCTTCGATGCCGACGGCCAGACCTCCCCGCCGCAGATGCGGGACCCGGTGACGCGGGACCTGCTGCTCGTGAACCAGACCGGCCTCGTGCAGGCCGAGGACATGGCGGCGCTGGTGTCGTTCCCCATCATCCGCTATCAAATGTAAAAATGTCTGGGTCTGGAAGAGTCATGCTACTTTTGCATGACACAAGAGGTCTGGCATGGAAGCTCTAGCATCACAGGTTTCGAGAAGCTTCCGCAATGCCGAATCCGCATGACAAGTCCCCTATTTTGCTGACAGAAAGCGGGCAGCTTTTGCTACGTATGCATGAGAGACTTTTCTGTGTTCTGAAATACGCATTACAAGTTGCATTCTTCCAGACCCAGACACTTTTGCAATTGATATCCGCGTGAACCCCCGGAAATTCGCCCTCGCGGAGTTTCAGCAGTGCGCGTGCTACATATTACCGTGAAAAATGCCCCTACCCCCAAAGTTGCAATAATTTGTGATGTGAAGTTTCCAAATGAAAACTTTTTGTCATGCATGAAAGGAATATGAATCTTTGTGATGCAGAGTCTAGGCGTATATAGCGTTGCTTTCATGACAAGCGCCGCTCTTGCTGGGATCTGTTGCAATACAAATTTTCGCTATTCACGATTGGAAAGTTTCTGTTGGAGAGGTTTGCTATACAAATGCTCCCAAGTTCGGGGGTGGGGGCGTTTTTCATTGTGATACTACAGCCACGGAATTTTCAAACCGCTGGCCCTCGGAAGCGGCGGGGTCTCGTTGGTGTACGCCTGCGCGGTAGCGGACGAGACGCTGCACGACTTTTCGCGGGAGCTGGCTAAACGCGCCCAGAAGGCGCGGATCCTGGCCGCGTCAGAACGGGCGGAGGAACCGTTGGAAGACGACCTTGTCGATTTCAACTCGGTATATAGGAAAAATGCTTTTCTGTTTTGTCTTCAAAAGTGCCGTATGAGTAGAAGTTTCTGTACGCTTAACTAAGTAAGTAGCATGACGAGGCACATAATTTTAAATTCCTCGACTCTATTCGCAGGTATACCGAATGAAAGAGGCACACCTGGACCTTATCGACGAGGACGGCAATGACGTGCCGCTGGAGGAGCGTCGGATGATCGAGCGATACAGCGTGTGCTGCATATTTGTGTCCGGGCGCGACCTCTTTCCGCAAATCCTGAACAAGGACGGCTGTGTGCACCGGCTGAGCGAGCAGCGCTACCACAACTCGCCCCAGGGGTACAGCATGACGTTTCACACATTTGTACAGCAGGCACAGGTGCAGTTGGTGTACCCGAACATGCTGGATTGGCCTGGCGGCAGCAAGTTTGCGCAGTACCCAGGCACCGTGAAGGCGTACGACAACAACGCAGTGAAGGTGCTGTGGCACATGGCGTCCGGCTACGAGGCGGAGCGCATCGTGCGGGTCGGCAAGCGCCTGAAGCCGTCGGAGCTGGAAAAGAACGCGCACTACTACATCGCGCGGCAGCAGTGGCAGCTGCTGCACCACCGCGCCGACGGCTACTACTTGGATTTTCGCAAATGCGCACGATTACCGGGGTACTCGTCTTATTTCAGCCCCAGTCCGAGCTTGCTGGACGCATGGTTCGCCGGTCCGGACGAAAACAAACAGTCACTCGGCGGCGGTGCGCCGAAGGCCAGGGAAGCGGGGGCGCCGGCGGATTTTTTTCCCGGTGGCGGACCCCGACCCCCCTCTTCAAGCAGTGCGGCGAAGGAAAGTAGTAGCTCGAGTGATGAACAAGATGACGGCGGACGAGATTCGGATTCCAGCTCGTCTGCGGCAAAACCCTCCGGCGGACAAGGAGCTGCGACAGGAAAGAGTCAGCCTGGACCACGCGGGCGGCGCAAAGGTCGTGAACCCGGTGCGCCGCACACGTATGCGGATGCCCCCGCTGCAGACGGCGCAGAAATCATCGTGGAAGACAGTCTGGACGAGCACGAGCAAGACGGCGGGTTTTTTGGGCACAGCGAGGGCGCCTGGGTGGAAGAGGACGACGACCCGGAGGTGGGGGGCCATGGCGCAGACGGAGCTCCTCCTCCAGACGAGGATGGCTACTCGCCTGATGACGAGAAAGGCCAAGAGCGTGGCAGTTTCGAAAGTAGGCAAAGCGACGACCAGCCACCGTCGTTGACGAAGGAGGACCTGGAGGCGGTGCTTTTGCGCGAGCGTCTCGAGCAGGAGGGTTTCGAGAAGGATCCGAGCCAGCGGGTGAGCTCCGGCTCCAGCAACGGCCGGGAAAGCTGGCGCTCGTCGTTCGGACCCCGGGACCGCCCGCGGGCATCAAACCAGGGCGCGCGAGACGACGAGTCCAGCATCTCGATTGACGACGAAGAGCCAGAGTACCCAATGCTGGACGATGCTGCTTCGGGTGGAGACGACGCGGCGGGCCCGCACGGACGACGAGGACTCGTTGCCGCAAATTCCGATCATTCTGAGCACCTTTCAGGTGGTTTGTCCTACCACTTTCCATCATCGCAAACCGAGGGCGGGTCCTACGGCTTCCAACGGTCCCCCCCGAGATCGGGTGGCAGACCCGCGGAGCACCACGGAGAATTGTACTCAGGCCGCGCACGACCACCCCCAGGACGAGTAGAGCAGTACAAACAAGAGGCTTCGAGGACGTTCGAGGATAGAGAACGGAGCCGCATGACGTGGAGGGGACCCCGCCCGGTGCGCGGTAAAGAGATGGATGAGGTTGCCCGGTGGGAGGAGAAGCCCCGGGTTTTGAAATACCTCTTCACCGACTCCGAGGCGGAATTCGCCACCGCGCTGTCCCGCGCGGGGATGGGCCCAAAGGACAGTTTTATCCCCCAACTCCTCGTGCAGAGCAAGGCCGTGCGCACCTGCTACGAGGACACCGCGGAGTCCGAGGAGCGGTTTTTGGCGGAGTTCAAGCTGTTCGTGCTGGTGTGCCCGCTGTTCGAGGCCTACTCGAAGAAGCGGCGTCAGCGCGCCGCGGCGGCCGCGCGGGTGCAGACGCTGGAGAAGAAGAACCCGTACATGACCGACGGCGAGCGTTTCGACGTGGAACAGGGCGACGAGGGCCCCGCGCTCCGCGCGCGGCTGGAGTCCGAGGACAACGTGAGTGGCGCCGCGCAGCTCTCCTTCAAGAACCTGGACGCCTTCATCACGGCCGAGGATGGCGGTTCTGGCTCGGATGTTGAAATGGACGTCCGCAAAAACCACGGGGGGTCGACGAGCAAAGGAAATTTGCACGTGGTGACCCAGGACGGCCGGGATCGCCGCGAAAAGCAAACGGAGCAGGAGGCGTTCGTGGACTTCATGCTGCACGGCCCGGACCACGCCATCAGTCGCAACGCGGCGCAGCACCCGCGCGTTGCCGCCTGGCTGGCCGAGGAGTTCCGGCAAAACTACGGCGGTGCAGGAGCCGGAGATGAAGGTGGTGGAGACGGTGCTGGCGGTGACGAGAAAGACCTGTTTGAAGATGAGGAAGACGTTGACATGGAAGATGAGGACCCTTTGGACTTTTCCGGGTTGGAGGCCGTAGACCTGGAAGACCTCGATTCGGACGAAGATGAGGAGGAAACAAGCCACTTCGCGCAAGAAGCAGCCGAACCCCCGCCGCCACCTCCCCCCGTGTTTGACCCGTACCTCCCGCCCTCGGACTCCGAAGCGGAGCACGTGTACTCGGATGGGAATTTAGATCCGCGCGTGACCCCAACTCCTGTGCGCTCGGCCTTCCCGGACCGCATATCGACGTACACGTCGCCGCAGGACACGCGCCAGGAATGGGCGAAGAAGTTAGTCGGACACCCGCGGGGGCGGCGGTTGCAAAAGCAGTTTCTCCGGAGCGACGTGGAGGAGTCGGTCATGATGCCGGTGGCGGACTACCGCCGGCACCAGTGGATGTGTGACAAGATGACCAAGTTCGGGCAGGGCGTGGACCCCATCATTTGCCGCGAGGCGTTCCAGTGTCTCCTTCCCTACAGCTTCCTGCTCTACTGTCCCCGCGACTACGGCAACAACGGGCAGCCGAGCTGGCGGCACTACGTGCGCCAGGAGGAGGGGCCCAAGACGAACTTCGCGCTGGCCACGGCCGACACGGCGGAAACGCTCGCGTACAACATCCAACTGAAGGGATTAGACTATGCCCACTGCGAGTCCGCGATTGACAAGTGGGAGGACCAGACCAGCGGCTACGTGTCGCCCCGCGAAAAGGCCGTGTGGTTGGAGAACCGGGTGTGGAGCTGGGGGCTGCTGTACCGGGGCGTGGGGTTCACGGAGTACCAGCACCAGAGCGGGGCGGCGCGCCGCGAGGCGAAGCGGGGCATGGCGGACCCGCGGAAGGCGGGGACCATCGTGCGCAACCCGTCGGGGGGCCCGCAGAACGACGACCTGAACCGGGACCGGCTGGAGAGATCCCGGAATATTCGCCGCTGGAAGAACGGCATACCTTTACCGCGGACGCAGCACGACAACCCGCTGTACCAGGCGCTGGGCGAGCAGTTCGAGCGCGACCGGCTGCTGACCAGCAGCTCGTACTTCGAACCGCACCTGGTGAATTGGGACGTCGCGCAGCCGTGGTCGGACCCCTTCCCGGGGACGGTGGGGGTCTACATGGACCGGTTTCTGGCGCGCGAAGACCTGTACCTGTTCTGTCAGACCTGGAGCAGCTTTCTTTCTTCGCTGCAGTACCGCTTGCTGAAGCTGAAGTCCAAGTTCACGTACTTCAGATTCGCGTGCGTGCTCGTTTTCTTGGTCTGGTGTGCGCTGGTGCGGTACACCGAAAAGCGCCAGACCTACGACCTTTCCCGGGCGAAGCTGGAGTACAAGTCTCTGCTGAAATTGGGGGCGCTCCACAAGGACGACCGGAAAATGTTGGTGCGCGGGGGGTCGGACGAGTTCGCGAGACTCACGGGAATGCTCTACCGGCGGCCGAAATTGTTTTACGGCGACTGCAGGGCTTTGTTCACGAAGGGCTGTGAGAATATTTTCAGTCCCGCGTCTCGTACGAAGAAGCGCCGTCGGAGGTGGAATGATCCCAGGAGAAGGCACAGGAGGAGATCTTCCTCGCGTGAGCACGACGCGAGTCGACGACGGCACCGCAGTGATCGAAACTGCAAGCGCAAACGGCACAAGCGAAAGAAGAATCGACTGAGGAGGCAGCATCATCGCATGCTCGGGAAGGAGCTTCGTGTCAACCATCGAGCGCAGCCGCGGGCGGTTCTTCTATCCCCCTGCGCAAAGCAGAGTAAAGTTTCTGATGCGGAATGCCTCCGGGTTATTGTCCCGAGCGGCCGAACGAGGAGCTCTCACCGGCGAGCGGATCAGGGGCAGCGGGAGCGGAAGGCGGTTCAGGCTCAGCAGGTCATGCATGAAAATGCGGATGAGATTCTGTCCAGCAGCAGTAGAGACGAGGAGGAAGCAGAAGTAGGTCCATCAGAACAAGAAAGGGTTCTTGCTGGGTCTGATTCGGAGGCGGCGGAGTTTTTGGCACAAGATGAACTCGGGGACGAGGACCATTCCGTTGTTAGCCCAGTAAATGATTCATCGTCCTCCAGCAGGAATCATCCGCAGGAGGGCCCGCCGGGAGGGGTTCCCACTACGCCCTCGCCATACCGAAACTGGAATAACTTTGGAACCGCGTTTGGAGATGGCTATCGTTCGCCGTTCGCACAAGCTCCTGCAGAATCCAGCAACCAGACGAGCAATCCATCTGATGGCAGCAGAATGGTCTCTCACCACCGCGGAACTACTTATACGCCGGAACAAAGTTCTTGAGTCGATCTTTGATTTTTCATTTGCCACATTTCTGAAGAAGAGGCCATGAAAATAAAATCATACGTGAATCGCAACGTTGAAGATTTCCCCACATAGTAAGTGGCCATCATGTTTTTATTTTCTGTATGCACAGCACTTGTACACGTGATTTTAAGTTTGCAACTCAAGATCGTTTTTCGGCGCCATATCTTACACCTCGCAGTAATCAGCTACTGGACCAGCGCGGGAGACCGCCGGGTCACCGGCTTGCGACGAGTTTTCGGGGAAGCGGTATTGTGATTCGACCGCTTCACTCTGGAGAAAACGGCACCGGTAGTTCTCCGCGGACTCCGCCCTCCGACCTGCGCAAGAACTCCTCGACGCCGAGTCCCGGTTCGAGGTCGCAGCGAGGGTTTCCTGTGCTACCGCCACCCCTGCCGGAAGTAGATTGCCTGCAGCCACACGGCGCGCCACCGCGGGGCCGGTCGTTGTCACCCGTGCGAGGCATTCATCACCCAACAGCCGACGTAAAATCTAGCGAGGAGATTCACATTGCTTCCCCGTCCTCACGCGCAGAGGCGCAAAAATCGCCAGTTGTGGCGCAGGAATCTGCCGAACGCGAACCAAGGTCTGTGTCTAGGTCGGAGCCCCTCTCCAAAGAGGTCTTGTCTTCCTAGAATGTTGCCGTGCCCTGTTCTTTCCCCTCCTGGTTTCTGACGATATGAGCGTCAACACCTCGAAGTACCACATGCGGCTACGCGGATTGATCTTGATCCGAGTCCGAAATTCACCTGTGCTAGCGAAAATGTGAGAATCTGTCATTCTCGAAAGACAATGCCATTAGCTCACATGTTCGCGGGCATTCACATCAGAAGAGCACATCATCTGATTTTCCATCGGTCCACCGTGTGGACGAGCGGCGGGCTATTCCATGAAGAAAGCTGATGAAAAATATTAATATGGACGTAGTCAGAAGATTTTGATGAGTATTGCGCTCTGCTGGATCGAACTGAAAGTGGTAGAGTCTACTTTTGACCGCCAGCGCAAAAATCATTGAGACCGAAAATCACTGCACTTTTTCCACACCGGAAATCTTGGCCATTGGTCGACTGTTGCAACAATACTGCTGCAGAAGTGACAAAAGCTATTTCGGTCGTCGATACGCTGTCTAAGGCCAAGCTGTGGAAGCAGAATGTGTTAAAATGTGCAAACAGAGGAAAGGTCGAAGTGACTGAATTTATTGTGCATGGTGAAGATAAGAATAAGAAAGGAGAAGTACGTGAAGAATTCGTAGAATCGTCTATCTAATCCTCGTGGACGTGAGGTGCGAGGTTCGTTCGTATTCATTTGCGCAGCAGACGAACGAAAGGTTCGGTGCTCGTCGTACAAGAAAGTTCTGTCTGAATTCGTTTGTGAGCACATCATCGTTCGTGGTGTGCAAATTCAAATCGTACGTTTTGATCGTTATCGTCTGGTTCGACCTCTTCATCTCATTTGTCGTTATTTGCCTTCGCGCGAAACTTCTTAACCCTGAAACTTCACAGACCCAGTTTTTTCTTGAAAGTGGTTTTTCTTTGCTATTTATTCTAAAAAGTTCACAAGTTTGTCCCCTGGCCTTAGGCCTCTAGAGACGAGTAGTTTTCTGTTTCACTACTTTCATCCACGACAATATCAGACGTCACTCCCCCTAGAACTTCCAACATCTTCGTTTTCACAAGCGCTTCCGAAAAATCATGGGCAACTGCTTTTCAATTGTTTCGCAGGACCAGATCCTGGCCGTGGAGAATTGCGGTAAGTTCACGGGCACCAAGATGGCGGGGTGCCAATTTTTGGGCTGCGACATCGGGGGCTGCTGCATCAACACGCGCACGCTCTCTATGCGCATCAAGGAGAACAAGTTCCGCTGCGAAACCAAGACCGCGGACAACGTGTTTGTGACCGTGCAAGTCGCGGTGCAGGTGCAGATCATGCAGTCGCGCGCCGAGGACGCGTTCTACAAGTTGTCGGCGCCCGAGGGGCAGATCGAGAGCTACGTGACCAACGTGATCCGGTCCCAGGTGCCGCTTTTGGAGTTGGACTCGGTCTTCGAGAAGAAGGACTCCATCGCGGAGGCGGTCAAGAAGGACTTAACGGAGCAGATGAACGCCTTCGGGTACAGCATTTTGAACGTCCTGGTGGTGGACGTGGATCCGGAGAGCAGCGTGAAGGACGCAATGAACAAGATCAACGCGGCCAAGCGGCTCCGGGTCGCGGCCACGGACGAGGCGGAGGCGCAAAAGGTCCGCATGGTGAAGGCCGCCGAGGCGGAGGCGGACTCCCAGGAGTTGCAGGGGCAGGGCATCGCGCGCCAGCGGTCCGCCATCGTGGAGGGGCTGCGGGCGTCCATCGGCAGTGGGAAGGACGCAGACCGCGTGGCCGAGATGCTGCTCATTACGCAGTACTTTGAAACCATGCAGAAGGTCGCCAACGGCCGGAGCACCACGGTCTTTGTGCCCTCGGGCGTCGAGGGCGTCACCAACACCGCGGCCGCCATCCGCCAGGGCGTCTTGGAGAGTAACTACGGAACACTCACAGCGCCTTTGCCAAGAGGGATGGAACCGTGAGAAGAAGTTTGAGTAGTTTACTTCTTGCGTCCAACAATAACATCGAAGAGCGCGTCAAAATTCCAGAGCACTTCTTGTCCCCCACCATGCTAGAAAGATGATGCGGATGGTTGTTGCAAGCCTGTTGGATGCACAACGTTGCGTGCTTCGCATGTAGTTATCACAGAATGTCAATGTCTTGTGTTGGCTTGTGAGTATGTGGAAATCACATCCGGTCCGTAGAAGTAGAGATGCTTTTGAAATACAACCCCGCACTCCATCAAATTTGCAGATCGACGACATTTTCTTCCAAATTAATCCAAGAAAACATTAACGTATAGAAACATAGGTTTTTCCCATATCATCTCTCTAGTTAGTTTTAGTTTGAGTTTGACATCTACCATACATAGTTTTCAGAAAATTTAGAGCCCCAAACGCCCGATATCTTGACGCATAAGTACATACATGGACAACTGCTTTGACAAAATTCCAAAAAGACCGACATGTCCGTAACGTGGTACTGCCTGGCAGGCGTTGCTGTCTTGACGTGGTAAACTGTTTCTCAACACGACAGTGTGGAAAGTTTATGACATTCTGAAGATTATCTTTCTGGAGTTGTGAGTTGAGAAAGACAAGTGCAGTGTTGTAGACAGCTACAGCAGGTGGAAACATTGAGGAGCATCAGAGTGAGACAGATAAATATGATCTTCAGGTCATTTTTCTCTAAGGATCTACACTGAAGATGTGGCAAGTTCTTCTTAACAGATCCAGCTGTTGTGATAAAGCATCGAAAAATTATTCATGAGCAAGGTAGATGTTTGTGTGAAGTAGAAATAAAACTGATTTTCTTCGAGACACCGCTTGCAGTTGCGCCTGTATTTCCTTCTTGCTTTCGCTTCTGCTTTTCTTTGTGGATTTGCAAGAAAAGAGCGGGAAGTCAGGAAAAAAAGAAAAATATGCCATTCTGAGCATTTGTCGAGACTGCTTGAAAGAACGGAAAGAACTTCCGACTCGTCTGCAGATTTGTTTCGATTTTGCGAAACGCGTGCCCCTGACAATGCAGCAAGCTGACCGGAAAACCTCTGGCACGATGGTGTACTCTACGCCGCCCATTCGCACCCGCCCGTTGAACCCGCCGGCCTTGGAGTACAAGAGCCGGCAAGGTAATTATGCTAGTTGTACTTCTGTGCAATGCAAGTTTGCTGGTGACAATGCAGTGATCGCTGGCAGCGGCACTGGGGGAGGTGCGGCGCGCTACGACCGCTCCGAGGAACCCACGGGCCGCGTAACGGGCAGTCGCGACATTTCACCGGAGCTTGAGTTAAGCCACTTGGAAGTAGGACGCTGAAAATTTGGTGAGGCAGGCGATGGAAAAATTGCATGAGTGGAATTCATTGAAACTCGACTTGCAAAAGATACGTTGAGATTGCGGAGAGAGGTTTGTAGCGAATCAATATGTGTGCGATGTATGAGACCTGAAGATTGAGCTCGCGCGCCTCAGGATTTCATATGGATTGCGGGATGAAAATATCGGAGCGGCGGCGCGGAACCGATCCAGCTAAAGATGGGAACTTTTTTCGCAACGTATTGCAGCACAGCTTTACATTACTACAGACCCGAGAACTACACCTTACTTCTTTGATGACCAGCCGGCTAATGTAAAAGGGCTAGTTAAGGCAACAGGAATTACTTTTTCCGACATCGACAACAATGAAGTTTTCTTGGTGGAAATAAGATAAACTAAAAAATGACGAATGTAGACATGGACAGTCGAGTTGTAGTTACTTACAAGAAAGAGACCCGGACAAGATGGAGATGATTGCTTTTTGATAACCTGTTGAACTACTGAACTATGATTTCTTCCTGTATCGACATATTGCTGGCGTTGGGACGATCTAGAGCCTCTTGAAGGAAGAGAACCTGCAGGAGTAGGTTTTGTGATTTTCCGAGGATTCAGGAGGAACAGCAGTGCCGCGCACCGACAAACCACAGTGACTGCTGTTCTGGCCACGCAGCTGGACGAATTTTCGATCCACTGACTGGAATCTTTTTTCCTTCTACGATAGGCTTTAGCAGCAAGCACAAGCAGCTACACAATGGAAGGTCTTTGATTCATCTCGTCAGGATCCTGAGCGTGAAAAAAGTTGCTCGGAGTTTTTCTTGCGTCGTCCCCCCTTCTTGTAAGGGCTTCAGTAGACACAATCGCTAGGTAAATGCGTTTTCGGCACCGTTGTTTGTACAGCAGGACTGCTGGCACCACGAAACACTAAAGTGAGTACAAGTGAATTAGAATTCAATTTCAAACCGCAGACGGACGCCCGATCCGTCGCGGAAATTTGTGGGGAAAAAATTCTCCAGCTGTGACAGACCAGAAGCGCAAGAGCCGTCGCAGCAGCGAGAATGGTGGCGGGTCACTCTAAGAAGATGCGGATCCGGTTCGGACTCGCGATCACGAAGCGGCCGGACCCGCACTGGCGGCCGAACGAGGGTTTGTTGAAGGAACCGCAGCAGATCCCCGTGCAAATCAAGGGCTGGCCGCAGTTTCACGCGGAGTGGGATTTGCACCAGAAGGGGGCGACCAACCGACTGGCGTTTGAATCCAAGGTGGACGTCCCGAAGCGGCAGCCGGACGAGTACTGGACTTTTGAAAATTGCCACGAGATGATGGGAAAATTCCGTTTTCTGATGCAGGTGGAGCTCAGCAGCAGACTGCTCGCCCGGAACTTCGGCGTGGGGGTGACGCCGGTCGACTTGTTGGAAAAGGAGATTTTTCAGGCCGCGCAGAACCTCAACCTCGTCGGGTGGTTCAAGGCGCGAAAGAACTTTGCGCAGGGGCATTTGCAGGGCGACGTTTTCGGGCTGGCGCAAATGAAGAGGTGGTTTCTGGAGCACCACTTGGATAAAAACGTGGGAACCGTGCGGTCCGCGGAGATAACAGACGAAAATTTTGCCATCCCAGAACCGCTGGAATACAAGCACTTGATCTCCGTCAAGGACTGGCGAACGGTCACGAAAAAGGTGCAGCACCGGGACGCCGACTTGGAAACGAAGCGCCTGCGCACGCTCGAGACGCAGTCGCGAGTGAAGTGGCAAGAAAGAAGAGAGAAGGCGTTCGAGTCCGAACGCTTGCTGTTTGGCTCTTGAGAAGGTTGTGATGCCAAGTAGCCTCACCGAGGTAGATGAGAAAGAAACTCGTTTTGAAATTATAAGTTTTTTTCGTGCAGCTTCTGAAAACGCAAGGCAAGTATAGTTTTTTTTGCTGCGTAGAGTTTGTTTGACTGGTTAAGAAAATCTTGTTCGGTTTTTTCGTGTCGTTTTCAGAGAGATTTTCGAGTGCTGTCGCATCCGAGAGCAAATGATTTCTTCTCTGTTTTTTGCAAAGCGTTGCTGAGAGAAATGTTGTTGTCGTGGTTGTGTAGGAAAAGTAGAGAAGCAAGCAAATAAGTGCAAACTGGTGACTAGGACTTTCTCCAACATCAAACAGGCAAAAAGTGCTCACTAGTTGTGCTTTTAGCAAAACCCTTGAACAAGAAAGAAAGAGATTTCCTACTTGGCAGCAGCTCGCTGTACCTCTCTGAAAACAATCTTCGGAACGAAACTTCAAATAGGAGGTGCAGGAGAAGGTTAACTGCCTGCTTGGTTGTACTCGCGAGAAATTTGATATTTTCTTATCACGACTTCACGTCCCTTGGGAGAAGGAGCTTATTTTTCCACCTCTCTCCCTCCACAGCAATAAAAAACTCGAAAATGTCGCGACCCCCGGCAAAGCTGGGTGGGTCCGCTCCGCCGCCGGGTATGGGGTTTCCCGACCCGCACACGACCAAAAACAACCGTCCGGCGCCGAAGATCGAGGAAGCGCTCGCGAAATCCACTGGCGCGGCGAATGGTTTTGATGCGCAGTTGGATCTTGCCATGCGTCAGAACACCCCGGACTCGCTTTCCTTCGCATGGCGTTTGGTGCACTGGATGCTGTCCCGCAATCTGCCCCCGACCGGCCTGATTTTGAGTTTGCTTCTGAAGAAGACCGCGGGCTGTAACTGGGTGGAGCTTTTGTACGACGCCACGACTTTGCTGCGGACCAAATACCTTCCCCTCCGCCCGGCGGACCTGGATGAGGTGGTTTTGAATGCCATCTTGGACGCCTACTCGCGGCTGAGCCAGCGCATGACCAGTCCCGGCGACGGGGAGACGGCGCTGGGCCACATGGAGTTGCTTTTCCAGGACATGAAGGAAGGGAAATTCGGCGTTTTGCCCGGAGTAGTGTCCTACGGAATCGTGATCAAGGCCTTGGGCGCGACCAAGCAGCTGGAGCGGGTGCTGGCTTTGTGGGACGAGCTCCGCTCCGAGCGCCAGTTGCAGCCCAGCGTGGTAAAAAACAGAATTTTCATTGCAGCTTTATTTGCTTGAGGAAGAAGGTGATTCATTCTCCCAGTCTCCTCGTGTGTCACATTCTATTAGAACGCGTGCAGGAAAAGAAAAATGGCACTGTCTAAATCTGCACCAGTCCGAACAAAATGAAATCTCCCCACCCCATTAGGTGACCTACGGTTGTGTTTTGGATGCGTTAGCGAAAGCTGCGACGCCGCAGTCGATGCGGATTGCCGAGCAGATTTTTGACGAGATGAGCGTTGCGCAAAAGAACACGGAGAGTATGTCGAAGAACTGCGTGCTGTACTCCACGATGATCAAGGGCTTTGCGCGGCTCTCGGACTTGGAAAAGTGCAAGCAACTGTACGAGAAAATGGTGAAGCGCGACCACATTACGCCGAACGTGGTGTGCATGAACCTGTTGCTCCAGGTCGCTGTCGCGCACCGGAACTTGCAGTTGGCTGAGCACTACTTCTCCGCGATGCGCAACTTCGGTTTCTACCCGGATTTTTCCTCCTACCTCACGTTGCTCCGCGGCTACTTGTTTTGCGGTTCCGCATCTGGAGGTTCCACATCGTTCATCGCAGGAGCTGCAACCTCCAACGACGTCCTCCCGTCGAGCGACCGCGAGGTGGTCCGGGCGTTGGAGCTTTTGAAGGACGGCCTGCAGTTCGCGAAGCTGTCCGTCGAGGCGGGGGTGCTGCTGAAGTTGATCAAACTGCTCCTGGACTGCAAACGGACGGATGAGGTGCGGGACGTTTTGAAGCTGTGGGCGCAGGGAAACGTCTGCAAGGTGTCCGTCCCGCCCGCGGCGGGAAAGTTGATTTTCACCCACGTCTTGACGAATGCCGCGCCCCTCGTTGCGTGCACCGTCCGCTCGACTTTGAAGTCGCTGCAGATCCTGTCCGAGGTTCAGCTCGCGGACGTGGAGCGCAGTTTTTACAAAACCCCCGACCCGGAAATGTGGACGGCGTTGCTGGCGGAGCACGGCGCGGCGGAGTTGCAGGTTTACGACTTGGTGTCGCCGATGACGTGCACCTCCGCAGCGGCGTTTAGTTGCACAGCCACCCCTATGAGTTGCCTGACGCAGACGTCTGCCGCTGGCAAGGGCGGCGGGGGGCGCAAGAAGGGCGGCAAGCGCGAGTTCTTCCCCAACGCCGGGGCGCCGTTACGGTTCGGAAGTGTGATCGGTCGCGAGCCGCCTTCGGTGGCGCCACCGTTTGATGGTGATGTGACTTCCAAATCCTGCTCCGAGGTCTCGGCGTACTACGCCTCTTCAAAAGGCGGTAAGCGGGGTAAGTCGTCGAAGGGGAAGAAGGGAAAAAGCTGTCTGCCGGTCCTGTCGAAGGAAGAAGCAATTCGCTTGATGACGGTTTTCCCCGGTGGAACAAGTTCAGGTCAACATCGGTTGGGCGCTGGTCCTTCTGCTGCGGAGGGATGCTCAGAAGTAGACGGTTTCCATTTCTCGGACTCCGCCTGCTCCACGTCCCGGACGGCGAGCGCCGGCAACTTTTGCCTGTCCCACACGGTGTCCCTGACAGACGAGTTGCGCGACGCGACTGCTGGAGAATCGATGGTCCCCCCGAAGATTGCCTTGCCCCCGCCCGAGCTGCCGCCGGTGATGGGCCATCTTCAGGCAAAAACAACGATTAAGAATACCCACTGCAACATCAGGGTCGACAAGGGAAACAACGGATTTGTCGACACGTCGGCGAAAAATGACAACACCGCAGACATTTGTGTCGCTGGGGACAGTGGGTTCCACGCCGACGGCGGAAATAATTCCTACCGTGGTCGAAGCCGCAGCAACTCGATGGAGGGAGACCTGTTTTTCAGCACGTCGCTTGTCGGGGAAAACGAGTCGTTTCACGAGGCCGAGGACGAGGAGATTCCGTTCGCCGAGTGCGAGACCGAAGAGCTCCAGGGGTTGTACCAGGTGCCCTACGGTGGGGATTTGCTCGACGAGCTGTACTCTCCGACGGAAGTTGTCACTTCGGCGACGAACAAGGGCGCGGCGACGTTCTTGCCGGCGACCTCGAATGACGGTAGTGCGAACGAAGATCTTGGCAATATTGCCGAAGAAGCCGGTGCGGGTTGCGGCACCACCACGGTTCGGAGGATACGGGAAGATGAAGAACATGATGTCTCCGCGGGTCGCCCCACGGCCAGTTTCTCCGTGGCAACCGGGCTCTTGCCGTCCCCGTTAGATCCGCCTTCGGATTACCGTGGCTTTTACAATGGTGGCCTCAAGAACGAAAACAGAGGCGTCCCCCGTCCGCGGCCGACCCCGCTCGCGTTGGAATTTTCCGAGGAGAAGGTGCCGAAAACCGCTGAAAAAGAGCACAATAAATCTGCGGCCGAGGAGACTGAAACGCCGGAGAAATTTTGGCAGCAGGTCCGCGCAGAACAGCTGCAGCTGGAGAAGCAGAATGCCGGCGATTCGGGTTCGACGGTTCTTCAGCAGAAAGAGAACAAGACCTTGGCCGGCAACAACGAGTCCAAGTCGACTGTCGCTGTCGCCGAGGAAACTGTGCCAGGCACGCCACCGCCGAGTAACAGCTCGGAGCGGAGGAGGAGCCAGGACAGTTTGAATGCCAATGCGGTTCCGTTCGTGCCCCAGCACTCGCCATTGCGAGTTCCGGTGCCCAAGCGCCCGACGAAGGTACTTAAGTACCTAGTTGTCCTCTTCACATGATGTGATCTTCTTGATGTGATTTGTCGAGAGACTGATAAAGTTCTTGGTCGCTGCGATTGGTGGAATTGCAACCACGTCGATAGTACTTTTTGGTTGTAGTGCAGCATGGTTTTACGACAACAACATTTCCATTTGTCTTGACACTAACACAGGTTTCTCCGCCCCCGCCGCCGCCACCACCGCCGCCGGCTTCGGTGGCGCAGCAGCAGGCAGCGGCGGTCGCGGCGTTGCTCACGTCCCCGCAATTGCTGGCGCAGGCGGCGCAGCACCACGCTCACATGACGGCATCGGCGCAGAAGCGCAGTTCGGTTCCGCCACCACCGCCGCCCCCGCTGCTGCACTTGTTGCGCGGAGCAGGGCCGCCGGCAGGAGTTCCCTTCGGATCGCCGTTGGCGCCACCGGCGCTCGGACCGCACCCAGCCGTCCTGGGCCGTTCCCCCGGAGCGGTGTTGGGGCCGCACCCGCTGGCTGTCGCGATGGGGGCGACGCCACCGCCGCCGATGCCGCCGCATTTGTACGGCCCGCCGATCGCCTCTCCGTTGCTGTTGCACCCGCAGCACCACCACCATCCGGGATTAGCGGTTCCGCGACCGCCGTTGCCGGTGCGGCGCCCGTCGTTGTCGCCGTCCCCTCCGCACAACACAGTGATCTACCAGCCGGACGTTATGCGGGGGCACCACACGACCAACAATGCTGCTGCAAATCAGTTCGGTATACATCCTCCTGTCGGGCCGCCGGCGGCCGCGATGTTTGAACCGGAGCAGCTCCACGACCGGCCCTGCAGTCGCTCGAGCGTGTTGGGAACTACAACTTCAGTCGTTCCGCCGCCTCCGCCGTCTGGGGTAGCTCCGGTGTACAACAACTACGGAGAAAATATTATTAACTTGAGCCGGCACGACCCTGCCGCGGCGCACAATTTTATTGCGGATCGGCGGAGGTCCTCGCCGGATCAGCTGAGCAGTAACGGTTCGGGCGGTAATGTCAACAATGACAGCGACGTGCAGTGGGACTGCGACGAGCAGGTGAGCGGGGAAGAGCCGCATTTTTTCCGCGACGCGAAGCACTTCTTCCAGGAGTCCAGCGAAGCGCTGGCGAGAAGTCCGCAACGACCACCCCCGCAGAAGGATTGTATCAACGAGTTGTCCGAGGTGATCATGGCCACTTGGAGAAAGCGGAACCGCAAATTTTTGAAGAAGCACGGGCACGAGCCGGAATTCCGGTCCCTCCCCAGTGCGAACACGACGAAAACGCACGCGGAACTGGTTTCTTCCCTCCAGTCCTTCCCCTTGTTCGCCCCGGACGCGGACACGACGCCGTTCTCGCCGACAGACGGAACTGCAGGCGGAACAAAGAAGGAGGTTTCGGAGGAGGTGCTGAAGCGCGCAGCGGACTTCGACGCGATCGAGCAGGAAACAGAATCTTGGTTTGAACAGCACTACTGCGCCGCGTGGACGCCGCGGTTCCTGCAGCGGCAGCAAACGCGGGCCGAATTCGTGGACAAGGATGGCTGGGTGCGCGCGGACTGCTGCTTATCAAATGCAAAAATGTCTGGGTCTGGAAGATTCCCAGGCTTGTCGTGCAGATTTTCCATGATCCATGTCGTCTGGAATGCAGGACCTAGCATGACAGATTCTGCGCGATCCGTATCATGCCCATCCTGCATGAGAAACTTCCTCTCAACTTGGTCAAACGTGGACAGCTTTTGGCATTCATGCAACACAGATTTTTGCACGATCCAGAATTAGCATTACAAGTTGTAACCTGCCAGACCCAGACATTTTTGCAGTGCATACTGCTGTTCGACGAACGAAGGGTCCCCGGAGTCGGGAGAAGACAAGACCGGCTCGGAAGGAAAATTTGGAAGTGAGGAAAGAACAACTTCTTGTTCCGTAGTAGAGGTGGACATCCAAATCGAGGTGGAAAATAACGTGAAAGAACCGGTGGAAAGTAGTTCTATCGTAGCTGAGAAAAATTCTTCTATCGAGAAGCAGGAAGCAGGGAAGAAGGAACCGGAAATGACGTTTGCGAAAATCGTGAAGAAGAAAAAGCCCGCGGCTATTTCCACTAACGCGAAGATGAACTTTCCGCCGTTGGGGGTCTCGGTCACGAAAACCGGTGGTGATCGTTTGTTTCTGCCGGAGCCAGAACAGCCCGGGATTACCGCTTCGGTGTCCTTGACGGACGCAAAAGAACTACCTGTGCCGCAGCGACCGAAGAATAGTCCCAGTTCGACGAAGAGTCAACCGACCAAATTGTCCTGGGCGGACAAGATGAAGTTGTCCAACTTGCCTTCCCCCAATCGCAAGCGCGCAAACAGCGGGCGTCCGAAGGCGGCCGGGATCAAACCGCCGGCGTTGGCGTGAGCAAGAAAGTGATCGTTGGAGCAGGAGAAAGTAAAAGTATAATTTTGAAAAATCAAACGCTTTTCTTCTCGAGTTCTTACGAGCAGGCATACAATTAACATCTGTTTGCACGGCGCGGTATCTTTCATGGTTTAAGTGAACTTTTTTTATTTTGGTTTTGAATTTTTTGGTGCATGGCCATTCTTGTCTCTATGCTTTTTGAAAATGAAATTCGAATTTTAGAACTTTTAGTCTAGCAGTATTTTGTGGTTTCCGGACCAGTTTTGGACACTGTCGTTTCTACCTCAGAAATCAGTTTAGGGCAATCTTCAATGTCAATATTGGCCGCATTCCGGCCTTCGGTGTACGATGCACTATTTTATCCAGTCGCTTTTGAGCAAGGTGGGACTTTTCAAGAAATTATGTGTTGAATCAATGATAAGATTTTCAGACTATACGACCTTTTTCATTTGAAACACTGCTCTAGCATCTGAACGATATGAAGCGAGCAACTTCAACAACTTTTCGCATCTCTATCTAGTTTCGATTTTTCCTCCTAACACACTATTCCATTGTGTTTCGGTTCCAGTAAACTAAACTACTTTTACGAAGCTTCAATTTTCTTTAGCAAGCCTATCTATTGTCATGAAAAATTGATAGCGAACTTTTTTTGTTTCTTGACTGTGCTTGCTCCCGGGAAAGCTTTTCATCTAGACGACACCTATGTAAGATTTTTCCTTGAGCTTCAGCAAAACCAAAAGCAATGAGATTGATACCCTTAAATGTTCTGTTTCGTGCCACCATTATACCACCTAAAGGCCAAATGGTACTAGTAGGCACTTGGATTGTTTTTGTTTTGCACATCTTTTTCGCTGGTTGCTTTTTTTTTTGTTCAGCGTGCGTAGCGGTATCAATCTATTTTTCCTTGAGTGATTTTTTTCGTGTTTTTTTCTGTGTGCGGTCTGCTGTTTTGTGTGTTCTTCGAGTGTGGAGCTCTGCGAGAGGAAAGAGACGAGTGCCGTTTTTTCCTTTTCGCTTTTCTTTTTTATCGTATTTTGACTATGACGCAGTTTTAAAAAAACAACAATGCAGAGTCATCAATCTCCGCCCCATTTTCGAACTAGATATTTTCCAGAGTTTTTCTTGTCGTTTTTCTTCACGTTCACTCTCGCATGCCTGGCAACTAGTCATTTGTGATTTTACCTAAAGTTTTTTGTAACCATGGCGGCTCTGGATTCGCTGAAGATTCCGGAGGAGAAGAAGAAGTACATAACAGAGCAGCTCAACCCCTTGCTCACCGAACTCGTTACCGACTGCCTGAAGCAATGTCCCGCCGAGCCAGCTGCTTTCATGCTGGAATGGCTCAGAAAGAAGAAGGGAATCCAGCTTGGTAGTAGGGTTTTCTAATTGATGTAGTGAATGTCTTGAGTACAGGAACAACAAAATGAAAATAATGAATTTCAGCTGCAGCGATCCAGCGTGTGAGAGATCAACAGGATACTTCTTGACAACAATAAAAAACTACAGACTCGGGTGACGTAGAGAAACTCACGGAAGAAAACGAGAAGTTGAAGGACGAAATCAAGACCTTATCCAAGACCCTGAACGACTGCTCCGGCGTTTTGGCGACGCTCACAAAAAGTATAAAATTTATTTGTTCACCGAGTTTTCATCTTTTTCTTCTTTTCTTTTGCGCGAAATGTCTTGTCTTGCTGCCCTGCGTAAGCCGCAGCGAAATATTTGTCATGCCATCAAAAAGCTGCTGTGCTAATATCCTGGTTCCCATCTGTACCAGACGACGATGCCAAGGAGGCCGAGGAGGAATCGGAGGAGGAGGACGACGACGACGAGGGTCCGGATGAGCTCCCCGAGTTCGCGCAGAAGGCCGTGAAGAAGGGACCCCGGCAGAGCGTCAGCGCGGAGGCCTACGGGGCCTGGAATAAAAAGAAGGAGTTCACGCCTAAGGTGATTGTGAAGTCACAAGAACAGAAAACCCGGTTGAAGGTATCAACTGCAAAAATGTCTGGGTCTGGAAACTTGTGATGCAAGTCCGTGAACAATAAGTGCTCTGTAGTGCGCTGCCAAGCATGACAAGGTTTCTCGTGTTTCTGTGCTGCGTATTTCGCACGAGAAACTGCGCTTTTGCATGACACGACAGGCAAGAGGACCCCTTGGTGGCCACGCAATACATAGCGCAGACTGATGCTAGACTAGCATGACAAAAAATCTCGCACTCTTCCAGACCCAGACATATTTGCACTTGATAGAAGGACGTGCTCAGCAAATCGTTCCTGTTCGCGGCCTATGAAATGCAAAAATGTCTGGGTCTGGAAGATTGGAACTTGTTATGCTGTCTCTGGATTCTGAAAAAATTTGTATTGCATGACCAGCAAGAGGACTCCAGTTTGTGCGACGCGGAGAGGTCATTTCTCAAGCTGTAGAGGCATCACAAAGCGCTCTAAAAATCTGTGATGCTAGGGCATGCATGACAGACATCATGGGTCATGGAAAATATGCATGACAAATCCAGAAATCTTCCAGACCCAGACATTTTTACATTTGATACGGCCCTGGAAGAAAAGGACTTCGGGGTCGTCATCGACGCCATGGAAGAGCAAATAGTATTTGACTTTGATGTAGTTTCCGTTTCGTCCGCCTTTTGTGATCCTGAGGCCTGCATGCATCATGCCTCATCTTCCAGTTTGCTTTATTTTTTGCAGCAATCTAAAATGTGCTACTCGCCACCGGCGAGTGTGAACAATTGCTTGAGTTATGATACACCTGTTTAGTCACAACTCAGGTACAGATTTACGGTTTTGTAGTACAGCATGCAAGTGAAATATTGAAAACCGTCAGTTTGAAGCGGGTAAGGAGATTATTCGCATGGGCGACGACGGGGATTACCTGTTTGTGATAGAAGAGGGGAAGCTGGAGTGCTACAAGGACATCGAGGGGGTTTCCACGGTAGTGAAGACGTGCGAGGCTGGGGACGTTATCCTATTCAAAAACGTCCCCACCCTATAGTTGTAATGCAAATCTGCATGCTGAAAATGTTTCTCATGCGGAGCCCCATGAGAAGCATTTTCTAATCGTGTTTTGCAATTTGTCATGCTCCAATCAGCATGGTATGCTAGATCTGTGATGCTGTTGAGCTAGCTCAAACGGCACTACACTACGAATCCGAATTTGTCATGCAAAACAGCCAAAGCTTGTGGATTTGTCTAGCCGATTCCCCATCTTGACTATGGTGTGGGGACGTTTTTACTCAGGATAGACGTGTTCGGCGAGTTAGCGCTGTTGTACAACACCACACGGGCGGCCAACGTGCGGTCCACCACCAAGTGCACGCTCTGGCAGCTCGACCGGGAAACCTTCAACGCCATCGTCAAGGACGCGGCCGCCAGCAAGAGGTCGCGATACGAATCTTTCCTCAAGCAGGTCACACTGCTGAAGAACATGACCAGCTACGAGCTCAGTCAGGTAAGTGCGTAACAATAACCGCATCTTTTTCACTGGAAAATAACCCAGTAGAATCACGTCTCCCGCCAATATCAATATGTTTTACTGCGATAGCGAAGGGCGAAGGTGGAACGCGAGGCACTTCTTTTTGTGGCGGATCAGGTTCTGTTCTAGGATTCATGCGCCATCTTTTATACGCTAGAAGCACAAGCAACATGACTGAAGAAGCCGTTGAGAACAACTACCAAATCAGATTGCGGACGCCCTGAAGGCTGAGGTATACGAAAATGGCGAGCACATCGTGACTGAGGGTGAAGCGGGCGACAAATTTTACATCGTGGAATCCGGAAACCCAGTCGCGGTCAAGGGCGGGGAAGTCGTCATGCAGTACTACTTTTTGCGATAATGATAGATCGCAGAGAGAAGAATTTATTGCTGGCGTATTTGCTTTTCGTGAAGCTGTCTGACTGGACTGGCTTGCGGGCTCGTTTTCTACAAGTGTCCAGTGTAGTTGCATGAGGAGCGGCGCATGTGGATGAAAAAAATATTCACAGTTTCTTGTCTGGGAAAGCCAAACAAACTGTATTCTTTACAACCAGGTATCAGCAAGCGGACTACTTCGGAGAGTTGGCATTGTTGATGGAGCAACCACGATTGGCCACCGTGAAGGCAGGCGAGGAGCGCTGCAAAGTTTTGTCCCTGGACCGAAAATCCTTCAAGCGGTTACTCGGTCCCTTGGACGAGATCATGCGCCGGGCGGTCAGCGAGAAGTACTCACCGTCGAAGTAAGTGTGATGTTTGTTTCTCCGTCATATGCCATTGCTTCTTTAAGAACACGAAGATTATCTACGGTTTACGATTTATTGATCAATTTGGCTACTACAGTCAGTCAGCTTGTTTTGCGAAATTCGCCAAAGTTTTAAGATGTGACAAAATGCGCATGCGGATGAGAATTCGCAATCGCAAAATATCCTCAATAAAGCACAATTCTTTTTTATGGGCAGTAGAATAGATTTAGGAGTTTTGGTTTGTAGTTTCACGGTTTCGTATGACAGGAACGAAAGATGGCCGCATGAGTTTTATTAGTGTAAGACATAGTCCGATTCAAGTGCAACATAAGTATACCAGTGAAATGATTTGTTGTAAAAGAAGGCTTCCTTTTTCGGCTTGAAAATCTAATTCGAATGATCGACTCAGCGAAGAGGAAATCTTCGCTTGTGTGAAAGTTCAGAATCAAAATTATCGTCAGGGTCAAACATAACAGGTTTTGTGCAAACATGCTAGGAGTGGGAAGAAATTGTACAGTTGAAATGACCACCAAAGGCACCTCGCCGGGCAGATTTTAGGCAGGAATATCTGTTTCCGGCGATTTTTTTTGTTGGAAATGCACTCATATTTGTGAAGGACGAAATGTGTATGGTTGATCATACAACGCATTGCTGCAGAAAAATGGTTCATCGAGAAGAATTCGGAACCTATTATCATCGGTAGGGAAATATCTTCGTGGAAATCTGAACGAAGCTGATCGCGTGATCAACATCTGTCGATATTTCGGGTCTACGGAAATTTGTCCGGTCAGGAGTGAAAAAAAATATACGGCATAGATCATGTGCCAATAAGGCTTTCGGTCCTCCGTCGGTGGCGCAAAGTATCGGTGGTCACATTCCGAGCTCCGGTGCATGCAAAAAAAATACTTGCGGTCAGTCAGTCTCACCTGACCTGACCTGCGTGTTGTGAGCCCTGAAGAAATGGAAAATTCGCTGCATGCACCTACTCAAACCCAGGGAGCATCCTCTTCTAGTGCTAGCCCATGACTTAGCACGGTCACGAATACTGCGTTTGCAGTACCAAGGCCAAAGTTAACTTTTATCATTTCACCGTAATAAAAGAAGTCAAGAATTGGCTTTTTTTCTTTACTGACGACCTCTGCGACTTGATTTTTACTGATCTTATTGCCCGTCGCGACGGTGACGGAATGAATGCGGAAGTGGAATATAACATAGATTTTTGTTGGTCTTGCATAAGGAAGAAAATACCTTTCAGGACGTCGACGTAGTTGTAATCTAGTCTGTCATGTCGATGAACAACAACAATTCTCATTTAGCTGCGGGACGACAACCGGGAGGTGACCCTGGAGTCGGTCAGCAGCGTCCCTACCATGGCGCGTTTATTCCTACGCAACAGCAACAGCGAAGCCCGGATATCATTCCGATCGACCATGTCATCGCAAACTACATGACCGCGCTGAGTCAAAACGCCTTGCAGGATGTACACGTTCAACCAGCTTTGACAGTTTGGAACGGTGCTGGCCCTCTACCGGGTCATGATCTCAGCAGTGACGACAGACATTTTCAACGCTCCGGACAACAACACCTGGTGCGGGTGGTTTTGCAGGCGCGGCGCGACGAGGACGCCCGCACGATTCTAAACCCGAACAATGTCGTACTGCCTCCGATGGCCGTCGAGCACGGCCTTGCCACCCGGGAGATGGAGGGGCTCAAAGCCGTCCAGGTGCGCTTTCGGAATTTACCGGCGCCCTTATTCTCAATAGAAAAGCAGGCGCTCCTGGAGCAGATAAGGACACACGTCGTGCTACCGAAGTTGCGCAAATTCGGCGCCAACCTTTTTGATGTGCATAGTACTGGACAAGAAGCTTTTGGCGATGGCTCCGTGGTGATTCGCTTCGCGGAAAGTGACACAACCTTCGATCGCGGGTGGTTCGAGTGGACGAGTCTCCAGAACGAAGTGCCATCCGCAGGAGGAAGGGGGAACGACCAGAGTAGGATGCCAGTCACGTCACGAGAGAGTGTCACGTTGTTCGAGTTCGCGTTTGCGGTGGAGAAGGCGAGTAACAAAAAAATCCTGGATCTAAAGTTGGCGCAGCCACACCGAATCGAAGAAGCGACTGCAGGATCATCCACAGCTGCAGCCACAGAAGTCAAGGTTCGTCTTGTCGCACAGCTTGCCATTCTCCAGGACTTGGTTTCTACCACACCAGAGTTTACAGACGCGGTGCTCCACGAGATTTATTCGCTATTGGGACTCTTGTCGGAGAAAGAAAAAAACCAACCTGCGGTCGTAAATGCTGCAACGGCTTTTTTGCCGCTTTTCTCGCACAGCAGCACGCATGGTCATGCCTCGCAGCAACCGCGAGGGGCCCTGTCACGAACACACTCGGTCGTGAGCGGTAGCAGCGCCGACGCAGAGGAGGCGAGAACAAATAGCAAATGGTGCGTGGACGTGACGGCCCTTGCAAAGCGCGGGTGCGAAATTGCGAAGATCACCGACCTGAAGACGGCGCTGCTCTTTCCGGCGACGCCGACACCCAAACACGCACACAAGCTGTCGGTGTGCGGGCGAACCTGCAACCGGAAGTGCCAGGAACAAGCGGCGGCGCTGCGACAGCAGCACAAGGCGGCTCTGGGCGCGATCACGAAGGAAAAGGTCTGCTCCGACCGGGCGCGGATGATGTTCCTCATGTCTCTGGTGCAAAAGGCGCTGGAAGCCGATGGCCGGGTCGCCGAGCATTTGGGCCCGGGCTACGCCAAATTCGAGCGGTACGTCCCGCGGATGCACTGGGAGGTGGTTTTCGACGACGCGGGGACAAATGCTTTGATTTCCGCGCGATACTACCTGCCGCCCTTGCACGGGCGCGTTCTGCTGGAAGATGGAGTGCCGGGGGGCCTCCGTTTGACGCACGAGAGTCTGCTTTCGCTTTCGCTCGCACGGGAGCGGTTGAACCTCCCAACCGGCGGGGAAGCAACGTCCAGCAGCGCGAGCACGGCGTTGGATTCCGACGCGGGAGGAGGTCGGGGGAAAACTACACGGGAGCAGCTGGTGGGCAAAAAGCGGCAGTTTCTCGAGGACGGGAAAGAGGCACTGGAGGGGTATCTCGTCCGCGTAAACAAGGCGCTCGGGGGGTGCTTGTCCGACGAGACCGCGAAATTGGAGATGAAAGCGGCGTTTTCCGTCTTGCCAGAAGCCTTTGCGCAGGCAGGCCTTGACGTGAGTCCGGGAGAGACAATATTAACCTCTTTCTCGACTTATTCCGGCGCAGATTCAAAATTCTCCTCCCCGGATGAAGTAGATGCAACTAGCGGCGCAGTGTCCACCAGCACACCGAACAGCCTTGTGCCCGTGCGTCTGCGCGAGCCGACAATTCTGCTGTTGAACGGGGAGCGCGGTGACAACGTGAGTCGGGACATTTTGCTGGACCACCACGAGGAGGACGTGCGACAGTGGTTCGAAGAACGGGACACCGAGATCGAGGTGCGCATCGATGCCGCGTACACGTGGCACGACTGGAAGGACCGCGTGCTCGCGGACCGCCCCGACGTGTGGTACTACTTCGGCCACACCCAGGGCCAGGAGTTTCTGAACCGCGGGTTGAAGCTGGGAAGCCGCGAGCCCGTGCTGGCGCGGGACCTGAACCTCTTCCTGCGGGAGCTCGTGGAGTCCAAGGGCGCGGAAAATTCTCTGCCCAGTTTGGTCGTGCTGCTCGGGTGCCACACGCTCACTGTCGGAAAAGTTTTGGAGTCCTTCGGCATCCCTACCGTCTGCTGTCCGCAAACGCCCTCGCGGGAACAGGCCTGCGCGTTTGGGCTGGATTTGCTGGACCGTTTCGTGACGAGCATTCTGGTTCCCCCGCTGTCCCAGGCCGTCACGGCGCACAGTGCGCAATTGCAATTTTCGTCGGACACCGTCCCGCCGGAGAAGGACGTCTTGCGGCTGCGGATCGAAAATCTGTGCCAGCGCGTAGTCGCGGATCACGTTAAAGCGACATCACTGCAGTTGTCGAGCCCCTCGGAAGCCTCGGATGCGGACGAAAAATATCAGGCTGCACAGAGGACGGGGCAGAAGTCCAGGTCGGGGCCGCAACTAGATCCGAGAAAGAAGCAACTCCAGGCAGAAAAGTCGTGGAACATAGACTTGAAAAATCTGAAGCCGCTGGACTACAAGTACTTTCACCGAGAAGAAGAGGAAGACAGCACCGAAAGAGACCCACTGCTTGCGAGCGCTTCCACCTCCGCGCCGACGGTAGAGACCACAGTCGCAACCGCGAACAGTACAACGATCCCGCTAGAAGAACGGGAATTTGCAATTTTGACGGAGCCTGCGGGAAAGGCTATGACGATGGAAATGGCCGTCAAGCTCCAGGCCAAGCTCGACGAACTCGACCGCAGGGAGGGGCAGGACGACGACAGTTGCACACGATCGCCGCTATTTTGGTGGGTTGCCGGCGGCTTGCTGCTGCTCCTTGTCGCGGGGTCGATCGGGCTCGTGTACTACTTTTGCGTGCTCGCACCTAAAGGAGGGGACGACGCAAACAACAGAGGTGGTAGCCACGGCCCCGGCCCCGGCGGGCCTGTCACCGCCAAGAAGCCTCCCGATCCGTATACAACGCTGACCGAGATTTACCAACAGAAGGCCGCGGACCCGTCCATTTCCTCTTTCGAGTTGGCCCAGTACCCGACGGGCGTAGTGTCCGACACAAAACTCAGTGGCGATTTTGGCAGCGGACAGAAGGATTGGGAAGAGTGGGTCCAAAAGACGTACAAGGCAGTGAAACTGTACGAGGCCAAATGCGCCGCTGCTCCCGCGAAGCCACCGGGTGGCAGAAGTTCCTTCTTGAGCCATGCGGAAAGCAGGAACAAGCTGCAGTCCCCGTACTGGTGCGACGCGGCTCGGGTGAGCGGGAAAGCGACCAAGGTGCTGCAGTACGATCTGGAAAAGGCCGCGGGGTACGCGGGCCTCGCGGGGGTGTACCCGCTGGTTGATAAGATGCAAGCGGAAAAAAATTCAGGCCGCAACCCGACGGACGCGGCTACGGAAGCCGCACAGGAGGAGCAGGACGCCGGAGACGTGGCGGTGCTGATCCGGAATCTGGGCGGGCTCCAGATGGCGCAGCGGCTCATCAGTCACCGCATGGACCTCGAGGAGGCCCCGTTTCTGCAGCAGATCGGGGACGAGCAGGTAAGGTTCCCGTTTGCCGTGGAGCTCGTGGAGCGCACTTTGAACGCGGTGCAAAAGAATGTGCTGTGGGACACGACGTTGGCGAGAGCGCTTACCTGCGTGGACCCGCGGTTCGCGAACCGGGTGCGCATGGGGGACGGCAGAAGCTTACAGAGGTTCTTCGCCGACGTGTTTCGAAAGAAGCGCGGCACCTTTTTCCGCGACGCCGCGCACTCCGGGAATCCCACTCTGCAGAGCGGGCTGCACCGGCATATTTTTTCCGGCGTGAGCAGTTCCGCCGCGGAGCAGGAGCTTGCGCGCGATCACTCTTTGAGCTACTACCAAAAGCAGCGCCTGCTGCAGGCCGCCCGCGCGGAGGAAGTCCGGAACGTCGTCACAAAGGTCCACGGCGATGCGATGCTGGACACGGCGACATTCGCCTTTCTGCCGACCGGAGTCTTTCCGCCGACCGTGGCCGTCGGGTACCGCATCCGGCGCGCGGACAACCCGACGGACGCGGGCCTGACCGCCGCCGGAGCGGCGTTCGGCACGGGGACGCTGCGGGAAGGGCCGCGGGACGAAATGCTGGAGTGGCAATTATTCTCGCCGGCCGGTTTTGGGGGCGAAAAACGTGAGACTGCGCTTCGAAGCGCAAAGGAGAATCTGGGCGAGGAGAAATGCAACGAGCCGGTGCAAGTGCCACCGCCGCAAAGAGGGCGGAGCTCGGCGTACCACCGGCTGTGTTGGAAAATGAAGGCGGGAGGCGACCACCTCTCCCCGATTGACACGTGGACACCGCACATCAGGCTGCGGCGCGACCTCATCGCGGGCCCCTTTTGGACGCTGGGCGGCGTCGGCCCGAAGACGTTTTACCTGGTGCCCTTGCCCAAGGCCGCGTGGCGGTACATGGTGGAATACAAGCACAATTTCGAGCACCCGGCGTTCGAGCGCATGCTGAAGCGCGTCACGCTGCGCCACGCGAACGTAGTGGAAGACGTCCAGAAGTTCATGGAAACCAAGAACCTCGGACGGGGGGAAGATTGGTACCGCGAAATGTTCCTCACGCCCGACTACCCGGAAGTCCTGGAAAACCCGGACAAACTGGACTTCGGCGGGTACTGGGTCTACAACGTCGGCACCTACGAACCCGACTTCCTGGCCAGTCCCTACAGAAGCTTCATGCCAGACGAATTTTTCTCTTGGAGCCTGGGGCCGCCAGCGGAGGATAAGTAGGTCCGATAGCTGCGAAGCATGCGTGGAAAAGTTGTAGGATTAACACGCAATATTTTTTAGAAATGTGATGCACAAGAACATCCCGCGTCCGATGGCGAACGAAAAAGTAGTCCTGACGGAGTTTATTATCGACATCATACATTTCATAAGTGAATCGACATCGTGTTACTCGTCTTAGCTAGTGCATGCCGAAAAATAACATACGCACATAGAGTCACAGTCACACAGTAAACTCAATTCAACATCATAAAAAATTGCGCGGAAGCTGAGCATTTCTAGTGCGGCTCTTTCTGCAGCTGTGGAGAATGACATTGAGTTGTTTTGTCTTTTTTTTCCACGTGGTTTTGCCTAAATCCGCATGATTTTGATGCTCAAAGAACTGTGTACAATGCTCGAATTATTGAAGCTTGGAAGTAACTAGAGTGAGAAAAAAAAAGATAAGTGAAAGAAGTGGACCAGAGCAACACGCGGAGCCGCGGCAAAACGAAGTGTAATTACTTGTTTTACTTCTATTTCGGTCGCGGAGAGGAGTCGGTAAATCGGAAAAGTTTTGGCCGGCGAGAACACAACGTGATTCCAAAAACTCGTGCAGAAATCGTGCCTACGAAATCATGGTCAAGCCCAGCATGGAAATGGAAAAATAGACGATCCAATCGAAGTTCTGTGCAAAACTCGTGCTTTTTGAAATCTAAAAGTTCCATCAGGAGAAATTACTTGGTTTGATCAAAATGTCACGCGAAGCTGTCGGATCTAGCAGATCTGTAAGCAAAATGAAAGTTGTAACGGGGAAGCTCAGCATCAAATGGACCTACAATTGTCGTACTTAAATTGTTGAAAACACAAGATGCCGCATTTTCTCAATCCCTCACAGTAGCGGGTGCTCCAACGGAAACTCGCGAAGCTTGTTGGCAACCTATAGGTCGAACGTATTACGTTTAGTGAGACTCCTGCTTAGACCAGTACTGCTTGTGATTTAAGTACTGTTTATTTTGATACCGAATTGGTTTCTTTGTCGCACATTGATTTTGATTACTAGGAGAGTCCAATCGCGGCCGCGTAATTTAACTGTGAGAGTTGTGGTTTTACTTTTACCTTCATCTTCTTTTTCATTTAATTCGTAGTAGAAGCTGTCTATGTTTGTAGTTTTGTACTTTTATGTTGTAAACTATAAGGATGTATAATACTAATTCTTCTGAAGTGATGTGCTTTGGACAAAACCGATGTTCAGTCGTAAATATATTTGTGTTGCATAAATGAGCTTTCTCGCACGTTCACACACAAATTTGTATTGCAAAAATCTTGGTTCTCGCATGATCCGGTTTTGTTCTTGGATAAATGCCAATTCTCGAAAGCAGCATCACAAAAATGCATTACAAGTTGCGCTTTCTTATGCTGAGTTCTTCCCCATGCACAATCATAATAAGGTCCTGAGATCGGAAGATCCAAAGGATGAAAGTTCAAAAAGGAAATTATAATCAGGCTCTTTCTTCATGCTTTTCATTATTCATGCTGTTTTTCATTATATTTTTGAGGTGACTAACCAGAAATAACTAGCTATCTAGCATAGGCACTATCGTATTTTGTTAGGTTTAGGATTAGGACGTGGTATACGCTAGCTGCGCAAGTCGGTTAACAGTGAACCGGTGCCCACGGGTGTTGACCGATCGACCTATTGCCAGCTAGGGGAGCACCCATGCGGTGGCAGGATCCAGCGCCCCTAGGTCGGGGGCGCTCCTGCCTTCGCCGTATGGGACCCCGTGGGCAGAAGTATCCACTCGCGCGCCGCGCCCGCTCTAGTTAGGGTCTACTTTCGTTCCTCTTCTTCTCTTCATTCAAACACGACAGGATAAGCACACAAAAATACGCAGTTCGCCCCGGCTACAGTGATCTACTTAAACTTCAATTTTGATTTTACATTGCAATATGTCGTGCGTAGCAGTTATATCAATTTACATGATCAAGCAAGAGGGTTGCACACTCCGACGTCGGGCTGGCTGCCCGATGTCGACCAGCTTCCGCTGGTTCTCTGTCCTCTATCTAGAATCTCCGCTTCGTCCGGGCTTGCCTGGACTCGGCGTTTTTTCAGCTCTTCGGTTCTCGGAGAGTGGATAGTTTACGGAGGAGTGTCTCGATGAGAAAGCGAGGCGTACTTGTACGCTTCAGGCCTTCGCTCTGGTTCTGCTTCGCAGTTCCGCCTTGTCGTTTCCGGCATCGCCGATCCTTAGCGTGGATCATTGCGATGTACGACAAGGAAAGAGCTCCGGCGGTTCCGTCGCCATTGAACTGCTCAAGCCATGAGCAGGACATAGTAGACGGCGTGCACACTGCCGCGTGCATGTAGCCCGGCTCAGCCGGGCGCTGGGATATCCTTCTGACCGGGGAGGATGTCTTGGTGGGAAGATGGCCGATGCGCGGCTCTTACAGTGCAAAGAGTTCGCGTGCTTCAGCTGTTTTTCAGGCTATCTTCGGGTGGTGGTTTGAAGAAGTCGATGACGGCTCGCGGTTCTCGCGAGTCCCACTGCTCGGGGAGTGGAGAGGTGCAGCCGCTGCGATGCAGTGCCTGCGCCTCTTCACGCCGAAAAAGGCATACGTCCGGCGGCAGCTTAGCCTATGGCTGGCGCCGCTTTATTCGGCAACACGCAACGGTCAACAGCACAGCTGATTACAGCTGTGGCCTGCCGCTCTGTGTGTCGCGGGCGGTTCGTGCTTTTGCGCTTAGCATCGTAAGGCGCAATGTAGCACCACCACCAGACGTCCAAACGGACGCGGGCCGCTCGCCTGTCATTGATGAAGCCGCGCGAGCAGGGGCGCCGCGCTTCACTTTGACAGGAATCCCCTACTGAAGAGCCCCACCGAAGGCCAAGGCTACTGGTATCCATTTAGGGCGATGCCCGCGAGGTCAGTGACGTTGTCACTGGCCGGGGCCAGAGTAACACACTGTACACGCACAGCATCACGCTAACGCTGACAAACACCCACGAACAAGGGGCACCCCGCGCCCGCATACCCCCCTCGCCGATGGCAGGGGGGCGCCCGATGGGCTGACTATTACTAAGCGACTTGCTGTTGCACAGACGCCGGCACAGCCGATGGCTGTGCCGGTGAGATGAAGGCTTCGTTCTCCCCACCACACCTCCCAGCACCTGGACGCGCAACTCCACAGGCACAGCCCCGCAGGCGCGGCGGTTATGTTGTTGAGTCGCATGGCTAGGCTGCAAGTATTCGTTGGTGTGCACCACATGCGACGTCGATGATGTCGCCTGCGGGTGCTGGGTCGGGGTTGGGCGTCCACGACATTGTTGCTGCATCTCTTCGGGGTTTGCAAATACCTTGTCGTAGCCATTGCGCCGGCGCTTGGTTTTGTCCACGATGTGGATGTCTCTGAGTCGCTTGTGCTTTGGTATCAGGGGTGCTGACTTGGAAGGAGAGCTGAGCGCGTTAGCCTATCGGCGTCGTTGCTCCGTCCTTCGCCCCTCGACGTCGGTCCGCCGGCGTTGATTGCCTGCAGGTGATTAGCGCAGTCGAGGGGTTCAGTGGTTGGTGTGGGGGCGAGGAGCTGTGGTGCAGTTTTAGCAGGTCCTTCTCCTGTTTCGGATTTCTCTGCTGCTCCACGAGCCAGAGTCGTTCGATTCATCCAGCGTACCTGGGGACGCTTGATTTGCCTTTTTACATTTGGAGCGCCAATCCTGGCGTCTCAGACAGGTCGCAGCGCGATGTGCTGCGTCCGCTAGATCACATACCCGCGGGAACTTCCCGGAACTTAGTCACGATTGGGAGCAAGACCCCGCTGCGTCGCCCGGGTTCCGGGCTCCACGGCGGTGCCCTACCCCGGCGCGTTTCCCACGTGCTCGCTACCTAGCTACAACACAGCCCCGCGCGCCTGGATCTCTGCACCGACAGAGCCAGGCCGCCCCGTTGAGTCACATTTGGGGAAGATGTTCGGTGGGCCATGTCGTGTTCCACGGCTTGGCCCACCTTCACGTCCGGGGCGTGGCTCTGTGGGGTTTGAGAGCTTGGCTCGCGCGGCTTGCTACTTGTAGCTCGCTGTGCCGGCCGGGTTCTCTTCTTGCTCGCCAGTGTGACCGTCGCAGGGCGTCCCGCGACGAGGACTGCAGCGCGCGTCAGCACTGCCTTCGATTATCATCGTTTCCGCGCGCTTTCGCTCGTTGGGTGAATTGCGCCAGGAATGTGAATTTATATAATACTAATTCTCGGGGAACAGGAATTGCAATCATTTAGCTCTCTCTTCACTCGACACAATTTCGAGATGATGATGAACGACAGCAGCGTCGTGGGTAGCACGGATGCACACCAGCAGCATCAGGTGCTGCAAGCTGCTACGTTCGGACATGGAAGTCAACACGGGCAGCATCTGCCTTTTCATCATCAGCCTTTTGCTGCGTCGCAGCAAGACAACTTTGCTCCGATGGCCGCGGAACCACTGCACAGCCTTCCGCAGGCAGAAAGTTTTGGTGGCAGACCGGCGGCGGGAGTGCCAGTTGACCACGTGATTGCGAACTACATGACATTGCTCAGTCAAGGGGTGCTTGAGAACGGGCGCCTGCAGCCAACCATCACGCCGTTTCAAGGAAACCATCAAGCGAACCAGGGAAACTTTTCATCACAAGTAGTTGTCAATAACGGCGTGCCGATTACGTCTCAACAGTGTTTAGTGCGGGTGTTGCTAGAGTGGATGGACGAGCAACCCAAGCACCCGCAGCAACCCCAGCTTTTAAGCCCTACGACGACAGGCACGACTGTGAGCCAAAGCCCCACTGGAGCTCGGGACGGAGCGGATGCTGGCTATAATGGCTACGCGCATGGGCCTGATTTCAATGATTTTGACGCAGAGGAGACCCGGAAGATTTTGAATCCGCACAATGTCGTGCTTCCACCGATGCACATCGAGCATAGCCTTGCCAACCTCGAGATGCGGGATACGAACCATGTGCGTGTGCGGTTCCGGAACCTTCCGGCGCCGCTTTTCACCCTGGAAAAAAGAGCCTTGCTCGAGCAGATTCGGTCGAATGTCGTCCTCCCGCGGCTGCGCAAATTTGCGACGCAGGTTTTGGGTTGCGAATTCGACGACGCGTCAGTTGTTGTGCGCTTCTTTGAAAACGGGGACCATCAACAACGGGCCGCTAGTACCGAGGCAGCGCCCGATGCGGCCGCGCATCTAAATTTCGACTGCGGTTGCCTCGAGTGGTTGGTCTCCCTGGACGACGGAGCCGGGTTTTCGCCCCGAAGCCTTCCGCAGCAACGCGTTTCCCTTTTCGACTTTATGTTCTCATTGGAGAAAAGCACCAGCAAGAAAGTTTTCGACATTCGGCTGGAGCAGCCGCGGTTACTATCAGACCCGGGAAATCCAAATCCCACCCAACACGGGGATCCTGCAACTTCCTTCGACGGACAGACGTCAAATGATACCGTTATCAAAAAGTTTCGGCTGATCGCGCAGCTGGCTATTCTCCAGGATCTAGTCTCGACCACGCCGGAATTCACGAACGCCGTGTTGCACGAGATTTACCACTTGCTGGGATTTCTGTCGAGCGAGGAACGGCAGCAGGCGAATGTAGTGGACGCTGCGACCGCGTTCGACCCGCTACTGTCGCACTCCACTAGTTTCAGTAGTTCCGGCAGCAACAATTCTCCAAACCGTCGGGGCTCGTCGGGAGAGGAGCTGCAATCAATTGCTGCTTACAGCTTTGACCAGCACCAAAGCTCTGGCTCGCACGGAATGTTGACGAACCGAGCCCCCAGCACTTCCACACAGCAGGTTTCTAGTAGTTCCATCACGCGCCCCAACAACAAGTGGTCGGTGGACATTACTGATTTTGTGAAACGCGGGTGCGAATTGGCGAAGGTTCGAGACCTGCAGGAGGCTTTGGGACTGTCCAACGCGATCCGAAAGTCGACGAAGGTCGTAGTGGAGATCGACAATTGTTCCAGCAGTGGGTTACTGATACAACAGCAGGATGTTGGTAATGGTACTACTACTGCTACAACTGCCCCGGAACTGATCTGCCGCGACGCACGAGGTTCTACTTCGAATCGACCACAGGTTCGCGCCACCATGAAAGAGGTCTCGCACAAGTTGGCCGTGTGCGGGCGCACCTGCAACCGGAAGTGCGTGGAGCAGGGGGCAATTTTGCGGAACGAGCACAAAGCCGCTCTGTTCGCGACCACGAAGGAGAAGGTCTGTGCGGACCGCGCGCGCATGATGTTGCTGATGTCGTTCGTGCAGCGGGCCTTGGAGGCGGACGGCACGGTGTTGCGCCACCTCGGACCGGGATACGCGAAGTTTGAGCGGTACGTGCCCCGGATGCACTGGGAGTTGTCCTTCGACGTGGGCACCAACGAACTGGTGTGCGCCAAGTACTTTCTGCCGACGCTGCACGGCCGCGTGCTCGTCGAGGAGGGAGTGCCGGGCGGCTTGCGGCTGACCCACGAGTCCCTGCTGTCGTTGTCGCTCGCAAAGCAGCGGCTGGGGATCTCCTCGGACACTTCGTCCTGCCACAGCAGCAGCTGCGACGACACCTCCTCCTCGAACGGCTTGAGTCGGCAGACGATGAGTCCAGCGTTGCAAACCGCCTCCATCGGGAAAAAGCAGCAATTTCTGGAAGACGGGAAGGAGGCCTTGGAAGGCTACCTGGTGCGGGTTAACAAGGCTCTGGGCGGGTGCCTGTCGGACGAGCCCGCGAAGCTGGAAATGAAGGCCGCTTTCTCGGTGCTGCCGGAAGCTTTCGCTCAGGCGGGCGTGGATGTGAATCCGGGAGGGATTGTTGCGCCAGTAGCTATGACTTCGATGCTGTCAACATCTGAGGACAGCGCGCTGTTTTCGCGGCTGTCCGCGGAGTCGCAGCCGGTGCGGCTGCGCGAGCCGAAGATTTTGCTTCTGAACGGCGAGCGGGGCGACAACGTGAGCCGCGACATTTTGCTAGACCACCACGAGGAGGACGTACGCCAGTGGTTCGAGGAGCGCGACAGCGCACTGGACGTGAAGATTGACGCGGCCTACACCTGGAGTGGGTGGAAGGACAAGGTGCTGGGCGACCGGCCGGACGTGTGGTACTATTTCGGGCACACGCAGGGCCAGGAGTTTCTGAACCGCGGACTGAAGCTGGGCAGCCAAGAGCCCGTGCTGGCGCGGGACCTGAACCTCTTCCTGCGCGAGCTGGTGGAGTCCCGCGGCGAGAAGCACTCGCTGCCGTCGCTGGTGGTCCTGCTGGGCTGCCACACCCTCACGGTCGGCAAGGTGCTCGAATCTTTTGGCATCCCCACCGTCTGCTGCCCGCAGACCCCGACCCGCGAGCAGGCCTGCGCCTTCGGGCTGGACCTGCTCGATCGGTTCGTGCGCGACATCCTGTTTCCCTCCCTGGCCCAGGCCGTCACGGCGCACGGAGCCCAGTTGCAGTTCTCCTCCGACACCGTTCCGCCGGAAAAGGATGTGCTGCGGTTGCGGATCGAGAACCTGTGCCAGACGGTGGTCGCGGACCACGTGAAAGCGGCGTCCACTCTCTGCTCCTCGGATTCGGAAGCGTCGGTGGGCAACATAAATGCGTCGAAATCGAAACGGCAGAAATGGAAAGAGGATTCGTGGAAGCTCGACTTTTCAAAAAAGAACCTGAAGCCGCTCGATTACCCCTACTTTCATTACAACAAGGCGAAGGTCCTTGTCGGCGGGGGTGCGTCGAAAGTCGCGGCGGTGGACGGGAGTTCTTCGTGCGCGCAGACGAACGTGGCGCCCACGCACGCAACCTCGTCGCAGGACGGCGCAGCGACTGGTGCGGCAGTGCCGCTGGAGGAAGCAGAGTTTGCGATTTTGACCGAGCCGGCCGGCAAGGCGATGACGATGGAAATGGCCGTGAAGTTGCAGGCGAAGCTCGATGAGCTGGACAACAAGGAGGACGGTGCTGGGGACGCCCCGCCGTGGTGGCAAGCGTCGTTGTTCTGGTGGATCGCCGGCGGCGTGTTCGTGCTACTTGCAGGGGGCGTGTTCGCGGTTGTCTACTACTTTTGCGTCATCGTGCCCGGGATGCAGCAGCAGGAGCAGCAGGGGCCCGGCAACGCTGCCGAGCCAGCTTCGCCCTACGACACGCTGGCCACCATCTACGAACAGCAAGCCGCGAAACCGGAAATCTCGTCCTTCGAACTGGCCCAGTACCCAGCCACCCAGCCCTCCGTGGCCGCACTCGCAAAAGTTTTCGCGAGCGGCAAGAAGGAGTGGGAAACCTGGGTCGCCAAGACCTACAAGGCCGTGAAGCTGTACGAAGAGAAATGCACCGGTGCCGGGCCGACGGTGTTCCACGCGAACGCGACTCCCAAGCCGGATTGGTGCGATGCGACGAAGGTCGCGGGGAAGGCGAAAGCAATCTTGGAATACGATGTGCACAAGGCCGCGGGTTACGGCGGCGTTGAAGGCGTCTTTCCGCTTCAGGACCAGAGGCGGGCGGCCCAGCAGTCGGTGGTGGGTGATGCAAGGCAGCGGGCGCTAGATGAGGAAGAAGCCGCGGACGTGGCGGTGTTCATCCAGAATCTGGGCGGGCTGGAGGCCGCGCAGCGCGTAATCAGCCAGCGCATGACGCTGGAGGGCTCACCAGTGCAAAGACAGCAGCAGCAGCAGCAGGACAACAATGACAACCAGCCCGGTGCTGGAAACAACAACGACAAAAAGAAAGAATCCTTTGGCTTTCCCTTTGCGTTCGAGCTGGTGGACAAAAGTGTTTCGGTGTTGCAGCGCAACACGCTATGGGAGAAGACGCTCGTTCCCGCACTCACGTCCATCGACCCGCGGTTTGCCAAGCAGGTTCGCGCAGAAGACGGCACCCGCATGCAGGACTGGTTCGCGAGCGTTGTCGCGCACAAAAAGGGCATGCTGCGCGACTCCGCAACCTCGGGCAACCCGACGCTGCAGGAGGGACTGCACAACTACGTGTTTGAGGCCGAAGAGGGTGCCGTCGACTCGCCGGAGGCACAGGAGAAAATGCGCAAGCACTCGTTGAGCTACTACCAGAAGCTGCGGCTGGTGCAGGCCGCCCGCGGGCAGGAGGTACGAAAGCTGGTCACGAAAACGAAAGGCGACGTGCTGCTGGACCAGGCCAGCTTTGCGTACTACCTGGTCAAGGACGGCATTCCGAACATCGTCACGGGATGGCGCATCCGGCGTCAGCAGAGCCCGCGCGACGCGGGTCTGACGTTCGCGGGGTCCGCGTTCGGGTCGGGCGCGCTGAAGGAACCGAGACCGGACGAGATGCTGGATTGGCCGCTGTTCGCGCCGCACCCCAAGCCCCCCGGGAAGGAGGTGTCTCTGAACAGCGCGCGTTCCAATCTGGGCGAGGAGAAGTGCAACGAGGCCCCCTTGCCACAGAGCGCGCTCGTGCCGCGGGGGCGGAGCTCGGCGTTCCACCGGTTGTGTTGGAAACCCAAAGTGGCCGGAGACCATTTGTCGCCGATGGACACGTGGACCCCGCACCTGCGGATCCGCCGGGACCTGGTCGCGGGGCCGTTCTGGACCCTGGGCGGCACCGGCCCGAAGACCTTTTTTCTGGTGCCGCTGCCGCGGGCGGCCCTCCAGTACATGACGGAGTTCCGGCTCGAGTTCAAGGAGTGGCAGGTGCAGCGGGTGCTGCGCCAGGTGCGGACCAAGCACTCGGTCATCGTGGCGGACATGCGCAAGCGCATGGAGGGCGAACAAGAAGGGCACCTGAACCCGGTGAAGCCGCCGGAGGCCTGGTACGACGAATTCTTCCTGACGCCCGACTACGCCGACGTTTTGGACACTGATTTGGACTTTGCGGGGTACTGGGTGTACCAGGTGGCAGACAAACCCGGGTACGAGCCGGGGTTCATGCCCGTGCCATACCGGTCCTTCGAACCGGTCGACCACTTCTCGTGGACGCTGGGAACCCCGTCCTTGGACGGAATGGCGGGAGGAGATGCAGGCGGCGGTTAGGGAGGTAGATGAAGACGAGCTCGGTGGATATTTAGTTTGCGAAAACCAAGAGGACCCCTCTAGTAAGTACCCCATTGTGTATGATTGACTTAGGCATTTGGTTTCCCCTACTAGCTCTGTCGGTCTTGTTCTGATCGCGTAAAGATTTTATCTGAACGTTCTACACGTCGACCCTATGAGGGCAACCATATCTAGAAGCCGAAAGCATGGTAGCCTGCCAGGTTGTCTGCCTCGTGCTTGTTGGGTATGGGATTCTGTACTTTCGCTTAAATCAATTTTTTTTTGTTTTTAGTATATCGGGGCTTTTTGTAAACTAGAAACGGCAAATGATATACGATGCTTGGTAAACGAGAAACCGCAAATAAAATACATAAAATACGATGCTTGTGGTGAAACGAGACCAGGCGGCAAAAGGTATCTGCTGAAGATCGCATTGCAAAAACCAACGAGCCGCTGTGTCCCACGGGGGTTTTTTTTGATTGGATTTTCTCGGTAGTTGTGTTCATCACGGAGCGAGCTGGAACTAAACCCTTTCGTTTCTGCTTCCAGTTGTCCGTTTTTTCTGAGTTTTTTTGGATTTGTTTAACAGCAATTGGGAGGCCTTCTCCGGCTTACCTTGACAGGCGCAGACGCACTTCTTTTTTTAACCTTCTGAGCTTCTCGAGGAAGCCAAGCTCTAAGAGTGTTTTTGCAATTATTAAGAGGACGTTCTCGTCGGTTTGTTTTTTCCTTTTCTTCCCTGCGTGTCTTTTGCGGGTGTGGTAGCCCTTCTGCGATGAGCTCGTTGCATTTTTCCATCTCCTGTGATTCACCCAGCAAATCGTTCGCACCCAGCGAATCGTTATTCAGTGAAACAGTGAAGCTCAAGTGAGTAGAAACCCAAAAGATCTCGCTTCTAGTCCGTGGAAATAGGGTAACGGTATAAGTTTGCGACAGGATGTCCAAAAAGTTGGTTCACAACCCAAACTTCAAGCGCCCAAAGCGGCTCGAGGGCGTGAAAAAGGGCGACTCGGCGAAGGGGACCACAGTCCGGGATGAGGGCAGCGTCTCAGATGTGGAAGACGTTGTGGAGCAAGAGCCCGCCCTTGTGCTCTCTCCGCCAAAACTGCACTTGGTACGAAAAGGAAATTATAGAGGATATGATTGATTGCAGTCGTGGTACCTTTTTTTCTAGCCTCGGCTACGAATTTCAACTTTTTCAGCAACTGCGTTCTTGTGCATGTGCTGCATTGATTCGTATACAACATTCATCAGAACCTGCCCCGACCGCACTTGATTCCGGAGAAGAGCAAGCTGCTGAAGCTGACCGAACAGAAACCGTCTCCGTTGAAGGTGGTGCTGCCCCCGGAGGGCGTCCAAGACCTCGTCGAAGCGCTTTCGCCGCGGTCGGCTTGCCGCAGCCCCAAGGAACCCGAGTTGGTCGATCCATGTATTGATTTTTATGTTGGGTTTCACTTAGCTGTTGCTTCCTGTTGTTTTTCGATGCAAGAGCGTTGCAAGAAGTTTAGCTATGGATTAAAAGCCACACCATAAGTAACTCCATCACAGCGTCCCCGAAGAGTTTGCTCGGTAGCGGGTTCGTGTTCGCGGAACAACTCGAGCAAGTGGAGGAGAAAACGTTGGGCGAAGAGAAGACCGTTATCGAGGAGATTCTGAACAGTAAGGCCACCTCCACCGCCGTGGCAGGAGCGGCAGAGCCAACTACTACACTGGAACAGGTGAATACCATGACCAGCGTTGCCAGCGTGGCGACGGCGCTCCCGGGAGGTGCTAGCACGCACGCGAGTATCATGGGTGCCACGGGGGCCGCCATGTTCGGTGGGCTGCCGCAGCCCAAGCTTATCAAAAGTGAATATGTCTGGGTCTGGAAACTTGTGATGCTGGGTGGCGTCTCATGATGAGGCTACAAATGCTGGCTCAGCATGACAAGTTTCTGAGCTCCTAGGTATTGCCTATTCTGCATGACAAACTGCGCTTCTGCATCACAGAAAAGCGGAGCTCTTGGGTAACGTGCATGACAGATTTAAGAGTCATGCCAGACAAGCATGACATCCAGACCCAGACATTTTTACATTTGATAAAGCTGTCGGCGGTGCAACCGCTCCTGATCGAAAAGCCGCCAACCTTCGCCACGAAACCCAAGTTGACCCTGTTCACCTCAAATCCGCTCACCTGCCTGCCGCAACTGCGAGAAAAATACCTCGTGCCAGAACTGGAGAAAGGAACGGAAGCCCGGCAATTGCCGTATCTGCTTATGCTTTTTGCTTGTAGCATTGTTTCCCGTCGTTGTTCTTCTTTTGACGCTGCTTCATCGCGATCGACGTTCTAGCGGAGGAAGATCAACAATCAATGATTTATGTTTATTTCGAAGGTATCGTCCGTCGAAATTTATTGCAAGGAAGAAAAATGCAACGACAAAAAAGTCTATAAAACAAATTTCACATCCGCAGGTGGCACTGGGCTCCGACGCTTTTGCAGGCGGTGACGAAGCCGAAAGCGCCACTGTCGACCACACTTGACTGGACGAAGACGGTATTGCCGAAGCCACAGATTCTGCTGTCGCAACCAGACCCCATGCCCTTGCAGCCACTCACATCTGCGGACCAGGAAATGGCGCAGGGGGAGTAGGTGTTTTCTTGCGGCACAGTAGCTTCAGTTGAAGAATGAGTGTACTTTGTCACATGAAAATCATGAATAAAGTGTTCATAGGAGATGGAGAATGTTAAGTATGGTAGTTTCTTTTCTTTAGTGATAGTAGTTGTTTCACAGGATGCTCAAGTTGCTTTCAGAGTTTTACCATCTGTTTTGTTGAAAACGAAATAGAATCAAAGTATCCGCGCGCAGCAGGGATCGTTGATGAATTTCAGCTGAGGAGACATGGAAGCGCACAGCGACGAGAAGCTGCATATTTTGGTATTGAGTAATTGAGTCACGGTGGTGGCCCTTGTAGAGTTGTCTTGAATGATTATTCCAAAGTTTTCATGTTTCACTTTTATCTTATTTGCAAACACATCGATCATTTTCCGCGACGAATGTATAAGTACGTGGCTTCACGCTTGCGATAGTCAACATACGCTGCAGCATTGGAGTGCGAGTTGAGTTGCGCTATCTTGTGCGTGATACCATCACCGATTACGATACACCCACCTGTACACTAAAATAGGATCTGCACAACAGTCAATAACTGGGGGCAGGATAAGTTTTACCAAGCATACGGGAACACCTTGAAGAAAAGAAACCAGATTCCTTTTTATCCGGTGTAAAATTGCAGACTCTATGTCTTCTCGTCCATTTCTTCTCTCTGTTCTTGGTGTTAAGGTTCAAGGCCCGTCAGCAGCGGATGTCTTCTCCTCTTTTCGCATTTTTGTTCCGGCGTTTCGAGTTTTTGTAGCTTTTTGTCGTCTTATTTCAAGGTAGCTGGCTGGATATGCTAGTCCCGATTCCTGGCTGAGAAATAAGGAGTGAAGAAAAAGCTTCCCACGGGCTTCGCATAAAGCAAGCGTAGAGCTGCCCTCCTGTATGATCGGTACGCGTAGAAGCAAGAATGGAGAGACACCAACAGCCCTGATATAGCTTAACGATCCACCAGTAGAATTTCACCGAGAAGTCGTTTTGCCAGGTGGAGTTACAAAAAAATCAGTTTGAGGGCTTTGCTGGTATTAACTCACTCCTTCCCCGATGTCTTCATTGGAGAGCGTCTCCCCGTCACCCCCGCCGGGGAACGTTTCCGAGAACAACGAATACATCGTTGCGTTGATCCTAGCTCGTGGGGGTTCGAAGGGCATTCCCCGGAAGAACATAAAGCCTCTGGCCGGCCAGCCGCTCCTCTCCTACACGGTCACAGCAGCGCGGAAATCGGGGGTGTTTAAACGTGTGGTAGTATCCACGGATGATGATGAAATTGCCGCCGTGGCCAGCAGCTACGGGGCGGAGGTGTTCCAGCGTTCCGCGGAGACAGCCTCGGACAAGGCCAGCAGCGAATCCGCGGTCGCCGAGTTTCTGCTTGCGAACTTTCCGAAGTTGGTGAGTAGTAGTAGAAGTTGTACTTCTTCTGCGGCGGTGGACAAGAACGAAAACACTATCGCCAACAACGGCACAGCCGGCGATTTATTGTCTACAAGTGCCGAGGTCGAGGAGCCGGATCACGCGCAAGTTTGTTCCAACGGAAACGTCATGTGCTGTTTGATCCAGGCGACGAGCCCGCTTACCACCGCGGAGGACTTTCGGCAGAGTCTGCAGCTGATGCGCAAGGCGCAGGCGGATTCGCTCGTCACGGTGGTCAGGTACCACCGCTTTTTTTGGAAACTGGTCGATGCGGAAAACCAGCTCGCCGTCCCGATGAACTACGACCCCGCACGCAGACCGCGGCGCCAGGACTGGGACGGTGAGCGCATGGAGAATGGGGCCTTCTACTTCTTCGGAGTGGCGCGGTTTCTGCAGGAGGGGGCGAAAACCGGGAGATACAACCGTTGCTGCGGTGAGAAAACGTGCGTGTACGAAATGGCAGAGGACACCGCGGCGGAAATTGACTCGCTCACTGACTGGGATATCATCGAGAAACTCGTGGAAAAAAGAAGGGCCGAAGGCAAGCTGGAAGCTTAGATGTTTGCAGGAGCGTGTGTGCTGACGACGCTCCTCTGATGAATGGTCTGGTTCACGTTGCGGCTGGAGTGGTCATCACGGTTTACTTTTGGTTTAGTTGGTAGGTAATGAGTGCTTTGCCTATGTAAGTTACTTCAACTGCTTGTCGTAGGGTGTACCGTGTTTGAACGTGCGCGCTCGCCAAAGACCGAGACTTTCTCTTTCCGTCTCGTCAAAGAGCAGACTAAGACTTTCTTTTTTCGCACAAAATCAAGCAGGATTTTGTTTTTGGGTCTCGCTTTGCCTTTCGGGACTCTTGTGTTTGGGTTGGTAACGCTACTAGCTAACCTTACTCAGGTCCTTTTAATACGCGCGTGGAATTTGCATCAATTGGTCCTCGAGAAAAAACATTTCAATTTCTCCGTGTCAGCGCCGACATGTGCTACACCAATTAGTCTGGCGCATCGAGACGCTAGCACGAATGATGCGTCGACGTAGATCATGTTTGTCCGTGCAATTATGCGGGTGTTGGCGGACGAGCGACTAGGATGATGTCATCGACGGCGACTGATTTAGCGAGCGAGGAAAGTATGACCCTCAAAGTGCAGCAGTGATACTCGCTGAAGGCATGGTTTCTATTTCCAAGCGCCGACTCGGCCACCACTGCGCAGAAAGCGTTTAGCTGGGAGTTGAAAGCAAAGCGATAGAGATAAGTACTAAGTTTGACGATGACCTCTTGGAGGTCTGCAGCGCAAAAGGTGCGTCGCTTATCGTGCTGGGCGTCTGTACTCGCGTCGCTAGCCCATATCGGGACGAATCAGACAGAAAACAAATCATGGCTGAGACTAGCAGTTTTCGCGCAGAAGATCGCGTTCGTGGCGCCCGGGGCACCTTCTGCGAGCGCAACCAGAGCCGCAACGGAGGAGAGAATTGAAAAACCATCTGAAACCCCGTCCAGTAACAAGCCTCCGGCGTCCGCAACTCGCCACCAGGAGAGTTCGCCGCTACCGGGCGCGGTGACGAGGTTCTACCGTGACGAGGCACAGGATGCGAATAAGAAAGCATCAACGTCGTTTGGCCACATGCCGGGGCCGCAGAAGCTTCCGACGGGAGTCGGCGTCACTCTCAGTGCGGAAGAAGCTGCTCAGAGGACCTCTTCGCTGACGCGGCTTCGTCTCGAATACCCCACGCTGTACCGCGGAGCCGTGGTCTTAACCGCCGTGTGTGTCGTCTTGATTCTGATCTTGCTCGTGGATCGGTGGTGCTTAGCGGGGAGCAGATCGAGTCGCGCCGTGAGTACCCGGGATGTGTCTATGACGCAGCGTTTGCACGACCCCGTTGAGGAGGAGTCGATGGAGTGAGAACAAAATTCCTGATCGAAGTTGACCACGGACCTGGCTGGATGTTTTTTGTGCTTCATCATAAAAAAGACGAACAAGAAAACGGTTATTTGCCAACCTGGATACCATAGAAATTTGTCCGATCCCTTCAGTGACCAAACAAAATTGCTCGTCTCTGTGTCAGTCTCATAGAAGTTCTCCGATAGCGAGACACATACTGGCGAATGAGCATGACGAGGTGGACAACAAAAAACCGATACAAAAATCGTTGATCCAACAAAAACCGATTCAAATGATCCGGTTCGTTCAGAAAATCCATAGACCCTGAAAAATTGTTTCTCACAGAGCGTGGTCTTCGGAATTTGTGTGCAGACACAGACGCGCGCTCACAAAAATGTGCGCAGAGCGATTGACCTATTGGAAACTGAGTTTTCCAAACAATTCCTTCAGAGATTCAACTGAGTAACAGCCGACAGCCCGACGTTTTAAGATATCCATCGAAAAGCCGGAGCCATCGCATTATGCTTTAGAGATTTTTTCGAACAATATAGTAAGTATACGACTTGCTTTTGCAGTGTGACTAACGTGTATCTCTTTTGACTTTCTGCTCTTTTTGACTTTGACAATACATCAGCTTTTCTATCTCAACCAAAAAAAATGTTGGCACTACGCTGTATCGTGTTTCTACTGACAAGTAACTACATCCAAGCTAGTGATCGCGACACCGGCGGGAAGACCAAGGGGAGCAAAGCAGTCACGAAAACAGTATCGCCGAGAGGCGGGAGGAAAATAGTCAAGAAGGCCTCGAGAAGCCCTCTGAGACGCGCGATTGCGGCGAATCGTGCGGGAAGCCGCTTCGCCGACTGCGTGGAAGCCTGCGGCGCGACACTGCAGAGCGACTATTTGGGTTCAAATGCGCCTACTTTCCTGCACACCCTGCGGCAAACTAGCCACCATGTGAAAACTGTGGTCGACACGGAGCTCGGATTTGAGTCGTGTTTCTGGGAGGCGCTGCGCATGCACGTCCGATTCTACCAAACGAAAAAAGTTAAGGAGCAAGCCCGGTCCTTCACAAATCAACCTCCCGCAGCCGCACCGGGGCATGCGGGGGAATCGCCGGATTTCAAAATCACTCACGCCGGGTGGGTCGATTTGCCGGGCATGATGCGGGATGATTTTGGCGACTTTAATATTCCGGCGTTCGCTGATGACGCAGATGACACACAGCTCTTGGAAGAAACGACAGAACCGGCTAGAAAACAACAAGAGCAACGCCTGCAAGCGATATTCCATCGATATCTTGAGGGAACAAGATGTGTTGGGCCAGCAGAACTGCATGTTTTAGAGCCAACAACAAGAGAAGAAGAACGGCGGAGGCTTGAGGCGCGCGTCGACCACAAGTTGCGAAGCGTCGCCTCTCCTAACGACACCGATGCTTTCGTTGGCGTGCTTGCGCGCCGTCTCCTGGCACAGAAGTTCGGCAGCGTGACTGCCGCAAGGCAGCTCCTACTGCATGCGCAGACGGGTCAGATTACAGCACCTCCCGCGAAGGAGCCCGCCGCATCTTCTGGCGGCGTCGGTCCTACAAGAGGTAGTGGCTACCTGCACCTATTCGCTTTGCGGGAAGCCGCTAACGCGTTGATCCACCTCGAAGACGAGGAAAGTAGAACTCCAGAATCACCAGTAGGCGAAGCGCGCCGCACCCTGGAGGCGTTTTGGTTCCCGGTAGAAACAAGAAAAGATCAAAATGCACCGTCGTCGTTTTGGGATTTGTGCCAGTCGGGGACAAAATATCGCAACTACCTGATGGACGCTGCGACCAAACTTGATCCCGCTTTTCCGATTCACGGAAGATTAGCAAAGTACGACTACTGTCATCAGTTGGTGTTGCGGGAGCTCGGCCGCATCGGCGCCCGGAACGCGAAACTCCTGCCGCAGGTGCGACGGACCTTGCTGACCATCGGCAACATTCAAAACTACACTTCTAACAAGCATGACGATGATTCCGAGAACCCGCAAATAGACACCACTACTCTTGTCGACTGTTATGTGCAGTTATCGGGAATAAATTTCAGTCTGGCCCTGCAGTGGCGGGTAACGGTTTTCGCGCTTGGGCAGCTGGCGCAGAGCGGGGCTGAAGACGCGTTTCAGGCCCTGAGTGACATATTAGTGCGCAGCGAGGGCGACGAGAACCTGCTGCAAGTATTTGTAAGTCCGGGCTCTGTGGCCTTGTCAGAGATCGGAAAGGTGGCCTTGTTTGCGGAGCGATATCCGCATTTGAGACTCGAGGCAATTTCTTTTCTGTCGGATCAGGGGTCAATTATTTGGCAGGAGGAACCGGATGTTGAGCTACCTGCTCAAGTGGCGCCTAATGTTGCAGATCAACAGCCCGACGCGAACCATCTTTTCTACACCGGGTCGCCCGACCTGGACGCTGACTACGATCCGGCGTTCCGGTTCGCGCAGCCACCGCTGCGGGCGACGCGCTTGGAGATCGGGGAGAAGTGGCTGGCGATCGCGCATCATGCGCGGTTACGGGAAGGAGCAGAGGCGACCGCGCTGCTCGCGGAGCTGGCGCGTCATGGCTGGAACATAATGACGGGGGAGATACTGCAGTTCAACTGGGTCAACCACCCGTTCCTCGATCCGGTCGTAAGTCTTGTCGACTTAGCGGAGAACGTGCTCTGTCGTGCTGGTCCAGGTTCTTCCCCGAAAGGGACGGGGACACCGCGGATGAACAAGCTGCGATTCCTCGGCGAGAAAGCCTTTGATGTGATCTCGTTTTTGGAGAAGGGGGTTCTTCGAGCGGTGACCAATCGCGTCGATTCCAGATCGTGGCCGGACACGGACAGCCATGAGGTAATGTTTCAGAAGACACTGGAGAAACTGCCGGATCTGGCCGGACCCAACTGCCTGGAGCGTGCGGATCCTGTGCTGGAGATTTTGAGCGGGAGTATTCAACAGCAGCAAGCACACATCGCACCGACCGTGGCGCGGTACTTTGACCTAGACAACCACCGTCTGAACGCCATCGAGACGCTCGCGCCGCATGTGAAATCCGAGGAGTCGAGGATGGGTCTGATGAAATTCCTATTGACAGGGGTGGCAATGATGCGTCCGGTCGACGGCACATCGTGGGTAAGGGCGAAGCGGCTACTATTGGAGCTTGTCTTCAGTGCGGAGGCCGATGGAGTGGAACGGATTTCCGCGGCCGGGGCGGCGGAGGGCCACAATGTTCGACCACATCGGAGCTTCGCAGACCGTTTCAGGGCCGACTTAGTTGCGCATCCGAAGATTACAACGCCGTCTCTGCGTATTTATGTCGAAGAGCTCGACAATTTTATTCGGGCTTTGGAGTCGGGGGATTTCGCGCCGCTTATGGAAGACGTGAGTTCGGCTGAACTTTTTGCTTGGGATGTGATTCGTCAGGACCGCAACCGATTGATTTCCTGGGCAAGGGAGACAAGACAAACCCTGCGAAGCAGATATGAAGAGCGGGTACGCATGACGAGTCGTCAGCTGGGTAATGGAATTGCTGCCGAGGTTGTTTCTTGAGGAAGAATTACCAGCGTCCAATGTATGATAGGTCAGTAAACATGGAATAAAGCGTAGTTTCGATGGACATACATAGCATTGCTGATAGTACGTGGTATCAAACAGATATGATATATAAACGTGACAATATCGCCATAGAATTTGCATGGTCATGCAACCATAATTATGCGCAATTGAAATGTGTAGTTTCTGCGACGATTTTCGGGAATACGAACTGCAAGAATTAAAACGTCTCTAGTACTAGAAATGAGATACTCGCTAGACAGAGTCTTCGTGGCTGGCTTCTCTCTGGTTTTACACATCCTTCACATACGTGGCCTGTGGATACCAATTCACTTTCTGGCAAAAATGCACACGTTCACGTTGTTTATGTGACTCACTGTCTGACTCTGACCTCAATTTGAAAAATCTTTACCAGGTACAACTATATGAAAAGTCCCCGAACTACTATCTTTTGCCGAAAATAAACTCGCGTTAGGCACGCTCAAGGCGATGGTGCCTGTTCCGCACATATAGACTGTTCCATTCATTGCTATGTATCTACCACCGAAAAATAAAAGAAAGAAATCGAGCAAGCAGAGCGAAGTCTCTCGTCAGTCCTTTTCATGATCCGAGAGAAGGATAACTTTCGAGGGAACAACTCGCCGCGTTTGTTTTCTGCTATCCAAGAGAGAGCCTGATTCACTCGCACCACCATGGGCGCAGCTGCTGCTAAGGAGCACGAAACCGGCACCGCGCCGTCTTTTGGTGCGCAGCCCTTTGCTTCCCCAGGAGGTTTTTCCGCCGGCACGAACAAGTCGAATGAACCAAGCGGCCGGCGCGACTCCTCGCAGCCAAAGCGGCGGGGCTCGGCGAGCAGACAGATTCCCGGTAGCTCTCCACAGGACCACCGTTCTTTGCGCGAGCTGCGGCGACAGTCAAGGCGCGAGTCCCCGGAAAGCAGCGATTGGAACAAGATTCAGCGGCGGAACTCCGCAGGGATCTCGATCTACACAAATGATGGGGATATTGAGCAACAGCAAGATGTTGAGCGCAGCAGATTGGAGCAAAAAGAGCGTGTGCTTTTTGACTACGAGGCACGCGACCCGGCGAATGCGGTCCAGGTCGAGCCAGAGTACGAGGACGAAGAGGAGACCGAAAAGTATCGGCAGAAGGTGCGTCAGCTCGAGCTAGACGTGTTGACCAGCGGTGCGGGGGGACGGGGCAAAATGAAGGATGCGCTGCTTCACCTCTACTCCTCGCAGTCGACCACGGTTAACGGGGGGAGCAGCAGCAGTGGGGCGTCTTCGTCTTCCTCGGCGTTGTTTGATCAGGCGATTCAGTTTTCCAGATCCGGAACCAACACGTCTAATAACTCCTCCAGGTCGCAATCAAAGGAATTTCATTCCAGCAACAGCAGTACCTTCTCGCGAATGCAGAGCAAGGAGACGAACAACGGGAGCAGTGTCGAAGAGCAGAATTATCAAATGTAAAAATGTCTGGGTCTGGAAGAATTCATGTTTGTCATGCTTGTCTGGCATGACTGTTAAATCTGTCACGCACGTTACCCGAGAGCTCCGTTTTTCTGTGATGCAGAAGCGCAGTTTGTCATGCGGAATAGACAACAGCAACACCGAGGAGCTCAGAAACTTGTCATGCTGAGCCAGCATTTGGAGCCTCATCATGATGCGCCACCCAGCATCACAAGTTTCCAGACCCAGACATTTTTACATTTGATAAGAATGACGCGTTTGCGATTCGCTTCAACAGCAGCAGCAAGGGCACCAGCAGCTCGAGCAGCAGCAACAACCTGCTTCCGCCAACTTTGTCCTCCTCCTCCCCTGTGGAGTCCTCTCCGCCGGCCAGCAGCAATTCCATGTCCCGGGAAAAGGTGTTCTCGCCCGGGCTGGGCTCGGTCTGGAGTTACCCCGAAAGCCCACTGTGCAGGCGGATAAAGGAAGCGACTGCTGGCGCCGACTCGTCGGACGACGAGGACGAAGATGTGGACGAAATAGTGCAGGACCCGCTGGACATGCAGTACGAGCGGGTTCTGCAGGCGATCCAGGAAAAGAAGGAGCTGTTGGCGCAACTTCCGGCGGGAAAGAAATTTACGAACGGGCACGCATTGAGCGCGGGCGCGTCGGGAGGTGGTGGAGGTAAGTATTCATAGTCGCGCTAAAAATCATAGTATCTATTAGTCTTGACGACCTGCTAAGTCGCGCACTGGCGACCAGAATGCGTATATTAAGTTATCGATCCAAACGCAGGTCCAGACAAGCTTTACCGCGCTACGTGCCGTACACGCGAGCGTGTGGCAAAGCAGTTGCTTGAGGACCAAAAGTTTGCGGTTGGGGATGATTTACAAAGGAAGCAAACACAGCAAAAAATATGGCGATTACGCAACGAATATTCCGCGGACGATCGAGGGAAAAAGCGAACGAAAAAAAGACCGAACGAGTCTGTCTGGTACGACGACGAAGATGGGAGTAATTTTTGATCACATTCATGCAGAGAGCGAAAAAAAATACAAATGAATCGCATTTTTCAACAATCTAATTTGTTGCACAGCAAGATTCGAAGAAGGCTCGGACTTTCTCAACGAGGATGTTCAAGTTGTGCACCAATCGCAATTGAACAAAGCGCGACCACCGCTCGTAGTCGTACGGATCCGAATGTCGACCGATAATAGACGCGTTTCGCGATCCGTTGTTCGGCTCTTTCGCGGATTCTTGGAAAAAGAAAGAAAAAAGCATCTGCCTATCGGTTCGTGCGCCATGTTGATGAATGATGATTCGTGCTGCTGACAAAGATGAGATCAGTTCCGTTCGTGCAAGAAGTAAATGCGCCACTCGTCGTGCGGGAATTTCACTTGGACGGATTAAGTAAGTACGCAAGGTCAAAACTACTTTCGTGCAGAATAGTGATTGATGACTCGATGCTCCGAAAGGATCCTTGTGACGTTCACTCGTGAAGTTCTCGATGTTTCTGTTGATTGTCGTTCTTGAATAAGGTGCTGGCGAAATAAAGTACGAGAAGATTTCTTTGCGTATTGCATAATCTGATTCCATTCTTGACAGAGCTGTATGTTATCATCGTGTTGTGACCCCTTCGGATCGACAGGAAGCAGAGCCATCGTAGTGTCTATACGATATGGCATTGATACTTACATTCACTTTGCATATGTAGTTTTCTGGACCTGTTGTAACACGGACTAGTTTTTCTTCTCTCTCTAGGTAGACAGCTTATTTTTAGTGGTGCGCTTTTGCTGCATTATTTGGCTATGGGATCTTCAGGTTAGTAGTTTCAGCTTTGTTCTAGAAGTTTCTTGCGCGACGAAGTGAGTGCCACTTTCATTCTTCTTTACTCATCGAGCCTTTTTCGTCTGCGATTTATGTTTTTGTTGGCGATTTTCATTTTGCTTTTTCCAGTATGACAATGAGTGCGGGTTTTGGGGACATCGCCACCCCATATCCTGTGAAGGAGTGGGGTGTGGTATGGGACGAACCCGGCTGGCAGCAGCACGATTTGACCGGTCTGCAAGAGCGATTTCCGGCATTGTATCCGTTCCGACTGGAGAATGAATTCCACGAATATTGGTCCCTGCACTTGCGGCAGATGTACTGGGTCCCGTGGGCCTTGAGCGCGATGTAATTCATCTTTTCATGATGGGCAATAAATAGTTTGCTAATTGTGAAATTTTTTCGCTCGGAACAAACGAATGTCGGAAAGAAATGGTTTTTTCGAAAGCACTTCCATCAACTAGTACGCACATTTTTCATGAAAAAAAAACAGATACGTCCTCCTCGTTCTCTACGTCGGCCCGTATCTGATGCGGAACCGGGCCCCGTGGCAGGTGGGCACGTCTCTCCGATATTGGAATCTTTTCCTGGCCGTGTTCTCTTTCCTCGGCATGTGCCGGACGGTGCCGCACCTCCTCGCGTTACTCTGGCAGGTGGGATGGCGGAGGTTAAACTGTGATCCGGCGAGCGTGTTGTATGGCTACGGAGCGTCCGGGTTCTGGACCATGCTCTTTGTCCACAGCAAATACGTGGAATTTGTCGACACTTTCTTCCTCATCGTGCGAAAGAAGCCCGTCAGCTTGCTTCACTGGTAAAAATGTTTGGTGACAAAATAGTACTGCTCGAAGTGATCAATCCTTTGTTCTCGGGTGGACAATTCCATAGCGGAGGTCTACGTCTTTCAAGATGATTCCAGTCGCGTTTGCTATAAAACATTTCCATATTACGCTCGACGATACATCATCATCATCATTATCATGCCGCATCAGGTACCACCATGCTTCCGTGCTCCTATACTCCTGGCATGCTTCTATGCACGAGACGCCGAGCGGCATCGTGTTTGTGGCAATGAACTACACGGTACACGCGCTCATGTACTACTACTACTTTCTGACCGCGAGTAAGATTTTCCCTAAGTGGGCTCACGTCGTGACGAAGTGCCAGATTCTGCAGATGATCTTCGGCATTGGCACCACGTGCTCTGCTTTGGCTTTCTATTTGGGCGCGCGAGCAGGATCAGGTGGGAAGGCTGAGTATATCGTGATGGGCGAGGAAAAAAATGCAGATATAGGGAGCAAGAACAACTACCGCTGCAGCACACCGCCAGAAAACCTGCTTTTCGCGGGCGGAATCTACCTGTCCTACTTCTTACTGTTTGCGCAGTTCTATTTACAGAAATACAAGAAAGCGAGGACGGCGGAAAAGGAACAGGCAGGCAAGAAGCAAGAAGCGGCTGAGACAGAAATGATCCCAAACGTTAGGGTGGTGAATAGAGCCAGTACTGTGCTGTATAGCAGTACTCAACAGGGGGGGGCATCGGAAATGAAAACTCCGATCCTGCAGCAGCGTATTCCAAATAAATACAGTGACGCATCGAGCGTGAGCACCTGTGCGTCAGGACTTGGTTCAGGTAGCGAAACAGAAAAAAGTCCGGTTTTGGTAAGGTCGCAGGTATCAGTAGGCAGCAGTGAAGATTACACTGGGGACCTTAATAAGGCTAAGCAACAGTGAGGTTGTTGTCGCGGGTGCAGGTCGTCGCCTTATGCATGTCACTTCGGGGACCGCACGTTGAACCTGAGAAACAAGACCCGAAGACGCAGAGCGTATTGCGGGGAAGGTTTTTTCCGATGCCATCGCCTTTTGAGCTTTAGAGGAAAAGAAAAACGATCAAATTTTGAGACACAGCATTCTGCGTATGCTTGTCGCAATTTTGATGGCGGTATTGGTTGCGCTTTTACCACCACCACACTTAATAGTACTAAATGCACCGAGATGTAGTTGTACTTGCGATAATTGCAATGACACGCTTTACCTTGCAGGATGAGTTAATCCCAAGCTGGACATCGGCTTTGGCAAAAGAAATACGTCGGGGGGAGGGCCTTTCCTCGAGAATGCGGAGGTTTTTGTTCCTGGCCGACGTGATGAAAAAGACACTGACAAAAGACGTGTACCATGGACTTAAAATAAACCTTTGTCACAGCATTCGATCGTAATACTATCTTTGCAAATACACAGTGGCCATTATCTGTCTGTGGATGTGCTGTCCCTTTCTAATGAAGATTTACGTCTCGACGGATCTCCAACGATCATGATGGGTCTGCGATTGCGTACGCTCTTGCTGGCATAGCCAAGAGGTATCATGCAAGATAGCCCGAGCGATGTATTATGAAGACAAAGTTGAAGATTGATCACGCAGAAATTGAAGCTCAGAGCTAACATGGGAATTGCCGTGCATAGTCTGACAGTTTTATCATGGTCTACTTGCTCGTTGGTTCAATGCAATGGATATGAATGGCGTTATCCCAAGCTACTTATTGTTTTCAAGATCTCGACCCGCAAATGAAGTATTTGCAAGATTCCCCGCAACTATTTATGTCGATCCTCGTCTGGACCAGCAGCGGCAGCACTGCTAACAAAAAATGAAGACGAACAAATTAAGTGCAATCTTGCATGTATTGAGCTTTTTTGATCCGTTGAAAAATTTCTGAAAACAAATTTTGTGCGAAGTAGCGGTTGGATTGCATAAGGACTTTTTTAAGGAGCAACAGGTCTTTTCATTGTAACAGTTTACCGCAGCAACCATTGCAAAGCAAAGACTGCCTAGCACTTTATTTTTCAACAAGTTTCACGCTGACTTTTGACGTTGTAGTTGTCCTTTACAATACATAGCACGTGTGCTCTTAAAGAACGGCGCAATGGCAGCTGCAGAGGCAAAGAAGAAGGCCGCTGAGGAGGCGTCCAAGGAAGAGGCCAAGCAAGAGGTATCGAACTTATTAAAAATCCTGCGTGATACTATGCATCGAACGGACAAAAACCTGTGTGCTGTGCCACGATGAATTTTTGTCCTTTGCTCTGTGGTGTAAAGTAAAAGTTTTCAGTTGAATGTCGTCTAAGAGGGGTGGGAATCGAATTCTCATTTTGCATGGAGATTGAACAACCTATCAAATCGAATCCCTCCAGGAGGAAGCCCCGGCCGAGGCTGAGAAGCCAGTTGACGAAGAGAAAGAACAGGATGCGGTTGTCGACAAGAGAGCGAAGATCGCCGACGATGCGGTTTGTTTCACCGATTTCGCCTTCGGCGCGGTGTCATCCGGTTCATCGTTTAAAGTCCTCGGAGAAGCTGCGTACTTAGAAAAAATACAACTTTGTGTTGCCTTGTCTCCATTTATTTGCAGCTGTACGAAAGAGAAGTTCACAATTCCAGCATCTCTGTTTAATCTTGGTGGAGCATCAGCTTCTAGTAAGTACCCAAAGAACACCGATGCAGTTGTAGCGATTTTCATTTTTGTCACGTACGTTTTGCACATTGAGATTGAGTAAAACACAAAATCGCAAAAGAATAAAACAAACAGCTGCATCTGGACGGGGGCAAAGCTAAGCGTTGGCGTGAAGAAAGGGCGCTATCTGGTCGAGTTCCGCGTGTTTGATTATTACGAGAAAGCTCGCGTTGGGGTTTCCGCCGTGAGCGAGCACGGCTACGGCGAGCCGTCCGATTCGATGTGCCTTTTCGATCTGCTTGGACCAGATGTGTACAACGGGTCCAAGATTGAAAAGCGACCGAACAAGCCGACGTTTCAGCAGAAAGCACTCAAGACCGACGTGATTGGCTTGTTTATCAACATGGACCCTAAATCGGAGAACAAAAACACTATTTCACTGTAGAAATTTTTTTCGCCATGCGCAGCAGCCCTGAGTTTTTCTTCTTTTCTGAGAAGTCATTTTTGTATAATGCCGCTACGAAGGTGCATGTGGTGGATAGCTTTTCGATCCCAAGAAACCGCTTCCTTCCGCTGTAGGTCGAGTTTGTCAACATTTCTTCCGTGGAGGTGTCGTTGAAATAAACAGTGACTGCTGGAACAACAAGAAGTTTGCATGTAAAACAACAAACAGATTCCTGAACGGCGTACGGGCCTCGGACCCGGTGGCGCTACCGGAGACCTCGAACTCGTGGTACCCGACGGTCTGCTTGAAGGGCGGCGCCGCAACGGTGAACACTAGTGGTGAGCCATGGAAACCCTTGGTGTTCCGAACAAATAACCTGGCCGTAGCCGCGAAGGCCGACGTGGAAGTGCACAAGGAAGACGTTCGGGACAACAACGGTCCAGAAGCCATTTTCGTGGTGGCCGCAGACCCGCAGAGCGAAGCCGTACTGAAAGAATTCGAAGATAGCAGGGAGTACTTCGTCGTCAGCATGAAGGGAATGATCGACAAAGCAATCAAAGCAGGTATTTACTTGGGGTTGAACTCGAAATATTACAGCTAGAGCTTCTTACGTGCCATGCGCAGGAGGTGTTATCGAAACAGGGGTTTTGCATAGAGCAAATTGTGTGAGTTATGGCTTTTGGAAAAGTCCTCGTCCCTAGTTAGCCATGCCCTTGCGCGGCCACCGCCTGGCGCGCAGAGATAAAAGAAAAAACTATCCTTTTACAAGTACAGGCACTTCGACGAAGAACAAGCAAGGAAAATCTGGGTGGGACTTGGTGGATTTCCCAGCCAGTATCGTTCCGCTGCTCGCATCTACTACGTCCTACAGCGGCAAGTACGTGTTCGCCCTCAACTCCGGTTTGAAGCAGGAGGACCGAAAAAATTTTATGAACATTTTCTGCCCATCCACCAACGTGAAAGCAATGGTGTTCCCCTCTACTTTCGATATCGGCGGCAGCATCGGACCGGACGTCATTGCCACACCAGCTGCAGTATTGCTCTTGATTTGCTCTGCTTGCGTATCTGGCAGAATACAGACTGTTTCCTCAAGGTTCTTTCACTTTGCATAGGTAAGCAACTTCTCTCCCACGGAATTCATGCTTTCTAACATCCACAACAGAACCTGTCCCTGCCCACCGAAGCTGAGGGATTCGCATCGGTTGAATATGCGAGCGGCACCGAGAAGACAAGCGAAAAAAAGTTCGAGGCATTCAAGAAGCGCGTTGGCCTGCGGGAGTGCCTGCGGGACCTGAAGCCCGGTCCATTTTTCAAGGAGTTCACGGAAGAGTACGCGACGGTCAAGAAACAGATGCACAAAACCACGGCACCCAAGAAGGGAGACAAGGCAAAAGATCCCTCCAAGGACGAGCTGTCGCCCGACAACAAAGGGGAGGAAGAAGAAGACGAGGAAGAGGGTACTGCGTGTTTGTTTTCGACAATCAGGGTTTATACGATATTAGGTCTTCCTAGAGTAAATTGTTTATACCAATTTCGTTCTCGAAGATGATTGAGCAATATGATAAAGTGGGAAATGTAATTATGTACGAAAAACTAAAACAACAGCAAAAGTGTACCCGGTCATGGAGGGTTTCTCGGAAGAAGATTGGATGTTGGCACAACTGCGTGTGGAGATGCATGCCTTGCTACATTCTTTCCTGAACGACAGCGACGCAGAACGACTCGGCTTCACGCCACCGAATCTCCCGTTTTACTACATGCTGTACAGATGGTTATTTTTGACTTCTGACTAGCAGCGAGCCTACCCTTTGTTGTGTTCTGTATAGAACAATGAAATTATGACTGAGACCGACTAGGAGCATTAGGCTCATGTCCACTGTTCGTGATGGTGCTGTTCACAACAGTTGTGAATGTGAATTGGTACTGATCTTTGATTCGATTGAATAGCTGAAAGAAACTCACAGGTACGCAAGCCGGCCGTTTAACCTCCAGAGCTATGGTCTTCATACGCCCGAGAAGCTCGCGGACCTCATTCCGGATGTAGTACGATTCGAGGACGGGATGTTGATGCCGCAGCTGCCCCTGGGTTCCACAGCGGAAGACTTGATCATGCTCACGGAGCAGGCTCGGGTCGTGCGGAAAGACAAATACGACGCCGGAGACGACACCGCCGCACTGAAGTTCCAGGCATTCGCTCCGAAGGCTGCCGGCGCTCGCCCGATGGGCGGCGCCGCGCCGATGAACATGATGAACATGCAGGCGCAGGGTGGCAACATGAACATGCAGGGCAAGATGCCGATGCAGGGCAAGGGAAACATGAATATGAACATGAACATGAACAACATGAAGGGCCAGCAGAACAACTTCGGGAAGAACCAGAATTTCGGAAAAATGAACCAGGGCAACGGATGGGGAAACAACAACAATCGCTGGGGAAACAACAACCAGGGCTGGGGAAACAACAACCAGGGCTGGGGCAACAAGAGACAGAACATGGGTGGTCAAAACTACAACAACAAGCGACAAAACTTCGGATACTAAGCAAGGCATTACGAGCAAGAGAAGATATGCTCGTATGGTTTCATCGATATCGACGACGTGTAGGAAAATGGAAAGATTAAGAGTCACGCGTTGTAGTTGTTCATTTTAGCGGTAGGAAAATGATCACGCGGACAGGAACTCGTTTTTACCAGGAATACGAGGACAAACTAATACGCAATGGAATTTTACTATATTCACGATAAATGAATCTTCACAGAATCAGATTCATCAACATGAATTTACGAAACCATTCGGATCCCGAAGGACGGAGTATCACAGTAATGAAGAAAATGACCCTCTAAAGAAGTAGATGTAGCTTCATTTGTCTCACATCTTTGTCGCGCCTTGACTGATGAGCAAGATATGGGGCCGAAACAGCTCGAGGAACCTCGAAGAGACATGAAGCACGTGCGTACAAGCGACAAAGGAACTCTCAGGCGGAGGCACACAGCATCAACATATGAAAGCCTTGTGGCGAGTTCCGGTCAAGAAAGTGGCCTGATCTTGGTGCGCCTTGATGGCACCGATGCTTGTTCTTCCCCAAATGAAGTGGCGGAATCGAAAATCTCGCTCGTGATTTAGAGGCGCCGCGGTAGAGAGCGTCGAAGTTGGACGCCAGCGCCACCCCGTGCGTCTGTTCAGTTGCTGCGCAGAGTTCCCGGGGGCTCCGCCGACGATCTAGACAGCTACAGGGGGATAGTCAACGCTCCAACGCTGACGAAAATCCTGGCCGCAGTGTGCGCCGACCGGCTCGGCGGAGTCGCCGCGGCTGTTGGCTTTTTCAGCCCGGGCCCGGTTTGTGGTGGCTTCCGCCGGGGGCACCAAGTCGATGGAAGCACGCGGCGCGCCTGCCGGCTGGCGCAGGGTATAGCGCGGCTCGCCAGGGGCTTCGGCGCGTATTCGGGGGCGCCCTTGGGCTGCCCTTGGCGTAGGCCTATCGGGGGGATGGGGCCGCCTTTGGAAGGCTTGGCGCTGGGCGGCGCAGGCCTGCCGCGTCGCTTGCCGCCCCAATCAACGAGGAGGGGCCGGCCCACGAGCATGGGCATTGCGTGGAAAGCGTGGCGAGTGTTTCAAACCGCGCTCGTCATTATGCTGGTGCTCTCCAAAAGCCGCCACTTCGACCGGGATGCCTACACTGCGCAAGCCCCTACAATGTACACGGCCACCACATTCGCGCTTCCCGACATGAACGACGCCAGGGGGCGGGGTTGGGGTGCGGGGCGCCTACCCCCGGCTATTCGACGAGTTCGGCGCAAAGAGCCATCATCTTCAGGAAGATGCCACGCTTGCCAGCGCCCTGCGTTCCCAGACACAGCGGCTGGCGACCTTCTAAATCGCACACGGGCGGGCCGGGCGGCAGCTCATGCGGTATACGGGGCATGAAGGCCGCTGGGAAGGCGGCGAAGAAGTTGGGGACGAAGAAAGAGCCTGGGAGGGGGGCTGGGAAGGTACCTGACAAATCCAAACGCTAAGGGGAGTACGCACTGCGCATAATAGGGAAGCGCGCTCCTTTCATGTCGGCCGGCCGCAGATTGTTGCCGCCAGCGCGGGGCCGCCCGGCGCCTTCCTCCCAATCTGCGCCGTGAAGCCTCCCCAGCCGCGCAGGCCCTGCCGCCCGACTATTATGTGCGTGGAGATCAAGAAGAAGGCCGTCGGCGGTGACGTATTCTGCGCGCGCCAATATGCAGACGGCGCCCCGGGAAGATAGGGAGGAAAGCCCTGCGCGCCTTGAAGACCCCAAAGCCTTCGCCCCGGGCCCGCGGGGGGAATGCGGTGGCGCCGCCGCTGCGCCACATCGATCGGCCGCCCGGCCCGGTCGGTTTTTTCCGGCGGGGCCCGCGCCCGCTTCCTGCCCGCCCTGGTCGCGCCCCCCACACCCGGCGCGCAGGCAAGGCGCTTGCTGCAGGCGCGGCCCGCCACGCGTCGGGGCTGCGCCGGCCGGCCCCAGGTTTTCTCAACGCCCGGGCACCCCCGCGCGCGCCCCCGGCCCCTGTCTTCGTAGCCGGGCCGGCGCGCCGCGGTAGGATGTTGGCCACGGTTTTGCCTGTTGCCCGGCGCCTGGCGCTCCGAGCAGTTTTTGGCTCGTGTTGGGGGGCTGCTTGAAGGAGCCCGCGCGGGGCGTCTGCCGCAGCGGTTGCAAACTCACCAGTCAAGGGCGCGTCCGCTCGGGCGCTCGTGTCATTCTATAGGATGCCAGCGAGTGGGTTTGTGTGGAGCTACAGAGGCAAGGGATTGCATTATGGCTACGCGTGATGCGGCAGCAGCTCCAGCGCGCCTGGGCGTGCTGGGCACATGCAGGAGTGTTGTTCTCCCAGGCGTTGAAAAGCGGAAATCTATCTGTCCTCCTGTGCTTGAGCCGCATTGTAAAAGTATGGATCCGACAAAGTAAAGTCATAGGATGTTGTAAACAGGACACGAGATGATCATGAGGGGGTCATCGAGGAAGATCCTGAAATCGTGCCTGTGTGAATGCATGCCTCATCGATGATGAGATAAAACAGGAAGGATCAGAATCACAATCCACATGTTCATCTGCAGATCCCAGGAAAGAAAGGAAGACGAAGAAAATTCACCTGATCGGAATCAATAAAGCCTTCAGATCGCAGCTGAAATGAGATCACCAAAATGTGGCATGTGAGGAAAGCTTGCCAGTACTGAAGATCGAACGCATGCGCATCGTGCTTATTGTTGTCACGTATCAGGGACAGGGCGCGACTATATTGATATTTGTGGTACCGATCAGCTACTCGCATATATTTGGTCCGAAAAGTGAAAACATTGGTGGCAACGGTTACATACAAATCTTCAAGCTATTCAAGAATTGTGAAACGAAAGAAGTGAAATACAACAAGAACCACCACGAAAATGTCGCGGCCGGAGTATCTGGCGCCGCCCGAGGTGTTCTACAACGGTCCCGAGGCGGCAAAGTATGGTGGGAACAGTCGTATGATCAAGATTCAGACGCAGATGACGGAGCGTGCGTTGGAGCTGGCGAGGGTTGAGCCCAACAGCGGAAAAGCAATACTGGACATCGGATGCGTATGGAAGTGTCAGAATCGAAATCAACAGAATCGAAATAATTTGTGATGCATAAAATGTAGGGCACGTAAGGCCTGTGCTGGGGAGAAGGCAAATGAGACCGATTGCAAGCCTGTTTAGGGGAAGAAGACGCGTTGCCAGAGCAGCATGACAGGAGCAGTCTTCTTTGCCCAAACAGCATGACAGACTGGATTTTGCAGCTCCCGAAATTTGTCATGCGCCACTTGAAAACTGAGGGTCCAACTGGTATCGATTTTATGCACCACAAATTTTTTGATTTTGATGATTTCGATCCTGACACATCCATAATGCGGGTCCGGCATTTCCGGGGAGGTTCTGAGCGAGCACGGGCACTACTGGGTTGGGTTGGACATCAGTCAGCACATGCTGCTCGTCGCGTTAGAGCGGGAATCCGAGGGGGACTTGATGCTCTCAGATATGGGGCAAGGCTTCAAGTTCCGACCGGGCGTGTTTGACGCGGCAATAAGCATATCGGCGCTTCAGTGGCTGTGCAACGAAGACAAGAAGGGCGTCAACAAACCGTTTCAAAGGTATAGGGATATTTCAAACAGCTTAGCCACATATAGAAGTTTCAAACCAAGCATTTTGTGCATTTTCTGCAGTATGGACTTTCGAAAAAGAAATGCACGCCAAGGTAATTTGCAAGTACTTATAAATATCTGAAGTGCATCAAGAATTTCAATTCCCGAATGAAAATTCTACTACCTGCTCCTCAGGGCGGTTCGATTTTTCCAAGACCTGTTCAACTGCCTGAGTCGGGGCGCGCGGGCAGTGCTGCAGTTCTACCCCGACGGGCCGGACCAGATCGAGATGCTGACCAGTGCCGCCATGAAGTCCGGCTTTACCGGTGGGCTGGTCGTAGACTACCCACACAGTGCCAAAGCGAAGAAGCACTTCCTGGTCTTAAACGCCGGCGGCGTTGTCGGTGCGAGCGCCAGCGCAACGGCGCAGGAGCAAGGGAAAATGGACGTCGATTCGGACTGCGAAGACGATTCGGACGGGGAAAACACTGCGAGAAATCAGCAGCAGGAAACGATCAAGGTCGAGCAGCGGGAAAAGGTCCAGAAGAAGCGAAAAAACAAAGCTGGCAAAGTGTCTTCCGTGAAGACAAAAGACTGGATCGTGAAAAAGAAGGAGCAGCAGCGAGCCAAGGGTCAAGTAGTGAAAAAGGACAGCAAATTCACGGGCAGAAAACGAAAACCCAGGTTCTGATGAAAATTTACCGACTTATATTAATTCACGACCCAGCGACATAAAAATAGTGATGAATACACAGTGGAAAGGGTGAACATGCTGCATATATATAATCTCTCCGTGACATTGGGAGACACGAAGATATTGCGCATAAAGCAATAACGACCTTTGTGTTGATCAACTCTCAGATCCAAATCATGAAAGATATCGACGTGACGACCACGCCACTAGTCGCGGCTAGCGGTTTTCTGAAGGAAGCCATGCTCCACCTGAATTTCAATTCATTAGTGTTCACCTTTCCTTTGGAAAATCGTAGATGACACAAGACTTCTCCTCCCCTCTGTCACAATTTGTTACTCGTCGTTTCAATGAATCGTGCTACTATCCTGAAAGTGGTCGGTCGAAATTCTTGTCAGAAACAATCCAAGCTTTATTTGATTTTGCCCATGTCAGGTCGTGGATGCTTATCAACCCCCTAATTTCGTCCTTACCTGCGTATCGTAGGTAAGCCAAGGGTTTTTCCCGATTCCTTTATTAGTAGCGGTAGCTCATGTTGGTTTTGGTTGCTGCCGCACTTGACCTCTTGTCGCGAAGCTTTATTTTGCACCCTTCGAAGATAGAACGACCCGTATCTATCTATCAGCACTAAGGTAGAGTGCAGCTTTCACCACTTCACTTACACTTTTGAAGAACGCAGAATAGAACCTTGAAACTCGTGCGTTGCTTTGCTCTTTTCCCCCTCGTCCCCCCGACGCCATGAGCGGCACAGAGGACGTGAATCCGGACGTCCGAATGAAGACAACGGGTCCGGAAAATGCGGTGGCCGACCTTGTCAAGGAGAAAGGGCTGCCGGTGGACGAGATTTACCAAATGCCCTACTCCCGAGCGGCCAATATTCCCAACATGGAAACCTACCAGCGGATGTACCGGCAGTCTCTGGATACGCCGTATGAGTTCTGGAACGACCAGAGCAGCAAACTCCTGAGGTGGCTCAGCCCGTGGAGAAAGTTGAAGGCCGAGGATATGAAAGCGGTATTAGAACATGCATAATTTTAATTTTCAGTTTGTTTGATCTGCGCAGCTGTAAGTTCAACCTCAGCTTCGCGCTGCGATCTCTTCCGTAGCGCCACGAAAGTACCGCCAAGTATGTTCAAAAACTATATTCTTTTCCGAACAGGGAGACGTTCGTTGGTTCATCGATGGTAAGTTGAACGCGTGCGATTGTTGTGTCGATCGCTGGGCCGAGCTCTGTCCGGATAAAATAGCCATTATCTGGGAAGGCGACGAGCCGGACAACATTCGAAAGATTACGTACGCCGAGCTGCTGCAAAAAGTCTGCCAGATTGCAAATCTTCTCAAGTTGCAGGGAGTCCGGAAAGGTAAATAAAGTGGCGATTGGCGTTGATAAAATAATCATGATAATGTGATATATCTTCGCATTTTTGTTGTGATGTGAGAGTTACGCAAGGTGGGAAGATGCGAAGCAGGTACGTATCGAAAATATCAAATTCGCTTCGACTTCCTTAGTAAAAATCACACCCTTCAGGCGACCGCGTTACCATCTACATGCCGATGATTCCCGAAGCAGCGATGTGCATGCTCGCTTGCGCTCGTCTGGGAGCCATCCACTCGGTTGTCTTCGCCGGGTTCAGTGCGGTCTCGCTGCGCGAGCGGATACTGGACGCGCAGTCTTCCGTCATCATCACAGCTGACAACGGGATCCGGGGGGGAAAGTTGATCAAATTGAAGCAAATCACCGACGAGGCGCTCGTGGGGTGTGATTTCGTCACGAGCGTTCTCGTCTTCAAAAGGATAGGTATTTACAGATAGACAACTTTCTTTGCTGGCACGAGGACTCAGTCTGTCTTTTTTACAGAGTGGCATTCATCAACATATTAATTTCGTGGCACGTGTCGAAAGTATCTATGGTCCATTTCGCCCCTAATACTACAGGTGAGTGCGCAATGAAACCCGGGCGCGACGTGGAGGTCGATGAGCTTCTTCCGAAAATGCGTCCCTACTGCCCCTATCAAGTGCAAAAGTGTCTGGGTCTGGAAAAATGCATGTTTGTCATGCTTGTCTGGCATAACTCCGAAATCTGTCATGCACGTTACCCAAGAGCTCCACTTTTCTGTGATGCAGAGACGCAGTTTGTCATCCAGAATGGGCAACACCCAGAAGCTCAGAAAATTGTCATGCTGAGCCAGCATTTGTGGCCTCATCATGAGACGCCACCCAGCATCACAAGTTTCCAGACCCAGACATTTTTACATTTGATAGTCCCCCAGAGGTGATGGACAGCGAGGACTTTTTGTTCATGCTGTACACAAGTGGATCAACTGGGAAGCCCAAGGGCATAGCGCACGGGACCGCGGGGTATCTGCTCTACGCCGCAATGACGCTGCGGTACGTTTTCGATTACCACGACGGCGATTTGCACGCGTGCGTCGCCGACGTCGGCTGGATTACGGGGCACAGCTACATTGTTTACGGACCTCTGTGCAACGGAGCCACGACGTTCATGTTCGAGTCCGTGCCCACGTATCCGGGCCCCGACCGCTATTGGGACATGGTGGCAAGGCATAAAATCACGCAATTCTACACAGCACCAACGGCGTTGCGCGCTTTGATGCGGTTCGGCAAGGACCCGGTCGAGAAGCACGACAGGAGTAGTCTTCGGGTTTTGGGGACTGTCGGGGAGCCGATCAACCCGGAGGCGTGGAGATGGTACAAAGAGTTTGCGAGGTTGAATGTATTCGGAGACTCGATATAAAAATCGGCACTGGCCTTTATTGAGCGGTTTTTCACAAAAGGTCGCCTTTTCAAAAATTTTTCACAGGTACTTCGGTTGTGTCGGCGACAAGAAGTGTCCGATCGTGGACACCTTTTGGCAAACGGAGACCGGGGGCCACATGCTGACCCCGCTCGCCGGGTGCACGCCCATGAAGCCCGGGTCGGCGACGCTGCCCTTCTTCGGCGTGGAACCGGCGGTGCTCCACCCGCAGACCGGGAAGGAGCAGCTCGGGCCGAATGTCTCGGGGGTGCTGTGCCTGAAACGGTCGTGGCCAGGGCAGTTGCGGACGGTATACGGGGACCACGACCGGATGCTCAACGTGTACTACAAGGGGTATCCGGGGTACTACCTGACCGGGGACGGCTGTATCCGGGACAACGACGGCTACTACTGGATTACCGGCCGGGTCGATGACGTGATCAACGTCTCCGGGCACCGGATCGGGTCCGCGGAAATCGAGCACAGCCTCGTGCAGAACGAAAACGTCGCGGAGGCCGCGGTCGTCGGGTTTCCCCACGAGATCAAGGGCGAGGGCATTTTTGCCTACGTGATTCTGAAAGCGCACGTCGTGGATTTCGTCCAGGCGGACATGATCCAGGCCCTGAAAAACAGCGTGCGCTCCTACATCGGGCCCTTCGCCACCCCGGACCGGGTCGTGTTGATTCCGGGTCTGCCAAAAACACGGTCGGGCAAGATCATGCGCCGGATTTTGCGCAAGATCGCGGCAAACGATACAAGTAACCTTGGCGACACCAGCACACTGGCGGAGCCCGCCGTCGTGGAGCAAATCAAGGAGGCCGTGGCGGCTATGTGAAGAGAAAAAATTACCGGAATTTGCATTCATATATGGTCATCGTTGCACTGCATTTTCCCGCTTTCGTAACAAACCTAACCCGTGTAGTATAAGCAAGGGCACTTATTCACCCATTTTCATACAATATCACCACTGCTCACGTTGCGCTGGTAAAAGCGCAGAGAAGTAGTTGGCGGCAACCCGGCACAACGACTTTGTGTAACTAAAGAAATGTTGACCCGCAGTAAAGTATCCCCAGCACTATCCGCGTTATCCTCAAATGAACTTGGTAGAGGAGCATAGCTCCAAAAACGCATCACCTACTACAAGGAGAATTTTCACGCTACGCCAGCGCTATTGCATTTCAACACTTTCGCATGCAAAATGTACAGAACAATATGACCGATTACGAGAATGATTTAAATGGGATCGAAGGTGGCCTCTTCTGCCCTGTGACCACCCTGAGCCGCTTTTCTGTTCAAGATGCAAAGACATGTCTCGAAATCGTGCATCGTAGCTCAACACGGCTCTATTTGTTTCTTTCATTCAGTCGGTCGGAGTTTCTCTAGTACGCGGGCTCGGTTGTTCACTGCTTCTGTATCAATCTATGCTATCTGCGACACCTACACTCATTGCCAACACAGTGACGGTCGGTTCATCGGTCAACTGTGTCTCTTTCTTTTGCCTTGGCCAGTTTCCGCATTCTGTGGCAGCTACCGTTTTGTCTTTAAGGCCAATATGTCATCCATGTTCTTCTGGCGCAAAGCGCGCCCGCCGACCCCTCTGCCGGGGTTTTTGCGCAAGGTAAAGGTTTGCTGCACGATCGGGCCGAGTTGCGAAACTCCGGAGACCATCCAGCAGATGGTGACGGAAGGAATGAACCTTGCGCGCTTCAATCTGTCGCACGAGAACGCCGCCGCACACAAGAAGGCGATTGGCACGGTCCGGTCGGTGACCGCGGCGTATTCGCGCACGAATCCGGTGGGGGTCTTTGTGGACACGAGAGGCAAGGAGATTCGCACTACCAGTCGCGACAACCCTCTAGATTTGGAAGAAGGCGCGCGGGTCCGGTTACGGTCCAGCTTCCAGTCGGGCGGGAGCAGCAGCTCGACGAGTAATAGGGCGGCGAGCAGCAGTGCCTCTTCCAGTGACGATCTGCCGCTGATCCACTTGCAGTACCCCAACATCCACGAACTCCTCCAGCCGGGGCACTCAATACGCATGCAGGACGGGGAAGTGCAGTTGACTGTGGAGTCCGTTGACGCCGCCGACCAGTCAATTTTGTGCAACGTTTTGTTTGACGCAAAACTGGGACCGGATCCAAAAAATGTGCATTTACCGCACGAAATAGCCCTGCCCTCGACGGAGATTTTGAAAAAGGAGGACGCGAAAGATCTGGAGCAGTTGGCGCCGCTGGCGGATGGGGTTTTGCTTTCCTTCACGGAAACGCCCGAGGAGGTAGATTTGGTACGAAGGAAGTTTCCCGGCTTGGAAATTGTATCGAAAATCGAAAGTGTCAAGGGCTTGAAAAACCTGGATGACATCATCGACGTCAGCGACGGCGTGATGGTGGCAAGGGGCGATTTGGGGATGGCCATCGAGGAAGCGCTGCACTCCGTTCAGAAGTACTTTACTTGCGGTTTCAAGGCTTGCATAGAGGTTTTCTTCTCATGATTTCGAGGGCATAGTAGTGGGTGAAGATGAACCCTATGCAAAAAACGATTTCATGTGCTGTTCAGGTACATCATCAAAAAGTGCAACGACGTAGGGTGTCCGGTGTGGGTGGCCACACAGATGCTGGAGTCGATGAAGACCAGCAAGAAGCCCACGGTTGCTGAACTCTCATATCAAAAGGAAAAATCCCCCCTCCCCATATCGAATAGGAAATCTGTGATGCTGGATTTGCGTACACAATTCAGGTTTGTCTTGCAGTAGAGGACTGCTGGCATATGCCAACCCGGGGCAGCGAGGTTTTGACATTGGCGCCTAGCATTACAAATGTCCACACTATAGGCACAACAGGATCTTGTTCACAAACAGCCTGCATAACGCGGCGCAGCCTGTGGAGTTGCCTTCTTGCAAGACAGAGACGATTTGTGGCCACAAATCAGCACTGCAAAGCTTCTGTGGCTTCCTTTTTAATATGGGGAGGGGTGATTTTTCCTTACGATATGTCCGACATCTCGAACGCAGTGCTGGATGGGGCGGATACCCTGATGTTGTCGGCCGAGACCGCAAGAGGGGACTACCCCGTCGATGCCGTCTCCACCATGTCGAAGACCGCGTTTGACGCACAACGACAGATGGAACTCGCCGCTAGCGTGAAGCTCAGACAAGAGGTAAGTACTGGTTTTGCAATATTAATTTCACCTAACTCATAATATGACCAACTCGGTATCTTGTCGATCTCGGTAGGACTAAGCATCATCGATTTCCATCTCGAAACACTATTAATTTCACCTGCAGGTGCAGAGCAACTACCAGAAGACACATCGGCGACTGTTCAAGGGTATCATCAAGCCGCGCCTGCAGCGCGACGAGCTGGAAGAAAACAACGGCGCGACTGACGCCGTGTACTTCGAGAACAAGCACTTGCTGAAGGAACTGCAAAGGAAGACCACCATGGACCAGTACGAAAAAATCGGTGATCCACTTCCTGGCATGGACGTCGGGGGTCAGGACAACAGCACGGACGTATAACTGTTTCGTGATTTTGACCGACTGATATGTAGCGTTTTCCGACTTTCGTTCAGCGTTTCGTTTTTCTGTTGCTGGTGCTGATCAACATCGTGTATCATGATTGTGATTCCAAAAACCACTACAGGCCTTGATCGAGGAGATCATCGTTCGCAATGCGACGCAGATAGCGAACGACGCGAACTGCAAGCTGATTCTTGCGATCACGGAATCCGGTCTCACCGCTTCTTTGCTAGCGAAATACCGGCCCTCCGCGGTGGTTCTGATGCTCACCGATTCCAAGGAGACACAGAAGAAATTTCTCCAAGTCCGCGGGGTGCGACCTGTGCTGATAGAAAATTGCGGGAAGCTGGGCGAGCAGCTCCTGTCCTATTACGACGGCCAGAACCGGGATAGCCTCGAATACGTGCGGCAAAATACGACAAACATGATCGACGCCTTCGAGCAGGAAGGCATGAAGTTTGCCAAGGAAGCCAATCTCGTCCAGAAGGACGACAAAGTCCTCCTTTTGAGAAGCATGCCGGCTGGCTACGATCAAATGCTCAAGATCCTGCAAGTTTGATTCATATGACATAATTCAGTGGTAGATTAGAACTTGAAGACTAGTACTGTGCGCAATGGAAATGAATGATACGAGGATGCAGACTGGTATACCGGCAAGCCAAGAAATCGAAAAGCGGTATCGTGACCAGCTTCTTTATCGGTGTTCGCATCGAAGCTTAGCGTTTGCCTTGACATCAAAGGCGAGCGTCGACTTTCAAACACGAAAAAATCTTCCACGCGGCTTGATGTTGCAAATACTAATCTAAAAGATCAAGATGACGTGATTGGTTCGCTTGCTCCAAACCACCACAATGAGGGCGGCCTCCACGTCGCTTCTCGTGCTGCTGCACACTGCGGACACCGCGGAAGCATCCCGCATTGCGTTGCGTCGTGCCGGTGACTTCGCGAGGCATGACTTTCCGCTCGCCGTCCGCGACTTCAATAAGTACGGAGACCAGCACAATGGCGAGGCGCGACGAGGTTCTACTTCTGCAAGAGGCCACAAAGCTTTTCTCGCCGCAGGGAACATCAATCGTGGTCAGAGCAGAGAGGAGTTTTCCCTGCTACAGGAACAAACGAGAACGATGCACGCAACGCAGTACTATGGCGACTTGACCGTCGGGGGCCAGAAGTTCAGTGTTATTTTCGACAGCGGCAGTGGGCACCTACTGATTCCGGGACCGAAGTGCGAATCCGCGGCGTGTCTGCAGAAAAACCGGCATGTGTACGACTTGAAGGGGTCGAAGAAGGGCATGGCTATCGGATGGACGGATGAACCCACGAAATCCGTCGCGGACGACAGCGAGGACCGGGACGTGACGAGCATCAGCTTCGCGGCCGGAGAAGTGGTGGGCAATTACTACCGGGACGAAGTCTGTCTCGGCGGATCGGAATCTTCAAAGTCGGCCTCGAAGAAAGGCAGTGGGAATAGTAAAGACGTCAAATTGTGCGGAATGGCGGACTTCATCGCCATGCAGGTATCAAATGTAAAAATGTCTGGGTCTGGAAGAATGCAAGATTTGTCATGCATATTTCTCATGGCCCATGATGCCTGTAATGCATGACTTAGCGTCGCAGACTTTTAGAGAGCTTCCTGATGCACCTTCCGCATGAGAAATGCCCTGTCAGTGTAGCACAAATTATACCCCTCTTGCTGGTCATGCAATGGGTCCGACCCCCGTTAGAGCTTGACCCTATCCCCCCGAGGTCCTGCCCTGAGGCAGTGGTCGGAAAGGGGGTACAGTGGTTGAGGGGTAAATAAGGTCATGCAATACAAATTTTTTTAGAGTCCAAAAACAGCATGACAAGTTGCAATCTTCCAGACCCAGACATTTTTGCATTTGCTAGCAGGAGGAGTCGGACAATCCATTCAAGGATTCCGTCTGGGACGGAGTGCTCGGCTTAGGTCAGGACTTGACGGAGAATTCCGAGTTCAGTGTGCTGCAAAAGGTGCTGCACCACTCTGGGGAGACAGAAGCGAACGCAAGCGCGAAGGAAAAAGACGGAATTTTTTCCTTTTACCTGCACAACTACGGCGGGGAGATCAATTTCGGCCGGGCCGCAGTGCAGGACCGAATCAAGCCGAATGCGGTGGTGACAAAAGCACCGATTTCTGTGGACGGCTACTGGCAATTCGATGTCGAAGACATCACCATCAACGGGGAGAAAACCGGTCTCTGCCAGAAATACAAGGGAGTACATAATTATTTTTGCAGAGTGCTTTTGCTATCTCAAGTGGTCCACGATGTTCAAAAGAAGCAAACACAAGATGCGATCTATAAACTGTTCTTCATCTGAAAAACCTCAATATCATCAGGGCAAGTGCCAGGCCGTCGTCGATACGGGAAGCAGTCTGCTAATGGCCCCGGCGAACATGCTGGCGCAGATCTCCGCCCGGCTGAACATAGACGACAAGTGCAAGAAGGCGAAACTTCCCTCGCTCGGTTTCCTCGTCCAGGGGAGAAACCTGGAGTTGCCGGCGGAAGAGTATCTCGACCGCACGGACAAGGACTGCTTCATTGCCATGATGGCGATCGGCGACACGGGCCGCGGGCCGATCTTCGTGTTGGGCTATCCTTTCCTCCGCAACTTCTTCACGTCGTTCGATTTCGACAAGAAGGAACTCGGGTTCGTGGCCGCAAAGGATGTGGTTTCGGAAAGCAGTAGTGACGAGCCGCGCATTCCGCTCAAGGGGAGTCGGCCGACTTGAGCGCAGTTTTGATAACGTTTCAGATATTTTTTCCACAAACCACTTAATTTTTTTCCGAAGATAAAAGGAGTTTCGAATATTCAAAGCCGGTTGGGTCGCACCAGAAGTGCTTTAATGCGCTGCTTGCTATCGCTTCCATGCAAGAGCGTTGTAGTTCAACAAATTGCGGTCTTCCAGGCATCTTGAGAGAACGCCACCTGAATAGTTTGAGGGCGTAGACTTTCCTGGTTCTTGAGTTGGGTATCTTTCGGGGCCGGAAAATATCATGGGCAATGCTCTCCTCTATATGAGTCTTTGAAAAGTGATACAAATCCAAATGTGAAGTCGACAAGACTGAAGATGCGCCAGATGTCGCGTCTTTTTTCGTATGTCTTTCTCCTCTGGTGGCTTTGCCTGCCGGATCAGGTTCTGCCCGTGTCCGCGAACCTCCGTGCCTCTCTCCGCGCCGCACAGTTGAACGGGCTACTGGGTGACAGTCACACCTCGGTCGTGTCGAATGCCGGTCTGTTCCGCTTTACCATCGACCTGAAGCGGTCCGAGGTCGGCGCGGTCCCCGAGTCGCTTCTGGACACACTTGCGCAGAGTGTGCTGAAGAATGCGAAGAGCAGTACCACCAGCATTCTTGGGTCGATGGGCGTGCAGGATTTTCCACGCTTGCAGGGGTGGCTGCACCACCCGGGGAGCCAGACCATCGAGTTCCGGTTGGAACACGATGCGTTGGAGCGCCGGAAGGACGACGTTTCGTTGGGGAAAGTGGGTTTTTCCAACCCTCTTTGCGGACTATCTGAGGCGGTCATGCGAATCTACTTCGCACTAGATGTAACTGGCGGCATTCTTTGCGAGGCGATCGTTCTTTCGGAAACAAAAGTTCTGACCACCAGCTCCTGTGTGCGGAAATTGGCCGGGTTGGCGGTGGATGCGACCTTGGCGTATCCCGAGGGGAAAACATCTTTTGCGATGGCGGAGTGGATCATTATCCAGCAGCACCCCACACCTTCGACGATACGCATCCTAGAAACGCTGCAGCGCGGGACTGCCTTCCACATACACACGCGCAACGGGCTGGTTCGTTCGGACTTGGTTGCAATCATCGAATTCGAGCTTCCGCTGCCTTTGCGTTTGCCTGCCGGCCCGTGCTTTGCAGTGGACAGAGCGGATGTCGGGCTAGGTATGAGTGTATAGTTGGAGAATTTGGAAGTTAGACTTGTGCTGTGCATCAAGGTTAATTTCCATCATTTGAAGAAAAATCGAAAAATGTAGGGCCGATCACTGGGCTTCCGACTGGCGACGTCGCCACGCCAATGTCTCGACACAGCTATTTCGATGCAACAACGTTCTGCAGCCGGCTTTCCGTAAGCGCCTGCGGCTCCACGGACGTGCGGCGATTGCTGTGCGAGCTGGTGCGCGCGAACGCAGACGCGGCGACGCTGTGCCGAGCAAGACAGTTTGCCGGTCAGGGGTCGGTCTTCAAGTGTAGCAACATTCCGGCCCAGGAAAGTTGCGAGATCTTTCAATGCCGGTGGAACGTTGAAGGCAGCGGAGTCTGCTCTGAACCACAGACCGCCGCTCTTGCGCTCACTCTCCCGGACTTGCCGGCCTGGAACCGTCTGACCGCGCGCGAGTTGGTCGGCATCGATCCTGTGTGCAAGTTGTCGGCGGAGATTGCCCAAGCTCTGAACGTCACAAGGGACTATCTTGTCGCCTCGTCCGAAGGAAGTAACGCGACCTCGACTTCTACTTCAGCTCCTGCTGGTGCTAGCCCGCTCGGTCCCTTTTCGTCGCTGACGGATCTGGCCTCGTTTTTCTGCTTGCGTGGCGAACGCGTATTCGTTTGCGACTTGGATGCGCAAACGCTCGACTGCAGGTTGAAGCCCCTAGCCACAGCCGATGATGAGAAGAGCTTGATACGTACCCGCTACGAATTAACCGACGAACCGCGAGCCGATCGAATGTGCGACGGAGTTAGTTCGCAGCCCGTGGTTGCCGGAATCCCCTGGGTGATGCGTTTAAACCGGAATCCTGACATCGCTTTTGTCAGTGGGTATTCACACTCCTGTGGGAGTGCGGATTCGCAGACTGCATTGTTTCCATCTTTGAGCGCTTCTTCGACCAGCACCGGAACTACAGCTGCTGGAAGTGCCAGTGTTGGAAGTCAGCTGCCTAACCTCCCGGAAAGCCCAACTACCTGGCTCCTGCTGAACGAGCAGGCCTGGCTCGCTGTACATTTGAATGAAACAGAAAGCTCACCGGGTCCAAGTTTCTTTCGAACGCGACGAGAGTTGAGCACAGCAGCTGGTACAAATGCGTCCAGCGCCGGCACCGCCCAAACGGTAGAAACGGACGGCATTGCGGAATTTTCTGTGCAACTTCCAATTGACCTTGTAAAGGATGAGGACGAGCTTGCGAAGACAGCCGTGACGGTCGTCAACGCGGAGAAAGTCCCGATCTCTGACGTCTTCAACGCGGAGGATTTGGTGCTGTTCGTTTTGAAAAACAAAGTGCCCGAGCGGGGCAACCTGGAGCAGCCGTCGGTCGGCATCGTGACGATGGCGGTGTTGCTTGTAGTTGGGCTGCTGTGCTTTTTCCTAATTCTTGCGTTTGCGTTCTACTGCTGCTACTTGAAGAAGCGTGGGGAAGATGTGGTGCGTGACGGAGAATCATCCACAACAGGAGAAAGTGGACGTCAACAAGGTGGGAAGATGCAGAAGAGGCCGCGAGGACCACTGGGAGAAAACACGAAAAACGCGCCCTCGGGCACCAGCAGCGACAGCGGAGACCGAACGCCACAGGGCATTTTCGATGATCATGGGCACTATCTGGGCGAAGGCTCGCCGATTGCGCTCTACGATTTCGTCGACGTTGGGATGGATGAGCAGTTCGATCGGGAAGATCCTGGTTTTCTCCAGGGCGAATACTTCCACGACGATGTCGTGGGTCAGGACTTTGTCTTTGCGGAAGGCGAGGAAGCGATGCCGCAATTCGATCACGCTGCGTATGACCAGGATGGGCATATGCAGCCTATTCACATGAGTAGTGGCGAGGACCGGCACTTTCATCAACCTTGTTATCCAACCGTACCAGAGTTAGAAGAGGTGACGCTTGAGGAGTATTGTGGTGGAGGACAGGAGCAAGCCTTTCCGGTAAGGCATGTGACAAGCGAGCGTAATATCCAGTTCCTGCAGCACGAGCCACCCTCTGTTTACGACTGCCGTGCTGAGGACGCGAAATCGGTTGTGAGTAGCCACCAGTACAAGAATGGCACGAGGCAAAAGTACAACCCACCGTATGCGAGGGGCGTTGCAATCGAGCACCAGCCTATGCAGCCTCTGGCGAGTTTTCAGTACGAAGAAGTGCGGCACCAGACTCCGGAGGAACCCTATCTGTACCGAGTGCAGCAACCGGCGAAGGCGATCGTAGAACGCACAGGGGCGCCAGGCGCTGCACGGCGGGAGGGGCCTGCCAGAGGCTTGGGGGATCAGCAACGGGAGCTGCAGGAATTGTTCCATGACACTGGACGCGCGGCGCCAGCGGAACAGAATGTAGTGCAACAAAGTGCTCTAAATGCGGGAACAATCGAACAGCGTATAGTCAAGTCGAGATCGCCAAAAGATCTCTCGAAACAACATCTTCTAGAAGTAAACCGAAGGCAGGAGCGTCGCTCGAAGGCAGGCCCGAATCGCCCTGGGAAGTCAATTCGCGTAACGCGAAAAGCGCACAGCACGGCGTTCGCCCCACCCCGACGCCAGCCCCAAGAGCAGTTCCACCCAATTTCAATGCCGCCGCGGCCGGTGCAGGTTGAAGAAGTCGATGGGCTGACTCTGCCGCGGACAGTTTTGATGCAGAGAGAGGACGTGGGGCAGGACGTCGAGGCAGGAGCTGCTCTTCATCCAGAGCTGCATCAGCAGAACATTCCAACGCGTAATTTTTCCGCACAGAACAACAACACCAGTGTTGCGATGACGAGCACAAATTCGGAAGAGTTAGATCAGCATCAAGCTTCGGGAACCAGTACTAACGACCGAAATTCCACATCAACAGCTCACTTCGAAAAGAAGCGACTCAGCAAGCTGCACTTATCGAATTCCACTTGGTACTACTCCGACAAGGAAGGTCTCGTCCGCGGCCCGTTCTCGACGGCTCGGATGCGCAAGTGGTGGCTCGGGAAAAAGCTCAGTCGTCACCTCTGGGTCAAGCCAGACGAGACGTGGTGCCAGGTGTTGAATTTCAACCCGAACTTGCCAGAAAACCTGGAAAATCAAGGCTACGCGCCGATCGAGGCGTTGTTTGTCGGGGAGAAGAATCTCGCGGCAGCGTTCGCGTCGGATCTGTTCGGGTAAACGTAAAAATAACCGATTTTTGCGGAGCTGCATCAAAGAAGCAGAGAAGCGTCTTTGATCTCTAGGGTCCTACAAATGAATACTTGTGAGCATAGAAAGAGCCCTTGGTCCAACCACATCAATTCGTGATGCGAGAAATTCACGAGATTGAAATGTAACAAAAGGAGCAAGTGTGCGAACACCAGCGCGGAGTGAAGTAACTCCCCGCCAAAGAGAACTCCTAACCTATGAATGGTATGGAGGAAATGAACTTTTTACACCAGTTTTGAGCACGTTTTGAAGATGGCAGTGTCAAAGGGAAAGTGCGGTAACCTTGTTTCAAAATCTTCTGCACCTGGAGAAGGTTCTTGGTTGCCTTGCTCTGCAGCTGCGTCGGACCGGGGGTAAACAAAGTCCTGGGTTGTGCTGCTTCTCTTTTGATGTCGAGCTTTGCGCAGCACAAGATTTGAGTGTGCAGAGAGGCGCGCACGTATATCAAAGCTACGATCGCCGGAGTGCTTCTTTTGTCGCTTGTTGGGCCTGGCATGGTTACCAGACAAGCTGCTAAGAGCGTCTGTACTTGTTTCGTCTACCGTGGGGCATTTGAGGGTTATTCAGAAAACTGGACTGATTGATTATAGATGTAGCTACGCCTGACTACCTGTTCGAGGGCAGAAACGCGAAAATGAGGCCTCACTGTACCACCGTCCGTTTTTACAATCCTTGGAAGCACCAGGACCAGGACTACGCCGAGACCATCGTGCAGGTGGCAAATGTGCGGAAGGTACGGCAAGTCATTTTTGTCGTGGTTTATGTGAACTTTTTGCGAGCCTAAGCCAGCGCATTGCCAGACGTAACCCTTGATAAAAAAAACCTAAACAGCCTCGAAAGGAGGAGTACGTCGAGGATGAGGCCGGTGCGGACGAGGTGAAGAAACTGGGTATGAACAATCCGGACGGCATTCAGTGGTTTCCTTTCCCGCAGTCCTTCGTCCGCAGGGAAGCAACGGTGAAACCGGACCTGCTGCTGGAATTTCAACTTCTAAAGTCTATGGGCGACCGGGTGCTTCTCAAGCCGGAAGAAATTCCGGTGGGACCACCGGGCAAGCCTTGTCGCTTCATCATGGCGGAGATTGAGCTGAACGTCTATCGCGACCAGAAAGCATTGCTTCCCGCGAAGCCGTGGAGAATACCGGTCTTGAATCACGACAAGGAGCTGAGCGAAGCGGACCAAAGGTAGGAAAACGATTGGTGTGGACTTGAGTTTGTGACGCTGCCGTGCTGCAGTGACATTACATGCACTACTTGCACGTTACAACCACTCGATACACACGACAACAGGTACGCTCTAGAGTTCGGCATCGAGGAACTACTTCAGGACTGCGCAGAGTACCTTCTGGACGCTCGCCCGCTGGAGCCGCAGCTCGCGTTGGCAAATTTCTTGTTCCAGGCGTTCGAGAGCGATAGGTTGACGGAGGAAATCGAAAAGGAAAGGATAGGAGATACCGAGGAAGCGGACGTGGACACATTGATGCTGGAGTACCATGAAGAAATGGCCCGGTTGGACCAGGGAAAGTTTTTGCCACACTGATGGAGACGATCGCGAAGTTTTCCTCCGTTTTGGCATCCGATTTACAATGCCGCTCACCGTCCGCGACCGCGAAGAATGCATTAGTTTTAGTGGTCGTCCGCTCCCGCGCCGCCACGCGTTGACGTTACAGTCCGCATGCGGTTGCCAGTTTGACGTGGACCCTCAGGGGTTGTTTTGCTACATGAAACAATTTTTTTGCCGTCATGTGAGGACATGCTGATGGGGAACCAGGGCTCGCGTACGTATGGCGACGACGCCTTGGAATTTTAATTTTTGCAAATTTTCTCGCCTCGGCTCCTGCTATCCTGGCATTGAATGCGTTGTGACTCAGGCTACCACGCTCATCCTGGCAGTGTGATCGAGCGAAGGCTACTTACGCAAGCTGTTTCTCCGCAGGGATCGCAATCACGCCCAATAACGACGAGCTCCACGAACATCAATGGGGAAGATGAAAAAGCTGATCAAAGTTGTTCAGTGAGTGGTCCAAGTTCCCTGTCGCACCAGTTGATCAAGGTCTGCAAAGACCCGATTGCAGTGCATTCGAAAAATGCAAACACAAAAAGGTGAGGAAGAACAAGGAAAGGATCAACATGAAGATCAAGATATCATCGTGGCAGGATATCCTGGGTTACAAGCTTCAGGTCGGTGTCCGAGATTGGTTCGACTGCATCGCTGACGACCTTGCATCATTTTCACCAGTGCCATTGCCTATTCCTATTCGAGATCGATTTGACCGATTTATGATTTCGTGCATATTTTTCTTTCAAGTTCCGATCCGATTCCTGTCTATGAGTTCATTGTTTGTATTTGGTAAACAGTGTATCGCATTTGAATTTGACTTACACCTGATTTCGTCCGAGTGCTTTTGGAAAAGTAGTATCAAAGAAACATAAACATGGCACAAAGTGTAGCTTTTTGTGGACGCGAACAATGGATCGCTTGGGACGAAGACAGTGTCATCGGGCATTCGCACAAACTTCCCGCAAGCGTCCGCTCCATGGTGCGCGCTTCTGCCGGTATCCCGCGGCAAAATCTCGGTTACGGTCCGCCCACGATAGCGGACTTCGGCATGGCGGAGGGCGGGGCTTTGTCCCACTACATCGACTTTGGTGACGGGCCCTCAAGGTGGAACGTGAGCAGGGACTTCGACGAGGCAATGGAGAAGTACGACGATGTGGAGATTGTTGCACTGGGTTGTGAGGGAAGTTACATCATTGCAGGGGAGTCAGCTACCTCTCCTCGCTCTTGGAAGGGAGTTCCAGAAAACGTCGCTCAGTCGTTGAATAACAATACTTCGAGCCTGGACATTGCTGCGTTGGGAGCTGGCGGCAATTATTTCATTCAGTACAGCAGCGGGAGAAATATGTGGGGCGGAGCGATAAGTGCGACGCTTACGGAACTTTTCGAGGATTTGGAAGAAGATATTACGGACGTTGTTTTCTCAGCTTTTGACGAAGAGGCATACTACATTACGTTTTCAGACGGGACTGCTGATTGGCGTGGCGGAGGAGAGAGTTTGTTCATAGCATTGCTGGATGACAAAATACATTACTTTGACACACAGAAGATTTTTTACGTACATGAGACCATAAGAGATACATTCAGTTGTGGAAAGTCAATCTTCAAGACTGCAGAGGATTTGAAAAAAGGCACCATTTCTGTGGAAGACATAGAGCCAATAGAAGTAGTCAAACACAGCGACAAGTACTATACTCTGTCGCACCGACGTTTGTGGGCCTTCATTAATGCAAATCTAGTTGGGGTTCCAGTGAAAGTAGTGGATATGCCTGTTGGTATGCTCAAAAAAATAAAGAAGAATCCAAGTAGAACCGCGGTAAGCGTTGTATGAAACAAACCAATTTGATGTGATAACTTTATCAAAATGCAATGTAGCCCTTTCTGATTCTGGCTTGAGCGGTTTTCTTTGCGGTGTGGAATAGAAACCGCTTGATTGGTGAATTTCTTATGTTCTTGGCAGTGACGTTACACGGGTCTGCAAGCAACTCCAGCGATTTTGAACTTGATTGTTAGCGTAGCAGAGCGAATGCGAAGTTAGCTGATAGATACGTTGATGATTGTACTGCAGGGCGAACGAATGCACTATACTTCTAGACAAAGACATCATGGCAAAAGTAGCTTTTTGTGGAGCAGGCCGGCAATGGGTGGCGTGGGACGACGACGAATTTTATGGGTGCTCCCGCGAACTTCCACTGGTCGCACGATCGACAGTGCAGGCTATTACGGGTAACGGCTTTCCGAAAAGAAGTCTGAAATACACACGGCCAAAAATCATGGTCTTTGGCAGCTCACAAGAAGTCAATGACGGAGACGGAGATACAGACATGGATGACGACAGCCGTTCGTCAAGTTCCGAAAGCGTTCCGACGCCGACCTATTACATAGAGTTGAACAGCGGACGGTCGCTTTGGAACGTGAGTTCCGAATTCGATAGGACGGTGGCTGAGTTCACGCGGGTCGATAATGTCGCTCTCGGACCCAACGGAATGTACATCATTTCCGGCCAAAGAAAAGATGGCCTGACTAGATCTTGGAGTGCTGGTTTTCCACACAACATCCAGCAGTCAATGAGGGACAACAGTTCTGAGCTCGAGGTCATTGCACTGGGCGCGGGGGGGAACTACTACATCAAGTACAGCAATACAAGAGCGTTCTGGGGCGGCCCGATTGTGCAGGAGCTCACACCACTCGTCAAGGACCTTCCCCCGGATGAGGACGTGGCGTTCCTCAGCTTTTCTTCATTTGATGAACACGCGTATTTTATCAGATACGCAGATGGGTCGACTGTATGGCGCGGAGGGGGGTACAGCCTTGCCTGCGCCCTGGATGATGAGATTACCTACGTTGACACGATCGACGTCTTCTACATTAACGACAGCATCTCGGACACGTTCAGTTGCGGAAAATCGATCTATTTTACAGCCGCACAGCTTCGGTCGGGTGATCTTTCTGTGGAAGACATCGAACCAATGGAGGTCGTGAAGCACAGCGGTTACTACTACACACTTTCCCACCGACGTTTATGGGCCTTCAAAAACGCAAACTTGATGGGTGTTCCGGTGAAGATAGTGTCGATGCCACCAAACACTGCGAACCGGATCCGGAACAACCCAGAGAGAAGCACCATCACAATTCGGTGACGGCGATTCTTTTTCGTGAAGCGAGGAACTTTACGATGTGGGGTAGGGTCAGATGGAGACATTAACATTTCATTCCATGCAGAAACCTGCAATGTAAGTACTACCAATCTCTCTGAATTGAAGATCTGCTTTTTGGTTTGCGGCGTCTCGACTTGCTCTTGCTCACTATCTTATTCCAAAGTATCAGCACAGATATGACAAAGGATCGCTTTCTTTGAATGCCACGAACCTCGCTGCGCCTCGTGTTCGACGTCTGCATGACGCCACTCCACACGCTTCCCAACGTGAATGGAAGATGGACCTATTCATTGCAGCCGGATGTTCATCGTCTTCGTCTTTCTCTTAGAACAGGTGCACTCAAGGCACGTCTTCATATGCATGTCTTTGGGTTACCCGGGAAGGTCTTCTTGCCACGCAAGGTGTAGGCAAACTCGTTCCTAAGCGCTCCGTTTCGTCGGACGGAAAAAAAAGCGCGTTGTGTGAAAGCATATGACGATGGCTGGTCAACAAGAAACGGATCCGCTTCAGTACCTGCAGTGTACTTTTCTTCGGCGTTATTCATTTCATACTCTTTTACGGCTTTTTTTTCAGTCACCCCTGAAGTGAGATGGCTGGACAGAGCCTCTGTCGTGTTGATAGTACGCATTGATGTATTTTTGGAGGTATTCCTGTTCTTTATCTTTTGTGAGCAGTAGTTGAATCAAAGAAAAGCTGTATAAAAGCATGTGGAACACAGCTATTTCCCCCGCCAACAGCGAAAATGGCCCGGAAGGCGACCGCTGCATTTCTTTCGGGAAGCACAAGGGAAAGACCTTCAAAGCCGTTTACGACACGGCGCGGCAGTACGCGTGGTGGTGCGTGGACCAGTTGCGGGCCTCCCGCCACGACCACAGCAAGCCGAAAGACCAAGCGTTCCAAGATTTTGCGAAGTACGCGGAGAAGCGCCGGAGAGTCGACGAGGCACAGGAGAAGCGGGAGGAGGCACAGCGGAAAGCTGAGGCTCTGAGGAAGCTGGATGCGGACAAGAAGCTACGCCAGCAGCAGCAGCAGCACCAGGGGGGCAACGCGCCGAATGGAAAAGAGCCGGCTATTGGAGGTGGTGCCCCCGGAGCCGCGAACAACAATGGCCCTGCAAATCAGGTCGGCGCTGGAGGTAACGGTGTGCAGCAAGCCTACAGTGCCGCGGATGCTATCTGGGGCACTTCTTGCAAGGTGATGTTTGGAAAGCACAATGGCGAGTTGTACCAGGACGTGTACAAAACCGACAAGAAATACGTCACTTGGGTCTGCGGCCAGCTGCAACAGGAGCGGAAAGGGAAGCTCTTCGGCCGGCTAGACGGAAACTTTCGCAAATTCGCTAATTACTGCGAAAAGAAGCGCCAGGAGGAGGCAATCGAGAAGGAAGCGGAAAAGCAGGCCAAAGCGGGGCAGCGGAAGTGCGGGTTTTGCAAGCAGTACGGGCACACGAAGGCCAATTGCCCGGAAAATCCTGAGGCGCAGGAGAAAAAACGACAACAGGAACGGCGGCAGCAGGAGAAAAAGGAACAGCAGCGGCAGCGGAAGCGCGACCAGCAAGGGGGCTACTGTAGCTCGGATTTCGGCTCCGACGGGGAGTACTGCTTCGATTACCGTGGGCGCATGGTGCGCAAGGACGAAGAAGATTCCGAGCTGGTGAAGGCGGCGAAGCGTGGCGACCTAGCCGCGGTGAAAAGAGCGGTTGGCGGCGCCGCAGCCAAGGGAAAAGTGGAGAAAAGTCGCTTCTTGAACTACGCCCGGCGCTGGACCGAGGTTGGCGATTACAGTAACAAAGAGTGGGAGTGGTTCGGCGACACGGCGATTTTGGGAGCGGTGCGGAGCGGTAGGGTTTCTTTTTGGAAATGTATCATGTTGTGTAATTCATTTCATAAGAAGAACTGATCTTTTGGCTTCCGAAGGGGCGCAAAGGAATAATTGACTGAAGGGGCAGCACTCCTGTCATGAAAACCTTCTTGAACCAGGTCACGCTGATGTGGTGTACTATCTGTTGCGCGAGGGGGCGGACCCTTGCTTTTCTTCCTGCGTCCGCGATGACGAGTACGAAACAGTTGCTGAATGCATCAAAAAAAAGTTGAACATCGGAACCGGATCTTCTGCGCCGTCCGCCGCGGCTTCCTCTAGCTCCAGCACCCGCGGCCAGACGCAACCCGGCTACCAAAAAATCAGAGCGCTTTTGAATGCGGTGGGGTCGTTCTGGGCCGACTCTGACTTGTTGGAGAAACAAGCGGTCAGGAATTACGGTGCGCACTACCACGCTGCGGGGCACTGCGCAACTGCACCGAAAGACATGAGCGGGATGATCAAGGCCTTGGATGCTGCATATGGCGTGAGTCCGGCGGTGAATACGGCGTCTCCTGGTTCTGCTAGTGATGAGATGCCAGTCATGTTGGCGGCCAAGAGGCAAAAGGTGGCGTAATCCTGAAGCGGGAGAAAGGGCTTAGGAGGTCGAATGTTTTCGTTTTCTATATCGAACTATTTTTGGAAAAGCAAGTTTTTTTTTTCGTTTTGGGATCTACATCTAGAATTTCAATTTACCTAGTAGTTGAGCGACAATGTTGGCGACACGGAAACCGCTTCTGCCAAGGGCAGAGGCTGATCCACCAATCGGTATAGTTTTGTTTCACGATCAGGACCGACTTGGAGTTTGTTTTCTAGCATGTTTCTGCTGCATGCAGCTCTTTGAAAATTTTCACAGCCAGAGCCATCACGCTTGTTTCCCATTTGCTTTTCCTTGTTCAAGTTAGCCTACCGGAGCGTGACCGTCCTGGTCTCCGTGTTGTCTTGGTTGGGCATCCCGAAGGTGGGGGATAGCATGAGAGAACCTACGGGGCGGACTTTCCGTTCGTGCGGAAGCACAGGAGCGCAAAAAATGGGGACCCTTCTTTACTCTCTAGACGGCATTAAAGCCGCATGATCTTCACATCGACTACGTCAACTCAAGATGTCACGCGCCCGTGCTGCTGCACCGTCGTCTCCGAAAAGAGAGAAGCCCGCAGGCCGCCCGCCAGCTTTGAGGGTTGCCGTCGTGAGCGGGTGCGCGCGCCGGGAAGGCATTGGTTGGGCGGTGTGTCGTGCGCTTCTTCGGTCCGGAGAGTACAGCGTGATTGGTATAGACGAACAGGAGCTAAACTTCATTCCGGATCAGACGGAGTTGCAGGCTGATGCTGCGTATTTCGTTTTTGTCAAGTGCAACATCGCGGACGCCGTCGGATTGTCGCGGAGCTTACGGTCGGCGATGTGCCTTTTGGATCCGAGCTACGAACCCAAAGCTGGAAAATCGTCGTCGTCAGGCACTCTCTCCTCACCGTCAGCGCACGTTTGCGTTGTGGTTCATTGCGCGGGCTTCGCCAAGCCCACCATGCAGGAGGGATTGGAACAGTGCATGAAAGTGGAGGCAGAATCGCAAGCAAGGCAAAGACAAGACGACCAAAAGCGTCAACGAGAAGGAGCTTCGGCAGCGGATGAAGAGCAGCTGCCCATACTGCAAAGACTGAAAGCCTTCGATCTTTTCCTCGAAGGGCACCTGCGCGGCGGTTTCATCCTCACCGAAGTGTGCAAAGATTTCTTTCCGCCACTTCAGATCAGCAACGCCACTGGTCTCCCTGCAAGTGCTGGCGAGATGCACCCGCACCGGGATTTTTCAAGCGACGAGTCAATCGACGACGTTGGTGAGAAATTGCGGCGCGCACAGAAAGCCCAGCAACCGCGAGCGTCTGCCGCGAGGAAGGAAGATGGAGCGGAAGGGAACAAGCATGTGAAACAACTTCCACATGCAGCTAGTACAACCAGGGAGACGGAAGTAGATGTCAGCCAAGATGTTTCAATTATCTACGTCAGCAGCACTCGCGCAACGCAGTCCGAGCCGGACACAGAGGGCTACGCCGCCGCGAAGGGCGGTCTTCTAGCGTTGACGCACGCCCAGGCGGCCTCTTTTGGCGAGAACGCGAACCATCCGCGGGGCAATCGGTTCGTGCGGGTGAATTGCATCAGCCCTGGTTGGATCGACACTGGCGGCACCGAAAAGGCAGACGAGGGTGATTGCGTTTGGCATTCCGTAAGTCGCATCGGGCGGCCGGACGACGTCGCCAACGCGGTTGTCTTCCTCGCGGATGCTAACAAAAGCGGCTTTATGACGGGCCAGGAACTTGTGCTCGATGGCGGCGTGTGCAAGAGAATGCGATACTAGTGTGATGCAGTAAAAAGTACGCGGCGGTGCTAGAGGCCCGCACGTCTAGTTGCTTGACTCATGATTTGTGAGATCCACGTATCCACACGGTATCGTGCCGTTGTGCAGCTCTTACGTGATGACCGGATAAAGTGAGTGGGTCTTTTGTTCCTCCCGCCTCGTGATGCGACCTGTCATGATTGATAAATATGAAGCTGGGTTGTAAATGATGAAGTTGGATGGCGGTGCGTGTCCAGCTGCCTGTACTTACCACCGTGGCCAGTCTGAGTTATTTCGGTCGAAACACAGAAGATCTTCACAGGCACAGATCGCGTAACGCTCAGCTGTCTTGAGCAATCAAATTTTTGATCAGCACAAATCTGTCTGGTCCAGGGAACATTTCACGTGCAGTGGTAAGCGAAAACGAAGCCGTGCAAATTGCGCCGCTAGGGGCAGCGAGACATTTACAGGATGCGATTTAGCAGATCCCACTTCTAAGGAATACAAGGTCGTCTTTGCGCATCATGTAAACAGCAACGGCGAAAATTATAAACCGAAAGCCAGTACTCATTTATGTGCCTTTTTGTGTACTTTTTGTGGCGTGTTAGATTTTAAGTAGGACATTGTTCACACGCGCAGTGCAGAGAACCACACTGTGCTGAAGTTTCGTTGCTTCATGTATGAGATAAAATCGGAACTGGCACACTGCTACTGAACCGCATCCACCACGATGGACGAGAACTATTCCGGCTCGCATGAGTTGCACAAGACTACACCAGAGAACAACCGCGGTACCGAGGATGGCAGTCGATCTGCGATAGCTGTCGCGCTTACGCCAAGCTTCTTGGAGCCAGTCGGAAGGAACGAATTCGTTGTCAAGTGTGGACGCGTCACTTACGCAGATCACTTTTACCAGCGCGGTGCGCTGATGCTGACGAACACAATACCATTTTCGGAGCAAATGTCAACGGCATTTAGGGATTTTGCCGCGCGGGAAAGTCAGGCCCCGGAATGCTTAATCGGTCTCGCAGCGAGCGCCACGCCTGAGGCCATGCAGGCGGAGACAGACCGGCTGAAAGAGCTCGCGGAACGCGTCAATAGGGATGAGAAAGCTAACAACCAAGCCAAAGCCGTGCCACCTGATTTTCCGACGTCACCGACTTTCACTCTTGAGCCCCGCGGAAGTGCGTTCGGACGTCAGTATGCCTTGATGTCCGAGTCTCGAAAAAGCAAAGAGGGAAATCACATGTTTGTGGCCGGGCTGGTGCCGCACGCCTTGCTTCCGCAGTTGAACGGCGAGCTGGATTTTGAGCACGCTTCGGTGTGCTTGCTGCTGGGGTTTGAGCTAGACTACACACGCAGCAAGTGGCGAGTCTACATTGTGCACCCGAGGCCAAACGAACTTTTGCGCGACATAACCGGATGTGAAGCTCCACGTTCTACTGCAGACGGGGGCGGGGACCTCGATGGCGAAGCCGGTTTGGGGCTTGACGCGAAGACTCGAAAAGACTCCGGCGCATCGACAGAAACAGACAGTGAAGACGAACGTAGTTGGGGAGAAGATGCAAGGTACTACGGGAGAAAGACGGCAGCGCGATCCAGATACAACCAGTATTACTTTTGGTGGAATGGCGACGACGAAGACAGCGAAGACGTTGATGGGAAGACATGCGAAAAAGATTCGCGAGCGCCAGGCACACCGAGCCCGCGTCCTGGGCCTGCAAAAACGAGGGTACACTACCATCCGCAGTATGAAAATCAGGATGTGTCCCTCGCGTGTTGGCTGCCTATATCTGCGGCGCCACTGTTCAATACGGAAACAGGAGCTGCGTTACACTTGCAAACAGCAATTTGTTGGTCTGCGTCGCTGGGAACGGAGGGTCGATGTACCCGAATGGCTCCCAGCAGCATTGCTCACAGCTCCTGTGGTCGCCATATCGGAAGAGAGAGAGAAGGCGGCGACGCGTCAGAGTGGCTCGATCCCGAAAATAGGCCCTTCTGGACTGCAAAATGGCTTCTGACTCATGGGAAGCTCGTGAAAGAAGTGGGTAAAAATGTGCAGCAGCGTATGTGCTTTTCGGACCCAGCTGTGCAGGATTTGTTTCGCAAAGCTTGTGAAGAGGACGGCGGTGTGTTTTTCGACGAGCACCTAGGTTTTGGGAAAAAGAGGCCTCTTTGTTGTAAAGAGCCGGACGATCAGCATCAGGATCATGCCAAGGAGAATGTCGGTGATCTTGGTTTCGACGCTCGGGCAAAGAGAATGTGGAAGCGCCTCAAGCGGGTCATGCGGAAGACTGTTGGCACCGGAGAAGGAACCGTCGATAGAGAAACCGCCCAGAAGCCGCCCCCGGGCATTGCCATTCAAGTGAATGAGCGCATTGAGGCGGTGTTTGACCCCGCACGATGGGAGGGCAAGAGCTTGGATGATTATCGTTGGACAGTTCTGACGCCCTCATGTCCAACGCAGTTTCGCGTTCATTGTGCTTAGAAATAAAAATTTCACATTCAATGTAAATCACTATCACAAGATTGTGTGAACGTGAACCAACTTTGACAGAGCGATAGCTCGATCTTTATTTTGTGTCTCTCTGTGCCAGTCGTTGTCGTTTCGTTATACGAAAATGATGCGAGCGAGTGTCCACTAAAAAGTTGTTGGAGCTGCTCACTTTCTCAATCTTTCGCATAGAAGCAATGAATCGTCGTAGAGGGGATGTTGTAGCTGCGAAGCCTCTACAATCTTATTCATAAAAATGGTTCTCTCGGTTTTCTTTTCCGTTTTCGTGCGTTGCGCATTGGTTCTGCAGCAAGCCACGTTCTCGTCGGAAACGCATTGTTTCGTCCGAGCGCAACGGGATTGGAGTCCGCGCGAACGGCTTGAACGACGGGAGAAGCGGCTCACGGATTTGTTTCCAACGAAGGATCGCGTGCCCCGGCTGCTCCTTCTGGTCCCCGGCCACGGCGAAGCGGAACGCTGGCCCTGGATTTCCGACACCTTGAATCGCATCGCCGCAGAATGGCGCAGTGGCTTTGAAGCGGTGTTTGAAGCAGCAGATGTTGACCAGGGAGATGACGCAAGCACCGCGACCGCAAGCCGGGATGCACTACATGCAGCTCCGCAAAGAACTACAGATGGCAACCAAGACCAAACGGACTTTTTTTCCGACGGGACGACGAGAGCTGTGAGTACACCTAGGAGCAACCGCGATGGTACGCTACATCACAAGCGTGATCTCTATCCCCATCTCGGCTGCGTGGTTTACGTGTACAAAACGGAAGAAGCGTATTCTCTTGCGGAAGTCACCGAGAAGGACCGGAGATTGGGGAATTTCACCGCTACGCATTGCGAAATCCGCCGCCGCGTTCGGTTTAACTGGACCGGTTTCCTCCAGCTCTCCGCTATGCCAGATCCCGCGGTGAGGCCCGGTCGACTCGACACGGACATAAAATCGGACAACGCAACGGTCTTGGTATCCGCTATCGGACGAGGACGAGAAAACAACCACGCTCGAGCAGTAGATCAACGAGAAACCACCAAGTACGTGCAATCCGGGAGACAGCAGATTTCGCACGACCGTGCCGAGCAGAACGCGCTGTTCCCGTTAATCGAGCAGTTCGATTACATCCTGGCAATTCTCGACGATATCAGCGTGGAAGCGTTTTCCGTCCGCGAGTTCCTCGGCGTCATGAGGCACAACGGGTTAAACGTAGCGACCCCCTTCGTCTACCTGGCGCCCGGCAGCAACTTCATCAAGCAGTCGATCTTGGACGCGGTCAGCGAGGAAGACCCGCGATTCGGCGAAACGGCTCGGGGTTACCGCGCGGAGGGCCACATGTCCGTGGCCTCGAAGAACGCCCTGTTCGGGAGTTTGTACCAGCGCGGAATCGCGGGGACGAGGCTGCGCGCTTGGGAGGTGCAGATGACCATGTTTCGGAAGGACGCTTTCTATTGCTGGGCTCACATGGTCGACCCGGGCACAAATCCGATCGGTTGGGGATACGACATGCTGTACATTTAGAGCTTTACTTATTTCGATTTCGTTTTATTTTGCATTCTGTATGTAAAAAGAAAAACCGCAAGAATGCAGGAGGGGTCTCTCAATGAATGCAGCCTAAAAAAATAAATCAAATGAAACCACAGGTACTACGACCTGTGCGAGCACACAAACGCCATCGGTTTTGTCAGCGGCCCGAAGGCAGAGGTTTTCCACCTTGCGGAGCGGTTTCTGCAGGGCCTGAGCTCGAACCGCTACGTCATGGACGACGAAACTTTCCCGCTGCCAACCAACGTCAAGCCGCAGTTCGTGAAGGTCGGCGATCTAGGTCGTCTGAACGACCACGGCACCGGCGGGGCGCTGGACCAGGACCTGAAAGTGAAACGCGAGGAGGCGCGGAAACGAGCGCTGGACCGGAGTCGGGGAAAGGCTGTGAGTGGACTACCGGGGGAACAAAGTAGTACTGTCGTGGGCGAAGGAGAGGACCAAAACTCATCTGCGCCAGCAGCAATCGAGGCCGCTACTGCAGGGGAACAAGATGGAACTTCCCCGCCGGGTTTGGATGCGGGCAACGATACGGACGGGTCATACCACGGCATACACGGCATGCCCGACTTTGTGTCGAACGCGCCGAAGGAATCCTACATCGAAGTGATTGGCCAGTACCAGATTGCCGAGGCCATGATGGAGAACTGGCTGCAGAAAAAGAAGATCACGCCCTATTGGGAGCTGGAGAAGAACGAGAAAGCAGCAAACGCATCCAACGAGACGAGCACGTTAGCTGCACACCCTCCAGGGGAAGGGACACCAGTAGAGAGCGAAGAAGCAAAGCAGTCGCACGGCAGTTGGCAGTCGTCCTCGAAAGCCGGCGGAAATGCGCCGTCAACGAGCTCGAGTTCCGGTCACGGCGCTTTAGGTTTTGTCGTCAAGGCGTGTTTGGTTGCACTAGAAGACGATCTAATGTTCATGCGAGGTGACGCGGAAGATCGAGAAGATGTTACCAGCGTCATTCATTAAACGATGGCTGTGGAGCGGCAGACGGCCGTTGGTGAGCTATTCTGGGTTCGTGTTCGAAGGCTGTTCTTTCCGAAGATGGTGAAGTAGGTCCTGAATTTTTTTTTCTTGAAAAGAGGATCAAACAAAAACATGAGATGGAACCTTCCTACTGATTCCGTGTTGTGATATCGATCCGCAGCTCTTGGATACGATCACTTTCGAGACCGTTTGGCACAGTGCTCGCTAGAACACGATCTAGACACGCTTTTGTCCTCTCGCTATGTTATGTGCGAACTTTTGCTGCAACGCTTCCAACAGAAGACAATCCTAAACGTGAATGAAAGTAGAGCCTGGTTTGCGTCGAAGAATTCCTTTTTGTCATTTGGAGGGACAGACCCGGCATTATGTTCACGCTTTCCCCGATACTGCAAAAAAGCAAGAGCAAGCGGCTCACTGTAACTCTCGTGTCCGCTGCGCAGACGGGCTACTTGTATGCATTGCAAATATGTCTGGGTCTGGAAGATTGCCACGTTTGTCATGCAATTTTTGCAGAACCAATGAGGCCTGTAATGCATGACCTAGCATCGCAGATTTTTCGAGGGCTTCATGATGCCTATGCCGCATGAGAAATGCCCTCTCCGCGGAGCACAAACTGGGCCCCTCTTGCTGTGGCATGCAGCACAGATTTTTTTGGAATCCACAGACAGCATTACAAGTTCCAACCTTCCAGACCCAGACATAAGTATTTGCATTTGATAACTTGTACGCAACGACGAAATCTCCTCAGAAGGCAGAGTTTCGGATGGCACTCCGTATCAAATGTAAAAATGTCTGGGTCTGGAAGAATGCGAGATTTGTCATGCATATTTCTCATGACCCATGATGCCTGTAATGCATGACCGAGCATCGCACACTTTTAGAGGGCTTCCTGATGCACCTTCCGCATGAGAAATGCCCTCTCCGCGTAGCACAAACTGGAACCCTCTTGCTGGTCATGCAATACAATTTTTTTCAGAATCCAGAGACAGCATCACAAGTTCGGATTCTTCCAGACCCAGACATTTTTACATTTGATACTCCGTAAGTACGACCCAATTGTGAACCAGCACGTTATGTTTTACGAGACCAAGCTACCCGTTTGGCGAAGGCAGATCAAGCGAGCCATCGAACGAAGGCACGCGCGAGCCACAGGAGATCGCATGCAAGAGTTGATTCAGCGGGTCACGAAGGGGTCACGCGCCCGACCTGCCGCGAAATTCAATAAGGGAGGACAGCCAACTATGCCAAACAAAGTCGGCAGTTTTGCCTGACACCTTTCTTGACACTGTTGATCGCCGATCATATTGAGTACGATACATAGTAGAGCCCCCTGTAGATCGGAAGTTGCCTTTTCCTCGAGTTTTGGGCCTTGTGTTCTGCTGGGAAATAAAGATGCTGTCGTCATTCAGTACTCGGTATCTATCGGTAAGAACCTGGCGGGTGCGGCGCACAACTTCTACAAAAAGTTTCTTTCTACGGACACATGAAGCCTACACCAGTCTCGTCCACTGTTTTTGTTCGGTCTATCAGTCCGGCTTTCGCCGGCTCTTTTCAGTGCGAGCATGATGTCCAGGTTCCTCTGGAGGCCGTCCCCTCTGTGCAACATCGTTCCCCTTGTCTACGCTTTGTTTGTGCTCTCGAAACTGTCATCTGCAAAGAAGAGAAAGAAAAAACAGATGTCCAGCCAGCCCACACCCAAATTGCTCGAGCACGGTCGCCCGCTTCTGAGGAGCGACAGCGAGTTCCCCGCAGAATGGTTTGCTCGGCGTGATGAGTCCCCCGACGAGCGCTTTTACCAGGACGAGCGACTCGTGGAACACATCGACAAGCCAGCCATCGCTGCAACCACGGCCTACTACACCAAGATCATTGCTGAGCTTGCCGCGGCGCAGGCAGATCAAGCCTCTGGCAGCACAGATCCGCCCGAAGTCCGCGTGCTGGACCTTTGCTCCTCCTGGATCTCGCATTTGCCGCTACCGGATGGGGATTCGAGTAAAGACAAGATAGTTACCATACGTACAGAAAGCAGTCAACAACAGAAGGTAAAACTGATCGTCACGGGGCTGGGCATGAATGCGAAGGAGCTGGCGGTGAATCCAGTACTAAGTTCGCATGTGGTGCAAAATTTGAACACGGACCCCAAGCTGCCATTTGCAGAGGACAGCTTTGACCTCGTCGTGAATTCCGTCTCCGTGGACTACCTGTATGGATTGCAAATATGTCTGGGTCTGGAAGAATGCAAGGTTTGTCATGCTTGTCTGGCATGACTGAAGTGTTTGTAATGCGTGACCAAGAAGAGAGCCTTTTGCCTGTCATGCAAAGACGCAGTTTGTCATGCGAACAGCGCAACACTAAGCAGCGCAGATATTTCTCATGCTTGGCTGTGCATTACAGAGCATTCACTATTCTCAACCAAGCATTACAAGTTTCCAGACCCAGACATTTTTACATTTGGTAACCTGACTTCGCCGCTGAAGGTGTTCCGGGAAACGAAACGTGTGCTGAAAGACTTGGGGCGGAGTTTGAATGTTTTCTCGAACAGATTCTTTCCGACGAAAGTCATTGACGTGCTATGATGAGGAAAAGTGGCCGGCGCCCGACGATCGTACGACGCAGCGCTGCGGAAACGTCACGTGCGATAGAATACTTAGAGTTACGTACAGCTAACACTTCTTCACGAGATAAATGTGCATGACCAGCAGTGATGAACGTACGATTTGTGCAAGCGGAGCGGTTTTTCCTTTGCATAGAAATGGCTGCAGAGCGACGACGCCTTTCACTGCTACCTCGTCTCAAGCTATTTTCAAACGACGAGCGATACAGAGGCGAATTCTTCAGGAGCCTGGGCGGACATCGAAGCACTGGACATATCCCCGAAGGCAGGTAGATCGGATCCCCTGTACGTCATACAGGCGAAAAAGGTTCTACTTGCACCAGGAAAGCGCAGCCAAGCTGAGCTCTAGCGGGACATCGAACCAGTTACGATTAGTATAGCAAGTAGGTCCTCTACCTTTAAACTTCTTCCCTACAAATGGCATCAGACGCATGAACATTCATGCAGCTGCACATTGAAAATGAAATAAACCAGAGTTCGCAGATCAGTTTGCGAGAACGCCATTGAAAGAGTGTCCACGTGTTTCAATTCCAAACCGTGCAAGCGTTGTCACTACCGCCAGATCTTCTTGATCCAAGTGAGAAAACAGCTTAAACACTCCGGATCTGTATCAGAGATCTAGCCTCAAAAGGAAATTGCAGATGACTGCGATCGGCAAACGAAACTGTTTTGCCGGTCCAGAGGAACGAAGAGGTCTATGTTCAAGTCCAAAACGATCAACTTTTTTGTCACGGCGAAGCAATTCCTTGATCCACCTTGAAAAAAAAGATCAAGTAAGAAATCAAGGATCCGTAGACGCACGTAGGTCTGTGAGGAGATGTACTCTGCACACCATCTCTCTGTTCCAGAAGTTTGAACTGATTTTTTCGCTAGAACCATGTTCAGAGACACGACGAATTTAACACGGACATCAGTCACTATTGTTTCTCCTTTGTCTACCGATCTTGTTGAAGACCGTACCAATCTGGTGCACTGACTATTCTTACGTACATCAAAACCTTTCCACCATTTCATCAGAGAAAAGAAAATGTCAGACTCCGAAATGGATGAAAAGCCACGCTTGCGGTCCAAGCAGTGGCTGCAAGAAGAGCGACGAAGCGTCGCACTGGTGGGAAAACCGAAGGATGAAAACGACGGAAATGCGAACCAAGTTTCCAACAAGGCGAAAAAGCGGGAACAGATTCGCGAGGCGCAGAAAGCCAAGCGGGACGCGAAGCAGGGAAAAACCTCGATTAAAGATTATCGAAGTGAATGCTTGGCCAAGAAGCAGGAGAATGTTTTGGACGTAAAGGGTAACTCTGCGAGCGACGCTCTCGTTGCCAAATGCTTTCAGAAGGAGACCGGAAAAATAGCACCAGGCTCCAAAAACAAAAACCCCCGGCCAAAACTGCGTTTGGAGATCGCACTCCAGAGCATCGCGGAAACAGCGACCCAAGTCTCCGCGGAACCGGAAAGAGAACTGGCGACTATCTTTCCGTTTTTCATGAAGCTGTACCAGGCTTTGGATGCCCGCTCCAACCGAACTGCGGACGAAGAAAACGTGAAGCACTGCGCGTTGATCAGCGCCATTGCTGTGCTGCGGGACATCCTTCCCGGATACAAGCTACAGCAGAATTCGCTCGAGAAGGGCAAAACGATTTTGTCCCGTGCGGTGCTCCGGACGCAGAAGTTCGAACAGCTTCTTTTACAGCAATACGAAAAAATCACGACGCAACTGCTCGTGAACGTGAAGCAGAACCCGATCGTGTACGCGGTTCCGCTGTGCTCGCTGGCGACCAGAAGTAAGGCAATGCACTTCAACTTCCGGACCCGCTTGGTCACGGCTCTGGTGAAATTGGCGAACCGGAAAGTAGTCGCAACAAACCGGGAAAATAAATCGGAGGAAACCGAGCTGATTGTGAAGCCGGCGTGCGAAGCATTGAAAGACATTATCGAAAAGGACAAAGGTTTGGAAATCTGCAAGGAGATCGTCACCGCCGTCGGGCTTTTCGCCAAGCGGGCCTGCGCAAACAGCTCGAACAAGCAGAGTAGTGCGGCGGCTGCTGCGGGAGAGAAGAATCTCAAACAGGGACAACAAGCTGGCGGTGTAGAAATTTCCAAATATGCGAGTAGTTCTACCTCCAGCCAGGTGGATTTGTTGTCCCCGCATTTACTCAACACGCTGCTCCACCTCCGATTGGACCGCTCCCGGGAGTTGTTGGAGGACAGCACATCAAATAACGACAGCAGCAATAAAGCCGATGATGAAGGCGACGACGATATTCTGAGTAAAAACATCCCCACCCCAGAGTTGTCAAGCAAATCTGCATGCCAAAAAAGTTTTTCATGCGAAGCCCCATGAGAAGCTTTTTGTAGTCGTGTTTTGGGATTTGTGATGCTAGAAATAGCATGATATGCTAGATCTGTGATGCTGCTGAACTAGCTAAACAGGACTACACTACGGGGACAAACTTGTCATGCGAAACAACCAAAGTTGGCTGATTTGTCTAGCAGATTTCCCATCTTGACTCTGGTGTGGGGACATTTTTACCCAGAATAGACGAGGACATAGAGCGCGAGTTGCTGGAAGGATCGCTCTCGACGAAAAAGAAGTTGGAGCTGAAGAAACTCGAGGCGGACTTATATCAAATGTAAAAATGTCTGGGTCAGGGTTGGAACTTGTGATGCAAACTTTGGAACACACAAAAACTTGTGTTGCATGACCGCCAAAAGCTGTCCATTTCTTGGCACGCAAGTAGGAAGTTTCTCATGCGGGACAGGCATCATGAGGCGTGCTCAAAACCTGTGATGCTTTCGCCTGCATCAGACGCGACTTGCGTGATCCGAAATATGCATGACAAATCTCAGAATCTTCCAGACCCAGACATTTTTACATTTGATAACTTACTCGCCGAGGTGATTGTGATCTACCTGCGGGTCTTGCGCGTCCACTTTAACTTCTCGCCCACGGTGTTGCGGTCCGCGCTGCAGGGCTTGGCGCAGTTCGCGACGCTCGTGAACGTTGAGTTGCTGCTGGAGATCCTGCAGGAGGTGCGAGAGGTGCTGCAACACGCGCTGACCCGGCTGGACGCCGAGCACGCAAGCTTAGCACTCTGCGCCGCCGTCAAGCTGCTCGCTTCCCCGGCCGGTCGCTCCTTGGCGCTCGGCGACGACTTGCAGTGGGTGGCAACGTCGCTTTTCACAGCTCTGCCACTGTTTCTGCTGTGCGAAAATAAAGAGGCAGAGCAGCAACAAGAGGAACATCAAACGCCTTCCAGTATCAAGGACGCCCGCGCCGAGATCCTGCAACTGATCGGGTTATGCGTCAACGAGTGTCCCCAGGTGTTTTCCAAGTCCGCGATGAATTCGTGCGCGTTGTTGACCGAGGGCTTGGTCCAAGACCTCGCTGGCGCCGGGTTTTCCACACAGTTCCTCGCGGAGGCGGGGAAACTGATCCAGAAGCACCAGAAACTGAACAACGTGCTCTCTGCGGAGGGTGGTCTTTTCGGAGTCTTATCCGAGAACGGGATCGTGGAGCGACCGGTGCAAGTGTTTTACTCTCTGCAGGCTCTGTCGCAGCAGCAGGACCCGGCGGTCGCACGGCTGGCGAAGTTCCTATTGCAGCAACATGGGAAACTGTTGCAAATGCCGACTTGGGCAACTACCACGGGCGGTGAGAGCGCACGAGAAAGCAAGTTGAGCAAGAAGCGAAGAGGGGAAGAGTCGGAGGCAGAGAAGGCTTTCGATGTGCTTGCGGGAGTGGAATTGCCAAAACGACAAAAGCTGGCACGCCGGGTTTTTCCCATCGAAAGCGTGGATCAAATTCCTTCGTTGTGAATGAGAACTGCGAACAACTTTGGACTGCATTTCAAGCTATTTTCCCGTTATTAAAGTTGATGTAAAAAGCGCAGACTGTGATTCACAAAAGAGCGAACATGGCCAAGAACATGGTTTCTCAGCAAATGGTATTTTGTAGATGCATGTGTTCAGAAGTCCATGGAAAAGATCGCGTTCATTTCTTGTTTGGTGGACGAGCTCCTGATCAGATTGTGTTTGAAAGGCACCCGTTATATGTCGATCACTATGGTTTTGGGTCTGTCGTCCCTCAGTTTGTTCCGCCTGCGTTCTACGCTCACTTTTCGTCTACAAGCACAAGATGTTGATGACGTCAGACCTTTCAAGAATTTTCACGAACTTCGCAGTTTTTTCCTGAACTCAATTTTGTCCGCGCAATTATGCCAGTGTCCGATAACTTCGACCCGGACCGACTGGTCAAGCACGAGAGCCCGGTGAGTCCGAAAATCTACGGGGAGGTGGCGGTGGTGACGTTGTGCACGGGTTTTATACTCCTCGCGTTCTTTATGTTGCACGAAGTGACCGCGAGCAAGATGGAGTACAACCTGAAAAAACAGATCGGAATATCCGCCGTCGCATCGGGCTTTCTGGGCGTCGGATTCGTATAAGAGAAAACTTGAAACTTTTTCAGTCATCATGAACATGGAGTTTGAAAATGGTTTCGGCATTTCAAAGAACCGGAAATAGTTTATACTTTTTTTCGGATGAAAATCGGAAAAGATCTAGATCGTTGTAAAAATTCAGATTTTCCTCCTGATGAATTTCGGCGTCTACATATGACCTTGCCGCTCCTCCATCGCCGCTGGAAAGTATGCTCCTCTGCAACCCGTGACCGCCGCAGCACTGCTTCGATCGAGAATACAGCAACAGTGATTTCTTGCTACTCACGAATGAATTTGCGCTCCTGAATAAGCCTGACTCAGACTCTGCGCGTACTTACAACGCAGTGCCAAGACAAAAATAAAGAACTTAATGGAATAAAACACGGATAAGATCGACAGCAAATTCAAATTGATGAATCGGCGTTCCTGTTGTATTAAACTGTTCCATTCACCAGGTATTCGTAGTTGATGTGCCAGATGCTGCTCCAAAGATCCAAGTTGGTTCCTGAAATTCGTTGCAAAGGACGAGGACTTGTCTGCATCAAGAGCACTACTGTTGTCGATCCTTTCTCGTAACTGCAATTTGCCGCTTCGCGGGGCATGACGGAGAACGTCAAAATAATGTACATTCATCATCAATACCGATTCAGTGAGGCGACGTCAGAAACACCACTTCTTCGGTGGTGCGCATGATGTCTCGCCGGTGAGGCATGGAGATGCTAGAGGAAAGGATAGAAGATGTAGAAAGTGTTTTTTAGAAAATTGCCTTGATATTCATGCAAGCAAGAATTGACACGGGCACGAAGAGCAAAAGAGTTTTATAGCCCTTCAAACACAAGAACTATTATCATGCTGCCCCATAGCACGCGGCGCGTGGTGCGGTTTCTGGATGGGAGTAACGTCACCATCGCCGACAAGAGCTGCCAGACGCGGCTGCAACTGCGCAACCTCGCAGTTGCTGCCCTGCCGGAGGCATCGCGCCTTGACCCGAGACTGCGACAGCAATACCCCCCGAAGTTCTACCACCTTTTTCCAGCCGACGCAAGCAACTATGAGCAGGAGAACTACACGTCTAGCAGTTTACTCTCAACAGCACCATCACCGCGCGGCGACAGTGAAGTGGCATCCAACACAAACAATCACGTCGAACTGGCCCCAAAACTAAGTGCAGGAAGTTCATCCAGCAGAAAAATGAGTACTGCAAGCAGCGCTATTGCCAGAAACAGTTTGTTGAGCGTCATAGTGCAGGACGAAGACGATCATGTCCAGGTCGCAGCACCGCCTCTCGGGAGGACCACAAGATCTTCCTGTGTTTTCGACGAAGACCATTTTGTCGACTGCGAGGAGGGGGAGGTCGCTTCCGTGCAGACTTTATCGCGCAATAGAAGGAGGAGTAGGAGGACTAGCATACAACTGCGCGACAGTCGCCGCAATAGTACTGTCACTTCAGTCGAAGATGAAAGCGACGACGAATACTACCTGGTCTGGCGTTGTCCCATCGCAGCGGGGAACGTGATTCCTAGAAGTAGGATTAGCGGCGATAATAAAAATGTGTGTGAAACAAGAACGTCGGTGGATCATTATGCTGACGTTCCGGATCGGCAGCCGGCCGAACTGCGTCACTTCCTTGACAAGCACGGTGTCTCACTGCTTGCCTTCTTGGAGGAGCAGCTCGCGCCGGCTCTGCAGCTGGAGGAGGAGCGCGGGGTCTTCGTGCCCGCCGCGGAAATCCGGGAGCATCTACAGACCGTCGGCCATTTTCTGGCGAACGTCTGCGACGACTTTTCCTACCAGAAAGTCGCGGACTACTACGAGCTCAAGCTTATGTCGACCTGCGCGCGAAGTTTCGCAAATGCAAATACAGCTACAACTACCTTGCGGGCCGGGAAGGGACATGGTGGGAAAACTCGTTCGCGCGTGGACGTCTACGCAACGGACGCGATCCGCCGGGTGTGCCAGGTGTGCGTACCGGTCTTGCGCACAATGTAGAATTTACACATGTTCTGTTTCATCTGTGCAAAGAAAAGGAGGAGGGGGTACTGATGAACAGCGAAGAGAAAAGAACAGAATGAGGATATTAAGAGCAACACAACAAGGGAGCCCGACATTTTCTTCTGTGTAAAATGCACTTTCATACTATCATAAGCGGTTTGTTATGTTTTGACCCGCGCGGTTCGTTTCATGCTGCATGTTTCACTACCTGCTAGCACACCGACGGATTTGTTTTGTTTTGCACTTGTTCTAATATCGAAGACGAATATTTTCATTTGGATCATTTTGCACTGGATTCTGATTCTAAAGATGCATGCACCTGCTTGCAACAGGTCGGAAAAGGGGGCGCAAAAGAAAGGCTTGCTGCATTCACAGGTGTTCCGAACGACCAACAATCTTGTGTTGCGTATTGTCTGGTGTTACTCTTTAGAACTTTCAGTTCAGTAGACCTGGGGAGTGTAGGGCCTTCTCTCTTGTTCACGTTTGTCTGGTAGACTGTGCCGGATTTGATTCACAGCCATGCTGTGGGAAGAAACAAACAAAGACGATATTAGTTCTAGTGTACTTACTGCTATCCAAGTTGAGTTCTACTTCGACGCCGGAAAACGAGTTCTAGTCTTGCTATGTAGAAGGGAGATGTTCTTAAACTCAAGCTCTAAGAATTTAAATTAGCACACGACTGAGGATATATTTTACAAATACCGCACGCACACCTGCAAGTCCAAGTGCTGTTCTATCCCTACTGCTACTCTGATCCACTTTGGTTCAGTATGGAACGTTATTTCCGAAGTTTGGTGCTTGTTTTCAATCTCAGGCAGCTTTCTGAGTCGGAGGTTTCTGCTAAGATAGTACTTTAGATTGATGGATTTGAAAGAATTTTTACTGTGAAAATAAGATAAACGGGTAGGAAAATCACGTATACTTTTTCAACTGAAGACTCACTTATAACAATAAAGTATAAAGATAAACCCTTGAGAGAACAAAATAAAAGATTTTCAACACACCATCAGCAGGGATCAATTTGGCCTTTTCAATCTTCACCGGACTCCAACAGGCGACGGGAGGACCCACCACAGCAACTTCTTTTCTCGAACAAAATCGCAATGAATAGCCGGAATCTTCTTCCTCGAAGAGAAACCGCAACGGCAACCATCACTAGCTCTTCAGTCTAGGGTACTTAACAAGGAGCGACGATGAGCAGGAACAGCTCTACTTCCAGGAACGGGCGGTCTGCCTCTCGAAACAGATATCCGACCCCGGCCCATCAGCTGAACGACCGCTATGGAGTAGACAGGAGGAACTTGCGCAGCACGACGGCACTACTAGCAAAGTACGAGAACGAAGCGTTGGAACAAGAGCGGGCGCGCTCAGCGTCTCGTCGCCGAGCGACCGGCGGATTTCCTCTGCCTCCTGGAGGAGTAGCACAACCAGGAGCGTCGGCGCCACCCTTTGCGCATTTGTACCAAGGACCGAACAGCGCAAGAAACCAGTCGTCTTTCCCAAATGGCGCATCATCTTCAAGTGCGGTCGTTCCCCCGTTCCTCGGGGCTCCCGTTTTAAGCCAAGTAGGACGACTGGTACTATCGCAGAACCGCGGCCGGGCTGGATCTGGGTCAATTGCGAGGGGAGCGCTGCAAGGCGGGACGGCGAAAGGTAAAGGAGCTGGTGGTTCTGCCGCTGCTGCTGCTGCCGCGAAGGATGCAGCCGCACGTGCGGAATCTCGGAGGATTTTCGATGAGCTTTCCAATCCATACGGATCGCGAAGAAGTAAGTCAAAAAGTACTAGATCCAAGTCAAGTAAGCAGCGAGCTGCCCCAGCGGCGCCCGCTGCAGCGCCAGGACTACAGCCGGGTCCTCAACCCGGCACACGGGCGGTATCTGCACCCGGAAGAGATGAACTAGTTTTTGGCCCGCGCGAAGTGCCGGAGAAGAAGAATGTACACGAACGAAAAATCGCGCCACCTGAACAACCCGTGGGTCGTTCATCAGATGCTGCTCCAACAGCCGCAGCTTCGCGTGAAGCTCCGCGTATCACCGCACCGCCAGTGCCAGCAGCCAGAATCTTCATACACAGTGAACAAGCGGCGTCGCTGGCGCAAGCAGGAAGAAGTTGCCAGCGACAGACAGATAGCGTGAAAATGCAACAAGCAAGAAGAAATGCATCCCGCAGTAAAAAATCTATGTCCCGTCGGAGGAACCATGTTCTGGATCAGTCCGCCCAGATTATTGTCGAGTCCGCGCGACTGGCCGCACGGGAGGCCTTGACAAACGACGTCTCACCGGCAGCAGGTGAGCCAGCTTTATTACCCACCTTTTCTTCAGTATCACAGGGGCAAATGAATCACATTACAAATGAATCACCATACGGGAAAAAAAATGCTTCCAAGTACCGCAGTGCATGGCCAGGCTCGCACGCATAAGGTAGCGCCCAACATATACAACCAAGTAACCTGAGACACAGCGACGCTTCTCAGGAAAGTCGCGCCTTTCTCGATAAGGTTTGCACTATTTGGTTGGTGGCTACGGGGGCCGAACGCAATGGCCATGAGTGGACGCGGGGGCCATCGTGCCTGAATAGCTTGCAAACAACTCGGGGGAAGCATTCGCAACCCAAAATACCAAGCAAAAGCCCATTGCTAAAGATAGGAAAAGCGACGCCACAAAACTGAAGTGATTACACCTCCATACCGTCGGGCGTAGCGTCCCGAGGGTGTCGCATTTTCTGAAAAAAGTTCAATTTTTGCCAAAAATCCATCTTTTTCGAAGCAAAAAAAGAGGTGTAATCACCTTGCGTTTTGTAGCTATCAATTAGCCCTATGATTCATTTGACTCCTCCCGCTTAGTATCTGCTTGAATCACCCCTGCAAAAAGTCGCGACTTTTGGCATCAAATTGATGCCCGAAACACGTCTTTTTCGCGTCAAATCACCCAAGCAGATATCAAGTGGGTTTGGCTTTTTTTTTGTCTGAAACAGGCTGAGCATCTCAAGTGATTACACCTCCACTGTTCCACTTCCGCCACTTGGTAACAGTAGAGTAGGGCAAGAGTAAGTATAGTGCGCCAGTAGCACCATGCGGGGTAGCATTATGCACCACGGTATGATGCTTTGGGGCTGGTCTTGGGGTATCTTCTATGGCATCTTCTGCGCACTACGTCTCGCAGTCTTCTCCTTACCAAAATGCGACGCCTGGGGCTTTCGGTCGCAGCCTTCTCAAGCATTCGCCCACTGCAATCTACCGACCAGCTGTGTCTGGCGCGGGGGAAAAAGCTGCAGGCGCTACGGCAGTTGGGGGCGCTCCGAATTCTTTTTTTTTTCGGCCCTATGATTCTTTTGAAAGTGATTCACTTGCTCCTTTGATATTCAGCTGCTCCAAAAACAGTCGCTGCATCGCAAGTTGTGCAGCAGCCAAAACCGCTTGTCGTCGCAACCGCCAGCACCTCCGCGGGACAACTTTCCGCGTTCACAGGTGCTTGTTCCGGCTCGGTTCGGCCACCCAATCCTGGTTCGCTCACGATTCGCAAACCGGCTCCTTCGGTCCCGGATGCATCAGCAGTCGTCGCAGGCAGGTCCGGTACCCGGCGAGGTTTATGTCCGTCGGTTGTGCCGGGGCGGGAAGATCGCGCTGCGGCACGCGGGGAGTCGGTAAATCACGGACGTACTCCAGGCCGTCCCTCTCCTCGCGAAGACGACAAGCCGCTAGAGAATAAACCAGAAACAGCCTCAGCGGAAAATTCCGTGAAGGCGCGAGCACCTGTACTTCAACCGCCGAATACAGCAGAGAGTTCTTCCCTAGCCAGCCGTAGAAGAAGTATTCCGCAAGATCTTGCAGAGAGTTCTGCTGCGAAACCACCTCTTGCAGCGGGGGCACCACCTACAGCAAATCAAGCCAGCGTTGTTCGTGTAAAAAACGGTGCTACCAGTGCGACGAACCACGAAGGGGCCGTCGGGCAGAACGCGATGCTGGGTTTGCACTCCGACGAGCCGCAGCGTGATCATTCGGTGGAGGATGCAGCGGATGATATCGTAGGAGTAGGTACTGAAGGTGATCTGCAGGGTGCTGCTCCAGAGCTGGAGGAACCTAGTCAGCGGAAACCCGCTTGTTCTCAGCTCGTGGCACCAGTCCTGCACGACACAGGTGGACCAGGACTTCAAATGTCCGAGCGAGGAAAAGGAAATGAGCAAAAGTCTGTGATGAATGTCGCGACACGGCAAAGTATGAGGATCCCAGTCTTGTGTAACCGCGAAGGGGCGGCCATGCTACGTGAGCAACCAAAGACCTCCGACGTTAGCAGCAAGGTCACGACTACTAGCGCGGCTAATCTAGAAACACCTGGACTAGCCGCGGCAGGGATGAGCGACCCAATCGCAATCGCTTCTGCGAAGCCCGCGGAGTTGAGACAAGGATCGACGCCAGGAGGTGAAGTCTCTTTGGTTGTTACCGGCAGCAAGGGTACTGGCAAAGGAAACTTGGTTAGTAGAAACTTGTTGGGCGGGGCAAGCGCCTGCACGAGTGATGCGAAAGGAGGTGGAAAGAAAAGTTCCATTGTCGCGGCCCGGCAAGCAGCAGCGGCTTCCGCCATTGCAGCGAAGATGAATCCTGGCGCAAAGGGGCCACAATTCCCTCCTGGAAAAGAAGTAGGGAAAGCGGGACTGAACAAAAATTCTGTGCCGCAAGAGTCGCGGGATAATCGTCGCCAGCTGTTCGAGGCAGATGGAGTCGGGAATGCAGACCCGGCTGCAGCATCAGCCAGTGTTAATAGGCCCGGTCCGGTGGATGGCGGGAAAGGTGGGAACTCGATGAACCTGGAACGAACCGTCCGCGGGCAGGGACAAGCAGTAGACGAGCTGCCTGTCATAGAGACATCCAGTTTATCGGAAACGTCGTCAGTAGTCTCTCCTTCGTCCTCCGAAGCTGAATCTGTGTCCCCAGTGCGTCGTGGGCCCAAGAGGCCGAAGAAAGCTGCGATGCCGAAGCACGCACCGTTGACAAAGCGTGGACCGGGGCGCCCGAAGAAGATCGTGGCGCCGGCCAAGAAAGAGTACTGTCCGGATAACCGAGAAATTTGTGCATCCGCGAAAAATATTGACGCAGACGATGATGAAGAACAGAGCGGAGCCGGCGAAGATTTGAACCTTTCACCTGCAATTGCTACGAGTACAAACAACGAGCTGAACATCAAAAAAACCAATTATTACCCGAAAAGTATGGTAACCCGTTCCCACCAAGAGCAGCGGCAGGTCGGGCTTCAGGGCCACCAGGTCATCTCGCCGGCGGTAACACAACAGGGCACAACTACTCTGTCGGGGCCCCAGGAGGTGGTGAAAGAGACACTGTTGCCATTAAGTCCCGAGGTGCGCCACCAAAATCGCATGATATCTCCACCAGCCGCGGTTGCAACCGGAAGAGACCAGCGACAAGTACCGCTGCCACGGCAAAATGGTCCTGCGACAACCCAGGCTTGGTTTTTCCCGGCTGTTTCTCGCAATGCATCTCACGAGGAACAAGCAGGAGCAAAGAATGCGCGGCGCGCTGAACAACGTGTTGACAGCCTGGGGAAGAATCCGCATCTCAGTGCGGTGCACCCAAACACTGCTCGAAGGATTCGGCTGGGGGGACCGTCGCAGCCGATCAGCAGGGGTTCTGCGGACGTGGAAGCCGGTCGGCGGCAACCTGGTTCCTCGCAAGATCCAGCGAAGATTCCTCGAGGGAAAGAGACTGCGGTGGTTGACGTGGCAGGGCAAATGACAAAAGAACAGAAAAATATTCACGGCCACATCCCCACTCCAGCTCGGCAAGATAATCCGCACATGTTGACCAGAGAAGAACGACCTATCGCTGGTGCTCCTCCTGTTCAGAAGAACAACAACACGAGCTTGACCTCAGGAAAGGTTGCTCAGATTCGGGCTGAGATAGAACAGCGTGTAGAACATCACAGCAAGCGAAGAAATGTGCAAGAGGAAAGCAGTAGAGTGAAGACAAACGACGGGAACAAAGTAACAAGCGAAGAAGTACAACTGGGGAAAAAATCGATCGTGTTTGTTGAGGAGAAAAAGGAGGACCTGGTGTCTCACTCTGTCGGCGCCTCTCGGAAACCACAAGATACAGTAGAACCAGCGATAGTACAAGACTACACAGCGACTACTTCAACACACCAATCTTTACAGAATGCCATAGCACCCAGCCATACACCTGCAAAAGCTGAACTGGCGATCCAGGTTGAAAGGTTCGAGCACCAGATGTTGAACCAATTTAGCAGTATGACGCCCCGGGGAACGATCTCGAGCGCAGGGGCCAGTCAGGCGCCTATAATCCCCCATGACGACCGGGAAGAGCGGCGGCGGCGCAGGGACGAGAAGAAACGCCAAGAGGGACTTGTTTGCAATCAGCCACGGAGCAGCGCCGAGGCGTTGGACCCGGCGCAGCCTGGACAAGACCAGCGGCAGGGGTCACGCCTGGGAATAACCTCTGCGGGCTCGCTGGATTTTGAGGTGGCGCCGGTGAAAACGTCCTCTGTCCTCAGTACACCAGGAGGAAGACAAACTGCCTCTGTATTGCCCGGCGGACCCCCGCTCCTGTCTGGCCCCGGACAGTCGGCTTCGTCTTGGAGGAACGCAATGTTGATGCCCGGCCTGCCTGTTCCAGGGCAAAGCTCGTCGTCATCCACCGCATTCTCCAGCAGGTCGGGTTTTTCGCACCTACCCTTCGCGTTCGCACCACCAACTTCTGCATCTCATGTTCCGCCCACTGCACAGGCAATTCCGGGGGTCGTAGTGCCATCAGTACCTCCGCAGTCTGGTCTTTTGTTTTCGGACTTGCCGTCCGGGATCGCGGTGGCTCACGCGGCGTCGTCCTCTACCTCCAGCGCCGGCGTGGTAGCACTTCTTGGACCGCAACACCAGACGCGTCTGCCAGAAAAGCCCATGCTAGACGCGAACTCAAATAAGAGAAGTTTGCAGTTTGGACCCTCCGAGAAGATGCTGCAGTCGCATCCCGAATTGTCTTCATCTTCGTCCAAATTGCCGCTAGCGTTGCGGCAAAAAGACACGAAAGTGCAGCCAAACTCGTTGTTTAATCCGTACCAGAAAGTTCCCCTACCTCTCGGTGAGGACGATTCCGAATCTTCGGAAGAGTCAGCACAAGTACCTGAAACAAAGCGCAGAAAAGACAGCGCGGGCCACGCTGCGGAGAAACGCGCGCACGACAAGCGTCCCGCAGTTTCTCTCGTGCCCCCGGCCGCAGCTCCGTTGCCTCTACCCGAGGAGCAGAGAGGTCGTCAGCGTCCTCAAGCGAGAAGTACTGCTAGAAATTGTTCTGCACCTCGCGGCTCCTCTTCGACGGGCGCTCAAGGGCGGGGACCCCTGAACAAAGTTTACGTCACCCGGTCTGTTGCACGCGAGATGGAAGAGTCTCTGGCTCGGGAACGGGGGCAAGAGCAGCAAGGGCACGTCGAAAGAGAAGAGCCAAGAAAGATGGAGGTACCTCCGAAAGGAAAAGCGGGAAACGCTCGGTCGAGATCTCGTGCACGAGAGCAGCAGCAGATCATGCAGGAGAGGGACGAACACGAACAGAAGGTCGTTGGAAAGAAGGTGTACAACACTCGAGCGCGGGCAGCTTCGCAGGCACGGGCTACTGACATCCGGGAAGATTTTCAGGATGACGACGACGGAGGCAGATTGCCGCCTGGGGCTAGCCTCATGCCGGGAGGTACGAAAGTAGTTGCGTTGTGGTCGGCTTTCATCTGGGCACGTGACTGTCGCAAAATGTTTTTGTTTACATACTTGCTCGTCTCTGTCTTTGCCGTATCATCTTCCTGTCTCATTCATCTTCATATTCCCACGTCGTTTATCTTTATCCCTGTAAGGTAACATTCGGTACCGCGGCGTGGTGATCCCGGCTTTTGAGAATTGGAGTCCGCGGTCAGAAACCCCATATGACGAGGACGGCAACTTGCTGTTGGATCGGGTTCACGAACTCTACGCAGACAAGCTTCTGCCAATTGAGGACGCGGTTGACCACCAGTTCGCCCTCCCAGAACAACATCGCGAGGACCGGGACAAACCGAAAACGCAACGCGTGGAAAACCGCACCGACAACGAGACCAAGCTCCAGCTATTACAGCAGGGTAGTCGAAGAGGTGGACAAGAACCTCCCTCAGGCTCTGCCAACCAGCAAGCGATGAGCCACGTAGGCGCAAGCAGTTCATCCTGGGCGCCCGCGACAAGCAGCAGGGGCGAGCATGTTGTCGGAGGTCCGACGGTAATATTTCGACCTCCGGGGCGGGCGGGTTCCGGGGCTACGGTGGACACCGACGTCGTGATGCAAGACGCGGAGGACGCTGTCATGGAGGATGTAGTGGAAAATAATCCTCTTCCAAAACGACCCGAAAATCAAAATCCTGCGAACCATAACATGGCGGCACCCTCGTCGCCAAACGCGTCCTCCACAAGTGAAGAAGAGGATTCTGACCCGGAATGGGTCCCACCAAAGGAGGAGGAACCTGTAGTCCACCCAGTCGTGCCGATGAAACGGGGTCCCGGTCGTCCGAAGGGCTCGAAAAACGTGAAAACCGCCATGAAAGTTGCACCCGTCCGGGGCGGGCGGGGACAATCTCGACCCCGCAACGGTGGAGGCGGAAACAGCGGTGCTGGTGCAGCAGGAGGTGGTACTGTCGTCGCGGCCACAGCATCTGCTAGTTGCTCTGGTGCAGTAGTCCAAGGACGAGGACCCCTACGAGCAGCTGCACCCAGTGGTCAGCAGCAAGTAGAGCGGGGGGAGACGGAGACCACTAGACCAGCACCCGCGGCCGCTTCGCGTCCGCAGCAGCAGCGTGGCGCATCCGCAGCCCGCGGACGGCCGCGAGGAGGGGGCTCCGTGGCGCGGGGGGGACAACAGCAGCGCGGCCGGGGGCAAAATAATAGAAGGCGGAACGGTGTTGAGTCGTCCTCCGAGGAGTCGGCGTACTCCCCGAACAACCGCGACAATGCGCCTCGACGCGACCGAAGACAGCGGCACCGGGTCAGCGTGTCCTCCGATGACGAGGAGGATAGCGAGGAGGACGACGACCTCGACGAAGATAATCCTGAGCAGGGCAACGTCGGAATAAATGTTGAAAACGGCAGAGTACAACAGAACCAGCAGCAGCACAGGCGCGAGGCGGGAAATCATGGTGCCGGGGGGCGTGGCGCGAACAATGAGGTAGGACTACAGCAGCCACCGCCGCCGCCGGTCGTCGGGTGCCGGCGCTCCACGCGGTTGGAGATCAAAAAGTGGAAGGCCACAAGGCTGTTCGGGGAACACAGCGAGCTCAGTTGCATGCTCCAGGACCGGTCCAACCGGGGGCTGCTGAATCTCCAGAACCACGGATACACCTCCGATCAGCTGCAGCGTGTCTGTATGGATTGCAAAAATGTCTGGGTCTGGAAGAATACAAACTCGTGATGCGCATTTCAGAACACAGAAAGATCTCTCATGCATAGGTAGCAAAAGCTAAAGCTGCCCGCTTTCTGTCACCAGAATGGGGGATTCGTCATGCGGATTCGGCACGACGGAAGCTTCTCGAAACCTGTGGGCTAGAGCTTCTATGCCGGACCTTCTGTGTCATGCAAAAACAGCATGACTCTTCACTTCCAGACCCAGACATTTTTACATTTGATAGTCTGCAAACTGTGCAAGAAACTCATGACCCCGTTCCCGAAGCCCGGCCTGGAGGAGGATGCGGCCGCCAAGGAGCGGCGCGAGACGGCCAGCCAAAAGTTGGAAGATGCGATGATGCAGGCGCTAAAAGACATGTACAATTCGGAGGACGAGTTCAACGCTTGGAACGATTCTGGTACTGCTTTTATTTAGATCGGTCGTTGTTCGGCTATTTATTTAGAGGACATTCATAAAAAGTGTACTTCTTCACCTCTTCACCTCTTGTAGCTTATTTTCTCCCACCAGCCATGGGAATAAAGATTTTTAAGATGTGGGAATAAAGCGAAATATTAAGCCAGAGCACTTCCAGACCGTCGACAATAAATTGACGGACGCAAACATCCATGCAGGTATGACCCCCTTGGCTGCGGTTCTTCGGGGCTACTTCAAGGACGGAGGTTACCACGGCATCTTGCGGCGGTTGAAACTGTTTCACGAGATCTTGGACCGCGGTGCCGACGTGCGGTTTCCCTTCGTGGCGGACGAAACCGCGGTGGAGCTCGGACCCAGTGTGTACGGTGGCTCGACGCACGTGTACTCGGTTCTGTATCGCAAGGAAAAAAAGTGTGTAAGTGTAACTTTCTTTGAGGAACAGCATCACAAATGTGCTCTACATGACAGAGAAAACCTGTCATGCATGGTTTGTAAGGGAAAATACACATGAAAAGAGGACTTCATGGCTGCCTGGCATGACAGGTGTAACTCTGTTGCATCTTCTGCAGCACAAATTTACACTTACTTACACAGTTTTTTTCCTGCGATATTCTGGAGTACACCTGCATTCGGGGGTTCTGGGAGTTTTACGAGATCATCTGCGATTGCTGGCCCGATTACTATCACATGATGCCGCCGGACGCGATCTGCAAGCGCGTGAAGGAGGACAAGTGCGCGGTTCGGATTATCAAGAAGATGAACTGGCACCGCCGGGGCTTGTACATCCTGGCCCGGCACCGGATACAGCAGATGCGACGGGGCACCGCGCGCGCGGGGCAGCGGATTTTGTTCACGCAGAACTTGGAGTCTGGGCACACCACCGCGCCCCTGGTTGGGGTTCACCACGAGAAGGGCGTCGCGTTCCGGGAGGCGTTTCCTCGCACCAAGGTCGTAGAAATAAAGCCGAAGAGAAGACCGCGGCTGGTGATCCCGGGAAAGTTGCTCACGGCAAGACAGAAGGCGATTCTGCAGATCATCGGGAAAAAGGAATTCATTCATCTGATTCGGATGACCTTCAGCAGCAAAAGCTACGCGCGACGGTACAAAGCGTGGCAGAAGCGGAGAAAGCAAGCAGTGGCGGCAGCGGCGGCAGCAGCGGCGGCGGGAGCAGCCGGAGCAGCACCAGCAGCTTCTTCTTCTGCCACTGCTGCAGGTGTTGTAGGAAAAAATGCGACCGGTGCAGTTGTTCCGGAGGGAATTGGAAACAAGGAGGTAGACGGCGCTCCACCAACTAATGCCACCAGCGTACTGGCGCTTCCGCAAAAGCAGAGTTCACACTTCTTACAACTCAAAAAAAGTCCGGAGTGCAAGAATGCGAAAGCTTCGAAAAGCCGCAGCAGACCACGAGGGCAACAAGGGGTGAAGAAGCAAAACGTGAAAACACTGAACTATGCAGCGCTTTCACTCCTGTCCATAAACAGCATTCGGAAGCAGTGCCAGCACCTTCAGACGGGAGCTGGTGGCGACGAAAAAAAATCAGAGCAGCAGCAGCTTGGTCGCAATGATAACGTGGTCGCGCAAGGCTGCAGCAAGGAGGGCAAGACGGAGCAAAAGGTGGAGGATAAAGGAAAAACGTCAACGGAAATAGACCCTACGAATCTGAACAAGAATTCTGAGGACAAGACGGACCCGGCAGTTGGAGAGCAAGATCCAGCAAAACAGCTGCAGCTCGCCACGACGAAATGCCCGACGAGGTTCGATAGACGCGTGCTGTTAGATCCCTGGATGGCATGTCCTTGGGTAGATCCACTAAAGCACTTTTTCGCCGAGTACGCTCTGACGCTGAGGAAAAGGAAGAGAAAGGACGAAGGTCCTTTGTCGACCGAGGAATTTGCAGAAATTTGTTGCAAGTTTGTGATCAATTGCGAAGAACCGGTCTTTCGGAACATTGTTGCTTTTTTGTAGCTAGAAGTGGCCACTAGCACTACGACTAGTAGCTGCGATGTCATCTTATTGTACTCAGCAGAAGTCTGCGTCGGGGTCATTCTCGATGTCAAGACCTTGCTTGGCTGAGTAGACGGGAATTGATTTATGTACTCTGGCTTGAAGCTGTACTAAAATCAAATGACAAAAAATGACCTTTTTGATGGTAATCCGCCTTCAGGCCACAAGACTAGTTTAGTTCTCTGTGACCAGTCGCTTTACCTATCAACACGACAGAAATGAAAAATATCATATTGCGACCTCTTACTTTTGGCGACAACTCATGGCAATGCCTTCACTTTCATACGGATGTTAAACACGTTTTTCTCTTGCGAAAAGTAAGTAATTCTAGTAGTGGAGGAGAAGTCCCGACACACAAGGTTCATACGAAGAAGTAGCGTGTTCGCTTTGTGCTGCTTATCACGCAACAGCGGTACCCCCACGTCAAGTGAGGCGTGAATTTAAGTTAATTTCGGTAAGGCATGAGCGTCTCCGAGCGGGTAGGACAAAAATCTTTGAGTGTGAGGAATTTAGAAACGCGGCCAATCCAATCCAATGAGAGAATATCTTTCTGAATTCCATGATAAATCTCAATCCTTTTCCTTGGTGTTCAGGCCGGGTGTGTGTTTCAGTGTAGATCCCGTAATAACTACAATCCTCAACGAGTGTGTGGACGGTAAAAACAAAGAAGAAGTATCTTCAATAAAGCGAGTAGGTACCTCTCGACAGGACAGCATCAGAGGTCGAAGAAGGAGAAGTTTTAACTTAAAAAGCCTTTTCAGTTGAAGAGGAAGTTAGGAAATCATTAATAAAACAAGGTTCGTAAAGGTAAATATCGTACAGCGACTAAAAGAGCTGCAACACTCGTATTACTGGCAGCAGTAGTAGAAGACGAAAGATGTTGGCTCGTCGTTACAGTTCGGATTCGGTTGACGGCAACGGGGGCGAGTCATCCAGCCCGAAGTCGATCCCGGAGTTGCGCCAGCAGGTGAGCCGTGAGCGGACGCTGAGCCGCGAGAGCATGCCCGAGCTGGAGGACTTGTCGCAGATGCGCCAGCGGCTGGCGATGGGCGAAAACAAGTACCAGCAGGCGGTGCAGCAGAACACCAATCGGCAGAATGAGGTGATCGGCTGCGGAGCTTTCATCTCGCGGCTCTGCCAGTAAGGTGCCGAAGGTTCTCATGTTGATGGCTCTGATCTTGCATATGCAAGAACCTGATATCGCCTTCCGTTCCTGATATTGCGTAGTCTACAGTTTCTCTGAGTTCTTCTTTGAACTGACAGTTTTAGTTTTTTGTTTCAACAGACTTACTTAACATCAGCATGGCTAATATTTTGGGATCTGCCACTGATGTGCTGATGCGTTGTGTATGCATAAAAAGCAAAAACCGTTAGTGTCTCACCCGCGTGCCAGTGGCACACAACGTATTTTAGTGAAAAAATGAAAGAGAAAGGATACAAAAAGGTAAAGGAGATGAAATGATTGAAAATTTCTCCGTCCAGTCTGCCTATGCAGCTGACGCGATGTAGTATATGTCTCAATATCATGGTCGTACGTAGCTAAAGCAAAAGAAAAAAAGAGGCGGCATATGTGTAAAATATCCGACGACAGATGAACGCTTTGTCCGATGGGTAGAACGCTTTTTTTCTTTGAAGTGAAAAAATCGAAATCATCTTTTTCCGTAGTCATCTAGTTGCTTTCAAACAAGCTGCTTCTCGACTAGAAAAAGATCATCTATACCCAGGTAAGCATGCATGGAAGGCGAAATGAACAACATGCTTCCGCTCAAAAAATAGCAACGAAAAACTTCATATCTGTGGGACGTACTTACATACTCAGTTTTCAAGTAGTTTCAAAAATCATAGTGACTCTCACGAGAAAATTTCCATGATATAAAACAAGCAAAACTTGGATCCATCGGAACAAAAGCAACATCAAGACGAAATAAAATAAAGGAAACATCATCAAAAGGTTCTAGCACGGCCACCGGGCCCGGTATGACACTAGACAAAAAATGTTTGAGAACCTGTTCGGTGTGCCAGTTGCAGTTTCGGAAACAAATGGAAAACAAACCTGAAGAAGACAGAACATGGAAGTGTGCCTGTCTAGATAGAACAGCTATGTTTATGTATTGGAAATAGCACATAGCTTTGGATTTCCAAGGAGATTGCAGAAACCCTTCGGTTTGCTTTTTTTCTCGGTCGATGCCTGAGCAAGTAGATAGACGAGAAGCAATGATCTATTTTTTGCGAAAAAAAACATCTGTTTTGGAAAACGAAAACAAAAGCGCACACTCGGACAAACAGCTCATGATTTTTTCGCCTGATTCGGACGGATCTCCGCATGGGATCACGTGAAGGACATTGTCAAGTAGTTGCTGAATATTTCATAGAAACGGCGGGACTAAAACGATCTCAACTCTAATTGTGCCTGGCCTAAGTACTTGGTTACATACGATTCCCGATCCTGCACCAGTGACGACGATAAGAAAGCGATCCCAAAAAAGCTCACCTAGTAAGTACCGTTGTATGCAGTTATCTCTTTCAAAACCTAAAAAAGATATCAGCGCTTGGCCAGAATGATACGACTATGACTCAGTGTTGGTACTCAGCAGCAAGTCGGTATTTATGAATTTTTAGCGATTCCCGTAGACTCACTGTAGCCGGATATACTTAAAAATTAGCGACAGTAGCCAATGGTAGCCGGATCCGGAATACAAAGCATAAGTCAACAGACATTTACTTGCTAGGCAACATGTAGGCCATATTCGTGGATATAGATGCAGCAAGGATATATCTCTAATCCCTAGTTCCGACAACGGCAACGCGACGCGACCGCCACACCTTTCAACATTTTATCTCTAGTAAGAGCTACTCTTACACCTCCTAGAACTATCCGCCTAGTTACAGCGGTGCAGTCGTGCCGCTGCCCAGTCGATAGGGAAATAAAGATGAAAGCATCGGTGAGGTGGTCCTCTGCCTCAATCGCCAGCGACAGAGCGACACCGGCACGGCCGTCCCGTTTTGCACTCGGCGTTGCTGTGCTTCTCGCACAAGCCGGCATCAGTCTGCTCTTTCCCTTCGTCTCAGCGCAAAACAACCAGTATAACAACTACGGGAATAATCAGCATCCACCGCCGCCGAACCAGCAGTATGGAGGAAACCAGCAGTACTATAACCATTCGCCACCTGCTCAAGGAAACAACTACGGCTATAATAATGCCCCGCCGAATCCAGCACAGCAGCAATACAACCAGGGCGCGGTCTACGGAGGTGGGCAACAGCCCCCGCAGCAGCAGCCGCCAGCTCCTCCGCCGGTACTAAACAACTACGGGCAGCCGCCGCCGCCGAATATGAACTACGGCCAGCAACCACCGCCACCACAGCAGAACTACGGGCAGCCACAGTATCAACCTCCGGCGCAACAGCAGAATTACGGCTACAACGGGCAGCCGCAGGCGCCCCCTCCCCCATACGGGCAGCAGCAACCACCTCCGCCTCCACCCCCGCAGCAGAATTATGGGCAGCAGCAGCAGCCGCCGCCACCACAGTATGGGCAGCCGCCGCAGTACAATAACCAGTATCAGCAGCCCCCGCCGCCACAGTACAACCAGTACGGCCAGCAGCCCCCGCCGCCGCAACAGTACAACCAGTATAACAACCAGCAAGTGCCGCCACAACAGCAGTACGGTCAGCCACCACCTCCTGGGGGACAAGTGCAGTACGGAAACAATGCCGCGCAAAATCAGCAGCAGCAACATACTGGGGATCATACACACCATGATGGACAACATCATGATCACCATGATGATCATCTCCATCATGATGACCACCACGACCACCACTACGATGATCACTATGATGATCACTATTTCGATTATGAGGACGATTGGAGCTACAACGACCTGAGCGATCACGTGGACGACTACAGCGCCAGGCACAACTACAAGAGATCGGACAAGCACCTGCGCTCGTTTCACGATTCCGACCTCACCGGCGACCAGGGGGTGGTCGAAAAGGAAACTTCGCTTTCCCCGGAGAAAGTTACCGACCACGAGGAGTTGGAACGAGACTGGGCGTTCGGCGGAGCGACGGTGCTTTTCCCGGACCGAGTGTTGCTGACCCCGGACGTGCCGAACCGGCTAGGCTTCATGTGGACCGAACACAACGTGGAAAGTCGGAGCTTCAAAATCGACTTTAACTGCAGTTTGTCTCTGCCCATCCCGCATTCCCTCGATGTTAACGCCGCCCTGCACGCCGAGAAGAGTGGTTTTGAGCAGGATAACGCGCCGGTGGCCGTGAGCGACAGGAAAGCACAGGAGAATCATCACCAGGTCGGGTTTTGGGTCGCACACGTGCCGGATCTGATCCACACGGTGCGGGAAGGGGAGCACCAAGTGCGGGAGGGAAAGGACCAGAAGGAGGGGGAAGGCCGCGGGGAATTGTACTCGAGGTACATGCGGGAGCACGGGTCGTTGCAACTATCCCGTGCTGGGTTCGAGGAGCGCTTCGACGGCTTCGGGGTGTTAATGGATTTAGACAAGAAACAAGTGCGCTGCATCTCGGATGATTGGAAAGCAGGTATAAAAAAATCTAAGTACGGAATGTTTTCTAGCAACAGGATGCTTGTTTTTTTTATCGAACTCATTAGTCCTTTGCTGAAATAAGCTGTTCCTTCGATTTTCTTCATCTGCTTGACCTATAAGTTTCCCTATCTTCTCTAAACGTACACGACTTCAGATGACCACGCGCACATGGCTGGCGCGCATCGGAACCATTTGACGGAAACGCAGTGGGTGCATCTACCGGAGATCGTTTCCCAGGGCAACAGCCATTGGACGGTGAGTCTGGAGCAGACGTCCAAGGGTTGGGTGCGCGCGGCGCTAGTGGTGCATAATTCTCAGGTGGACGACCCACACCACAGCGGCAACCAGCAGCCCGTCTCGCGGACTGAGATCTGCGATGTGCATTTGCCGCACGTGCAGCTCGAGTTGTCCCTAGGGGTTACATCCTACACTGGGAAGAACCCGACGCAGACGTTGTCGATCGCCAAGGTACAGAAGTTCTTTGTGACGACCTAGGGGGAAGATGAAGATTCGGATTTCATTTCCTTTTGTCAACATTATCATCGCCTGATCAGAGTGCTGGCAGTTCTCTTCTGTTTTCTACGCGATTCGTCTTGTATGTTTCAGTTTTTTTAGAATGTTGAGATGAAGCCAAGAACTGTTACGCAGCTACTTGCTATACTTTCTGCAACCAGGTCCTTACCACAACGTACGACTTCGGGCACGTTTCGCACTTAGTCGAGGACACGGACCTTCGTGCGAAATTGAAGGAGATCGAGGAGAAGCCGGTCAAGGGTGGCTACGTCGCCGCAATCGACCGGCTGTCTTCGGTCGTCGCCCTTTACAACGAGAAGTTCGGAGCCACAGCGACGCAGAAGCTGCATGAGGAGATCTACTCCGTGGACCACAAGCTCACCGGATTGGAGGGACTAGTGGAGGAGAAATTGCTCAAAAGACGGCACCGCACGGGCATTAAGCACCTCGCCATGGGCTTCGAGAGAGAGATGAAACGAGACTTGCGGCAATTCGACCACTTGCACCGACGCGTGAAATCCGAGAAACGGCGGCACCAGGGCAACTTCGACCGCTGGCTGGAAGCATTGCACTTACAGCGGGACGAACACGGGGCCAGGTTCTCCACGGAGAGGATGCAGCACGTGCTCGGGTTGCTGCTCCTGGTTGTGGTAGTCGTGCTGGTTTTCTTTGCGGTGGCCAGAAGGCTCAGCGGGGGGCTGGGCGGCAGCAGTGGGGTGGTGCCGCAGGTGGAAATGATTAACTCGGCGGCGCCGAATTATAGTAGTTCTGGCACAGTGAATACTCCGTATATGCAGCACCAGCAGGGTCCTGTCGCGAACGGAATAAATGGGCCGCAGAATAATATGTTGAACCAAGGCTACGACAACGGCTACGGGCAGGCGACCTCGTCCAGTCGGTCCCGCTTTCAGACGCCGACCATAGAGACGAGCTTTCAGCCCGCGACTCCGCAGACAACAGGGATGCGGTACGGAGGCAGCACGGCGTCGACCGCTAGTCCCTACGGGCTGACGAACAGTCCGAACGGAGTTGCGGGAAGCAATCGCCCTTCCCCGACCGGCTCGGCCTACTCAAATCCAATGACGCCACCGGCAGTGCATGCCACGGCGTCCTCAAGCGGAATGTACAGCAGTGGCGCGACAAGCGGGAACTCCATCTACCATTCTCCCCGCCGGGAGCTGTATGAGAATTCAGGCGATCGAAATTTGATGCAGTACCTGAATTCGCCACCCGAGCAAGATAACACGGCGACTTTGGCGGGTGATAGCTCGTCCGCGCAACGCCCATCACCGACTAGCATGATAGGCGACTTTTTCCGCTCCAGACAAAAGCCGGGAGATGATAAGGAGAATCAACTGCCCTCGGCTTTCTGATGTTGATGAGTCGCAAATTATATGATCTACATCTAGTGGAAGGAAATCATCATGGGACCGTAATTGCGCAGAAACAAAGATATCTCCACACTAAGTCCTCTACCTTTTACATCGCAAAAATGAAGACGAGTAGCACAAGTCTCTCGTCGTACTTACTTGCTCCACACTGGTTCTAGTGTGGATCTTCTTTCGATTTCTGATGCAAGGACAAGTTACCTTTTACCGCGACAGCCTGTCCTTCCTGACAGGTTTATTTCATACCACATCTAGTGATTGTGATTCTGATTTTACAGTCATCTTCAAAAACGACGACAGCTAACGATTTTCGATTTTAGACTCATATCCCGACGCGGGTTCTGCTACTTTTTTTCGCAACATCAAATTCTCCTACGCGACATGTTTTACGCACGTTCTCTTCTATATGTAATTATCATTGCGCCTGATGCGGCCGAGCACGAAGCATGGCAGCTCGTTCACCAAGTGCTGGACCCAATTTTCCGTAACACGTGCGCACAATTTTTGTCATCAAGATCGCCATGCTTCACTTCGCTCCCAGCGATAGGTGGAAAAAAACAGAAATAGAAGTACCGTCCTCGTCTAGAAAAGCCCGGTTCACGTGACGGTTAGTGAAAAAGAAATAGAAGTTTTGTTCTGCACTGATCGTGGTACTGTATCGTTATCGTACGTGAATAAGGTTTGATCTAGTTCTACCTCGTCGGTCTCGTTCCCATTTTTCGTTCACACGTGCTTCTTGGTTCTACTACAGACGAATCCTGATCTACGTTCTTTTCGTGCAAATTTAATAGAAAACGTGTCAAACGCGCTGTAAGGAACAGTAACAGTGGCTTGCGTTCTTTCTTTCCAAGCTTTTCACTTGCGACGATCATCCTGATGGTTTTTTTTTCTCGACAACACAGGAGCATCTTGTCCGAGAAAGTACCCCTTTGAGGACGCGTGCAACTTACAATTTAAGAAAGCGATTTTGAGTTCAACACACTCTTAAGTAAGTCAGCTTCGCTTTTCACAACGATTCAACGGTCTAGTTCAACAACTTTTTGAAAATTGTAGCGAAAGCGCAAGAAGATTGATCTACTTTTACTTCTTCGCAAGAGCAGTGGAAAGAAGATAGAAGACGATTCAAGTTGTGCTGGTAAAAACGCTCATTTTTCGAGATTCTTCTCGGACTGTTTCGTCTAGAAGAGGATTTATTTCACTTCACGCTTGCAATAGAACACCGTTCCTGTCATCTCTTCGGAGATTCTTCTCTATAAAAGACGCTCAAGGAAGGCGAGCTGCATCTGTGACGACAGTAGAATAATTTTGGACGAGAAGTCTCCAAACTCATCACCGCCGCACGAATCATCTATCCGAAAGCTTTTGCAGGATGACGTGGCAGAGCGTCCTTGCTGGGGCCGCGATGGCATTGCCGACGTTGGTCCAAGGCAACCGGAATGCGGAGAAGAACCGGATGTCCATCGAGATGAGTAGGCATTCCTTTCAAAACACAATCGCACTGGACCGCATTGGAAAAGACCTGGATTGGTATAAAATATGCTTTGTTTGTTGCTTGATAAAAGACGAAGAAATTCGCCACCTCGATTGCATAATCAAGAGATCATGATCATGATGCATGAGGTATAAAAATCACGACGTTGTTCAATCTGCCGCTACAGTACAGTACTATCGTCTTTCTTCTCATGTTTGCGTGAGAATAGACGCAGAAGCGGTATAATTCATCGCATGAATACTTATATTCATTGCATGATTCTTTCCTGATCCACAAAACAGGTTCATCAATGGCGCCTCTCTTCCGACCCTTCCGCATCACTTGCTGCTGACGCCCGGCGTGCAGGATCGGTTCGGGCAGCTTTTTGCTCGGGAGGCGGTGGACAGCCGGGACTTTGAGGTCTCGGTGGACTTCAAAATCGAGGGCGAGATGATGCGGGGACAGGGTTTCGCGATGTGGTACTCGGCGGAAGACTTCGCCACCTGGTTCGATTCCACGAAGTTCTACAGCGAATACAAGCCGGAAAACAAGGAGAACGACTTTGACGCCTTGCTCAAGAAAAACGGGCTCACATTCTACGGGTACACCGGATGATAGTTTGTAGTTTCTCGAAGATGTCGTGATACTTACTTATCTCAGCGCAGGGAGGTTTTGATGTTCGATATTGAATGTATCTACATGTGGAGGAAAAAGTAGAAGCATTAGTTGCCATTCATGATCTGATGATCGGCGAAGAGCTGTGGTTCGATGATTCGAAAGAACTGCAAAACGATGGGTGAAAACGCAATAAAAAACAGGTACCAGGAGAAGATGAACGGGTTTGGTGTGGTTTTTAGCGAGAAGGACCACATGACGCAGGTCCATTGCGTGGAGGACAGCATGAAGGGGATCCGCACACAGCTCGGCAGCGCCAAATTCCTCCGGTACGATAACAAGGACATCACTTTGGCGATTTCCAGGACCCCGGGCAACAAGGTGGAAGCCAAGGTAAAGATCGGCGAAAAGTGGCACAACGTCTGCGAAGTCTCCACCGGGGGGATCACCAACGGCAGCGGCTACTTGGGCTTCACCTCCTACTCCGGCAAGGGCGAACCCGGAGAGGAAAAAGTCGAGCCGGCGACGGTCGGGCTGCTCGGGATCAAAGCGTAGAATTTTTTTTTTCGGAATGCGCTAGCTACCTACAGTCATGCTTTGTTTTTCGTTCTCTCACATTCGTATTCACCCTATTGGAATGCTTTTTCGCACTGAGAGTGGATAATGGCAATCGCGATTTGTAATTTTTGTTTCTCGACGTCCGGTTGTAGTACAGTTTTGAACCTTACGTACACGATGTTGTGACCTCAACTTGCACAACAGTACCAACCACGACGAGCATCACATTGGCAACACGAGAAGCCTGGGCGTCGACTTGAAAGAGCTGGAAGCCGACTCCTTTAACTACGCCAACCAAACCGACCAAACGCAGGCTATCGACCGACTGGAAAGACTCCTCGAAAAGTAGTTATTGAAACCTTGACCTTTTTTTTTTCGGGTTCGGATTCTCGACCATGAGATTTCTTTTTCACTGACTTTCTAGCGCATCTACCCGACTACAAATGAATATCGATGACAAACATTCGTTAGATATACTTAAACCTTCTCCACTGCGACAGCTTTGCCGAGGGCCACAAGGATCAGAAGCTGCTGCAATCCTTGGGTGAGCTGGGAGACCGCACGACGAATCTCGAAGCTACCGTGAAGCAGTTCCGGAACGAGGTCCGGGTCGTGTTGGGCCACGAGAAGGGCACATCAATCCACGATCTGAAATCTCACATGCGAGGACTCAAGACGCTCCTGTCGCACTCGTCGCGCGACCATGAGAATCAGGTAAAGAATGGCTTTCTGCGATCTTTTGCGCCTACTAGACATTGAGATGTCGACTGAGTTTGTTTTTGGATTTATTATGACTTCGTAGTTGATTGGCTTGTTGTTGTTCCGCTGTCTTGATCCTAGTGCTTCGCATATTGTCTTCTCGACGCGCATGCTGTGCGAGAAACAAGCGACCTTCTGGTGTGAACACAAATCTTTCCAATACAACAGGTCGAGAGTGCGCGAACGAAAGCACTGAGCGCCATGGCCTCGATGGACAATCCCAGCACGGCCAAGAGCGTGGAAAAATTCCACGAAAGTTTGGAGAAAATCAAGACGGGCAGCTCGTCTCTCATGTACATGTTTGGGCTGATCATCTTTTCCATCACGGCAACTACGTGCGCCATCTGGAACAAAATGCGATCCTACGAGAAAAAACACTTTCTGTAATTAATCCACTCGAAATTGTCGAGCGGTAAAAAAATGAGAAGATGTCATGTCCTCAATTTTCAACTTTTTCCTTTCATTCAACTTTTTATATATACAAAACTCACCTTTCACATCTAGCAGTTCTATCAATGCAGCGGGTCCAAAGTCTGGCCTGCTCTGACAGAAAGTTTTTTTCGCACATTTCAATTTTTCCATTTGCATTTCATACATAAGCATGTTCTACTTTCACACATACACGTTTTTACAAATTTTCCGTGGTTCCACCAAAAATTAAACACAATTATGCTCTTTTCACCTTTTTTCGAGAATACAGAAGTGTTTTGTCAGTTCAGGGCGTTTTTGACCCCTGGACAAAGTAGGTAAAAAAAAACGTAGGAGAAAACAATTTCAGTAAAAAGCACCTCCGTTGTGAGTGATAAGAACAGCCCAGTCGAGAATACAGAGGTCGACGGCCACGGCACCGGTATCCCCCGGTCGTGCGTCTAAAGCCTGTACGCAAAGTCGTGCTTCCCCTTCCACCTAATCTTTACCAAGAAGTCGCACAATTTTCATATGAACTGAGCGTGAGCCGTCACGTCATTTTTACTAAATTTTTCTTCGAATTATAAAAACCCAATCTCATCCCGCAACAACTCTCATCTGGTGTTAGAGCTAATGCAGTCGTTGCTATTGCATTTGCACCTGAGCCTAGCCCTGGCGCAGCGAACGCAGGAACTTGCAAATGGCTAGTGTGCATCAAAGTATGAAATGCCGGACCCTTTTCCGCTGCGAACTGACACTGAGCGCATTTCATTTTCGAAGCAATGCTGCACAAGCTATCTACTCACCAATCGTCCCGACGAGCCTCCAAAGCTCGTAAACACCCGACCATAGCGCAGAAGGCGAACACATGTTGTGCTTGAAAAAATGTAGCTTTACTTCTTTTTGTCTGTCATTTTAATTCAACATGAAAACCTGTGAGCTCGAAGATCTCGTCAAATTTGTTTTCTAAGAGACTGTGTAGCACAAGCACCACCATACTGTGGAACCACATTCCGTGAAGAACCACGTGGCATGCTACGGCCCTCTGGCGTATCCCGCCTGTGAGGTTGATAGTGATTGACTTGCCTCGTCGTGGAGTGATAAAAGTGGAGCATGAAGCCTTTGCACGGAAAGCATCCCATTCTGTGCGAAGTAGTTGTAATCCTAATCCTCTCAATAAACTCAAACGCAAACTGGATGCAGCGAAATTGCTAAAAATCCCCGCTGACCCTTCTCTTCTTATCCGAAATTGCATACAATGCGAACAGCCATAGCACTGCCGCAGTGCCTAGATTCTTTTTCGCCGGTGCATCGGGCGTCGTGTTTTCTCGTATGAAAGAGCAGTTCAATGTGCACATCCAGTTTGTCACTGCAGTTTGGATCATCGAAAGCCCTGTGGGAGCGCAAAGAAATATCCATCTCGCCTGCATTGTTTTTCATTTTTCTGATGAGATGAGAGTGCGTTCAGCTACTTGTGATGGCGCTTTTTGACTATCGTGTTGTTATTTTTGAGACTCTTGATGGGTGTGTGTGTATCGGTATCCTGGTTTAACTTTTGGTTTCGGTTTTCTTGTTTCGGTTAAATCATGAAGACAGCCAGCGCTTCCGCTTCGTCGTCGAAAACCTTGCCGAAGAAAGCTACTGCTACGGCGCCGAAGAAACCGGGTGGGGGGGCCAAGACGAAAGGGAAAACAAGGAAGCAGCAGCAGGAGCATATCGACAGATCGTTTGGGTGGAACTTGTACACAGTGATTCGAGTTCTGCTCTACGGAGTAGTGCTGGCCTTGTTTGTTGTCGGTCACTGGGGTGTTGCGGTGCTTGTCAAGCACACGCAACTATGGAGCCGCTACCTATTCTGGTGGTTCCCCAGGCCTTCTTCAGGGGCAAGCAATAGCGCAGGCGCAAAGGATAGTAGCACGGGAGCTGATATGGAACTGATGAATAGCAACAATGTAGAACCGGAAGAAACACCATGGGTAAATGATGGTGACCGAGGGGCGCAGTCTAGTGGTATCGCTTCGGACACTGGAGGCAGTAGAAATCAGGCCGAAAGAGCAACGACGAGAAACACTGCAATGGGAGAGGAATTCTACAAGCGAAAAGGCAAAGGCGTTGCTGATGAATGAAAAAGAGCCAGAAAAAAGCAATAGCAGCAACGTATGTTGGAAAAGATCAAGAGGAACCGCAAAAGCGCCAAGCGGCTGCTTTTGCGACAGCTCGGATGGAAGACCCATAACTTTCGAAGAAGCGTCACCGAGTTCAGTCTAAGAGTTCCCTCCATTCGAGGGCAATTTTTAGCAATTTCCTGAAGTACAAGTAGTTGCACAGAGTAGAAGATGTAGAATAACCTGACAAACGTCGTCGATCTACGGTAGCAGCAGAAAAAACGGATCTTGTGAGCTCGACAAGGATCTTGTATTTTGACACATCATGCATACAGGGCAGGACGTCACGATCTATATCTATTCCCCGAAAGTTTCTTTTGCTGATGTGGATCCGGCATGTCGCAGGAGCATGCATTTTTCGCGATTGTTTTTTTCCTCGCAACCGCAAGTCCCCATGCATACTTGATCTGGCTTAACTTGATCACTCAAAAGATACAAGAAACAATCCGAACAAAAGCGCTCAGATCCAAACACGGGTCCCACAGTTGGAACGCCACGGCAGAGACTGTGGGAGTGGTGCTCGTCACGTTTAGAAAATACTTTAAACACAAGTCTTTTTTTCCGGAAATCGATTCCCACCTCCAGGCGACCATACTCAGAAATATTTTCCCAGACAAAGCACCATAAAGAACGCCTGTCGCTATAATTCCTGTTGAACTCTTCCTCTTCGTAAATGCGGCTCCTTTTTGCAACTTTTTACTAGCTACCCGACCTAGTATTTAGAACGAGAAGCATCGTAATATCACACGGTACAGTCGTCCCAGCTAGGAGAAGCCACGACACATTTAAACCAGCTGCGCATCGGCGCCTGCTTTTGCGCTGATGCTGTCTGGCGGTGTCAGAGAAGATCTTCAAACGCGAGGGAGTATTAGACAGCATCCCCCGGCTGCCGCTGCTGCCTCATGTCGGGTATGAACGAACAGGACATGCGAAATGTCGTCAACGCCTGCGCTGCACTGTATGGCGGAGACAAGGATGCGAATAAGATCAAGGAGGCAAACACTTTCCTCACGGAGTGGCAATGCGCCGAATCGGCCTGGGCCACGGCGAGCGAAATATTGTCTCGAGCAAACCTCGACGACACGGCGCCGACAAATGTGGCGACAGTGTATAAGAATAGTATATGTTTCGTAAGTTAAAGTTATGATTTTTGATTTTCTTGTGCAAGTTCATGTTCAATCAACACACTCTAGTCCAGTCGACCATGTTGATATCGCTACAACAGGCTGCATTCAGAATGAAAACGGTTTCTGAACAAGATGAAAATTGATTTGTCGAAACAAAAAAACCAGATCTTTTGCAGCACAGACGCTCCGGACCAAAATCTTGTACGACGTCAACGACTTGTCGACCCAGGAGCAGATGACATATCTTCGCACCGCGCTCTTCCAGAGCATGGCGCGATTGCGGGATCGAGCGCCCTTTGGAAGCGCCCTGACGCAACTGTGCCTCGCGCTGTGCGGTCTGGCGATTCACATGGACGAATTTTGGCCGGATTTGATTCAGTCACTGTTTCGAGATCTAGGCGCGCAGACAGCGAACTATGTCATTCTGCTGGACTTGCTGCGCTTCATGCCGGAAGAAAACAAGAACAAGCGACTTCTGACGGATTCGGAGAAAAGAAAGAGAAACAGGAGGAGGCTACACGAAAGCATGCCTCAAGTCTTTCAGTTCCTGCAGACGATAGAGTACTCTTCACCTCTGTTTTTTTCAGCTGCTGTTTTGGTTCCAGATTCACAGCACTTTCCTTGTACACATACTTACACGCCGGGGCGAAAGAACATACATTCATTATTTTGTCAACAACACGGGTATAATTGACTTCAAAAACAGGATGCCGACCACCGCAGCCAAGGTGAAAGTGCTCGAGTGTTTCTCCGCGTGGACCAAATTTAGCGACGACCCTGCGGACCTGTTTTCCGGCAGCAATAGCCTTTTGGTGCCCTGTTTTTCCTACCTCGGCGACCCCGAGCTCGGGTCGGTTGCTAGCGACGTCATCGTCGAGGGGCTCGACCTATTTCGGGAAAAGGATCTGCAGCAGGCGCTGGCGCAGGAAGGTAGCCGGGAGGCGGCGTGTGTGGCACCCATTATGAGCTCGGTGCTCAACCTGCGGCCGCAGTTCGAAGCGGCGCTCAGCGCCAGCGACCCCAGTATCGGCGACCAGGATGACGTGCTCCGCCGGTTCATCCGCGTCATTGCGACGGCGGGCGAGGCTTTGGTGCAGGTAATCGCCCGAAACCCCGCCCAGTACAACCAGTTTCTGGAGCTGCTGGTGCTGTGCCTGAAGGTCCCGGTCCCGCACCTGGCAAACATCGTCGTGGACTTTTGGCTCACCCTGACGGACACGTTCGCAGGGGCGACCTCTAACAGTTACGAGATGCAGCCGCCGCAAAGCGCATCCACAATTGAGCAGACGGAAAAGCTCTACAAGCACCTGTTCGGCGTCTTGCTCGAGGTAGAAAGGGTTGGTTTTGAAAGAAATTCATACTGATGCATTTGTCTTTCGGCACGACGTTTTTCTTTTTACTTTTAGATGCTATAGTTTGTTTGCTTCCTCGTGGAGTGCTTCTTCAGCAAGTCCACTTCTAAGAGAAATCAATGCGACGACATCAGGTGAGCATCGTGCCCCACCAAGACATCAAGAATCCCTTCGAGGACGCGGACGAGGATTGGGAGCGGTTCCGGTGGGAAGGCGTACGGTCGTATCAAATGCAAAAATGTCTGGGTCTGGAAGATTAAAACTTGTCATGCTAAATCCGAGTAAAATGCAAAAATCTGTGTTGCATGAGTGCCAAAAGCTGTCCACTTTCGACCAACTTGGGAGGTAGTTTCTCATGCGGGATAGGCATGGCAGAGACCTCACAGACTCTGTCATGCTCGGCGCCGCATTCCAGACCTCATTGGTCATGGAAAATTTGCATGACAAATCTCGCAATCTTCCAGACCCAGACATTTTTACATTTGATAGGTCGCTCGGCAGCACGATCACCGAATACGAACTGGTGCGGCGCGGCGAAGTCTTCCAGCTCCTCGTCCAGAGTCTGAAGCAGGAAAGCGCACGGCTGGCCCCGGCCGGCGTGTCCGGCGGCGGCGGGTCCTCGTCGAGCACGGCGCCCAATGGTGCGTCAAGAGATCAGGTACATCTGAAGCTGGAGGCCCACTTCTTCCTGCTTCAAGTGGTCGCGATGTGCTTCCACATCGACCCGGAGCACTCCGCCTACCCCGCGATGATAGAGTTGCTCACCTTTCTGCCGAACCTCATCCAAAGCGAACCCGCGCAAACCGACAACAGGTAATATCCAGCATAACGGTTGCAGTCACTATGAGTTGGCTTTGTCTCCTGTTAATGTAGCATAAGAATCATTGTGCATCATGCGGGTAGTTGACGGCCATCACTATCATCCTGGCACCACGGTAAAGTCTTATAGTGGGATAAGTACATCCGCGATAATGATAAGTAATTTTTTTCCTCATCTCTACGCAACCACGGATTGAAAAAACCCCGACAGGTACTACCTGGAATTTTGCCAGCACTCCGCCCTCGGCTTGATTGACACCATGGCCGGCAATCTCGGGGACGTAAGCGAGGAGTTGATGCAGGCGAACCTGAATTGTGTTTGCCAGGTCCTGCTCGCCGACGGCGCGAAGAAGTCCAAGGACAAGCAGCGGGCTGCCGGGTACGCCTTTTCCCGAATATGTAACCGCCACCGATCGAATTTGGTCAAATACCTCCCGCAGCTCCTTTCGGTGTACGGCAATTCGCTGGAGCTGCTCCCCCTGAAAATCCACCTGGAGGTGACCCGCGGGCTCACCGAAGTGCTCATGGAGCTCGAGGACCTGCACACGTTTCGCGAGGCGCTGGAAAAGATGATAGTACCGCTGGTGAACGGTCTTCGGCACGAGAACGTCACGCCCCCGCAACTCGGCGAGATCGTGGACCGATTGGTCATGCTCATGGACCACACGGACATGGAGCGCATGCACGCGATGCCCGGCTTCGCCGAGGCGTTGGGGGGCGCGTTTTTGACGACCTTGTATCCAACCGTGAACCGCATCTGCCACAACCACCCGACGGAGGAGGATTTGATCGAAAAGATCACGCGATTCCAGAAGCACGCGCTCCGAAAGATGCCCCGGGTCTTCAAGCAGGTGCTGCCCACGTACATCGAGACCATCACGGTTTGCTTCGAAAAGAAGCTGCTGAGCTCCTGGCTGTACGCCTCCGAGTACGTGGTTTCGGAGTACGGAAACGACCCGGAAGTGTTGCCCGCCCTGGCGCAGCTGTTCGAGCGCATGGGCAAAGCCGCCCTGCCCGCGTTGATGGCCATGCGCGACGACGATCTGAACGCGGAACTCATAGAAGACTTCTACGGCATGTACGGAAGGTACGCGAAATGCGCGCCAGCGGTGGTGTACAACAGCGAAACGCTCAAGCCGTCACTAGACCTGCTACCGAAGTGCTTGCTGGTACTATGTATGATCAAGATGGATTGAAGTCATGAACAATTGCTGCTCTTCGATTCCACATTAGCATGACGATCGCACTACACTTTATTGTCAGTTACAAGAAAGTACTATATTCTCATTGTAACTACTGAAACGGAGCATGAATACACTCGATAAAGAATTTGACCAGACCACTGACCACCTCTTTTCAGGTTACGTACCACAATGCGTTGGAGTCGCAGCTCGGGTTTCTCGAGAATATGCTCCGGGAGAAGAATTTTCAGGTGACCACCAGCGGTCCGCTGAATCCCATGTTGATGAACCACCCGGGTTCGCCGCAGCCTCCCGGTCCCGCGATGCTGCCCGGACAATTTCTTCTGCAGTGCTACGGGCAGCAGGTCATTCTGTCCATGCTGCGGTGCGCGGTCATCAACAACAGCGAGCGCATACGGGACGCGTGGCCGACTTTTCTGACGGAGCTGCGGTTCGGGGCCCAGGAATATCAGATGGACCAGCAGTACCGAGATTGGCTGGCCCACGGCATTGACTCGGTGCTGCCATGGCGCAAGTTCGCTAGCGAAAAAGAGGTCACGAACTGGCTTCACGCGCTGCAATGGAGAAACATCGACCCCAATGATCAGTACTCGAGGCACGGCAAGGACAATGCGGAAAAGGCCTGGAAACAGATTTGGTTCCGAATCGGCCAGCTGCAGGCTAGGAGGAAAAAATAGTCCTGGCTACAATGATTCGTTAGTCCGCAGCGAAGGTAGCTGATATTGTTCTGGCGCCCGACGCTCCACATTTGATCGTGGTGAAGATGCTAAGCCGTACAGCGTAGCGACGCAGTTGTAGCGACAGAGGCTGTGCTTTATCCTCAAGCGCGCATTGAAAATGAAATAAGACGTATCCTTAGCTTAATCTCTAATTTCAACATCTTTCTACTTTCCAATCTCTTACTCTTTTATCTCTTTCTCATATCTATGCGACTTCACTATTGCAGCAGTCTAGCGACTCTCGAACTCGCTTGCTGGACAGCCTCCGGTTGGGTTCGATCCTATGGTTGCAATTCTTGCAACTAAGTACGTTCCTCCTGAACGCATTGCAATATCAGTCGTGCGCAGCAATGGCAAGATTAGTTGTTTAAATCTAACGAGTACGTAGCGACGCGACTCTGCTTTTGGTACAGAAAATACGCAAAGAGGTCAATCACTGTCACGGTAATGTTGACAATCATGTCATATATCTGCAGATCGCTGCAGCTGCTACATATGTCAGCACTTCCGTGATGTAATGCGATCAATCTTGTTCCCCTCGTGCTCGTTCGAGAGTGATTTTGTTGAGAGTAAATTAATAGATGAGTAGCTTGCGGTGCAGGCGTGACTGATGTGTGTCAAACCTTGTCTCGTCGAATGCTGAGTTACTTCCCGTCGTTGTATTGAAGCGATTCATTAGAATTAGTAAGACGAAGAAGACCACAGCACGAGAAGACAACTCCTTTCTGGAGGCACAAGTAGGCGGCCGTGATCATGTGAAGATGCGCTAAAGTCGTAAAGATATGGCCGACGCTGCGCCGCCCGCGGATGGCGGAGCCGCGGAGGCTCCGGCGGAAGAGCCTGCTCCCGCAGCTGATGCTCCCGCGGAGGCGGCGGCCTTGCCGGAGCAAAAGAAAGATGCGCCTCCTACCACTGCCGAAGAAAAGAAAGACCCTGAGGCGGAAGAGAAGAAAGAGCCGCCAGACAAGAAAACGGAAGATCCGGCTTCGAAGGAAGATCCGGTTTCGAAAGGCGAGGCGGGACCCGTTCCGAAGAGTGCCGAGGCCATGCTGGGGGTGCCGATAGACGGGAGCGCGGAAGAGATGCCGGCACCTGCAATGGGTCCGACAGGTTCAAGCGAAACGCTGATCCGTTTGGAGTACATGTTTGGCGGTGCTGCCATCCTTGGCGGGTGTTGCGTGCTTTTCTGCTGTTGCTTATTGGCGGGGCTGCTCCTGCTTCTCATCTTCGCCGGCCAGTGGCATAGAGAGTACTATCAAGCCTCTAGTTAGTTTTGATTCCGTTTCCCTTTTAGTTTCAATTATTTTCTTGTTGCTGTCATGGTCATCTATGTCTATCACGATAAGATGCCGCCGTTGAGCGTTTGATAGATTTTGATCCGCATGAACCGGATTCCAGAAATCGGACCCATTTGTTTAACAGCGCGAACGCGGGGATGTGTAAAGATTTCGTAATGGGCGAAAATAACCGCTATGAGCCGCAAGGATATCCACCCGCCGACACTATATCCGGCGAACCTCCAAGTATCCTCTCCCATCCCGGCGTCTTTGTGACGTTTGGCGAGGCGGCGGCTGGGAATTTTGGCGGTATCTATTCAAACTTCTATAGGCCTTTTTCTTTGAACCGCTACCGCTTTCGACTAGAGAATGTAGTTAGATGTACTCGCTTTTCTCGTTTCAATGGCTTAATTTGGAAGACGTCGTGCAGTTAAACCGTAAAAAAAACAGAAATGCTCGACGCTTTGGAGAACAACTCGACGGCTCTTCCCGTCGAGTTGGCGGCAGCCAAAACCTTGCTGCTTTGGCGGCAGCCACTACAGAGACAAGCATCTCTGTGGTTGGCCAGGAAGGTGCTCTACCTTTGCCTCGGGACGGCGTCCCGCAAGATTGCGGAACGAGATGCGGGGGTAGAGAAGCCGGGCGCCCTGCCATTTGCTCCAGGGAACTCGCAGGAAAAGGCAGGCCGCCTGGCCAAGATATGGGCGCCCGTGTCGGCCTAGTTTAGGCCACCAAGTTCGGCCAAAAGGGGGGGGCAAAGCGAGGGCAAAGGCGGAAGCTTTAGCCCGGGGAAAGCTCCCGGAAAAAGTCGGAACCTGTTTCCATTTTGGTGCGCTTTTGTCACGAAAAAGCCTGGCCGAGAGCTTGCTGCCTTGGCGGCAACCGGGACCCGGCCAAACCTCCAGCCGGGCAAGCCCGCAGCTGCTCAGCCTCTTCCCCCGGACCCCGTTATGCACCACCGCGGGATGAGATGTGGGGGCGGAGAAGCCGAGCCAGCAGCCCGGCGGCCCAAATACCTCGCGGCGGATGGCATGCGTCTGGGGTTCTTCTGGGGAGGTATCGAGGTTAATATCTTGGCCAGCAGTCCAGGTCAGCAGCAGCCGAGAAAAATGCCGCCGCGGCTGCATCGTATTTACCCGGGGGAGAGGTTGGAAGCAGCAAGCGCGCGGCCTCCATTTTGCCCGACTTCTGCTGGTCTGGATACCGGCCGAGATGTTGATATCGGCGCAGCGAGCTTTTTCGGCTGGATGGTCTGCGCCTTCCTTTTCCATTCAGAGCGAAGAGAAAAAAAATGAAAAATTGCAAAGCAAAACCTTGACCAAAGCCTTAAATTCTGCCAACCCCTAAAAAAAAAACAGAAATGCTCGACGCTTTGGAGAACAACTCGACGGCTCTGATTGAAATCAAGGAGGTTCTGAGCAAGAACAGGCATCTCTTGACGGAGCAGAACTACGTGCAGGCTTCGGGAAAAGTGTACAGTTACTACGATGTATGGATTGCAAATACGTCGGGGTCTGGAAGAGTGCGAGTTTCTGATGCGAGCTCTGAAGAACAGGGAAATCCGTAGCGCATCAGCACGAAAAACTACCCATTTTTGGTAGCGAGAATTCGAGGCGAATTTTCACCTGCATGCAATTGCAAACTAGGCATTGAGGAGTCGAGTTTTTTCAAAACCCGCATCGCAGACACCCTCGGTCAGTATCAAGCTGCAGTACTACAGTTCTCCGCAATGTTCCAGTCCCAGGCAAGTAATTTGCATTTGATATGATGGGTCCGTGTGGCCCCTTCGGCCCGGCGAGCCGGTGATCGGTGGGACCGGTTGCGGTGGGTCTCTCTGGGGGACGGTGGGGGAACTATTGGTCGCGGGCGGTTACTACAGCGAAGTTGTGTTCGCATCAGTGGCCAAGGAGAGTCCAACACTTGCAGAGCTAACAGACTACAACGGGAGGTTCTTCCAAGACCTGTATACGGTGTACATGGAGCTGCACTTTCACTACAGTATTTTTACACTAGCGGCCACTTTCTATAAAATTCTTGCTTTCCGTTCGGTTGTTCGATGAGTTTCGGCTTTTTTTGCAACACAATGTAAGGACAACATGGCGCGTCGTTCATACTTGCGATTTTGGAAAAAAGGATACTTATAATACCAGCAGAATTAACTCCAACACCCAGATCGTGTCGACGCGATTCTGATGCACCAGGGCGAGACGGATGCATCGGCCGGGGAACCCGCCCAATGGGCCACCGACTTCAAGATTCTGCGCGAGCATTTCGTCCAGTCGATCGGCGCAACCAGGAACTACCCGGAGCCGCACTGGTTGCTGGCCAAAACCGCCGGATGTTCCGTGGGAAACCTGGACGCCATTTTGCACGCAGAGCAGGTACAGGCCGCAGTGTACTCCCACGCGTCTCCGGGCGGAAATGCAGACCACTACCTCGAGGAGGATTGCGGGCCCAATCAGGACCAACCATGCCGTCTAGCCGGGGAGTGCAACTTCACCCAGCCTGGGCTCTTCAGCTATGCGACCTCGTGGGCGGCCGCGATCTCAGTTTGGTACCAGACACTGAACCCGACGTATGCAAGAAAAAAATTGTGCAAGTGTAACTCTGTAATGCAGAACGTGCAACACGAGTTAAGTACGCCTGTCATGCGAAACGACCATGGAGTCCTCTTTTCATGTGTGTTCTCCCTTACAAGCCACGCATGACAGATTTTCTCTGTCATGTGGAGGAAATTTGTGATGCTGTCAGCCAACGAAAGTTACACTAACACAGTTTTTCTCTTGCATACGACGTTCGGGCACGGCGTAACCGGGGTCAACAATCTACCGGGAACAGGCACCGTGCCGGCGAACAACTCCAATTCTTCCAATTTCAGTATTAGTTTCCTCGAAACACGGGAACGCAACTCGTTCGTGAAGCACAAAGCCATAAATCAGCACGTCATAGTACTAGATGACGACCACGACGCAGCATCGTCTTCGCCCACAGCAGCTGATATGGAAAATGTAGTTGCCCGGGGAGATCATCATGTTGAAGGGAAGCAAAACAGTACTAGGATACGGAGGACCAGGACCTCGAGTCGTGTTCCAACCCTCGTGCCACAGGAACCTGGTTTGCGGACTACCGGGACGATGAAGCACCAACGCAGCACTAGCCCTGAATCGGAAAACAGCAGATATAGCGGGCGGGAAGAACCCCGAAGTCAAAAATCGTCCCCTAGGATGAAAAGTCGAACTGGAACAAAAAAGAATGCGAAAACTAGACCACAGATAGAAGCCGCTTTTTTGGAACAGCAACAGAGCTCACCTCCTGATGAGTCACCCCCTCTACTTCCCGCGGCGCGAAAGGAAAGCACACTTGTGCGAAAAGAACCAAATGCAAATTATGCAGGAAGACTCGAATCTAGAAGGGGACTGGAAGCCGTGGTATCACCACAGGGAACGCCGATGGACCCTGGGGATTGAGTGCTTACAATGTTTTCTGTACGATTAATCTGTTTCACACCGTCTCAAATGAAGTACGCAATTGCTGAACTAATGAATTTCAACACAAATAGTAAATTACTCGATGTCCGCGTCCTCAATTCTTATCCAAAATCAGATAGAGCAAGTGCAAATGCAGTACCACGGCGCATGTTGTGGTATCCTTATGGTAAGGATTGGCTAAGAAGTCAAAATGTACGAAATGAAATCAATCTTGTGTGCGGATTCTCCTGTTTCCCTTCGAAGAAAAAGGTTAATGACGAGAACAAAATGCAACTCACGAAATGCAACTCACGCTCGCCCCACCCGATCCTTGCAAAAATGTAAAAACTCAACACTTGTGAACTTCCCATCCTTGTTGGATTTGATTTTGACGTGTACACTTGAGTCAAAACCTCCACCATTTTTTCCAAGTGCTCCCAGAGCCACTAGACGTCGCAGACACCACGTCGGTTGCACGGTGGATTTGGTTGGCAAAAAGGGAAAGTATGTTCTTCTGACGAATCATCATGCATGACGACGCCGTAACTGAAAGGATATTTTCTTGCGTATCGATTGTGAGGAGCCCACAATCGCAATCCGTCTGTCATTGGATTTTCGTTTGCGCACAAGAGGAACGAACCTTCGGACGCGAGAAAAACTCCGTTTCTGAGTTCGACTGGAACCAAGCGAGGGCTTCAAGAGATACAGCAGAAGAGATTTGTTGTCTATATTTGTGTCGCGCACTTGAGTGAGATTTAGGTTTTTGTCATTTGTTGATGCTCGCCTGTAACTTGAAATAAAAATTATTTTGAAAAACTATTCGTCCGCGTGACGTGTTTTATGACGAATAAACGGAAATAAACAAATTGAAATGCCATAGAAAGTTCTGATTCGATACACCCTTGGAAAGAGTTGTTTACCGAAGAGAGGAGATACTTTCATAAAAATTGGATCATGGTTGATTTGTCGGCCACCATGGTGAAGACGATGGCCGCGTCGTTTCCGAGATCGAGTCGGCGTCCTCCAAATAAATTGAATGTGCTTGTTCGACGGCCAGGTCGAGCGTGTGGTACATTGTGCATCTTTTTGTTCTCCTGTTGCTCCTGTCTGTTGCGCGCAGTCCCCACCGCTGGCAACGTAGCTGCGACGCAGACTGGTGCAGATGAACAAAAGGGCGGCGACGATCTGAGCACAATCGAGGACCTCCACTTCTCGGGCGGCGAGAGCAGCCCGCGTTTTTCCGAGGATGATCTTGATGACGAAGGGCCGCAAGGCAATCAACCTCCTCTTGAAAATACGCAGGCCATGCCAGCGGCGTCCTCCCGTGGCGATACAGCTACAGGCGCTAGTAGTAGTACAGTCACGGCAGGTGCAGGACCACGAGAAGGGATGAGAGCACATCAAAAACCGTTGGAAGCTCCCCTTGTTCTGTCCGTGGAGACTTCGCCCGACGGCCAAACCACTCAGCTCAGCAGCTTCTTTGCGCAGCAAGGAGGTAGGACTGAGAGCAACGAGAAGGAGAACGGCCACAAGACCTATGGCGGGCGTCGCCTCCCGGGCCGCGACGGGGACGAGTTGGGGCCACTGCTGCCGACACCGGGAAACTCCACCAACTCGGTGGTCCACCTCGCAGCAACAACGACAGTTTCAAGTGGTGCTAGTACCGAGGAAAGCGGCAAAAAACTGACTTGGCTGCAGCTGATGTCAGGTTCGGGTCGCTCTCGTGGCGGAAGGTCCACTTCTTCGCGGTCATCCACCGGTCGAAAAAGTAGGAGGCTGCACCAACAGGGCGCAGAGGCCAGCGACGAGGGGGACGAGGAAGCGCGCCCCAGCAGCGTGAGACCGTCGGAGACATGGATAGACTTCTTCGCGGACGGTATGGGGGCCGTCGCGCTGCGACAGCTGTCACGCGGGCTGATTGATGTGGCAGGCGGGGGGACATCCGGCGAGGAAGGGTTTCTCCGTAGCAGAGAAATCAAAACGCCACTGCGTCTCTTGACCCAATCCCTCACCGAGGCGGTGAGCCGAAGTGACGGGGTGATGGCGGCTTTGAGTGTCGACACCGGAAACGTCAACCGTTTTCTAGGATCCGACCTCCTCCTGTTGCGACCCGAGGGCGCAGTTGTTTTCGTGCAGGTCATTTTCCGTCCGGACACGCATGCGAGTGGGTTGCATGAGCAGACAGCCGGCGGCACACCGACGTCAGCCGCGGCACCGATCGAGCTGGCGCCACACTTCGCGGAGTTGCAGGGTCCGCTGCAAACTGCGCTACAGGGGCAAGTGGGCAAGGTGCTAAAGAGTGACATTCGGAATCAGAAATTGACGCGGCAAGTGTCGCTCCCGGTGCATTTTGCCTCACCCGTCACTGTCAAGCTTCCGGGGAAGACTCAAGGCAGTCTGCAAGAGCAAAGGTTTCAGATCAACTTGCAACATCTGTTTCCACTCCCGCAAACCGGTGACCTGGTGACATTCCTAATCCCCGTGTTCAGCAGCTCCAATTCGGCGAGTCCCATCATGTTCAGCCCAGGGTCTGTTTCTGCGGTGACGGCGGTAAGGTACCACGTGGTCAGCACGAATGAAAAAGCTGCGAATACTGCGCGGAACAAACAGCAGCAGCAAACCTTCGCCGGCCCGGAGCAGATTACGCGCGGAAAAAAGGTTGCTCGGATCGCTCTCGAAGCGATGCCAGTGGAAAACTTCCTCGGCCTCCGGGGTCCACAAGCGTACGCCCCGCGTATCATGCTGGAAGATGTTGCCGCTGATAGCCTGCGGCTGCTCCCCCCGGGCACGGCGAATCCCATTACTCCTGGGCAGCATCAGGACTACACCCAGCCACAAGCGCAAACTTCGGCCCCTCGGGCGACCTCGAGCGGCGGTGCCTTTGGTGCCCGTTTTGGCGGTTTCCGGGTGTTTGCGTCCGCCGGCTCTTCGAAGCAGCCAGGCAAGAAAAAAAAACGGGCGGGGGGGCAGCTCCGGGTCTACCGCTTTTTCTACGACCGGGCGCGCTTTGCGCGAACTCTCGCTCCAGGCGGCGCCGCCGCTGCGGTGTCCACAGAACGCCTACACAGCGTTCGGCTGGAAGAAGATTACGAATTTTATCGTCTCCTGCATTTTGCATTGAAAAATCTCGCTCGGCTGGTGCGGACGTTCCTCGAGTCCAGCCAGCTACTCATTCCGAAGAAGCTGCTTCGCGAGTATGATAACAAGAAGGCGACATCATCTGGCCGTGTTCCGGCGAGCTCGGACGAGAGCAGCGCCGGACGGAGCACATCACAAAGATCGTCGAGCAAGACCGACAGCAAGGACACCAAACGAGAAATCCGTGCGCAGCTGGGGAAGCGGTTCACACGGTACCTGGAGGGACTGACGAAGCAGATTCTGCAGGCAACTTTCGCGGCGTTTGCCGACGACAAAAGCGCGGCGGTGAAAATACAGCGAGCCGACTTCGCTCCGCCACTGCACAACGGCACGCAGCTGCTGAGCCTTTTTCCCAAGTTGACGGACCACATCCTCTCGGTTACGGAGAACAAGCTCCTCCTGTTTCCGCTGCAGGACAGCTTCCTCCTGATGCCAAAAATGCATGGCTTCGGCTTTTTTGCGGGAGTTGGAGGAGGGGGCCAATCGCCCACGTCTACTACATACCTGGGGCGTGGGAAGGCCGCAGCGTCCCGCATGAGCGACATGCTAGACATGTTTGGCGAGATGCTCGGGACGCCTGAAGATGCCGACGTGCCAGACCAAGCTCCGGTTCGGTTCTTGCTCCCCATTGCAAAGCGCGTTGCCCAGGGAATCGATTTCCAGCACTTCGCCAGTGCCGACGTCCGATCCAACTATCTGCTGGGAGTAGTGGGTAGGGCGCGCGCTCCCAGAGCGGAAACGCAAGAAAAGGACGGCGCGGAACCGGTTACCACCTCAGCCAGAACGACAAAGAGGAGCTTTGTGCAGTTCTTGCAGGGAGACAGGCGGGAACAGAAGCAACAAACCGAAACCTCGATCATGTCGCAGAAAAAGACGAGGACGCGTCGGCCTCGCGGCCGTAAGAAAACTTCCCGAAACGTCGCTTCTGGAGGTTCTGCAGACGCGTTGGCCTCACAACCGGCCTCCGCTAACGCGACTTCGGCGGCCTCTGCTCCTGCTGTTTCTGTTCCAGACGTTTTCCCCAATGTGATGGCGTCGTTGCCGGAGGCACAACTCTCCGGAATAGTCGTCGGCTTGCTTTTGCTGCTCCAGGGCGCCCTTTCGATTAGCAGGAGAAAAGTGAAAGAGGAGCACCAGAACCGAAACAGAAACGTAGGAGGCGCGTCACCTCCTACAACGACAACTATGGCGGAGTTAATATACTACGCTCCGATCGTAGGCGGCGGAGGCGCAGACTCCTTTGCGCAGTCTCTCTTCGCGAAAGATGGAGACGCGACGGGCTCATCTCGGTCGCGGGCAGGTAAGGATAGCGGTCTGGATTGGAGTACAGTCCAGAGCTTCGTCAACGTGCTACCGGTTCTACAAGTAGAGTGGGGGCGGGTCTTAGCTTCGGGAAAACGCTACTTGAATCCTGCGGAGGAGAAAAAGGAAGAAGGTGTGCCGGCGGTCTCTTCACGATCCACAGAGCGGGCGCCAGGGCGTAAACGCGTGGCCTCGTTTTTCCAAATCTTGTCCAGGCAGAAGCAGGGTCCTCCTCGTCGCATGGAATCGCGCTCCCACATCCGGGACAGCGCTAGTACCCTCGACTCATCAAGGGAGACCGCTCCCGCTCAGCCTGAGCGTGAGCGCAAGGGGGACGCCTACCTGATAGACTGGCTTCGTGGTGGAAGGTCGCGAAGGCAAAGCGAGCAACCCATCGTCGGTGCTTTGGTACGAGCCCAGCAGCCGACCTCGTCCGAAAAAGTATTACGGACCGAGCTTCCCACACAGAAAACCCGGACAAAACCTAGTCGCTCGCGCGATATTAAACCGAAACTTTCGACGGGTTCCCTTGCCCCGAGGAAAACTACGAAGTGTTGCAGCAACATCAAAATGGAGTGTTGCAGGAATATGCAGTGTTCGTGTTTGGGGAAAATGAAGGATTGCAGGCAATTAATGAACACGTGCAGATGTTCGTGTTGCACATCATACTCTTTATGTAAGGTGATCGAGCTCAGTGTCCTCTTTGTGATTTTTCTTTTTTTTCTCGGACTTTTCGTAATCGGACTTTTCGTAATCTTAGACTTGTTGTCCCCATCGGGAGAATTGGGCTGGCTTGTTGTGCCAATCGGGGCGAATCTGCCTCAATGGGTTGTGATATTAGCAGCTGGGTTTTGCATGATTGTGTTTTTTGGATTGCTGATAAGGAGATGCGAGGGTGCGGGGTACTGTATTGCGCAGTGACATCGGATGTCACAATAAATGCGTTCGAGTGTGCGTCCACTCAAGGGGAAAGATGAGAATAGACATAACTTTAATGTCACGGACAAGCACAAAGATGATGATGAGGCTGCTACTCGAAATGTTGCTTTTGAAATATCTCTTCCGATGTTGATTTGATTTTCTATTTTTTTTTAGGAGCACTCCGCTGCAACTTTTCTGCGGCAACTCCCCGGTCTCTCTTGGTTGTTCGACAGAAAAGCGAGTGCTTTTTGGCCAAGTTCTGGTGGAAAATTGTTGAAGCACAACTTGCCAGCCACTTGCTCTCAGGATGAACTCAATCAGCACCTACGGCAGTCACGATGCTTGCCTAAAGAAGCGAACACACAGTTGATTTTCTTTTTTACACTAGTAGTGCATTCTTTTTCTTTTTCTAAAATCGGTACGTGTGACTTTTCGGTATCTTTTTTCTTGGTGTGTCTGAGCGAGGCTTTTTCTATTCCCATCTCAAAGTCTAAATGGTTTCTGTTTTCATGCAAAATTGCATTTGCATGTTCCTCAAAGATTTTACACTAGTACGGCAAACAGCTACTCGCCTCATGAAGCGAACATGGACGCAATTGGTTTTCTTTTCTTAGATATGAACGCTCATTTGCCGGCCGGCCGCCGTGTTCTGTTCCCTTTTTTTCAAGCAAGCAAGACTCTGCTGCGTCGATCGGTGTGTCGATCCGAGTGTGAGTTTCTGCTGTTGAATTTCCTCTGCACTTGTTCTGCACCACCACTTTGGTGAATCTGTATGTACCTCAGTCGCCAAAGGGAAAGTATCTTCTTTTGACGAATCATCATGCATAACGACGCCAAAACTGAAAGGATATTTTCTTGCTTGTCGATTGTGTTTGTGAGGAGCCCACAATCTGTCGGTCAATGAATTTCTTTTTCCACCTGAGAAACAACTCGGCAAAAACAATCAAAATTCATGGAAGTTGATGTCAGAGAAATTGCAACACAGTAGTGGGACCATATCGAAACAAAACAACAGACTTCCGACCCATTTCGCATCTGAATTGATGAGAGCTCCAACGACTTTCTCGAGACTAGGAGAGAAGAACCAAAGGGGGGATCTATCTTCAGATCGATTAAGGATGGTGGATCCCCGGTTTTTAGAAATTTTGCTGTTTTTCGAATATGCCAGGATCCGTCTTCGATTGATATTGATCCGACCCCCAGTGTTTCCCCGAGCGCATTCCGAAAATCGAAAAATCAAGCAGCTGCGTCGCAAACGCACTGAAGCTTTTTATTTTCATTTTTATTTTTCTCGATTTCGTCTTCTAAATTCAAACGCATTCTTTTTTTTGTTATTTTTCTTTTCGTTTTGCAGCAGCGAGCGACGAGTCGCAATCTCTAGCTGTGGCTCAAATACATAGTCGCATCGTTGCTATGGAGAAAATTACTCAGAAACAGTGATTAGAATTCAAATTGATGAGGGCATTGTCACAACTCAACATGTCTTCACTACTTAGGGGCGATGACGCTAAGAATCAGCGTACGACCGTGTTCTGGCGATGCCAACAGGGGCAAAGAAGATGCAGGCTTTCTGGCTTTCGCACCTGTTGCGAGCGTCCGTCTTGATTCCTGAACACATCGCGAACGCCGCTTTGAACGGTCGACAGAAGTGTAAACACAGGAAGAATTATCAACAAACAGCGTTTTTTCAGCAGCGCGCGAGTGCTTCTGCTGTAGTTCCCAAACACCGTGAAGTAAATCCAGAAGAAGCGGCAGAACAGGGTGACCCTCGCGAGGACGACAAAGCACGTTCAGGGAACACATCGACCACTACAGCTTCACTACCTAGTACCCACAATCGTACACCGAACGACCTAGCTCTCCCACCTTCTCCAGCATTTGAACCAAATTTTGGAGCAGGAATCGATCCAACCCCACGACCTCACTCCCCCGACCACGACCCCCAAATGGAAAAGATGATGAACCTTTTGACCAAAAGCCCACTGGCCAAGAACGAGTGCGACCCGATCACGCTGCAGTGTAGCTGCAAGTGCGGGGAATGCGTGTTCCATGTGGCGGACGTGAACGCGTGCAAGAAACAACCACTCCAAATCTTTCACTGCCATTGCAGCTCCTGCCGGCGGCACGCGGGCGCAGCCTGGGGCTCGTATCTCACGCAGAATGGCAAGCCCTTCTCGTATATCAAGTGCAAATGTCGTCCCTCTCTGTCTGTAAGAATGCAAGATTTATTGTGATGCAATTCGCGGACCACGCATATGGTCTGGAATGCTGTACACAGACCCATCGCAGATTTTACGAGACCGTTTTGTTGCACATATTTCGGCTAGAAATTCGGCCTTTTCCTTTGCAAGAAGTGGGGAGCTTTTGGCTGGTTCATGCAACACAGTTTTTCTGTGGTCGAAACTTGTTCGCACAACAAGAAGAGCAAGCTGCATCCTTCCAGACATCCAGACATGTTTGCAATGCATACGGTACAGGAACAACATTGACGTTGCGAAGTCGAATTTCTGGGAGCTCGATGTGCCGTGCAAAACGGTAGAAAAGTTTCAGGCGATGATGGGACCAAAAGAAGAGGCGTGCATGGAGGTGCCAAGAAAGATCCTGTGCAAGAAGTGCAAATCGATCCTGATGATCCGGTTCGGTGAGGACCAGGTCGTGGTCGCCGCTGGGAGCATAGACGACGGCGACTACGAGGACGATGATAAAGGCAGGGTGCCCGTAGAAGAGCTTTGGCCTGCCAAGAAGTATAATTTCTGTCTTTGTTATAGTTCTAGTTGCGCTAAGTGAGCGTTTTGGATTGGGATGCGATTTTCTCCATCGATTTCTCTACTTCAATATCCTATAGTTACTATGCGTTCTTGACCGGCGCATGATTTCTGATGTTGCGTGCTGACCATGCTTCTATACACTTGAAAATTATCATCCAGATATCCTTCCGTCCTGAAAACCCCCGTCGGACGGGATTTTTCTGTCGACGAGCGCGCGGGGTGGTATGTGAAGGAAGCTGGGTCCTCTCAAAAGAAGTACCGACAGCGCGAAAAGAAGATTGTGACCGCCGAGGCGAGCAAAAACGCCAAGCGGGCACCGTGGACGAATCCTGAGGTAACCGGTGGCTGCTACTGCGGTGCGGTCAAGTTCTATCCCACGAAAAAAGTGTTACAGTTACACATTTGTAGTCAATTTAGCAACACAAATTTCTCTGCGTGAGTGAGAAAACTTGTAATGCAGAAATCCTACGGGAAAACACCTATGAAACGAGGCCTGTATGCATATCCGGCATGACCGAGCTTGCCTGTCTTGCTTGGCCTGCAAGACAATGTGTAACTGTAACACTTTTTTGTTTTTCTTGCGATAAGTTCGAGGCCCGCGTTTTCCCGCCAGAGCTGCAGCACTGCTACTGCTCCGTGTGCCGCAAGTTCTCCGGCGCGAGCTTCCAAACGTGGGCGTGGGTCTACAACAAACACCTGCTATCAAATGCAAAAATGTCTGGGTCTGGAAACTTGTAGTGCTGCGTTGGGAATAGTGAATGCTCTGTAATGCACGGCCAAGAATGAGAAATATCCGCGCTTCTTTGTGTTGCGTTTTTCGCATGACAAAGTGCGTTTTTGCATGACAGGCGAAGGAGTCTCTTCTTGTTCTTGGACACGCATCACAAACTTTTTGGTCATGCCAGACAAGCATGACAAATCTCGGAATCTTCCAGACCCATACATTTTTGCATTTGATACCTGCGGTGGATCGACGAATTCAAGCAGCTCAAGTTCGAAAAAACGTCCAGCGAGGGCGGGCGGCATTTCTGCAAACTGTGCGGCACGACGATGACCATCGTGTACGACGACGAGGCGAAATCGACCACCTGGCTGGCCGCCGGGTGCTACGACGACGAGAGCCTGTTCGAGCGAGAGGAACAGAAGTGCGGCAGCAAGGCTGGAGCCACTCCTTCTACGGGAGAACGGTCCTTCCGTAGCAACATTCTGAAGCGACACGTCCTCGGCGCTGGTGCTGCTGCGCCTCAGGACGAGAAAAATACAGCCGATTATAATAACAGCGACACTGAGGATCCCTCGGGGGCCTTATCTTCAAAGCCTCGCTCGCAGCCCGAAACGTCGGAACCTAACAGCGGTGCAACCACGGTTAGTACGACCGCAGATAGTAGAAGTAGAGGGGAATCGCCTGCGTCAGCAAGGAGTGACACGAAGCCAGGCTCACTAGAAGAACCCAAAGTAAATAGCGACGTGAAAAAAGTACCAGAGGCTGGAGCGGCGACAAGTGTAGTTTCCGAGGAAGAAAAGAAGAAGCAACTCGAGTACGTGTGGCGGCGTTTGTATGAGGTCAGCCACATATGTTGCCTCAGCGTGCAACCCTGGTACCGCATACCTGATGACGTTGGCACGACCAGGACACCTTTAGCCGGATGACTGCGAGACGTCGTAGTTATCCTCTTGGCGTTGCGTTCCCTGTTAAGTCGGCCTCGGCTCCGCCTCTAGCCCTACTGTAATTCCATGTAGAAGTGTAGTAGGGGATCGACATCGAGATCACTGATATTCACTCCGTCAGGGTACTTGTATGAGTTTATGTTTCACCGACGACGACGACGACGAAAATTAATTATTTATCAGGAACGGACTGAGTTTCGATTTTGACGGATTTGTATCTCCATTAAGGAGTACCAATTGTCCACGCCAGCCTATAGTACGAAAGCGGAAACTTTGACGTTACCTACCTACGAAATTTTGGAGCGTTGACGCTCCCGATTCGCGACAATTGTTTTCCCTGCACCAGCATGGATGATGATAGCCATAGCCAATTTTGAGTCGCTCTTCAAAGGCGAACACGTTCCCCTACATTGAATTACGAAAGCTACCTGGCGACACCTTCAGAGCGAGATTAGTATGTTACGAACCGACCTTGGATTTTTCACTTTTCCAAGGTCAGTCTAGTCTGCCTTTTCCTTCATCTTGCGCTGTTTTCTAAAGAGCGCAACTCCATGGGTGTAGGAAACACTATTGGTTTGTGGTGTTCTCATGATCTGACGCGAACGAGATTCTCAGAGGTAGTGTCTCGGTTCTGAGGCAGCACGTTTCTAACTGAGCTATTGCCATTACCATTTTGTGCGAGAGGTGCTGCATTTCGAAACAGGAAGGAATTTCTTTCGGTTTTGGTGGTATCATCGAGTGACGTAATTTGAGGAGCTCATCGCACATTGTTTTAATATCAAATATCACCGTGCATGGTACTTATTTCGATTTCCACAATTAAAATCGCAGTGCTTATCCCAGATTTAATCTTTTTTTTATATCGTTTGTGATTTCAAACATCATTGTTTAGCCCTGTCCTGACCTCAATCGGGAATTGTGTTTGCTGCACCTGAAGTTTTAATTTGGAAGAATTCATGTTCTTTTTCGAACGAAAGTGAAGCGTGGTAATTTTTCACGAAAGTGCATAGAGTAAAACTCCATTATGTCGTTGTATCGCCCGCCCATTGCCCATGCAACGGGTGAGTTGTGGGTTTCCGAGCCTGGCATGGTGGACCTGGATTACGATTTGGCAGAGACCTACGCGGACTTTTGCAACCGCTACCAGTGGCGTTTTCCGTTCTTGGACGCGATGGAACGGAAACGAATCCTCGCCGCGATCCAGGAGCGACCCTATTATCCTGCGTTGGAGCTGCAGTCGGAGGTTGACGTTGGTTCCGAGCAGGAAACTTCCTCCGCAATCGCGCCAGTACTAGAGCCCGGCCACCCTGTCCGCACGCAGTGGACGATGACTGAGGGCATGATGCTGAAGCTCACCCACTGGCTGCTGAAGCGCATGCACCCGCGCTACCTGCCAAAAATCCTGAACCGGCTCCAAAAGTCCGCATGGCCGCCGCACCTACTGTCCGGGGAGGGGCTCGCGGCCTGCATCAGCTTCTTCGGCGGCTACGAAAGTTGCGCGTGGCGCTTTCTGCAGCAGAGCAATTTCACATATGACACGGCGGAAAAGAGCATCGTCCACGCCTTCCGCTTCCGCTTGGAGAAGTTGCCCGACATCGTGCGCAACCAGCAGCTCGCCGACCGGAAGGGGAGCCGGGTCCTGGAGGTGCACGAGAAGGGGCTGCTGCCCATGCTAGGGATAACCTTCCACCAGTACCACTCGGCCGAGGACTTCTACGAGTACATCGCGGAAGCGAGAAACGGTTGCCTAAAAGACGGGGACACGACCTCCAAACGCTTCGGGACCGACTTCGTCCTCCCGCAATCTCCCTTCGGCGGAGAGGCGCATCAGTTTCTGCGCGACAGCGCGCGAGAATTGGACCAGTCGGAAGTACCGGATTTAGATCTCTACCTGGCAGCCGGCGAGTTGGCGAACGGCGAAGCGATACTCGATAGAAAAGAGGGCGTCAGCTCGGCGACGGAATCCTCGTCCTCGGTTCAATCTACGGCGGAAAATAGTACCAAAAAAACAGATGATACTACTAGCAACAGCGCCGGTTCGTGGTTCCGGTCCATGTTCGGAGTAGTCGGTACTGGCGGAAGCAAGAACACCAACTCAGCACCGGAAGAAAGCGACGAGTTTCAAGAACCGGAAACGATAGGGGAAAACGCGGATCTGACACAGTACGATGAAGAACTGCTGCGAGAAGCGGCTGCCGAAGAGGAACTTCGAGAAAAACAAGAAGCAGCTTCGCTTCTTGATGAAGGCAATCTAGAAGATCACAACTCGTGGGTGAACGATGCGGAGTCCGCCGCCTCGTCCGCTACTACCAGTGCAGCCGATCTTGTGTCCACGACTGCCGACGGGGAGAGTGTCAGCACGTCGCCGCCGACGCACTTCCCCTGCAAGCACTGCGTGCTGAACTGCTACGGACAGCCGGTGGAATACTGGCCGCTGGGGAAATTCGACTTCCGTGCGTTGTACAAAAGCTTCAAGTCCGCGGAGGTCGACAACGCCTGGCTTCTTTCGCTGGAAGCAAAGGACCGGCTGTGTCGGGCGGCGGGGAAGTCGGGACTCATCCTGATTCTGGACTGCAGCGGCGTGAAGACGTGGAAAACGGTGACGGACATGTACTACATCCGCCAGTTCGTCAGTCTGGTGTCCCGTGTGGGCGAGGCCGTGTACGCCGGGCAGGTGGTTCAAACCTACATCATCAACGTCCCGGAGGCACTGTACAAGGGCCCGGGAAAAATGGCGATGGCGCTGCTGTCGCAGCACACCAACGACAAAGCAAAAATCTTCTACCCCGGGGACCCGAAACTACCCACCGAGGTATTGGACGTGCTGCCTTCGTTCATCGGGCCGCAGGGAAACACAAAGGCAAGCAGTGGGAAGAAATAGTGAAGAGATCTTCTTCTTCTTCGGGGAGGTGTCGGAGACAGATCAGAAATTTTGGAAAAGAACAGATGAATAATTTTTCAAGCACTTCCTCCTGTGACAGAAACCATGCTGTACCGATGAAATCATATGTTTGTAGTTCTGAGTACTTACTTTCTTACACTAGCACTTTTTGAATATGAGAATCAGATATTTTTGTCGTATAGCATGCTCTGAGTGTATTTCCTCCCACACAAAGTCAACGAATGTACAAAATCAAGCGTGGCCCCTGCCGCTGAAGAAATCTGTTGGTGCTGACAGTTACCCGCTTGCCTGTGCCTCTTCGTGCACATCGCTTGTCTACGTGTCCGTACCATGAAACTGCCGAGTACTTAACCTTATCAAATACAGTTGTTTCCCACACAAGCAGTACTACATTACTCCTCACTCTAACTTACTATGTGGACCGACGTTGTGCGTGAATCGTAGTCGGAGAGAAAGGACGTTGCTGAGTTGCAAGACAAGAAGGGACGACACCTCCTGACACTACCTCACGCGTCTGAAGCGTGATTTCGTTTCCGGTTCTAAAGGATTGAATTATATTGTGTTTGCGTAACAAACATGTATGGCCATGCCGCCTACTGCACCGTGGCAACACGGGGCGATACTGCTTCGGTGTCAAGTGTTCTCGGGATCCAGAGCTTTAAATAAAAACATTTTTTGCGGACTGGAAGCTCGTGGGTTCCTGACGACTTAAACTACAGCTAAGTAACGAACCTCTTTGGCTCAACACCGTTTTTCCACCCCAAAGTGCGTTTTTTCTACTAAGTCCATTGATTGGAACTCAAAACTAGCAAAGAAATAACGATACACCAGAAGCCGATGACCGTTAATATGGCGTCCTCCTCTTCTCGTCTGGAGCTCGGTTATTGGAAGATTCGAGGTCTCGCCTCGAATCTGCGGTACCAACTCGCCTACGGTAAGATTCCCTACCAAAACGTTGTTTATGAGCAGGGGGACGCGGCCAGCGGGTTTTCCAAGAAAGTGTGGACGGATGTGAAGTTTTCGCTCGGAATGCCGTTTCCCAACCTCCCGTACCTGATGCACTACCATCAAGGCTTGTTGACCGAACAACCAGAAGAGACGATAAAGCAGGAAAATCAGTTGTCCGAAGATCATGATGTGAAAATTTCCGAGACGCAGGCGATCCACCAGTATTTGGCTGCGAGGTTTTCACCCACTCTGCTCGGCCAGACCCCGAAGGAGATTGGGGAGATCAACCAGCTGTTTGGAGTTCTTGAAACGGTAAAGAACCAGTGCACGGGCGTTTGCTACCGCGAAAATGCAGAGAGAGCAGCGATTGTGGAGAACGCGAGCCCGGGGTTTCAGCGGATGTCGGACTACCTGGAACAAAAAATACGGACGCAGGAGGGACAAAACAGATCGACTTTTCTCACCGGGGACGAGGTAAAGTGGGTGGACTTTTACTTCCTGGAGCTAGTGGAGCGCTTCAACTGGCTACTGGAGGACAAGCTGGCGGAGAAATATCCAGTCTTGCAAGAATACCGAAGGCATATGGCCTCGTTGCCCGGTGTGGCGGCGCAGCTGGAGGCCGAGTTAGAGTTGGAATTCAACAACAAACACTCCGTCGTGAACGGGAAGGCGTACAGGCTGGCTGTGTGAAGAAAATTTCACCGGATGACTTTTTGTACACAGCGACAGTTTGTTAGCCGGAGCGCATCGATTCCTTTTTTCGTGGGTACAGGCCAATGTATACGATTCCGATTGTTTTTTCGGAAACTATGTGAAAGTAGCAAGAAGTCGTTGATCGGGTGTTCAGTGGGAGTGAACTCTATATAATTGGGAGTAGTTGAAGATGAAAAAAAGTATCCATTTGAAAAAAGTGTGGTCAGGAATTGCACACAGTCAGTACTTTCGTTCTCTACGGCATTGTCTGTAGTATACGTGTGAAAAAAGCACTGGCTCGCGAACGAGCATCACCATGCTGGTACGAGTGTTTGTCTGCTTATTTCGCACTTGGTTGTGTGTCTCGTTTTTTGGCTGGTTCGTCATACCAGCTGCTGGGGAAACGGCACCAGCGCTGAACGATTTGAAAAACACCACGACGGACGAGTCCGAACTAACGCTGCTCCGCAACGTGATAATCCCAGACCCGCACTATGGCCACGTCAAATCGGTGGGGGCGTGCTACTACTGCTTCGACAAGTTGCGGAACAACATGGGCCTGGCGTCGACCGCAGATCAGCTGGACGAGGCTGATGCTGACGACAACGACGACGTCAACACAAGAACGGAGAAAAGAGCGCCAGTCTTTGATGTTGCGACAGCGCAGGAGTCAAACTCAAAGAGTAACGAGTCATCAAAAACCGCCTATCGCTACTCATCCAACGTGATGCGCTATGCGTTCAGCAAAAAACAACTTCTTCCCTTCTTCTACGGGCTTTCCACGGATCGGTGGACGCGGTACCGGCGTCGGCTGAACAAACTGCACTGTCCCCCGTACGTGCTGCAGGCGTTGCAGTTGTTTCGCAACACGACCGATTTCTTTCTAGATCTCGGCGGCGACTTGGGGGATTGCTCTGCGGCGGCCTTTTGGCGAAAACTCGTCAGGCGTGGCACGGTGAATGTGGACGGCAGGGTAGCCGCCGTGCGGGCTTGGAAAGCGACTGCCGCAGCGTTCGCAGGCACGGGAAGCAGCTTGCGGAGCTCAGGTCAGTCCACCGATGAGGTGCAACTACCCGTCTCGCTGCAGCCTTCACACCAAATCTGGAAGCAACCCTTACTGCAGTCTTCAACGCTAGAACAGAAGAGAGCGACAAGCTTGTCTCAACCCGAGGTTGAGAGTCATGAAGAGTCGCGTGCTTTCTTTCAAAAGCGCGCAAGCGCGTGGAAGACCGGGTGGGAGACACCCGAGATGCATTCCGTCGCAAGTAGCGCTCAAGACGAAGACCGTTGGTGGAGCTATTCCGTGCGGGCCCGATCCTCGTCCGCTTCGGACGCTGACAGCCTCCCTTTTCTCCTCGCGGGTGGTGCCTTTGTTCTGGGACCTGGCAGCGCCGTGGGAACGCTTCGCAGATTTCCCGAGTCTGGCGAGAGCTGCGGCGGGTTTCCCGAGGCCTACTGTAAGGGCGACAACGCCTGCGGGGAGACGGCAAATCGCTTTGTAGGAACATGTCCTGTGGAGCGATGGCAGGTTTGTAGCCGAGATGCTGGGGGAGGTGGACGAGGCAATAAAGCAACCACTGCCGATGGAAAAGCACTCCTGGACGAAGATGACGACTGCCTTGAGGTGGGTTCGGTCAAGAGTGTGGTTGACAAAGTTATGGTTGCCGCAGCAAGACTCCAGCAACCATCCCTGAAGAACATCGGCAGCAGGACTTCTTATTTCGGTTTGCGCGTGAAGCTAACCGGCTCGGACGTCTGGCCAGTGATCCGCGACATTCCGGACGAATTTTTGAATTGCAAAGGCACAAGTTCTGATTATCCTGCTGTGGCAAGCCCGCGGACATCATCACACGTTTCATCTCACTCGTCGGCTGTATCACAGCCCTGTATCCGATGGTTTTCTCTGGAGGATGTTTTCACGGTCTCCACCGCGGACGCGAAGCAGTTCATCCACAAGCTCTTTGTCCAGCACGACTTCGCGATGGTCCGCTTCCGGACCCAGCGCGAGAGCACGGTGATGAGCCTACCCTGTGTACCGTTCCACAACTGGAAGCGGTGCAATGTGCGCGACGTGCTCGCGATCAATTGCGCGCCCGCGGCGGAAAATATCGTAGATAATGCACACGAAGAACCACCGGTGGCGGTAGGCAAGAGCTGGCATCTGGCTGCCAGTCTTAGCAAGCTACTGAGCCCGGAGGAGCATGCAGCCACCAACCGAACGGCTCTGGAAAAACTGGTCTACCGGAAGAACATTCGTAGGAAACAAGGTGAAAAACCAGATGCCGCAAGTGCGTCGTTTACTCTCAATGACGCAAAAACCACTTCATTTACCAAACAGTGCCTTCAAAACTTTCCGCAGCTGAAAGCAGTACAAAAACTTGATCCCAGCGGTATCCGTAGCTACGTTTCGGAAATTTCGTCCAGCCCCAAAATGCCTTCAGTTTTAGGTTTCTTGGAGCACATCTTCGCAACTATTCCGGCCGAAATATTTTTTGCAAGCAAGCCTCGCTCGCGGATGGATTTCGATCGCTGATCAATCCATGATCTGGAGAGGCTACAAAATCTTGTTCGTCGAAAATTTTTTGTCGCAGAAAGAGAGGCATGAACGAGACTGAGTGACAGTGGTGCACAAAAAATTCATTTACCGACAGCTCGGGGCGTGCTGGTATTCCATTCACAAATCGAAATTCGTCGGCAGTTTTTGGTCGAGAGATGTCCTTGCCGGCGCGTGGAAATTACAAGGCTGCGTCGCATGAGAGTCGTCGTGCCTTTGTCTTCGATATTGAGTTGCAGTAGTGAGTTTTTCTTTCTGACTCTTCGTTCGCACTCCTGCTGCAGTCGTTGAATTTGAAAAGCCTCGTTTACATGATTCTAATTGAAAATTATCGCTTCTTCATTGTAGCAGGCTACGCTGCAGTCGCTGAGAAGATATCAGGCGACAAAAAAGGATTTTTAGTGAGAATGGAATCACGGTTGTAGTGGGTTTTGTCGAGGCGTACGGACTGAAGTAGGGCCCAATCGTGTTGACTGGGCAGCAGAGGCTCAAAAGGTCCGGATCTGGGTGCGCTTCTTGTTCTTGAGCCAGCTGTGGCGCTTGCCAGTCGAAGGGTACATTAAGCTGCAAACGACCACGTGAGTATTCAATCGCACGAAGAGTGGCTTGCGGCACCTCCTTGAGCGCACCGTTCGATAAATACCCGGACCCAATTTGCAAAGGCGAGACTTTATCCGAAGGTTTTCGGCTTCGCGTCTTCGCCGCGTCCGGGCAGTGTATTTCTACGCAGGAACCACTGCGGACGCCTCGGCCTCACAAGCGGAATCAGGCATCGCAACTTCAACTTCATCTACTTCTCAGCAACAACGTAGTGAGAGTGACAACGACCCACGTCCTGACGTTGCCTTCTTAACAGACAACTTCTGCACCCACAACACCATGCAGCAGCCGGACTTGTTCAGCAGCTCCCCGCCGCGGAGGCAGAAGCGGCGGTTCATCGTCGCGCGGCAGGTTGGCGATGACGAATTCGCAGAGTTCGCGGGGAAGATGGAGAAGCAGGGGCTGGACCCGATCTTCGACGCCGCGCCGCCAAATTTCGCAGAGCTTTCCGCGGCATCGCCGACCCGAGAAGACGTGGCCGCGGCCATTGACCCCGCAGCGGAGGAGTTCGCGAAGGCCGCCAACGCAACGCGAAAAACCATGAAGAACCCCTTCACGAGGTGGGACCGAAAAATGAGCGGTCTGAACAACTTGACCGTCGGAGAAAAAATCAATGCGCAGAGACATCAGAGTACTTATTTTCTCCAGTATTTTTTCCAGGTTTTTCAACAAAGCTAAAAGTAAAAAATTTTTCTCGTGTTTCTGAACATTCGCAGGGCCTCGATCTCTGATCTACTTGTCACAGTCTTCAAGTACTTAGTCCTCAAAAACACTCCCAATACAGAAGCGTTGGCCCGATGGGAGAAGATGAAGCAGGAGTGGGAGAAGTTCCGTGGCATCGCGAGCAAAGTAACAGACAGGCCAAAGGAGGCGCTCACCATCACAGCGGCGGAAGAATACAGAGAGCGCGTGGAGCTAATGGATTTGATCGATCGAGCGACGCCAGATTTCATCAAAAGCGGCGGCTATGGCTGGTATAGGCTTCGCCTTTTCGGACATTACAGGCGCTTCCTTTTGCATACCCTTCCTTAAAGTCCACAATGCGACTTTTTACTATTTGAAGATGAAGTAAAAGTAAAACTAGTAAAAGAAGCGCTTGAAGACGTTACAACAATCTTCCGAAAGGTACCAGTCTCTCCGCGACTACGGTGCCCGGTTAGTGACAATTGGGAACATTTTCAGTGGCTTGTACCTCTACATCAAGCTAAAACCCAACGCCAACGGGCAGATCATACGAAAACCCTGGTTGCGCGAACTCGCGTATTACCGAGCAAAGAACCACTCCCACACCTGGCGAGACAATCCATTTCTGATCGCCAGGAAAAAAAGGTAAGTAAGTATTTCCGTGACGACAAGAATATGTCTTCGTAAAAACACCTACGGAGCACTTCATTGCGTACTTCCAAATGCCCGTACTTCCATGAGTTCCAGAGCACTTCATTGCGTACTTCCATGAGTTCATTGATGAATTTATTTGTCACAGGTATGGCGCCGCCATGGAGATGATGAATCCAGGGCTCCTTGGCATTGACGAAATGCTCGAAATCGATGGCGTCGGGGCGGAAAAACTCCAGGCCTTGCGGGAGCAGGCACAGAAACAGGTGTGAGCCTTTGAAGCCTTTCTTGAGACGTCCGATTCTACTATTACTCCAAGCATGCATAGAAGTCAACATCAAGAGTATGGGCTACGGTAGGTAGATGCACTGCGTGAGACTACATAAGATGAAAGTATTCTTTACACTGCGTAAAGAAATTTTGTGTTCTTAACAGGGCGCCGAGGAGCCACAAGTCGTCGAGGAGGCGGAGCAGCCGGAGGCCGTTGAGGAACCCTCAGGTCCCGCTGTTGAGTTGGAGCCCTCCCGCCTCGAGTTCCACTGCCTCACTGGGGAGAAGGACACCGCGGTGCTTACCATCCGCAACACGGGGTCAACTGTGCTCTTCTGGGAGCTCGAAGAACTCCCGCCGGTCAAGCACTATGAGGAGTCGGTAATGGTTTACAACATCGACGTTCTTCTTCTCTCCACCTGCTGCCCATTTTGCTCACTTTAACTGTAATGTGCGATCGCGAAAATTTTGTGAAAGAAAAAAAATCGAAGAACTGATTTATTCTTGCAGGTTACCCCTGCGGACCCTACGAAGCGGTTCCAAACACATGTCGTGAAAGGGAAGATCTTTCCAAGTAACGAGCAGCAGATAACGGTCACCTTTCTGTCTGCCACCGCGGGGTCTTTCACGAGCAGATGGCGCCTGAAAACCAATCCCAACATGGTCACAGAGGTACAGATCCAAACTCAGGCACTCTGCCTGGTGTTCCTCTTGCTTTTTTTTTTCTTCGATCGGAACACGCAGTGTGAATTCAAGACGAAAAGGAAAACCAAAATTCTTGTTCAGGATTACGTGATGCACGGCGTTTCGTTTTGGCGGCACGCGGACATCATATCAGACTTGCAGCAGGAGCTGCACACCAAGCAGGTGGATAGTCAGTGCAGCGAGTGCGTCGAGGATTTGTTTCATGACGTGGACGTCACGCCGTTCCCCGAGCCAGACTTTACAGTGGAAAGCATCCGCAGTTTGTATTTCGAGGAGCGAAACGCCGGCGCGGGCAGTGTCACCGCTGGGGGTAGCAGTAGTAGTACCAGTACCTCGTCTACGGCTGGCAGGCTGCACTACCGTTCGGAGTACTTTACGAAACTGTCCGACCTGCTGACCGAGCTGCGCGAGTTCGCGCGCGCGGCCGGCATGGAAAACCAAATTTTGTGGCGCGACGAGCGAGGAAAGATCTTCCAGGACTACGAATATGGCGACCACGTACACTACTCAGAAGAAGAACACGCAGCAGCCCGGGGCCATTTGCCACTCACAAAACCGCTGGAGCCAGTCCGTACTGACACATTTCTGAGATCAGATGTGCCGGCTTATGTTCATGCTATTCTAGTAGTTTGATGATGACGATGATGATCGTAAACGCTCGGGATGAATGAATGTTGTTCCACAACGCACGTAAGCACAAGTGATCCTCCAAAATCCACAGCGATATCTTTCGGCCCGGATTTCCAGTGGGACCTACGTCTACAGGAGCTCAAAGATATTTTGCGCGACGTCGAGCCGCAGAATCCCGAGGGGCCGGAAATCCGCATCTGGCGCAGAATGCGCTCCGATTTGCTGCGGCTGGAGCGCTTCTTCTCTGCCCCGCCGCTGGACCGCAGCCCTGCTTTTTCGGTCATCGCAGAGGAAACCACAAGGCTCGCAAACCTCGTCATCGACGAATGGGCCACGGTAATATGGCTCTACCACCGTCTAGTTTGTGCAGTTGAAGATTTTGTGAAGAAGTAAGAACAGCGAGACCGTAGATTCTGCTACTTTCGTCAAGTCTGTGTTTGATTTATTTAGTGCTCATCTGCTCTCACCAGGCCCGCGAAGCCGTTGCAGACCCGAGCGACGCGGACGCCTTGACCGCAGCAAAGGACGCCTTTTGCGATAACTTCTCACTTTTCACGGAGAGAAAAAAGATGGTCACGAACGAGGAGGGCGAGCCCGTGGAGGAGGCGTACGTGAGCACGATTCTCGACAAAAACTGCGAACAAGTGCTGGACAGCGGCAGTTTGAGGAGTAAGAGCTACTCTTCCACGTCACAGGCAGTTGGTGCATACAGGAAGAAGATGACAACCGAGCAGGCGGATCCAGCGGGACAAGTCGTCTTGTACGAAATGGATCTATCGAGCATAGCAGGGGTAAAGAAGCTGGTTGTTGATTAATTTTGTCCACTTCTCTGCGTCTGCGCTAACTCATTTAGTGGTCAGATTGATTGCTGCAAGAGCAAAATAAAGCATTGATTTCACGCCGGTGTATTAATTTGCTTTCGTGATGTTGAACCCAAGGCCAAGAGCAATATCAGGTCGAAGCAGTGCCCAAAAAGGGCGGCGAAGAGGGCGAAGTGACCTACGAGCTTGATGGGCCGCACATAAATGACCTCACCATCCGTCTGGAAGCCGGGCTAACCGACATCATAGCGGCCAATCCAAAAGCGCTGTTTATTTGCGCTCACGTCGACAGCACGGTGCATGCTTCGAACAAGAACTTTAGCGGAGAAGAAGATCCACGTAAAAGGAGATTCCATTTTCACCCACTGGTTCCTTCTTTTCTGTTTTGAGGAGTTGCTTTCTCACAGATGAAGTCAAATGCTGTACAACTACAACGAATTCCTTGGGAGTAGTAAGGTTTGCTCGCACGAAGATTCAGCGAAATCGAACAAAATCAAAAAAGCAATACCGACCACGGTCCCGGGCTGCGTCAGCTTTGAGGAGGACTTGGACCTGATGATCAAGAAGATTACCGGCGTCGCCTGCGAATTCATCACGTTGGAGGAGCTCGGTAAGCCAGAATTCGCGGCGGAAATCCGCAAGGAGACCGAGGAAGAGGAGGAGCTCGCGAAGATCTACCTGATCGAAAACCTGGCCAGCCAGTATTTGGAGCTCGGTGGGCGCCGCATCGACGACACGTATGAGCGCTTCACGTGGGCGGCCCGGGAGAACTGGGTGGACCAGAAGCTCTTCCCCTTTGGCATCGACGTGTACGTGCAAGACTCCTTCTCCTGTGCGCTCCGTGGCGACTACACCACGCAGAAGTACCTCAGCTGGGACCGCCCGGCGCTGCCCGCCCGCGTTGTCGGCCCCTTCGTCGACGCGGAGATGCAGAACCTCTTCAGCGAGGTCCTCAAGATGCCCGACAACGCGGCCGCGGGCAGCTCGGCAGAGCACACCGTATGATACGGCTTTTCTTTTTGTACGTTTCATCGAAAAATCCCTTTCCTCTGTATGGGGGCGAAGAACAAGAGTTAGATAACGATAAGCCTCGGAGTAGCAAGTATGATAAAGTTCTCCGAAGATGACACCATGGTCATGGACATCCTTTTTTTATCTTGTCGAACACAGGCGACCGAGAATGAGGAGGGCGAGGAGCAGGGAGACGGGCTGCAGGTCCAGGTGGTCGGCGGCGTGATCGAGCCAGGAAATTTGAAGGAGGGCTCTCTCGAAAAGATCGCGGCCGCGCGCAACGTCCTCGAGGAACTGTCGCAATTGTGCTTTGTGGGCGGGAACCTCGCCCTGATTCTGGTCCGGTTTGTGTTCAACTGCGGCGCGAGCTGGTTCCCCAACGCGGAGGAGAATCCGACCTTCGCCGCCGTGCTCCGCGACGAGCTCGCGACCGCGGTGCAGAACGCGGACAGGTGTTTGCTGATTCCGACCGACTTCCTCTACGACGAAACGCCACCACCGGACGCCGACCCCGCGGACAAGAAGAAACCGTACCTTTTGAAGGTCGGCGGGACCACGTTGGGCGGCGGGACGAAAACCGTCGTCTACTCGGACGAGATCACATACGGCGCGCACAAGGGCAAGTGCCTGGTGCTGGAAACGCAGGAAGAAGCGGTGTCCGGGGTCTGGAACGCCTGCGGGAGAATATCACTCGTCGAGGTGGCCACCCTGCGCGCCAGCCTGGAGCAGGCGTTTTTAGAGGAGAAGCAGAAAGAGGCCGACGCCGCCGCGGCGGCGGAGGCGGGCGAGGAGGCGGCGGCCGCAACAGGCGCGGAGGCGGCCGAGGAGGCCGAGGCCCCGGCTTCCCCCTATGAAGCGGTGTGGACGGGTGGCGTCCCGGAGGACATGGCGACCGCTTGCTCCTTGACCGACCTGGGCCCGAGCTCCGTAGCCCAAGTGAAGCGCTTGCTCACCAGGAGCAAGGCTGTGGTGGTTACGGACAAACTGGCACCGGTGGTCGCGACCGGCGAAGGAGTGAATGCACCCAGCGACGTGGACCTGTGGGAGTTCGTCGAGCTCAGAATGCAGCCCGTGGAAGAGGAGGAGGAGGAAGAGGAAGAAGCTATCAGATGTAGAAATTTTTCGATGCACAATCGTCTCCGTTTGTCAACACTTCCTGGAAAGCAAGTGGAAACTGCGTGATGTAGTTCTCCGTTTGCATGTTTTTGTTTCATGTTCTTCGTCGTTTGCACTGTCCATACTTACTTGCTTGAATACTTCTTGCGGTCCGGGGAAAAGAGGAGGAGTGCATGGGTACTAGTTCGCTTGCATACTCTAAGAAGAGGAGGAGGACGAGGACGGAAATCCGATCCCACGCAAAGAAAAGCCCCCGAAGCCGGAGAAGTGGGCGGAGTTCGAGTCGTCCATGTTTGTCGGCAAGGAGCTGGCGAAGGCGGTGGTGGCGTACAAGCCGGAGCATTCTTACTCACTGGTGGTCGATAAGATTCCCGAGGTCTTCTTGAGTCGGTTCCTGTCCGGAGCGCCGGTCGGCGGAATCGCCTGTCTCTCCGACAAGCCGGGGAAGAAGCGGGCGTTGAAAACGGGTCCGGTTGGGGCGAAAAAATGACCACTTCCCGCGGGAAGGTAGCGAATGACCCGAGCGGGAGCGAAACTTCTTTTCTAGTGCAGTTCTGATTGATGTAAGTACTTCAAGCTCTGCTGCACAAGAAAAGGTAAAACGATATCAACGAGCAGGTCTTGTGATACCGATTTTTACGAATTGTTGAAACTTTTCCTGTACAAAGTTTCGTCTACATTTGCAACACAAATTGCAGGCATTTCAGTCTTGTTATACTTTCAGGTTTTACTCTCAGTTCAAAAGGAGACAATAGGAATTAGTATCAACGATTATGCGTGATTGCTCCGATTCACCGATACCGATTGGAATATTATGGTAAGTATGTAGCAACCGAATCAGATTCAGAAGTGAAGTTCATGCTGCCCCACGCGGGGTTGCTTCACCATGAGCAGAACTTGTTTCTGGAGTTGTTTTGGCGACAGAGAACATTGGACACAAAAATCAAAATGGAAGGAGAACGAAAAATACCCGATGAGGGTGGTTGTGCCGAGACGTCAGCGTCACTGCGGGCGCTGCTGGCGGATGGTCGCCGGGTGGTTAGTTTTCCCGTTTTTGCTTTCTTCTGAAGGAAAATTATTCCAAAGGGGTAGATTTTTGCGGATCAGCTGGGAGAACCATGATGTAGATCTCTTTTTTTTATAGTGAAAGTATCAGTGCGATCAACGACAACGGTTTTGCCCTGTTTTGTTAATTTTGCAGATCACTGGGCGAAAGTCAGCTTTTTTTCTCCGGTTGGTGGTTCCATGATCAGGGAAGAGAGCTACCGCCGAACAGTTCACAGCATCAGCATCTGCTGGTCTTCTTTGAAGAAAGTGCCTTATGCTCTCGTGGTTTCTTGAATTTTTTCTCACGAAAATTACATTTTTTTCTCCTGCTTTCGTCCTCCTACTTCCTTGAGCCAACTTCTACTTTCGAAGCGTTCCAAGAGTGTGAATTTTATCCTCGGCGAAAAGCATCGAACCATGAGTGCGGCGCGGTCGCCGAATTATGGCACCCACCATTCGCCGAGGGCCCGGAAAATCCGGCAGCCCGCCGCGTCTGAACCGGTCTCCCGGCCCAAGACGCCACCGGACGCAGCCCCGATCGTGGTCGAAGACTTCGACAGTAACTGCAGTCCTCGGGTCAACCTACCACCGCTGGTACAGTGTTGTAGTGACTCTCGCATATCTAATATTTTCTTGATGATGTTGAAGATATCATCGGAAGACTTGCACGGAGAAAGAGCTCGATTGTTCTTGCATCACCCTGCGGAGTACACTAAAGATAGCAGACAACAACGTTCAAATGACAACAGCAACGAGAGGTCGGCGGCTCAGCGACTTGCTCCCCACAGGGTGGTCACTATGGAAGCACGGGAAGCAATGACGGCGTTGCAGCAGGACTGCAACCACAAGAAGAGTCGTCTCCAGCGGGGCAAAGGATTCGGAGTCGACGTATAATACAGGGCGCGCCCCCGACTTCGACCTCTCCGGGAGGAACCTCTACTCATCTTCCCGGGCAACAACCGGCGCAACTCTCCTACTCAACATCCCCAACTGAGGCCGGCCAGAAGCTGGAGAATTTGGTCAACAAGCTGGCTCCGTACGGGTACAGAACCGATGGCAGTTTTGTCGGCAAAATATCATCAGAGCAGCGCCGGGCACACCACAGCGACCCTAGGTGGACCAAAGCGGTGCCGTCATCGAAGGCCTCGCCCACAAGCAGCAGTCAAAATCGGGAAAGAGAGCTGCACAGCGGACTTGTTAAGGAGTCCAACTTTGTCGTCGACGAACAGAAGCATGATGCGGTTAGCGCCCGGGGAGTCGGTAGGACCGATGGACCTAATATCGCCACCAAAAGTGGTTTTTCGGACGACCCAAATGGCGGCAGCAATGCAGCAGTACTGGTGGAAACTACGCCAGTGGTGAGCTTCACTGCTAATACCACGACGAGCGTTGCAGGTACTTCTGCGGTGCATCTTCATCAGCCCAAGGCGTCCTCAAAAGGTGCGACGGGTGGCGCAATTGTATCGAATAAGCCGATTGTCGCTCCAGTGTTGATGGTCTCGGGAATCGGGGCGGGCGCGAACAAAACTTCCGCGTCCTCCTCGCCGCGCAAGACGAAAACGCGGACGCCGGGCGGGACTTTCGGAGAGGAATACTCCCGCGTGAGCTCGAAATCGACCAAAGGGTCGTCTGCGATCCCCAGTCCGACCCGCGTTCTGCCGCTGACGCCTCGCGACGCCGACAAGTTAGAGGTGGTTTCATCCCGTAAGCCGATTGAGCAAGCGCTAAGTGTCGCCGGCACGGTGCCCAGCTCCCGGCGGCCCAGCGGAGTCCCGCCGAGTTTTGCGGCGATGGCGCCGGGTGGGATCGCGAGTCCGGGCGGGAAGTCCTCGTCGCCGTCATCGCGCGGGTCGCGGGTTCTACGCGGGCTGAGCGGCATCGTTGTAACCAGCTCCCGGTCGAAAGAGCACATCCCGCAAGCAACGCACTCGAGGACAAATGCGGATCTTGATGTGGACACCGGCGAGGTCGTGAAAAAAACAGGGGCGGGTGGTGATCTTAGTGCGCCGACAAATGTAGTCGAGACTGCAGTTGTAACGGACGATATTCTGCAGCCTTCGCCGGCTCGCAGCAGCACGTCCACGACTAGGCCAGGGTTTTCCGGACGATCTGTAGTTGCAACGAGAATTGAATCTGGCGAGGATCTTCAACATGCGCCGGTAGTTGGTGCTGATGTTGGAAGTACCGACTATAGCTCTGTTGGTTCTGGCAACAGCCTGGTTCTCGCAGCAAACCAGCAGTCATCTACTTCTTCTAAAATGATCGAGACAGGCGGGCGACGAATCTCGGGCTCGCACCGAGACAACCACCCTGTGCAGACGCTGCTCCAGGTGCAGGACTACGACGAAAACAAGCAAGCAAACCTGAAAAAGAGCCAGGACACAACTACAGTCACGGACCTCTCGTCTGGCAAAGCACCAGCGAAGAAGCACAACAGCTTTTCAAACCCAGTCGAACAGGAGCTCGCTGCAGGCGGGCTATTCGAAAAATTGGAAAAACTGCAGAAACAACGGGAAAAAGAAGACGGAGTCCAGATTCTATCGACTCCCTCGCGGCCTAAGGACCGGCTTCTGACCCCGGATGAGGCTACCGGCATGCCGATTCCGCACAACTCCTTGCGAAGCTCGCCCACAGCCCATCGCGCCGCTGCCGCGGCCAGCGCCTACGACAACGCACAACACCTGTTCCACACGCCTGAGAAAAGCGTGTCCGAGGCCTCGCCGACGTCCGTGTCGGCTGTCCTGAACACGAGTTTGCTCGACCAGAATGAAGACGACTGCAAGGGGATGCACGCCCACCTGGAAGACAAATTGACTCCGTCGGCCTCCGAAGAGCGAGAGACATCCTCCCCAACATTAGCGCCGCGGTCTATTGAGATCGTGCCAGACGAGGGTGTTCAAGGAGGGGCACTACATTCCGATAGTGGTCGAGGCAGGAGTGACGCTCAACAATCGGATCACGATCAAGCAGTTGAGGCAAACCCAGAGACAACCAGCAACGTTGTTGTACCGGCAGCTGAAATTTCCCCATCGTCGCAGCAGAACTCCCCCGGCAGTGTCACGTCTTCCACAACTTTTCCGCGGAACAAACAAATCCTGCGCGCTGCGACGGAGGGTTTGGAGACGCGAAATCGGCCTAAGCCACCCGAACAGGACAAAATCAACCGGCGGTTTTCGGAGGTGGTGCACACGCAGATCCGCACCAACATCCCGGAGATTCAGAAGATCAGCGTGATTAGTGTCAACGACGCGGACTCGCCCAAAAACAGTTCGGTCCTCTCCGCCATCAAGCGCGCGGCCCGTGGCGGGGCTGCACCGGGAGCAGGCAGTAGCACTTCTGCGATCAATGGGGGGACAGGAGCAGGAGCAGCGCAGCAGCCGCAAGGGCAACCGCAGCGGAAGAGGCACAGCATCATCCTGGAGGAGCAGGAAGAGGAGGAGTCGTCTTCTGCAACGGACGAAGAGTACGATATCAACAGCGGTAGAAGCGTGCGATCGCCGTCGCCGTCCGTGTCCCAGGCTCTGCCAGCTGGGGCTATCTCCCCGCGGGCAACTACCGGGCAGAAGGGCAACATCACTTCTCTTACCGCTTCTAAATTGCAGCATCTGAATTTGGGCGCGCAGCAGCAGGCCGGGGGGTTGAACGTGATGAACATGAATGTGAATGGCGCTCCTTCTGGTGGGAACGCCGCGCTTGCTGGGTTACAGAATTCGCGGACCGGGTCGCCGAGAGTCTCGATTGCGGAGATAATGTCGCCAAACGCACAGACACAGCGGATGTCTCTGGTGTCCTCATCCCGGTTGCAACCCGCGGACTCCTACTCTAGTCACGGCCGTTTTCCGGGGGAAAGCATTCGGGATGCGATCGTGCGCAGTGGGCAGCAGAGCGGCTTTCTTCCGTCCGACGCGGGTTCGAACCTCGGCTCGCCGCGAACGCCCGGCAGTCCGCACGGCTTCAGCAGCCGGACACGGAGCGGGAGCTTGGTGGCGCCGTTTTACCCAGACGGCAGTTCCACGGACGTAAACCCAACACAGCAAATTTTGACACTGGAATCCCGCACCTCCGGCGGAGACGGCGGGACTCCAATTATACACATCGAGCACGAAAGCGCGCACGTAGAACCAAACAACAAAAGCGATGAACTAACTGCAGTGGAAGCAACAAGTCGGGGCAACGCCACGCTGCTCGGGGAGAAGAGTGGCGGTGGACAACACCAGGCGGAGCAGGAAAATAAAACGCTCAAGAACGCGTCCCTATCGCTCACTGCTGACAACTTGCAGTCGATCGAGCATTCCATAGGCCAGGCTCTGATGGGCCCGACAACAGCTGTGGTCACCGTGCGCAACGAAATGGCCATGCTCGCGGAGTTTCAGCGAAAATCGCAGTCAAGCGCCGCTGTTTTCGGACCTGCGGGAATAGTACCCAAAATACCTCAGCACCCTGCAGGCGGAGGTGCGGTTGTAAACCAGGCTGAAGGTGCGGGCGCCAGTGCGGGAGAGCGTGGCCACGATAGGCATGATCGTTCACAACACCAACACAAAAGTGCCGACCTCGGCGGCGTGAGCCGACCCTCCGCGCAGCACGATCTTCCAGGGAATGCGGGGGATCGCAGTCCGCCAACCAAATCTTCGCAACAGTTCCTCGGCGCCCCATCAGCGCTCGGCGCCAACGTGGGCCCCCCGACCAGCATGTCTAGTCCGAATGTTTTCGGCGGTGCGCACAACGGCACCAGTTCCAATGCGGTGCCCGCGAATGGCGCGAACAACAACCTGCTGATTCCTTCCAACGGCAGCAGCCGGAGGTCGTCGATTGCCATTCCCTCGAACTCCAGCTCCCGTCGCAGCTCCATCTACACGGGAACGCTCGACAGCACCCCGACGGTGGGGTCGCGACGGTCGTCACGCGCGGCCATTGACGCGCTTTCCGACGCGTCCGGAGAGCAGGTTCGTCACCACGACGTGCTGGACATCTGTTTTGAGCGTGACCTGAAACCCGGGAAGACCATTGGCATGGGCCAGTTCGGCCGTGTGTTCCTTGCGATGGAGAACGAGACCGGGTTTTTGATTGCGGTCAAGGAAATTCTCCTGCCGCCACCTCCTCCAGAGAACGACTTCAACGCGCAAGCGGAGGACGACAAGAACCTGGAGAGCCTGGAAACCGAGCTGCGACTGCTGCGGGGCATGTCGCACCCCCACATTGTCACCTACTTGGGACACGAAGTCCCCGGCCACACGCATCCAACGAGCGGGACGAGCAAGCAGGTGAACAAGGACACGATGAGCAGTAAAAGTTCGCCCAGAGTAGTCGCGAATGACGAGAACAAGTCTGAAGGTGAGGAAGCCGGGCCCCCCGGGGCAGATCTTCTTGATCCGTGCCTGCAGGAGAATACTGCAAGCGCAGACAGAGACAAAGACCAGGTGGATCAGCAGAACAGGAATAGTGGTAGCTGGACAAATAGTTCACGCAGCGGCAACACGGGTCGAGAAGTGCGCGACGACCTTTCTCGATCGGACCACCAAGGAAAAAATGGTCGAGATGCAGAGCAGCAACAGCAAGACACGACCGTCGAGCAGCAGCCGCACATCAAGATCGAGCGGCTGTACATCTACCTGGAGTACCTGAGTGGAGGAAGCATCAAGCAGCAGTTGCTAGACTTCGGCGCTTTTGATGATTTGCTCACGCAGAAGTACTGTCGCCAACTGCTTTCGGGGGTGGCGTACCTGCACGCCCAGACGGTGATCCACCGCGATTTGAAAACCGCAAATTTGCTGCTTGCGCAGGACGGCACGCTGAAAATCGCGGACTTCGGCTGCAGCAAGCAGTTAGGGAGCTTGTTTCTGGAAAAGAGCTCGCTGATCGTGGGCACGCTGCCCTACATGGCGCCGGACGTGCTTGCGGGCGAGCAACCGTCGTCCGCGATCGATATCTGGAGCGTGGGCTGCTGCATCCTGGAAATGGCCACCGGGAAACCCCCCTGGCACCAGTACAAGTTTGACAACCTGCTGCACGCGTTCTACGTCATCTCTCAAGCGGGCGGCATGCCCGAAATTCCGCAGGTCGCCGACAAGAGGGAGTCGCTTGCGTTCGTGCGTGCCTGTTTGGTTCGGGAGGCCGCCGCGAGGCCCAGTGCCGTCGCTTTGCTGCAGCATGCCTTCGTCGCCGTTTGATGTTCATCTGTCCGAATTCGTAGCGAGGTTCGCTATTAGTGCCGATGCGTTTGACTTCTCTGTTTCAGTTTCTAAATTCTATTTCAAATTTGCATGTTGAAGATGCTACTCCAGATCAACGTCAGCACGCAATGTACGATTTGTTCCGCAGCTGCGGTATTTTTTTATCATTTCATTCGTTATGGTGATGCTCGATCTCGCCATATACGTGTTTCCAGAAAATTAGTGATTATTGTTGAGCTTCAGCCGCCCTGATATCGTTTCAAACACGGTTTCGCACTCCACCAGTGCAGATTCTTTTTGATGCTGCAATCAGTCTACTAGGCACGGCCTTATGCTAAAACATAAATTCTGCAATCAATCGATGGATCAATTGAGCACTACAAATCAATGGCGAATATGAATGTGTTGTAGTTGTAGAGATGTTGGCGCATGTTGATCATGATTTTGCGAGAAGTTGCCTGTGGTCATTTCAATTATCTGTACCTGTACTAGTAGTTTCACTTTGATATACGTTTTTTTCTTTCATGACTTAGTTTGGACCCTTTCCTTGGCGAGCACCTAACCGTGAGCTGCTCCGTCCACGACACTGATACATGCATAAGTAATTGTCACAGTGAGTAGAAATAGCGAATAACGCCGACCGAGCTGAGCCTGAATGTGAATTACCATGAAATCATTTTCGAATCGCGTGGAAACTGATCATGTTTTGGCTCTTCATTTGATGTTTCTCGAGCGATTAGCATCGGGGGAGAGCTGGGGGCGTTAGTTTCTTGATCACATGATCTATCGTTCATCGCACTAGCAGGAGCGAATGTTGTCGTGATCGTGAAGTCTGCTCGTCATCTTCGTCATTTTCGTGAGCATTGATTCGACATTAGTTAGAACAAATGAGAGGTAAAGTGTGTTGTTAGCAAAAAGCAGTGTGTCCTCATCTCGGAGCTACAGTGAGGAAAACCTATGTGCCCTGCCTGGATCTTGTGTTGAAAAATGAGCCAAGTATTTAGTCAATTTTCAGTTTGAAAAATGTAGAGGAAAAATTTCATATCCATGCGAATTCGATCTCGAGCGCAAGAGGATAAAAAGCATGTCGGTCTTTGGTCTGTTGTTGTTTCTTTGCTGTGGGTTGCACATGACGATTGCGATCTCGTCAACTATCGCTAAGGCTAGCGACTTATCTTCAAACGATCACGAACAAACTGGACCGCCAACCCGGAGAAGGATGCTGCGACGCGAGGCTAGGCAGGAGGACGCCGACCAGATCAAATTCCAGAGCAAGAGGACCAAGCAAGAGAGGGCGTCGAGTACTACCCCGAGTGGTCCATTCGAAGTCTTAGAGTACTTTTCCGCGGCCACCTCGTTTTTGCAGGAAAGTATGGAAAAAGTCCGGCACAAGCTCGTCGGGCGTCGTACCCCCAGTGCGGCGCTAGCTAAGACTGCGCCCTCCTCTTCGGTAGCAGAAACGATTAAGTCCGACGTCGTCGATCCTGACCATCCAGAGAAGGACACCGAAGAAGAGGAAAAAGATTCAGGCAGCTGTCCAAAAAAGAAAAAGTGGAAAAAAAGAAAAAGCTACACTGTCAAGCAAGTCGGGAATGTGGTATCGTGCAGCGAGCAAGAAGTGCATCGTCTAAGGCACCTGCTTGCCACAGCGAAAAATGAGCAAACAGCCGCAAAAACCATCGAAGCCGGAGCGGGCGCCGCCAATGCCGCTACTGCCGCACAACAGCTGCAGTCTTCCCTGCAGAAACGACGAGAGCAACTGGCACACATGCTCGATGTTTCCAAAGAGACCGCCGAGGGAAAGGGCGACTGCGAATCCGCCCGCACCGGCATGCTACGCTCGCAGCTGCAGCGGATCGACAACGCGCTTGCGGCCGGGGGCGAGGCGAAAAAAGACGACACGAACGGAATGGAGGCACTGCTGGAAGAAATCGCAAAGGTTCGCGGACAACTCGAGCAATCCGACAAGGAGAAGCAGGCAACACTGCTGCGTTTGCTGGGAAGCTGCGTGGAACTGACGGAGAATCTGTTGGATAACCTCGAAAGCGAAGATGAGTTGGAAAATGCAAAACTCGACGTAGGCGAAACTCCAGACGCGGCAGAAGTTCAACGACGCGAACTGCTGAAGAAATCCATTCAGAGCGAGCTCGATATGGCAAAGCACGCACTCAACACCGCTGGAGAAAAAGCAAAAGGCCCAAAGTCCATGAAGCAAACGTCTAAAGAGATCGAAGCGGCGGAGCGCGAGGCCGGGTTTTCGCCGTCGGAAGAGGAAAAGACAGGACAGAAGAAACTGGCGGAAGAAAAGGCAGCGAATGAGCAGTTCGAAGATCTCGAAAAGGACAGACAGGCAAGCGCAGCAGCAGACGCAGTGAAGAGCTCTGGAGCTGGAGGCACGTGAAAGTTTAGGTTCAGGTTTTGCTTGTGCGAGATACCGAACGGAAGCAGAAACATACCAGCTAGAAGAGAAAGCAGACCGGCGACGGACCTGTAAATGTAAAAAAATGTGAATTGTATACCAACGACACTACAATCACAATGAATGTTTATGTATTCCACTGTACCAAGAAACAAGCAGAAGGTAAACCTACCAAAAGTGTACAAAAATGCACCGCTTCATAATGCGTGTACCATAGCGAGTTTACCCGGCACTCTTCGTGCTCGCAAAAGTGAATTTCCATTTACGCCGGATTCGTTTACTTGCGAGCAACACTAGAGGTTTCTCCAAGTAGATGCAAGACGCAGCTTTCCCTCGCGATTGATTGTTTTCGTTTTCTATCGAGTTGTAGCTTTGAGTTACAGAGGTGGGGTGAGATCGTTACTGAGTGGCGTGCCTACGGAAGGTGAGTTGAACGAGATGAGTTTCGTGACTACAGCAGAGCCATGACACACAGCGTCATGAGGTAATGATCAGGTCAGCGACGCACTGGCGTAGTTGGCAGGATCATGTTGTCTATCGTTTTTTTCTGGAGGAGTGCATGCATCAAAAACGAAATTGTATGTTTGTACTTAGCACGCACCTCTTCAGCGCTCAGGTTAATTGGTAGTTGGGAACGCAACTAAAAGGAGTGATAAAAAAAATGCGTGAGCCCGGAACTCGCAGCAGCTCTACGAGCGCCGCGACCGCTCAGAGCCCACTTGCGATCGTGCGCGATGCCAAAGCGTTCGCGGCCACCGGGAACTCGTCAACCTCCGCCCACGTGAACCCTGTGGCGCTTGGAAACAACACCGTTGCGCTCGGCGCTACAAAACGGCACTATGCAGTGCCGCGCTTTCAGGCGCACCGCAACAATTTGAACCGAAGCAAACTGCGTCCGATCTCCGGCGAGAACGTCAAGCGGCGCACCGCTTCGGTTGGCAGTGCGGGGAACCACCCCAGTCCTGCGAAGACGGAACCATGCAAGAGTCCCGCGGGACGCTTCTACCAGCTTCGTAAAAAGCAGGGACATGATTTGTCGGGCCAGAATTCCTCTTCAGCGCACCTGGAGAATCACCATGCAGGCACAGGTCCGGGGAGCGGCAGCAGCAGTTGCACCACAGCGACGAGCGGTGCCAGCAAGCACCAGCAGCGCGTTTTCCCAAGCAAACGGCCCTCCTTTTTTTCCAATGCTACTACAGCACAAGTGCCGACCACTTCGCTTCTTCCGCCCGGGGCGGGGGACACCAGTAAATTCGGAGCCAGTGGAGGACCGTCCGCTCCCTCTACCTCGCGAATAGCTCCGGTGGCTCTGCCGCCAGCGAAGAACCTGTATGCGCACGATTTTGGTGGTCCACATAGTACCGCACCCACAGCGAACCTCCGCGGCCACGCATCTGCTTCTGGATCGAGTAGTTCTTTGGGCGGGCTTCGTGAGCAGGGCAATAAACAACTGGGGCGTAGTTCCGCTGATTCATTGACGGCAACACAGTTTCATGCCGATCTCGACGAAGGAGATGATTTCAGCATCCCGCACTTTCATTCCGGCGCAACACCAGAGCCTGTGCGATCGGAAAGTGCGACCCAGATGCGAACCTACCTGGGTACTCGTTTTCACGACCGCACACAGTTCCACTACGCGACCGAATTCCACAGAGCATCTCAAGATTTCCATCGCGAGAAGCGCGGCACGAGGACGGGTGAAGATGAAGCCGAAGGACAAGAAGAATTGCGCCACCACAGTCACAGTGGCAGTCCGTACAAGATGAACAGAAATAAGCTCCACCACCCTGAGCAGGCGGGCCAGAACCATGAGAGGCACTCGTCGTCTGGCCGCGGTCAACTACATCACGGACCACAATCACGCCATGTTCTACAAAGCAGGTCACCACTTCCACCGTCGTGGCGTACGGAAAAAGAAGACGAAAACAGCTTTGCTTCCGGTTCCATGACGGAATCAGTGCAGCTTCTGGCAACCAGCCAGCTCGTTGCTGCTGCGCAGCGCGTTGACATCCTTCCCCCCGCAAGAGCGGAGCGAGGTGTAGGTGTACACGAAGATCATACTAGAAGGCAAGCAGGAGCAGAGCTCGGGACCACGACAGGAACAAGTGCGTCAAGGATGAAGATGAACCTAGTGCACAACAACTCTCACGACCCATTTTTCGAGGAGCTGCAACACAGTCTGACTTTCGGGCGGTCTCCGGAGCCAAAGAATGAAACCGAGCTGCGCACGACCTCCACCTTCCTGCTCGGCAGTCGAGAATTCCCCGAGGGCACGCTAACAGACGGATTCAACAGTGGGGCTGGCCACAGCACTACGGATCATAATGCATTTTCAAATACGGCGACCAGCACCAGCATGCTAACACAGCGAGACAACTCGTCTTTTCATCTTCATCATCCGGAAGTAATCTCTACTGCTGGTGAAAGTGGTGAAACAAAGAACAAACCCTTTGATAAAGGTCGTAGCCCAGAAATACTAAACCCTTTCCACCAGTCACAGTCTGCAGCACCGCACCCCGGGTATGTAACTGCGTCGACGCTGTGCAGCAGCTTCCATCATACCACTACGGCGACCTCTTTCGGGGTGCGCAGCGCCGCAGCAACCGGGGTAGATTTCAGCGTCACCCAGCGCGAAGACGCGAGTAGGGCCAGTCCGGCGGGCAGCAGCTGCAGCAGCTCCTCGACGCACTACGCTGCTTTTGGTGCAACAGGCGGACTACAACATTCTCACACCACAGGAGCATCATTCTTCAAATCCCCAGAACTTGAAGACGAGTCTCATTTTCGGGCGCCAGAATCGCTCTCCGCCGCGGAGGGAAAAGCAAGAGCAGTTGATGCAGTGGAACTTTCAGCAAGCGAAGGTACACCAGGAGCGGGACAGGTGACACAACAGCGAATAGTAAATCCACATCAGTACGATACAAGTCGGCTTGTGGAGCGGCATGACGATTCCAGTATGACTTTCGGTCCCAAAAATGGCACTAAACCGAGCAAGAGAAACTACCACAGGACCCGTGCCGTCAAACACGGGAGCAGTGTTGCGATGAAAAACAGCGGAGGTAAAAATGGTGCAGACCAAGACGACGGATTTTCCTCTGTCTTTGCACCACTAGAAGTCATCCCGGATGACGTCGTCTGCCCGGATCGATCGCCTGAGCCGTGTACAGTGGCGGTGGACGAACAAGAGAAGCAAGAAAAAAGTAGTGCACTCGTTGACCACAACTCGGCTCCTGATCATGAAGGTGCGAATGACGAACCAATCCACCAGAGCCAGCGCAAGCGGGTCCGCTCGACGCAGACGTTCCTCACCTACACGACGTCTCCCATCGACGAGGAGAAGCAGAGCGGTATACGGCCGTTGGAAGGACCAGGGGATGTCGACTCGGAGCTGGTGCACCACACCAACGACGACGACAGGCAGGATGCGCCACTAGGCACCAGTCGTCAGAGAATGCATGCGCAAGATCAAGGGGGCGAGGCGGGGAAAAGTGCCCACCTGCCGGGACAAACAGTGCCGGACTTGGAGAGTAACAAGAGCTCCAGTTTCCACGAAGAGGACAACATCAACCCGCTGGACTCGAGCTGGGGCAAGTCGAACGCCTCTTCCGACGTGGAGAACGCATCCAGCACCGGGCGACCCGCCCGCAGCAACTGCGGCCCCGATAATGTGCCTGACAAGGTCGATTCCGACCCGGTGCTCATCGGGAGCAACGTCGCAAGTGGGACCTCGAGTACATCATCTTCATCAAGCTCCTCCTCGAAGCTTTCCAACCAGAATTCTGCTTCGTTCTCTGCGATTCCTGCGTCCGCGCATGTCAATGGCCATCTTCAAGGACGAAATAGGGATTGTGCGACATCAGAACCCGTCACGGACGACGGTAAATCTCTACAACTACTCTCCGCAGGACCGACAACGCAGGCACAGGGTGTGGGAACGTCGACAAAGAACATGGAGGCAGTACAGTGGAACGGAAAGGAAAACTTTGAGGATGTCGTTACCACCCTGACTACCAGCAGTCGGCCCCCGAGTTTGCCGGTGGCGTTGAGCATTTGCACCGCGGAGGAGGACCTGGTGCGAGCCCGCGACTTTGAGAAGCCGGCGGAACTGGACCACTCGCCCACGTCGCGACCGCGCCTGATCAGCCCGTCGAAGCAGCACTTCGAGAAGAAGCTGCTGAAGATGAACCACGACTTGTCGGCGTCGTCGTCGCCGGAATCCAGCTCCCCTGCCCCCTCGGACGCCGACCACACGACCGCCGGACTGCTGCTGCGCGGAACGCTGTCCTCCCGGGGGGCCGTGGAGCTCTACCCGAGCGACATGCTCGCGCGCATCGACGACATCAACCTGGCGCCGCAGCCCTGCGGCATCTTTCGCGACATCGTCGTGGCACCCGACGATCACACGCGGCAGGGCGGAAATGCGTCTGACGAGATGAACAAGATAAACCGGACCCGGCGCGACGAAGTAGACACCAAACAAAAGACCGGGGCGACCTGCCAAGAAGTAGATTCAAGCTCTGCTGCGTCTTCCTCGTGCTCAAGTCCGTCAAGTAGTGCCGCATCGTCCTCCGCTTCGTCTGCGTCGAGCTCAAGTGCAAGCGCAACCACGGAAGCAGGAGGTGCACCAGGGTTAAATGTTGCTTCCGTGTTGCCCACGTCGTCCAGGAGTGCTTCTGCTGCGCATTCTAGTCGTGGCGGATCGTCAAGTTCTGCCTCTACCTCTTCGTCATCGTCTGTCACAGAGCAGGAAAGAACAGGACTAAAAGCCGTAGAGGAGGAACACCAAGCAGGTAGCGACGCGCTTTTTCCGCCCGCCGCTGCCTTCCAGCAATGGCCAGCATCCCGGGACGAAAGTACACACGAGATAAAACTGCACCCGCGGCGGCCACCGCTGCTGGGCGAATTTGCCGACGAGGCCGGGAGCAGGCATAACCCAACCTTTCATGGCGAAGGGCGGACCACAAGAAGCGCCCGTGATGTGGAGGACCACAGTCAAGCCGTTGGAGAGGACGACGACCCAACTAGACAAATATCGGAGGCCATTGAAGTTGACGTATCACACGCCTTCGGCGCCTTTCCTCCGTCCTCGGCTGGCGCTCTCGGTGCTACTAAAAATCCACTTGAAGAGCGCTCTGGTGACGAAAGCCACGGAAGAAACGCAGGATCTGGACGGGCCGAACGAGGAGAAGAACATTCTGCGTCTGATGGTCGTCCGGACCGCTGGTTGGACGATGGTGAGAAAAGTGTCACGCCGTGTGAACAAACCCCAGCTCCCCAACCAACACTCCAGCCGGCCTTTTCCGGCACCGCGACGGCCTCCAGTGGTTTTCGCCTGACGGCAACCTCAAACCTGGGAGGGACCATGCGGTCCACCGGCGGCCTGCGGCGGCGGAACAAGCTGATTTCCGGGTCGCTTTACCGCTGGATCAAGGGCGACCCCGTGGGCTGCGGCAGTCTGGGCACGGTCTTCAAGGCCTTGGACACCGAGACGGGCAAACTGCTGGCGGTGAAGGAGGTGTCCCTGCACGACGCGACGGACCTGGTCAAGAAGAACCTCGACGGGGAGCTGAACAGCTACCGCTCGCTGCGCCACGACGCGATCATTCAGTACCTGGGGCACGAAACCATGACCCTGGACGGGCAGGACGTGCTGTTTATCTACCTGGAGTTCATGCCCGGTGGCTCGCTCTCCGCCGTGATCCACACCTTTGGGCCCCTGGACGAGTCTCTGGTGCGTGTGTACTGCCGCCAGCTGCTACGGGGCCTCGCCTACCTCCACGAACGGAACTTCATCCACCGCGACATCAAGGGCGCGAACATCCTGGTCGGGCTCAACTGCTGCGTGAAATTGTCCGACTTTGGTTGCGCCAAGCAAATCATGTCCCGATCGGGCGACCAGATGTGCGCGCAGACGATGACCGGGTCGATTCCCTGGATGAGCCCCGACGTGATGAAGGGAACGCCCTACGACACGAAGGCGGACATCTGGTCGCTGGGCTGCCTCCTCATTGAGATGGCGAGCGGCCGGGCGCCCTGGTCCGAGCTCTGCTTTGACAACAACATTGCCATGCTGATGCGCATCGCGATGACAGACGACGTTCCCGAGATTCCGGCCCACCTCTCCGCGACTGCGAGAAACTTCGTGGCAAGGTGTCTCACGCGGGACCCGCAAAAGCGGCCAACCGCCAAGGAGCTGCTTCTGCACGACTTTGTGCAGAAGACGGACGAAGTAGTGGCGGATGCCGGCGGGGAAGAAAACACTTGAACGCGGCGCGTCCTCGATTGATGCATTTTTACAGCGGTGTGTCAACAAACTCCTCTTGAAAACGTACATTTGGTTTTAATTATTTTGAATAGTGGTCAAGAACGGTACTACGTAATTGCAGCTCCAGCTCGTGCACTTGCTGCACTGGTCAGGAGCTCTGTCGTCCTCGAGGTATCTATCATTGGCCTAGAAATTCGTCGCTGCGCTAGCGCACATATTTCTTTTCCTATATTCAGCGTTTGTTTTCCCTGTCCTACTTCGTTGCTGTTGATGTGAGCTGCACAGAAACCAAAATGGCCCCCGCAGAGCCTGCGTCACTGCCGCTTGCCGGACAACCGCAGGAGTGCTCTGTTTTGTGCTTTTCTGGTATACAGAACTTGGATTAACGCAAAAGAGAAAAACAAAAGAAACAGGAAAAATAGAAGCAGTACCAATTTCGCGGAAAATAGGGGTGCACTAAAATAATATTGTTCCGTATTTCGTGGTGCCAAGGAGAAGGAACTGGAACGGCAAATGCTCCAAGTCGTGACCCGTATGCTTCTGCATGAATCAGATCTGCCTGCTATCATCGCGGATCCCCTTTTTTCTCTGTGGTTTTTCATTTTTTACTTACGAAGTTTTTTCGATCTACATACACACACTCATACTAATCTGGTAATAGATCGATGCAAATTCTTCTGTGTGAAGTTTCCACATACACCGCACAGTTGACATAAAGATTTACTTGATGTCATACTCGTCATGGTATTGCTCGTGGCTACGTTCTTTTCATTTCTGAACCCATCGGTCCCTTTGTGATCTGGTTTTTTTGATGCCCAAGTCCTTTCGTGCTCAGAATCAGATCATATGCGAGAAAAGAACATCGTGCGTTTCTTCTTTATCTTCTAGGAGCCTTGGGTGTAGTGGCGTCACGAGGCTTAGACAAAAGTTCCTGAGTCATTTTTTTTCATGGATGTCTACAGAGTTCTCATCTAGCAGCAGATAGCTACACAATGAAACGCTCCTCCTCCTCGTTCAGCAGACCTCGACCGTCCGCGAAGTCGGCCAATTTCTTCCGCGGGTCAGCATTCTGTCAGCTTCTGCTGCAGAGCCAGCTTGTTTTCTTCTTGTCTCGTCTGTCATTCTGTGTCGTCGTTGCAGAGGTTGCAGTGCGAGCCGAGGAGACGACTGGTAATATAATCGGCAAACTGCAGGATCGGACGACCGAAGTAGATTTTCGGGACGCAACAGCGGTGGGCTCTACGGAAAAGGCGACCGAAGTATTAAAGCTTGCCAGGCTGTTAAGATATCGGGCGTGTAAGTTCAAAATAAGTGGCGCGTAAGCTACTCGTGAAAAGTCTGAAAGCCTGGGAGTTTTGGAGTTGAGGCAACTGCCTCAACTCCCGTGTCTTTGTGCGCGACAAATACTTGTCGCAATTTGAGGACGCCGGATTGTCATATTCCGGCGGGCGGTGCTCACAAAATCGATTTTGTGAGTACCCGCGGACAGATTCGATTTTGTGCGCACCCCTCGGGCACGCATCTCGAAGATGCCTCGTCCTCGGGCGGCGCAAAATCGATTTTTTTTTGTGGAAGGGTTGCGCGACGCACAAAATGCGAAAGGGTGCGATCCCCTGGCTTGCGCGGTATACTAGTTCAATTCTTCGCGATCTAGGGGGCTTGCGAAATCGATTCTGTGTGCCTGGGGAATTGCGCCGCCAACTTTGTGCGGCCTGGGGGGGGGCTGCAGCCTGGATTTTGCGTGCCTGGGAGATCTTCAAACTTGGGATCTGTCACGCGTCTTTCATTGAAAGAAGCATGACAGATCCCAGCGGGCACGCATACAGCTCGTGGCTGTTGCACTTCCGCCATTTTTCGTGGCGATCTTCTCGATTTTGACCGACGGCAATCTTGTGCAGAGCGCTCACACGCGTCGGAGGCCCGAGCTCTCGCCCCGGTTTTCGGGGTGCTCGGCTCATTGCCCTCGATTTTGGTGCTTTCGAGTCCTTTTCAATTTTGATCGATGGCAATCCTGTGCGGAGCGCTCATATGCGTGGCACCTTCCTCCTTTGGCGTGTGCCGCCCTACACCGGCGGTGCTACTTACACGCCTCTTATTTGATACTTACACAGCCCCGCGCTTAACAGATGGGCAAGCTCTAACCGAAGTAGATTTTCGGGACGCAACAGCGGTGGACTCTACGGAAAAGGCACGCGAAAAAATAAAATGGCTTCGGGATCAAACGAAGCACTGCACGGCCATGCTGATTGGAGGTATGAGATAACTATTAATATCATTGCTGGTGGCTGCTGGTGCTGCACGAATGCGTCCTTGGTCAAGAAGCCTTTTTCGATTTATATATTTGCCTCGCCCTTAAGGTTGCTGTTGATCTTTTCTTGCACTCTCCATCATCGTATCAGGCGATCGCCGTGCCTGCGGTATGATTCCCGAGATCGACACAGTGGAGCGTTATTCCGAGCTTGTTCTCCGCTCCCCTCGTCCATATCACCTGTTTATCCTCTTCACTGTGCGGGGCTGCTGCAACCTGCGCAAGGGCCACTGCAGCCGGGAATGTGGCCGGGCAATGGAGTCCTTCCAAAAAGTCGCCGCCAGGTAGACTATGATGTGGATGAAAATGTTCATACTGACTTTGAACTGTAAATTATGATTTTCACTTGTTTCATCTGCCTTCTAGCTACTACAACCTCAAAGTCCACAACCTCTACCGGCTCTATCGCTGAAAAATCCATGAAATCTGATTGAGGTTCACCCTAGTTACTTTGCAAAGTAATTAGCTGAGAATGAGATTCTACTTCAATCTTCATAAACAGCTATCATGTGCTGGGTGAGCATAACGATAAGGACGACTTGGGAGGACCGTCAAGCGCGGCAGATGCTGGCCTTGGTCCCCCGGGAGCTCCTGCGAGTGCGTCTTCAAGCGGAGAGCAGCAAGCGGCGTCTGCTGTCGCTTCGGAGAAGCAAGACGTCTTTTTTGCGGTAGTGTATTGCGATTCCGAGAACAGCGCCATGCAGGAAGTTTGCGCCTTCCACAAATTTGAGAAAGTGCCAAAGCTAGTGCACGCGCGCGGATCCACCCTGCGACGCCGCAATGGCACAGTTTCGTTCCGGCCCCAGCACGTATACGCGGCAGTCGACTGGTCGAACCCGAATGAATTGCTGGACTTCGTGAAATCCTTTGCGCCTCGACCGAGGCTCGAATTGTACCAAGACCTCTTCGCCCGCCTGCGGAAGATGGCGCCACTGGTCGGCATCGGCTTGGCCGCGCTGTTGGTGCTTGTTTTGGGCGCGGCACTAGTACGCTGGGCACCACTACTAATGGTAGTGGGTGCCGTGGCGGTGCAGTGGTAAGCGGATTTTTAGAAAAGATAGAGATACTTCTTTCTCCAGAATGAGAATCTTGCACGGCTTGGTCTATACTTCTAATGCGACGGCGTCGGCGACTACAACTACTTTCTATAGTCGATAGATGTCCTGGTTTAGGCTTCAGTATTTTGATTGCAGGGTCCTCGTGCAGAAAGTTGATCGTCCCAGCGCTAGTGACGCGGAATAAACAATGAATTTAAAGAATCATCGATCATCACTTCAGGTTGGGCTGCAGTGGCCTCACTTACAATCTGCTCCACGGAATGCGTTGGACGGGGGAAGCGGGGGAGTACATTGCGAAGTCGAACCGGTCCCAGTACCTCGGCGAGGGCCTTGGGTGCAGCGGCCTCTTCATGCTCGGGGGTTTGGCTCTCGTGTTCGCCGTCCAGCTTGCGCGCCAACCCTACGCCACGCAAACGCGGGCCCACCTTGCCACCTTTTTCGCGGCGCTCGCCATGCTGGTCGGCTTCGCGGCGGTGTGGAACCTGATGTCGATCTACGCCACATACAAGGCCGGGTGGTACACCGCCCCCGGGTTGTTCCCGCTATCAAATGCAAAAATGTCTGGGTCTGGAAGATTCTGAGACTTGTCATGCACGTTTTGCATGAACCATGAGCATGAGGTCTGGAATGCGAGACCTAGCATGGCAGATTCTTTGAGGTCTCTATCATGCCTTTGCAGCATGAGAAACTCCCTCTCAATTTGGTCAAAGGCGAACAGCTTTTGGTACTCACGCAACACAGATTTTTGCATCATTCGGATTTAGCATGACAAGTTCTAAATGTTCCAGACTGACCCAGACATTTTTGCACTTGATACCCGCCGCCGGAGTACAAAACCGGACCGGTCGCGCTGGATCGCGGACTCAGTTTTGTGAACACCGAGGCCAAGGCTTTTTACGAGAGCAGCCGGACGGCGCTTGCGGTGGGGAGTTTTGCGCAAAAGTGGTCCGCATTTTTTTCCAGTTCGTACAGAAGTGTCCTGAAGAAAGCCAAAAAGCAGTGGAATTCCAGCGCGATTGTCGCGACCGCGCACACCATAATGATTGAGTCCTTCGATTTGGCGTGGGCTCCCGCGGACTGGCTCATGTCTGCTGAAAGTAGTCGTGGCGGGGCCGGGGGGAAGAAAAACAAGAGGAAAAAGAAGTAAGGGAATCACCGTCGTCGGAGAATGTGAACGGCCGCAAAGACGTATATAACAAGCTTCCACTCAGTACTGCTCGGGTAAGTACTGCAACGGCACTTCTCCCCTCAACTGCCCACCTGTCTTGTGATGCCCCGTCAGTTCGAAGAAAAAGAATGATGCTGGCAGGCCGGCTTTACCGGGAATGCACGCCAAAAGAAAAATCTAACGACCACACGAAGCTTTAGCGGGACCAGCACCAGAGTAGCGCTCCCCGTTGACGCCACAGGACGCACCCGTCTATTGGCACGTACAAATCTAATGAAGCAGGGCCCTTGAGGACCGTATATCTCACCACCATCCCTCTGATGTTTCCGCCGCGTGCAGATCACTTTCTTGGAAGGATGCAACGAACACGAGAATGCAACGAACATGCACGTCGAAAAAAGGCACTCCAAAGAAGAAAAAGAGAAGGGAAGCCTTCCAATCTGAGCAGACCGCGGTAAACCAACGGCCACGCCATGCGTTGGTGTTCGTGCGGAAAACCTCGTGTGTCTCATTTCGCGTTATCTACAGACCATCAAAGCAAAAGCTAAAACGCCCGAGGATCGATCGTCGTTTTACACTGCCAGGCCTCGTGGTCTCAAATCATGCACTTAGCTTTCAGTGCTAGTGCAAATTCTCAATCGCGGTGCTTCGTTCTCGTGGTACACGTACAGTAGGACTTGAAGCAGTTGTATTGTAACAGTACCTGATCAAGCGGAAATTAGTCAACAACGTCGTTGCATTGTCCCTGTTGGGCGTGATTGTGATTTCGCGTAGGGGCAGGGAACTGGCTTTGGACAGACGCGCCACGTACTTCATCGTTTTCGTCATATGAAGAAATACTGAAAGAATAAGTAATTTCACGCTGGGAAAATGACAAAAAAGCTCACTCATTAGTCGTGATCGTCAGGGTTGGTTCTGGTCGTCGCTTGGTTCCTCGTCGAATTAGTGACGTCTGCATTGATATATGGAGTTGTACATCGCAGAAACCAAACAGCTGCCACATCACTCCAGCTCGATTTCTTACTAGAAGTAGCTGACAGGTAGCACAAACCGTTTTTTTCAATATGAAAAACTGTTACTTCTGTATGTACATGTAATTTGATACTGTTGTCCTGTATGGATGACACGAGGCGCATCCCCTCGCATTCGCACTTGTACTAAACGTAAAAGGTTATGTCGTAGAAACAGTAACATATCAGCAGTTCAAAGAGAAAAACAAAATCTATCAGCATGTGCTCTCGTCCACTAGCTTCCATCTAGCCCAACGGGGGCCAAATCGCAGTGCCAATGTCCGGTGGAAATGGACGCCTGGCCGGTGGCTCCTCTCGGCCCTCGGGTGGTGGCAGGGGCCGCCCGAAAAGCCAGGGCCAGAACTCTTGGTCGCAGTGGCTGCTGAATCCGCCGTACCCTGTGCAAAAAAACACATGAATATTTGCCAAAATAAGGACAAGATGAACACGTAGCTTCATCCAGAGGACAGCACCTTGGCATATAAATGTGTTATGCCATTGATGACATCAAAAAGGACAAGTTTCGGTCGGCAAGCTACAAGAAACCAGTTTCTTTGTTGCACTTTTTGTATAGACGCCTGCATTTTTATTTCAAGTGATACTTTTGCACCGCATACCCTGATACAAGAGGAGGCGTTGGGAATCCAAACCGCGAGCTTGTTCACGTTTATGACGGTGTTGCCCGGCGTCCTGGGTAGCTGATGTACGTGGCCGGTGGTCATGCTCGTTTTAAGCTCCGGCTTGCTGAATTGTGGCGATCCGCGCAGTGCGTCGGATCGTGCCAAAGTGGAATTCATGGGCAGCATTTTTTATCCTGCGGAAAACTAAAACAGTGCTCTCATTGCCAGTTCGGTGTAAGTAGCAGCGCGATGCATGCGCACCAGATTATTGTTTGCGTTGGGTGCCACTGGCAGCGGCAAAGTGCAAAGAAATGCAAATTGCAGCGCGCGCAGTAGATACGTCAACAGAGGTAGAAGATGACATGAGGTCAATGCATGAGCAGAGTCTCCACAAAGTTGATCTGGCACGAAAATTGCAACAGGAGTTTTCAGCAGGATGTCGTCATGCTTACCTTCAATTTCGCGGTCTACACCAATTTCATGCAGTACATGTGGCGTAAGGGACGGGAAATGGGTACTGTGTAGTTTGCCAACATTCTCGTTCTCCATGATTTACATACAAATTTTATCAAGCTGACTTTTCGGTTCATTTACCACGCCTGACTCTGGCTTTCTTTCTGCAACTTCCTTCTCGGCACGAAATACAGGTCGGAAAACAAATCCAGCTGCGTATTGGGTATATTTACCAAACGAAGAAAACGGAAAGTGATCTTCCCGGCTGCTTGCCCTGGCCCAACAGCATAATCCTGATGTAAGAAGTAAAAGCTCATGGGCATGAAGATGCATGCTGTTTTGATTCTTTATCTTTTGGCGTATCTGAAGATGTCTGAGGCATTGTCATTCATTGGCTTTGGCATTGCCCGTACCTAACACAATCACTAACTTTGTTTCCTTCTACATCGTCTCCTGATTCTGGCGCTGATCTTGCTAAACGTCGACCACGCGTGCACGGTGTTCAAGTTCGTTGGCTGGGACAACTTCTCAGAGGAGGTGCTGCCCCGTCACTACGCCTGCGAGGGGGAGGGTGCGAACCGAAAGTGCAAAAAGCTGACACTGTTTGGCTGGGCCATGTGGGCCTCTACCGTAGCGGGGCTGTTGTTTCTCTGCGTCAGCATGTGGGGCTTCACCGTGATGCTGGGCTCGAACTGCGTCGTGTCGGCCTACCAGATTGCAAAACGGCGCAGTGCTGGTGGCCGACAGAGCTCCTACGCTGGTGCAACCAGTGGGCAGGAAGTGGCCCAGCGGGAGCTGGACCAGGTCTCGGACCACGCGGGGTCGACATCCATATCAGAGCACGCAACTCGTCCCCTTCATTTGTCATGCAAAGTTCCAAACTCAGACTTGACTCAGTTGGTGCCTTGAGTTAGCACTGTCTGCATGACAAATTCTGAAGCCCAAACAGTACTACATACGGCGCGTGATCAAGTTGTCATGCACAGGCTCCACTTGGAGATTCAGATTGGACTTGTGTTAGTGGTACTGATTGTGATGCTGTTCATGCTATTATCCAAATAAGGGGTAACAAAGGGAGTTGTGCGCTTTCATATTCCAGGAGTGCGTCGAACAAGCCGCAACTACACGGCAGGGATGAAGGCGAACTGCACAGCCCCGATCTGGAGTCGGGTGAGCGAACGGCGTTGCTTTCCCAACAATACAATAACCCGAACAGCGACAGCCAAGAAGAAGAACCCGCAGTACGTTTTTTTGGTGTACCAAGTATTGTCTCGAGGCATCGTCGTCAGTCACCATGTGGTTCATGTCTCACTGTCCAAGTAATAATCAAGACTCGTCCTGAGCGATGAAAATCCTTTTATCTAACGTGCAGAATGCAGAAGCACTACCACCACAGCACGCCATAAGGGCGGAGATTATGGCGCGCAAAAGGTCGTTTCTTTGTCCGCTTACGAACTCCACTCGAGACACCGTATACAGTGAATCCTATGCGCGCAATTCCAATTCCCAAAAAAACAAATTCAGATGGAGCCTCAGCCGTTCGATTTTCGGGCCCAGATGGACACCTTGCGGGATGAGGGCGTCGACTTGCTCGGCTCGTCGGAGAAATTTCTCAAGGAGTTGCAACAAAGAATGGCGACCACGACGACGCAAGCGAGCAATACAAACCCGCACGACCCCCAAGCCGGAATCGCAGTAGCACTCGCCTCCACGACGTCGGCTTCGGGCGTGACCATGACGCAGTCGGTATGCAAGAGAGAAATTAATAAGATCATCATTGGAACTGTCTGTGGTCATGCGGAAGACGACATGATAATCAAGTCTTTACACGCGAACGAAGTCTCAACAATACACACGGAAGCTACAGTCGTGTGTCTGGGAAAGAAATTGTTTTGATGCTAAGAAGATAAGAGGCTGAGGCGCAAAGTACACTGATAGTGACAGTGGTGATCTTTTTTTTCTTCATAGTCGCAGCGGCAGCTGCAGTACTTGCGGGAGCACGAAGGTAATGAAGATTCTCGTAACTTACACGCCAGTTCCCAGCACCAAACGACGGTTGGTGCAACACCATCTCTCGAGGAACGGATCATCGGGGGAGGAGGCGAGCGCATGTATCCCAACTCTACCACCTACTCCGGTCGAATCGCTAATCAATCAGGACAACGAGCCAGCACTTCCGTGCTGCAGAACTCCAGCACGGCCGGCAGACGACACTAGTAGTGCAAGCTCTACTGCTTCGTGGATTGAAACAAACGATGAAACGAAAAAGTCGGTGAATATGAAGTACCTGCTCTTGACAAACATAGTTTACAAATGAAATGCGAAAAGTACTTTTTGATGCTAGCTTCAAAAGATCCACAAAAAACTCTACTCAACTTTAATTCGTTCGGACAAGGTACATAGCTGAGGCGCTATTTTCGTATTTTTTAGTGTGACGAATGGAGAAACTACATGCATCAACCTCTATCAACATACTGGAGACGATGCCGAAAACTTTTTCTTCGTTCTGATTTTAGACATTTGAATTCATGCCTCTCTATCTATCTATGGCAACCTCATCCTACTGTGTGTAAATACCTGCTCACTTACTACCACATGGCTCCAGCGACAAATTCTGACACAGACCACCATGACTCTCCATCAAGCCGATCACAACAATAGAGCCAATAACCAGCACAAAACACAACGCATCTCATGCGGTGGAAAAGCGACATGATCACAGACACCCATGAAACATGGATCATCATTGTGATACGAAGGGATCTGTGAAGCTGTCGTATCAAAATATTGCGAGAACGATGGAACAGGGAGCTTACAGCTTGGGCCCCTGTTAAATAAGCGGCCGCGTAAGCTCTTTGTAATTGGTGCGTATTTCGCGTCTCGGATAATTTCACGAACAGTGCAGTGCACACCCTGAAACTTTCCCCAGGGTCGCAATATTTGGCAGCTTTCGCGCCCGCCGGTCGCAAGAACAAAAGCGGGCCAGCGATCCATCGTGGGTTGGCGCAGCTTTTGTGGCAGCGCCTTT